CAGAAGGTGCTGGGGATGGAGCATCCCTCGACACTAACGAGCGTGAGCAACCTGGCCGCGGTGCTGAGCGATCAAGGCAAGTACGATGAGGCGGAACAGATACTTCGAGGTGCGGGGGATGGAACATCCGCGACAGTGACGAACATGCACAATCTATGTAGCATGGACCATACAAGCGCAAGGTAGAACTATGGGAAGCTATCAAACTCATAGCAGAGTGTGTGCAACTACGAAGCCGGATCCTAGATGCTAGGGCCTGTCGTCTTCAGCTACGCTGGCTAAGTGGCAAGGTTTGCATTGATATTCAAGCTTACAAGTTTTAACAATCTGAGCCTCAACCTTGTTTGTTATCAGATTCTTTATGAAAGACCGTACTGTAGGGGCAATACCGCAATAAAATATGGTCGTCGATGATTCGTGTTAGAATGGAGCTGACTAATATCCATCAGGGCAGGGTGCTGATTCTATCGTCAGCTTTATCGTCATTACCCGTATATTTCTAACTCCTTATTCACAGCTTTTTTTAATTGTAGCACAATGTTTAGCATGACAGCTGCGTTGCTAGAACTTTGGAGTCTCGCAATATCAAGGCGACTTCACGTCCTTTGGCTTCCACGGTGAAACACGGCTATGCCAAGTCTCGGGCTGGAGACATCTGGCGTCCCGAACGCTTGATCAGGTTGAGGAGGGCTGATAGCAGGACATAGTTCTGGCTTCAGAGGTGTCTGAGGATCCCATCGCGTTCACTATGCGCGTTTGACTTCGGCGAGATTTTTTGCCTCGGGTGTACTGCGGGACGGGGAATGAATGCATCGCTCTTGAGTAAAGTCTCGTATTTAGGGTCAGTTGGTTTAACAACACCGGAACGGTCGAACTGAATGCTGATAAAAGACTGAGCATCTCCGATGGTGTCGAGTCGTCAGAAGGGATTAGGCGTAGATTTGCTTCCGTCAATCAGAAGCCTTTGTCTTCGACACTCGCTCGGTATCCTTTGTGCGCGTCGCACAAGTTGTCGTGGAAAGGTTGTTCCTACGAACACTTTGGGAATCAACCCAGTCTGTAGTTCTTGAGCTTGAAGGGCGTTTCTTCAGCTGTTTGGCGCCGACATGCTTCAAGACTTACACTGCCGTTTAGTAGTTGGAGTGCTGCGTTCGACTTTATTCTCTTCCCCCGAAAAGCTTTCCAGTAATCGAACTGCGCTTCGGTGATGAGCTGAAGCGGACCTCATCGCTGACTGGTAAGACACCGCACTTAAGTTTTCTAGAAGTAGCATGTTCCTCATCTCCAAGGGTAAGAGTAAGTGTCCTTTTCTGTAGCATAGAATGGCCTGTCGCGTCTGCAGTCTATTCGAACTCTCCGTGTCTAGCAAGATTGTAATTAAAGATGAGTTGACGAGAGCCACACCAAAGTTCAGGCTGTAGGGTGGCACAACGGGGAACATTGAGTTACTAGTCTCCGCACTGCTTGATTGGGCTCTTAGGCGCCCGAAAAGGCGCCTCGGCCATGATTTGGGATTCGCCGTGTTTATTGGGCTCATCTGAAACAAATGTTCTCGCCGAGAGGCAGGTGTAGCCGATCGCTGGGGAGCCAGATTGGGCCCCTTGCAGCTCAATGTGCTGCTTAGGGGGTGCTCGGTGATTCTCAGCTAATGGCTCAGTTAAAGCTCCAGGTTAAAGCGGCCTTCGCTCATTCTCTAAGATCAAACCGCATTTGGCGAATAGGTGTTTCGTTCCCGAGTATCACAGCTGAACATATTGCTATATACTGTTCGACGGTATATCATGGGATCCGATCCAAGGACTATCTAAATATCGGGGCCAGCGCCATACACTGTCCCCAGCCCTACCCGGCCACATGGTCCACGGATTGGATCCGATGGCGGTGGTTTTTCATCGAATCTAATCTACGAGCCATTTCGAGTGTGATCAGTGAAGGGCTTGTCTGAGTGGTCCACAGATTGGATCCGATGAAGACTACCGCCATCGGGTCCAATCCATAGACCACGTCGACATCGAGGCTCGTCCGTTACGAACCATCTCGAGTGTGATCAGTAGATCTTGTCTGAGGTGGCCCACAGTCTAGATCCGATGCGTGAGTCATCTCGATATCGAGAACTGGGAGGTCAACTCTTCTGCAGTTGAACTTGTGTGGCTGAAGCTTTTACTGGCTGTGGCGCCCCATCTATGAGTCCGTCAGAGATGGGCTGCAGGAGGGGGGGCTTTTTTTTGTTTGCGTGTATGTAACCATCTGCCTTAGAGTCCATATAACCATTCGACGACTTTAGGCGCATACCAGAGACTGTTTTCTAACGTCTGTACGTCTACAAAATGGCTCTTGAGACATACACGACTGTTTAATTGAATCTATCTGAGCGAGGCGCGAGCTAGAAAAAGGCCACGAAGGTTGCGGTGCACGTGACTAGGCTAGTCCCAATGTGGACTGCCAACATAGGCTTTTCACGACTACTTGCAAAGACGGTGTACACTCTCTCTTACCGTCGTCATGAGAGTACTCCCCTTACGGCGCCAGCCTATGCCTCAATAGAGACCCTTCTTAATGCGAGTAATATATAGAAAGACTTACGGACGACTACGATAGCGTTTAGCCGCAGTGGGGAGGTGGCAAAATAATTTTTGAATTTTGAGCTGCCGGTCCTAATGCTCCGCGTTACCGAAGCTCTCCTGCGCGAACTCAAATGCACCTTTAGCTAGATGTGTACTGCAGTTTCATCAGTTGAGCGCCTTTGCTGTGTGACAGCTTAGCGACCTCTAATATCTTGCAGGCTAGGCGCTCTTACTTTAATTTACTCTTTACAAAGTTGCTTGAGCACACACATGAGCTCGTGGCAGTGTTTACATCTGCATGATCCCCCCAAAAATCCAACTGATCCTGATCGATCGAGAACCGTTCACAGTTTCGAATTTCTAAGTCTTTCACACGCTTAGCGGTCCCTTCCCTCGGCTGCGCATGATGGGCCGCTTAAATTTAACAGCACTCAACGTCCGCAAAACCGCTTTGGCGAAATTCAAGACGAAACAGATCCCATACACTCCAGGATGGACCGATATCATGAGAGACGTTCCTCCAGCGCAGATTCTGATCCGGCAACAGGCCGCTCAGCATCCCTTGACAAAAACACGCACTCGAACTCTCCCTAATGGGAAAACAGAGCAATATACGCAAATAGTGGAACCAAAGAGACCCAAATCCGCCAAGGCCGGGCGTCTATTCTCACCTACACACTTGAAGTACGAGGAGGATGCTTTACGGAGAAGATTTTACAGCGACCACCCATGGGAACTGGCGCGGCCGCGAGTCGTCCTCGAAACATCAGGAGATCAGCACAAGGACGCCGATTGGTCAAAGGGTTTGATACAGCCAGGAATCCCATTGTCCGGCGAGTCCGTTGTGCAAAGACAGCTATGGCTACTTGAGAACGTCCCGGATATCACTGTTCCTCAATCTTATGACATCGCACGAAAGGAGTTCTACACGTTGCGCCGACAACAAGAAACGAGAGACAGAATTGCGGCCGAGGAAGCAAGGCATATGGGCGCAGAATTCGGAAAGACGGCTATCCAAATCGGCATGAAGATTGAGAACGAGGCGTACAACGATTGGGAAGCGTGGGCTCGCCAGGTGATGAACGAGCAGACACAGAGAAATGCTGCATTTGAGGGGACGACGACAGCTGCTGAAGATCAAGCGCTGAGGGAGGCTACCCGGCTCGCCGGAGATGGAATCAAGCCGCCTGGCGTTGGAGCCGCTGTCTTTGCGCAGCAGGCAAAAATGGATTCTCGCACCAACCGGCGGTCTGAAAACCCTGTATAGAGAGCCATACCTGGATGTGTAAGAGATTTTAGAAGATTCAACACGTATTATGGTATCACAATGTAGAATTTTTTGCTTCAGGCAACATCCAATCGCGCAGAACGAGCCTTGAATTTCTTCCCACTGTCAAGCTGGAGACAGCGTCCCACCCCCTCTTGTTACTCCAGCATTTTCTGGATCCTGGTTATCTGCTCCTCCACACTTTGCTTGCTGGTCCCGCCTAGGACGGCCCTCTTTTCCACACTGCTCTCGTAGTCGAATGCGTCCATTACATCGTCACCGAACCGGCTGTCCACACGTTGCAATTGCTGTAGTGTCAGCTTGTCCATTGGCTTACCCTCTTTCTCTGCCAGCGCTACGACTCGGCCACTGATATGATGAGTCTCGCGGAATGGAACGCCCTGGCGGACGAGATAGTCCGCAAGGTCGGTAGCGAGCATGTCCGGAGTCAACGCCGCCCTCATCTTGTCAGGAAAGATTGTCAGGGTTGACAGAACACCGGTGGCAATTTGGACAGAGTCGGCGGACGTCTTGATGCCGTTGAGCATTGGCTCAAATGACTCTTGCAGGTCTTTGTTGTACGTCGAAGGCAGTCCTTTGACGCTCATCATCAGCCCGGCCATGTAGCCAAACACTCGGCCGCTCTTGCCTCGAAGAAGCTCGAGGGAGTCGGGGTTCTTTTTCTGTGGCATCAAACTACTTCCCGTGGAGTATGCGTCGGCCAGTCTAACGAAGCCGAATTCGGCCGTGGAATAAATGATCAAGTCTTCTGCCCAACGAGAAATATGTTGCATCAAGGTAGCCGCCCATTGGAGAGCTTCGATAACAAAATCCCGATCGGCGACAGCAGCCATCGAGTTGTTGATGATTCCTTCAAACCCAAGCTCTTTCGCCATGGCTTCGCGGTCAATACCGAATGGATTTCCCACCAAAGCACCGGAGCCGAGAGGAGAGCGGTTGACTCGTCTGATGACCTCCCTGAGACGCTCGAGGTCGGACGTAAAAACACTGCCGTAACTCAACAGCCAATGAGACCAGCGAATTGGTTGTGCTCGCTGAAGATGGGTGTAGCCAGGCATCAGGGCCGAAATTTCGGATTGGGCTCGTGAAGTAGTGACACGGAGCAGCGCGATGAGATGCTGTTCAATATCTCGCAGCTGATCTCGCAGCCAAAGGCGCATACCAGTGCCGACCTGGTCATTACGGCTTCGACCTGTATGGAGCTTGCCAGCAATGTGAGTGCCAATGATCTCGCCGAGGCGGCGTTCGTTGGCCGTGTGAATGTCCTCGTCAACACCAGGCTTGATCTCAAATTTCGCGTTTTGCCATTCGGACAAGACCTGAGCAAAACCCTTCTCGATGGCCTGGAACTCTTCCTGAGTCAGGATACCGATTTTAGAATTTGCTCGAGCGTATGCGATGCTTCCTCGAATGTCTTGGGCGTAGATGGCTCGGTCGAAGTAGATGGACTCATTGTAGGAGACCATGAGCGGGTCGAGACCACCAGTGAAGCGGCCGCCCCAGAGCATGTTGGCATTTGGTTTAGAGGCCGTCATCTTGTGCTTGGAGTCAGATAACAAGGTGTGCTGGGGATCTTGGGACCGGAGAGGCAAAGAGGACTAGGACTGAATCAAAGCACGAAATCTACTGGGACAATGAGTAATTTCAAGGCATGAAAAATTTATAGTACGTAAATATTGTGTAGTGATGGGGCGCATCATAGGCAAGCTCAAAAACTTTTTCCTGCCATTCTGCTCCCCAGATTTTTTTGCGATAACTGCTTCGTTTTCATTGGTCCACTGCTCCAGGAAATGTCTACTGAGTTTCGGCGTGATGGCGGCCATTTTGGACCTAGCAAAATTCCCCGAGGAAGCTGCGATGAAATCGAAAAATGTAGTCGAAGATGAATTTGCTAGGAAGTAGTACTTCCTTTGATGAAGAAGGAAAAAGAAAGATGCGTGAGAGGAGGGCGCAGGAAACGAACTAGAATAGAAGAGGCTAGGCGGGAGGTGGAGGGCCAAGTTGATAGGGCTAAACGTCACGGCCGCCAAAATTTCATCTCCTTGCTATTGCCTGACTGTTCAGCATTTTCCATTGTATCGAATTCAAACCATCCCGGACCTTGTCGGTAGACGAATGCGTTGAAGTAATCTCCTCAAGCCCGATCTCTTTGCACTTGCCTTCGCAATGTCATTGCCATTTCCCAACAACTACCATCTCCGAACAGTCGCCGAGGCATCTTCCAAAGCGTGTTATGTCTGCTACAAACCCACCGTCAAGGTGCTCATTACACCCGACAATAAGGTAGATCTCTTTTTTTCTGAGCCTAACCATACCAAATTCCGCCACTGAATTTCGAACTGGTCGTGTACCAACCATCTTTGGTAGGACTTTTTCTATGTCTGTGTCTCCCACCTCAGCGATAGGGGGTTTGCTTCGCCCATAGTCGATGCCGAAGCAGAAGCGGCCAAGAAAAAGAAAGAAATGATGGACAGGGAAATCGAAAAAATCAAACAAGAGTACGAAGAGAAGCAGCGAAAGAAGAAGGCGAAGAAGAAGTCCAAAGACGATGACAAAGACAAGAAGAGGGAGGACGACGACGACGACAAGGCTGAGAAGGAAAGGGATGACAAGGTTAGATTGTCAAACATGCGCGTTCTTCCCCGAGTTTACACCCATCCTAGATCAAAGCCATCCAAGCCGGAGCCAGCGCCAACGCCGACGCCAACGAGAGAACCGATGATATCCCGCGTGTCTATGCACTACAGAAGTAAGTCCGAGTGCTGTCTGTCGACTTTCCGGCCCTCAATGACTGGGCTTCCCTAGGAATTTTTATCAAATGAGGCTGGACCGATTGCGAAACTTGGAGCTTGCAAAGAGAAACCAACAGCGAATGAAAGACCCATCATTCTTCCCTACTGCTCCCAAAGGGGATATCGCGTAACTACCCCGGCCAATACCGTCCCTCCATCGTACTCGGATAGCATTCCACTTACCCTTGTATATGCACTTTCGTCGCAGATGCTGAAATCGGTCTTCAAACAGAGCACTAATGTGTTTCTTAAAATCGCGCCGAAAGCTTGGTGCTTGACACTTGCATGTTTCCCAAAGTCGGGCCAACCGTTGGTTGACAAATCACCGAGAATCAACAGTAGAGGTGCTGATGGAGAACTCACCAGCACTCTGCCGGAAAGTTCGTCATTCGTCCTATCTCGAACAATTACTCTGGCTTGGCTGCAGCTGTCAGCACTAAACGCCACGCGTGAGACAGTCCGCCTTTTTGGGACGAGTATCCCGCTCCTCTGTTCGAGATGAACGGAAATACAGCGAAGTACGAAAATATTATGTCGTATGCCGATTGGAGAGTCTCCTGGGAGCGATGTCGACAACACCGTTTCTTCTCTCCTTCGACCTTTACCATGACGACACGTGTTTTCTGTATTGTTTTACTCGGATGGTGCATGAGAACACGAGCTCGCATCGTACATATTTCGTGTTCGACTGGAGAAAGGCGGGAAAATGCATACACGAATTGGTCCCCCTCGATTTCAAAACTAGAAACCCCGCTTTCCTGTACGGCCTCCCGCCCAGACGTCACTATCGCCAATTCTGCCATTTTGGGGAGTTCTATTCGCATGCGTTCGGGCACCGTTGCGAACACGTGCATATACGGTACCATACGGCTCAGATACGGCTTAGTCGGAACGCCTCTGAAAGCCCGCAAACAGCCCCGATCCATCGCGACTCAAAGTATTCTGACCATATCTGGTTGGGCGGCTCACAAAACCAAGTGGGTCAAACCATATTTAGGACCACACGGAACAGAAAAATCAGCCTGTCCCATATCCGTGCACGCTCGCAAGGCTGAAATATGATCGTTTGAAATGATCCGCAACTGGTGTTGTGATTGCATCCGATTGTTCCATCTGCGTCACCATGGGGTCTACCTTGTCTTTACCACTCTGCAGTCATCTTAATCACTTAGCAGAGTTGTCGGGTGAAGATATGCGAACGTGGCCGGTAGACGATCTCTTCCCGACCGGAGTGCCGAGATTATCCCCCGGACTTTCGAACAATCCCCGACACGGGCCCTTTTGGGCATTCAATCCTGCACTCCATCAGGACTTGGGAGGAGTCGACCAGGTCATTCGCACTAAAACGAGGGGAAGAAAAGCGCCATGACACTAATCTCGGGGTGCCCGAAGGAATTCAAAGTCAGAAAACAGGTTGGGGGAGTCCGTTGTTCCCTTCCGGGGCCATCCTTCAAGGTATTGAAACGGGCCGAGCTACCGGACATGGCAAGGGAGTTGAGCTATTCAGCCAATCACCTCTTTCTGCGCAAAGCATGTCAGCTTCGTAGGATTCCGAACGCATGGTGGATCAATTTGTAAAAAGAGTTGGTACATTCTTTAAAGATCACCCTCGAATTGCTGTTGTGGATTCGGCCCGTGACCGTTCTGACGGAAACGTATCGACTGCAAAATTCAAGCTTCTGTATCCGCGAATTAGCGAGACGCCTTACAAGGCTGAGGCCCTTCCTCTTGATAGCAATCCGTCCGGCCGACCGCGGAATTTTCCGTGTACGGGAACGGACTGCACAGCTTATCATCAAAATCATCGTCTTCTTCGACCATCATTTCTTCGTCGCCCCAAGTCTACCCATGGCTATCCTGGTCGTGGAAGGTAAGGAATTCTTCTATGCTCTCAGACTCCGAAGGATTCTCCGAGCATGGCTTGGTTGTCACGGTGGATTGCCTTGGATGACGCAAGGATCTTCCTCGTAAACCTTTGCGCGAGGCGGCTTCGCTCTGAACACCCTGGATGAGTATCGCGACTGGTGTCACGAAGAAAGAGATGGATCCTGGCTGTGGTTTATGCTTTTGGCGGACTTGAGTCACATTCGCCAAAGATCAAAGATTTTTGTCCTGCACCAACCTCGACTTCTACGATCGAGATTGAAGGGTCAGGATCAAGATGCAAGGATTCTAGAGGGACACTCACTAGATGCTCGGAGAAGGATGCATGTAACAGCTAACAGTAAGGCTCGCTGCTGCAAGTCGCGAATATTCTGGATCCGGTTGTCGTTGTCAGTCCCGCATTGTCCACCTGGAATGAAATTAAGAAGGCCCTTCTGACCGAATCGGATACCGTATGTTTCAGAGTGTCGCCTCGTCTCTGGATGACTTCATGGTCGTTATGTTGCCATTTCGAAGGCCTCGAGAATCCGAATGGAGAAGGACTACTTCTAGTGTTGTGATCTTTCGCACACCGCAGGATCAACTCGTCCCAACAATGATTTCGAAGTGGGATCCTTACTCCTGGTGGAAGCCTGAATGAATTTCGAATTCATGATCGCGGGGTGCTTCGCGGCCAGAAGAAATAGGAGTTGCATGAAAAATTGGTCAGATCAGAAGTCCAGCATCGGATGGACTGGACCCCACGCTTATCTCAATTTATTCCGTTGAAGTCTACCCCTCTAGTTCGGAGGAATCTAGCCTCGTGGTCTCATAGCCCCATGCCACAAGCACATCGTATCCCTGGATAGCAAAAACTTCAAAGCTCCAGGGCCACCAAACAAACAGTCACGGCCATAGGCACCTGGTTTGTTCGTATGTCATTCAGCGTGCAAGAAACCTCCCTTTTCGTCATAAATTGCCATTGACTCCCTTCCTCATGCCTGGGGGCAATCTGATTGCATTCTCTGCTGCCAGTCCCGCCCCCGCCTGACCCCGCCCGCCAACGCCAATTCCTTTGCCCTTGGTCGGACTGCGCACCTCATCCACTTTGCTCTTCATTATGCCAAACCCGGGCGTCACCCACCCACCACAACTGCAGCGGAGTCCCTGCCAGGCGAACTTACCGATATTTGCGCCGCATTTGGGGTTTGGGCAGGCCAAGCGTCCGTCAAGCCCACCGTCCGCGAGCACCGGCCTCATCCATGACAATGGGTGCAGGAAGACATGCGCGCATGACTCGTTTGAAGCCTCGGCTGATGGATCCCGGTGAAGGGGTGGTTGGTGTGGGATAATGAAGCTCGACTTGGCGATGAGGCGACGACACTTGCGGCATTTGAGTTCGATCACGGACGAGGCAGAGGTTGTAGATGACGGAGACGAGGTTGAGATGCCCGGGTCTGTGATTTCAGGGTCGTTTGCGTTTGCATTGGCGTCGGCCTCGAGGCTGAGATCCTGCATCGCGGTCCCGATTGAGCCGATCGTACTGTTTGCCTGATCAGCCTCTTTATCGGCGTCATCATCGTCTTCCTCGTCCCGGAAACTGATGTCTGCCATCTCGGGCGCGCGGTTCCCGCTCAATGCGTCCATCACGCTGAGCGAATTCACCCATCGCCGGTAGATCTTGTGCGATTCCAGCTGCTCCTGTGTCGTCGGGCAGCCCATCGCCTCGTACATACGCAATTGCTTGATGAAGCCTGAGTTGGGTTCGACTTGGGGCCGGCATTGGCGTACGAGCGCAAGCGCCGTGTCGACGGTCAGTGGTGTCGGGGGCAATGAGATCATTTCCGGCATCGTCGACGAGTCGGATTCTGCTGATGTTGGGGGTTTGGCTGACGATTGCGAGTTAGGGTGAGGCCGTCGAATGCTCTGTGGTTGGCGCGAGATCCACATAAGATACGCTACTACGATGGTTGCGGAGCGGGATACGCCCATTGCACTGTCAGACTTTCGTCAGCGTTGACTTGGGCCAAAGAGAATGTGACCGATTTCCTGTAAAGGGGGCAGTAACGAAAATCCTAAGAGCCATATCCACTTAGGCTAGAGAGCTTGGAGAAAAAGTCATCTGGCCGACGTTGCACGAATATCTCCACGCTGAAGCTTCAATGCTGAATAGGGAATCCTGTTTCTGAGTGGGTGTCTTTCGGTCTCGGCGACGGAAAGCTCCCCCCTTGCGAGAAGCCTTGTCCTAAGCCTAACCAGGAACGGCGTGTAGTCACGTGATTCGCAGTCTCACGTGAGGAATACTTTTCCCTTTGTAGTAGTTGCTTGAAATTGAACACGTATGCAGAGCTGGTCTCTTTCACATGACTCAACCCTGCAACGGACCAGGCATTCTCGGTTTTGATCCAAAGTGGCGGTAAAGGACTAGGTCCTAAAGTGGCGAAAACCAAGTGCAAATCTTTGAATCCAGCCAAGCCGCCAGGGCAAATCGCATCCATCAATTGAACTTTTCGTTCCCCTGGCCGCGTGTCCAATGCCAGCATTTTCCCTGGATTACCTTTTGGAAGACAAAAGTACGGTCGGACACTCCGAGCTGCATGATAGCGATGCCTCAGGAGATGTGGGCAGGTTTTGATTGATGATTTGTTTGGCGGTCGTGGCAACAACGTGTGCGGCACAACTCAGTCCAATGACAGCTCTCTGGAATGACATGGGCATGAAAACAGTGGCAACGCAGACCGGGGACTCAGCTTAGAAGACCATGTCCAGGCAGATAGCAGCGCCGCAAGATGGCAGAAAGATGTTGGGAGGCTCGGAAGTGGAAAGGGAAAAATTAAAAGGCAGACGATGCTTGGGACCTACCAATGAACGAGAACCCCACTCTCTCGAGATATACCGTCGGGATCTTGGAGCGGGCCATCACGACTGGAAGATGGGCTGCCAGCCCAGTAATTCAGACCTTCATGAATGAAGGCATTGCTGCGAGGAAAGTAGGCCAGAATATTAGATTCTTGAACATCATCGAGAGGGATGCGGAGATGTTGAAATCCACGAAGCGGAGCCCATCCCTGAGGGAATTTCCAGTCCACGACTGAAACAATATGGGTGATGTTGGAACCCTGAAGGGCCTTCGGACGACGCAAGGCTTGAAATCTGAAAACGTGTTCAGGGTCAGCATACGGAGTCAAGAGGGATCCTGTTTTATGTCCGCCAGTTTGGAAAACCACAAAAATAATAAATTGATGACCAAGACAAGTCATGCGGAAATCCAGTGAGAGGCCTCCCATGGATCAAATTTCGAGCGAGAAGGACGTGGAGCAAAGCACTTACCCGTCAATATACAGGTTGTAACCAGGACACTTGCTGGATAAAGTTGGGTTATCCATGCTGCTTTCGATGATAGTGCAGGGTGGGTTTTGGTTGTGAAACAAACCTAGGGGGTTAACGGCCGGGGCGCGAGGTTCGGGCTGGTTCGTGAGCCACCGCACAACACAACGGCGGTGAAGACAACTCCGCAGAGTTGCAGTTGTGGTGGGTTGGAGGGTGTTCCTTCTTCTTCGACGCCCGTTTCCCCCCTGTCTCTTGTCTGTTCCCAACAGAGATCGGTCTTGTTGAAAGGTAATGAAAGGACGGCGTTTGGTCAAAGAGAAGAATCGGCGGCAAATCAAATTTCAATAGCCTCGGCGAGTGCCAAGAAAAACTTCGTAACCGCTACAACTCCGTACAAACACTGACGGGAGAGTCGCTTACCGTGTCAAATCATTTACCTTTGCAACACAAAGGCTGCCCATACAAAAATCAGTCCTTGAAGGTCAGTGATGTTTTACCGCAACTTTATCCGGCGTCTACCGAGGTTCAACTCGCTGTCACGAGCATCAACGATTAAAAGAGTTCCAAATGACATATTTTCATCTCTTAATTCAAGTGAACAGACCATCACCGAACGCCAGATGGCCGGAAGCTAACGGAACCACGATATCTGTCAAGAAAAGTAGACTGTGAAGAGTTACTCATCTCCTACCCAGCTGGGGATACAGGTCTTCTAACTGGGAACCGTGTCCGTACCACTGGTTGTGCTCCTGGCTCTCCATCCTCTCCCCCCTGCAAGTGCAAAAAAAAAAGATCGCCTCTCGTCTGGTGGGTTGTGAAGTTTCTGGAAAAAGGATGCTTGTGGGCCAGTACAATGGCTTCATCACCACAACTCTGCTTAATATTGGTTTACTAATTTCAAGCAAGACAGGACATCTTTCGGGGACTGATCTTGGGACAACTGCGTCACACTAACCTAATACATCTCAAACTCCCAGCACTCAATTCCTATGGACATGACCCATACGCTCGGATGTATGGCTCTCTCTGGTCTCTTGCTCCGGCACCAAATGGCCAAATCCGTCGAGATGTCACGAATACCTTAGGGTCAACTGCCGCCGAAGCCCCTGTACCTTCCATTCTGGTTCCATGTTCAGACCTTCTCCCGGGCGACCCAATTCCTCCTTTGGGCCAGGAGTAGCAGCATCTTTCAGAGTCATGCATCTCCGACCAATCGCATGGGGATTTTTCCAACAGCCTTGTGTGGTCAAAGCCTCGAACGCAACGAACTCCCCTGCCCGTCATCCCACCTAATTGAAAATCTGAAACTCGGGCCTCCTTCTCGCCCCCTCGTAGTCCATCAATCAAAAACCCGAATGTCACTGTGCAAACGTCTTCCCGAACTCCTGGAGACGAGACGTTCGATGCTTGATCACAAGAGAAGCAATCAATCCAATCCATTCATTCTCCCCAAAACTCCCTTGAATCCTTGAGACTTTCTGAAGAATGAGAGGAAGAATAGCCCCAATTGCACATCACATTCCCCTCGTATTTCGCCCTTTCCGAAGAGAACTCATCATTGGATACAGAACAGGGGAAGCCCTGAGTGAAGAAGAATACATCCAAGACAAAATAATTCGAATCTCGGTCAAAGGGGCGCTCGTCCCCATTTCTCTTCTTCTAACCTAACGGAAGGATGGAACCCCTTGACCAATCAGGGCACCATCTAACGGCTTGGATTTGAACTGTGGCCAATGACAAACGGCCAGCGACTGGTAGGGCGAAGCAATTCCCATGTCTTTCACCAAAACTCAGCTGCAGAAGCGCCCAACATCCGAGAGTTTTTCCGGATTGGCAGTTCCCAGAGCGCCGCGGAGTGATTCCGTTTGGGCGGTCAAAAATTCGGTCAAGTGAGCTAGTCATGGGATGCACGCTTGATCAATATTGACATAGTAGACGTAGAACAAACTTCGATGTCGAGCTTTTGCCGATTTGCCGTTGAGGGCCTTCCCCAGCTCCTTGAGAGCGCATTCCGTCTATGACCCTGTGCCACCGGGGCCAGAAGACGTTTATGGGATTACAGACTAGCTGTCTATGGTGAATGCTCAGCGTGTGCACGGACAGTGCCAGGCTCAACGCACAATTTATCCACCAGCCGTTTCCACAGGTCCAAGTTAAGCTCTGGAACGAGAAGATCGATGCTACCTCACAGCAAACGCTTTCCCAAAGAGGTCCGTTCAAAAAGGAAGCTTCTGCCAGCTAGGGAGATGTTCTACCACGGTACTTTGCATCGTGCCAGCTGGACACGCGAGACCAACAACTGATCTATTTTGTTTCCTGCCAATGGGCTCCGCTTTCTCGAGTTTTTGACATAAGTCACAAGGGCTCAATCCAGGCGAATAAAAAATAAGGGTAGAGTTGATGGGTGGATGGGGGGGTCGTTCTTCTGGTAAGATGATGATGTCGTCTCCATGTCATGGTCCCCGAGTGGCATACAATGTCTGCGAATCATCCCGCATCTATCAGCTCGCCTCACACCCCATGCCGGTCTGATGTAAAGGTACGAAAATGGCCGTCCCGCGGTTTCATAGGGCTAAGCCAACGCCTGCAAGACCCAGTAGGTCCCGCGCCCAGTGTCGTACTTAGGGCAGGCGGGAGGGCGGGGCACCCGGCAGCTTGACAAGGATGTGCTGCATCCTTCCCCTAGGGCTTTGGCTCCCTGTCCGGTGTTCACTGACTAGTTTCCAAGCCCCTTTGCCCTACAAGCTCGGGGAGCGGCGATCACTAAACCCCAGCCCCGTGTTTCTTTAGCCGCCACACGGACAAAGAACGAACATATGGGGCTTGTTGCCGAGGGAGAATGGTAAGGTCAGGATGTCTCTGACGGATAATTATTTCCTGGGTTCACCAGGGCAGGGTCTGTGTGAAGTTTATCATCCGCTGGACAAAGAGTGGGAAGGGTAATGGTTCGCTGACTCGTAGGTTTAGGCTGTCCCGTCACAGTCCGAGAGACCGAGAGGCCGAGGGAGTGATGGGGATGAGATGTACTGTAAGAGAGCCCTCGTAACTCTGTATGGGGGGAGGATGAACATGGTCATGACAAGATCGCAGTCGCCTCTCGACAAAGGCCAAGGCCCGAGGCTCCATCAGGATTTAGGTCAAAAGTGGCCAAAAAGTTGACTTGACAGGGCCTGCTTTCTAGAGTGTGTAGAGGAATGGATGGAGTCATACAGAATGTGCTTTAGTAGGCTGAGGCAAGGCGTTCTCTCTGCACTATTCTGTTTAGTATCACCGCATGACGATGGAGGTGCTTAGGCTCCACCCAGTACCAACGAAGTTACTGTCCCTCGGGCGCGGCAAAAGCCTTTTGTCGCACGCTAAAAGCCACGCCGATCGGTCTAGTGAACCCTTTCGTAGGGCTGACCGACTCATCGCAGATTGTCCAGGACTGAAGGGCCCAGGGCCACCTGCACGCGCGTGGCGTGTAAAAAGCTTGCAGCGTACAGCGCAAACTGTGCAAGAGTTGTGGATCCGGGCCGGGTCTTGATGCTCCGTATTGCCATCGTCGTCCCCAGCGGACGCTAGCTTGGAAGCTGGGAGCTGGACTGGACTTGTCTAGTTGTAGCAGTACACTGTGGCAGCTACCCCCGTTGGCATGCGGCCAATGCTCCCACGGGCCAGGACACCGGGACCGTGCCCGCTTCCACTAAAGTCCAACTCCCTGGGGCTCTCGTCTCTTGCGTCTTTGGTCTTGTTTGCCTGCCTCTACACACAGGGGGGGCAGTCCAGACTGGCAAAACGCCAAAAAGAAAGAAGGGCAGCGTGCAGCTCTGCAGGCCCGCCATTACCTACCGAGTAAAGTATCCCACGGGCATCTGGAGTCTACGATCCATTCCATCTGCACCTGCACTACCCTCACCTCACTTTTTCGTCACTGCAGCATGTCTACTACCACCACTACCGTTCGTACGACTCATTCTTCTACTGCTTTGTTGCTCGCCTGAATCTTGGTCGCCAGGGCTTCCCAGCAACCCCTCCTAGAACGGAACCCTCATATCTGTGAAGACCTCCTCTGACTGGTCCTCACTCCTCTACTTTCCAATTTGTTTCTGGCCGACTTGATAGATTTGACTCTACATCCTGTCCTTACCGCCTGACCTTATACCGCCTCGAAGTGTTCACCACCAATCGACTACCTCATTTGCTCCCTACCCCTTCGCCACGACCGTTTGAACGACCCATCGGCTGGCAAGCCTAGGCGATCGACCTCCTTGTGCGCCTCGAGAGGGAGGGAAAAAAATAAAAAAAAAATAAAAAAAGGGAAAAGGAACCGACCCAGATATCAAGCAAACTCTACGTCAGCTGAATCGTGCCGAACAAAAAAGCATACGCAATATTTGGCAGCCGCAAAGTAGTTGCATGCTCTTGCCACCGTCAAATTCCAGCTTCGGGCTCCATTAGTTATAACACTCGCCCCAGAATCGCCTCCCAATTTTCCGATGTTGCAGTGACGCTGAAACAAAACATGGATAACCGTAGGACTCCCGCCGCTGCGGTGCGGATACCCTCTTACAGAGATGGTGCTGCCACATCTCGATCTACTTCTCGGCTCAATTCGCAGACCTTTGACGACTCCCTTCGACCTCGAGAAGCGATGGTTATACCTGGCGCCCGCTTTGATGACACACCGCCGCCCTTACCACCCCCTCGATACAATGAAGAGTTGGCTCAAGGAATAGACGTTGCCTGGAATTGGGGTAACAGCGATCCATTCAACACCACCGGACGATTGGCCCCTATCAATCCGGGCTCCAGCTTGTACGGCGGCTACATGAAGTCGAGAAGGAATTCGGGACATTCTCGCAACCCGCCGGATATGGACCTGGATGACGACTATCCGCGCAGAGGCAGCAATGTTTTGACAGTCAGGTCGCCGCCGCAGGCTGAGATCTCAATGGGTGGACACGTTCCGACCTTAATCCGGAAGCCGCCTTCGCCAGGCCCGGCAAATCAGAGGTTAGTCAGCTGCGGTGTGGTACATTTTTGCGGTGTTGAATTTTTCTTTTTTTTTTTTTTAATGTCCTGTTCACGGCTATTGCAGCATCGTATCGCCGGGTACCGATCCTCTGACATTTGTTGAAATTTTGGGGAGGGTCCTGCGTCGTGGGGGCTGAATTTCCCCCCCGGTTAGCTGCAGCCGCCCTTCTCTGGCACTGGACAGAACGTATGCTGATAACCCATTTCTATTTTAGATTACACGGCGAAATGCCCTTGGCACAACAGAATTTCAACCGCTCGTCGCAAGCATACGACCAACGCGTATTGTCCAAAATTGGGAAACCCAGCTCGCCACCGCGACATCAGCGATCAGGCTCGTCAGAATCCACGTCTTATGCTCCGAAACCTTGCCTGCAAACCAAAGAGCCCAAAGTCTTGCTACCGTCGACCAATGAGCTTCCGTCGGCGTCATTCGATCCGATTTCCAGATGGATCACTAGTCCAGTCTCAGCAGGCGTATCACCCGGATCGCGTCCTGGTTGGCGCGAGTACAATATGAATCATCGAAGTCCTTCCATGGACAGTGCTGCCACTTCGTTGGTACTCGACCCTGAGTTGTTCGTTCAGCCTCGACCCAGCGGGTTGCCTTCCACCAGCGGCTCTGTTCTCGGGAACGATGATGTGGCCAGTTTTGCCAGCCGCTCGCATCGCGGCAGCTATGATCACGGCTTCTTTGCAGAAACAGAATCCGATTTTACTGGCGATGAAGGCAGCGCATTCCGCAACTTGAATCTCAGCGACTCGCAACAGCAGATGGGACGACGATCTCCTAAGCAGGGCATGAAGCGGCGGGCCCGGTCACCTCCTTCGTCCGATGTGGCTCGGGACGACAAATCCCCGTCACGTGGCGCCTCATCAACCGAATTGTTATTCCAAAAAGTCCACACGACCGTGTCCGCGCAGTCGGGATCAGTCTCGTCCACGTCGTCGAGTGTGAGGCAGAATTCTTATGCATCCTCCATCGCCCTTTCGGTGGCCGGCAGTAGTATGACCAGCATCTCTTCCTTCGACAAACAGTCACCGCTAGACCCTTCGCAGCCTGCATATATAGCCTCGGCCCAGCCTGTTTCTAGCCCTGCCACGTCAATCGCACCGTCCAGAACGCAACCGACTCAATCTCCGCTCGATACAAAATCTCCCATCCGGAAAATGTCTATCCAAGCAGCCATGAACGACTCTCGACTCCCACTCCCGCCAGCCACGCGCATCGGCAACTACTTTATATGCGAGTGTTGTCCCAAAAAGCCCAAGAAATTTGATACTCTGGACGATTTGAGGTAAGTCTACAAGACTAGGTTTGCTGGCGCCCCACCCCAGTCTGCTTCGGCCTTATCATCTCGTCCTGCGCCGTGCAATCACTGATTTTTCTTTCCAGATCCCATCAAATGGAAAAACAATACTCGTGTCAATACTGCCACAATCGCTTCAAAAACAAAAATGAAGCGGAGCGCCACCAAAATTCCTTACATCTCCGACGCCATTCTTGGTCCTGCGCAGCCATAACCAGCTATCAGGCAGCTTTTCATCCTTCCTCCCCGCCTGCAGTGGCTGGACCAGGAGGGCCTCAGTCCGATGCGTGCGGCTTCTGCGGAGAGGAATTCCCAAATTTCCCCCAGCCCGACTGGGATCGCCGGATCGAACACCTCACCAACGTCCACAAATTTGGAGAATGCAACCAGGCAAAGAAATTCTACCGAGCCGATCACTTCAGACAACATCTTAAACACAGTCACGCTGGGCAGAGTGGGAAGTGGACCAACATGCTGGAAAATGTCTGTCTGCGAGAAGAATTCCCGCAGGACCCTGCCGGTGTGTCGCCAACCGGAAGCGAATCAAGTCCAGGACGAGGTCCCAGCAGTCTTCCCGACCCACCTATGGGAGGCGCCACGATCAACGAATCTCAAAATGAGACGTGAAAAGCAACCTCCTTTGGGTCGGAAATCGGCTTGAAACCTTCCAATCTGCGTGGATATTGAGGAGAAGTTGAGGGTCACAGCTGATATCTACGGGCTGGCGGGAGGACCCGAGGCGAAGGATAACTTTCCTAACCCACTCGAGAAATTATATGGTCGCTCTCGAACCCCGCCATCCTTTTTGCTAGAGTTGCCTGTCCGGAATGCCGTGCCAACGGTTGCCAAAAGACTAGTTCTGCAAGTTGGCTGCAGAAATCCGACATGTCGATTCCTGCTGTACCGCCTTGATTTGTCCCTAGTTATCATAGGGGTGCATTGAAATGCTGAAAGAACAGGGTCCCTATTCGGTCATCGTCTGTTCTCCATGTCGTATTTTAAGTGCCTCCAAATCGACCTGGCGTCTTTGATTGCCAATGTCAATCCCATGCATGACGACGTTACTACCCACAGTCACACCGAAGGCTCTGCACGAACAAAGATCTGAAGAGCCAATGAGCTTGTTCAGGCCATTTCTTGTCCATGACGGAACAGCCATGTCCAGTTTTGATGATACATCACTTGACGTCAGAGTGTTGTACAAGACGGTGATGCTAAACACCTCTCTGTCTGAATAGCTACGAGCACAGTAATATTCACGCATCATTCACTCTTGTTGTCAAACCTCTTCAATCACACGTGTCTCATGCCAAAAGGAGCGGCTCTTTGGTCCACGCACTCCGACAGTCGCCCATGAACCAACTATCTTATTCCCGAAGGCGGGGGATAAGCGCCCTTGCCCATACTAGGAGTTCTTTTTGAGGTGGGTGGGTGGAGATTGGAAATACTTTTGTCGTGGGCTCTCGCCGACCTTCTCTCCTCCTCAAAATAAAGGGCAGGTGGTCACCAATATGCACTGGACCTATCATTTCTTGGGAATACCGTGTCAGTATTGGTCATTGACGTGCGGAAAAATTCTCAATTGGACCAGGGAATCGGAGCCTTGGAACGGGTGTGGGTAAACTTGGTGTGCTGGTCAATTGTCTCGAATAGACCAAGGTTCATGCCTGTCTAGAGTCAAGAGGAGGTGGAGAAAGAAAGGAGAGATGGGAGCGTTCTGGAGCTCGAGGGCTGCTCCCCATTTCCCACCGAGCCAGCGCCAACGACTCGATAGTCTTTGCTGAACTAGTTAAAATCCGCAAACGACCTATTGAATCACGCCACGCCCCCAACGAGCGAACAAACGAGAGTGTTTGATCTGAATACATTTTCTGTCACCGAGGACGGTCCACCGATCCCTTGATTGGTTCTCGTTCTCGACTGTTCTGCTGTGGCTCATCCATCTGGTCAAACCCTGGAGGATGAAAATTGAAAAGCAGCAGGTAAAATATCCTGCTGACGACATGGCATTGACGACCCCTCACCCGGTTTCTTAGTGCTTACCTTGCGGCCGCACCGCAACCTTTCCAGGAAGGGGACCTCTGAAACTGGAGGCCCTGGTTTGATTCGACTGGATTGAGATCGATCAACAGAGCGGACTAGGTACGGATCGGAAAGTAACCAGCATTTGAGAACTCGCCGGCCTTCTCGGCACTCGACAATACCCCCCTGGAGATGATTTGAGGGGGCGTGGCCGAAGGATTCTTGTCCCGACATGGTTGACCTGGTAGGTTAGAACGCCTCACTTTCAGCGCCAAGCCTCGCACACGATATGGGTATCTGAAGAAAAGCTGCATCCCACACCGGGGCTTTGTACTCATCCGCAATGATTCGTCTGTCCACCGCTAATAGCTAGCTCTTTCGGCAAGCCCATCCGACCACGACCATGTGTTGGGAATCCCTGGATTGACGTCAAGGGTTTGTTTGCCAAGGATTGATTGAGTGATCGAAATCAAGCCACATATGTGGATCGGCTTTCCGGCTATGCTCGAGTGGGATGGACGATCTTCCGAGGCGGTGATCGATTTGGAATTCACAAAATCCAAGGGAGAATGTTACGGGGAGAAGAAAAGCAATGTAACTATGTGCGTAAGGGATCAGGGGCCCACGACAAAGGCCAGGGACTTCGACAATAGACAAGCAAGAATACGAGATCCCAAAAGGGCATGGATGGACAGGTTGAATGTTTTACAGGTTCACCGACTTCCTAACCGAGCACGCTCTCTTGCAGAGACTTACACAACCTCCAGGACCTGCAGCTCCTTGTGAAATGGTCCAGGGCCACAAAGAAAGATCAAGTATCTGTTCAAACCCCAATTTCCAGCGTCTTAAGTTTTGGGTTTTCAATATTTCCTTTTCTTGGATTGGTTTCGATTCGCCGTGCCGTTTACTTTGGACTCAATCCAGTGTATCGTGAGAAAAATGAAGAGTTTTTTTTTTTTTTGATTTTCCGAAGAATTTGCAAAAGAGTTTGAGCTTCACAAAATGGGTTTGCTTACTACCTCTAATTTCGCCCAAAGCCCTTTGGATATCACGCCCATAATACGAATATGAAAAGCAATGTCAAGCAGCATCGAGCATGGTAAAGTGCAGAAGGATTTAAGGCAACAGCAGGAGAGACGAGATACTGATGGAATATGATCATGAGGAAAAACAAAATTGATGTTGTATCTTCTAGCAACATCATGTCGGAGTTCCGAGGGGGGAAGTTCTAAGCTTTGCATGACTGGCAACCCACGTACGGAATGGCATACAGCACTGCACAGAACGTACGCCGCCAGTGCCTTCGGACTTGCTGGTATGTGTCGGTGGCTGGGAGGGACGGGAAACGGATGATCAGATTCTCCCAGCTAGGCCCCATTTCCCCATGCCTTGTCTCCTCGAAGAACGGTACGAGGCTTGTTGCTAACTCGCTACAAGGTTTCTACACACTCTGGCCTCTCCATCGCCACTGCCCTTTCACCATATGGTTGTCGAGTGACTGTTCCAATGGCAAGGCTAGACCTAACCGACAAGATCTAGCCAGGCTCAGCTCATGGGAATGGGAATTCTCCGCTCTGCTGTAGTTATAATATGAACGACAGTCAAAGTCCACGCATATTTTTCGTTCACCCTTCACTCCAAGTAACCAAAATCAGAACCCAAGCGAGCTTCCAACCTCCACCGTCTGTATGCCGCCGCAGGAGCAGTGAACGTACACCATACCAAGATCGTACGTACTTTCACCACATACGTAGTTGACAGTCAAGCTTCTCTGTCGTTTCATTAACGTAACGTGGAGTGGATTAACCTCGGGTGTGTGATATAGGGGCCAGTTTCCTTACGTGAGCAGAGCACAGCCGTCGCCCGTGGACAAACATGACCAGGAGAAGATGGGAACGAGGTAGGTCCCAGCCTGATCCTGATCCGATCAATGGATGGATTGCCCTGCAATATCCAACATCTCCATCTTCTTCGTCCGTTGTCCTCCGTCTACTGTCCCTGTTCGACCGAGGGACTCGCATCAATACTGGGACAAGCAAGAACAAACACGCGGCCGTAAGAATGAAAGTCATTTTCAGGCAGGTAAGCGCAGCAAGCAAGACCGAGACTGGGTCGCGAGACAAATGGGCCATGTTTCCTTGGTGTCAGTGTCCGCGGAATGTAGGAAATTGAGGCTCCGGTAGAATGTTCAAGGATCAAGGAATCACACGCATTGTGTCTGCAACAAGGCAGTGGAATGCGGTGCCGCTCCGAGGTCCAATCAGGCCTCCCTTTCTTCTTCTTGAAACAACTGCCCTCCGTAACGCCACGGTAAGGGAGCGACATGAAGAATCAAGAGAGACACAACCGTCGTGGCAGATTCCACTATGTGGCATGAGTGATACGGTACTTCGTAGAAAATCGGCAGATACGTAGGTATGGAAAAATATCATTAGTAAAGAGTCCGAATATGGAGTCCAGATCCCTGTGAAGGGCAATTCTTACAAACTCACCACAACACAAATGAGTTTGGTTTTGCCTTTTCGGTATCATCAAGTCGAGGCATTTCACCCTAGAGGATTGCCAGCGATAGATGGCATGGCATGAAATGGGCGGTAATACGTACAGGCGACCTCATTTCAGTCTGAGAATGCCGGAAAGGAAAGAAGATTCACTTTTGCGAGAATAATAGAGGAAAGCTGTCCGGAGGTAAGAGGCGAAGGATAGATCACCGTAGGCAATTAGTCAGAAGAGGCACGAGCAAAGACAAGGCTGCGTGTGAAAAAGAGGGCCAAAACGAGAACTTAGTTGAAATGACGGACATTTCGCCGCCGGAAGTAGAGCACAGAAGATATTTAAATGACGCCACACTTACCAATCATGTACCACCAGAAACGTAGTAGTGGCCCAGCTGGCTCCAATTAGCCGCCCAGATGCATTCCCGCGGAATTCACGAGGCTGCGAAACCATACTACCCTGAGTACGAGGCAGCAATCTGAGTTCGCGAATTTCCCCTTCTTGGGGCGACCCGACACGATGGCTAGTCAACGCCAGGATTGTAATCACGTACGCATCACAAATAGGCCGGTCCAGGGGAACGAGCGGTGAATAGCTCCTGGGATGGAATGGAAGGGAGCTTGCCGCGGGGATTGGATGAATTGATATCTCGTGAGCTTACCTTTGAATTTTGAAATGGGTGTTCTCGCCAACAATTTCCTCTCCGATCATCGATGTTTTGAGACATTCGGTGTGGTCATGACACTGATCGATTGGTTCTCTCAGTTGTCCGTTGGTTGACCCCATTTTCAAGATATTTCTCCTTCAGACAATGGGAAGAGACGATCGCGGTCTGGAGAACAACCATGCCGTGCGTTGGTCACTCGGCTGAGCAATCCGAATTGGCCGTCACGAGTTGACTGTCGCCCTTGATCTTCTGACGATCAATGAGCGGGGCTCGCCGCAATTGCCGAACATCTTTCTCAGCGTATTCGGACATCTGGATGGACGATCGAGTATCTTTGACACAAAGATAACTTCGATCAACTTCTTCATCTGTGATCTTTGTCTGGGCTGGTCTGGACATCTCTGACCGTCATTGATCACCACCATCAAGGTTTGACGTAGCTAGATCTGGTCTCGACATTATTTGCACGCCAAGCTCGGTAGATTGATTAATGTGCCACGCAGGGACGACGATAGGTCTTACTTTTCCGCAATTACTGACAATTCGCCACTATCTTAACTTTGGCAGTTTGCATTGTTATTCCCCAGATTTGAGAAACTCCATGTAGTCACAGGGTCGGAAGGGTGGCTGCGCGTCGCCTTATGGACTTAACCCTCGCGTAAGACTTGAAAGTTGAAGGTGGAATGAGATGATCGTCCTCAATGTCTGGGCCGTTGGAGACAAGCCTGTAAAGGATATATCCAAACGACATTCGGTCGAACCGACGGCGGAAGGATTGTGCCATCATGGTCATCTTCCAGATTTGATGCAAGACGAGCCTCATCTGAAAGGACTCGGTTTGATCGCTTAGCTGACACCACACAATATTGGTCATTTGACTTGCTGATGATTCGTGAAATGAAATGTTGAGACATGGAGGGACTCGGAGAGAGCCATCTTATCTCCGAAGAGTGTGGTTAGAAAAGTCGAGACGGCAACCCTCAGTTCGTCAAAGGGACCCCCTTCTCGGGTACGTGCACATTTCTATTCTTGTTCTCGCTGCACAGAATTTTTAAACCTTCTGAGCACGAAGCGATCAAATTGAGAAGAGAATCAGAGTTGCGGTGGCTTGATACAGGGATCATGAACGGCGGATTTGATACGTCTCGATCACACCACGTCAACCAATTTGTGATGTACGTAGACCGCTAAGGGTCGTGAGGCCTCCCCTGTCATTCATCGGAATGTTCGGCTAACCTAGTGCCCCTTTGCAAAAAATAAGTCTGGACGCCTGAATTTTAAGGGGGTTCGCTAGGGCCGCTTTAACGATTGCGGCGATTGAATAGCGACGTGGTGGCCTAACTCGTGTGGCAGCAACGAAAACCAGAGATGGCTTTCCATTGGGGGTAGCGAAACCGCAAACCAAAGAAGCCTCGAGGATGTTCTCGTATTCTCCGTCCAAAAGAACCCGTTTCAGGGTTGCCATTTACAAGTTTCACTCATCCAAGGCCGGGGATCGATGCTCTCAGAGTTGATACGTATCACCTGTGGGGTCTGTGACATCGCCAGATCAGTTTGTTGTCGGTCTAAACTTGATCGTACTGCAAGCGATCACATTCCGATGCTTGTAGAACGAGGACATGGATCGCGGACAACCATGTTGAAGCTTGCAAGGGCAACAACCCCATTGACTTTTGATCGGAGAAACTTCTTGATCGATGACACATACGGAAAGTTGGCGAACTTGGTCCCGAGCGTTCGTGGGACGCCCAGTCCAATCTTTTCCTCTTGTCTGTGACCCTTCACAAGGAAGCCAGGAGCTCGTCTCAATTAAGATGAGAACCAGTGTAAGTCGAACGGCCTTCTCTTCTCCCAATCCATCCGGCCAGAAGATCCTTTACGGCGAGCCGGCGAGGAAGGGACTGGAAACTATGACGTCAAAATCATGCGGTAACATTTCTTGCGTGGCGGTGATGCCAGAAGAAATTGAAGACTTGGATCAAATAAAATAAAATGATCCCCATATTGTTTCACGGGAGCAAAGACATTGGTTGAGGAGGCATACTGTTGAAGGATCGGTAGCAGGCGGCTATCGCCAAGGAAACATTTCTTGTGTTTTGTGGTCCAATACTTTGCTGGAGCCGATCTCAGCCACACAACGTCATTGACAAAGCCATGGACTGATTCATCTTTAATCCTTGGAAGAACCCCCCGGCAAAAGCATTCAAGCCTCCTCAGAGTTGCAGGCTGGCTAGAATATCAAGCTGTCATCAGGCTGCAAGACACCCATCGATCCCCAGCTGTTTGCTAGAGCGGGCACCTTCTTTTCTCCCGCTCGAGACAAAATACATTATGCAAATAGCGGCGTTCTTGTCGGATCTCAAATCCCTCAGCATCTGTGTAGGTGGCGATCGCATCTCGATGAAACCTATCTACCAAGACCTATCCCCCCAATGTTCACCCTCGGATTTTTTTCAGAACCCCTCGATACCTCCCTTTTGCAGCCTTCTGGTGTCGATTGGCATACCAGATCCATACCAAAACTGACATTCATCCACTCTAGTCGCACAAAGCTGCCATCGCCTTAGTGAAACCGGACATGGGAACGGCCACCGATGAAAGAAATGCACTGTCATCCCAAAGGGAAACCTCAGGAAAACCGTCATCAGCAGAAACGCCGCTAGATCCTGATCTTCAGCGTGCCAATGAGCTCGTCTCATTACATTACGAAGTCAAGGTGAAATATCTGGAAACGGGGCCCGACCCAGAATTGATCCAGGCTGCAAAGGACGTTGACCAGGTGTTATCCGCTCTGAACAGATAAAGAGAGGATTGTCATGATAGATGCGCAAGTCTATGAATCAATTTGCATAGTCTAATGATATTCCATTAATGGGGGTCAGCCATTGAATGAAAGTCACTGACCTCCCTCAACCTCTGATCAATATAGAACTCGCTGAAGCAACCCAGCACGAGGAGCCTTACTCCGACAGGAACTTCTGGAGGCACTTGTACAGGAGCTGGAAGGTCTCTACTGGATCTGCTTGCGCAACCTTTCCTGAACCTTTGGAAAGCAGCGACTCGAGCCATCCCCATTGCCTGTCTGTCAATTATCTTCAACTCCGGTCTGTCCCTTTTCCACTAGAGTTTATAACACCTCTGAAGGTATCTCGTCCTCCTCGATCCTCAACAGCTCGAGCACGTTTCAAGCTCTTCGGCCTCTGCATGTTCAGGCGACCTTTGCTGACTTTGGTGAAGAAAGACAATCCCAATCCTACTATTATATCTTGATTTTCCGTATCTCGAGCCACTGTCTCGGTAGTTTGTCGCGAAAGAGTGGATCGACGGGTCCTTGTCATGTATTTGTGTCTCTATTAGCAATACCATTAGCCTCACTTCCTTCTCCGGGCTTCCTACTTGACATTGGCGTTTCGAATGAACCTGCAGGTGTATTGTCGCGGCAATTGGTAGCTTGATGCCTTCTGGAATGACGACGGAGAGGGGCTGAGCAGAAGATTTGACTCTGATTTGTAGTAGCGGTGGAGTTTGGTGTCGATCAGTTGATTTGAGAGACTCTGACAAAGCTGGAGAGATATTTTAAAAGTCTCTTGATGAGAACTCATTCGACTAATTGGGAGTCTTCGTCTCGCAGTCCCTGTCCACCGCTGACTTGTTCAGAACGATAGCTAGATGAAAGGCATGTTTGCGAATCAAGCGTTGTGGTGTATCGTTTACAGAGAAGAGGCGACGGGTTCGTGAGTGAATGATCGAAACGAGTTGTGGGAGCTCCGCTGTGTCTTTCTTTCAGGCTTTGGTCGGTGGCTAAAGGGTCAACCGCATGGAGCTTTGCAGACTATCTCCAAGAGGTCGACGAGAACATCGATTCACTGCATTTTCGGCGCCAAATAGCCTGTTAGGTCAACCGAAGGAAAAGTGGATGTGCTGCACTGTTGAATCCGATGAACTCGCGATCTTGAAATTTTGCAAAGTGTTCCTGGCGGATCCTGCACCTGTCAGACCTGGCGATGGTCATTGATTCATTTGACAGATGCGTGCCAATTCTTCTGAGCTTTGTAGACAGTGATTTGGTTCATGAGGAGAAAATTGATCCAGGGTGGGCGAGTCTTGAGCGTGATCGCGGATGGGGTGCTCAAGCCAGGGCAGCCTAAGCCGATGGAGCGAGGAGTATTCCGTCCGACTAAGGGAGCGCATCGATACGACATGTTCATCCCTCATATTGAGAGACTGGGAAAAAGAGTCCCTAATGAAATGCATGATACTGAAAGTCGCTATGACGGGCTGAAGATATTGCGAAAGGTTCAAGTCAATGGAAACGAAAGTCGACAGAAACATGGTAAACAGGGAGCGCAAGCCCCGGACAGAGAGACTTCAACCTTTCGCATTTAATGGCGTTCAAGTTCCAAACTTTGAGGCGTCAGTTGTATGTTCGTATAGACGATTGTGGAGGATACTGGAGGCACCCAGGTACTCGCTGGTGATGTCGAAGGAAACCCCATTAACAAAGGCCTCGCCTCGGCCAACTTTCCTCTTCGGTAGAAGAGAGCCGTTCGGCGCAGGTATTCATCCCAACCTTCTCCGTCACTCATCGAATATCATTCTGGGAGACTTGCCCTTCTATTGGGCTCCTCAGAGATCATGGCTACTCCTGTGGACCAGAAACTACTGCGGCAGACCAAATTCCCTCCCGAATTCAGTCAGAAAGTTGACATGAAGAAGGTCAATGTTGAGGTTATGAAAAAGTAGGCGGTTACAGATTGTGGTTGCGATTCTTAGCGTTCTAACACACGTTTGCAGATGGATTGCAGGCAAGATCTCCGAAATACTGGGCTCTGAGGATGATGTGGTAATCGAGCTTTGCTTCAATTTGCTCGAGGGTTCGCGATTCGTACGTTTCGTGCCTCTCTTTTGGGCTGAAGTCACAACTAATCATCTTAGCCCGACATCAAAGCGCTGCAGATCTCGCTCACTGGTTTTCTTGACAAGGATACCCCAAAATTCTGCAAGGAGTTGTGGGGCTTATGCTTGAGTGCACAAACCAATCCACAGGGCGTGCCAAAGGAACTGCTTGAGGCGAAAAAGTTGGAACTTATTCAAGAGAAGGTGAATTATTACAAGGCTATATTGGATCACGCTGACCATATCAGATTGATGCCGAAAAGGCAGCGGAAGAAGCGAAGAGTCGCAAAGACCAAGAACAGATCCGCGAACGGGATGTTGATTCTATTCGACAACGTGAACGAGCAGATCGGGGTCGAGGGCGCGGCGCAGGTCGTGGTGGACGGGGGTTTGACACACGCAGGCCGAGGCATTCAAGATCGCCTCCTCCTCCTCCACCTCCTCGTCGCCGACGCTCTCCACATAGAGGACCTCCACCCCGCCGCGAGGCAGACACTTACATTCCCGGTGGCCGGGGAAGAGGACGAGCCAATGGTCGAGGACGGTCTTTGACCAGATCTATTTCCCGTTCTCCTTCTAGTTCACCCTCCCCGCGTCGAGCGCGTCGAACGGATGCGTCATCATCTAGATCCAGATCACGAGGCTACAGAAGTCGAACTCCGCCTCTTCGACGATGGCCGCGGTCAGGGACCAAGAGTAAAAGCAGGACAAGATCACCTGTTTCCAGGCAGACAGGAAGGCTGGCAAAGGACTCTGAATCACCCGGTGAAAGACGCGCACGATCTCCAACACGTTCTGATCTATCACGCTCACGATCGCCTAGAAGAAGACGTTTTCGAAGTCGTTCGTTATCTTCCGTCAGCCGGAGTCCAACTCCTCGGCGCCATAGATATCGTCGAGATCGGTCCTACTCATCCTCGCCATCAAGGTCAAGGTCAAGGTCGCGCGATAGGAGAGGAGGTTATGGAAGGAGTGACAGACGTTACAGGAGACCTCCCTCTTATTCTTCCGATGATAGGAGAAGCAACAAGCGCGCTGATATTCTTAAAGGCCGCAAAACCCACGATGATCGGCGCTTGAGCCGGAGTCCAGACGAATCCGGCAACCGACGAAGAAGTAGTACAAGTCGAAGCAGGAGCCTGGACCGACAACGACGTTACAAGCGAAGACGGTCGCTTCAGAGGTACGAACCAGTTGCTCGCAGACGACGTAACACGTCCTCCGACTCTTCCCCCGAACAGAAACGAAGAAAACGCGATGTATCGGAGGATGAACCGACGAAAGACTCTGCTGAAAACAGAAGTGAGGATTCGGATTGATGTTTGCATAGAAGGGAGGCGCTGTGGACGCATCACGGAGAGCTGTCAACATCACAAGCAAACCTTGCCGTTTAAAAGGGATCAAAGATATTCGGACTCGAACCGACTGAAGTCCTGCGCTGCTGATGATATTGCACTGGGTAGGAGAGATTTCACTCATGATTGGCCGCCCTTATACTACTGGACTTGTATTTCCAGAAGTGCTCTGCGCAGTACTTCCGCATCGTTATGACTAGGTGGTTCTGAGAGTGAAAGTGTACTTTTATTTTGATCCACAGTGGGAATGAGTCTCAGCCTTTGGGGGCAGAAATTCAAACTATGGCGACTTCGAGCAATGCGAAGCAAGGGGACCAGGCAAAGTAGAAAGCCACCTTATACCATTCAGCGTTAACTCCCTGTATATTGTTGATAAAGCCGAGAAAACGTCCCAAGCCCGAAAGGCCGACTTGGAGCGACTTTTTGAGGGTAGCCAGCAGTCGGGTAAGCCAGCAGCGCTCTCCGTATGGCTCTGCACGTGACTTTCCTGATTGAGAGCCTATAATCCAGACTTCATCCTTTTCACTACTCCTGATCCTCTTCCAACATCATCCAACTCTATCATTTGACACCTACACAACCTCGGATACCTTTTTTTTTACGTTTCCCCACTTTCCTTCTCCTTCCATCGTTCCAACCAAGTCCATATTTCCTCGTCTTTCGTTGCCGTTTACTCCGCAGCCCATTATGAGTTCTGGTCCTAGACTTGTCAGCAATGCAGCAGCCAGAAGGCTCTTATTGCAATGTACATCCATCTATCCTGTGAATCATGGAAAATGTATTGACACTGAATAGCACACTCCCGCCTTCCCCATTCTTCTCTCTTAGTCGCCTATTCGCGATCCAAATTTGCCAGAGACCTTCCTCCTAAGCTCCAAGCGTTGGCAATTCTTTTGCCTCAAAGAAATTATGCCACCGAAACGACCTCTCATGGACCTGATGGTGGACCGCCACCGGGCTTCAATCTTGATGAGGCAAAAAAACCCTTGCCAAAAGACGAGAGCCAGAAAAAGACATTCTCACCAACGGCCTCGGAGCTGAAAAGGTCAAACGAGCAGCTCGACACCCCCAAAGCAGGAGCGACAAAGGTTGACAAGACAAAAGCTCTCGAAAATGCCACTTTGAGCGAGTTGGCTACCGACAAGGCCGCGCAGACCAGTTCTACCACTCTGGCGATCAAGAAGGAGGAGTCCAAAAAACTTACCATCGGTCAGAAAATCAAGAAGGAGTTGATGCATTATTGGGACGGTACTAAGCTCCTGGCTGCCGAAATTAAGATTTCTTCACGACTTGCTTTAAAAATGGCCGCCGGGTACGAGCTCAGCAGACGAGAGAACAGACAGGTAAGAATTTCTCTTGGGCTTGTGAGCTGAGGAATCCTAATATGTCAATAGCTCCAACGAACCGTCCAAGACTTGGGACGTCTGGTGCCATTTTCTGTTTTCGTTATCGTCCCCTTCGCCGAATTCTTGCTCCCGGTGGCCCTGAAACTCTTCCCCAACCTTCTGCCATCGACGTTTGAAGGCCAAAAATCCCGTGAAGCCAAGGCAGCACATCTAAGAGAAACCCGGAAGCAAGTTTCTTCCTTCCTTCGAAACACCCTCCGTGAAACCGGCCTCCCAGTTTCGGCTTTAAATGCAAAGAAGGAGGAATTCACCGAGTTTTTCCGGAAAGTTCGTGCCACCGGAGAGTCACCTTCAAGAGAAGACGTGATCAAAGTGTGCAAGATTTTCAAGGACGACTTGACCTTGGACAATCTCTCCAGACCTCAACTTGTGGGCATGTGCAAATATATGAACCTGAACACCTTCGGAACAGATGCCATGCTCCGATATCAAATCCGCCACCGCATGAGACAAATCAAGCGCGACGACAAAGCAATTTCTTTTGAAGGAGTGGATTCTCTATCAGTCCCCGAATTACAGATGGCTTGTGCGTCCCGCGGTCTCCGAACCCACGGAATGTCTCCAGGGAAGCTGAGAGAAGACCTTCAAATGTGGCTGGATCTCCGTTTGAAGTACAATATTCCCTCTACGTTACTAGTGCTTAGCAACGCATATATGTACACATCGGGCAAAGATAGCGAGATTGATTCTCAGATCGATGCTCTTCAAGCCGTGTTGAGCAGCATTCCTGAGGAGCTGTTCCATGAAATCGAACTGGAAGTCCACAATGCCGAAGGTGCTGCAACGAACAAGCAACGTTTGGAGGTGCTCAAGGAACAACAAGAGCTTATCGAAGAAGAGAACGAACAAGCTGAATCGACCAAGGACGAGGAGGGCAATACCGCGAGCAAAGGTGTCAAGGACGACAAGGATATCGATGAAAACCCGAAATCAAGGGTCGGCGCAGACGCGAAACTAATGCAATCAGATGCCCCGAAGGAGGCTCAGGAGGTAGAGAAGGATGTGACCGAACAAGGCAAGCGGAAGGAAGTGCAAAAAGAATCGGAGGTCAAGAAGGATTGATTTCCTTACCAAGAGCTCCAATTGTTGCCGATTATTTTTGCACAGGTTGAAAAAAAATCTTCTCTCAGCTCTGGTATCCTCATTCAGCGAAGATATGGCCGTGGTAGCGGATTCTGAACTTTGGAAATTCAATCAATAGATCATCAACTCAATGGGTTGGGAAACTGCCTAGTACGTGTGGAGAGAACACGGAACAGCGAGAATATTATAAAGTGACCGGACAGATCAGAGTGCTAGTTCTAAGACTGACCCTGAGACAGTGGTTTGACGAATTCCATACGATTCTAGTTCATATACTTCGGGACAGGATATACTTTACTTTTATGAGTAGAATGAAAGAGAAACGTGTAAAGTTATCCTTTTCATTGTCTCATTGCATTACATTACATCACGCTTGAAACAGCAACTCAACCCCTAGCAATCGAACGGGGCTCTCCTGGTGCACTCACATTCAGCGGGGTTCTTAGTTAGACATACAGTATTGTCACGACCATGATTCCGGCTCAACAGGAAGAGAAAATTCCGAAAAAGCGCCAGCACAATCCAGCGCATGGCACACATCGCGTTGCTTTTCCTTGCATTGATTCGATGCTGGAGCATCGCGTTGAACACGTGAAGCAAGGTGGTCCCTCCAATAGGTATTGTTCATGGATTCAAAATCATCTCCACTCGTACTTAACATGCTCATATGTCAAGGAACATAGAAGTCGGAAGTCGTAGAATGAGACCAGGATAGTAAGATATAGTCTCAGGTGGTAGAGGTTTGAATAGGAACCTTTGACGGTCACGCATACTTGCGCAGCTTACAGGTTATTAGTATCTTACTTGGACCGGACAGCACGGAATGGAGCAAAGACATACATCGAGCGTCAAGACTTTGGAACTGTTCGCGCCTTGGTCTCTATAGACACCGACCAAAGCTTCGCTGCCCTGGAAGAAACCTGTCTTCAAACTGATGACGATGAATTGCATTCCAGGGCCCTGTGTTCCATGATTTTCAGCATTAAGACCTAGCTTCTGGTTGCACATAAAAAGGGGGACACTTACAGCATGATTTCGCACATAGTTGACCAACTTGCCGACGTTGGCGTTGTCCAGCGCGGCGTCGACCTCGTCAAGCACGAAGAACGGACTGGGCTGATAGCTGTGGATGGCAAAAAGCAAGGCCAACGCAGCCATGGTTTTCTCTCCACCAGAGAGATGCTCCATGTCTCTGAAGCGCTTAGTAGGAGGCATGGTGTGGTAATTTACGCCAGCAAGATACGGCTCTTCCTCATCGGCGGTGAGATAGGCGCGACCACCGGCCGGGAATTCGTCAGACTTTGTCAGGTTGGAGTAGATGGGTTCGATCTGCTCGGAGATGTGGGAGAAGGCTTTATTGAAGAGCTCATTACGTTGTTCCATGGTATCCTCGAATTTGGCTTTGAGCTCGCGGTACCGCGTTCGGGAGTCCTCATATTCTTGTTCGGTGTCGCGAGCGCGGGCTTCGACAGCAGCGAGACGCTGTGCTGCATGAGCATTGGGCTGCATTTTGTCCAATGCGGCATTCAACTTGGCGATATCTTCCTGTAGTTTGGCTTCCATTGCGTCGCTGTTTTCATCCTTGAGGTCGTCACCTAGAATATCAAAGTCTGGTTCGACGCCATAGTCAGTGACTGTGTGATTCTTCAGAGCAGAAGAGGTCGGATCATCTTCATCAACGTCCATATTGTCAGCATCTTCAAGAGGCAGGTCGTTGACTGGTACACTTTCTAAGGTCGCTGACCGATTTGTAAGCGGTATTGCAATATTTTCGATCTTGCACCGTCGGAGGAGACTGTATCGTGTTGAAGAATAGCGTTGCATTTCTCCCTCCAAAGAACTGATGGCTCTGAAAGTGTTTTCCATCTCTTTGGCTCTTTTTTGAACCTCGTATTTCTGCCTCGTTAACACTTCACCAGCTTCACTCAGCAACTCTTTCTGCTCAGCCAGTTGAGCATGGAGTTCATCAAGCTCGTTCTTGAGTGTGTCAAGGTCGTCTTGAATACCTTGTCGTTGTTCATTCAGTTCATCAATCGTCTCCTTGTCATGTTGCTCTTTATCCCTGAGTGCTTGGAGGCGGTCATCGGTCGATTGGAGTCTGGTTCGTTCGAAACTGAGTTGGCCCTCGATTCTACCCTTGTGTGTGACAAATTCGAGTTTTCTTTGAGCGGTCTCTTGCTGAAGTGAACCTTGCCGGGCCTCGTAGTCCCGGATGTCATCAAAGCCAAGGCGCTGGCAGAATTCGCCAAAGATTTCGTTCTCCACATTGTTCACGGAATCTTGATAATCAGAAATGTCCTCGTCAATCTTCTCGAGTTTGCCTTGCTCCGTCAACATCTTCGGTCGTTCTTCTTTCAGCTGCTGCTTAACGTGATCGACTTCCCGTTTCTGGCTTTGGAGATTCTTGTTCAAGGTGTCGAGTTCTTCTCTGGCAAACCGGAGTCGGTTCTCAAGACCACTCAGTTCTGTTTGTAGACTTTGTTCCTCAGCCATCCGAGTTCTCTCTTGCGGCAGATCGGCAAATTCTTCCATCAATTTATCCTTGAGTTTGTTAAGTCTCTCCACTTCGGCCTCGTCCCATCTTCGAGTGTTCTGTTCCCTACCGCGACCACCAGTCATTAGGCCACCTTTGTGAATGACATTGCCGTCTAGAGTGACAGCCTTTGCATCGACGTGTCGAACGTAGCACAATTCTTTGGCAATATTCAAATCATCACAGACAATTGCATTACCACATGCATATGATATCGCTCGCGCAACGGACTGATCGTAATCGACTGCCTCGATCGCAGGACGCATGCCACGATGCATTCCTTTGAGATTCGAGTAGAGTGCTTTGACTTGGATCGTATCGAGGGGAATGAATGTCACCTGACCCGATCGGTGATCTCGTAGATATTCAATGCATTGTTTCGCGGTTGCTTCGGTGTCAACCACAACAGCATCAAAGTGGCGACCCAACACAGTGCTAACCGCTTCTTGGTACTTTTTCTGCTTTGGCTTGCACAATTCATGCACACGGCCCTTCACGCCGGGGTAAGTGCGCTTAAGCATGACAATAGTCTCTTTCATTCGGGTCTCCTTCTCACTTGTGCGACGGCCATCGTCCGCTTCCAGAAGCTTTCGAGCCACCTCGGCGAGCTTCTCATCGAGCTCAGTCCGAGTTCGGGCTGCTTGCAGCCGCTTAGACGTGGCAGCATTGAGCTCTTTCTTCTTTACATCGATCTCGACCTGGCTTTGTTGGACAGCTTCTTTGACAGCATCTCGCCTCTCATTGAGAGCGCGATACTCGTTTTCCAATGACTTCAATTTGAATTCAGTGCTTTCCACACTATTCTTGAGGTTGTTGTAGGTCGCCTCAACGGGAGCTCGGTCGTTCTTCAGCCTCTCCACTCTGCTCAAATCCGCCGAAGCGCGTTTGTTGAGTTCTTCTCGAAGCCGGCTATATTGTTGAAGATCCGCATCACTCAACTGGCCGCCCAGCCGACTGGTATTCTGTTCCCATTCTTTCTGCCATTGGGCTTGCGCCTTCTCGACCCTATTGAGATCTTTCTCCAGTTGTGCGACTGTTGCGGCCTGCGTACTTCGTTCCTTGACTATTGCGTTCACCCGATTGGCATATCTGGTGAGTTGCTTGATGGAGACTGAGATTTGTTCATCAACCGGAATTAACGACGAAGTTTTATCTTCGATTTCCCTTTCTTTGGCCTTAATCGCCTTCTCGGCCTTGCCGACACCACGTGCCGCTTGTGCATGGTCCTTCTTCGCAGCTTCGAGGTTGCGCTCATACTTCTCAATGCCTCGACGGAACTCTTTGAGCTCATTTTGATGCTTCTGAATCTCGGCACTGGACTCTTCGATCTGGCGTTGCAGGTGATACAATTTCCACAAGACCTGCGTGACAATTGCCTCATCGCGTTCAGCCGCTTTCTTTTGGAAATTATCCGCCTCTCGCTTTTGTTCCTGATATTGTCGTATCTCCGAATTGATACCTCGGCGGCGATTGAGCTGAAAAGTTTGTTTGTCAGCAGCCTCATCCAGTTCTGCCTTCAATCTGTCATAATCGGCTTTGAATTCCAGACTGCCCGAGACTTGTTCAATCAGTCGGGTCAAATCCTGAGGCTTCTGAATCGCGATAGCCTCAACATCGCCCTGAAAGACCAGAAAGTTGCGAGCTTTGATAAGAATGTTTTCTTCCTCCAGTGACTCGTTGTACTGTTGAGCAGTCACAATGCTCTCGTTTATGCGATACTCTGAGACGCCTTGATGGGTAATTGTGCGCTTATACTTTTGCTCAATTCCTGCATCATCCTCATAAACAGCCATGACCCAGGCTGACTTCGGATCGTTGCGTTCTTGAGTGCCACTGACTTGACTGGAGTCCAGTCCTTCAGGTCCATCAGCGCCATTTGTTTGTGCCTCCCCATTCGCAGTAGATTTGCGCAGGACGCGTCCTCGGTACACCAATTCTCTGAGATGTGCTGATCGCAGGTGGGAGGATTTGATTCCAAGGACGAAAGAGATGGCGTCCATCGCATTTGACTTGCCCGATCCATTCGGACCGATGATGGAGGTGAAATATGCATCGCCAAAGAGGAGGACATGGTGGCCTTTGTACGATTTGAAATTGTACAACTCAAGTCGGATGAGTTTACCCATGGTGGGGTTGGAGGAACGAGTGGTGGGCAGGAAATCGGTTTAGTACAAAAGGAATTAATGCAGAGCCATCAGGGGCCGCCGGCGGAGAGAATCGAGAATGTGCGTGGAGAGAACAGCGCACGCGATCAGTTTGCCAGCGTCGAGATGGATGAATGTACGAAGCAGAATCGTGGATGTCCCAGGCACTGGCAAGAACGCGAGACGCGTGTAGATGAGGGTGTCACGTGCGCGGACTGAGATCGAGCAAGCCACTTTGGACTCGAAAGAGCCCTGTGTACTAGGATTAGAGAAGGATAAATGGTTGGTATGCGGCAGCTAAGCGATAGTTGCCAGATGTTCTTTGATTAGGCCAGTCACCTTGCTTCATGCCCGCACGCTGCCCTCAACAGCCTCATTTGACACCAACACAGCATCAACTTTATCCTTTTGGTATTTGTCTTTCTCTTCTCGATTCTTACCACAAGCTGACTGAGGCGGCCCTCCTACACTGCAGCATGACCTCCGGACTGCTGGTCAGCTGGCACGTGCCAATTATCTGCGGTTATTTGTATATCTAAGGGTCCTGCGGTCCTGCATCCCTTCCTCTCGAAACATCTCCCCATCCTTCCTCTTCTCTATATGCCTATGCATTACTCCTAGCTCCGGCATCATAATAGATCTCAAACATGTCGGACCCTATACCGATCCTTCGCCCCAAGTCCGAGCCCGCCGCTCTGGATGAGACCACAGCGGCGGATATCGCAGGCAGTGTGGGCAGTGCGACAGATGGAACAGAATCCCTCACACCCGGATACCAGTCCTCCTCTCCGGGCAGTCCTTATCTATTATCCAGAAACTCCTCATATATCGGAAGCCAGTCTCTGCAAGAAGACTGGGATATTCCACTCGACAAGCTCACCTTTTTCGACATCTTTGACAACTTAGCCTTGCCCTCAAAACTCGAACGATGGCAGGCAACGCTCGCCGCCCAGAAAGAGAAACTGGCCAGGCAACAGGAGAGAATAAGAACCACCGGTAACAACGCCAAAGATCGCGCCATGGCCGAATGGCGCAAACGAGTACCAACAGCCGATGAACAGCTGGCGAAATACCGATCGCGGATGAAGAAATCCGTCGACGATCTCAGCAAGAGATGGAACGACGTCGTCACTATATCCGTTAGGGAAAAGGTGTCCTTCATTTCCGCTGTCCTGAACGTCTTTGTCAGTGGTTACCTGATTGGTGCCGTCCCCGAATACTTCTATTACTGGTTCACGGTCCAACTGGCCTATTTCATGCCCATCCGATTCTACACCTATCATCGCAAAGGCTATCATTATTTTCTGGCGGACTTGTGCTACTTCGTCAACTTCCTCTGTTTGCTCTCCATCTGGGTCTTTCCCCGATCCAAACGCCTGTTCATCAGCACCTACTGTCTCGCCTACGGCAACAATGCCGTGGCTATTGCAATGTGGCGGAATTCTCTAGTTTTTCACTCCTTGGACAAAGTCACCAGTCTCTTCATCCACGTGATGCCCCCTGTCGCCTTGCATTGTATCGTCCACCTGACACCGGACGATATGCTCAGCTGGCGGTTCCCGGCCGTGTTCAACATCAAACACAGCGCTCCTGGATCACCGGAACATTACGCGCTCGCGGCGATGCTAGGTTGGGCAACCATTCCCTACACTATCTGGCAGCTATCCTACCACTTTTTCATCACAGTACGGAGACGCGAAAAGATCGCAGCGGGACGCCCTACCTCATTTACCTGGCTACGCAGGTCATATTCGAAAACGTGGATCGGCAAATTCGTCATTTCGTTACCAGAATATTTGCAAGAACCGGCATTCATGCTCATCCAATACTGCTATGCCTTACTCACCATTATTCCATGCCCGTTCTGGTTTTGGTACCGCTGGGCGAGCGCCGTATTCTTGATGGTCGTATTCAGCTGGAGTGTTTGGAATGGGGCAAACTACTATATGGACATCTTTGGCAAACGGTTCCAGAAGGAGCTGGAACAGATGAAGCGTGATGTCGCCAAATGGCAGAACAGTCCCGGAGCGATGTTCAGTCCGCCAAATGGACCGGTCGACGGGGAAGTATCCCTGACAGTGCCGAAGGGCGGGGACAAAGATGCAGAAAAGGGCCATGACAAGAGACGAAGCATTGACCGCATACCCTTGCTTGATGACACTCTTCAGAACGAAAAAGCAGACCCGGCCGCACGCGCAACCGGCGCAGAAATCCTGAGTGACGCAGACAAGAGGGTCTTAGATCGCAAGTCAATGTCCGGACCTCCTGCCTCGGCGCCGTGAAGGAACAGGGAATGCGATCAGTACGAGACTTCATGGTCTGTGCACAGTTGTTGTTCGGAATTGAGAAACCGGCTTTCAACAATTGCTGATTTGATTGGTGGGAAGAGAATCACCAAAGTGATCGTCTGCGAGCAAACTTGAACGATACACAATCGCAACCCTGCGAAACTGTACTTTTACGTCCCAGACTGGGGAAATTTCTCTCCCTTTTCAACACCCTTTTCCCTTCGTTTTCCCTTCCACGTGAGTTCGGAGCACTGATGAACGAGACGTAGCTGGCATCCTTTCGTGACTTTGAGGCGTTGGTGGCCTCGGTCGCGGCTTCGGATTGCCATCTTCTCGAGCTGAGCAGACGAACAGTCTCCGGATGTGGCCCCGCAAGCCTCGGGCTTTTTGGGTTGTCCAAGGAAGATATGGGGCTTTGAAATAGAGTGCATGAAGGAATCCGTAGAGATTTGATAACGAGTTTATTTCCGAGAATGATGAGATGCTATACTATATATCTAAATGAATGTTTGGTCAATCGTTTCTTTGCAAATCTGGTCAACAATGAGTCGTGTACTGCAACTGGATCAGGCTGTGAGGATACGGGGGTGGAATTTATCCTCGTGTTTTTGACTTTTGGAGAATCCACCTCCAGTTTGGGCGGACACTCCTTTTAGGGATAGCCTAGGTCTTGGCGGCCCGCCGCTTTTGACCTCGCTTTACACTGAGAGAAACTGTCCCTTTACTTCCCCCCCCATTCCGCACCGTCTGCTACCATCCGATCGACCTTCCCATCATCGATCCCTCACTCTGGTCTCGACTCGAGAAAGGTTTTGGTCATTTAAAGCCCACCATTGCCGCCTAATGACTTCGACCGCGCTTCTCCCACAATGTGCTGACGAGGCTCACTATTTTCGTCACGCCAGCCGGACTCGCCATGACCATGCAGAGCACGATCAAGGATCTGGAAATAGTCCTGGCCCCCCAAAAAGAGCATGCAGCCAAGGATATAAACAGAGTGTAAGGGGGCTGGAAAGACCAAAGGCCCGAAAGAGTCGTTGTATGCCCACGCTCTCTATCACGTAGTTGATCTAGGAAGAGTCGATGCGAAGGCCGATGAAGCAAATGCATGCAGTTTCGGGAGAACCCCAATCTCTGCCATTCCGTTCGTGCCCAGCTTTCTCAAGGCTCGACCTCGCGTCATCCGATGACGTCTGAGATCAGTCTAGATGGCTGGTACCACTCATCTGTTCCCGATCTCGGGAAATTTCCGCCAAAAATTCTGGTATTGCATCTACTTGAGAGGCGGACATCACCCAGACGTCCCTCATTGCATAACAAGGAAAGAGACTGACATGGTTATGCATTACTTGGCCTCTTGTTCCTCCTGATACTTGTTCATTCCGTGTTTTATGAACGGAGCTTCCATCAATCTGTCCCAAGTATGGACCGTTTCCGCTTGGAGAATCGACACTTTCATTTCTGTCATTGCCCTTTCCTTCATCTCTTTCTCGTAATCAGCGATGGCCTCGCTCAACGATTGAGCACCAGTGTCAAAGGCTCTGAGCTTGTCGATCAAATTTGCAGCATCTTGCAACGCATTGTTCAATCCCTGGCCTCGAAATGGCGGAATGGCGTGGGCGGCATCACCCGCGAGAGTTACTCTTGGCCAAAGAGGTGAGTGCGACCAATCCATGTCTGGCTTCCACACGATGGTACGATCTGTAGGAAACACCAAGTTATCCGGGAGCTGTTTGCCGATCGTTGCCCACGGCTCAGCGTATTTGGGACCCCTGTCGCGCCAAAACTTGAGCCGGGACTCTTGATCAGGAAGGTCTTCTGTTCTTGGTGCGCCGGCCCAGGACAAAAGATTCTGAAAGAGCCACGTCTCTGGTCTGTCCGGATCGCCAACGTCTTGGATGGAGTTCCACCACGTAAATCCATCGGGATGATAACTGTTCTTGAAAATTGGGTGAATCGTGCGCAAGTACTCTGCCGTTTCCTTGGGGAACGTGCAGCTGACGTTAAACATTTGGATGTCCATGTACTCCTCCTTCGCCAACCCTTCACCAACGAGGAACCTACGAACGGTAGAATGAGCACCATCACAGCCCACCAGGAGCGAAGCCAGAAGCACTCGTGCCATCTTCGAAGACGGCTGTCACAGAATGACCTGGATCAACTGTGACGGATACCAACCTCATACCATACTGAATCGCTCGTCAGTTCTGGTCAGAAAACCGTCGAGGAACGTTTTCAGAGCCATACCTGCACGTCAATCCCCTGGCTCAAAAAGTTTCCCAGCTTCTTTTGCGACACTCGCCTCGGATCCATCCCGTGCATCTCAAAGAGCTTTTCACCCGTCGCGCCATTGTACAAAGGTAATGATGTGGTTTTACCTTTGAAGAAAGGGTCACAGCAGATGTTCTCGTCGAGTTTGGCCACTAAATTTGGGGGAATACACTTGGAGAGATACTCGGCACCCCAATGCAAGGTCATGCCCCACTCTCGGGATCGATTTTGATAAGTCATATGATCTTCTCGCTCAAATACAGTACACCGGATACCGTTCTAGACCAATTGTCGGCTCTGGTGTGAAAATCGGGGGTGAGAAAGGGGATCTGATACCTGTTTCAGGCCCTGTGCGAGGAGTAGCCCAGTAGATCCTGACGCCACCATTAGTTCCCCAGGACAAGAGAGTGAGAATATCGTACCCGCACCTACCACAATTACTTCTAGTGGCGTTGCCGAAGCCATATTGCCGTTCCAAGTGTCGGAATATTGGAATCCTCACAACATGGGATGAAAGACCACACAGTGGATTCTCGGGGTGTACTTGACATATCGTACTTGGATCCTTGAGACCGTCGTGGAAATTTCTTTTGCTGGGGTGTGTCTCAAGGCTTTTCACCTCGATTGGGCGATCTCGGAAAGCTATTTCAGCGGGCCGTTCCGAATTGGTTCTTGTGCATACTCTAAAGTTCTTGGGCTTGGAAGAAATTCCGGCCTAGATAGTTCCCTATTCGTTGTCGACAAAGCATCACGCGTCCACAGCCAAGGCCTCTCCAGGCCTTGGGCAAGTTATCAAATACTCACTTCCGCGCGCCGTTGATGCTCCCAACTCCACAGTCACATTTCCTTGAATATTCACATGTCAGGGCTCTCGACCTGTATGAGAATACCTAGCTTTTAAATCCGACTCATGCCAGGAAAGGAGAAGACGACAACCCCGTGTGTCGAGAGGTGATATTCGACGTGGCAGTTGCCGCATGTCTAGGTAGACTGCAACCAACTTGTCGTCGTCACCGCCAGGAAGTCCCAAGAACCAGGTCGCGATGGCTGATAGCGAGGCTGCCCAGATCGCGCTGGATGAAGACGAAGGGCTATCTGAGTTGTGAGTACCAATCACGCAGCAATATAATACGAACATGCTGTCCTCTTGGTGCCTAACGTCTTCTGGCCGTAGGGACGATGGCGAAACGACTGCATCCGTTCGTTCGAGCATTTTGCAAAACCGAGAACAGCCTGGGAGACGATATCATGCATACAAGGATGGAAGATACCATCGGCCAAATGATGAGGTGCACCACACCCGCTTGGAGACTCTTCACCCTTGCTTACTGCCGATCGTTGATCATCCAGGCCGAGCTGGAGCGTCTCAATATAGCCCATGCCCTCTTTACAATGACCAACGAGAATAGACTCCATCTCGCGCCCCTAGAGTCAGACCTTGGCCGTGTCCTAGACATCGGCACCGGCACCGGGACCTGGGCCATCGAATTTGCGGATGCTTACCCGTCAGCCCTTGTGGTTGGCGTCGATGTCAGTCCGACAATGCCTGAGGTGGTTCCACCCAATATTCGATTCGAGATTGACGATGTCGAAGACCAGTGGACATGTAGTAACCCGATGGATTACATTCGCTGCAGATATATGGCCGGGTCCATATCAGACTGACCAAAGCTGATGCGCCAATGCCATGATAATCTTAACCCTGGCGGCTGGGTTGAATTTCAGGATTTTGATATTAACTACTATTCTCAGGATGGATCGTTGACGGAAGAGCATGCTCTAAGACGCTGGCTTGTTCTTTGCATCCAAGCCGCCGGCAAAATTGGACGCTTATTACGTGTGGGCGTGCAGCTCGGGGAGTGGGTTCGAGATGCCGGCTTCACCAATGTTCAGGTTTTCAAGGTCCCCGTACCCATTGGCCCCTGGCCAAGGGACAAGAGACTGAAACGGATGGGCCTGATTAATTGGACTCAGATCTTTGAGGGCCTACAAGCCGTTAGCCTGAGGTTGTCCTTAAACGTTCTTGAATGGACCCAGCCTGAGCTGGAGACCCTGCTGATGGAAGTCCGGAGAGACATGAAGAACAAGGACATTCATGCACTGTACGTATCCACCCCACGCCTGGAACATTTCTTTACTTACAAATGTGAGGTACACCGTCATCGGCCAAAAAACAGAGAGTCAAACGGCACAGCTCACCGACCAGTGAGGATTGAGAATGGCTAAGGGAACATGGTTCGAAAACATAATCAAGGGTCCTTAATACTACGGCCAACCCGGAGTACACAGTTGGGCAAGTTCCCTTTCTCTTCACCACCACCAACGCCTAGGAAGGTGCTGGGCGACTTGATCCTAATAGGATCAATGGCACTGAGTATTTTCCTCGTACAAGAGGCAGGATCATTGGTGCTCGTCAAAGCGGGCTCCGGTTTAGATTGAGAAAACCCTTGGACACTTTCCAGCAAGTCCCTCGTCGACAACACGGCCTAGACTGACTACTACCTGGCCGATCACCTGTCTGTACACGGCGATATGAGCGATGTATTCTCCGTTATATTTCGTCTCCACCCAAATTCAAGCAGAATGCCACCTCCATCTCCATCAAGACCATGCACAAAATCCTGAATGGGTCCAACATGATCCACGGGAGGGCATGGAAAAGACCGTTGCTTACACTACCTAATGCCATTCATCGTCTCGCATGGTGCCGTCACCACAAGGGCCGGAGTGCTGAAGAATATATCGTGATGAGTGCAGCTTCGAGCGAGGCTCTGGCATGAGTGCGGCGGACCCTGACACAAAGGTGGCAGCAAGACAGGATCGATACATACAGAAAGGACACTGATGCCACCATCACGATGTGGGTGGCAATCTGGATTGGTGGTCGTTCAGACTTTGTTACTGTGAAGAGAGACCAGCACTCAGAACATCAAGGATGTACGAGTGATTCCTACATTACTTATTCTTGAAGATCAACTCCCTCGCTGCTGGCAACCTGGATAACGTCTAGCCTGGATCCCATCACTATGTATGCTAATTCATACCCTCAACCTGTCCAAAACCCTTATGGTCAACCTCGAACGCTTCACTCACTTCAATAGCGACTTCCAGGCGCTCGTATCGGGAAAGGGACTTTGTACTGAATGTCATAGGTCACACGTCTGCGGTCGCTTCTGAGAGAGTAAGCTCGCTTGTTGCATCCTGCGACTGCCCGAATTAAATGAATCTGGTGAAGCTGAAGAGTGCGCTTCCCATCTCGACACTTGATATGCGGAATAAGGCTTTTATGAGCTAATTTGGTGACCTCTTCGTTAGCGACTGAGTCGCTGGTAGGTTCCAACACAGGTCGTACTCGCTCGATTGGGCGATCTCAGGCTTACCGAGTGTTCCGGAGATGTGCCTCGGGTCCAAGGTACGTATTCGAACTTGAATTGAGGCCCCAAGCCTCACTCCGGCTGAGGTAGTGACGCATGCGACACCTTGTTTCTTCCGTCCGTCTCAGGACTATCGCGACCAGAATCAAGACACACCAACAACTCTCCCGAAGTCGAGCTCTGACGGATTAGAACGGACCATACAAGGCACTCCAATGACCTTTACGTCTGTACCGCCCACGGTGTCGCCGTGGGATGTTGCTGGTTTATTCAATGGGTTTCCCCTGCAATCTTATTCAAAAGATTCGATGAATTTCCCCCTCCACAACATACTGCATCCCGCGGCCCATGTGGCAGCCCCAGAGCGTCTCAGAAAGTTTCTTGAAGAGGATGACAGGAAGCAGATTATCGAAGGCCAAGATGATTGACCAAAGATTTCGCAATCATGGGAAGAGTTTGCTCTCCTAGAAACAAACTTCATGCCGAGCGCACTAATTCCCCAGGTCGCTCTCAATAGATGGGCTTACGAAAGGCGGAAGGTTATCACCACTATGCGGAATTTGGTTTGTCAGAACGGAATCAGAGTCAGGGAGAAAACCCCATCACGGTAACGCCCTGCTACGCCCGCCAAAACTCAGATATATCGGACTGATATTAGGTCGGAGCGAATCTTATTCTGGCGATGAGATCGACTATGTCGGCGAGGTTGTTGTAGGGAACTTGGCAATTATCATTGGGCTGGTTGGGTGCAATTTTCTTCCTTGTGGGAGTGGTCTGGACTCTATGGGATGCAGAGCACACGCATGTCACTGTCCGGCTCGCCGTCCTTGCGGTTTGGGTTGATCACTTTCGGGGTAGCGATCAACTATGGTGCGAATGCTAAGGGCGACCAAGTCTTTACGGCAACGGTAGCGGTGCTAGTTGTCTCCATCAGGCAAACATTTAGACAGTCACAGACTCAAGGAATATTGGGCTGCTCGCTTCTGATTCAGATATTGCACGGCCATACCCCCCTCGACCAAAGCCAAGTCTCCTTCAAACTCCCTCATCCTCCCAGTGGTAGTGGATGACATGAAGCGGCCAATTGCACTTGGGACGGCAAGGCAAGGGGAGGAATCTCTCATAGAAAGGAGAAAAGAAAGCTTGCAGGCGGCCTTTTATAACGCAAACCGAGGTTGGACACGACGGGAAAAGAAGATCCGCTTTCTTTGCGGCCATGCGGGGAGGTTGTAATAAAATCCCTTCATCCATGGAAAACAGCTCCAAAAGCAGCGGGTACCAACCGCCAGATTTGGCGATAGATTTCCCTGTGCTGAACAGTATTTACCGTAGCTTTTTCATCTTTCCTCCTGTCACTAATTCCTCAAATACGGCCGGTCGTCGCAGTCATGTCGACGCCTGAATATCTCACAGGGAAGAAGGACGCCATCCGGCAATTCATAGACAAGTACGATGTCCGTACTTTTTACGTGCTCCCATCCAAAGCCTTCGTTATCCTAGACGGCATACGAGAACTCTCAGTTGACTTTTTATTTTAGGTGTTCCTCGTCGATTGCGATGGTGTCCTCTGGTCGGGAGACTATCTTTTTCCCGGCAGCGTCCCGACGTTGGAGATGCTGCGCAAGAAGAACAAGCAACTGGTATTCGTGACGAATAATTCCACCAAATCTCGACAAGATTACTGCAAGAAACTCGAGAACATGGGTATATCAGCCGGTGTCGAAGAGGTGTTTGGTTCTTCATACTCAGCCAGCATTTATATTTCAAGGATTCTGCCCCAGTCGCACCCGGAACTCAAGAAAAGGAACAAGGTTTTTGTGGTTGGCGAGGCAGGTATTGAAACCGAACTGGACTCCGAAGGCATACCGCATCTGGGAGGCACAGACCCTGCATACAGACGAGATGTTACGCTAGATGACTACAAACTCTTAGCCGCTGGAGATCCCTCGGTGTTGGATCCAGATGTCGGGGTGGTGCTGATAGGTCTGGATTTCCACATCAATTACCTGAAAATATGCTACGCCTATCACTATATTCAACGCGGAGCCCTCTTTCTGGTCACGAATATGGACTCAACCCTTCCATCTGCAGGCGCCCTCTTTCCCGGCGCGGGATCCATTTCTGCTCCATTGATCAAAATGCTAGGAGGCCGGGAGCCGATAGCATTTGGCAAACCGAATCAAGCCATGATGGATGCAATTGAGGGCAAGTTCCAATTCGACCGAAGCAAAGCGTGCATGGTCGGTGATCGGGTGAATACAGACATTAAATTTGGCCTGGAAGGGAAACTCGGGGGCACTCTGGGCGTCTTGACAGGTGTTGCTACCGAAGAAGAATTCTTGAGAGGCGATACACGGCCAGCTTACTACGTGAAGGAACTGGGAGATCTCTTGGAAGGCGCTTGAGGTTGGTATCCTATTCATAACAGCCGCGAGAAAGGAACATTGGTTCTTCTTGCAACATGGTTACTTTGTGATACGATGAGACGGGCTCAATTATAGACCCGCAAACAGACCGAGATGAGACTCGATAGATTGCAGACTAGCCGGTCGCCGGATAGAGGAATTTGACTGGATGTATGGCCCTCATTGATCTCCCACAAGCCTATCCGCCCTGTTCTTCTATCCCTTTTAGTCTCACGATTCACAAGACATCTTCCCAATTCGACACAATCTCCCCGTGGTGTCAGCAGCTTCCTCCGCTGCTTCTGACCCTCCCCCATCCAGCCCATCACTCCCCTGGGCATTGCTAAAATATGCGTACCTCTCAATCCATTCACATCCATCAGGCTATGGCAAAGCCTATCCCATCCCTGCAACTGGCCCCGGAACGAACTTAACTACAGCTTATTCCTGCCTACATCACTGCTTATGCCGGGCAGCCGAGTCTGCGACGCAGACTTTCTTTATCGCTGTAATATGATGTCATTCCTCGGCTGAGCGGTGGCACCCAACAGGGAGATTCGCTTGCTTCGGGATTTCTGGTTCATTGAAGCCTAGGAGCGTGGCGATTCGGCACTTGGATAGAATGATGTCGCTTCGGAACGTGTCGATGTCCGTCCGTCGTATTCGCGGCGGTGCGGACGCAGGGGATCCATTCAATCGTCGACGGTAAGAAGTCAGGAACCCAGAGTTCCCAGTTAAATAGCCATGACGTTTTCCCCGTTCCCGTCGTCGAGATGCAAGGCGAGTATAGTTTGAATTGTGAGCCGCGCCGCGGAGAGAGGATAAAGAAGGGATAGAGGCAGATGGGACTCTAGTTTAAGCGACGGGGTGGGAGGCGGCGGGGATTTGCTTTTGATATGTTGCGTTTTGAAGTTCCAATTGTTGGAAGAATTGAGTTTCCCAAAAATCGACTTTTGCAAACATGGAATGTCCACTGCCCATGTTTCAGTTGCATTTTACTGGGAAGACAACTTGACCCGGCGACCTCAACATCCGCCAAGTGCCTCTTCTGGAACCCATCTAAAATGTCAGTTAAGAAGAGGCAGAATGCCCTAGCATCAGCTCTTTCAATTATATGAGAGGCGCGACAATGATGTGTCAAACTGGGTATGCCAAGAGAATGTGTATTGAATGCTCCGTCTCTCTAGCAACTGGTCCTGCCAAGTTGCCGGTATTTATGCACGCTTGGTTGACCCCTTTTCTTCTCCTATTCCTACCCCTATATCCCCCAAAAGGGGCACTGGCTACTTGTTCAACCGTTCAATATTATGGTCTGCTTTACATTGCCTTCGAAACATGGATTGCGCGTGGAGATCATTTGAGACAGAATAGAGAACCTCACCATCTTAGTTGGAGTCTTTGCAGATACCCAGTCCAAAGACGCGCTGAAGACCAGATGCGCTGAAGACCGAACGAGCTGTTTCAGGAGTGGCCGCCAGATACGCGATACCGCCAACAAGTCCGCAATAGAACGCCCAAGCACACGCGCCGAATACCTGCTGGCCGAAGTAAATTGCCTTGACACTGTCGCTTTCATTTCGCCTGGGAAAGGGATGTTTCGGCACATCGACTCCCAGGAAAGGACAAAGAGGACCCCATCCATCCTTCACGTTGTGCTCGAGTAATTGTCCCTTCGGTACCAAGTCACGGACCTTCTGGTTGTGCAGCCGATATATCTGGGGACCGATGAAACCAAAATCTCGTCTGGTCCGGTAATTGGCTTCTTGGGCCATGTCGTCAGTTCGTCTGAGCACTCGAACGGATGAGATGAGCACGCTGAAAATTCTGTACCGCCATGTTTCGGTCAGGAAGTGCATGCCAACGGTGTCCCTCCACGATTTCCACCATATTTCCTCTGAGTCGCGGACTGAGAGGATGAATTTGGCGTTGGGATAAGTGGCGACCAGCTCTGGAATCATATCGCATAGAGGTCCGTCAACAGTCGACCGATAACCGTGCATTAATTTTCGGATCCGGGCTTTCGTCTCCGGACTAGGATTCTTGCTCTCTTGTGGGTTTTCACCCAGATATTTGAGAAACGCAATCATGTTATCATTGTGCTGAGGACGACGGTAGAGTTCCTAGAGAAGTGAGTAACGGTTCTCGACAGATATCGAGCAGGAGGAGAACGAACCACAGCGTGGTGGACAGGACCGAAACCCAAATCGTCCAGCGCTTCACGAAGCGATGTTGTCCCTGTTCTGGAAAGACCTAGTCCGATCCCTTCTAGCTCTGCATTGCTATTTGGATGCCACTGGCTTTCACCATGCTCTTTTGCACTGATGCCGAACAACTTATGGAGCGGGTTTGAGAGGGACGCCATTGGGAAAGACTTGATTGGTATTGGAATGGAATGAGAAGAAGACACTTACCTTTTGCATCAAACCGAAGGACCTCGAACATTTTAAATACAAAAGAACTTGCTCTCACATTTTGCAAGTTGCTCCGACAATTTGCAGATTGCTCCGAAACTGGGCCTGAGACGTAGGTGGTCAGCCAAGGAGTAGGTAGCCCTGCGTTTAGTCCTTCACCAGAGCCCGACCGCGAACCAAATGGCTGGATGCCTGATTCATGGATGGAGACTGGAGATTTTGTCGTAAAGCGGTCGTAAATACGGAAAGTGATCTGAACAGGGAAACTCGAGCTAAGCCCGAAAGGCGGCTTCCCCTTCGGCAGACAGACGTGCTCTTCTGATGCTTGCTGTCGATAAGAAGCTTTCAACCTGGACATCAGCCTCGTCCTCGGCCTCGTCCTTACCTTCGACTTCAATTTCAACTACTCCCTTCACGTCTCGAAAGCATACCTTGTGTTCGAATTAATTCACTCGAGCCCCCTAAGGATCAAGCTTTGCCATCATGCTTGTCATGGCAAATACCATAGTTAGAGCGATACCGACTTCGTGCCACTGTACGCTTGTCTTAAGTATGATTGCTACAATTCACAACAATGCTGTCCATCCCCAAGTGACACCGCTCAACTTAATGACGAAGATATCAGCATAAAGAAGTCAGCCACTACCCTCGGGAACGTTTGCCCCACGTTGGTGACATTAATAAGACCATTTATAGCATCCTTTGCTCGTCCGAGTGCTTCCGTCCACTTCATCTGCACTCAGCGTTGGTTTCGATAAGCCGATAACGCCTCGATCGGTTATCGATGATAAAGCTTGGCACAGATTGAGTCACGTGCCACACTCCCCGATCGGATCTAGTCCACGGACCACCTGGGGGGAGCGGATTAACCGGAGCAAACAACCACCTGTGAGGGCTCAAGGTCAAGGATTCAGTCAATGTATTCTATAGTCACGCTCCTTTTCCTACCGTCCACGACTATCTCCCGATGCGACTACGGATGAATATGCCCGGTCACCCGGAAAGCCGTATGCCAGCCTCACTGGACCGCGCACATCGGGAAAATTTTCGCACAATATCGATCGAAGAGTGGTTGCCTTCGCTTGGTGCAGTAGGAGAGTGTGTTGCCCCCACAAGCTGCCCACCTAACTGAAATCCGAGTCCAGAATCCCGCTCCCGCTTTTGCTCCAGCTCTTCCTCTTGAGGTAGCGCCATCCAGGATCAAGGGAGCCCGGGGGGAAGAAGGAAGGAAAGGACAGAAGCGTTGCTGGCAGAGGGAATGGGAGGAATATGTCTTTTGGGTGAATCCTATCCCTTGCACAAAGCATTGGGCCAAGTATCGTGATGCTCTTGATACCACTCATAAAGCTGCTCAGACGATGGTCATCCGTTTTATCAGTCCTCTATTTATTTCCTGACACCAGATTTCTCCGGTTAGAACCGGGGATCTAATGAATCAGTGTATACCACTGAGCATTTCCGCCGTTTGGCCCTTTCAACACCGCAAAATAACAGAAAGCAGAAAGCCTGCAGGCGCAAAGATGAGTCAACAAACCCCAGGGAAAGGTTGACTAGGTGGTCAAGGGACAAAGAAACAAGGAATGAAACACTCAATTGGAATGGGAGGAGATTACTCCACGCAAACAAGACGGAATTTCACTTAGTCCATGGACCACACTATAGTCGGCTTGCTTCAAATATGGAACTGTTCCAAGCAGAATTGGCGAAGAAGAGGACGACAGGCCGCTGTACCAACAACCTTCCTTGTTCCAAACGGAAAGAATTTCAAGTTTTCTTTCAACCGAACTACTATCTCCGGCTGTATGGCACCAAATATGGCTTTGATGTAGCACTCACCATCTCTCAAAGAGGATGGCAATGGCGGTTCAACACGTTCCTTCCTTTGCCGGCAAATGCTCCAACCTTCAACTTATGTCGTGCTGGCGATATTGAAGGAGTAGAGTCTCTGCTTTTGAGAGAGAAAGCATCCATCTAGGACGTCGATGTCAATGGCAACACGCCATTACACTATGCAGCTAACTATTATCATATCGAACTATGCAAAGTGCTCATCAACACCGATGCAGATACGGAAGGCCGTAACTACGACTTATTTCTATGTCCACCGAAAGATGCCGTTGATAATATGAGCAGAACATGAGGGAGTCCAGAGAATAGGATTGAACTCCTACTTCTGTCCCGTGGTCTTGATTTCTGGGATGAGGACAGCGATAGCTGGAACTTTTCCACTTGCTTGCTTTTGGCAGCCGAAGGAAAGACCAGCGAGTGGCAAGTTCAGAGCTTTTCAGATGGTTATTCGATTTCTTTATTTCAGACATCAAATCCTCTCCGGTCAGAAATGCGTAATTGAGAAGAGCACTACGATCCCTGACGACCAGTCAAGAAGTGATCGACCAGAGCCCCGGCTTAAAGATGGACTCAATAACGTCCTATTCGCCACACTCTACGAGGTTTACTTCAATCCAATAAACGGACACGAATTGTTGAAGCTTCTGGCAAGTCTGGGTATTGATCTACGTACGATCACTAGTCCAAATTACCAATCATTATGGGAAGAATCACCAACATCCCTTACGATGAAATACCCCGACACTGTCGACTTCTGAACGCTGGAACCGACTGCACTTGGAAGAGCTGCGGTGGCCGTGCTCGCAAGACTCGGTCCGCGATGGTAGACAAGAAGAAACCTACCCATGAATTTGACATCGTCTCCAGATTTGTACGGCGAGAGAGGAGAATATTCTTAAATCCTTGCCCCAAGGAACATGGCGATTCGATGTTTGTTCTGGGTTTGGAGAAAAGTCTTCTGGGCGGTCAGAACATGTCTGTACAAGCAGTGAAGCCGTCGAGATATGTGTATGAATTCTGTTTGGGGCATATTGACGTGATACCAGCTCCTGCATGGGTGTACAATAGGGTGAAGACTTGAGACTAGGGAAGGGCGCTTTTCAAAAGGAGAGCTATATTTCAACCGTAACTGTTGACGACCCCAGTTGATTCAAGTGGTTTGCGAATCCAAAATGGAGAGGGTGACGACATTCGTGATTTTATTGCCATTCTTTCACGGCCCAACGGCCAACCTCAATGCATCAAACTTATGATTACTTGCACCACAACAAATACTGCTCTTGATCTGAAACCACGGACAGTTTTCTCTGACGATAACAATACCCGCACCTCTTTCCTCCTGTTTTAGAGTGGTGGAGAATCCTCCGCATCGCATCTAGGTTCTAGGATCAGATAGTGGAGGAAAAACCACACAGTAGCAAGTATCCCTAGAAGCGTTCCCAAGTAGAATGCCAGTGTTCCAGCGCAGAGGGCCCTTGGGATTACAATGTCACCACGCACAGCTCTGAATCGAGTTAAGGTCCACAGGTGCAGAGTATTCAAAGAGTCATGAACGAAGTGGTAAAACCAAAAGATGGCTTCGAAAGGATGATATGGTTGAAGAAGAACAAAGCGCATGATTATGCGAGCGAGGCTAACAAGGGCCGACGCAATATACAATACCAGGCAATATGTATGGATGTTGTTGCCTAGTCGCAACGTCGACGTCATCTTTTTGAACCATCTCGCCGTTTGGAGGATCTCTATTCTTCAACCGAATCGCCAATTGGAGGAGTAAGGGCACTCGATTCGCTCCTATTACCTCCGTCAATTTGGTAGATGGCCAGAGTCTATGTTGGGCCAACATCAGCCCGGGTTGCCTCACTGGTTATCCCTTCCATTCTGCCGTACTTGCCAGTTCAGATGTTGGATCTGATAATTTCCGCCTCGCCCAATCTCGAGGTCAATCAGTATCTTCAACCATGTCACAATCTGCTCGGGTGGACCTATTCGATATCGATGGCGGCATAGGGGCGGTGCTCTAGTGTGGTACAGTTACTTCCAGGGCTTGACGCTGGCACAACGATATCCAGAGGACTACGACGGCATCCTCGCCGCCGTGCCTGCGGTATATATGCCAAAACTGCTGATGGGGCATTACTGGGCACAGGTAGGTGGATCCATATCGTCACGAACAGGTAGCTCTATTTCCTATGACGGATGGCGAGGAGTGTGGTGAGACCTGTCATCCGACGTAGAACATCCCAATGCTGGATGGCGTTGTGCAGCCGCGTGGAAAGGCCTTTGCCCAGTTGAAGTCGGAGGTGACTGAAGCCGAAGAGGGAGGGAAAATGAAATCGTCATACACATGTGGCTGAATGCCCGGCCCACCAACACAGAAGGCAATAAATATTTGGGATGAGAGAACCGAAAGCCGCCTGCTAAAAAATGGATGCGAAGTCTTACCAAATGGCACCGCTCCCTATCCCGAATGCTGGGAAGAAGAGGCAAACAGACTCGCGAAGAAAATGTGACCCTGAAAGAATCCAATCTTTTTTTTTGGGGGGGGGGGGGTTCAAATCAGCTCAAATGGCCGCCCCTTCAATGCTTCATGTCGCAAATATACACCTCCTGGTGTATCCCCGGTAGCCTCAAGACCCGTATGCTGGTGTTGGTACAGAACATAAGCTCGTGAATTCATCAATACATTATTTTGTTCCCGAAAAATGTCCGAAACCCGTCTCAGCGGGCATGATAATTTATCACCCCTAGACTTTGTCTCATCTGTGATAATCGATCTGGTAGTGACCGAGGAGGTGAATTCTCATCATCTTGTTTCTCGTCGTCAGCAATTTTTTGTTTTGCCTTCGTGGGAATGAAAGAAAAGTCCTTCAGGCCAGGTAACCGTGATATCTTTTTCCCAGCCTTCCCAATACATTCCTTTGAATTGATTTGTACTTGTGAGTCGGTGACTGAGTCTTGTCTTAATCTGCCCATAGGGCTTGAACTAGGGCTGTTGTCCAGGTTCTGCATGGTCTGGAACCCGGCGGGATTGACGTTCAAGGCGTCGGAGAATTCCATATGACCGTCGTCATCTTTAGACCCATTGGGGTCCATGACAAGAGCAAAACTTTGGCGACGCATTTCATCTTTCTGGAGTCGCTTAATGCCCAGGCGCTTCAATTCGGTCTTGAAATCGTCGAGCATGATTGTGTCGGTCAGACATTTAAATACGAGCGACAGCTTCCACCAAGGATTGATGCTATCCTTTGTCAGCCACTGTACCTATCCGGTATCTCGACACGACATACCCGTCAGTTGAGCCAATGAAGTTATGAATGCTTGCCACAATATCCAAGGCTGTAAATATCAAGGAGAGACAGATGGCGCATAGAAGGATACCGAAACGGGGAGACCGCTTGATTAATTCGAAGACACCAGTTCCATAACATTTGCGAATGACGTGGAACAACGTGATGCAAGTGAATACCCACCACGGGTCCCTGTTTTAAGTTTTGAGCATGCATGTAAGTCACGGATAACAAAAGGAGTCCCTTACCTAAACAACGGCTCATATGGTCTGACTTGGACATAAAAGTCGTTGATGTTGTTGAAGAAACGGAAATTGTCGTAAATTTGGAGGATGATAGGAGGGATGGTGCACACCAATGTCCCCAGATATATTCTTCGTACCCATTTGCCTGTCTCAGGTTTGAACATTGACCTCGAGTCGCAGAAAAAAGGTCGAATTTTCATCCAGGCGACGATGTTGTGGACAATCCAGGAGCAGTAAAGGAGAGCAGCAGTTGACGATAAATACCAGCCGTAACCTTTGAAGGCCATAAAACAAAAAGTACCTGAAAATAGTTGGCCAGACGCACAGATCGTAATGCGGTGCCATTCTTACCATGTGAAAGAGCCGCTAATTGCTGGTCCAAATGTCAGCCTCATGCAATGGGTTTTCCTGCTGGAGCTGCAACAATCTTACTTCAACGAGAATGAACTTGTGTAGAAGAACCCCTCTTCTCATATTTGCCACCGTGATGCATGCCATTATGAGAAGGGCTCCAACCATGAAACCTTGACTCCATGACTCGAGGATGAAATCTTCGTCCGAGGCGAGCTCACGCCAACTGCCATTTCCAGCACCAACGGAGCCGGTATCATTGCGCCGAATGAGTGTTGATGCTGGGGCCATTTAGGGGGATCAAGTCGAATCAATTTACGAAGTTGTCATTTCATTTCTGTAACAGGGGAAGAATCGCGCTAAATGCGCTCGAGAGACGGGAAGCTGCCTCGGGTTGTATTTTCTCGTGGCAGACGAGTTTGATCTGTCGCTCGGGGTGGCCGTACGAGAGGATTAAGTCAATGGGGTTCAGTCCCAGTTGGCGGAACGTGTAAATAGCGGTCAACGGGTGAAGTGGTAATTTGAGATGTGGGAGGTATCGAGCCGGGGCGACAGCGGTGAGACGAGGCGGGAGGACAGAAAAGAGACCGATGAGACGGTATGACGGCTAAGCTAGACAGAGATTCAAGAGATGTGAGGAGAGAAGAGGAGAGGAAAAGGAAAAGAAGGATATGATTGTGAAAGCGACCGCGACGTAGACAGCAGTGAAGTTAGTACGGAGTCGAAGAGTGAGAGTGTGGAAATAGAACTGGACTGGAGATTGGAACGGTTGCGTTCGTTGGCATGAGAGAGTGGTGAATGGCCGACATTGCAAACCGTCGACGACTAGGATGATGTTAGTCTGGGGAGCTGAGAACTTTCATGCTTGACCTGGGGGATTTTCTGGTGGCAGATGATTTGACTGGCAATGAGGCCGTTCAGCCGGGGAGCCAGGTCCAAGACCAAGCGATGGAGAGGGATAAATTTGACGGGCGCAGTGGGGGAGGTGAGGGGACAGCCCAACACACATGAGGCAAAGACCGCCACTGTCAATTACTCGGGTAGTGCGCCGTTTTAGCCAGACGGAACCTGTTCCTGCTCTCTCTCCCAGTGAGCCAACGTACCAAGTCAGCAAAATTCCCCGTCTCAAGGTCCGTGAGGCGTCCCTCCTGGTTCCATCGTCCGATCCCTTAGGTGATTTTCCCTGCATGCCATGAGCCTCGAAGCCTGCAACCCGTGAAGCCATGAGGTATGGCGAGACGCTCTATTCCTGATGGAGTCTGCCGTCCGAGAATTCAACCCACAAAACCCTCTTCCCACCTCCAAGCTTTCTTGCAGGGCTCGCTTCAAAGCCACAAAGCCTGCCGGTTGCCTGCAACCCAGTCCAGCCCCAAAAAACATCTCGGGAACAACAACACCCAATCTCGCTCGGCAAAATAATGCGTTGAAATGAGAGAAAAATGATGCATGGCAAGAGTAGGGCACTCACACTCAATGGTTGGCATCGAACAACATGGACAAAATGGAGGCATATTCCGTACCAAACGAGGGCACGCGATGCGGAATCACGAGCCAGTTCTCCCGGCGAGGCAGACTCCCGGACCCCATGAGTTTTTCCTCCCTGTCGTTCTCCATCCTGCTAAAACCTGCCCACCGACAACGACGATCGTGAAACGGGGGCATCATTTGTCGGTTAGTGCGGCCTCGATGTGCGCGCCCTGCAGCTATGCGTCCACCTGACTTCGTTTTCCTTTCCCACGTTTGTTATAACATGTCCGAGTACGATAACAAAGGCCCCCGGGCGAACTTCGAGGGTGTGAACAAGAGAACAAGTTGAAAACCCTAACGCAAGAAGATCCGAGATATCTGTTGCTATTCTTATATGCCCCCAAAAAATGGTCTCATGGTTCGCGCAGGAGTGCAAGCAAAACATTCAACCAAGTGCCCCTCTTTAGCTATCATTGTGCTGTACCTGGAGGTGATGATTAAATAATGGCATGACAGAGGAGAAAAGAGTCATAATCATAATCGTAATGATACATGAACGCCAGATCATTTGTTTCGTAAAAGCACTTCCAAGTCACAACGACCCCCGCCCCGCAATTCTGGGGAGATGATTGTGTCGTCTCGTCACTTTTCGAACAAGGCAACCTTACATCCAACACCAGAGGCCAATGTCACCGTCATCCATTCCCGCCATTCCCGCTCATCGCGGCTCTCGATCTCCGCGAACGTCTGCATCAGCCTGATGGTCGCATAGCTGGCCTCCATTAACGCATACTGCTGGCCCACACAGATACGCGGGCCCCCGTTGAACGGCAAATATTCCCAGCCTGGCCTCAAAGTCTCCCATCGCTCCGGCTTGAATTCAAGTGAGTCAGATCCGTAGAAGTCTTCCCGTCGGTGCATCGACCAGGGTGAGTATCCTACCACTGTTCCCTTGGTGACCAGCACTGGTGATTTGCCATCTGGGCCGCCTCCCAGCGGCAGGATTGTGTCGCGGATCGCCTCACGACTGTTGGCAGGCACCACAGGCATCAGACGGAGAGATTCGTTCAACACCCATTTCAGGTATTTCATTTCTTTGATCATGTGGTAGTCCGGTCGCTCGCCTCCTAGGCCATCGACTTCGGCTTTCAGTCTGGCCCAGATGTCCGGTCGCTTGGACAGCACGTGCCACGTGTTCGATAGCAGACCTGCCGTAGTATCGCGGCCAGCCAGGAGAATATTGAGCAGCTCGGAGCGAAGAGCGTACGGGTCACGCGTCTGATTGAGCAGGGCGTGCAGGAACACGTAGCGCCCAGTCCCCGACCGCTCCTTGGTCCGCAGCTCCTCCATCGCCTCATGAATAATCTGGTCGGCAAAGTTATGGATGATCTTGACGCTCTTGCGCCACTTTGGGTCTGGAACATATTTGTCCAGACCGCCCAACTGGAAGTTCTTTGAAACAGCTGTGAAGAAACATGTGAGTAAATAAACCCTCAAGAGAACACAGAGGCTGGGTCGAACGTACATTCAGTCACGTACACAAAAGCCTTAACAAACTCGTTGGCTGATTTAGTCTCCAGACCAGGGGCCAGAGTGTTGGTCGATCGGCCAAAGAGGAATTCGGTGGCTGAATCCATGGTCAAGCCAAAGAAGAGATCCTGCAGGTCGACGGTTGATCCGTCGCGTGGAACGGAGTCGATCAGGTGGGACACGTGCGCCTCAAACATGTCGAGGTCTGCCACTTGTTGGCGAGTGAAATTCGGCCGCACCATGGCACGAGATCTCTCCCAGGAGGCTCCGTCGGTGGAAAAGATGCCATGGCCAAAGATGGGGATGAAAACTTCTTTCCTCCTCTCTCCTAATGAGTAATCACCGAATTTGGTGGACAAGATGGTTTTAACATTCTCGGGCTCAATGGTAGAAATCACTGGGGGAGTGGGTGAGTCAGTCTCAATGGGATTATGGCACAGGCTTGAGGATTCTTCGTGTCTGCTTACTCCATTTGTTGAGCATTTTGAAAGTGAGGGTCTTTCTTCCACCAGACCAATTTCGTAACCGTGTGGCTTCATGCATATTTCCTTCTTTCGCCGACCGGACCAGCTCCTTGATGACGTCCAACCCCCATAGTTTGCCCATAATGCCCTTGTGAGGGTAGGCATAGGGAGGTTGACAACCATGATCCCGAATCATACGATGTCTTCGAGCACCAGTGGTCATTTCATACCATATCCGCCGGAGAGCAAAGATGACCACTAAGGACAGTATGATGACCGGGATGGAGAAATGAGGAAGTGACAGGGTCGCCATGGCTGGATCCTGAAGAAGATGAGAATAATGAAAGGGACAATAGTTGAGTGAGAGAAGAATGTTGTCAGCGGTCGAAGCCGACACCTCACCGATTAAAGTACCCAGCAATGCGAAGGTGGACTGTGGACTTCGGTTTCCAAGGGGAAAGACGTCCGATAGTGATTTATGAAGTGGTTCTTGTTTCCATGATCCAAGCTGAGTAGTAGGAACGTCTGAGGGTGGACGATCGGAGGTTCAGCGAATAATAGTTAGATCCGCCCGTCCATGTCAGCACTGCCTAGTCAGGAATGGCTATGCTATGAACGAGGGCCGCGACACCAGCAGGGCAGGGAAGAATCAGTTTCGGGAGGATGCTCGACTCGGCCATCTGCATCCTGGATGCCTGATGCCGTCCGTCGTCCAGGCTGTCGGGAAGCTTGCTGAGATGGATTCGGCGTACTCGTACTTTTGATCTGGCCCAGATGAGAAAGCATGCCTTAGGATGTTTGGAGAGAGGGGTTGTTCACAAGCTGAACTTTAATTCCACCATCTGCCGTACTCCAGCCGAGGCTCAAAGCATTATCTGGATCACTCCTGGTTGGTCAACTACCGGCACCACGTAAACTTGGCTGTCAGCAGGCCATCGTCTCCATTGTCTCGAGTAGAATTCATAGCGAAACAACGCTCCGACGGGTTGATAATGACGCCGACCGAATCCAATCGAATGCAATCTTGATTGGTTTCAGCCCCATTCGTGATCCGTGGTACAACTCCGGCAAACAAAAACAGAGAAACGAATGAGCATTCTAGGCCATTCTGATCAGCAGTTCGCATAATCCGGCCCCCAGCCTTGTCCATTCCTTTGACGACCTGAGTTTTCGACCATGACCATAAACACCCCATCTGGTTCTTACCCGGTCCGTCGCCCTTTTCCTCGTCCGCGAAACCTTCCTCTCGCTCCAAAACTGCCACCTCGTCCTCGACCACTCTCACCTCCGCCATTTGGTTTTTCTCGACTACTCCCTCCATAACGACCACCTCGACTACGATCTTTCCCCTTCCCGCCCACCTTGAAATCAATCTTGATGAGTGGACGTTCCACCATTTCCAGTCCCTCGAATCCCAGCTCGGATCTTTTTTCTTCGCTCACTTTCCATGGCTGGAATATTTCCTGCGGGTCCTCTAATCCGCGCAGCTCCTCCACCCAAGCTTTGCAATATTCCCCCTGAGGGTCATAATCACAGCCTTGCTTGATTGGATTGAACACTCGAGCCTCTCCCCGTGGGTCGTTCCCTACGCCGGCCACGTATTGCCAATTACCCCAGTTGGAACTTACGTCGTAGTCGATCAACATGCATTCATACCATTCAGCACCAAGTTTCCAGTTGATTCCTAAACGTTTCGATAGGTAACTGGCAACATTTTGTCGTGCTCGATTGCTGGTATAACCGGTAAGCAGGAGTTCTCGCTGGCTCGCATCAATCAATCCGGTACCGGTTGTCCCTCTGAGGAATCTTTGAAAGGCCCTGGTCACCTCATCGCCCTCGTTTCTGCCTCTCGGCGTCTTCCAGGCAAAAGAGTGGTCGTTCCGGAATCCTTCCAATCGGAACAACCGAGGTCCAAATTTCCTCGTGCATAGCCTCGTATAGTCGCGCCATAAAAGTTCGAACCGAACGGCGGCCGTGCCAGCGTTCTCCCCTTTGCCGTATCCCTCTATGCCTTTGTATTGGTCATCCTGGCCCTCCTCAAAATCTAGCAGCTGTGAATGGACTTGACGAGCGGTGATGCAGCCAAGTGCTAGCCAAGCTGAGAGCTTGGTTGAAAATTCCGTCCCTAACAAGCCATTGCGAGTGTCTTTGTATCTGCTCATGGCTCCAGAGCCAATCAGAGACCGTATTCGTTCCAGGCCCGCCGAGCTGCCACCGGGGAAGGGGTGTGCTGTTTGCACTCCGGGAGGAAATGACGGTGGGTCGTCGAGAGAAGGGCTGTCTCTAAGAGGCTTGGTTAAGCATGATTCTAGCTTCTCATAGGTATCAGGTACAGAAAATGGTTGACTCTGAGAGGGTATGAATGTCGGTATGGACGGCAATGAGGATGGAGTTGGGACTGTCTTTCGCGGAGCGTCTCTGAGGGGCTCGACTGATTTTCGATAGCTGGTGAAGACGTCCGGGAGATCGGTTGGTTTATCAAAGGGAAGATCTCGACTGCCAAAACGTCAGCCGTTGCCTACCTGACCGCCATGACTGCTGCATACTCATCAATGAAGTACTTCTCATCTGGCCATAGCTTGAAATCAACTCCGGCTCGTTCAGCAGCTCTTCGTACATCTCTCTCCTCTTGTTTTTCCTCCACACCCTCTTCCTCAGTCATCCACACCGCTGAGATAGACACCTCGCCCTTTTCCTGCTCGAACTCTTGTAAGAGATCTCGCATGACTTGACCCAAAGTGCCGACCCGTATGACGAGGCCAGATCCAACCTCCTCAAGGTCAGATTTCAAGCCCCAGACTGATTGTGCGAGGAATTTGGCCCTGTGAAGACCACACCTCCAGAAATTTCCCAATTCGGACCGAGCTTCCGGGAAAGGTGATTTAGCACCTGTATCAGCGAGGAACCCAGAGACTTCCACCTGCTGAGCAGCAAAGACATAAATTGGTAGGACATGGGTGAACTGGTTCTGGGGCTGTTGTGAGAGCCTGTGTATTTCATGGAAGATAGGGTTGTCGCAAAGTCGCAAATCTCGTCTCAAGAGGTATATTAGCACCCGTTGAGCTGCCATCGCCGCAATTATCTGGCAGATGCAAGGGACTCTGCCCGTTCATACGGACTCCATGAGTGGCAGAATACAGGGCTGGCTGTCTCTGTGGGAATTCTTGGTTAAAATGTATGTCAATGTTTTCTTTGATTCTTGAAATATTGAAAGATTGTTCCTTGATGGAAAGTCCGGTTGAAAGCCTTGTCGGTCCGGCCTTCTTATATTAGATGCTGGCGGGAATTGAGATCGAAGAGCCACCAGAGAGATCGGACGAAAGACTTCGATCAGGGCGGATTGACGCCTCATATAACACCAAGGGACAGGAATGGTTCCCGGAAACGAGCCACGGCTACTACGTACATGGACGTCGGGAAAGCATGCAAGAATGTCTGCTGAGGATTAGATCTGACCAGTTGAGGGCCAAAGCACTGCGCTAAGGATCCCGACAGAGGGGAGCTACCGAAGGCATCCATATTTTTTTCCTGCATTGCGGATGCGCCAGCGCAAAAGCTGGAGATTTGACTCAGAGTCTCGTGGGATCTGATGAGGTCAAGGAAGGATATTGAGTTTGGGTAGATCCCATGCCAGGAGCCTTAGGCCGGAGTAAGAGTGTACTTGGATTTGAGTGTGAAAGGACGGATATGTGGGCCTGAAGCAGTCCCACAGCTAAAGACTCAGTAGGATTGGTGGAGGAAGTCGATTGTTGGCTTTGGGCAGGGAAACGTGGCAGGCAGCCAACGGAGAAAATTTGGAAAGGTTGGGCGAGAGAGCAAGTGTTTGATCTGGCGAGATCGAGTTGTGGAGCATAAGCATGGGACTGTCGATCGATCTAATGAGAGCCAGATGACGGAGGGGAATCGCTGGCACCCCGTTGGCATCCTGTAGCCTACAGCATGGCGTACAAGCAGGTTGTGGTCGCGTTTTAACAGCCACGAGGCGAGTAGAGGACGCGTCTCCGTACCCGCGGAGCGATCATGAGGGCTGATGACACTGCTAGTTTCATGTACAAATACTCTGTAGTTTGCTTCTTCTGCACGTGCAACTGTCGAACAGCGCCTTTGCGTCCAGAGACTTATTCGCCGATGGCAGGCTAATTAGCCGATAGACCAAGGATATTTTACTTGCTCTCCCGTGACTGTGCTTGCAGCTCTTGTGCTGCGGTTTTGAAGGCTCCCGGTCTCGCACGGGGCATGACTGGTCAGAATTTGATCTAGCAAGAGAACAGAATCTGAAAGCGATCATTGATTACAGCCCTACAAGAATGAAGCGTTGTGGCTTTGCCACGTGACTACCATAGTGGCTTCGCCATCCCGCCCAGCTTCAGACCTGAAAGCCTGCGGCCTGTGCTTTCGCGCTCGGCAGTCTTCCGCAAGCGAGGCTGCTCCATTGCAGGGATCCGGGGAATGGTCATGCTCACGGTCCAACCTCATTCCTGGGTTGAATAACTCTCCTCATCATCACCCCGTGAAGTGGTGGAGGGTTCTAAGCGCGAATGTGAGGGTGGCACGAACAAAACCCCGAATCAGCCACCAAGAGATCAATTCATTAAAGCCGTGAGAACTGACCCCAAATTAAGATAACGCTCATATCTGGAGCCCTCAGTTTGCCATCCTTCGTCCAAGCGCCCTGCCAAATAAGGGTCTCCAACAGTCCTGTGATGCCATTCCTAGTCCCTGGGTATAATAACAAAGTGGGTATACTGTAATGCCCAATCCAAATGAAATCCATCAATACAGTCAGTCTCACCCTACCAGTCGCTGTAGACCGCCTTTCCATCAAGTCATGAGCCAAGAGAGGATCGAGCAAGAGCATTTCTGCTGCAAAACAAAGGCCCGTTATGCAAAATTATTGTACAGTCGCCGAGTAAAGGAGAATATGGGTAAAATAGACTGACATAAATCTCGTTGATCATGTCGCTGTGGCGGGCTCCGGGCTTCCGTTGACGCCATCACTCCCAGATTCGGATTTGAGACCATCTTCCCTTGGTGCCCCATCGGTTGAGGAACCACTGCCACATCCCTTGACTAAAATGTGCCTCTGCGATGATCGTTAGTTCTTGTGTCAGAAATCACTATGAAGTGCCGAACTCACCTTGAGCGCATCCTTGCGAGAGAAGCTCTTGTCACAGTGAGTGCAAGGGAAAGGTTTCACGGCAAGATGGATTCTCTTGTGGCGCTTCAGGTCATGGTTGCGATTGAAGCTTTGAGGGCACTGATCACATTTGAAAGGTCGATCGTGTGCTGATGGCTGTTGCGGTGCATTGGTCCGTTGTTGGCCATACATGGCTGGCGCATTGGCAGCATAGCCGCTGTTGAAAGCCATGGGCAGCAAATTGGGTTGCATATTTCCCACCATCGCCATTTGGGCTCCTGGGCTGTGAACATTGGACATAATAGGTCCGGGCATTGCAGGCAAAGAATATGAAGGAGGAGGGGGTCGCATGAATGGATCTTGTGGTTGTGGTGGGACTGCTCCTTGATGAAGAGTGGGAGAAATGCGTGGTGCCGACCGAGAATGGGAGTGAGGACTTTGCGACACAGGGGTGGAAGCTGTATATGGATATCCGGGTTGATGCTGAGCGGCACTTGTCATGCCTGTGTACAAGGTCGGATTGGATGATGGTCGGCTAACTCCATCGTTGGGTGTCGCTGAAGACTGTTTGCTTTGTGGACGAACCCCATTCTGCAAAGAAGATAGAACGTGTTGCTGGGCAGAAGAGTTGGGGGCACTGGCAGGAGAAGAAAGTGGGAGAGGTCCTCCGTACGGCGGAACAGCGTTCAGATCGTATGGGGGAGGAGGCAACGCTGAAGCCTCTCCGGTCGTAGGGGAGTTGGCGCTATTTCTCACTGACGGGCCCGGCATCGGAGAGAACATGGGCCGGGGAGGAATCAACGGATTTCCACTTTGCCAGGGCTGCGTGAAGCCTGCATGATATCCAGTCGGAGCGGTGCCAGTATTGAAGAAGGTGGGGGTATAAGGGAGCACGGGAACTGCGGCGCTGGTGGGAGTTGTTCCCGCAGGAACGGCAGATGAGACTGTGCTTGCCTCAGAGGCGGAATTGGAAGGCGGTGTCAGAAGTTGTCCCACACTCACCGGCGCAGGACCAGCGTGAGAGGTGTTGATACCTGACAGGGGAGGGAATTTCTGAGCTGACACCTGGGTGAATTGAAGGTTTGTTGGGGGGGGCAGCTCAAATGCAGGAAGGTTCGAGGCAGCTTGTCTGCGCTGGGTCAGGCTCGAGGATGTGTTATTGAGGGCATCGAGGGATGTCCCCATTGGAAGGGGTACTGCAACTGACGCCAGAGTGGCTGTTGAAATGTGTTCTGCGCGCGATCGCTGAGTGAATAAAAGAGTATGATCAGATTAGGCCGAAGGCACTGGTCCAGAAACAGGACTGCAATCCGGATGCCGCGATTCTCTGGACTTCTTCTATCGCAGTCTTCTTCGAGATGTCACAATTATGTCGAGCTTGGTCCAGTTTTGGGATTTCTTTGTATTTTGCTCACTGATAACGTGGGTTTTGGGCTTTGTTATGAGCTGGAGAAAGAAGACCTTCGGCGCGTGTCCTGGAGGAAAGCAAGACGATTGGGGGCTGACTGTCATATGCGGCGAGGACTTGATGCTATAAACGGCGTCTGATACGCGATAACAGACTGGTGTTGTTGGGTGTTGGAGCGATGGTGAGTGAGGATCAGTTTTGGCTGGGGGGCTGTGGGCTGGCTTTTGCTGTTTGCTCAATGGTCGGCCGTGGGGCTTTAAGTGGTCAACTCGGCTCGTTGGATAATCAAGGAAAACGATCTACATGGACTCAGATTCGATGGCGATCAGTCGGACATGCGGAAGGGAGAAGGGCAGTACAAAGCGCCTTTATCGGTGTTGGGCAGATCTTCTTGAACCCGTGCTGAAGCAGAGCTCTTCGAGGATCTCATGGGGAGAAAATTGAGAAGAGGAGAGAGAAACTCTGTGATCAGGCTGTGGGAAGAGCAGTTGGAGAATGATTTCAAAGATTGCAGAGTTGATCGGAGGCGCGATCCTTTTGGTCGGGGCAGCACATGGCGTTCTTAGCGGGCAGCTGGCGGCCGGCTGGCTGGACGGGCCTGTCGCCTGCGTCGCCTAAAAAGAGGAGAGCTTGTTCAAAAATGGACAGCGGAGACAGGAGGTGCTAGGATGTGAAGAGACATGGCAGCGGTAGCTGAGCGGCGAGCAGCGAAACGTCAAAGGCTTTTGGGATGCTGTGGATAGCCAAGGTCTGGATGGACCAGGACAGGAGAGTGCATGATGGGATGCGTCGAGGGCGATGATTGATTGATGATTCAGAGTTCAGGACTATGTCAACTTGGATGGACGCAGGCGGGAAAGGCTAAAGAACGTAAGGGTCAGGAGAGCCGACAAGGCAAAAAGGTCGAGACGTGGGAATGGGGCCTAGGTCGCATGGTCAGTTTTCTCCCCATTGAGCATTCACAGTCTGGACCCCGAGGGGCTGCAGGTAGAGTTTTTGCACCCAAAAGGGATCGCGAGAAATTGGATTCTGAGGCAGGACTATGCTGGAAGTAGCTTGGGGCCTCCCAGTGACCTAGTTAAGGTCGAGGCCGAAAAAATGCGGTGCCCGCATGCGAATGCCAAATGCCAATGCCAGAGGTGGAGTGGGTGCGTAGGGGAGAGCCAACCCCAGCGAGCGCCGGCGAAGCTCGGCGTGCAAAAGGTGCCAGACTGGCCGGAGCAGACCAGCTGCCCGAAATGCCAGTTGTCACGCATACGCTGGAATCCGGCACTCATCACAACCTGGTCGATGTACTGCTCATAACACCGACTAGTAATGTTTTCCGGCACGACTTGTCCACCTGGGACATGTCAGGGTCCTTTGTCTGGTGGTGGGTTTGCATAATGCCGAGTCAACAAATGCGAGACTAGAGGAATACGGGGTTACCGTAGAGAGGGGCGAAGGGAGGAAGGGGGGACGAGGGTGAGATAGGAGAATTTGGAATTCACATCATATGCTAATCTTCAACTCAAAGGTATCATCAGTAAATACTCATGGTAGAATTACACGTATCCGTTGATGAGAACGCAGGCGCAGACACTTGAACAAGAACCGCGCGGCGCAGGTTTCTTACAGCCTTCTGGCCTTGTCTACGTTAAGTTCCACACACAGTCACCTCAAACCATTTGTACCATGGCATTATTTTGCGCCGATCCTCTTGTCATTGAGATCCGGAGTCCTCATCATTGACATCTTTCATCTTTCAGATCCCCGATTCCGCTGGGGGACTAAGCAGTTACGGTTCTAGTGGGCGCTGCCAATCCACCCAGAAAAAACCGTCCCCCTGGTCTTGGTCAGTTGGTCGTGACCCGTGATGGTCCGTGTGTTGATTTCACACCTTTTTGCTCGTAAACTTCGGCTACTGCTAGTCCAGGACTGAAAGGTGCAATACGATACCAAAAGAGTCTCTCGATTCTGGCTCATGATAGACTACCGTTCGACGGGCGAGTCCCAAGGGAGTGTACAATCTTGTACAGGTTAAGCCTCTTCTCTGTCCATCTTTGACTTCGGTTCTGAACAAGAAAAAGGAACGAGTTGTTCAAAACAAACCTCCATCTCCATCACCGACGACACCACCTCCACCATCACGGAGTCCCTTACCCATGAAGATAATATTCCGCAGGGATAGGGAGTACAAAATCACGATTCATCGTCTGACGGATGCATCGGATCTTCTTCGGCATGCGAACCTCTATCCGTCATTTCTTACTCGATCCGATATTTTTCTGATTCTCCTTCAACATCCCTCACTCTACCTGTCGTGCCAGGTGTACAAATCTCTTGCCATCCCCATTCGTACAAGCTCAAAGGTCGCTACGAAGTCCAGAGTCGTTTCTGACCATCTGCAACTTGTTCATTCCCGGCAGGTCCTAAGATGTCAAGGGAAACGGGAAAAGCCTTTAGCTTCAAGGAAACACACAGGCAGAGGTTGATGCTCTGCACCATTGCTGGAATTCGGACCCTATTGGGCGAAGGCCCCCGGTTTGTTTAACCCTGTTTAACTTACGCCACCCCCATTCGTGATGTCTCCCATTCGGCAACTAACTCTTTAGCGATGGCTAGCTTTTTTCAGCGCGTCAAGCAATCTCCAGAGCCATGTGGCTGCCACCACCATTGGGCCGAACCACACCCTCCGTGATCGCGTGGAGCTGCTTGAAAGGCGTTTTTTGCTTGTTTCTCACTTTTCCAGTCCCCTGCGCACTCTCAAAGATCAACACTTGACCCACCTCATTCAAACTCCTCTCTAATCTTTGACCATCCTCCCCCTCCTGGAAGTTCAGCCAGCCGTATTTTTCCTAGAAACCGCCACTTGGACCGGATGGTGGCAACCCATTTTGCTTTTACCAGATCGATCTTCAAGATATGTTTTTTTTTAAGACTACCACGCATCTACGACATTCATTGGCGCCACTCAGGAAGCTTCGCAAAAGCACGATTGGACTTCACTTGAAGCCTGTGGTGGCTCTAGTCACTGGATGTAGCCGACAATTAGACTGGCGTATTTCCCACCACTAGAACTGTCCATTTTCTCCAAGAAAAGGTGACCCTCCTATTTGGCGGTTTCGTTGCTCGTCACTCACCAGAGATGGAATTTCTCACCCTCATTATTTGTCTATCTTGGTCGGTCTCGTGGCCAGGCGTCCCATGCGATTCGCCCATTGAGAAAGCGAGACCAGTGAGCACTTTACGTCAAACAGGATTCCTGTACCACAGCAATTTCAGACCTAGGCTTGTCACGCAGACCATCTGAAAGGGGGAGTGGACACTGCTTCGAGCTCTGTTTAGGGGGTAGCCAATGGTATCACTCCCTAACCGAACCACCATTCCCGTTCAAGGATCCCCGATTGGTGCCCCTGCAGATCGCATCGTTCACCTAGTCGCTGACTGCCCGTTTGCCGGGGCTGCTTGGTCTGAAAGGGCGCTATTGACGGTACTTCTGCGAGTCCGGAAACTCTGCTAACGCTATTTCTGACTTGCCTGACAGCTTGTCTCGAAGTTCACGACATTGAATAACGACGGCACACTTCTCACCCCGATCCCGTATCCATTGACACGCCGGAAATTGTTGGTCTTACCGAGCGACTATCACGTCAATCCAAACACTTGAAACACCTTTTCGACCACCTTTCTCCTAAGCCTTGGCCATGTTCGACGTTGATAATGCATAGCATGGATGGTTCTTCACCTTTTCGGACATTCAAAGCAATCAATCTGCGGTTGAACTGGACCCGCAGAATGAGGAACATTTCTTGTCTCGAAACGCGAAGGGTGAATTGGACTATCTCTTGTCGAAATGACCCGCAATCTCGGCTTTCTCTACCCAACTTTGTGAGGAATTATCGTTCAATAAAAATTTTTCTGGCATTTGCGTCTCCCAGACTCCCAAAGCTCCTCACGAACAGGGGATTGTCACAAAGTGGAGCAGATGTTTCACAGAGCATGTTGCACAAAGGCCGGAAAGGAGTGACGGCACCAGACTCGTGGATCTCCAGCCCTCCGTAAGGTTATTTGTGATTCTTAGTTCGACCGTGAATTGATCTCGACCGTTGTGGTTTTGTAGCGCCAGGAATAAACAGGGTAACCTACTACCAAGAGCTGTGAGTCTTGATATGGCCATCCAGGAATCCGAAAATGTGGATACGCTTTTGAAACCAAAGGCAATGCTATGTTGGGGTTTGGGAATGAAGTCAATTGAGTGATCGAGGATCGGAACTTTTTGATGTTTGAAACCGGAACCATGAGATTATCCGTTTGCGCCACAAATCTTCCGGAGGCTGCAGGTGGCTGTTGGCTAACCCATCCAAGCGTCAGTGACTTTCAAAAAGAAGAAAAAAGACCATCCCGGCTTGACCCCCCTTTCCTAGCCTTTGTATAGGTAGGCGAGATTTCATCGAGAAAAGACCAAACCGGAGAGGAAAACCCGCAACCGAGCGCCATGGCGTGTGGAAACGAGAAATGCTAACGGCCAGCCTCGGAATAGCGCCACTCTTCGGCCTGACAGGTTGCAGGTTGTCGACCTTCGCTTGAGAATCCCGTCAAGGCGAAGCAGATCCAGGTTTGTACGACACTCATGTTTGTGGCCCAGCTTTGCGCCATGGTGAAGCCATACAAACCCAATGTTCCCGACTACATGCCCGGTCCTGTCATCCTGGTGAATAGCTCATGGACACTTGTGCTTGACAGAATTGTCTGCCCAAATAGGGCAGAGTGAGCAGAACGTCGCAAAGCTCTTTGGAAATGCTAATCTATCTTGGTCGGTGACGGTGATCTTCGATGGATGGCATGTAAATAGAGGTTGACAAATAAACATACTCATTTTCGAGATCAAGGGCCCAGGTTTCTGATGTCCAAACCACAGATACGGCATTATTGTTCCATTGATATCCTACAAGCCGGCAATTTCTCCCGTTCTTCGATGATTACCCTTGGTCCAAAATCTTCGAGAGCTCATTTCTCGGCAAGCGAAATCGGCCCGAAATCATTCCAGACTGCGCGCTCTTCCCAATAATAACAATGGTGTGCTCGACGACCCTCTCGCTGGTGACCACTATACGATAGTTGCTCATCTGTTTCGACGAAAAAGACATTGGGAGATTCGTGCAAGAATTCATTCAAGGCTTGCACAGCGCCTGGGCCCATCTCAAGAACGAAATCAATCTGTTTTACATGCCTGGGCATTCGCATGACTATTTCCTCTGGGTCGGCGAATCCTCTCCAACCAGCAGCCCCCCATGTGCCATGCAGCTCCTCCAGGGCCTTTTTGTGTTCTCTATCTGGAATGTCGAATGAGAAATGTCGATCCCAAACATGGATGTCCAGCACTAGCCTTGGCCTCGGTTCATTTTGAGGAATTGAAGCAAAAAAATCCTTCAGGTGAGGGATCGCCTGCAAAAGGATATGCGATGAGGGTTGCACAATCAGGTACTCTAAACTCGGACATCTCTGGTTAAAAGTATCCCAGATGACGCTGATATGGCCTCCCGGTTTCCAGCAATTATTGAATATCGCCAACGTCCTGATCGAGGCCAATGCCGTGGCTCCTAGACGGCAGAAGCTATGTAGGTCGGTGAAAAGCCGGAAACTGTTGGCGCTGTATGCAAATTGGAGAGCATCGCAGGAAATGGCTTTGTTTACTCTGAAGATCTCGGTGTAGAAAGTCGGCTCAGTCTCATCAACGTCAAGCCAAGTTTCGTTAATTTGGGGAATGCGGTCTCCTGAGCCCAAAGTAATGGGCAAGGGTTTGTGGCAGAACAAATATCTGTATATCTTGTGACGAACCTCTGGCGGGAGGTCAAGTAGACCTAGTCGTCGTTGAGCCGGGTGCGTTGAAGTCATGGCCAGTGCGGTCTGAGCTGAGTCGACATCATGATACACGGTGAGGCTGGTGAGCGGAGTTTATCTTTGACGAGGCGTGGATAGATTTGGAGGAGATATTATATCGTATGTGACGCAATGTAGATGTTCACTTAGACATGGACATTTTGCTTCTGTCATGCCATTTACCCTCCAGAAAATGGTAGCTCACGCCAACACCGATGAGTAGCCTCTCTCCACACTATGCTCCAGAGTACCCATTCACTAGTACATTCCGGGGTTAGACCAAGGCTTAGAGTCACGTGATTCGATGTTTGCCATGACGTCGTTGCAGTAGTATCTCGCTTGGATTGCACTGTGCTATATACCGGTCTCGTTCCTCTATCCATATCACGCCATTCTGATATGCACCCAAAACCTATGAAAGGTTGGGTATCAAATATGTTTCGCCTGGTAAGTGTCTATTCTCTCATGCCTCAATGCCATGTTCGATTATCAGAGATGTATTTCTTCTTTGGGTCCTCGTCTACTACAAACGAGCCCAGCAAAATGAGAACCATTTCCTCACAATCACTTTACCCAGTCGAAAACCCTCGATGTAATCACCCTCTTCCACAGACCTTCCCTGCCCGCCTCGGTGCGTGTCTCCAACATCCTCAAACAAGCCTCCGCCCAAGCCAGCCAGACGGCCACCGAGGACCAGGCATCGGACCACACCCCCCAGAATGAGGCCGTGACGCGCGACCCCTTCGAGCTCGAAGTCACCGAGGCTCCGCCCACGCCTGATCAGCTGAAGAGCATCTTCGAGTACGTCGGCAACGGAATGGCGGGTAAATTGGTGAAGGGCGCAGCGAGCCATGGCGATGCTCTGCGCAAGGTCAAGGCGGATGGTGACGCGTTTACTAGACCGGTCGTGGTGGATTGGGCCAGGGGCAAGGCTGTGGTCGGGGACAAGGAAAGTGAGATTCTCCAGTTGCTGAAGGCTGAGAAGGAAAAGTGAGAAGCTGAAGAAGATGGCGTATGGGGATAAGGTTCGCGTCGAGACAACACCAAAAATTGGGAGACAAGAAAAGGTGTCGAGGAGAAGTAATGGGACTGGAGTTAGGCGCTCTCCACAATCCGTGGGATTCTCTCGGTCCCATTCTCAACTACTGCTATGAAGGAAGTTGGGAGTAAAAACGCTGCAGGGCTGTCAGAGTGGGCAAAGCAAAGCGAAGCCGAGTGAGGCTAGGACCTAGATACTGCTCCGTATTCTATCAATGGGAGTCAAAGCATGTTATGAATCATTCTCTTTCTCGCTAAGTTGGTCTCGGATTCTGGTGTTCCCTCTCACGTGAATGTCTATTTCGCAGCTCCTTGAGTTCTTGAACACAGCGACAGGCCATTCTCTTCGTCCGGAGAACAAATTCATGAATAACCCTTTCTCCCATGTATAAACTGACTGCTGGCCCTGCACGAATAAATACTCCTATAGTTCCGTAGCCTTGTCTTCCAACATGGAAGCGTGTCGTTTCCGTCTGAAGGTGTCAGATATGGACCAATACCTGTATCAAGATAGACATGCATTGCTGGGTTAGCTCACCTCATCAACTGCCAACCTTTTGAATGGGACAGTCTGAGTTTCTCTATCTCTTCTTCTGCCGTCGAGGATAGAAGGAGAAATCGAGCTTCAAGTCCACGAGCCTATGGTTGATCGGTGACATACTTCAGAAGATTGTCCGCTGCAGGAAGATAAGCGACGGGTGTCAGATTTTGCGACACGCCTTCTGCAAATTCTTGCCATTCTCCCAGTTAAGGATATTAATTGTCTCTGATTTGTTGGCCGGGACCTGGAAACGGCCTGGCTGATAGGATGATGTGTGACTGGTGAAATGGATAGGGACGACCGTTCTAGCAGGAACTGCGGGCAGTTGGATCGGCTGGTGTTCTGCTTTTCGTAAGCAGCACAGATTCAAATGTATCGCGACTGCGCAATTGATTTAGGGAACTCCATTGACACGAGTTATCAATATCAGACAAACTAAAGTGAGTAGGAGTCAGAGAAATGGTTTCCTTGCCAATCTAAGACAGCGGCAGGAGGGAGCGATGTTCGATTTTGACATTGGGCATCCGGTGGCTTAACATCGACGGACTGAATGAACCTGCAAAGGGCCACATCACCATGGCCAAGGAGAAGGGCGTGAGTTGCTTGGTTCCATGATCAAGGATGTTCTCAACACTAGCTTTTCTCTCTGCTCTCGTTCCACCGTGGTCATGGATTTATTCCCAGTTGCAAGGTTCCTTCGCATACTTCAAGTGCCATCCAAGATGAAACGTTGCCAATTATACTTGTCAGTCCATGCAAACAACGTACTGGCCATATCATGCAGCGGACCTGAAAATAAGGAGGCTCGAGTACAACCAACACATCATCGTTGTTGGTCGGTGGGGGGAGGGGGTTTCTGGTAGAAGTGACTAGGGACTAAGGCCTTGGGCGTTTGTTCTTGGTCACAAGCGCAATGAAATCTGGTTCTCTCCCGGCAGAGGAAATTGCCAACAGACATTGAATATCAAATTGCCCTAGCCAAAAAACAATCAGGGATTCATCTGGAGACAACACGAGTTTCCCTAAAATGTTTTGAGATGTTCCGCGGGATTTCAATTTGAACAACCGACACGAGGCTTGAACCCATGCTTCCCACGTCACTGTTTGGGCAAAATTTCTGAGGCCACCAGAGACCCAAGAGAACGACAAGGCGACACTGCAATGTCCACATCAAAAACTGAGGAGATGAAGGCACAGGGCAGCTTGGCAACCAAGGAAGGCTACGCAAACAAAAGAGATCCCCCACCAGACTGGAACAGAGACGCAGGGCAAGTGGTCGGACTCTGGTTTTGGTTTTATGCCTTATGTAATGAGCAGGTCATTGAGAGCCGGAGGTGGGTTTCCGAGTCGTCCTGACAGGATTTGGAAGGAAATTTTTGGGCCTATGAAACATGACCAAGGATTTTTGCGCTGAAGTCGGTAGCATGTTCGGACGTCCAAGACTCCGGAAATGTAGAGGTGTAAGGGGGGACATGAAGAGAAACGGATCTGATAAGAGATCCAGGAGACCCATAAAGTGGAAAGAAAAGAAGTCGATTTGAGCGCTTCGCAGATTAAGCCGAGAGTCTTGCGCAGTATTCTCGAGACGATTTGAGATGGCAAAAGCAAAGTGGTGACGCGGAGAGAGGGACCATCGACAGGGGTGAACCGCCTGGGCACGAGGCTGGGCGGCTGGGCAGAAGAGTCAGCAACCGTTGGTCGTTGGTTGGTTGCGGTTTGCAGTTGGGAGGCGGATTGCCACGTCCAAGTAGCAGAGCGATTTGTATTTGAGGAGGCTGGGAGCACGACGGTTGTCGAAGGTCGTGTTGTGAGTTCATTCCGAATAATTTTTTGGCATTCCAAAGTCAGCTTGCTAGTGACTTAAAGCGGCTCTAGCACCACTGCAGATGCGCCCGCCAAGTTGCGATTGTGGGCAGCCCAGAAGCCCGATGCGTCATTAGTCCCTTGCAAACCTGGCCATTGCTGGTCCTGTCATCCGCTCCAAGCCGGCGGCCTGCATCAGAACTCGCTGCCTTCGTACCTAACTCTGTCCTGCCCAGCATGGCAGTGCCTCACTCGGCCTCTCGCATTGCGTTGCGTTGCCATGGCCTTGCAATCCCACCCTGCACATCCCTGCACGAAATCGATGTACCTAAAGTAAAAATGCATTCCCGTTGTGCCTGGCATTCCACCACATTGGTACTTTGTCTTCTCTTCCGTCTCTTCACTGCTGGGAAACATAGAGATACACCTCATTCACTCGATGTGAAAGAGCCCTTTCGCTCAGTTTGACAATCCTGTCTGTCGTTCGCTATCCTTGTTCACCTCAAAGCTCGCCCGCAGCTGCGGATCCGGGATCTACCGCACCCCAATCCTGCAGGTTGCCCCCCGACGTGACCGAACCGACGGTATCCGGGAGCGAGATCTCGACGGTCGTTAATACGAGATACAGCAATAACAGCAAACTATTTGGATTGGACCAAAATATAGACCTCTCGAAAGTTGTCTCACGACTACAATAATCTACCGTAATCAGATCCAACCTCAAATCGCAAAATGAAACCCTTCAGAAGAAGATCCCTCCTCTCGATATGCTTATCAACCCTCTTCTGCTCTCAACATGTCCAAGCAATCACTCTCGACTTACAAAGCCCAGATTCCGTAAAGGCCGCCGCAAAGCAGGTCGCGGATAATATGGTGTCGTATTATACTGGTTACCGGCCAGGGGATGTTCCTGGAAATCTTCCAGCACCATATTACTGGTGGGAAGCAGGTGCCATGTTTGGAGCCCTGATCGACTATTGGTACTTCACCGGAGACGATACTTACAATGAAATTACCACCCAGGCTCTGCTTCATCAAGCTGGTCCCGACAGCGATTTCATGCCTCCCAATCAAACCAAAACCGAAGGGAACGATGATCAAGCCTTCTGGGGAATGGCCGCTCTCTCGGCAGCAGAGAATAAATATCCAAATCCTCCAGCAGACCAGCCCCAGTGGCTCGCCCTAGCCCAGGCCGTCTTTAATACTCAAGCAGCTCGTTGGGATACCACCAGCTGTGGAGGCGGCTTGAAATGGCAAATCTTCTCCTTCAACAACGGCTACAATTACAAGAACACCATTTCCAATGGATGCTTCTTCAACATGGGTGCTCGATTAGCCGTCTATACTGGGAATCAAACCTATGCCGATTGGGCTGACCGAATGTGGGATTGGTGCTCCGCCATTGGTCTGCGAGATGCTCAGTATAACTTTTATGATGGCAGCGATGACACTCTTAACTGTACTGAGCTCGACCACATCCAATGGACCTATAATGCTGGCACATTCCTGGTTGGAGCCGCCAACATGTACAACTTCGTGAGTAACCCAGGCCACCGACAAGAGGGAAAATCACTGACTGTGGAACAGACTGGCGGCAGTCAGGTTTGGGCCGACCGAATCAACGGTATCATTGGGAATCTGGACGTCTTCCTCAAGAACAATGTGATATATGAGGTTGCTTGTGAAGACACGGGGACGTGTAACATCGACCAACGATCCTTCAAGGCATATCTCGCCAGGTGGATGGCGGCGGCAGCTGTCAGGGCACCCTTTGCTTACCCTCTCCTCAAGCCGATCTTGGAAACGTCCGCGATGGCGGCTGCTGCCACTTGCACGGGGGGGGACCAGGGCACATCTTGCGGATTGAAGTGGACCACAGGAGCCTTCGACGGCAGCACTGGAGTTGGTGAACAAATGTCGGCTCTCGAAGTCATTCAATCCAATTTGATCGATGTATCGGCCGGGCCCGTCACTGAAACCTCAGGAGGGAACAGTCAGGGCGATCCCAACGCGGGAACTTCAAGTGATATCGGGCCAGATGATCTGCATGAAGAAGAAGTCACCACTGCTGACAAAGCTGGTGCCGCGATTTTGACTGTATTGATTATTTTCTTCGTTGTGGGAGGTGCATGGTGGATGGTGAAGTAGAATTGTGTTTCAGCGACCAACCTCGTCTGCAGGAGACAGGCAAATGGTGTTTATGATTAACGATAGGTATGGCATCGGCGTTGCTCGATCTGAGATCCAGGACTCATCAGGATCATTTTCTTCAAGCGGCCGCGTTCAACGGGCTGGAGTTATGGAGTCTTTTCAACACATGAGGCGTTCCGCGAGCTGAATGACTGTCAAGCTAGGAATCTGAAATTTTCCCGTGTTAGATGAGTGGACCAGACATTACTCATAGAGCTTCAGCATCGGGCACCCAAATATGGACAGTATTCGCCCAACCATTGAACATGTCATCCAACCTCCTTGTTTTTGTTACATATCGTGAGACGGATTTCTTCAGAAGATGCTGTATGAGGTACGATTTTCTCCCCCCGCGCAATGCCACGTGCATAAACACATGTGCAAAACCAAAACCGGTCTTCAATGCTTGAGAGAACAGCATCGAAGTCGTCTGCCGGGGACTATTTGTCCTGAGCTCCCAGAGCTTCTGCTCTCATCTCCTCCCTCATCCGCCGCTCCAGTGCTCGTTCTTCCAGTTGTTTCTGCTTTGCTTCCTGCTTCCTTCTGATGTCTCTTTCTCTCATCGCCATCCAGATATTCAAGTTGGATTTACTTAACTCTTTCAAGTCGGCAAAAAAAAGTTCCATGTTCTTCTCACGCTCTTCTCGGGTTTCCTCCAGGTGCTGGCGCAGTTCCGGGCTCCATTTCTTCTTGATTTCTTCCGGGTCTGGCACAAGGCTGTGAGGAGGAAAATTGAGTTATGTTTGCTCCACAGAAGGCGAGCGTGACAAAGGTGAAGAATTTCAGGATAGAACGTGTATTGGGGATGGTGAAAAGCAGGCGAGGGCTGGCCTTACGAAAATGTGAGCCACGGTCCTCCAACGCCGACAATTAAAAAGCTGTCGCATTCATCAGTAAGGGTCCTCGAACATTCAAACGTCTGTAAAAGCGGGAAGATATCTTACGCTGCTACCATTTTGGCATACATGAACCCTTTTGAACCCATCCTGATATTCCGTTGAATCGTCAACGAATTCAATGGAGAACAGGTTGCTTCGGCCTGAATTCGGACAGGACACGGGGTTCGGTCAGATGTTGCTAAGCAGGGCGATGAACACAGCGAAATATGCAGGTCCTCTACAAATGGATGGACATAGGACATTGAAGTCTCTTCCATTCGAAAGCTGAAGAGTCTACATCAATGATGCACGACATTCAATTCAGATCCGCGGGCGTTACAAGCAGCCTTGGCAGGTCACTGATTGGCGGACTGTTCATCTCGCTTTCGAGCTGTTCAATTGGCTTCAAGTTCGCCAAACCCAAATTTCGCAAATGTATCTCGGCGGGCTCGTCTGATGAATGGAAGAATGTGCGATTTCAATAGAAGCAGATTTAATGCGGTCGTAAGATGTTGAATTGTCAGACGGACTCACTGGACGAGTATTCCATATAGATCACAGAATACTGGCCCCCTACGCTTTGTGCAGAAATAAAGTCAAACCGGTGTGCGCTATTAATGTAGCCTGCGGATTTTTGCGGAGTGGTGGCTCGAGCTGGAAGCTGGTCGCTGCGTCGTCATGTTTGCCCAGAGCACTGCCTCGCTTGAAGCTCAACTCCCATCGGAGGCCGTGGCAAAAAAGCCCGACCATTTCCTGGACGCTGACGGGGTTTGCGTCTTTAATTGAGATCGATGAAGGGATATTAAGTGGAAGCGACGTTCATTTCCATAGCATTCTCTTGAAACAAAGAATCTTCACAAAGCGTCAACGAAGGTGCACAAGTCTGAGTTTACTAACAAAAGAAACTCGGACCAGGGAGAAGGAGAATCACGTGCCGTGAAACAGTTTAGGTGGCGCAACTCGTCTCAGAAGTGTCTGCCACAAACCAGCCTCTGGGCCTCCAACGTCTGGCTTTGGCGTCTGCCTCCCCTTGTCGCAGCCAAAAAGCCGCCAGATTTCCAGCCCATTGTCAGCTTTCAACCTCCGATTCATCTCCCATTCCCAGTCCATCATCAACTCACCACTTAGCTTACCACTTCACGATCGCTTACTCAGTTACCAACCTCTCTATCATCGTCGCAAACAATCTCCTCGCCGAGATAAATTATCCTCCAGTCGACAACTAAGCCCCCCCAACTCTATCAACGATGGCTGAACGAGAACAACCTTATGACCCCTACATCCCCTCGGGGGGACAAGGCGGTGGTGGTGCGCAGCCGGGTGGCAATCAAAGAACGGCTGCACTACAAGCGGTATGTGAATGGCAGTTCCTACGCGGCATATCTAATGCAGGACATTGGAATGGATGATGGCGGCTCTGTTGTTTGAGGTGTCGCAGATTGGATTCTTCATCAAGAATTGCATCAGCGCACAGCAAGTACCTCTGCTCAGCCCACCATTATCAATCTCCACATATCGACCATCTGTTTATCGTGACACTTGATTCCCGGTCCCTTTCGACCCTATTTCGGGCCATGATTGAACTTTTCTAACATGGAATCACCAGCAAATCGACGATACCGTCGGAGTGATGCGTGAAAATATCAACAAAGTCTCCCAAAGAGGCGAGCGATTAGACTCCCTCCAAGATAAGACCGATAACCTTGCCGTCTCCGCTCAGGGATTCCGACGAGGGGCAAATCGAGTTCGAAAACAGATGTGGTGGAAGGATATGAAGATGCGCATGTGTTTGATTGTTGGCATAATCGTTCTTCTCATTGTCATCATCGTCCCAGCCGGTACGTTTATCGATTGCAGGAACATGAAAATCGCCTACTGACTCGGAACAGTGGTTGCTACCCGCTAGTTATCTCGTCAAACTCAATCACGAAGAGACAGGCCTCCCGAAATGTTCCTCATGAAATCGAAATCAAACTCCGTCTTTTTGGGCTAGCGTGTGTACAATTTGAACTGGTGGAAAGCACTTTATCCCCTGCAGAGAATTAGGATCTCAAGATCTATTGCGTTGCTGTGGTTTATGAACAGGAAAAGTCTCCTCAGTGCTGGCGGAGATTGAAAGCGTGATGAGAAGCTCTTGAACATTGCTCAAAGGAGTCTGCGGATGAAGAATCAATGGGCGACTTGTTACAATAATACCATGGGCTGTTTCAAACTGGCGTATATGAAAATGGATATCATTGGCATCATTACCTCGGACTTCGTGAATCCTTCCTGCTCCATATTAAAAAGTCGGCTTGCTGCTCATAATTGTTGCACACATGCTGGATTTTGTATTTCCAACATGAAAAAGCAGATAACTGGCAGAACTGTTGTAGATGATCCCCTCCATGTCATATTGCTAAACAATATGCATGTGATCCGAATATTTTGCCCGTTGGGGAACCGGCTCGTGTAATGATCGAGTAGAATTTTCAGAAGAGTATTTTACCTTGCAGTTCGACGAATTCTGAATCATTGTACTCCACAGGGTCAATCACATTTTCAGATTAGACGCGATCCGCTCAATCAGCACGTTGGCAGCAGATGTGAAGAGTTTTCCAATTTTTTTTTTTTTTTTTTTTTTTCCCCTACTCTTCTCAGCCGAAGGTCGGCGCTCTGGCCGGGTACTTGCCAACTGCCCAGTGTCCACTATTCTGTCGGAGAAGCAGCACAGCAGCTCTGGGGTTGGTTCACTATCGAGGCACTCACATTGTCACCCCGCAAATATTTTATCTGGTGCAGAGTCCAAAAAAAAAAAAGGAAAAAGAAAAAAATTCAATTGACGGACCATCTTACTCAAATTTTGTTGCTGTTGCCATAGAGTGCCTGGCGTTTACTCTCGAGGTTCTTGCGGCTGGCACTCTCCAGCATTTTTTCCCTTTGTGCAGTCCTCCTCTCAAGCTCGACGTCAAGAACCGCCATCACCCCAATCCAGGACCTCTTTCTTTCCATCAGCTGCCGCATGATTTGAAGCACGATGCCGGCAATAGGTGCAGCTGCTGCACGGGCGGTAACGCGAGCGACGACTTCTTCTGCCCGTCCTCGAAACACTCGAGCTCTCCGTTTTGCTAGATCCTCATATTACCCTCTCGCTGTACAGCAGGTTTCTTCTCGACGAGCATACTCCTCCCCTTCAGAACCATATCCCTCCACAAGATCAACAGTGGTACAACTACTGAGTAACATTGGGTCAAAGAGGGAGGTTCAGCAATATCTATCACATTTCAGCTCCGTTTCCTCACAGCAATTTGCAGTCATCAAGGTCGGTGGTGCTATCTTGACCGAGCACCTCCAGACACTGTCCTCCGCCCTCGCTTTTCTAAATCATGTTGGCCTTTATCCAGTTGTCGTTCACGGCGCTGGGCCACAGTTGAACAAGATTTTGGAAGATTCTGGGGTTGAACCACACTTCGAAGACGGCATTCGGGTCACGGATCCCAAAACGCTGGGCATCGCACGTGCATTGTTCCTGGAAGAGAATCTGCGCTTGGTAGAAGAACTCGAGCGCCTAGGCGTCCGGGCGAGACCGATTACTTCGGGTGTCTTCACTGCTGATTATCTCGATAAAGAGAAATACAACCTTGTTGGGAAGATTAACCGTGTCGATAAGAAGCCTATTGAGGCCGCCATTCAAGCAGGATGTCTTCCGATCCTTACATCGATGGCTGAATCGCCCGAGGGGCAGGTATTGAACGTCAATGCTGACGTTGCGGCCGGTGAGTTGGCTAGAGCACTTCAGCCATTGAAAATTGTCTACCTCTCGGAGAAAGGCGGGTTGTTCAACGGCGATACCAAAGAGAAGATCTCTGCCATCAACTTGGACGAGGAGTATGATCACCTCATGACCCAGTGGTGGGTTCGTCACGGCACCAGGTTAAAGATCAAGGAAATGCGAGAGCTTCTGATGGACTTACCTCGAAGCTCCAGTGTCGCCATCATCCATCCCGCAGATTTACAGAAAGAGCTATTTACAGACTCCGGGGCTGGAACTCTGATCCGTCGAGGAAACAAAGTCCACGTCAACACTTCCATCGATCAATTCAAGGACATCGAGCAGCTTAAAGAGGTCCTTATTCGTGATCGTGCTGGACTTGATGCTAAGGCTGTTGTTGATCGATATGTTCAAAATCTGCAGACTCGAGAATTTCGGGCTTACTTCGATGAGCCCATGGAAGCTTTTGGCATTGTGCTGCCACCAAGCGCAGAGACGGCCCTGGCTCATTTGGCTACATTAACAATCACCAAGAATGGCTGGCTTACCAACGTCGCAGACAACATCTTTGCTGCCATCAAGAAGGACTTCCCCAAGTTGATGTGGACTGTCAAGGAGGATGACGAGAATTTGACTTGGTTCTTCGACAAGGCTGACGGCAGTCTCTCCAAAGATGGTGAAGTTCTCTTCTGGTATGGTCTCGAGACAAGTGAAGAGGTCAAGGACTTAATGGTGGAGTTCACCAAACATGGACGACAGATGTTCGGTGATATCAACCTCGAGTCCAAGCTTCAAAGAGCTGCTCGCGCTGCTTCAAACCTGGCCAGCTCAGCTGCCAAGTCTGCGGGATTGGCACAGAAACGAACATTCTCTACTCACACAAATCCGCTAGGAGGAGCAAGGCAGGCGAGATATGTTACCAGACCCGCTCTTTCGGTACGCGCATATTCGACGACCAACCCTAACCCCCCTCTTGGTTCCAAGAACAGCTCAAACAACAAGCCTTCAAAAGTTGCACTTATTGGAGCTCGAGGTTACACTGGAAAGGCTCTAGTTGACCTCCTAAACCGTCATCCCAATATGGATTTGCGGCACGTTTCTTCGCGAGAACTCGCGGGAAAGAAGCTCAACGGGTATGACAAACGCGAGATCATTTATGAAAATTTGAACGTCGAAGACGTCCGCCAGATGGAAGAGAATGGTGACGTTGACTGCTGGGTCATGGCTCTGCCGAATGGGGTTTGCAAGCCGTTTGTGGATGCCATTGACCAAGTTGGAAAGAACAGCGTCGTTGTTGATTTGAGTGCTGATTATAGATTCGATCCAGCTTGGACCTACGGTCTGCCCGAGCTGGTTGACCGTTCAGCCATAGCAAAGGCGACAAGAATATCCAACCCCGGTTGTTATGCCACTGCTGCTCAGCTTGGTATTGCCCCTCTGGTGCCCTATCTTGGTGGCCAACCTACAGTGTTTGGCGTCTCTGGATACTCTGGCGCCGGCACCAAACCAAGTCCAAAGAACGACGTCAAGAATTTAACCGACAATATCATCCCCTACAGTTTGACAGACCACATCCACGAACGGGAAATCTCAACCCAATTAGGCACTCTCGTTGCATTTGTTCCGCACGTAGCTGTTTGGTTCCAGGGTATCCATCACACCATCAACATACCGTTGAAAGAAGAGATGAACTCCCGTGACATCAGAAACCTGTATCAAGACCGTTACGCTGGAGAGAAGTTATTGAAGATCATCGGCGAGGCTCCTTTGGTGAAGAATATTGCGCATCGTCATGGTGTTGAAGTTGGTGGTTTTGCAGTCCACTCGAGTGGGAAGCGAGTGGTGATTTGCGCCACAATTGATAATTTGTTGAAGGGTGCTGCCACGCAATGTCTTCGTGAGTTTATTCCCACGCGGTCTCTATGAACATCGGACTGATTGCTAACGTCTTTTTGCACAGAAAACATGAACCTTGCTTTAGGATATGGAGAATACGAAGGCATCCCGCTCGAGTAAAGGGCGAGGGGGGAAAGAGAAAAAGAAAAAAGAAAATTAATAGGGTCTCATGGACATTCGGTACAAAAGAAACAAAAGCTTCAAAAATGTTTTCTTTGGAATTGCGCATGATTTGAGTGAGCGGCCTGTTTGCTCAAATGATCGGAGAGGTATGTATCAGTTCTTTCCAACTAGAGGATGAAGGAAGAAAAGAGGGCAACCATGGGCCTATGTAAGTAGAAAGCTTGCCCTGCATACCGGAAGAAGAATCGACCCTCAATGCCGATTACTGGATTCAAGAATCCAAATGCTCGTTTTGTTTGATGAGGTACGATTAGGATCGGAGTCGTCATTCGGAAAGGAAAGGAAGTACGAATCGATTCACTTTCATTGGAAATGGTCAGTGGATAGAAGGATACAAATTGAATTAATGACAGCCCTTTTTGACTGAACTGAATTGTCTTCTGTTGTTGTGGAGTGTCTTGGACAGTTTCGGTCTCGACGAAGCGCTCATTCATATCCTCTCTACAACGTCCAACTCTGATTTCGCTCTCTTTCTTGCCCTTTCCCGCTCTTCCTCTTTCGATTGCAAGATAAATTGGTGGACTGTTTCATTCCAACAGAGGAAATACAGATGTACGTGGCTGCGGCCAGCATCAACGCAAGATGTTCTATAGCCACGAAAGTGAGTGTTATCTCACATTTTCCAAAAAGAGACATTCCTCTTTTGTCCAAGACCAAGTAATGCTGATTGTGCTCATGAAATAGTACTGACGAATCGCCAATATGGCGTCGCGACGATCTGGTATCATTGACTGCATCCAACTGTTCCTTCGTTCCCCACCTCCGACGTTCTCCCATATTGATGCTCGTATCCTTACCAATACTGACTCCCAAAAAATCACCTCATACTAGGCTTGTTGCAACACTGGGTTCAAAGTCAAACTTGAAAAAGGTCACTCGTCGGGCTATTCTCGACGTAGATTTGCCGAAGGCATGCAAAACCATCAAAGAACCCGAATTGCCGATAGCACTGCGACTGCAGGGCAATTTGCTGTACGTCTTCCCCTTAGCCTGATCGAGACCTTCGTCACAGAAATGCTGACTTCGACTGTAGCTTCGGAGTGTCACGCGTGTACTCGCAACAATGCGGGTACGTGTTGGCAGATGTCGCCAACCTGAGGGACAAGTTGAGAGGAACGGAACACGTTTTCAAGGAGATGGAATTGAATCCTGGCATTGGCAAGGCGAGGTCAGTAGAGATAACCAGGTCGTTTTTGAAAGCATGACAAAGGCTCATTGAGACACAAGGCCCGAGCAACTCAACCTCGCTGAAGATCCCTACTTCATTCCAGATATTGACATCAATTTCGATCTTACCGTGTTCGGTTTCTCTTCGGGTGGTTCGGCGACTTCAAATATATCCTCTCCTCGCCCTCTGCCTTCAAGTCAGTCAAGTCTCATCATCGCCGATCCAGATGAAACTGGCTTTGATGTACCATCATTCGATACCCCTGGAGATGTCGCTAGGTTCGATATGAACCGTGGCGTGGGTACCGGTTCAGCCGTAAGAACCGGTGAAAATGCTGGACAACCACCTTCTATCTTCTATGATGAACCTGCCATCATTAATGATCCAGTATTTGATGTGGACGACGATGGCTTTCTTCATCCTGTGATGTCTACGGATGTTCAAGACTCAAATGTGGCAGAGATAGGAGAGCACCGGCCGGCCAGTCCAACGGGTATCAGCAAGAGGGGATCTATAGATCGGCAGACTACCACAGCAGGGAACAATCCAGTCCGGTACGATTTCCAGTGTGACGATGACGTTGTGATGTTTGGAGACGACGATCAAGCGTTTCCGTCAGAGGCCCCAGTAACTCCACATCCCACAGATGCTAAAGCACAACCAACCAAACGTGCGACATCCTCAGTTGATCCTTCTGAAGAAGCACCTGAGACAACAGAAGCACCGCAGCGTCAAGGGCGAGCTCCGAAGCCCCTTCGACCAGATCAGTGGACAGAACTGAGTAACCGAGACTTGAATGACTGGAATGCACACTATCTCACCAATATGAAAGCAGCCCTTGAAAGTAGACAGAGCCAACGCTCACGCTTTGAGGCGAAGAGAAATGCTGAATTCTGGGTTCTCCGTCAAGGAATCGGAAATGTCGCGTCTACGTTTGGTGAAGATAGAATTCCACATCCTCTGTCGATTTTCAGTGGTCAGTTACTCTGGGAGATGCTGAATGGTCCAGAGTCCAGCAAGCAGTGGTCTCGTATTAGTTCTCCAGACGATGATGATCAAGAAGAGGAGGAAAGACAAGTACGGGCAAGAACGACGTCACAAGAGGGGGTTGCTCGTGGAGAGGAAGGCGATGGTTTCGCATATGGCGATGATGACGGCTTGATATTGCAGGGGGGGGTCTTCAACATTGAAAGTGGAGTGGATCGACGTGCACCTCCGCCATTCCCGGATCATTCATCTAGCATGCCATGGAACGTTTTCGGGTCTCGTCAAAGTTCTGTGCAACCACTGGGTAGTGGAATTGTACCGAGATTGAGCTCAAGTGTCGGTGTCGGTGGCCTCCACGGCGGTACGGAACTCGGACCCCATTCGCGTTGGGTAGACGAGTTTCACGATTTCCTTCTGCCAGTCCATTGCTGGGTCGAGGCCCATCTCTTCCCAGACTCGGCAGTCAAGAAGCAGAGACTTCACGACTCACGAGCATTGAAGATCAATTCGCCGACCTTGACATACAGTTAGGAATGAATGCTAGTCAGGACTTTGAGTGGTATGATCATTCCGCAACCGTTGACAAGCAAACAGCAGCACAAAACCAATTGGCTGCTGCTACGCTAGAGAATGAAGCGTGCAATTTTCTTATATTTGTCAACGCAAAGATACAAACTCGGGCAGGGGAGCAACAAGAAGGCATGAAGATTACGCTGGACGAGCTTCTTCCACCGACGCAAAATTCTCAGATTGTGGGTGCCCAGGCTCTTCTTCACGTGCTGGCATTGGCCACCAAAGGATTACTTGAAGTGTATCAAGCGGGACCATTTGGGGAGATTGAGATTGCGGTTGTCAACCATTGAGTCCCGAAATAAGTGATGAGGTTTCGAATAGGGAAGGCCACAAGGTGTGAATGACTATTGGGCTTCTGAGGTTTTAGTCCGACGGAGCTAGTGCGTAATGAACGTGTCCGAGCTCATGTGATAGACAAGCGAGTCGTGTGGGGCCTACAAGGTATCGCTGTGAATGGATAGGAGCCGAAAAATTATTCAAGAATGCAGTGGAGGTTCGGCTAAGGGACCGGGAAGAGGTGAGCCGAATAGAAGTAAGGAGTAAGGGAGTATGTAATAATTGACAACGATGCTTACCACGCGACGAGGTTCAGCCTTGGGTTTTCTCGAATTCTCAAACAGGAGACGCTGAACTTGCAAGGATGGAGGTGGTTGCGGTCGGTCGCCGGCTGTTTGATCGGCAGGCTGAATTTCAACAGGACTGTGGCGCAGGCAACGAAACTCCAGTGACTTTCCAGTCAAGCCACAATTGCGGCGAGAATGTGTGACGTGCTGAGTTTCAGCATCGACGTCAGATGTTGATGGAACTGGTGACTGGAGGGAGGCTGGAAGGACGGGGAGACGAGTACATATCTAGATAGGAGGCAGAAAAAGTTGGACAATCAGCCTCGAAAGGGATACCGGAGAAAGGTTCCATATACGAAAGTGATCGGTACAAAAGTGTCTTGGTTGCGGCGAATCATAAGGCTTGTGCCTGACATGAATCTCAAGGTCATTCAGGCTGCTTTTTTTTAGCATACAACTTATTCGAGCACAGAATTGTGCTCATCTGCAGTGATTACCTCTGCTTTCTCAACTAAACTCGACTTACACTCCCGACTTGTTCTACCATCTACAGTAGCAAACCCGAGATTACGTTAGATTGCTCTGCCCACTTCTTTGTCCTGAATTCTCCTCTTCTCCTCGCTTCCTCTTATCCTGCGGCCACTAAGCGAACCGGGGTAACTCACTTCCCGTCCCACACCCTTGTCCATTGTCCAGGTGTTGTTGGTTGCATCTGCGCCGGGGCCATTTTTATCAGTTAGCCGTGCTCCGTTAGATCGTGGCATCTCGCCGGGAAACTTGAAGGTTGGACGTGGCTTTTCAGGCCCTAAACGGTCCTTGCATTAAACGCAAAGATCGTCCTGCAAACTCCGCCCGACTTTGACACTTGGCTGACATGTAGAAGCCTGGACCACCCTTCTCCAGCCCATCTTTTGTGTTGTTGATGACTGCATCGTTCAGAGTCAATTTCGCGTCTGCGTCTCTTCCGAGCTCCTTCGCCTGGTTTCGATTGAGTCTGTGATCCAACAATTTCATTCCATACAGCATCCGACGCGAACGACTATGGATGACCGTATTCCGACTTCGACTCCTCCTTGACTTGACTATGCCTGGTCAACACTCTCTTTGTTCAATTGTACTCGGCCAGAAATCATAATTCAAACCCAAGCTTCCGGAACAAGAAAGCCGGCCATCGCCTCATTCAAGCCCCAACGTCAGATTCATTCTCCTCCTGCGAAAGATGGCTGGCAACCATTATCGCCAACAATGGCCGCAAAATCCGGGTCCATCATATGAGTACGATCCAAGAGATGATCAAAGGCAATGGCAAGAGAACGCACGAGGTCAGGCACCCTACAATCAGGACTATCAGCGCTACAATGACTACCCCAATAGTCGCAATGGGTATGGACCAGAACCAGGCACGGCACCAATGAACTATGATCAAAATCCTCACTGGCAGGGTCAGAACCAATATTTGCAGAATGGATACCACAACCAGTATTATGAAAATGGCAATGGCTACTCCCAGGCGCCTTATAGAGACCAGTTTGACCAAGGCCCTCCTCCGAATCGCACATATCAGTACGACGACCGCTACCGGACTAATGGACGAGACAGACCGCCAATGGATCATCACGGTTCTTCAGGCTATTCCAATGGACAGAAACCACCGCGTGGTCAACGATCAGAACCTCCTACTCAAAAGAGACCAAAGCGTAAGGAGCTATGTGGGAACTATGGCATCAACCGCTGACATTTAACATAGCACGTGAACGGATCCTGACTGAACCAACGTCTCCCAAAAATCTGGCCTGGGATAATCCATTTGGAGTATTCCCTCCTAAGAAGAAACAAGGCGACATGGAGAGGCACTCAAGTTTGGACCATGGGATGAATCATCTGAATCTCAATGAGCGTCGGCACAGTGGTGGGCCTGAGTCGCGACCACATACATCTCACGATCAACGCGGACCTCCAAGAAAAGAAGTTCCCAGACCTGGCACTTCACATGATCGACATCCGGACATGGGCCGTCCTCCACCGCAGGACTATCGAATGCCACTTGGTCAGAATTCACCGGAGATGAATCGACAGCAACCAAATTTCAGACCGCAGGGACGGAATTCTCCAGAGATGAATCGACAACGACCAAATTTCAGGCCCCCGGGTGGTATGGCTAGTCCGCCGGTTCGACCTCCCCGGCAAGATCCTCCACGTGAGCCACCGGCGGGAGTGAATCCAGATCCATCTCTTCCTCGACCGTATGGAGGATTAGATGGCTATAATTCTCAAGGAACATACCGCTCTCAGGGGAATTATGACGCTCAAAATCATTACCGCGACGACTATGGCATGCAAAATGAAGGTTATGCGCAAGACTACATTCCGTCCTCAAGACCGTATGAATCACCAATAGACGGCCCTCAATCGAGAAACCCACCTCGACAAGCATTTGATGAAGATTACCATGCAAATGCGTATAGAGAGCTTCCCTCTACCGATTCGTCGGGGCATCAGAAGACGAGAACGAATGAAATGCCCAATTTTGATGCCATTCCCACACGAGCAAATGAAAAATCGGAGGATCACATGAATACCGGTCCACAGCAATCTTTCGACCAGCAAATCTATCGAAAACCCACTTATCAGGTTCCAGGGGGTTTCCCGAATCAAATAGATACGACGAACAATAAGCCGCCTCCGTTGAACAACACCACCTCTCCTCTGGCTGAATTTTCCTTTGATCTCCCGCCTTCAACGAACGGTCGTTCCGTGACACCCGGCAGAAGTGAACTCCCTGCCCAAGGCGCGCCGTATCGTCAAGACCATGGTGGACAGGGAAGTTTTGACTCGAGGCCGACTGCTCGGACTGGATATGAGGTCAATCGACCTGGACCAGCGTCAGTTTCGCAATATCCTCCTCGAGCAGCCAGTAGGAATGGGATGAAACCATCAATGGGTCAGGAAATTCCTAGACCTCCACCAGTTCCGACCAGTGCTCAAGGGTATCAGTCATTCAGCCAAGATCAGTATCCTGGCCGACCTCACACAAGTAACGCCCAGCGACTGCCCCCACAAAGCTATGATGTGGGTAACCCATACGATCAAGAACGCACACCCGAAACTCGAGCACCTTCGGCCCCTGCGGCTCCAGGAGCGTACCAACCAGGGTATAATGATCCGGGTCCAGATCAGCCCTACCGACCAGGATATGGACAAGGACCACCTCCTCGAGCGGCATCTCAAGACAATTACAATCCTGGTGGCCCTCGGCCTAATACTTCCAATTCGGCACATCCTGTTCCCATCAGACATTATGGTGATTCAAATGCCAATAGCAACCCGGATGCTCTTCCAGCTCATCCGACGCCAGTGAGACCGGGATTGAACAACAACATCAGTAATGGATATGGAACGAGTCAGCCACCACCAACACAATCTGGACAAAAGCGGGAGGTAACAGGGCCCGTACCCAATCAAGCCAATGGCAGAAATTCACCACCGGTTACCACTCAAGAGCTCAACGGCCTTCGGGAGATGTACAATCGTAATCCGGCCGACTACGCACTCGGATTAAAATTGGCCAAGAAAATGGTGGAAGCGGCGAGGGTGCTGGCGGACGAAAATGGAACAGCCGATACCAGACAGACGCAAAAAAATCGAGAACGATATATCTTTGACGCGCACAAATTGGTTAAGAAACTGGTGGCAGCCAACTCCACCGAAGCCATGTTCTATCTGGCGGATTGTCATGGACAAGGACTTTTGGGACTTCCTGTGGATCCCAAAGAGGCATTCCATCTCTATCAGTCGGCAGCAAAGTTGAATCACGCTGAAAGTGCTTATCGAGTCGCGGTGTGTTGTGAACTGGGCTCAGAAGAAGGTGGTGGAACGCGGCGGGATCCGATGAAGGCGATTCAATGGTACAAACGGGCTGCCACCTTGGGAGACACACCGGCCATGTACAAGATGGGGATGATCTTGTTGAAAGGATTGCTCGGACAACAGAAGAATCCTCGAGAGGCTATTTCGTGGTTGAAACGGGCGGCGGAACGGGCCGACAAAAACAATCCCCATGCATTACATGAATTGGGATTACTCTATGAATCGGCCACGCCAAATGACGTTGTCATCCGCGATGAAAAGTATGCCTTCCAATTATTCCAGCAAGCAGCTGAATTGGGATACAAATATTCACAATTCCGACTGGGATCGGCATTTGAATACGGATTGTTGGGGTGTCCTATTGATGCCCGACAGAGTATTGCATGGTATACTCGCGCAGCAGCCCAAGGGGAGCATCAGTCCGAGTTGGCACTGAGTGGTTGGTACTTGACGGGCTCGGAACCACTACTGACCCAAAGTGATACGGAGGCGTTCTTGTGGGCAAGAAAAGCCGCAAGTTCAGGACTTGCAAAGGCGGAATATGCTATGGGATACTTCAATGAAGTGGGAATTGGGACTGCAGCGGACATTGAAGAGGCGAAGCGATGGTATTACCGAGCAGCTGGTAAGTTTATTCGTTCCCAATTTGGGCGATGGACAAGGCTGACATGAATGGTTGACAGCACAAAACTTCATCAAGGCACGAGAGAGATTGGAGGAGTTGAAGAGAGGAGGACAAAAGATGCAAAAGACTCGAGTATCTCGATCGCACATGAATCGGCACAGTGATGGGGAATGTGTGGTGATGTAATGCGGTGGTTTGAACCGATAATAGAGACAAAATGGGCTTGATGAGAATTCTGATTGATGGAATATGCTCATGAAAGGTGTTGGGGGAGTTGTTCGAGTGATCTTCAAGATGTATGCAATGATGATGGGCGTACTGTATGAACCAGAGGAGGATGCCAATAGTGACGGTGCATTGGAGATCTAGAACCTTGTCTATCATTTCACACCAACGAGGGAGTTATCTGTGAGGGTCTGGAAGGGCGGCAAAAGTGAGAGGCAGGATTTGGCACAGCCAGCAGGATATGAGAAATCACGAGACGCCCAGTAAAGTGTCCAGGTCACACGCGCAGCATCATGACATAAGGTGGCCGGTAACAGGACCAGAAAGTGCAACGGGTTACCAGGAACAACTTGGGAGGCGAAAGGAAAAATATCCCACCAATTGTACGGGGAGCGCATGTTCATCAAGTGATGTTGTAAAGGACAGGGGCTCGTTTCTGGACGGATCTATCTTTCCATTGACTACTTGTCCCCCGATCTCGCAGAATTCCATCCCCTTTTCTTCGCCTTCGATGAGATCAAGTGATGGAGTACGAACTCTCTGAGGTCCCCCTAAACGCCTCAGCCACGGCGGGGCATGTTAAAATGTCTTCCTTCTCTTGGCAGTGGTTTCTTCGTACATGAATTTCTTTTTCTCCTGCATCCGTTGAATCCCATCGGTTTTTGTCTCGTGCTTCAAAACTTTTGCAGATTCCTCGCTGACCGAAACGCGAACCTAGTTGCGCCTCACACGAGATGGAGAAACGTGTGTGAGACAGTTTCCAGACCCGACTTTTAAATATCCACCCCTCCCTAACTCTCCAGGACCTACATCACCACTCAACTCAGCCAAACATATGTATCCCTGGTTCAGCCTTTCAAAATGATACGATTCCCATCCTTCCAAGACACACCTCACGGATCCTCCATGGCTCAAAACTCCCTCCGCGAAATCTTACGCAAAGCCTCGGAATCCTCAACCTCCGTCTCAGAACCTACGTCTGACAAGAAGAAACGAACCGGCTCTACCATCTCCTCCTCTTCAAGCCTAGGCTCAAGTTCCCGCACCCCTTCGCCCGGAAGTAGTCAGTCTTCAACTACGAAGTTGGACGAGGCTCGTGCCAAAGACAAACGTAACTCGGAGACCTGGTCGTTGAATGTCTTCTCCAGCCGGTAGAAAGTAGAATCAGGGAAAGCTCCAAGCACATATAACCAACCGCCAGCATCAGGGGGTTTCTTTGTTGAGGATCACTTCTACGTACCATTTCCCCTTCCCACCACGGCGAGCCACATCTTCATATTTCATTTCTACACTCTACACCCGCATAAGGGTCTCGGCCAACCCACAGACCCTGGATTGCACGAGCACATCAAGGAGGAAGTCAAGAATGAGGAGAAAGGTGTGTAATCAAATATCCGCCCCTTATCCCCTTTGCCTTGTCTTCGGTCTTTCGTCCTCTCATTTTGCTAGAAGGGGGCAAGCAGAAATTCACGTGGCATACTGTAGGAGGCGGCAATGGCTCCTGGTCCGCATGGAAAGCAGGTGAAGTTGCACGCCAGTATGAGGCTCGAGGTGGCAACTATGAAGACTCTAGGGGCAATAAGATTAAAATGAAGACCCATGGTAGCAGTGGTCGACATCACCATCGACATGATCGAAAGAGTCCACGTACAATCGAGATGCTTGATTTGGTTTGGTCCTCGTCTTGTCTGAATATATCTCATTACGAATTTAACAGCTTGATTAGAGAAGGCCTCTACTTAGCTTCTCGATTCTGATGCTTGATATACATGATGTATCTACATATCCCTCTCTGTATTCATATTCATCCTTAACTTGCACATCGATGTGAGGATGAAAACCATGTCGATGTCCCAACGGCCACCTGCAGATGTATACTCTTAATTTTTTTTCTCCCCTCGACTGGATTGGCTTGAGGCCTCCAGCGGGGGAGGGGATCTCGATCTGGATATGTTGTATTATATGATCTCTATCACGTATAAGTACAGAAATCATGTGAAGGCCCCAAAGGAGCTAGGAAGCCTTACTTACCAGCTCCTTTGGTTCAACGACGGCTTCGATGGAAGTTCAAAGACACACACCTCAGAACCCGATAGGTACGGATGGAAGGAGAGAATACAAGGGAAAAAGGAGGTCTTTGTCTTTTTCCCTCCCAATGTCCATATTCACTTGATACATCGACAACAACCTTGGTCTCCAATGTCAACCACGATGTTGCTTTCAACATATGTCTCATTCCTATCAGGGGTAAGATCATTCTGCCTGGAAGGAAAGGAACAAAGCAAAGCCAAAGCGGTACACCGCAAACCTGTCAGCTTTTCCAAAAGCACATAATCCCTTCAATGGCGATCGAAAAACCAATCCCGTCAGATCCAGGACCTCTTGCGTCACATTCGAACCATCCAGATGGGTTTCGTCACATCTCCCAAATTCTCATTCCACATCCACCTCTATCTTCAACCCATCCATTCCCCAGTACACACACCTCCTCAGTTGAAAACCATTTACAACTTCTGCTCAACCTTCTTCTCCACACTCTTAACCGAGCCCCCAACTTCCTGCTCCATCTCCTTCAACGCGCCCGTCGTGCCCTTTTGGTACAAGAAGATTCGGGAACATTGAACGAACCCGACGACGAACAAGCAGAAATTGACTGCTGCGAGACTGTAGTGGAGAAGAAATACGGATTAGTCTCCGAGCGCAAGAAATATCCCGAGCAGGATCGGAAAAAGGATGGTCCATTCACGTGCGGACGGAGAAAACGTACAGCATGTTTTGTGGTCGAATGATGAAACACCATCTGGTCCAGATCGAGCCTGTGGCCATGAGAGCTAGATTTTGAGTCAAGGATAACTTATCGGCCGGCCGGAGGAAGTCTGAGGCACCAGCGAGCACGACGCCCCATTTCATAATGGGTGCCCTATACGCAAATGTCACGGTCAGCATGTGGTTCGTCGCCGATTTCGAATTTCTCAATTTGGCAGGGTGTCCCTTTGCGTTGTTCGCGGATCCCACCTGGGCGTGAACATGTGGGAGAGAGAGATGGTATATTCTTCCGTACCAGAAATGCACCGTTCTAATACCGACTTCACTGGTCCATAATTTCTGGAACAGGCTTTGAGGTGGCGCCCCGTCAACTGCTGGGTTGGCAGCTGTGCCTTGATAGCGTCGAAAGATGGGATTTCGAGCCTTGAATGGCGTTCGAGTGGCGAAGGAGGTTTGTCGAGATGTTTGTTGCGCGAAGCGCACTCCGAAGCGGGCGGACATTACGGAGGTGGTGACTAGGAGGAAGGGTAAAGGAGTGGAGAGTTGTCGCCCTTGGACAATTAAGAGAGGTCGGACTTGATGTTGAGAAAGGAAATGAAATGGAAATGGAGAAGGAGGGGAGAGAGTGTGTGATTGTGGAGCGCTTTCGGGATAAAAATGAGCAGCCAAATAATTGAGAAGTTGGGACTCGGACATGGGAAGTGAACAAACCAGGATAAACGTTTTTACAATCTCCGTCCCCGAAGCCAAGCCGAATCGGGCAAAGGAGCAGTGCTGCTTGAACTACATACAGAGAACCTTGCGCGTGACGACAATCGAGTATGCGCACTTAATTCCTGCGCTTGGGCTTCCAATTGACCTCTTGCACCTCGAGAAGCCAAAGCCGAAGCCAAAATGGTCGCCAAATACGCCTTCACTCAAGGCCTCAGAGAACTGCGCTTCCATCTATGCAGTTCAGGTCCCGCGAGTGAAGCCGCCAGGTTTGACTCTCCAAGCTATGGCAACTAGACGGGTATTATTGCGGATATGACTGACATGACGGGATAGATCTTTCCTCAAGCGCGCCTACCCTACAATGAAACATCATAATCCCAACACTCCCATTTTAATACGAGAAGCTACAGGTGTAGAGCCCAAGGTGTGGGCGAGATACGGTATGGCTTGGTTGCATGAGTGACGAGGATACAACAAGCTGATGGTCTTAATTTCAGGATTCGGCAAGGAAAAATCAGAGTCGTTATCAGGTGGGCTTCCGTTTGTCCAAAAGCTAGGGGAAGGGCGGTCTCTGATTTAACAATTCTAGGGCTCTCGGACAAGGAGATCGAAGACAAAGTAACGAACCTAGTCAAGAGTGAATGAACGGGAACGACAAACCAGCCTCGCCGAAATCAGCGTTCAGGTTCAATACGAAAAAAAAAAAAAAAAAAGAAAATAAACCAAGAACACGAATGTATATATCTATCATACATTGCCGTTGGGAGTGGACGTGGTCGAATGCGGACCACCCGCATACAGAGCTATTCGATGAGCACTGACGAGAGAAAACTTGTCCATATTACGCCCCTTTCCTTCCCCCCCCCAACAAAAAAAAAGGCTGAACAAGATTCAACCTTGTACACACGCATCATTCATTCCATCATTCAAGCAGCCGCCTCCCCAAACCTGTACTGCGCCCACCCCAAACTCGCCTCCGTCATGGTCCACAACTGCTTTCCCTGATCCTCACCGGCAGCCCCCACGGCGATATGGATTGGCAACAAATGCTCAAAAGTCGGATGCGCCTGTCTTGCATCCGGTCTCGTAAGTAACTCGACCATATTCTCATCCCTCTCCTCTCCAGGCTTCGTGTCAACCGCATCCTTAATCGCCGCATCAAAGCTCACCGCATACGGCATCGTCTTGCCTGTGCCCATGGTCATCATCAAATGCCGCAAATTATGCACCGACATCCCAGACGCAACAATCAAAATATTCTCCTCCCGAAGCTTCTGTACCGCTCTCCCCAATTTGATATGCGCGGCTGCATCTCGGTGGTCGTCGAACAAGCTAACCTGCACAATCGGCACAGACACCGGGTTCGTGTCCGGGTTGAACATGACTTTGAACGGCACGAAGACGCCGTGGTCGAGTCCGCGCTCGACTTTCTCTGTCTTAATTCCGTTCTTGTCGAGGGTGTCGATGACCTTTTGAGCCAGCGAGGCTGAGCCTTTATTGGGGAATTTCTCCGAGTAATAGTGGCGAGGGAAGCCATAGAAGTCGTATAGTAGAGGCTCGTCCTCGGAGACGTTGACTTCGATCGTGTTCGGGCGTGACGCTTGCCAGTGTGCTGAGAAGACGACGATGGCGTCGGGTTTCACTTGCGTGGTGATTTCTTTGCCGATCCTTTGAAGTTGTGGGAAGACTGGATGGGAAGTGTTGAACATTGTATCGGGGCCCTATTTGATCAGTGTTAGCATGATCTCGGCGGATTAATGTTTCGGAAGGAGAAATCCTACCCCGTGAGAAACAAAATAGACGGGCGTCTTTGAAGCCATGGTTGTGCCAGCGGTTGTCGAGAATGCTCCTGTCGAGGATATGAAACCAGTCAACGATCTGAAAGTCTTGAATACCCTCGAAGAAAGAGGAGAAGCCACGTCGACAACTTTTTGAGAATAGATTGGTGAATAAGGATGTATGCTTGCTGCGAGGAAAATAGCAAGGATGGAGACAACTGCTACGGCGGCCCGAGTCCGACTCATATATCGAATCATAACCACAGATGGATGCAACAAAAGAGTTCACGCCACCCCCGTAAACGTTTCCATGGACCATGCACTGTAAGATTCTCTGACCAACTGACAGGCTCCTATAAGCAAAGGCTTATTTTCCAATCTCTGTTGTTCTGGAGTAGTTCGACACATGTTGTGTTCGGATCGAAACTACTACGATAGCTGCAGTTGGTCAGCTCCCTTACCTAAGCTGTTATTGGTGATGCGGAATGCCTCCGCTCATCAGCCCATCGAGATCCGTTTCGTCCTTTTTGGCACCTCTTGGTCACTCATTTACAAAATTGAAAGAGCGAAAGAAGCATTTCATTGTTCATGCAATGAGCTGTGGGCGCTGGCAGAATCACCATCGCGGCTTCACGGGTTTACGATGGGTGTTCTCCACTTTTGACTCTTATTGGTCGAATGGATGTTCTTCTCCAAAATGGAACCTCGGGGTTCTTTTTGAAGCAAGGCATTTTTACCATCAATCTCATGTCTCTTGACTGATTAGAGAATGCACGAATGATGCACGTACAACGGACTGAGATTTAATACACGATACCCCCATTCACAATTTCGCTTTTGAAGAACTTTGCTGTTTCGTCCTCTCCTCAAACCACTCTTTGACCTTCTGCCTGGCAACCTCAACAACCTCCTTATCCTCCACGGTAGCAGGGACATTGACTTCCTTGTCATAATTCCCCTCCGCACCATTCTCGACCAGCTCTCTCAACACCCGTCTGAGAGTCTTCCCGCTTCGGGTTTTGGGAATCATACCTTTACCCTGAATGATTCCACCAAGAGATGCAATGGCACCAATCTGCGTGCGGACCAAATTATTGATCGATGTGAAAAATTCCTTGGAGGGTGTTGCTGGGAGGTCAGGGGGCGTGGCGCTGGAGGGAATGACAAATGCAAATGGCAAGTGACCTTTCATTGTGTCGGGAATACCCACAACACAGGCTTCGGCAACAGAAGGGTGAGACGTTATAGCTTGTTCGATGGCACCTGCGTGAAGAATTAGAATCACTCTCCTGAAATGGGAGTGGCATTCTTATGGGGGACTGATGCTCGAGACGAGGGAATAATCATACCGGTGCTAAATCGATGAGCGGCAACATTGATGATATCATCACTGCGACTCATCACATGAACATAATCGTCCTGATCAATCATTCCGGCATCGCCAGTATCCAGCCACTTGCCATCAAATCGTCTCAGGTACCCCTTGTAAAACCGGAGATCATCGTTGAACAAGGTCGTGAAGCCAGTGGGAGCCAACGGCATAGCGAGCACAATATTGCCCATCTTTCCTCGTTCGACCTCCTTTCCGTCGTCATCAACGATGCGGACGTCGAATCCCAGCATTGGTTTGCCCGCACTACCGGGCTTGACGGCCAGAGCCTTGTGCGTTTCGCGGCTATTGTGATCCAGACCTATCGCAGGTCGCAATGCAAGACCAGTCATCGGACTACCTGATTCAGTCGACCACCAATGATCAATGACTCGAGCATCAGGAGCAGCGTACTCGCTCATGAGCCCCTGATAGTGTGTGATGATGGCAGGCTCCGATCTTTCACCGGCCAGGAAGAGAGCGCGCCAGTGTCTCAATCGACCGTTTTCGCCGTGTTCCTTGAAGAACTTATCCTCTGGATCCTCTTTTCGAATAGCTCTCAGAGCTGTGGGAGCCGTAAATAACGTCGTCACCTTATACTCGTCAACCAGACGCCAGAATGCACCGGCATCAGGTGTCCCAATCGGTTTGCCTTCATATAGAACGGTAGTTGCCCCGGTAAGAAGAGGCGCGTAGACGATATAAGAATGCCCAACAACCCAACCGATATCACTGCCAGTGAAGATGGTGTCGCCAGGACCTTTGACATCGAAAAGATATTTGATACTCAGATTGAGACCAACTGCGTGACCTCCTGCTTCGCGAAGAACCCCTTTTGGTAATCCTGTCGTGCCACTGGTGTAAATAATATACAGGCCATCCGTACTTTGGACTGGGACGGCCTCCGCCCTGACCCCTCTATTTCTGGCGCTTTTGACAAGGCGCTGCCAATTTCTCTGACCGGCGTTCTTTTCGACGGGATCCCATCGCCGGACGTCTCGTTGCCAGATGATCGTTTTGTCGGGTTTCCAACTGCTTTGCTGAATGGCACCCTTGACAAACGGTCTGTACTCGAGTGGTCCTTTGGTGCCTTCAATGGCACAGCTGGCAGTCAAAATGACCTTGGGTTTGGCGGCCTCAATTCTTTGGGCCAAACTGGTTGCTGCGAAACCTCCGAAGACGACTGCGTGCATGGCGCCCAAACGGACAGCTGCCAACATACCAAAGACGGCAGGAGGAATCATAGGCATATAGATCAGGACGACATCACCCTTTTGGACACCTTCTTCTCTCAACACTCCTGCCAGAGTTTCCACCTCTTCCAGCATCTGATCGTACGTGTATCTCTCCTTCGACGCGCTCACCGGACTATCCCAGATCATAGCGACTTTGTCACCATTGCCTGCCTTGACATGGCGGTCTAGACAATTGTATGCGGTACTGATCTCGCCGTCGGGAAACCAAGACCAATGTGGATGCGTGGTACCGTCTTGTAACTTCTTAGGTTGTTGCCGAAGGACACGACTGTATGGTTTATGCCAGTAGAGTTCCATTGCGTGTTGATCCCAGAATTTCTCAGGGTCGGAAAGAGAGGCAGCCTGAGCTGAGTCCTGTACCGTGTTGTTGGGCGACATGATGCGAAGAATCGGGGCCGATGCGGAGAGCTTGAGGGAAAGGAGCTGGGAACAAACAGGGGTATTTTATGTTGCGAATAGACCGAAAAAATTAGTTGGGGAGTAGAAAGGCAGGAACCGAAAGGTCGAAGAGACTTTCATAGAAATGCAAGGGGCGTCATTCAATGGACGGAGAAAAGACCTATGTATAAGGCTGGCATTTCGGTAAAATACAGCTCGGGGGAAGCTTCGTCAATAAAGTCCAGGGTAGGTTACCTCTGGATGCCCTGTAATTGATCAATTACAGTTCTTGTACGAGAGAGAATGCTTACAGCACCATACGGCTGAATATAAGGGAGATGCACCGAAGGAGGTCTGTCGGTCTAGCGGAGTGAGCTGTTGGAGCCGTGAGCTTTCATCTCTCTAGGAACGACATCATTCGGATGGCTTGTGGGGGCTTGTGGGGAAGAAGCTGGTGGGGGAAAGGGAAAACACAAAACGGTTGTGGTTGGCCCGAGGCCCCCTTTTCTACCAAGTCGGTGATGATTCGGAATTCATGGCTCGTCCTTCACGCAAATCGGTGAACTGATTATCCATTGGTCCTACACATTCCTCTTCTCGAAAGGCCGGCAAACATAACGCCAGCCTGGGCATCGATAACCCCCGTCTCTCGTCCTGCAAGCCGGTATCGACCAACCAGTGCGCCCGAAACCATCCGATGGAACACCGAACTACGAAACCCGTTACAGCCAATGCAAGAGAAAGTCACCGTGCCGGAAAAGTAGCCTCCCACAAGGCGTCTGTCAATGAGTTAAGATCAATCAACTACCAAAGCCATACCTGTCGTGCCAGATGAAGTGACCACTCTGGAACCATCAAACGATGAAGGTGTGGGAAGAGCAAGGACCATCTCGTCACACAAGACCGTCAAAAACATAAGCGAGGAAACATTGTATGATGATTATCGACCTCCAACTCGGACTATATATCACAGGAAATAAAAACTTGCAAAGAGGGAACCAATTAACATAACATGATCTTTGCTTGGTTTTTGTTTCAGTGGTATGCAGCAAATTCACATTTTTGGATGCCCCGAGAACTCACAATACAATGCTATCCTCAAAAAAATCCATTCATTAATAAGACCAAACCACTCAGGACCTGAATGTAGGTTTTTGTTCTTGTACCATCCGTACACAAGATCCCCACATGCCAAACAACGACTAGCCGAAAAAACTTGCCCAATGCGTCGCCTGCAGTATGCAAAAAGCTTGCCCAATTCGTCATGTCCGCCATGTCCATGCCGTAACTCTGCATACCGCAATCGAGCCGACCAAATCATTGCCTTCTCCTGAGCCTCTACGCTAAGAAGTCAAATGCAAAGCCAAAACCTTGGAATCGAAGCTAATCTGTCTGGAACCAACCAGTGAAACCTGCTTGGTCAAGCCGACGAACCAACTCCAGTCCTGGCTAAAGGCAATCCTCCATTTACAAAAGGAAAGCAGCGACGGCACCGACACCGGCAAGACCAGCGCCAACGTTAGCAACAAGAGCGTTGGCGGCGCCGGTGAAGGTTGCAGGGGAAACCGGGCTGGAGCTGGTTGCGTTGTATGACCAGACAGGAGAGCTGCTGGCAGTGACCTCAGCGACAGGAGTGCTGTAGGTGGTCTCCGCAACGGGGACGCTTGAAGAGGTCCAATCAACCCAGGTGGAGGCAGTCTCGCTGCGAAAATGGTTAGATACAGGGGTTCAAGTCATGCAATGACACTCAGGTCTTACCTGCAAGAGGTGGAGGTCGTGGTGTAGACTGGGACAGAGACAGTACATGGGCAGTCAGTGATGGTCAAGGTGGTGGCAGAGGAGACTGTCCAGGTCTTGCCAGCGTGGGTAATCTTGGTGGCCTCAGGGCAGTAGGTGGTGATGGCGGTCACAACGGTGGTGGTCCAGCTGTCGGGAGTAGTGCTGGTGGTAGTGGTGGTCGAGGTCCAGTCGGCCCAGGTGCTGGAGGCGGCAACAGGAGTGGTGGTCGTAGTGGTGGTCGTAGTGGTCGTGGTCGTGGAGGTCCAATCAGCCCAGGTGCTGGATGGAGCAGCGACGGCAGCGGCAGCGCTGGAAGCGAAAGCTGCAACAGCAGCGACGGATGCGGCGACCTTCATTTTAATTGGAGGGGTGTTATTTTCTGGGATAGAAAATATGGGTCTTTGAGATTTGGATTGTTGTTCAAAAGGAGTGTGGTGGTGCAAAGACCGGCGTTTGTGAGTTGCTAACGAGCGACTGGAGTTGGAGTTTTTGATCGTGGGATGCAGAAGAGAAAGAAGAGATCTGGATGGCGAGAAGATTCAATACATATAGGAAGATGAAAGCCACTCAGAAGGAAATTAGGGTGGCATCTTAATGAGGGCGGAGGAGCACTTTGCCATTGATTTTGGTGGATACAAGCCAATTGAAGGCGTCAGGGGTAGTGTCACCTCGGCGTCCGCTGGTGCCAGCGATTCCCTGCAAAAAAACATGGGCAAAGCCACTGGGCGGGCTTAGCGCAGCCTCATCAGGCTCTCGGTCGTGCCCATTGGTTGTACTCCCCCCTCAGCCGAAATTGTGGCGGCGCAGTGTGACGACTTCCCCCCATAACCTGTCGCCTGTGTAGGTTTTGCCCCTCCCCGCCGCGGCCCTTTGCTGCTGAGGCATGTTCACTTGTGTCATTTGTTGAGCCGTACACGTCGAACGGTGAGTGAGCATCACAACAGAGTACCACAATCGTATTTCGGATTGTCATGCCTCAGGATGGCACATGATACCTCCAGGCGTCTGGTGGAATGGTTTCCTCGGCGATGCTATCCAGTTTTCTGGGACGGGTACCGCGTAAAGAAAGCTGTTCTCGCTTAACTTGTGCCATTATGCCATGACCGAGACGTTCCCCATGTTGCGAGACCTCTAAGCAACAAGCGAATAGGTGCGGTATGATGTCTTCGCCCAAGGCAAGCAGCAAGATCGAGACATTCTCGAATCACCGTACTCGTAGCAGTCGATTCAGTCAGTCCACTGGCACCAGCGCCGTCCAAAGTCGAAATTGCTTGGTCCCCCAGCCCAAGTTTGTTGGTTTTCGCGTTGATCCGGTGCCGACGCCAGAGGAAGGGATGCCATGACAGAGACAGTAGCAATGAGCGAATGCTCCAGACAAAAGCTTGGAAGTGCTTATAGAATGGATCTGAGAGGTACGGACGGGTGGTAGGTCGGTGGGCGGAGCATACTGTTCTAGGCGCTGTCGGAAATGAGTTGCCAAGATTTCTATGAGAGGTACCGCCAATCGGCATTGCTGATTGAAAGCTTCCCTTGTCCGGCGCAATTTGCCATCCAAAACAACCACGCACCACCCCCCCCTTATCCACCCCAACACCGCCCGGGTGATTGACTCGAAGCACAGAAAAGCAGGCCGGGTCGGCTCTGCAAAATCTGCATCAAGCGCGCGGCCAGTTTCAGACCCCATCCTCCCGGCTGATCCTGCACATTTCTCAACCAAACATGGGCATACAGAACGGAATGGAACACCACCGCAGACACTTGTTCATCGATGGATCACCACACCGTAGATCCGTCTTTACCGTGAGATGGATCCCCATGCACATCTGGATGGAAATCTTGGTTTGACATTCGGTTGACAATGTGATCAGCATGGACCATTGGAAAACATCGATAAGCAAAACTGATCCTTCACACCACCTGTTGGATTTATCACTATTGCTACTCGAACCTGTATCCACGGACTAAACCTTGACTTACGGGAGATAGACGCACTGTTCCCGGTTCCCACGAGTCCCTGAAAATAGCAGTCGATCGTACCATGAGTGGAACCTTGGATCAAATAGTTCGAGCAGGTATTCCTGGAGTTTAGCACGGAGAATAGAATTTCCAGGCTCCAACATCAGCTACGATCCTTTTCCGTTCGAAATCCCCACCAGGAGTCCTAGGAAAAGTTCAAGACTCAAGTCCAAATGGCGCGCCCATCGAGACCAGAGAATCACCATGGAAATCTCGTATTCCCAGCTCGTACTCTTACATTCCTTTTTTGGGGGGGAAGGGTTCTTGCCACAGCAAACGAGAAGGCGCTATAGGTTGCTGAATATTTTGCAATTCGATTCAATTCATATCCCTTAACTTCTCAACTGAGTCGTACCGGCCCAGCCATACTTCTGAGAACCGGACCGCCCTGAATAGCAGTCCCAAATCAATCACCACGTCAAAGCCTGAAACCTAACGGGCCAAACTACCACACACCAAATCCTAGGCAGTCACCAGTGTGATTCGTCGGCCCCATTTCAATTTTGCAACACGAGTCGGGCGCCCATTCTGTGGCTACCGTATTGTCCTAGGCTCCCAAAAACCCCATTTGCCTCTGAGACATGCGAAATGAGAAGAAACCCTGATCTTTTCTTTTCGTCTTCGCGCTTGTGTCGGAAAGACAATTTGGCCTGAGCCGAAGGCTTGCGAGCCCCTGACACGTGATTTGAGATTTTGCCGAAAGGGCCCGTTCCTCCGTCCCCCCTCTCGCTCCGTCCTAAAGCAAAACTCCGTCTGCGAGTACTGGGATGAAAGAGGTTTCCATTTGTCACTGGTCTCAATTATTGAACGCAGCTAACTGGTTCTGCAGAAAGACTCCATGCAATGCTCTCGGCAATGTTAAACCAAAGGAACATGCTGAATGACGTGTTCCGAGTCCCTGTTCCATTTCGCCACTGGTGTTTCTAGACTCCTCGAGCGACAACATTTCCATTCCAGCATTGGGTAATCTTCAACTCCTTGCCCACGAACGCTGAACAGGTATCCTTACTCATTTCCACTTCGAGTCTTGTGACTTTCCCTTGATTTCAGTGAATATGATCTTGATTCACCGCTCAACAGAAGCGATATCACGGGCGCCGCCAACATTCTTGCACTCCAATCCTTCTGAAGAGCTCTCATCGTGTTCACTCGTTCTCCCGGGTCAGACATTTGTCGATTCGAAGGCGTTCAGTCTCGGATGATAGAAACATACGTAACGTCTTCATACACCATCTTGACCTTGTCCATACCCTTGACCTTGTCCATGGCCTTCTTCTTGGAATCCAGTTGCTCTTCATTCTCGAACTTCATGACCATGGCCGACTTTAACTTGTCTTTCACATCGTATGACATTCTGTTGTAACGTCCTCGGAAGGTACTGAAGATGACCAACTTGTTGCACTTCATTTCAGCGAATGCTCTCATGAAGTGGAAATCAGAGCCGAGGACCTGGGAACGACCTGCGAACTGGACAGCCAATTTATGCAGATTCGCGTTGGCACCAATGAGACGAAAGATATGATGCAAGGTTGGGTCATTGACGAATCGGCGATCCTCGAGGTCAACACCTGGGTTGTGCTTCTCTGTGCCGTCGGACAAGGAGAAGGAGACAAATTTCATATTGGAGATGTTGGCGGGGCCGATGGTTTGAAGGAAACGTCTGATATCTTTGTATCCAACCTCTTTCCAGTGTTGTTCCCAGTATTTTCCGCGCATCTCCTCGCTTCGTGCAAAGTGGAACGAATTCTCTCCGTACAGAATCTTTCGGCCTTCCTCATGAACAATCTTGCAGATTCTCAACAATGCGGATGATCGACCAAAGTCAGTACGCACATCAAAATCGACGGGAGGACCACAAAAGACATTGCGATAGATAGGGCGACGCAGTTCCTCAGGTAAGTCAAGGAAACCGGCATAGGTGGGCTTCTGTGTGCCTCCCACAAGTGTATTGCCTTCCATCTCCAGCCCAGGGTCATCACCCATGTCGGAAGTCTGAATAGAGGACTCGGGCACAGAGACCGTCGTGGGCATGAGAAGATCCGCAAGGCTCAGGTTGACGACAATCTTCCTGTCAGTTGTGCTGTTGACCTGAATACTAATGACTGGCGGCAACTGGGCGTCCTTTCCGGATGCTGGTGCTGATTGACGATTGACAGACAAAACACCGTGGTGCTTCTCGTCGTGTTCACTGTCTGGGATCACCTCCTCGTCAGAGAGGTCGGGAAGTTCTGGTGCAGGATCATGTCGCCGCATGATCTGGAATTTGCGCTTCTTGGCATCTTCCTTGCTCTTCAGACTCTTCTTTCTCTTACCGGCTCTGACTTTACCGAACTCGGAATGATCGGAGTCGTGATCAGACGGGTCATCATTGAAGGGATTAAAGGTTTGTTCGAATGGATCGTCGTCCTTGGACTTCGGCCTAAATCCTGCTGGGAGTGGTGAACTTATGTCGGGGAAAATCGCTGGTGGTGGCTGGGTGCTACCGAAAGACTTCTTTCTGGTTGTTGGCGCCATGATGCCGGGCGGGACGATGACGCGCGGTTGGTAGGCAAGGCGGACCTGTCGTTGAAGTGTCGATAAGTCGTTGACCGGAGGCTACTAGAAAATGGAAGATACGACGAGGAGGGTTCGCGCAAGGGGTAGGTGGAAGAGAAGAGGTGCGCGAGATGAAAAGGTGCACCGAGAGAGAAGGCACGACGCGCACGAAGTTTCACTTCAGCTTCGGGCCAGCCGTCTCTTGGCGTCAATGTGAGGCTTAACATGAAGTAGAAAGTTGTATGTGCAATGTTTGATTCTGCACATGAATGTCTATGAGGCTGTCGCCTCTGTCGATACCAGCCTGGGGTTTACGTGGCATTGCGACCTGAAAGGGTCCGTAAGGCAGCAGAATGGAGCCATACATACATTGCCGTTACATTTCTCGCTGCCCATTTACAGCCTTTGTTGATGTATACCTAACCCGTGAAGCAATGCAAACGAGGCCGGATCCCAGATTGGTGCAGTGCAAGGCTGAGCAAATTGCCAGGTCACGTGTGACAACGCTAGCCGCCTTGCGTTCTCTGGGCCCATAAGAAACAGCAGCCTGATCGATGGATGATTGCGCTGTACGGCTGTAGTTAACAATAGTTCTGTTTCGAGCCTTACAGACAGATAAACGGGACAGAGAGACCAGGATCCTGAACTGCATATGGGAGACACAGCAGACTCATAGACGTCTCGAGCACCGGGTCCCTCCTTTGCCGGCATGAGGCTTTTCAAATTACTCACTCGTTAGCCCAATCTCAGTCTCGTACAAGCATCTACCATAGAGATGAATACGGTAGACACACAGAACGGATCAATAGGACCGTCGACATCAGTCAGACCGGGAAACAACATCTCCAATCAGTCGATTTCACATTGTCCTTGAAGGTGGTGAATGGACCCAGGACATGTCAACATCGCCCACAGACCTCCAGCCGAAGCCGGAGCGCGAGTGCTGATGACTTGACGTAGAGGTTCTCTTCATCTTGGATTTAGTTGTGAAGAAGAGAGAAAGAGAGAAAGAGAGTGAAAGGGAGGAACGTTGTGGCCGTGAAAGCTTCTATCTCGCTCAACCTGCCCCGTACGGTCGTTCGCAACATCGGATTGACCTCCGCCCTGGCATTGGACTTTCGTTCCTTGGTTGACGTCGCGATGTGATGCTCTTATATCGATCATACCACCCCGCTTGCTGTTCCCGATCAGTCCCACCATCGATACCAGTGAAAAGCTCAGCCGTCCACTGGGCCTTTGATACCTCCTGAATTGCCTTCTGTCAATCTCTGATATACTTCTACCTTGCGCGAGATATCGACGCCAGCACGGCGTATCGGCCTCAATCGCTCTCACCAAAATGGCCCATTCTTTGGCCTCGAGGCGCATCTGGGCATCAATTTCCTTATCTTCTTCCAAATCATCAGTATGCCTGTCATGCAGAGCCACTGCTCGAGGACTTTCATCTTCTAGGCCTCTTGCTTCGGTGGCACAAAGCGATGCCCAAAACAAGGTACACGCATTAGATTTTGTTAGCAGTTTTACATTTTGACACAAAAGTACAGCTGTTAGGAGAGCATCTCAAAGAGGCAGATCCGGAAATATATCAGATACTGCAAAAAGTATGTCTGTCCTCCCATGCCGACTCTCGCAACTCAAACAACGTCTAGGAAAAACGAAGGCAGAAGCATTTCATAAACCTCATCCCATCAGAGAACTTCACTTCTCAAGCAGTGTTAGATGCTTTGGGGAGCGTTATGCAAAGTACGCCTGTCTTTTCCTTCTCGTTTCTCCCTCACCTAACATTTTGATAGATAAATACTCGGAGGGATATCCGGGTGCCCGATACTACGGCGGCAACGAACACATAGATGAATCCGAGCGGTTATGTCAAAAACGCGCCCTCGAAACGTATCGCTTGAATCCGGAGGAATGGGGCGTCAATGTTCAACGTAGGCGTCACAGCACATCTTGAAATGCTTATCCATCTAACGAACCCAGCCTTGTCCGGATCCCCTGCCAATCTGTATGCCTATTCAGCCCTTCTCCATTCACATGACAGAATCATGGGCCTTGATCTACCTCACGGTGGCCACCTGTCCCACGGTTATCAAACTCCGACCAAGAAGATTTCTATGGTCTCCAAATACTTCGAGACATTCCCTTATCGGCTAGACGAATCTACTGGACTCATCGACTACAACAAACTTGAAGAAAATGCTCTCTTGTACCGCCCCAAGGTCGTCATCGCCGGCGCGTCCGCATACAGCAGATTGATCGACTACGAACGTATGCGCGCCATTGCAGACGAAGTCGGCGCCTACCTACTGTCTGACATGGCACATATCTCAGGCTTGGTCGCCGCCGATGTTATCCCCAGCCCCTTTGACCATTCTGATGTGGTGACGACAACGACGCACAAATCCCTCCGAGGCCCTCGCGGTGCTATGATTTTCTACCGCAAGGGCATTCGCCGCACGACCAAAAAGGGAGAGAAGGAAATGTACGATCTCGAAGGACCCATCAATAGCTCCGTCTTCCCTGGTCATCAGGGCGGTCCGCACAACCATACCATTACTGCCCTGGCCGTGGCGCTGAAACAAGCTCAGACCAAAGAGTTCAGGGAATACCAGAAAACCGTCCTGGCCAATGCGAAAGCCCTCGCCGAACGTCTCGGCAATTCAGCCTACACCGGCGGACTGGGATATAACATCGTCAGCGGCGGCACCGACAACCATCTAGTTCTCGTGGACCTGAAGTCCAAGGATATCGACGGTGCACGCGTCGAGCGAGTCCTGGAACTTTGCGGCGTCGCCGCAAATAAAAACACTGTCCCTGGCGACAAGTCTGCGCTCAAACCCGGAGGATTGCGCATGGGTTCCCCAGCTATGACTACACGAGGATTCCAGCCCAATGATTTCGCGCGCGTCGCCGAGATCGTGGACCGAGCAGTATCCATCGCGATCAAAGTGGACAAGAAGGCCCGGTCGGATGCTGAGGCAAAGGGCAAGAAAAATCCCGGCGCCGTTAAGAGTTTTCTCGACTATTTGAAAGATGGCACCGAGGTACCGGAAATTCTTACCCTCAGACAAGAGGTGGAGGACTGGGTCGGCACGTTTGCTGAACCGTGGATCAAAGAAGTATCTGTCAGTTAGGTATGAAAACTTTGAGAGGAATATAAATATGGAAGATGGTATGAGCCGGTGTCCCCATTCTCTGTGGCCAGTCCAACCAAGAGGAGAATTACTGATGGTACTGAATGATCAAGCCATGCAGAGCAAAGAAAAGCAAGAGAAAAACGAACCTTGGAGAGAATACGCAGACCCGATCAAAGGGTCCAACCATCCAACCCGGATCTCACATCACAGTTTTGTTTAAAAAAAAGAAACATCCCCATGAGGACAAAGAAAAAGGAGGGACAAAGCCCCCTCTGCTCAAGTAATCGCACCCGCGGCTCGACGTACGTTTGTCACAGAAATACTGTACGAACGAGTGCTATTCAAACTGGAATGATGCCCAATCTCCCTCTTTTACCCCCTTGTGTTGCTGCCTCTTTTTGCGTTCTTCGGTGGGACTGGTGACAACAGAATATGCATTTTATATCGCTGCTTTTACCTCTATCACTGTTACTCCCTCCGTCTCTCCTTTGACTGGGTCCAATCCAAGCGCCCTTTTCTGCGTCCACTGCCCGTACCTCCATTACTTATCACTCTTGTGGATCTCGAACGCGTCCCGCCCATCCCATCACCGCATACACGGCTGTATCTCGCTGCATGCCCTGTGTTTGCTTACTTTTCGAATGGTTTGAAGACCCCTCCACCTCTCCTTCAACTGAATCCAGTCCGAGGACCATATGGCGAGAAAAAGCGGAAAGAAAAAGGGGACCACGAAACAAGAGACAAGAGACGTAACCCGCCAAGCAACTGTTCTAATCAAGGGATTAAGTGTAGCATTGAAATGGAATTTCCTTCCCTAGGTAGCGCACGAAAGATCTGGACTATCTGGGAGTCAGGTCATGTTCTTCTAACATGATATCTTTTCCTTGACCTATGCCATACTCCTTCTCTGGCTTCTTCTCAGAAACCTTGCGATCCTGGTCTTAGACTCAAGAGCCGGACGTTCGAACTAGCTCAAACCAAAAGATCCTTGTTCATCGCGTTCTCGTCCAAGGCCTTATTCTTTCCGTACAACTTTCTTTCAGCCCCAAGTCCTCCCGTGTTTATGTCCCCTACGTACAGCCATCCCGTCAATGCTCAATATCATCCCAACTCCTACCCTGGACAGCATTCAACTCTTTCATAGTCATAACCTTGCCCGTCGTGAAATAACCCGCATGGATCTTCGCATCAATCTCCACCCTCGAGTCCTCTGGAATCATCTCGTCTGGAATCGGCACTCGTTCGTGGATCGGAATTCCCTGATCCACGATCGCGTCATGTTTCATATTCGACATGCTCAGCATCCGGTCAATCTTGGTGATGCCCAACCAGTGTAGAATGTCCGGCATCAGGGCTTGGAACCGCATATCTTTGACGCCCGCAATATTCTCGGTGCGCTTGAAGTATTCACTGGCACGGTCTGCGCCGCGCTTGCGGGCGTTGTAGACAAGGTACTTTGTGACTTCGCCTAGTGCACGGCCTTCTTTGCGGAAATAGATGACGACGCCAGAGCCGCCCTTTTGGGCTTCCTTGACGGCTTCTTCGATCCCAAAGATCAAGTAGGGGCGGCACGTACAGATGTCTGACCCAAACACATCGCTACCGTTACATTCATCATGGACACGCAGCGCGAGGCGGACGTTGGGGTCGCTCATCTTCGCAGGGTCTCCGAAGCAGTACACGGTCAACCCGCCGATCGGGGGCATGAAGACTTTGATGTCGTTTCGTGTCACGAGTTCCGGGTACGAACCGCCGGTGTGTTCGAAGAGGGCTCGTCGGAGAGAGCTTTCGTCGATGCCGAATCGTTCAGCAACACCAGGGAGATACCAGACGGGCTCGACGGCGAATTTGGTGACGTTGAGTTCGCCAGTTTCGTTGAGGCAGATTTTGCCGTCGGGAACCAATCGGCCAGCTTTGACGCTCTGCTCCAGCTCGGGGATCTTCATGTGCGCTTTTGTCACAGCGATGGTGGGACGTATGTCGATATCTTGACTCTGCATGAGGTCTTTGTAAAGCCAGGGTGCTAGATGACCGAAGGGGTCCATGGCGACGATTTTCCTCTTGTCACCCCAGGCCGGGAAAGGGCCGATGAGGGCGGCTGGTTCGGTATTTGTGAAGTCTGGTTTGTGCTCGAGGTCAAGGTTGTGGCTGGCCACGGCGAGAGCGTGGTAGATTGCATAACAGCCTCCGTGGGCGCCGATGGCATTTCGTCGTCGAATGGTGTTGTAATGTCTGCTGACTACGACAGGACCACGTTTGGCCGCATCTGCTTCGCCCCATTCGAGAGGGATTGGATCAATTCCTGACTGCCCTGGATAAGTCGTGAGGATGATACGCGAAGTGACTGACGATTTCCTGGCTGTTGGAGAGGGGGGTGTTCTCATAGAGGCGTCTTGTGGAGGTGAGGAAATCCCATTTGCTGATTTTGCCAATTGAATTGGATCCAAGCTGGGGGAATCTCTGATACTGGCTCTAGGGTGAGGGGCGTTGCGTAATTGATTGACAGAATTGGAGACATCGAGGCGGCTTTGAAGAGATTCTACACTAGCAGCCAGATGCGAATGGTCGGTTTGCATTTTCTTCAGAGTAGCTAGAATTTCGGAAAGGACGAGATCTGTGTTGGCCCCGCTAGAGGGCTGTGGGTTGTCCATGGTGGATGAAGGTGGAGATAGAGAAAGGTTTCTGCTCTTCAGGAAGAGAAGGTATATATTGGAAATGCTCACGGAAGTTTGCTTATTCTTTCGATCTTGTCTTCAGCGTTGTTTCAAGGCTCACAAAGTGGGATGTATTGGGGTGGCGATCAAATGTCAGCTAGTGGCGTTCAAACACCAAAATACCTCCCCCCAAACAACAAAATAATTGCTTGCTGCGGAGTGAAGGAGACAAATACAAAGCACCAATATAGAGAAAGCGAAAAACCTACAATCTTCATCGAGGTCACATCCTGAATCAAGGAAGGCTGTGGAATGGACTCGAGGGGGCTGTTGGCGGGTTGATTGGCTGAACGGAGCTATTCGTGGCGATAAGATAGCAAGTCACGTGAAATAGTTTAGAATCACGTGAGTTGAGTTTACTACAACAACGACCGCGCGCTCAGATACCAGTGTGCCTGGCTACGAAGGGATTGTTCGTGTAAAACATAAAACCCTTAGAGTAGGAACATTCGAGAGCGATAAAGGCCTCGAAAATGGTATATACCACTCCTGCTCCGATATATTTCTAGATCTAATTGATTTCGCAGGGAAAACGCAAGAAGTCCTCTAGGAAGCCACAAGGTCCCAAGAAGGTCAGTCTGGGAACCGGAAACGGCAGGGTCCAGCCACGGCTGAACTCCTTTATCGATGACTGACCTGAAATCAGCGAGAGCCCTTATCCACCACATTTACCTGCCTCTTCTGCAACCACGAAAAGGCCATCCAAGTCAAACTGGACAAGAAAGCCGGCGTGGGAAATCTACACTGCAACGTCTGCGGCCAGCGCTTCCAGACTGGCATAAATTATCTCTCAGCCGCCGTCGACGTATATTCCGACTGGATCGACGCCTGTGAGAACGTCGCCCAAGAGGCCGCCGCTCAAGAAGCTGAAGATCAAAAGTTCAGTAGCTACGCTTCAACGAGACCGGGTGCAGCAGCTGCAGGAGGCGACGACGAAGAAGAGGATGGTGCTTACAATGATTATTAACGCTTCGGGATCGGGCGTTTGGGACAACGCTCGTAGCAGCATAAGCCGGCGTATGGAGGATTGTATATTTGGGGTTAAGGTCTTTTAAAATCAAGCAGTGACGAGGCTTGCAGAATGAGCGGGATACCCACGACACGAGCGATGGTTTTGACCTGCTGAAGTGAGATTGTTCCATCTCAAAAGGCATGAATCACGGCGGCGACGGACACCGAAAAAAGTCAGCAGGGGAGTACAGTGATCAAATTGGACACAAGATCAAACCAAGGTTCAAATTCGATGCACAGAATCCAATTCCTACGATAATTTGTCGAGTTTTCATCGCGAACGTTGACCAGGTACAGTACGCAGGCATCGATCAAGCTGTCACAGGTGGCGAGGCACATTCCTAGCCAGACGGCCTTCTCGACTCTCGGCTCTCATCAGAGAAGCTCCCGTATCAAAAGTATGATCATGAAAGGAGCCCCTTCTGACTCGATTCAGTGGGATAGAGATAGATCGTGATATCGTGATCCTGGTCCAGGGACAAAATCTGCCCTCTTGACTAGAGACGATCCGAGGAGAGCTGGAGCGCGTTGAAGCTATACGGAGAGAAAACCCGACCAGATTCACTGATCCCCCCTGCTCAATCACCTGTCGTATAGAGGTCGTCCAACACGACCATCGCGAACCCCCCAAGGAGGTGAGACCAATCTCATTCATCGATTTGTGGAGGAACCCGAGATGGCTCGTTTCGGGTCGAGTTTTGCGTACCATTCAAAATGAAGAGCGAAGAAGAGGTATAACTGTTCATCATGCCAAAGGGATGGGGGAATTATAATCAACGTTTAGGCTTGCTTCAGGGAAAATCACGTTTCAGATCCTCTCGCTCGATAGCATCAACGATATCCTTGTTTCAATAATCGACGATCCATCTCGGTGGCAAAGGCCTCACCCTTCTTCAGGATGTCCAGGGCTGAAAGGTGCGGCATACCCACACTTCGTATAACACCTGACTGGCCTATCCTGGAGTGTCTCAAGCTTGAGATCTGACAATGCAAGACATATTCTTAAAGTTGATAGAGTACGAGCCTTTCAGTTGTCATCCAACGGCGTTGGGCTGTGATATGCATAAGTAGGAGAAGTTCATCCGGTGACTTACCGATAGGTCTCGGATAGCGACAGCCAATCGAAGGCTGTCTTCTGAACAAGTTCGAAACACAGGCGTTCAACAGCCCTGGGGCGACTCTTCCACCTTCTCTAGCTTCTTTGTAAGAGCGTTCCCCTTCCAGAGCTGGGTGTTGCTTTCTGATAAGTTGAAGGCACTTGGTACTAACCGGTATTGCTCCATTCCAACGACAACCTTGAAGGCAAACAATAAGACGAATTCCATGGCGCGACTTCACGCCATGCATCGACGATCAATGCAAGATCGTAGAGCTGCAGTGAACAAGGGGATGCAGCGAAATGCAACGCTGAAGGGGAAAGGCTGAATATCGCAGGCATTAGATTGTCTGGGATGGAGGGGAACTCGTTTGGTGAAACGCGGCACAACCCGATTTCCCAGGTGTCAAACTTTTCCTGCTCGGACGTATTCGCGAGAGGCGGCCCTCTTTTTCCAACATGTGGATTCCGCCACACACAGATGGCTGGGGAGAGGAGGGACCAAGGCAACCAGCTTCAAATTTTTTGTGGTTGAACATTTCAACAACGTACCGGGATAATTTTGCTGATCTAACGATCCGTGCGACGCTGACCCGTGACAGGCGTAATAGTGATTGGGCGATTGAGATTGAGACCTGGTCGAAGCCAACCAAGCCATTACCTGCTGGGATTTCCTCCACAAATCACGAATTGCCAACACAGCAACTGGTGGAAGAGGGCGGCAGGGTAGAATGTCAAATTTGTACGAGCTGGGATCCCCACGGTCACGCCAAATGGCTTTTGCAAAGTACCGTAAAAGCTTCCATTCTTCCTCACACCGACTGGAGCGAATTGGAATCAGCGGTTTTTGTCCAATCACATGCGAGTTTTGCAGTTTCAACACTGCGGAAATATTGCTTCTGGGAGGGGACAAAGGGGCGGGCCTAGGCGATATGCGGTTAATGAACCCCCAAGGCGCTGCTCTTTGCGCACTGGAAGCTGTTGAAGAACTATGCCCCTGCGCAAGACTGCCCCCTGCCGACGGAATGAGCACTGGTTTCCGTTGTCAAACTGTCAGGAGATTCGGGAGAGCTACTGTGGAGCCTGTCCATTAACACGGATTCCAAGCTTGAAAAGGCTGCAGAATTGATAGAGATCGGACCGTGGAAAGGAAAATGTGGTCTGAGGAAGGGTTGATCTTGCATCTCCACGAAGCCGGTTGGCATCTTAGACATTCCAACTGCAATGCGACCTTAATTGTAGTAGGTGCATTGCATTACGGGAACGCCCTGCGTCCCGGCATGCAACCACGCACTTCGTTGCGAAGATCGCTCCCTGGAGGACAGGCAAGAGAAGGCATCTCTTCGAAAATTCTTAAAAGTGTCAGCAGTACGCAAGCTATTATCCAAGGGAATGTTCTCAATCACTTCGATGTTGGAGTGTGAGATTAAACTCTCGCACGATTCCTCCATAATACCAGGTCTGACTTGGATTCGGCGCTTCAGTCGTCACCAGCTTTGTGTTCGAGACCAAGCTTGCTCCGCAGTGTGATGGACCTCGAAATAAGAACGTCCAGTCAGATTCCGCTATTACTATCGGTATCTCTGGGTCGCTAACTTCTAGTCGGCTTTATTGACGTTGAAACGGTGAAAGAAGTCTTTGCCAATTTACATCTGAGAAACATGTGGAATTTGGTGACGGCTAGACTTCGTACTCCATAATTTTATTCGTAAGTACAAGAAATTTTCAAAACAAAGGAAAAGGCAATCGAGCATCGTCCTGCGCTCGTATGCCTCATGATGCTTTTCTGGAAGTTTTGGTGCAGGTAAATAACAAGGCTAGCTGCACAATGTCCTCCCGTCGGATTTTTCAAGTTGTAGCAGGAAATTTTGACAACCACGTGCAGGAGTAGCATGCTTGTCTTTTGACCGGCGGGTGCTTTTTCTTCATGACGCGCAGCGAGCGGGCCAGTCTAAATTTGAAACTCAAGTCGCGCTTGCCAGCCACGGGCTGAAAGATGATGCCATCAGCATTGGGGCGGGATTGTGAACAAGCTCGGGAGTTTTGGGGGAAAAAAGACACCTTGTACGGAACTTCCAAGACTGGGAGGTCACAGCAATGCCTGGACAATCTCCGGAATGATTTGTCTGCTTCAGTGCTTTTGTCAATTGTTCGCAAGCGAGGATAAAAAGACAATGCGGCGAAGAAGCGTTCCATGCAGGTCATTCGTCCGTTCTGTAGCCGTGGTGCTGATTGCCGCCGTACCTCGCCTTAGCGCCTAGGGAGCCTGGTCAGATCCCCCCATCTGTGCTCGTCAAGGGAAAAAGCCCAGGCCTGTCAGTTGCTTAGCCGAGTCCGAAACGGAGGAATGGAACGGTGAACGACAAATAACGAATAAGGGCAGGAATCAACGTCTCAAAGGACAATGGGACGGCACCGGAGGTGGGTGTTGGAGTTCCATCGCGGCTGAGGCAGATGGCTTGTGCACCGGCTGGCGAAAATCGGCAGGTCAGCGACAAGGAGGAGGGGTTTAGAAGCGACCAGGGGAAAGAGGGCTTGCTGAATGTAAATCATCACCATCCCCTTCTTTTCCAGTGGCTCTGGGCGCTAGACTAGCCTAGCTTTGACCAGCACTTCCCTCCGTTCCCGGACCAAGCGCGACAGCGCCAGGAAAGGCATGAGGGAGGGAAATCTGCTGTTGGTTGGTGCCTTCCTGGGAATATTCCGATGTGGCACGAGCCTCATCGTCAAAGGCTGGCCCGAATTGCAATGGATCGCCTAAGGATTTGAATGATTGTGAACTGGGTAACGTTGGAAAAAAAGAGTACAGAGAATAGATTGCTTTGTGAGAGTTGAAGTCGCACTGGAATTGAGATGACCATGCGAAAGAGGGGGCCGGAGTCTGGAGTCTAGAAAACGCCTTTGGAAGGCTGGGAGGACTTGAGAGGCCAAAACCACACGAGAGCCGAGGGCCGGAGGGGTGGGATTCGTGGAGGGAGGCTACTGGCGGCAAGGGCATAGTGAGCCGGAGGCCAAAACGCAACCTAGGGCCGCGAATGTGAGCAAAAATGCTGAATGATGGTTGGAGGAGTTTGGGGGCTGATCGTGATAAGGGTGAATAATGATTCTCCGACCCCCTCGTTCGACTGATGGAAGACTGGGCCTGGGTGGTACAGGGGGGTTGGGTTGTGGATGGATTTAAGTCTATCGGCAGACTGGGTTGGCTCTTTTCCATTTTGTGGCTTACAGTTCGGGGCAAAGTCCAATTGGCGGTAGAGAGCCGAGTGGACCGATGCTGACTATTTGCTTGTAGCAGAACATACAACTCCTGGACTGAGTAGCGAAGTTCGACCTTGAACGCGAAGGGCTGGGGGAAGTGGGCACTCCGAGACTCCAGTCCGTGCCTTGGGAAGGAGAGGGGAGAAAAAAGGAAAGGAACCCGCTCCGGGACAGCAAGGCACAACACAAGCTGCCAACGCCACAGGGTGGTTTTCAAGCTCCAAGGGGCTGTCAAAAGAGTGACAAACTCACGACCCGAACGGATTCAACCTTCCCGCGATGGTCCAAGTTACCCATGTTAAGCTCCCTCCTACTTGATCAATCGCCGTCCGCCGACGCCGACAAATCGAGTTGAGAAAGCGTAACGTATTTTTGACTTCTCACTCTGACTGACTTTTGTTCCTCGTTATCCACCATCTGCTTCTTGTCCGTGGTCCGTCGACTTTCCAGGAGCTTATCCGTGTATATGTCCTCACGCCAATTGCCCATTGCACCTTGCCATGGCGTGAATCCCGTTGTTTATGGCTCAGTAGTTGCCGGAGACATTCCTTTGGGGTAAGTAATGGGGTGGCAGGGGGTCTAACTGAGGAGAGGCGCGCAGAGCTCATCAGTAGGGGCGTCTTATCCACGCAATAGCCAGGGTCTGAATTACTTGAACAGCAAGCGGTAGTCGTAAATCGCAGGTTTGGTACCGCTTGAGAGTTTGGACTGGTGAGGGATAGGCAGTCCTTCTCCGGCGGCGATTGGTGTCCGCTGGCCGTGGGTCTCTGGACCTTTTTTTCGTGGATCGTAACTCGCAAGTCACGGCACGCTTGGGATCGAAGAAGCGTGGGCAGATGGTAGTGGGTGATGGACAGTGGGCGGTGCGTAGTGGATAACGGAGAGAGTGGGCGGCGGATTTCAGTGGAAGGGCAGGGGAATGGCAAGGGCAAGGTTAGGCAAAGTCTAGGATGAAGCCTGCCAGTGTGGTGCCAATGAACGGCGGGCGGTGGATGGCCAGCGATAGTTCGTTAGTGACTCTGCGCAGGAATCTAGTGGTCCGTAGAGGATGGGGCTTGTGCATAGGATGGAGGCTGATGGCCAGGTCTCTTGAGTCTTTCTTTTACTCTCTTGACTCTATGAGCGACTGACTCTGAGAGGAGAACGGCGTCCTCTGCCTAATGCACCACCTGCACACACCTTCTTGTCCTCCCGCTCGGCTACTGCGCACCAGTCCACCTTCCACCTTGCATTTCCTGCATCCTGCTTCAACCTCGTTGCCTCTTTTCTCCAGATCTCCATTGAACTTCGTGCATCCCCAAATCCAATTGTCGTTCTACGCCAGTCATGATGGCCTAATTGCGCGCTGCCACGCTGTTGAGTTCATGTTGTTTGAGAAGCGTTCCCCAACTCTTCGGTACGTCAAAGCCTTGGGAGACTGCAGAGCGAGAAGAAAGAACCCAAAAAAAAAAAAAGTCCGCTATCTTCTTGTGTTCATGGTCCGCACATCTGACAACTTTACTGCTTTGCTGATCCTGCTGCACGTTCCTGTGCCTGCACACAATACTGCTGCCTCCATCATGAAGCATTGCCATTACTGACCTTTCGCTCGGTCTTCTAGTTTGCGACCGACTGACGACTCTCTTTGTTCCTCTTTCCCGTGCGGGAAGCTCCAAAAAAAATTATAAACACCAACAGTCAATACCAGGCTCAGGCAGGCACCCGAGGCTCTTGGTTTTCCCGGCCACCGCTTTCCGTCGTGCATGATCCAGCCAGAGTCGTCTGCAGTTTGGTTTTCTTTGTTGAAGAAAAAAACCTGTCTTCGTGGGCTGTGACCACGAGGGTTGGAGACGACGAGGCTTTGAAGGAAAGAACTAAAAATCCTCTCACTCAGCCTTTATTTTCTTTCTCCTTGTCGACCTGCTTGCAAGGCTACGCCTTGAATTGTGGTGCAGACCAAGTCTCGGTTGTGCGTGATCGAAAAAGAGTAGTTTCTGTCGAGCTTGCCCATCAACGTCTTACTCGCTCGACAAAATAAACTAATTTTGTTCAAGAGGAGGTATATACTAGTGGAATTGATCTGTCCTAAGCGTCTCGACCCAGCAGACGAAAGCACAAGACTTTTCCCAAAATTGTTCGACAAGGAAACATAAGACCCGCACCATCAGGCTCCCTAAGGCCGGTATTGTCCTTTACTTATAACCAGCCTTGGGCGGACGTTACCATTGAGCTTCTTAGCTGTTCGACGAAGATTGAGACAAAATGAACCAAACACAGTCGTACATGGATATGCATCCGGCGTCCCATATCTCCTCTGGACCCTCGTATTCGCACGCCGCAACCACTGCACCACTGGGCCATTATCAACAGTATCAGCAGCCTTCGGTAATTCCTCCAGCATCCACGCACTATGGACCGTCTCAGGCCTATAGTAATTATGGCTATGCGAATGGAGTGACCTCACCACAGTCTGCGACAGGCCCAGTAGCTCAACAGGTTCAATCTCAAATCCCATCCCTTCCTGGTAAGTGCCATGGGGCTTTCTACCGATGTTCGGTTCATTGATCTTCAATAGCTATGATGACTGGTCCCAATACCCAGCACTCTTATGTACCTCAAACTCCTTCGTTGCCAGCTCCTGGTCAGACTTATCCGAGTCAGCCTTTTGATACAACCGGGCAAGTCGCGCCTCCAGGCATGAAACCGAGAGTTACAGCAACGCTTTGGGAAGATGAAGGAAGTCTGTGTTTTCAAGTCGAGGCAAAAGGTGTCTGTGTTGCTCGTCGTGAAGGTGCGTCCAAGTTGGAATATCCTATCTCGATATTCAGTGAAAATTTACAATATATTTAGACAATCATTTTATCAACGGAACAAAGCTGCTCAACGTCGCCGGAATGACTCGAGGTCGTCGAGACGGAATACTCAAGTCAGAAAAGACCCGGCACGTGGTGAAGATTGGACCTATGCACCTCAAGGGCGTCTGGTATATTTTACGCGCATTTTGGCCTCGAGAAGACTTGCTAATTATCGATAGGATTCCCTTTGAACGTGCTCTGGATTTTGCAAATAAGGAGAAGATCACTGATTTGCTTTATCCACTCTTCGTACACAATATCGGTGGCCTGCTATATAATCCTGAAAATGCCCCCCGAACAAATGCAGTAGTACAGGCAACAACAGAGCGACGTCGCATGGACAGCGTTGACTCGACTCGTCCGGCGCAGCCTGCTCAGACTCCGACGCTACATCATCATCATACTATCCAGGGGACTGGTCAAGCGCCACCAACACCACATTCCATTGTCCATCAGAACGCTGGACGTCCAGGAATCGACCGCGCGCATACTTTCCCGACGCCGCCAACTAGTGCATCGAGTGTCATGGGAATGAGCAATCAGGGCAGTTCCTATGATTGGGGCAACCAGAACATGACCAATGGTGCAACTGGAGCTCAACCCTTGTCCATCGATACCGGCCTGAATGCTCGATCAATGCCGACCACACCCGCTACCACCCCGCCAGGGACGTCTGGACAAGGAATGCAATCATATCAAAATCAGCCAGGATATGACAATTCCAAACATTTCTACAGCACCACGCCGAGCTCCCAAACTGGTTATGCCCAGCATCCGGATGGTAGCCGATACGGCCAATCCATGCCCTCTGCTCCGTACGTCAAGGGCGAGATGGGCCCTCCCATAGCTCCCGGAACCGCTAGCGCAGGTGGAGATGGCCATGATCACAAAGCTGATGCATATGCTGCTCAAAGCCATGGATCTCAGCATGATAGTGATCATCCGGATAGTGGTTATATGAGCGCCAATGCTTCTGCGTACAGTTCTAACCGGGGCCAGTACGCATACGGTGCTACTGGTGAGCATCCGCATCTATCTCCTGAGCAGATGTCTGGCTCTCCAACCCATCAAAGTGGTTCCGGTCAAGCAACTCCTCGAACGATGCCATCAGGTCAACCACAATGGACACCGGATTATCACACTCCACCGCGGCCACCCACTTCGAGCAATGTTTATAATGTGATGGGCCGAGCTCGCACGCCACAGGGAGGAGCCCCCGCAGACAGCTACGGCAACCCAGCATATTCAGGCGCTGGTCATCCCGCTGGGTTAGCATCGGGCAAGCGAGGGCGAGAAGATGATGATCAAGATCGGCCGGGGAGTCGAGAATTTGATGCATACGACGCGAAGCGACGCAAAGTGGGACGTCAAGACACATTTGGCATGCCTCTTAATACACCTCCACACATGCAAGCCATCAAAACCGGCGGACAACGGTAAAAGATCAACTTTTAATCTCTTTGGGATGGGACGGGTCTTTGTCCACGTGGCCCATATATGGCGACTGGAAAAGCGACTTGCAAAATCCGAAGGGCTCTGATTCCGAAATGACGCCATGTCATGACATTTTCGAAAAGCGATTACGAGATTTACGACGGCTATACAGCCCAAAAAAGAAATCAAAGACTAACGAACGGAACAAGCGTGCATTGTTTGCTTCCCGACTTTAACGACCTTACGATACGATTTCCTTCTGGAGCGCTTGCAAGTGGCGGAAATGACGATTTGTTCTCTCGATTGTGGCCATTTGGGTCAAATCATTGGGTTAGATGTTCTGCTCTCTTTCTTTTTGTGTATGAGGGACGATATACGTGTGGATGGATTATGATTGGGACGAACGGCTACGATTCTGAGGCGCCCTTGATGTGTTCTTGGCTGCAGGAAAACGAGAGCAAGACTGCACGCGGTTTCTGGTCCTGGCGAAGAGAAATTTGCTACCGGAGTCATACTATTCTCTGTCAAATGATGAAGTCTCCAGTCGTGCCGGGGAGCAGCGAAGGTGGGCTCCGGTCTCCGCGGACGTGGAAGTTTCCCTGATGACATGTCAAATACAATAAAAGCTCTATTCATAATCATCAAAATGCTTCATCTAAGCTGTTGTTGAGTCTCTGGCCGGATCCGTAATTGTAAAATCAGGTCGTATCTCCAGACTTGCCTTTGGAGGGGGAATCAGAGGAAAATCTTGGCGCTACTTGCCAAGCCCACATCTACTCTGACGAATTCGACTTCTCTGTTTTAGCCGCCGTCGAAGAAGGAATCCATCAAGAACATCACCGTCAATTCTTCAGTCATCGCAGCAAGATGTAAGTCCAATCAATCTCATGCCGTTGTGATCTCGAACTGCCTCTTTTCGACAGTCTGACTCTCGAAACTACTCCTTCGGATGGGGTCTATGACACTCTCTGTCTCGAAGGCGACTGTTGAGTCCGTTGGCTGATACCAGTTGTCTCTAGGACCAATCTCCGTACTCAGAAGCGCCTCGCGGCGTCCGTCGTCGGCTGCGGCAAGCGCAAGATCTGGCTTGACCCCAACGAAGTCAACGAAATCTCCAATGCAAACTCCCGGCAGACGATCCGAAAATTGGTCAGCGATGGACTTATTATCCGCAAACCCGTCGCCATGCACTCCCGGGCTCGTGCGAGAGAGCTGAATGCTGCGAGAAGAATTGGAAGACATCGAGGCTTCGGTAAGAGAAAGGGTACAAAGGATGCCAGAATGCCAAGGTACGAAATAGCTCCTTGACATGGGGATTGGACCATGAAGGCAAAGAACGACACTGACGGCGGTGGATTTACAGCCAGGTCCTCTGGATGAGACGACTGCGTGTTCTTCGACGTCTTCTTGTCAAGTACCGAGCTGCCGGCAAGATTGACAAGCACCTCTACCACGAGCTCTACCAACTGAGCAAAGGTAACACTTTCAAGCACAAGCGTGCATTGGTCGAACATGTATGACCCTCTATCAAGTCACTCATTGCAAGCTTAGTCTAATAATGTACAGATTCACAAAGCCAAAGCCGAGAAGCAGCGTGAGAGAATCCTCAAGGAAGAAATGGATGCCAAACGTGCGAAGACGAAGGCTGCTCGTGAGAGAAGGCAAGAACGAATCCAGACCAAGAGAAACGCTCTGGCTGGAGAGGAAGAGACCAAGGAGTAGAAGGTTATGGAGGCATCGATGATGTAAGGTGGATCATGGCACAAACACAATTGATGGGCATTTTGGGGACCGCGTTAACGACCGATCCTGCGATGATTACATGCAAATCTGGGCTAATTTTCTACGGCCTGGGGGATCGTGGTAGTAGTGACCTCGGATGGTCTGCATAGACATCTGCACCATGTGGTTGTGAGTTCAATAGGCACAACGATAACACAATGGGAAAATTGCAATGTAGATGCATATTCCAGAAGACAATGAACGGATCATATGGTCTAATTCTCCCGCTTTCCCGTCTTCTTTTCACCTCCTTCCCGACTGCAGCACCAGTTTAGCTCTTCGTATGGCAAGCGTCTCAGAAATATGTAACCATATAGTAGTAGCAGCGTCCGTAGGCTCCTCCCTTCCTCTTGGATCCCATGGGGAGTGGAGAGGCGGCAAGATGGTGAGATCCGCAAAGTCTAAGTCAAAGTACCCGACGGCTACGGGGGCGGCCTAAGTGTGGAAATGTCCCCCTTGTCGACTAGCACCACTCCCCGACTCGACTCGTCAGCGTCCGTTCAAAACGACCACCTCCCGCATAAAGAAGCGTTAGAAAGCTGCAAGCCCTTGCATCTCCCCCTGGCACCGAGTACTCGAGAGCACAGGCGTCTGTTGAGTTACGGAACATCCGCCGAGCCAACCCTTTGCATAAACTAACTGTAACGTTAGGTGTGACGCTTCCAGCGCACAACACACACTGCTCTCTCATACCACATTACAGAGCTGCTGGGTTGAGCTTTGTTGGAAATAAACAGGAGACATCCCGCGAAATTCTGCTCTGCCCAATAGTGAATTGACATGCGGTCCAGTTCACGACCACGATAGTCATTGAATGCCTCGATTAGTGGCGGGATTTCCAACTCAGCCCCCTTTCCACTCCCCTTGCGGTTCAAGCTTGGTTCTCACAACTGGACTTGCCGGTCCGACGCAGGAGACTGTGATGTGATAACAACGTGATTGAATTTCCAGTACCAGCTTCGATTTTCTAAAAAGGACCCTTGCATTGAACACAAAGAGAGTGCCAGCTCGGGCGGATGAGCTTGGCCAAAGAAAGCCTTTGGCATCTGGGAAGCCCCCAAATCTGACTATCAAAAGACTCGGATACATAGATTCGTCGACGATGTTCAGCGGAGGTCTTTGGGGTGCCATTGGTAAGTAGTGACTTCTTCGTCTCTCCTTTATCCATATGATTTCCATCTCCTACAATGACGCAAACGGTTTATGCCATGGCAATCTCGCTTTGCGAATGTTGTCCCTTGTATCTTGGCCATGAACACCTGGCATGTTGAGTCATTTCCAGCGTTTCGCCTCCGTTCCCGAAGAGCAGCCAATCTGTTTACCCGACAATGGGTCGCGTGCAAGTGACCAGACCAAATTTGCAGAGCTTTTCCAGCCTCCATTGATGGAATTTTATATCTCTCTCAGCTACATCCGGCATCATTTCTTTATTTCTCAATTCATCACGGGACGCCCTCACTTTCATCTACTCCTTTGGTCAATTCCCAGATTTCTGATTCTGGATTACCGCGCTCTTTCTCTAACATGTGACAGCACCAGGCGGAGAGTCTCTCCTAGACAAGGAACGCAATCCACCTGCCAAACCAATCCCTCTTGAATTTCCCAGCTATGTCCCACCACGGTGTGGTAGCCCATTGAGTCGGCGACATATGAGGACTCTCTGCAGAGATCTTGTATCTATCCGCAAACCGCTCGATGTCCAAGATTCACATGTCACACACCTCAACATCCAGCTCAATGAGAATGTTTCGCTGGCAGAGATGATTCCGAATAAACATTTCGAGTCACGGCCATTCTTATATGACAATGACTTGAGTGCTATGCTCACCGAGCTTGAAATTGATAATGAAGACGCCTATCGGGAGGTCCTTCGACTTCCGCCACTCGAAGGCAGGAAGAAACCACGCTTAACGTATTCAAGGAATTTTTATGCAAGTCTGGAAGATATGTCTCGATATTGGGATGGCAGCAAGGACAATTATTACGAGGTTGATGCAAACGAAGCAGAAAACCCGGCTACAAAACCCACCAGCCCGAATGCCGACAACGAGCAACAGGGTCCCAGACTGGAGGGCGATGTCGAAATGAAGGATGCTAGCGGAAACCCACAAGTGTCTCAGGACGGCAACGACCACAATTCAAATGACAATATCGCGACCGACACCGCCTCAAATTCGGGTACAGTCGAGATCCCCACTCGGCCGAAATTGAGGCCAGTGTACAAAGGCCATCGACTTGGAAATGGTGAGCAAATGAGTCCGGGCACAAGAGTGGCCGCTGTGCGGAATCTAGTCAAGATGGCCACGCACAAATTCAATTGTCGAGATTACGAGATCAGCACTCGGGAAAAGTTCAGAATACGAAATATAAACCTCCCGTCGGTCTACTACAATTTTTGTGTAGCAAAGTTACCGGCTGATGTAAAGCTTGCGAGAGCAAGAATGGTGGAAGGCCCGCTGATAGCAGTACACTGCAGGAGTGAGGTGAGATTCAAGTCGAGGGACGGGCTCTTGGGTCCGACAAGTGATTTTGTGGGCGAAAAGTACGACCTGTTCCGAGAGGTGGGTGGTTTATTGATGCTTGCCAAGCAACGGGCTCGGGAAGGGCAGAAGCTGTCCAAAGAGCCACGAGAGGATCAGTGGTGGGCTATTAAGACACGCTGGGGTGGAGGCGAAACCAAATGGGGCCAGCTTGCTAACGAAATTTTCGAGGATGAAGACCCAAGTTGGAGCCCCGAAGAGCGGCGATTGCAGCTAGAGAAAAGAGCGAAGGAGGAAGGAGAACGGAAAAGGGCAGATGCAGCTTCTGCAGCTGACTTGAACAGCCTCAAACCAGAAGACCTCATGTCGAACACGTCAGCAAGCAATGAACGTCCGAAAAAGAAAAAGAAAAGCGGCGAGGACAATGCTTCGTCCAAAGACAAGGCGGAGTACAAGGACGGGAAGAGGCTAATGTACACTCCGCCTCTCCGCCGCAAATGGTATCAAGACTGGTTGAAGATCCGACCGAATTCCCCCAACTGGGACGAAAAGATCATTTACAAAAGGATCGGTATGCAAAATCAGGAAAATGGCAAAGGTGGTTGGGACGATGTTTACATGATCTCTTCCGTAAACCACCATGCGTGTGTGTTAAGGATGAGTGTGCATGAAAAATATCTCGAATGGCTAGAGACAGGGAAGACATTGCAAGAGCATCGAAAGGCGCCGGGCGAGCATGCTTCTGGTCCTACGTCGGACACGAAACAAGAACATGTCCTCTACGTGAGCAGGAGTCAGTGGTATGATCTCTTTGACATCGAACAGCGCAAGGAGCTACTGGGAGGGATATGGAGGCTCCTGTGCTGGATCAATCGAGACGAGCTTCCTAGGGAAGAGTTTGAGAAGATGGAAGAGCTGAGGAGGAAACAGCAGCAGGATAAATCGAGCAGTGATCACCGGATGGAGACCCGGTAGGAATCGACGGTACATTGCATGTTCTCAACAGTAGACCGCCTCGTGAGTTTTAATATGGTCCCCAGTTCAGCCAATAGACAGCCGGGACCCATCGAACGAGGCTGAGTCAACGTCATAGCCCGACCCGCAAAAATTGTGGGGAACGGCGACTTTAGACTTGGGTCAACAGCTTTTTTTGCGCCCGTCGAGTCATACTCAAATATCTTTCTATATGATCCATTTCACCTCTTACTCTACCGCTCAACGAAGTCTCTCCCAAGCCTCTCTTCAGCTATGCCTGCCTCGGCCCTCACCGAAAACATTAAAATCCAGGAAAATGGCGAGAATACCCTGCATCGAGAAGTCTCCCGCAGTCTGTCCTTGAGTACCTCTCCTCATGATACCTTCCACCATCGCAAGATGTCGATGGGTATGGAGGGCACTTCGCCCAACTTGAGAAGAACAACGACTGGGCCTATGCCAAAACACCTGAAGCCGTTTCGAGAACAAGATATCAAGATCCTGTTGCTGGAAAATGTCAACCAGACGGGCAGAGATATTCTACAGGGCCAGGGGTACCAAGTCGAGTTCTTCAAGTCCTCCTTACCCGAGGATCAATTGATTGAGAAAATAAAGTATGTCCGGACCCCTCTTTGTCCGCGTCTCATTGAGAAATCTCTGACCGTTTTTGCTCCAGAGACGTTCATGTCATTGGCATTCGCAGCAAAACGAAACTTACCTCTCGCGTCCTCGCCGCTGCAAAGAACCTTATTGTGATCGGGTGCTTCTGCATCGGAACAAATCAAGTTGACCTGAAATATGCCGCCTCTCACGGGATCTGTGTCTTCAACTCTCCCTTCTCCAACTCCCGCAGCGTCGCCGAGCTAGTCATCTGCGAAATCATCGCATTGGCCCGTCAACTGGGTGACCGCAGCAATGAGATGCACCGGGGAACTTGGAACAAAGTCTCGGCAAAGTGCTGGGAGATCCGGGGCAAGACACTCGGCATCATAGGCTACGGACACATTGGATCTCAACTCTCGGTGCTTGCAGAAGCCATGGGCATGAACGTCATTTACTATGACATTGTCAACCTGATGGCCATGGGCACAGCTCGACAAGTGCCTACGCTCGACCACTTACTCTCGCACGCAGACTTCGTGACGTGCCATGTCCCTGAGCTGCCAGAGACCATGAACATGATCGGCGCACACGAGCTCGGTACCATGAAACAAGGAAGCTACCTGATCAATGCCTCGAGGGGTTCTGTCGTCGACATCCCGGCCCTCATCGACGCCATGCGAGCCGGCAAGATCGCCGGCGCCGCCCTCGATGTCTACCCGGCCGAACCCGCAGGTAACGGCGACTACTTCACCAGCAACCTCAACTCCTGGGCCGAAGACCTACGGTCTCTCAAGAATCTGATCCTGACCCCTCACATTGGCGGGTCGACGGAAGAAGCCCAGTCCGCAATCGGGGTCGAAGTGGCGGAGGCACTCGTCCGGTACGTGAATGAAGGCGTGACCGTCGGCGCCGTCAACATGCCCGAAGTCAGCCTGCGCAGCCTAACTATGGACGAGCCCAACCACGCCCGCGTCATTTTCATCCACCAGAACGTCCCTGGTGTGCTGCGCCGCGTCAACGAGATCCTCGGCGACCACAATGTCGACAAGCAAATGACAGATTCCCGCGGCGACGTCGCCTACCTCATGGCCGACATTAGCAATGTCAAGGAAACTGAGATCGCGGAGCTGTATCGTGAATTGGAGAGCCTGAGTGCCAGGATCATCACCAGGATTCTTTATTAACGAACGGGCACTCCTCTATCCTCCTGGGGTTGAAAACAGTAAGGACATGCCTCGCCAAATAACCAACGTTATGGTGTTAGGAGTGCTTTGTGGAATTGAAATGAGGTAAGATGCAAAACAAAACGAGTGATGATGGGAAACATAGACCACAAAAGAAAAACCCAAGATGCTAGATTTTAACGATGTCGATCCAGACTTCTTGAAGATCCAGCATTTTAATTCGACAGAAGGCCGGCTTCCAACTAGCTTACAGCTTATCCCAGGTTCTTATTTTTTTGGGAGGGGTTGGAAAAATGTGATGTGTTATTCGTCGAGAACGACTTCAACATCAGGACACATAATTGATTCAACAACAGCAAAAACGGAATATAGGAAAAAGGGGACACAGAAAACAAGAGCTATAAAGAATTTGATTGGGTTAGAATGCATCTGGCATATTGAGTAGCTCATCTGAGGAATTCGTCCTTAGTAGCATGATGGAAAGTACGTTCTCAAGAACTCCCTTCTGTGTGTCGACTGTATGGGGATCTGAATGTTCTTAGCTTCAAAGAACCCCGGCATCTTTCATTGTTGTGAGTGTTTGGCCGATGCTGCCATGTTATATTGAGATACTCCGAGCCAAAATGGAGATCCATGCCCCCTTGGCTTGACCTGTTGTTCCCTTATCCTGGATCATTCTAACCAATGGAGAAATTGTGGTAGTTCAAGGTCCAGGGCTGATGCCTCGGGCGAGGCTGACTCCTCCATCGTTATACATTCTTGGAATGTCCTGAGCTCAGCTGATGAAATCGTAGCACAGATGGAAATGCAAATGGCCCGTGAATCCTTGCGACCTTATAAAACCTTCATGATTCAAAGAGTGTAGAAGCGATCACCAAAGTCGCCCAGGCCAGGGACAATATAGCTACATAACTTAGCTTCCCAGCATCGGAATAGAAATGAAAGAGAGTCATGACTTACTTTCGCTCATTTAGACCTTGGTCCACGAAGGCCGTAACCACCCTCACCTTTGGAACCTTGTTTGCAAAGTTTTCGATGCCATCAGGACTAGCAATCAAGTTCAAGAACAGGATTCGTTCTTCAGGGACGCCCTTGCTCTTCAAAACTTCAACGGCCATGATGGCACTGCCGCCAGTAGCCAGCATCGGGTCAAGGAGCAATACCCATCGGCTCTTGATATCCGGAGGAAGCTTTTCATAGAAGAGTTTTGGCTTGCTGGTCTCTTCATTCCGCTGAATCAGGATCTTGCCAATTCTGACCGACCGGCAACATTCCCTCAATCCTTCTTCCATTGACTCGCCAGCTCTCATGATAGAAACACCACATATCTTGCCTTCGAATTTCACGCCCACATAGTCCTTCCCCACGGGAGATGTGACCGTATGCGTTACGACTGGCAGGTGATTCAGGCCTTCTTCAACCAGGAGACGGATGATACGATTGGAATAGAAGATAAAATCAGCTCGGTCGGTTTCTTTGTCGCGGATCATGCTTGAGAAAATTGTTAGCATTCGACCCGCACCATGAGATACACAGTCCACCCACGTAAGCAGAGCAATGAGCTGTGGCGTTTGAGGAAGTACATGAACATTCTCATACGGCACATCTCTCGACACAGTTGCTGTTGGCTTCTCTTCCGCAGGACGATAAGATGGTCCAACTCCCACCGCGGGCGATTGCACCCCGTTTGTGCGCGGAGCCGATGCCATCGATCTCAGACGGTCTGCAGAATAAGACAGCTCGCTCGCCAGTAGGAGAGGAGGTTCCGGGTGTTCGCGTGACCGAGGAGAGAGTTCAATGCAAAGACCCGTTCCAAGGAATGTCTCTTGTCTGGCGCCGTGTGCGTGATTGATCGTGATTGGACAGTGGCTGGACAGTCACTTGGGATCGTTTGTTTGGAACGATATTCTTGGATACAAGAAAGCTTCACGCACGCATACTGCAGGTCAAGTGAAGACAACCCCGGAGAGGGTGCCTCTTTGCAAAAAGCTGACGGAGTACGAGGTCGTCAGCCAAAGATAATGCATTCATTAGCAGCGCAGGTTGCAGCCCGCCGGACCCATTGGGGTGACAATTTGTCTCCCCACTTCGCAACAAGCGAAAGAACATTTTGTTTATGCTTGACATCACTCCGCATCTTTCATCCCTGGCGACCGAGCGCATGTAACCAAATCCAGGTCAACTCCTGGGAGACTATTTTGCCGGCATATTTCAACAATTTTCTTCCCCACCTCCTGCAAGACCAATATTCATATTGCAGCGATGTTTCAAGATTGTATTGAGCAATGTATCCTACCATGATGACAGCCTATCGACATGTCGCGAACACAACATCTCCGAATGCGCTCCTGCTCTAAGATAAGAGAAAGAGAGGATTGAATGAAGAATAATCGTGGAGGTGACCACTCTTTTACGGCCATCATGGACTTCCCAGCAGCGCGTCGGAAGATGAATACATATGGCAAAGGGGCGAGGAAGATTTTCGTCCATGATCTATTTGATGCCGGTGCGTTACCATCACACGACGTAAAGCGCTCAACGACGGATTTATCGGCACCAACCCTACCAGAGCAGACTATCGACACATCTTCAGGCGGACAGACTGAATGCGCAGTTGGAAAAGCAAAGGAATCTATTTCTAATGATCAGACAGAAACAAGCAAAACTACGTCTTCGAGCGTAAACAGTTCACCGCCATTGTCGCCGAAGGAGATGTCGAAACTGTCAATGTTCGACATCCAATCCTCCGAGGACGAAACATCGAGAATCAAAGCCAGGCCGCCCTCAAAGAAGAGAAAAGTGATACCAAATGAATTGAAGACAAAGAATGGTCCTAGACCCGGAAGATTTGATGTTGAATCAACACTCCAAAAAGCATTGAAAGGACAGCCGACGATGACAAAGACCTCGCGCCATCTAGGTGGAAGTAAGGAAATGCAAAGGGCCTCCTCGAAGACTTCCAGCGCAATGCAAGCTACAGGAAGCACAAAGTCGAACAAAAGGACCCGTAGATTGAAGCTCGCCCCGGAAGCACCGACGGAAAGGGAAGGCACACGAATGCTGAGAAGACCAGACAGAAGTGCTCGTGGGAAAATGTCACGCCCCAGAATCCAGCGAGTTAGCAGTGGTTCTTCTGCACAACTTTCAGATGACTCCATCCCATCACGCTTGTCACGCCAGAGCACTCCAAAGCGGAAAAGAGATGTTTCAGATGATGGCGTGGTGAATTCACCAAGCCCCAGTGAACTCCAGATGAAGTCTTTGAGATTGACACCGGAGATCCATTCGCCGAATTTTAAAATTTCCACTTCTGATGAAGAAATGACAGAGCCGAAACCTCCTGTCCAGGGCCCACGCAGAGGCCGGACGAGGCTTATTGATAGACTGGATGCCCCTCGCGCCCAGAGTATGGACAAAGCAACAGCGGGGCCCCCGTTGTTCTCAGAAGAAATGTCAAAGCCTTCTCTCAGCCAACCTGTTAGCGGCACAGCCTCACCTCGTAACGTCCATGTGGATTTCTCGTCGGGCACTTCAAACGCGGATAACCAGCCCCCAGGAGGACCAGTTGTGGGCCCACCACCTCGCCAGCGTGCAACTTATGCAAGGCAACGGTCCCACCTTAGCGACATGGTGGACAGCTTGGACAGCCATTCTTCGTCACAACCAACCTTTTCTCAGCAAGGATCTTTCACTAGTTTAGCGTCACATATGGAACTGGACATGGAAGATGGTGACGAAGCAGAGGGTTTTAGTCAGATCAAAAGCATTCACGAATTAAGAAGAGGAGGCGCTATCAGGAAATTCGACCTTGACTTGCATACCATTTTAGAAGATATCGAATCAGAGTCGAAATCATTACGCATCCAAGGCCTATTACAACTCATCACCAAACTCAAAGACCTCACTTTCTTGCGACATTTCCAGGATTCTGGTAACTTTCAGCGCTTGACGGAATGTGTGAAGGAGGGAACGGACGGCATTACGGCTACGTTGATTGCATTAGTCTTTCTGGATATGATATCTGCTGGGCATTCATCTCCCAAGGCCTTGTCACAGATTCTGAGGGCGCTATATCGCACTCCCGCACAACTGATCTCAGAACGAAGGTCACTGTCTAACTTGGCAAAATATCGAACACAGAATATCTCCAAAATCCTGGTTAGAGACATCACAGGATTTGAGGAGCAAAGATCAAAAGATACTAAGCAGTCTGGCCTCTTCGTCGGCCTGATCGTCCTCAGATCCATTGAGGGAACTTTGCGGAATCTGATCCATCTCAAGGAGGAATTTCCAAGGCTTCCTCCGCTGCTGCTTGATGAGATTCTCTCGACGTTCATGGAAACCCCGGGGGACGTGGTTGAAGATGGCAGACGAGAGAATCACGTGGAAAGAGTGCAACTATTACTCTCATTGTTGGAGATTGCCTGCGCCAATCATCAATTGGCTTGGGATGACCTATCGACATTTCGTGTCCCCGAGCTCGGGGATAGCGTGGCAGGTGTCATGCTCAGTGCTCGCCATGACCAACCACAGATCGAACACTCATGCCTTCGACTAATTGTGAGCCTAAGCAACAACGAACCGAATATTTGCGAAGCACTCACGGATGGGAGACTCATCACGACCGTTTTCCAAGTCATCGATGACCACTTCTTGCGGCTGGCGGGCCTCGCGGCCCGGGAGCAGGAGTTTGATCATGCACAGCTCGAATCTGTCATTTTAGCAGTTGGCTGTCTCTTGAACCTTGCCGAGTGCGCAGATGCAGCCAGGGAGAAGATGTTGGAGTTGGTCCCGGGTGGTAAGAGCCTGGTTGATCGACTGGTGGCCATATTTAATAGCCATGTTGACCAAACCTCTGAGGTACGTGGAAATTGAGAAGGGAGAAGACAATGCTAATCGATTTCAGGCCTTGACCATCGATCAGACACAAATCTTGGTGGCATTTGGTTATATTTCGGCGTTGTTGTGCACCTTGTGCTTGAACTTGCGAGCTTGCCAGCGGATCTCACAATCCATCAATGGGGAGGGACTTTCACAGTTGTTCGAGGCAGCAGATATTTTTGTCGACCACCTGCAGACGGTTGAAACTGCTCTTGGAGATGATGGGGGCCCGTCATCAGGATTTACGGCACGATTCTCAGCTGTCCTTGCGACGATCAAGCTGCAGGTGGCATGATACCTTTTTTTAATGACAGGCCTTTTTGGAAAATCGCATGATACGATGACGGTTGGAAACGTGGCGAGTTCGATGGCAGAGCATAAGAGAGGAAAGCTAGGGTCTTAAAACCCCTTGAATACTTTACTAGTTTGCTAGACACCAAGCGCTGACACAATCCATCATAGCCAGTGACTAGCTGATTAGCCGATGGTTGGTACGCTGGGGGTTCATCCGTTGCGCATCCGTTGCGCAAATGGAAAACGTCAGGAGAGGCGGAAGGCTTGATGATTGGCTGCGGAGCGGCAATAGACGAAAATTCCCCGCCACGGGTTGATTCCTGGTTGCAACTCATTTCTCTCTGACGCCTGAACCAGCGCGGCGAGCAAGAAAGAGGACAAGATGCTGTCGTCCTGGTTGTCGACAAATGTCGGTGAAGTTGGCCAACATCCGCCCTTGCCCCAACGATAATATCTTCAGATCGACGAACAACAACAACAGCTACACATACGCGTAAATCCCTCTCGACTGCAAGGACTTGCATGTGCTTCGAGCTCACGGTCATCCTATCTCAGGAACTTGTAGCTCCGCAGCAGCCGTTGTCCTTTCGAATTGCCATTACATACTACTTTGCTCATTTGGTCCGCATATTCTGGGGCCATCCCATGGCATTGCCTTGTCTCTCGCTTTCTACCTAAACCATATCTCTTTACCACTTTCCCTCATTCGTGCTTGGACTGGGCCAAAAATTCCCGAAGCTTTTTCTGACTTTTTGGATCAATTTTCTTTGGCGACCAACACCCGGTTTTGGGGGGCCAACCATTCCGTCTCCTGCAAACATCCACACAACCATGGCTCCCTCGGTCAAGCAGCGAAAGATCGCAATTTTGGGTAGTCGATCCGTTGGTGCGTGCTACAAGATGGTTGCGGGGGGCGAAAACAGGCTGACCTCGGCGCAGGCAAATCTTCCCTCACAGTCCAATATTGCGAAGGCCATTTCGTAGAAAGCTACTACCCTACGATCGAGAATACATTCAGCCATGAGATCGTCTACAAAGGCCAGACGTTTCTCACAGAAATCATCGACACCGCGGGACAGGTTTGGCGGACGTGCCATAGCCGGAAAGAAACCTTCGCTGACATGTAAGATTAGGATGAATACAGTCTTATGAACTCGAAGCTGTATATTGGCATCCATGGATACCTGATTGTGTATTCGGTTGCCTCCAGACAATCATTCGATATGGTCAGGATCATTCGGGACAAGTTGTTGAACCACCTCGTATGCTCCTGCATCCGTCCAGCTCGAACTTATACTTCCGTCATTGACCTTTGCTCTAGGGAGCGGATTCGGTACCTATCATGATTGTTGGGAACAAGAACGATGTCGACGCCAAAAAGCAACGAAAGGTCACTGCTGAAGAAGGGCAAAAACTTGGACAAGAACTGAATTGTGGGTGGATTGAAACCAGTGCTAGGAACAACTACAATGTGGCCAAAGCATTTGAGCTCATGATTGCCGAAATCGAGAAGTCGCAAGAACCCGACAAACCTGCTGGCGGAGGCAAATGTGTTGTGATGTGAATGAGAGATGAGATACCTGACGAGTTTCATTGAGAATACAACATGAATTGGGGGGGATGGTCAATGGAAATATATGATTTCGGCGAATTTGTTTTCTGACGTTGCATGATTGATTGGGTGTCTCAATAGGATAGGATAGGGTCAATGGCGTTGTGCGGGTTTTCCGAATTGCTGTGATTCGAAGAAAAGGCCATAGAGAGACACATGTCAGGATAGATGGAGGGTTGTCTTGTATTATCAATCGTTTGGTACTCATTGTTAGCTTTATTATGCGATGGGTTAAGGGGGAATGATTGACGATCATGACTACACTGCTGGTGAATTGGTCACGGGGAGAGATGAGCCAGGGCTGGTTCGTCCGCCTCTTCCAACCTGTTGTGATGATCAAGCTCGATTTCAGATCGTCGTGTTTGTCCCGCAGCCGACCTGCATTCGTCATATTGCACGTCCAATCTCAATCGACAAATTCATCATCAGTATGAATGAAAAGAGAACAACTTGAGAGACGAATGATTTGGGCAGCATTGAGCAGAGAAAAAAAGCAGCGGGGGCAAAGTCCCCCAAATGGTTTAGCTCAAAAAGGTTGAGAAAGATCGCTGCACCGACTAACAGTGCTTCTCTTTTCCACACCGAGGATCACCAGTACGGCCACAGGAGAAAGAATTGGGTCTCTCTTCTCGATGCCTCAGTCATGACAGGATTCCAAAAGCAATGGAAACAATCAAGCTCAAATGACTAAGGAGACATGTTTCAACACCAAAAAAAGGAAAAAGGAAAGGGGTATATCAAGTTCTGCCTCCGCCGCATCCATTAGCTCTGCATGAAGGTAAGGGAGCATTGCGATGTCAAGAAAAAGCCAACGCGACATTCAAGTAGCCTCTTAAAAGGCAAGCCAGGTGCAATCGGGGATATTCTTCCCTGCAAGAAGGGTGTCTCGATGTCGCGTTATTTTTCTTGCAGGATTCATTTATTGAAGTTCACGATGCTTTCTGCGACCCCGAGAAAAATGTCGCACTTATGAAAGCATGATCGCTCTAAAGAGTATCGCAACAGTCAGTCAGCAAGTACGATATCGAGAACAACCAGAGAAGTTCTCATTGAGTTGGGCCAATGGAAAGACAGGAGTACGATCCAGGGACACATCTAGGTTCATTGGGACAATGAGCCGGAGGGAGAAAGGTGCTCGAAATCCACACTGCCTATATGTTTTGGCAGTCCTTCTATCTGAAATATCAGCACTGAGCAGTTAATATTCAATGTTCTCTCTACCTTCTTGCTGGCCCTGTGCCTTGAAAGTTGACACATATCTCCAGAGTACATTGAAGGTTGATTTCTCAGTCCATCTGGGTGGTGTCTCTTCTCTGGTCAGAAGGCGTAAGAACGCTTCCAAAAAAGACATCTTGAGACAAGGCTGTGGATACGTCTTGTGGTAGAGGAACAGCCACGCATAGGTTTGGTTGCGCATTGCACTGAGTCATCATTTAGCCGCCTCGACAGGGCCCTCGCAGAATCGCAAGCAAAGACATATGCGGTGTGGAAAAATGAGACGGTTTAGCATAAAAGAATTTGATTGGAACAGAATCCTTGGGGTTCTCCTCGTTCCGGTCTTATCGCACATTTACGCAGTAGCTTTTGGACGGGCGTAGCAGATGACGAATCTTTCAAATCGAAAAAGGGTTCGATAAAAGGCTGTTTGGCTAGGGAGGGCGTCTGCCAGATGTAAATTCGACACAAGTTGCTGGCCAATTTCGAAGTGACTCACGAGGCTCCGAAGTTTCGTGGGGTAGAATATTTCATTTAGGGGCGTCCTCCACACGTGCAGTCAAGAAAAACACACCCCCCCCCCCCGGCAACTCGCAGCAACGCGGTAGATCTAGTTCCTTTCCTTCTGCCTCTTTGTATTGCTTATTGCCATCATGATCGAAGTTCAAGATCTCATCACCTCAAGGTGAGAGGTGCACGAGTTGCTCGGGTAGTCATTAGCTTACCGACCCTGCAGAGGAGGAGATCCCAAAAAAGTCATCGACAGTTTGCAAAAGAGATACGCTCCCACAGAGGTCGTCGACGAAGTCATTGCCTTGTGGAACGATGCATATCAGAGTCTGTCACGTCGTTCTCTGCGAGAATTTTGCAACTAATTTGAGATATAGCGCGGTACAAAGCTACACAAATCGGCGCAAAGATCAATGCCACACAAAAAGAGATTGGCAAACTAAAGAAAGTCGGTGGAGAACACTCACTGCTTCTACGAACCCCCGAGACTGACGAGACGATCCTCAGGCAAAGCAAGACGCAGATCACTTACTTCAAGAGAAGGCAGACCTCGAGAAGGAGAAGAAGAGCGTTGAAGATGCGGCCGCAGAGAAGGAAAAGCTGAGAGATCGCAAGTGCAAGTTGATCGGCAACTATGTACATGAATCGGTACCAGTCAATGATAACGAGGTTAGAAGATCACGGCTCCAATGCAGACAAGACACTCACAGCGGGTTAGGATTTCAATGAGATTATAAAGAAGTGGGCTCCTGAAGGCGTCGCGCCCGAGAAGAAAGACTGTCTCTCACATCACGAAGTCATGACACGCGCAGAGGTCTACGATGGTGAACGAGGTGTCAAACTGGTAGGACACCGAGGCTATTTCCTACGGAAGTGGGGCGTTCTTCTCAACCAAGCCCTGATCAATTATGGCATACATTTCCTCGTCAGCAAAGGTTATGACCCGATCCAACCGCCATTCTTCATGAAGGCCGAATATATGGCCAAGACAGCACAACTCGAACAATTCGACGAGGAGCTGTACAAGGTCATTGAAGACAAGGACTCGGAAGACAAGTACCTCATTGCAACCTCCGAACAACCCTTATCCGCCATGCTTGCAGACGAATGGTTGACTGAGAAAGATTTACCTATGAGATTCGCCGGTTACAGCTCATGTTTCAGAAAGGAGGCCGGTTCTCACGGCAGAGATGCTTGGGGTCTATATAGGATACACCAGTTCGAAAAAGTGACGATTGTTTCCCATTTCCCAGGGCTGATGGCATACTGATGACTCGCAGGTTGAGCAGTTCTTATTTGTCAAACCCGAAGACTCATGGCAGGCACTTGAAGACATGAAGACCATTGCAGAGGAGTTTTATCAATCTCTGAAACTGCCTTACCGAGTGGTCGTGATCGTCTCAGGGGCCCTGAACAACGCCGCGGCGAAGAAATACGACTTGGAAGCTTGGTTTCCTTATCAGGGCGAATACAAAGAATTAGTCTCTTGTTCAAATTGTACGGACTACCAGACTCGAGAACTCGAGATCCGTTACGGACAGAAGAAAGGAGCCATCGATGCGAGGAAGACCTATGTTCATGCCCTCAACGGAACACTGTGCGCGACGGAGCGTACTCTATGTTGTCTCCTGGAAAATTATCAGAAAGACGATGGATTCGAGGTACCAGAGGTGCTCAGAAAATACATGCCACCCGGAACTCCTGACATCATTCCCTACACCAAGGAGTTGCCCAAGGATTCGAGCTCTCAAAAGACAAAACAGCCTGCGAAAGCGAAAGCCGATGGAGCTCCTGGCGGTGGACCAAAGCACAACATGCCAACAGCGGAGAATGTGGCAGATAAGATGAAGGACATGAGCGTGTGAGACAATGCATTGCATGAGATGAGGTGATGATCCTACGAGACTTGGGATGGATGTAGAAGTCAGCGATCTCGCATGATGCCTGCGACTAAAATCGATACGATGGGTTAGATAGAGCCATGACATGAAAGAACAAGCCGACTCTTCAGCGGTACGAGAATATGAATACGCGTTGATGCGTAGAAAAGAAGATAGATGAACCACGGTAAGTTCAGGGCTTCTCTAAGTTCCCGGTAGCCGCTAAACCTGCGAGACGCACAGTGCCAAGATTTCACCCACGTGACTGAAATTGCCAAGACCACACGAAGTTCTCTCGTTCTGTGTTTTGCCCACAAGCCGCTGCTGGAAAGTTTCACGCTTGACCTCTCCGCCAATTCAACCGCACAGCAAACCTTGCGACAAGAGACGATCTATCCTTTTCATTGCGAAAGATAGACTACGGGTCGCAATCATGGCTGTTGGCAAGTAAGTTGGCTTCCTCACAGCAGGATTCAACTTGGGAGGGGAAATTGACAACGTCTTTTCTACAGGAACAAGCGCCTTTCCAAAGGCAAGAAGGGTCTCAAGAAGAGAACCCAAGATCCCTTCACCCGAAAAGATTGGTACTCCATCAAGGCTCCATCCACCTTCAACCAGCGAGAGTACGTCATGACCCGAGAAGAAAAATATTCCAATGGAGAGAAACAAACGTGGACTTACAAATTTACAACAGTGTCGGCAAGACCCTCGTCAACCGCACCACTGGTTTGAAATCAGCCAATGATGCTCTAAAAGGACGGATCTTCGAAGTCAGCCTGGCCGATCTGCAAAACGATGAAGACCACGCATTTCGCAAAGTCAAGCTCCGAGTCGATGAGGTACAAGGCAAAAACTGCCTGACCAACTTCCACGGCTTGGACTTTACATCGGACAAGCTGCGATCGCTGGTTCGCAAGTGGCAGACCCTGATCGAGGCCAATGTGACCGTTAAGACGACCGACGACTACCTGCTCCGCCTGTTCGCGATCGCCTTCACCAAACGCCGCCCCAACCAGATCAAGAAGACCACATACGCGGCATCCTCGCAGATTCGCGCCATCCGCAAGAAAATGACAGAGATCATCCAGCGCGAGGCCACTTCCGTCACCCTTGCTCAGCTCACGGGCAAATTAATCCCCGAGGTCATTGGTCGTGAGATCGAGAAGAGTACTCAGGGCATCTACCCTTTGCAGAACGTCCATATTCGCAAAGTCAAGTTGCTCAAGGCGCCCAAGTTTGATCTTGGTGCTTTGCTCGGTTTGCATGGTGAGAGCACACAAGATGATTCAGGTCAAAAGGTCGAGAGGGAATTCAAGGAACCTGCGCCGTTGGATAGCGTGTAAACACCGAAAACGTTTGTGATGGTGTGGATTGTGGAAATAGGCGTCGATGGGGGAATATGCATCAATGAGGAGGGAGTAAAAAGAGATAAAAAAAAAAAGTCCTCAACAAAGGATATAAAGGACATGAAGATAGCAACATGGAAGCTTATCAAGAAGAAGCTATGTCATGGAGTGATGAGCCCTGAGTTGAGAAGCATGAAGGTCATCGTCACATGTCGAGGGAAGTAGAGCCGAAGGAGGAACGTGGAAGCTTTATGGGCTTTTATGAATGGGCCCGTAAGGCGCAGAGAAATCAATGATGGACTATGCTAGATTTAGCATTGGGCATAACATACTGCTAAAATTACAATTTGAAAACCTAGAAAAATTTCAGTCTCTGCTGTCTGATCAATCCGTCTGTGTGATCAGGCTATCCCTCCTCGACTGGATCTATATGTTGGTACAGTTCGGCAGTATCCCCTGGTCTTATCTCTGCTCTACCCACTAGAACAGCGTACCAATTCTATCCCAGCGTAGGTATGCAACATCTCTCTTCAACAACACCGCAATTCTTTCCTCCAAGAACTCCTTCCTTCTTCTTGCTACTCCTCATCAACAGCCCTTGTGATCCACTCCGCTACCCCTTGCCTAAACTCCTCAAACCGCTCACTCATAACCCAATGCCCACAATCACAATCCAACAGCTCAAACCGCGGGAAAAATCGCCCAATAACCGGCAACGTCTCATCAGCAACATAATGGCTTTTCGTTCCCCTCACAACTAATGTTGGTCCCTCAAACCTCGCCGTGTCGGGTTCTTTGAACGGAAAGTCTGCCATCGCAGGCAGTGACCTCGCCAGCGTCGCGAGTGGTATCCGAAAGCGCAGCTCCGTTTTCTGCACATGGCGATGGTCGCCTGCATGATGCACATGCGGCACTCCGCCGGGCGGAGTCTTGACCAGGTTTGTCAACAGGAACTGCCGAATAGCGATGTCCTTTTCGTATTTCGCTAGGATCTTGTCTGCGTCGCTCTGTCGTTGGATGCGTGGTCTGTGCTCTTCGATCTCTCGCATGGCGGTCATGTAGGTACCGAAGTCAGATTTCAATGCGGCGTCCACGGGCGCATTGTCCACGGGAACCAAGGCCGAGTAGGACCCCGGTGAGCGCAGGGCGAGGGTCATGGCGACCTTGGCGCCCATGCTGTGTCCAATCAGTGTGGGGCGAGGGATCTTTTGGGTTGAGATGAAATGTTCCATATCCTCGGCCATCGACGTGTAGTCGTGCACTGGGCTGTGGGGGCTATCGCCATGGTTGCGCAGGTCGACGGTGTAAACTGGTCGGGAGAGGTCTTTCGCTAGGGCTCTACAGTGTGCACAAATTTGTTAATCTTCTTTGGTGGGCCGTTAAATGCAGGCTTTGGGCAAGGAGAAGGAGACGTCCTTACTTACTCATGGTGCGGTTATTTCGCTGGGACCCAAAGAGACCATGCATAATGATTATCGGCGGACCTTTGGCGGTGGTAACGTCGGGAGGGTCGTGTCGGTGGAAAGCAAGCTCAACCACGTTGGCATCGCGGAGAGGTTGTACGTTGGAGAAGAGTCGGCGGAATAAAGGAGCGTTGGGACGGGGAACGTGCAGTCGGCGCATTGCACGAGGAGAGTAGCGAAGAGGAAAGACAAAGAGGTATACAGGTGGTGGAATGGAGAAATAGGTGATTTATTGTGAGGTGAGTTGAGCTCGTATCCTCCAATTTGTACATGGCTAATTTTGCTTGGCCAAATGACGTAACCCTGGCGTTTCCCCTTTCTCTGAACATCCCGGCCTCAAAGATACAATTCAATTCTCCTCGATCTCCCCCAAATACAGCCTCACTGTCGCAAACTTCTTTGGTCCAGAGCATCTTTCCCATATGTTCTTTGGACGGATGCTCATAAATGCACGACACCGTCACCTTCGGTGTTTCAACTGACATTCCTGCCTGTGGAATCGTGATTATTCCAATCGTGAAATTATATATTTCATCCCGGTGACTTGGTCCTTCTCCGTTGGGGTTCCACAAGTTCGTCGCACCCAACGTCAAGAGCAGTGTCTGAATCGTCATCCATTCCCCCGACTTCGAATCCCCTCCGAGGGTCGGATAGATGAAGGGCGAGTAATCCCAGAGAACATTGGACGTCTGTAAGAGTAGCCGTTGCCCTCCGCCGTGCCTTTATGGCGCCTTTGGTCACCTCACGAAACAACTGGTCGTTATTCGGCTGCATAAGATCCAAGAACTTTTCGCGGATGCCTTGCAACGCCTGAATAACTTCCCACGCGACCTTCTCCTTCATGGCACGCATGCTCAAAGAACTCATGTCTCGTGCAATAAATTCGGATGGTTCCGAGGAATTCGTGGTATATTTCAAGATGTCAATCAGGTTGGACACACCTGGTCGCTCGACGGGATCATAAGATATTCCCGGTGTGGAATCAGTCACAGCACCTTTGATTTTGGCGTATATCTCTTCGGCACTATCGGTAATGAGAATCTGTGACTTCGGATCTGGGTCGGATTTGGACATCTTCTGTGTAGGTTTTTTAAGGGACATTAATCTTTGAGCCGGCGCTGAGTTTCTGTTAGCAGGAGCCACTAACACGGTGTTGGTCGGGAGCCGCACATAACACGGGAGCAGGGATCTTGAAAATGGTCGAACCCCAGCTTTCTTTAATGTGGGAGTTAAAGCTCCGGGCCAACGTTCGAGCAAACTCAATATGCTGCAGTTGATCATGCCCAACAGGCACCAAGTCCGCTCTGCTTAACATTAGCAATAACAGGCAGGCTTCTCCGGATGATGACTGACTTGTACAACAAGATATCAGCGGCCTGAAGCACCGGATATGAGAATAACCCAAGCTTGAGCTTTGCTGTTGCTTCATCACTATCAAGATTGACATTATCTGGAAGGTTCAATTTGCTCTACGTTGCTCCTTCAGCACACTGGCAGAGACAATGCTGGCATTTTCCTCACCTTCCATTGGGTCATTCGAGATAAATAACCGGTAGATGCAATAGTGCTCAGAATCCACATCAACTCCGAATGACACGACACCTGTAGACTGGTCAAATGGATTGGGTGAGTGATCACCAGAACACCTTACATCAGATTGAAAGAAAACGCTCGTTTTGTCGGTATTGCTCAAGCCAATTGCGAGTAGAGCGGCGTATGATTCTTTTCTTTGGCGTAATCGCACGGCGGGTGGAGTGTCTGCGGTCAAGGCATGCAAGTCCACAATCGAGTAATATTGTCGGACCGTGTGATTGCCGGCCAATTTTGGATCTTGAGATTGGTCATGAAGTCGTTTCCATTGCCGCAGTGCACCGAGATAGTTTCCGAGATGGGGAACTCCAGTAGGTTGAATTCCAGAGAAGACTCGTCTCACCCTGCGCCTTCGGTTTCTTGCGTCAGGAAAAATGGCGTCGGAATCGGATTCTTCTAACCAGTCTGGCTCTGTCTCCCACTCAACTTCGGGTCCTTCATTCCATTCTTCATACGTGCCGCTGGCCTTATTGCTGAGAGGGCGAAATTGGATTTTTCGTGGCGACAAAGACCTCACAAATGAATTTCGAAGACTCAGGGACATTGCATCAATCAAATGAGCGTACGCGTACAGAATGCACGCCAATGAGGATGCTTCAAAGAAGAATGTTGAGGAGTAAGAAAAGCTCAATGGCACGACGTGCGAGTTTAAATACATCCAGTACAGAAATATACCTGCCAAGGCCATTCGATAGAGGGTATATTACGGTAATTCCGTAATGTCAATACGACAAGTCGTTGTCTCTGTTTCAACACCGAACCTTCGACCACCGTATTCATGATCATTCATCTACCAAACATGACTGGTGAATCGCAGCCTGCTACCTCTATGGCCTTGAGCTCTTGTCTAATTCCACGAATTCTTATGCCTTGATCCAGCTCTGCTTGACCAGGTCCGCAGCCTTTTCCCCGATTCCGTACCTAATGCGCGTTCGTTAGTCACCGTCAACTTCGCACCAGGAGATTCTTCATACGCTGGCATTTGAGTATGGCCGCCATGCAAAGTTGGCATCACACTGCAATCTGCAACCCTGAGACCTTTGACTCCCCGGACTTGAAGCTTTTCATCAAGCACAGCCATCATATCATCACTTTGTCCCATCTTACAAGTACCGGCGGCGTGATAGCATGTCGTTGCGTGCTGTTTGACATATGGGATCCACTCTTCTCGACTGGTGAATGCATGATGTGCCAAATCTAGATGCGGGTTAGTCTTTGGCATCGTGGCAAGTCAATGGTGTATTTACTAGGAGGCCAGGAGCCTTTCACGACGTTTTTGGTGCCGGCTCCTTTCATGACAACCTCGTTTCCTAGACTACACCCTTCGGTGAGAACCAGCAGATCGAGTGGGTCGGAGAGATAGTTGCAATCTATCACTGGGTTCTCGAAGGGGTCCGTGGACTTCAGCGTAACCGTTCCCCTCGATCGTGGTGAAAAGAGCTCGGTGATCATTGCAAAGGCATGTTTCTTGTCTAGCCACAGTGAGTGATGTCCTGTACTTATCATTTATCGAAACTCACCGATAGGGAAATCAGCGTATTGTTTTGGGCCGCCGTATAGCTTATCAAAACGTTAGCGAGATGCGACATAGGGAGACGGCTACCAACCTCGGTGGTGAAAAACTCAACATGGGGCTGCTTTGGAGTTAATCCCATGGGATCACGACCTGGTTGTCTCTTTGCCTCTTTCCACAATGGCTCATCTTTTAGTCGATCATCAAGCCTTGCGAAAGCGAAAGAACCAAAGGGGAAGGTAGCAAGAATTCCCTCTTTCTTCTCTTTATACAACATATACGCAGCCATGGCAGCATCACCGTGGTACCTGCAACTTCTGTCAGCTGAGCTCTTTTGCCGAGTATGCCTTCCCATACACCAGATAGTCATTCGTCAATCCCTCCTCGGTTTCATAAAATGTGAAAACAATCTGTCAAGTTGTTAGAGGACAGGAGCGGGGAACGAGATCACAATCACGAACGAGATGATCCAGTAGGTTCTTTCCCACTCCTGGAGAGTCCACTAGGCACTTGATGCTCAATTGTTCCAATTCCGTTTTGGGACCAATTCCGGATCGAAGAAGGATTGCTGGTGAGCAATATGCACCTGGGAATGTTAGAGATGATCTGTGCAGCTCCCGAACGTAACTACCTCCGGAGACAATGATTTCTTTCCTTGCCTTGACGTCTCTTTTCGCTCCACTCTTGTCAACGAGAGTCACACTTGCAGCTTCAGGTTGACCGTTTCTCTCCTCGAAGTTAATCTTTTCCACCAGAGTCTCGACCACAATGTCGATATTGGCCCGGTGGTGGTCATTTGTCACAAAGTCAGCACCTGTGGTTCGAATACCTTTGTGGTCTGTATGATCTGTCAGTTTGAACTCAACAACACGCCACGTGTCTGCTGCAGCATACGAGTTCGAGGAACATGGCCACAGCCATGTGGAGTTTCCCCATTGCTGAACATGTCATGGACCAGGGGCATTCCCATGGATTCCATCGATTCTAGCAACAATTGGGATATTGGTGCTAGATCGTGTGGTTCTGTGTGGAGGGGTCCATCATAGCCGTGTGCCTTTTCGTCGACTTGGAACCACGGTTTATTGTGGAATGTCTCGGCCTAGATATCATCAGTTCAAGCTCCTCAATACCTTGGTGGATCAGCCTGACCTTGCGCATATATGCAAACATTTCTTCACCTGACCATCCTGGAAGGCTGGGCCTCTTAGCCAATATAGACAAAAGAGATTCATCCATCCTTACTTCCAATCATCATAGTCCTGTTTGCTTCCGCGGATACAAAGTGTTCCGTTGACACCAGAAGAACCGCCCAGAAATTTGCCTCGACTGAGCTTAACTCGTCGGCCATCAACGCCCTTCATGGGGGTAGTGACGAGATTCCAATCTGTTTCACAGTCTAAGTTCTTCGACCAACCACCAACCATGTGGACATTCTCAAGGTCTTTATTGTGAGGTCCGGCTTCGACCAGGAGAATTCGTGCATTTGAGTCCTCGGCCAGTCTCCCGGCGACAACGCAGCCTGATGTACCACCTCCACTTTGGACAGCGAAGTTAATTTGTTGTTGAATGTTGAGACCTATCCCGTTGACTTACCAGACGATGAAATCGTATTCATCTTGTTCAGTCAATCGACCCGGAGACATAATGGCAACCGAGCCTACAATACAAAGAACTACACTAGAAAAGGGGTGACAGAAAGAGAAAAACAGATATCACTCGGCAGTGAGACGCAAGAGATATATTTTCGGCACATCCCTTCAACTTGGACCCCGAGGAATTATTCCACCCTGTACGCTCTGAGCCAACTCAGCATATGGCCCAACAAAGTCGTTCAGCCGTCGAATCAGACATGCCGGCTTCTCTAACCTCTAGCCAAGATCTGGGGCCACCCCCGCGAAATGGGCCAATCCCCACTGCTAAGCCGAAGAGTGTCAGCTTTTGAACGGAAGTACTGTGGATATTAAAGCTATAGACAATAAGGCAGCGCGGAATCCATTCCTCCTCCACTGCCTTGTTTCCATTTCCCCGCCAAATCGAACATACGCTATTTGTTGCAGGAGCAAGTCAAATCAAGTGACACCTGCGGTCAATTGCCTTCTTCGACTCACAGGTAGTAGTGTCAGGAATGTTGACTAATGGTCGCATTTTGATGTGGAGCATCGGCTGAACAAATCTCTGAATCAGGCACACAGCCTTCCTGGACTCAGTTTACATAAGGCTGAGACCCAGATTTTTCTTCAACGCTGATTTCGTTGGTCTTACGAAACTTGTGAGAGAAAAATCCAGCAATGGTATCCTTCCGCATTTGGAGAAACCCACTCTCTAGAAATAAGGCTACCATGAGGCGATTCGGCGTCTCGCCGGCTCTACACACGCCACTCCTGATCATCTGCCGGATTTCTTGCTACTTGTTGTGCTACATCACCCGCATCCCCCGGATCTATTTGCCATAGAAAACTACAATCGCTGTAGAACGAGACGACATGTGATATATAACACCTGATTCGCGGAGATGTTAACCAAATCGGAAACTTTATATATGGGCTGCCTGTCTGGCCTGATACAGCATTCCCTCTGAATGGAATATACACACCTTGTCCATGCCTCCTTCTCTCTGCTTCTGACGAGAGATACTCTTTTCTACCAATGCGTGAAAGCTTAAGTCCGAACATGAGCAAGGGCAGATTGCAGGTCAAGGCAAAGCAAGAGGGTCAGGTGTAAATCGCGTATCGTCATCAGTTTAGCACTCCTGGTGCCCCATGAGAGTATAATCTGACGGAGTCGTCTTCTCAGATTCGGACTCAGCCTGACGCTGGCCCTTATATCCGAGAAGTCGATACTTTGTAACCGATAATTGAGAAAGGCATATTGCGCATCGCGTGCTCAATCCTTCTTCCACCCCATGCTAGGGAATCCTTCTCTTGTCCCTGTGTAAGATATGATGCGTGGCTAAAGGCAGAAAAATGTACATTTGAAAATACAATGTATACATAGGAGAGCATATCCGTAGTGGTGCAATCCAACATTCGGCCGGGAAATATTCATAGAGATTGCTTTTTGTACCAGGAGTCTGGATCCAGGCTGTACGTCCTTTCCATGCCACGGAAGAACGCATGTACTTCTGTTCTGCTCTCTCCCCAACATTGTCACCTGGAAGATACTTATGTCCACCTCACGCCAGCTCAAACCCCGCATTGTGGAAAGAGTCAATAAGGGTCTCCATAGACTCTGGATTTCTCCCTGACCTCGGTCATACCCATGCCAACATGCCGATGGCCCTGGTTATCCATCAAGCGACCCAAATCATTGCGCTGGCCATCATGTTTGTTAAAGCCAAACAGGCGCAACTTATCATCGAGTTCATTTTCCAGCGATATAAATTCCTGGTCCATTTTACCAGCGACGTCTAAAGTTTTTCCATGTTAGCATCAGTCAATGGACCCCCTCCTGGGGGGAGGAAATTGTAGTCTCTAGCGTTGGAAGGGCGATAGGAGGGTGGAATTGAACAAAAGAATAAGGCACATACCAATCCCCTCAAATTGCCACACATTCGCCTTCATGCCCACGCCGTAGAATTGCCATTTACGCAGAAAGGCCAACCAAACTTCAACGACGCTGGGCTCGCCGTCAAACACGGTTATCAGCCTCTTCAGCGTGATCCGCTCAAAGTTCTCCTGCGCTTTTTTGTTCACGAAGTTACTTCTCAGGAGGGTCCAGCGCTCGGTACGCCGTGGAAGAGGGGCTGGTCCAGTGCAGGGCAGACCAAGATAGTACGCGGCGCGGACAGCGAAGTCGGCGTAGAACTCGAGATTGCGCACGCTGTAGCTCCGCAGTTGGAGAGAGGCGACTGGGATGCCATGTGTCATGGGGTGTCGGAGCGGTGTACGGTACGCGGCGAGGACATTGGGGGGAACGAGCGGTTTGAGAGGTTGTTCAGAGGATGTTTCTTGAGATGGTGTTTGCCGTGACTCGGACTCGATAGGAGAGGCGTCTTTCGTTGCGGAAGCATTTTGTAGGCGCTGTTCGACTTTCTTCGCGGCTTCCCTGACGTCCTTCAACGAGGGTCTTGGGGCTGTAGGTGGGTCGACTTCGACCTCATCGTCCAAAAACCCTTCATTTTTGTTCAGGTCGGGCACTATTCCTGATCCCGGTTCCGGGGTGGGGAATCCGGCTGTGATGTCTTTTGGGGGGATGTATTTAGGTGTGCTGGAAGAAAATTCACGCGCAGATAGTCTTGATCTGTGGGATTGTATTATTCGAGGCTGCGGGCGCAGATGGAGAGTTGAGGTAGCGGTCTGCATTGGACTTGTATCAGCATTTCGTTGTTGGCTCGGGGCTTTCATTTTCTTCCATAGCAAGAGGACGGTACATATTCATTTTCAAGCAACATGAAATAGGGTAGAGAGAATCCTCGTACCTTGCAAGGTCGACACGCTTCAATAGCTATCCGGACACATCGTGGTATGGACATCTTGCCTACCACCAGCGGGGAGCTATGGAAGCTGAGACAAGGTCAGCTCCCAAAATAGGCGCTCGATGTGGGAAAAAAAGATTCTCTTCTCCCAATAGCACCACAGGAAATAAATGCACTGTTCAGATTCAAAATCCAAACATTGGGAAAAGTTTCCTTTAGCGGTCCTCACGTGAGACCATGCTGCTTTAAACATTGCCTGCTCCCACTATCCTGCCGTCCTTATCTCCATAAACCCAGACCCAAAATTAGCAATACTTGACGGGACTGTTTCCAGGTCCCTTTCATCAACTTTTGGCATTTGTGGCCTCAATGCGGGCCGAAATAGCCTCCCATTCAGGCTGTATGCCGCCAAGGACGAGACTTGTCAGGAGTACCGAAGTCAGGACAGACAATAGACAACCTACAGAAGCAAGTAGATATACTGTACACATGCGGAATGCAGCCAGGGTTCGTCCCTGTGTAATATGGATTCAACGCCTAGAGAGCGAAGGCTCCTTGCAAGCAGTAAGTATATAGGTGGCGGATACCTTGCCTCTACCTACGCTGGCAGTACACCAGCGACTAAGTACAGCTATCAAAGTAAGGCGAGCTCCTGGGACTTTGTTGTTTCCGGACCCTTGTCGCCATCAGCCATACTCCACTGCGAGGGAGTCAACGACTAATTTACGTTTGTCTCGACTGATGATACTTCAATATTTCTTACCAGCTTCGCACTCACATTATTCCCGCAACGGTCCACAAGAAACGTTTCATTGTGCTGCGCTGGCTCCATGGCAATCACTCAGCAGTCGTTGATGTGCTTTCTACTACTATACCGATCGAGGTGTAGGGTAAGCATATCCTGAAGTTGATATCCCAACCAAATCCACCGGATACCGACGGGCACAAAAACAAAAGTCGCCAGGCCAGCGGGAAATATAGTGATGTATGCAATGATAGTGAGCATAGACGTGTCCTCCAGATAGTTTCAATAAGACTGGAGGCACGGTCTCATGGAAGGCCGGGACGCACGGTGCAGCTTCACGCATCCAGCTCGCCATTGGGTTTGATTGGGTAGCAGAGAACCAGTAAGGAAAATACTGATACGAATTTAGGGCTAGCAGACGGAGAAGGAAACCTTATCTCACGATGCATTTTTGTACTGCCATATCCCTTCACGATCGTAATCTCAATTTCACTGCAAGAACTACATCGAAACTAGCCTCCTCAGACACGACTCATACATGTCCGAGGATGGCTGCAAGCCGTTCTCATTCTCGCGAGTCCTGGTTCTCAAATTTAGCGATCTGGACGATCATGATCCATTCAACGCGTCAGAATGTTTTCTTCAACACGATGGATAGCAGATTCACCGTCCTTGATGCGGTCCCTACCGCCAGGAATGGGTTGTCCTCTCTGCAGCCAGACACTTTATCCCAACAGCTTGATGTTGGCTGAAGAATGAGGAACTCGAGAATACAAGCTCTTCTTCAAATGAATTCCGGCAAGTGGGAAGGGGTCACCATGTCGAGATCAAAGCATTTTGCTTCACGAGAGAGGTGTAAATAATGTACCGAAATGGCGCAGAACCTGTCGTTTGTTTTGCCGACGCTGTTGTTGGCCAATCACGTGAGGAAGCTGGTTTGGCAATGTCGCAATTTGCTCCTATTCAGTCTTGCTCACCACAAAAAGACCAACCGAGGACCATTTACCCGTTGATTTAGCAGCTGGCCTCTTCTGGAAAATGAAATCTCCAGCTCCTGGAAACTTCGCAACCCGGCTTGGTCATGGGCCTTGTCGGATGGTCAGGTTGATGTGTCCTCCTTTTTGGCACATCTGAACGCGGAGCCTGGTATCGAGGTCACCGATTCCAAGGAATATCGCTCTCGCATAGAGAATTTCAAAACGTACGAGCGGGTTCTCGGACAGCTCTTTGCTAGACAACAGGGGAAACTGTCAAACTAAAAGGCCGCAGTCACTCTGCAATCCTGAAACGCCAGAATACGGCCTTTGCTTTCGACACCATTGACGTGAAGTTCAGCGACGAGCAACAAGTCGCTAACCAGCCGTGGTCATGTCTGTAATCTTGATCCCAGCCTGGGTTCGAATTCGGATGTCCAGTCTTACGATCCTGGAAACCTTGGGGGGCCAATTCCTGCATAGCCGTTGACCTCGAGTAACCTCAGGGTTCCAGCAATTTTGCCTTTGGCACGGCACGACCATGGTCAAGGGGAACTGAAGTCTCTTACGTTATTAACCGGCCCAACCACTCCGCGATGATCCAAAAAATAATCACCGTGCCTATGGCTCCCCGTTTCGCTAGGTGTGAAGATGCTCTTGCTCTAGGGTTGATGAGCCCAAGCCCAAATTTAATGCAGCAGATCGACTTGGGCAGCAGACCAACATGTTATAGAATGACAGAAATTCCAGTCTACAATAGTCAACTAAGCTGGAAAGTAAGCTGGAGCAGTAAAACCATCAAGCTTTTACCGAAAATATATTTTCCGGTCCACCAGAGACCCATCCTCAATACCAGCTTTAACCCTCCGGACGCCCTCTTCACTTACCCGAGCCTTGCCAACAAGAACATATTCACCCTCTTCCGAGTCGCTGCTAGTGTGCGCCCGCGCCACGAAAGCCGTGGGAATCCCCAGTATGATCATAAGTCGGTCCCCCTCTTGGATCTTCACCGGTCCCACCCCTGCGAAACCCAAATCTGTCGTGAAGATGGTATGCTCAGAGAGGGGATCACCCGGCTTCATAGCTGCCCTATCCACTCTTAGCATCTTGTCCTCAAGCTCCGTCCAGTGCTGATCGATGTGGACTATGCTCTGGGTGTTTTCGTAGTTTTCCTCTCGTAGTTCTTGCTCGATATCCCTATCTGTTCGTCTCCGCCCCGTATTCCGCTGTTGTTCCACTCTCATGGCCTTTGCAGCCTGCTCCTTTTTACGACGCTCATTGTTCCGCGCCCTAATCATCTTTAATAAATTCTTCAAGCTTTGAATAATGGATTTCTCCATTTCATCGGCCGGAAATATTGACCAGCTTCGCTGGCGCAGTAAAATCTTTGTAATCGTTGACATTATGCTAGGAGAAATTTGGCGTTTCAGCTCCGCTAATTCGTCTGTGGTGATAAAGGGTGGCTGGTTAGGGCCGAGCCCGGCCCTTGCGAATACCTGGTATAGTAGTAGCTCGCCCGTGACCGGTCCCTTGTCTTGGTAATGCAAGGCGGTCAGCATCGTTGAAACCACTTCTGTAGACTCGAACGCCTCCCCTCTGGGATTCAAACCAACAATACCGTCCCGGACAGTCTTTAAATCCCCAATTTGATTTATTGCGCCGCAGTCGATTCCTCGAACGCCCAGTATGGCTGCGCTCACTGAGCACTCGAGTTCGCCGATACTCGTGGCCAGAGTATTGACCCAGAGCCGGTTATCATTGTCATCAGTATGGTGTCCGGAAAAGTCGGGCACCCATGACGGGAGATCTGCGTTGGTGCCGATGGGGAACAAGTTGAATACGTCGCCCCATTTCTGAATGCACAGAAGACAGGCTGCTATTCTGGTGTAAATGGTGCTAGTGGACTTTGTATAGTCGGGGAGAAAACCCGTTCGAAAGGGTTCCATCATAAGCGACTGCAGGGCAAACACTTTGTCCCGTGGATCCGTCGCCCGATATCTTCGTGTGTCTCTCAGCAGGTCAGAAACTCTGCCCATAACCGGATGCAATCGCGAGCGCCAAAGCAGGTGCGAAAGCCTCATCTCAAGCATATTCCAGCGTTCAATGAGCGACTCAGTCCCATGCCCAAGAAGGCTCGGGTATGATCTCTTGTCTGTCGCGAGGAGATCGGCCTGTATTCTTTCTCGAAGCAGCTCGAATCCTTCCCGGAATGTTCTGGCATCCGTCCAGCGGTAGCCATATCCAATCAGCGGATCCTTTCGTGCGTATGCAAACTCCTGGATGACCCAGACTCGAGACCACCACGGCCTTTCGAGTAGTCGCCAGAACTCAGCTAGCACAGCTGGTATATCCGTCATCTCGAGCACTGCATCGACATCCGTAGCTGTTCCGATAGCTTCGAAGAAGTCAAACAGACTCGAGCAATCGGGCCCATCACCGAGAAATACCAAGACCTTTGCTGCTTCTTGGTAGATCTCCGACATTCTTGCAACCAACCGATTCTTCTCAGTGTCACTATGTTGATTGACGCAAATGGCATCAACCCAGAGCAAGCGTCCCCGATCCTCACGTCGGACATAGCGAAGTGCAGTCTCCAAATTCTCATAGATCTCCGAGTCCTTGCCGTCGACTGTGATGGACTTGGTTGCTTTGGGGTCGCCCCAGACGTATGACAGAGCCTCGTACTCAGTGTCCTTAAAGCGGATATGTGTGCGGCATCGTATTTCAGCCTCGAACTTCCCTGGTTCCAATTCTACGATGCAAATGTAGCGTTGAAGAAGTGGCAGTGGCGCGTACATGGTCTTTTCAATAAACACAGATATTTGAAGGGCGTCTCTGATGCCGACGGGTCTTTGATAAAGGGGTTTTTGGTATAGAGGCTGGGCCCTGCAACAACGTCAGCAACAAATGGACAGGTAATTTTGAAACGCGCCCATAGATCAACTCAAATCGATGTACGTACTCTTGGTCGCTTCCGTCGGCATGGTCAAGGAACCGGCGTAGCTGGATCATGACGTTCCAAGTGGCTGTCTCGGGCATGGGCCATCGACAATGGAACAAAGCTTTGGTAAGACGAAAGGAACTCCACAGCAAGCCGGCAGAGATACAGAAGCCTAGGACACCTGCGCGTATTAACGTCTTTCTCCAGCTCCCTCTCGCTATCGGATAGCCACAGGCAACACCAGCCAAGAACCACTGGGACAAAATGAATTGCCCCGATCTCGTGATGTACTTCTCCTCCAGGTTCTGTAGGGCGTTCTGGTGCATCAACTTCCCTGCATGAATCTGAAGAACTCGGTCCTCGTGGAGTAGCTCTCTCAGGTTGGCCGCTTCATCGCGTACGCGGGCGTCCAAAGACTCCCGTGTTATGAGTTTGTCGCCCACCACATCCTTCTCATGAGCTTCTGCCATGGCCTCTCACAGATCTGAAAGTCTGGATGGGACCACCCTTGTTCATCGAGATTGCTGTCGGTACTCCGGACACACCGAGTTGTCGGCGAACGATGCACGGCATACCAGTGCTGGCTGGCATTCAGTCTGCTCACAGACGTGTGTGCAACCAAGCAAGCTTAGGCTTCGGGCATTTTCTGTTTAGCAGCCGCGGTGTTTTCAACTCGCTCAAGATGGCATCCAATAATAGTGTCTGACGCGTCAGCGATGTCTCAATTGGTTTGAGATGTGTCAGTGGATTTTAAACTGATCAGACGAGGGTCGTGCAGAGCGAGGTACCAGGTCTATTGCATTTTGAGTGAATCTCCCGTAGTTGAGAGAAGCTGGAGAGAAGCTGACGAGAAAGGACTCCACCTTACCGTAGGTGCTGTTAAATCCGTAACATAGACAACAGAATGGTCAGGAAAGAGCCAATAGCAGATGGACACGACTACTACTGACAGGGTCACTCATCTTGCCACGGCATTCATTTCCTCTGCACAGGCGATAGGCCCTGCTACGGGTGCTGAAGCTGTCCCACAGCAAGGAGCGCATGATTGATGGAATTGCAGTACGAAGGACTTTAATGACGGGTTGTCAAGGCTGTTGAGGACGTAAGGGACAGAATTAAAAAAAAAAGAAAAAAAAAAAAAACATTTCAGCTCCAAGCTATTGAAAGGAGCCCCTCATTGCATTGCTGCTCAACTATCTAATCGCTCTCCAGAAGCACTTTGTTGCTCCAAGAGAATAGTCGCCATTACAATCATTCATACAATCCCATATCATCGTAACAAAGAAGGCTTGAAAGCCAGGTATGAAATTCATGACCTCTTGACATCATATCAAAGTCAACCGTTGTCGGAAGCATAATTCGAGACAAATTAGTTCGCGAGTTCAAGGGATTCCAGATCGACACGACCTGGGTTGAACCGGGGGATATCTTCAGCAAAACTTTGATCACAGTAGTCCAACAATCGAAAACCGCGAATCCAAGAAAGGTAGAAACGAGTCTCCCGAATTTCAGCAGCAAATATTGAATACTTGACCAACATATTAGACTCGAGAGGTAAAGCTCCGGCCTCCCAATGATGGTCGTCCAACATGATCAGTCGTGGCGGTGGCACTGGTTTGCGTTGACGGTCCACCGATCTTTTCAAAGCCTTTCAAAATATCGACACCTTCATTGTCAGAAGGATCATCCTCAAAGGAGTTGAAATCAAAGAGGTCATTCTGCTCATCAAGAATTGTAGCGTTCATCCCACTCTTGAGCGGAGACCCAGAAAGTGAAGATCGGATTCCCGCCTTGAATAATGAACCCGGTGTTGGCGTCTTCGCATTGCGCTTGTGTGCACTTCCCAGCATGTCCGAAAGGACATTACCGGAGGTGGTTGCGCGTCCAACAGTCGGGCGGGATACAGATGCTTTGAGAGGGGACGATGAAATGAATGCTGGTGTCGCCGGTGTGAGTCCAATTGTTGGTTCTGAGAAAATCTCAAAAGACTCTTCCGGAGGAGCAGCCGAAGGATTTAGGGTCGACCACTTCAGAGGACTGTACGTTTCAACGTCATTTTGGAAAAGCCCAAAGCTCTTGATGGGAGAGTTGGCAAAGTCACGCATAGCCTTCCGATGAAGGTGAAGTTGTGTGTTTGGGGATATCGAAGGGGGAGGGCGGATAGGCTTCTTGAAGACAATTGAAGGAGTCACCGGATTTAATTTTGCAGCTGGGCTGACCCGGACAGGGGAGGACGATTGAGTAGTTTCGGCGGTCGAATTGCGGAACCTGGTATGACTCGGGGTCACGTCGTGAGAGGAACTTCGAATTCGAGCGATCTCTTCTTCTGCCCGGCCTGTTTTCTTCTTCAATGGCTCGATATCCAACTCCGAAGTAAGCACGGCGGTGGTTTTATTGGGCCGCAACACGGACGACTCAATGGACGAGAAATATCCGCTGTCGTCCATCTTGGAAAGAGTTCGCTTTGGTTGATGCACTGAAGGGGGGCGTTGAAGACGTGCAGTAGGGGATGAAATCGTCCGATGATGAATTGATCTAGGGACAGGTGGGGAGGAATTGATCGCATCTGGAGGCGAGGACTTAGGTGCTGTCGGGAGCGATCTATCCCCAAGTTCGGCTGTCTCCTGCTCATTGAGGGCAGGATCTGATGCCGGCAGTGTGGCATCCGAGGAGAGCTCGGGGAGTGCAGGAGCCGTTTGCGGTCGAGGAGGTTCACTGGATTGAACAATAAACGGATTCGGTGCCAAAGCGTCAGACAATGGTTGAGCAATCTTCTGAGACTCCGGGCGGATGACATTTGTGTTGATGGTCATATGTGACAGATTGTTGCCTCGCCGATTCTTGTCTTTGATAAATTGTCCCTCCATTCCAGGCTCGATGACCCAGTAGCTCCCTTTACCGGCATCCCCCTTTGGTCTTTCCTGTTTTGTGAAAGCCTTGTGCAATGACAAGTTATGTCGGATACTATTATGCCAGCTTTGCTTCGTATCTTCTCGATAATATGCGAAGGTGTTCGAGATCCATTCATAGATCTGTGCCAGAGTCAAACGGCGATTTGGCGCTCGGAGAATGGCCATTCCAATCATCTGAGCATAGCTGTATGACGGCTTGCTACCATCATCCTCAACCGGGGGCATGTCCTCTGGTTCCGGCAGATATGTTATGGACTCTTCCTCCTGTCTAGACTTCTTGAATGGTCGGTCATTCAGTGACTGTACATCAGAGTATGATCTCTTGAGTGGCTGCGTGTTGTGATCATAAGAAGGCTCTGGAAAGTCGACAAAGTTTTCATGCATCGCCGCTGCAGGATAGTTTTCTTGTTCAAAGGCATCGAAATTGCTATTGAATGTGGTGAATAGGGGCTGCTGCTGCTGCTGCGGCTGTTGTTGGTGATTCATTTGGACTGGTTGAAACTGTTGATTGGGAGGAATATGATATCTCTTTGCTGGTGAGTCGGTGTAGGGATGGGGCGTTGTGGAAGGCGGAGGGATAGGGATGTAGCTGAGATTAGCATAGTTCGGATTTGGTGGCGATAAAGGTTGGCTCTTCAACGGTGAAATTTGCTGAGTTGGACCCATTGGTGCGTCAAGAATGACTTCGGGGTGAGCCGGGGGATTCCTCAAGGGTTGGAGAGGCATCGCTGAGGGTTGCAAACGCGGTCGTGGTTTGTGAGTGGGAGAGCCCTTGGAGGGGACAGGCATTGGATCTTGGTAGATCTGAACAAACTGGTGTTGACGCGTCGATGCCATGGCGACGACGGATGCAGACTATCCAAAGGTACCAGAAAAAGTGGTTTTATGAGAAAAGTCGCGTGAAACCGAGGTGTAAGTCCCATTAACCAAGTTTTCAGATTGTCAGAGTGCGGACAAAGTTCGGGTTGGGCCAGAACCGGCGTAACGCAGCAGATGGTGACTGGACTTGGGTTTAAGAGGAGTCTCGAGCTGGTCCAAGGCAAGGAGAGATTTGATGGATGTCAGAGGGGAGTAATTGTCGAACTAGGAGAAATATGAGCGCGTCTGTGCGGGAGGATAGAAGGTGGGATCCAGGCTGCGGTGGATCGAGGGGGGCGGTGGTACGAATGTTGAGCCGTCGAAAGGGATAGTAGGGCGCAATTGGTATGAAGTTATGGAAAAGACCGGGCCGTTGCGTAGAATAGACGGAATCCGAGTGACGTTGTTTACTGTTCACAGCGAAGATAAAAGGTAAGAGATACGTGGGTGGTGCGAAGGTGAATGGATGAATGGGAGTAGGTAGGACGTTGGAGTGGGCGGGCACCTCACGAAGAAAAAGGGAGAACAAGGCCAGAAGCCGGCACCGAGCAGCCTCAAACTGGTAAGTGGTGACGCGGGACCAGGTTCTGGTGGCCCTTGACCTTGGAGCTTTGGGGTCTGCGGTCAAGGACACAGACGCGAAGCGTGTTCGTCGTTTCCTTTTCCTGTCGACGGCGATTGGTGATGATGGGGTGCTCAATCGACTCAATCGGGTCAAGTGAATTCTGTGCCCTTGTCAAAAGAACTCAAAGCCAGCTAACTAGCAATCGGGAAAAAGAGTTTTGGCGTCACAGACAGCCGTCCAGTTCGCAGCGAAGAAGTCGGTGGTCTGCATCAACTGCCTTTTATCCACATCCAATCATTGGGATCTTGATTGACGTGTGGAGTGCTTGTATCAGTAACAGTGGCCAAAATACTTGGTTATTTAGGACTTGGCAGTCGGTGACTGGCTGGGGGGTGTTTTGGTTTTGCCTGAGAAGAGGACGCGACGCGGCGTGCTTCCGGAACGGAATAACATTTATTCCGCAGAATCGGCGAAGTCGTGCTTGGGAGATCCCCAATTGTACGATACGATGTATTCAATTCAATGAGTGACTTTACTACTGTGTTGTTGTCAATGCGGAGACGGTGGTTGTTGGTCATTCTCCTTCTTTGGGGTCCAATTCTGTCATCGAAAGTCTCAAATTTGATAGAATCATTTTTGACATCTGCCATCACTGGATTTTTGGTCGTGATATGCTAAATTCTTCCTCGTCTTGTCTATTAACAAAGGTCGCCGACACCACTCTCAAAATGGCCTCCGACTCATTTTTGGTCTCTCTCCTATGTCCCTTTTTTATTCCCCATTTCATACCACGTGTCTCATAAGCAAAAATGCCGTCAAATGCTATGGGCCAACGTCGCCAAGCTTGCTCAAAATGCTTCAATCAAGGTTCCAGAAAGGTGAATAAATTGGTGTGCAAAATGTTCAACGCTCGGTCTGCATCGCGTTCCTCAATCACACAAGAGATGTTAATTTCACTGGCTCCTGGTCGACTTGTCAACACGGTCATTGCGAATCTTCAGCCACCCGAATTGCGCGTACCTTGAGAAATCATTTCAATATTCACATTGTTCTCTCCTAACGTGGAGAACATCCTTCCAGCAATGCCCACCATATTCTTCATTTGCTTCCCCACCAGGCTGACAATTGCCATTTCTGGGATGATGTCAACTGTCCCAAAGCTTTGCAGCTCTTCCAGAGCCCCGCGCAGATCCTGATCCACGATCTGGTATTCATCTTCGCCTCCTCCGGTGTACAAGGGCGCTTCTGAGTGCAGGGCCATGGACATGTTGACCTCACTGGTGGAGATCACATCGACTGACAGCCGCCACTTATCCAATGTTGCAAATATCCCGGCAAAGAAGCCGTGTGACAGCGATCGCTTATTGGAATGGATGTTCATAACCAGGATTTTGTGCTTCATGGTAACTGCCGTCGGACGCTTCGGCCTCTTCCGCTCTGTCAGATGGCTGGAACTTCGGGACTTGAATAATTTGGGGTCATGTCCTGATGACGCTGAGTCTAGCTCAAATGGACTATCAGGGAAGATGATGGTCCCTCCTCCTCTAGGATTCATGACATTCTTGATGCGAATTGGGATCCGTGCTCGAATGACTTGGTCCATGGTCGAAGGATGGATGACCTCAGATCCGTAGAAGGTAAGTTCAGCTGCTTCGGCAGGGCTGATCTGGGGAATCAATTGAGCTGTTGGGACTTTGCGCGGATCGGCGGTGAAGATGCCATCAACTTCCTTCCATATTTGCAATTCTTTTGCTTTGATCCCAACTGCAACCAACGCGGCGCATAGATCGGTATAACCTCGCCCCACTGTCGTAAGAAGCCCGCGAGGAATAACCCCAAAGTAACCAGTGATGACGGGAACTTTGCCCGAGATATTCTGCAATCTCTGCCCTAGTCGGGCGGATACGTTGTCGTAAAATTGCTGGTCCAAGCCGTGCGAACCTTTGAAGTCGATCACATCCGCCAGATCAACGTATTCAGCGTCAATCCCTCGATCTTGCAGTAGTGCAGTCATGAACCGGCAACTGAGTTTCTCTCCTGTGCTCATCACCTTGTCCCTCGATCTTGGGCTAGTCTCTCCCAATGTCTGGGCAGCTTCTAGTATCCGCACCACCAAGGAACATTCTTCGTCAATTTCTGCCTTTAACCGTGAGGATATTTTCTCCGACTTGATGTAAAACCCAGCAGCCTCAATGTGATCGGCTCGGACATCTTCAATCAACTTCTTGAAACCTTGTGTCCTATGATCCTCTGCTTCGGTGGCCGCCCGTAGTAATCGATTGGTAGTGCCTGCAGCTTTCGTGCTGCTCGATCTCTGGGGCAAGAGATCAGTACATGGTGTACATCAATGTTTGGAGAATCATATCCATACCGCCGAGCAGACAATGGCAACATCGTTCTCTTGGGAGCTCGATTTGACAACATTCACGATGTCCTGGGGGAATTTGCCAACACTGGTTCCTGAAGCATGTATTAACATTTGAGGGGACCAGCGAAATCAATGTCGCAACTGACCGCCAAATTTTAGAACATTGACCGGACGAGTGGTGGGTGTGCTGCTGCCGTTGACGATTGGGGTCGACCCATCGACCCCATTAGAAAGAGTGGCGCTGGTCATGATGTGGGATGGAAAATTCTCTGTCTAACAATATTGGACATAACTTCACCCCGACATGTATAGAGGAAAAGTAAGGAATGTAGAGCGTAGCAATGTAAGTGAGTGACTCGGGAGAAATCGAGGTTTTACGGGGTGTAGTGTCAGAGAAGGTGGACTGTGACTGTGACTGTGACTGTCCATCGCGGTGTTATTCTGATCCATCGCCATGAACCGGCAGAATTTAAAAAAATTGGGCGAGGGGGTCTGGGGGCGGTGAGGGCGAGAGGCCTGCGAAATCGGCGAATGGGATCCAGACAAACCCAATGGCGTCATCACGTATTGCCTTTACATTGGCCTGCACTCAGTGCCTCGTATCCAAACTCGTATTATTTCTGTCTTTTGTAACGTGTTACAGGCATTGAAAGTCAACATTTAACAAAAATACGAGACAACAATCCTCCTGCTCTTATGCGAGGTCCCCGATATTGTTGCATGCAATGTATCCCACTTTCAGCAATACGACACGCTCTGGAAAGGTGGGTTGGCAGCTGTGCTGAACGAGCAGTCTCACCTCTGGACAAGACACTGCCAGAGTCATCCAATCGCAGCAGAACATTCTCATTACCGTCTTGGCGATTCGTGGTCTGTGATATCGTTTTAGAAATGTAGCCTGACCTTGCTCACACTCTCCCGCTTCTCCCTGGCCCTTCCAGAGCCTACGCCCACCAGTTACACCGCCACTCGAGGCGTCTGATCACCAGGCCATCTATGAAAGCCACAATACTCGCGTTGCTGTTGTGTGGCCTCTGGTGAAAGAGACAGATACACGATATCGAAAACGGCCCAGGCAAACAGTCCGGACTCCGTTTGCCTGCGAGCCATCACCATCGCAAATACAACATGAAGTCCTCTTAACCTACTTTTATTTCCAATCTGATGTGTTACACCATTATCATTGTCATGGCATACGAATATCAGGAACAATATCTCAGATGTCCCTATTGCCCTTTTGGCAGCCATGAGTTTGACCAACTTGACAGACACGTGCAACGAGCGCATCTTGGCGATCAGCGGACAGAGAGTAGAAAATCTCGGCCTGAACCACATCGGAATCCTGATAATGTCGAATTGAGCGACTTCGAGTTGGCCCAACTACTTGCTTTTGAGGAGGCTGGACTTCCTCCAGAACTTGCTTTGCCTGACCGTCCCAATGTTCCTGCCAGTGTTCTTGCTGGAAGATCGGAAGCGACGGCAAAGACTCCAATACCTCCCTCTCCCTCTCGCTCTCCTTCTGGCTCCCGCTCTCGCTCTCGCTCTGCCTCTGCCTCTGCCTCTGATTCTAAAGATGACGAACGATGGGTTGAATGTCACTGCGGTGAACATGTTCAATTTATCGAGCTGGATGCACACTCCGATATGCATGCTCAAGAGAATGTCTCAATGGATGAGGCTGACCTACCTTCTGACGTTGCGCTGTCGAGCCCTCCATCCACCGAAGAGCCACCACTACTCGATTCTTTTAACACCAACGCACCTAGAGCTCTCCGGAATTATGATCAATTGCATCCTAAGACCCTTCCCAGTAGCGTCAAACGACGAGGTCCTTCCCTCAAGGATATTCTCCTGGGTAGTCCTGCGTCGCCAAAGAGAAAGTCACCCTATAAAGCGGTATCTTCAAAAGCTGGCAAGACGAGACGCTTGGGGGTAAGTGGAACCAGGACTCGAGCGCTTTAGGAAAAGCTATCTGACTTTCTATAGAGAGCCGAATTAGGTCCATATGCACATGAACATCAGATGCCCAGTTGGTTGCGGCGAATGCTCGAAGAGGGCGCCAAGGTCACCATCACTAACAGGATCACGCCGAACGGTCACCTGATTCGAATTGAGACTATCGCCAATGAAACCCCGGACCTAGTACCAGTTCTTGCGCGCCTGTCTCAACTGGATCGAACAGTGGAACGTGCATTTTACTGCAGTCCATCGGTGCGTCATGTCTGCAAAATGCCAAAGGAAGGTGGTTTCTGTGGTTACCGAAATATTCAAATGATGGCATCGTACATTCGTGACGCCAATGCTACTGGTGCCGAACATTTCCGTGGACGGCTACCGTCAATTTTGAAACTTCAAGATATGATCGAAAACGCTTGGGATATGGGTTTCAATTCAGGCGGACGAATTGAAACGGGAGGAATCAGGTATACCCGGAAGTATATCGGTACTCCCGAAGCACAGGCATTATTCATGAGTCTCGACATCCCCTGTGAGGCGACTGCATATGCCACTACTGATGATGTCGCGGCCTCTGAGACAATGCTCCGCGCCGTGTGTGAATACTTTGATGATGAACAAACCAATGACAATCTTGATAAAGTGGTCATCACAGACAAGCCACCGATTTACTTCCAGCATCAGGGCCATTCCATGACCATTGTCGGCGTGGAAAGCAGATACGATGGAATGATTAATCTGGCTGTTTTCGATCCAATGTTCAACCCAAGTCCTGCTCTGAAGAGACTGGGGTTTATGGGCATAGATTCCTTCAGGTGTGCTGAACCTGAAAAGCTCCTCAAGGCACATCGACGAGGGGAACGGTATCTGGAGAAATATCGGGACTTCGAATTGCTGAAGCTGACATGAGGGCGGCTTGCACGCTCATCTGTAATCGAATATGTTCTTCACCACGTATCCGTCGATACGAGCCATTCGTTCCCAAAATGAGCACTGGTTTGGAAGGAGACTTTTGGTGTTGCATAGCGCGGGTAGTGGGGCTTTTCGATAGAAACGAATCACTGCTCGGGAGCAGACGGTCATGGGAGGACGGCTCGGTAAGCATTTTCTAGGAGTAATCGATGGTATTCCAGTGCTTTCTGATATCGCTCTCTACAACTTGTTAATTGGTTTGGCCTGACGTTCGGGGCCGTTCTTGATGTGACAAAGCATGTCCATAATCTCTCAGTACGCTATCTTTTCGTGAGTCATGCCAGTGCTTCAGCCTTCTCGTCAACTTTTTAGAATTGCGTATGTTGCTGGAGACTGGCGTCCTTTTTCACAGTCCATACTGCGGTATATTGACTTTGGTATTCATCTCCCATTCGCTACTCACCTACCACACACAAGTTCATTCAAGCAAGCTCTGTTAAATCTTCTATGACTAGAGATCCAATCCCAGTTCGCGCCTCCAAGTCCATCTTGAACCCGACGTTCAACATCACCCTCGATTCCGATTTTGTTCTCCATCATGCCCACCGCCCCCACGAGCCTGAACTTCATCACCGGCAACGCCAACAAACTCGCCGAGGTGCGCGATATCCTTGCCGACGTTGACGGCTTAGTTCTGCAAAGCCGCAACGTCCACGGCACCGAGATTCAGGGCTCCATTGAGGAGGTTGCGCGCGATAAGTGCTCCAGGGCAGCTGAGGTGGTGAGTCTAGAACCCCTTTCCGCTCTTTCTTTCGGGGGATCTTTTGGTGTTTTCTTCTTCGAAGTGTTATGTTCCATGTCTAAGACGGAGATACATTGTTGTCTCTTCGCTTTGGTCTGATCCGGCCTTTGACGAGACGTTTTCATACGTCCACGATCATGGTGAAAGGGGGAGGGCTAAACATCTATGGTTCTAAGCAGGTCAATGGGCCGGTGTTAACGGAGGATACTGCGTTGGAATTCCAGTCGTTGAAAGGGTTGCCGGGGCCATATATGTGAGTTTTGATTTCAACTTTTTTCGTTTGGTTCGTCCAAAGAGATTTGCTGCTCAAGGGAGTCAAGATGTAAGATGCATAGCGAGGATGAATCAAAACGCAGGGATGCGCTTGCGATATCGATGGTATTTCTCCAAGAGCTACTGCTAAGACCTTCCTGGTGTCCTCTGTGGAATCTGTCCATCCATTTGCCCTTGTCTTCTCCCCCCGTCTCCTCCGCTGACCCTCTTGTGCCTTCCAGAAAACACTTCCTCGAAGCCCTTGGCCACGAAGGTCTCAACAACATGCTTGCCGCATACGAAGATAAAACCGCCTTCGCGGTCTGCACGTTCGCATACAGTGCCGGACCTGGCCACGAGCCGATCTTATTCCAAGGGCGTACACAGGGGAAGATCGTGCCGGCGAGGGGGCCTGCAGTATTTGGTGCGTTTCTTCTTCGGCTTGATATTAACACGGGGCTTTGAATGGGGCGTGGTGACATGATGATACTGATTGATGGCATTGTGCAGGTTGGGATGCGGTTTTCGAACATGACGGCCTCACATATGCCGAGATGGACAAGGTTACAAAGGTATGTGATGTCCTTCGTCTTTGACTGTCGCCTATCGAATCTCGGCCCCATGTCCGGGGTCGACTAAAGCTCCTGGAGCTTGTGGGACCACACTAGAAGTCCACGAAGATGTGTACTGAGTCCCGGCACAGAACCGAATTTCTCATCGAGGAAAGGCGTTGGCGAAGCTGAAAGCCTGGCTCGCTGGCGGTGAACTGGGATCTTGAATCCAAGAGTCGTGCCTCGATAGAATAGACTGATAGATCGGACCATAATGACGGACCGTCTTTGGATCGTTTTCATCTTTTTCGTAGATGTCTCACTCACTCCCCGCTTCCCTTCTCTTCTTGGTCCTTGATCCAATTCTTGACCCATTGTAGCAATCTTTCCGCATTCTCCTCTATATCCTCAGCTTCCACGCTCTTCAACTCAACGACTTGACCCTCTTCAGCCTCACCCCAACCTTCTTTCGCCTCTTCACTGACAATCCCAAAGATCTCAGCATCCATGTTCTCCTGCACCTTCTCATCTTTATATCCCCTAGCCACGAGTCTATCGTACAACTCAGTCGTCTCTTCGCACCTCAACACAACGACCAAGTCCACCCATCTTACAGCAAACCCTGCGGTGGAATGCCAGTCGATGACGAAGCCGCCCTCGCCGTCTCCGTCGGAGATCTCTTTCTCGACTTCATCCATGAGTTTGTCTTCGTCGACGATCAGGGTCTGCAGCTCTTCATCATAGCCGGTGTGGCAGGATCGTTCTTTCACTATGTCGTTGATAGACAGGTGCTTAAGGTTAAGCGGTGGGGTGGACTGCGAAGCGATACTGAGTAGTTGACTGCAGGTGGTGGTTTTCCCAACGCCCGGCGTGCCGGTGATCAGAACATTTGGTAAGGAACGCATTCTGTCCTGGGAGAGGCGTGCCGGACTGCAAAACAGAACTTTGGAAGGGGCCAAAAAGTTACCATTTTCCTAATTCGTAAATCACGTGCGTCGGGACGTTTCCTATAAGAGTTGATTGGCTGAGGACAATCTCCGCGACTCTTTTATGATTGACAAATTCTTTTCAGCATTCAAGAATATTTTATGAAGACTGTGCGGGAAACGATGGATTTCCTGCTCTTTGTAAGGGTATGAATCAATTTCGGACCTTTACTGGTCTAAAGGACGTCTTTGGTTGATCTTGTGCTGCTTGGGTGTCAGGAACTTTGGCTCCTCTCTACATCCTTCTTTTGACCGGAGTTCGAAGCGACCCTCCTTACTGTCGAGGAACTGAGTCTCGAATTAGCTTCATGGACTGATGGTCTGACTCTCGTGGACGGCATACGAGTATGATCGGACTCTGCGCACGGCACGGCGATACAAAGCTCAATGCCAAGTTCAATGCACAACCTGCGGTAAGTTTGATATATCTCTTGGTATTATCCTTATGTATATGTATGAGGCCTGTGAGTAACTTAATCAGGTAGTTCGGTGCAGCAACGGATGGAGGCATTCCTTTTCGGTTTGGGAGGAACATGTATCGTCCGAAGCAGTGCTCATGGAATTCAGCATCTTGTCGCTTGTCTTCAGATCTCATTCTTGAATCTCAACCTCGATCTGTTGCGGACTCTTCCTCAACTTCGAGAAGATTGCGTGCGACTCTGGCCCACGCATGTAGCTCTCGTTCTATTAGGTCATTCTGCGTTGACTCGGTTGACGCAGTTTCAGCTTTGCTCCACATCTCCTCATCGGGGAGAGTCACCATCCAGTCTGAGCGAGATTGTTCCTGTCTCCTCTTGTTGGCAGAAGTCGTAGGTGCTTCAATGCGTTCATCTCTGACATCAGGCAATGGCTGTGGTTTAACGGGTATGCGTATGAAGCCCAACCACTCCTAAAGACCATTCACCAAGACTTCCTGCCTAGGTGCACGCCGCGCGGCTACGTGTCTATAGCTAGACTCCATATGCTCAGTGGTAAGGTGGTCTTCGAAGTCCTTGTCGTTGAAGACTTTCTCGGACCCGGTATGGCAAGTAGGTTCGCCGCAATACCAGTTCGTCAAGGTTGTTGCGCCATGCGCCTCAAGATGCAAATCCGTGATAAAGGTTATATTCAGGATTGCTCCACATTGGGGAACCTCACACTGCCAGCCACCGTCGGTGAGTACGGCGCAAACGACCTCCTTGGAATCCAGCTTTGGTCAAGTGGTAGATTTTTGCTAACGCGGTATGTTTTTCCTCAGGAAACCCTTTCTTCGTGCATTTGAAAAGCATTCTCAACATCCCGTATTGACGTTTTCTTGATGCAACTCATGAATTTGTGAAGCAAGGACGAATCGTGTTCACATGTAAGCATGGGAGGTGATCTGGATTCATCCATCTCTTCCATGGCCGTGTCTGGAGCCGACGCAGTTTTCTGCTCATTGCTATTGGCTTCTGCGATATCGTCTTCCCCCTCCTCCTTCTCATCCCCGTCAACGTCTTCGTCGTCATCCTTGTCGTCATACTTGCGACTAGACCCTTCTTGTCCGTCGATGTCCAGTGGCTGAGGCTCTTCTATATCTTCCGGAGGCTGAGAGATGTCTATCGGAAGCTTGCTCAACGGAGGTCTGGCGTGACGATCACTTTGGTGCCGCAGAGTCCACGTCGACGATAATTGGTGGATGGTTCTGACACAGGTGTTGTATGAGATTATCCTTGGTGTAAGGTGCGATGTCGACTGATAGGGCCACGTCTCTGTGTTTTAGTGGGGCTTTGCCTACTTGAGTGGGATAGCATTCCGCGCCAGCTTAATGCCCAAAAATTTTTAGCGATATATAACATTTTGAGTGCAATTTGCATCCAAATCTCAGGCCAACTGGGTAGGTCACAAGCCAACTTAATTCTCAACATCAACTAACGGAGACCAGCCCAATGGCAAGGCGTATGTTCAAACTTCAAACCCCATTCTCCATCATTAGTTAACGCCTGCTAGGCTTGACTACGAATCAAGAGATTGCGTAAGAGATGAAATAAACAAAACTAGTTTTATCACTAACAACGTACAGAGGTTCGATCCCTGCGTTGGTCAATCAATTTTTGTTACTTTTGGAATTGTTGTTGGGCGATATTTTTTTTGGCTCACTTGTGTGCGAATCAGGATAACGCGTCAACGGACTCCGCACGGTATGAACTTACTCATGCGAAACAATTTGGAGTATCACGATGTATCCAGCTTTCACTGAGACTTCTGGACAAGTTCTCTCCCCCCCTCCTACTAACAACAAACCAATCAACCAACGTCCATTGATGAGTCCTCAGCCTGTGACCGAGTCTTTCCAACAGACTGGCTTGTTAGCTCTACATCGACGCCATCTCACTTCCTGTTGTACTGAATGGCTCAAGTGATGGACCAGAGCAGACCTCCGGGTAGGGCTGGACGATTCTCTCCCAGTGGAGTTGGATTGAAGAGCGCGGTACCAAGAAATGGGCATACCTTTTCATGAAGATTGGAACAGAGACAGCCAAAAGATCTTCTGCTTATGCCGTGGCATGATCGCAAGGCAGCGACATTCTCAAAGTGCTTGAATGGCCGATGCGGACTAGCGCAATATGTTGATTGGTCCACAGCTGCGGCCCCTTCGTGTACCTGCTACCTCACCGGTCGAAGAATTGGCATCCGGACCAAAGTAAGTCCTTTAATATAAAGAGAACCCAAATGCTACTTCGGAAGCGAAGCATCCAACCAGAAGTTTTGTTGAATGACCGAAATGGTGAGCTTAGAGTTTGCATGCATCGGGCTGCGAACTCCCATCCCACCAGGCTGAGAAAATCATCAACCGAATGCCTGTCTTAAACATACAACCGCGGAATGCCAACGAAAGAGAAGACCTTGCGATTTCGAATCTTAGAAAGAGACCCCACATGGTGAAATCAAAGACGCCAGAATTGGGGACAACCCAAGGCTCCTTGGAGATTGAAAAGCTCCGTCACGCGTTCAACTACAAATTTGGGCAGCCTGGTCAGCGTAAAGAACAACAAACTGATCGCGATGGGAGTCATAGGATGTGGTCAATTGTTTTGGATGCTCTCCGGAAATAGGAACAAAGTCCATTTCGGAACCTCAAGAGGGTGACATTCTATTTTCGAGTGATCTTGGGTATCAAAAATTGCTCAGTCATCACTACACATTCGCCGGTCTGGGCCACTTACCACGAATTCCTCGGGTTGATTTCAAACAGGCAAAGTTCAGTGTACCTGCCAGCCAACGCCAGTACTTGGCCATTGCGATAAATCCGAATCGAAAGGCGAAGTCGTCATTTCCCACTGTGGCAGGGCCAAGGAGCCCAAACCAGCGCCGTAAGGCCACGGCACAAAGTTTGGAAGCGGCTGTGGCGACGCGAACGCGTCATTGAGGCCGTGATTGCTATACTGGTCTCAGCTAGGGAATGGCCCTCCAGCATCAGTATTATCCCAATACCTGTCCTCCCATTCAAGAACGGGTTCAAGCGAGCCGCATCGCGAACGATCATGGCTTGCCCGGCTAGACGTACCACTTCCCCAAGGATTAACGATCGCGGGAGGCTCATAAGACGTCCAATGAGCTGCCAGCTTGCAACCATCTCGATTGCCTTTTCTTCCCCCACCCCTTCTCACGAGTCGATTCATTCCTTTATCCATCTCAAGATGACATCTCAATCGAAGTGCACCTTGAATTTCCGGACGCTAGGCTCATATTCTTCATTGTCTTGCTCCTTACACAATGGCGACGGTCACTAAGACCAAAAAATCTCGCTCTGGATGCGGCAACTGCAAACTTCGAAGGGTAGTACGCTCCTCGTCCGGTTCACCAACCACACATGGCTGAATGAACGATCAGATAAAATGTGACGAGGCGAAACCGTCGTGCTTCCAGTGCACCCAAAAGCGCCTAGATTGCCCAGGCTACGTTCCTCGTTGGAAATGGTCCACCAAACATGAAAGATATGATGGTTTCGTAATCCGGTCCAAGAAAACAATTCCCCAGAACCAGGATAAAAACCCAATGACAGTGGAACCTCAGGACCCTTCGGTTGTTGACGAAGAGGCGGCCCTCAGAGGACGATCCGTGCCGGGACTCTTGTATTGTTCCACCTCAAACGGCGACCCCTCTATCAAGCAGGCAAGAAGATTTGGAAACCAGTGACAGCTTTTTCTCCCTTAACCATTTGTCCGTCACGATCATCACGTGCGAGTCGGCATTCCTCACAACCTCTCTGCAAGTCTTCGCTCCCGCCACCAGATACTATCCTCTGCAATCCACAACTTCAAGTCGATTTCTTCTCTCATGAAATATGCAAGGCTTTATGTGCGTTTGACTCGATCTACAATCCGGAACGGATTGTCACGGTCTCACGCGCAGATGCCTCCCTACTATTCTTCTCCTTGTCTCGATATCTCACCGCCGCATACTTCAACACCAATACTTCCACTTCTAATGGCTGTGTAGTTGCCCGCAACGCACAGACTGAAACATTGCACCGGCTGAAACATGAGATCACCGAGTTGGATATGTCAAAACAAACCAAGATCGAAGAGGTACTTATGGCTGTGATAATGTATGGTCTCAGTACCAACTGGGATGGATCCAACGATCCGAGCTTCATGCATTACAACGCCGCCGTTTCTACGTTTCATCATACTTATCAAGACGCGAATGTAGAACCACGTCGCTCCCGAGCAGAGGGATTTTTTCCGTCAGTCCTTAATCTATTGGTGGATGGGCTTAGCCTTTGTCACAGATCTAACCAACAGCCATCTCCTCGATCCTCCAGTTATTGAAAATGAAACAAGAATTGACAACTTCCGAATATGGACAAATAAGATTGTTCCACATCCTCTCGCTGGTGTTTCCCCACAGGCGCAGTTGCTGCTTGGTCGAGTCGGTTCACTTGTATATGCACAGAGATTGAGGTGTCGGGAACGATCATTTACGAGCATGAACAACATCCATAAAGAATATCGAGCCCTTCAGGAAGCTAGGCAGCTGGAAGAAGAACTTCTTATCTTAGAGCTTCCACAAGAGGATGAATTTGTCGATGTCACTGACCCGGATACACCGCTCAAGGATCTCTTCACCACCGCGGATGCTTATCGACTTTCAGCACTTGTATTACTCTATCGGACATTTCCGGATCTTCTCGAGGTACGATTGAGTTGGAGGCTCAGCCAAGGAACCTATTCTTGCTGTCATTCTCAAGAAGAGCGAAGGCTCCTCTGGGTCACTGCTTTAGCTCTACATGTTCTTGATCTGCTCTGCCAAAACGCCCCTGGATCTGGGACGCGAAGTATTCAGCAAATCTTGCTGATCATCGTCGCTGGGGAATTGAGGATGCCACAATCTTCTCTCACGATGCAAGCATTTGACGACAGTAGTACGGATTCAATCTCGCCCGAGACCGCCTCTTCTGTCACCACCTCAACTAAGCCGGAATATACAGACATATTCGATGTGCTTGATCATGGAGGCGTGGCAGCTGTCCACGACCGGCTTGGCGCTGCTGCTGAGGACTGTTTCTGCCAGGAAGTCAACTCAGAGTCGGGTGTTCAACGCTCGTGAGACACTATTGGCTCGATTAAAATCAATCCGCGAGATATTGCCATACAGATCACTCAAAATTGTCGAAGAGCTCGTGCTGAAAACTTGGAGCCTGATGGACCAAGAAGCTTCCAAGTCTTTTTGGATGGACGTGATGATCGAAAATGGCTGGCAGTTTCTCCTAGTGTGAAAACCGTGATAAGGGTTTACCGACCTTGCTTCCGGACTGTAACATTATTTGCTCAGGCAGCCTCGGTGAAACGCATACGCGAACCAAGCAGCCGACTGGGTTCTCAGTTACGAAACCGGTTACATGCAACGAGTCAGTCAAACACATTAAGAAACGCGGAGACGGACCGGTCTGGATCCGACCCATTTGGACTGCATCTCAAATTGGGCCTGTGAGGTAAAGACGGGTTCATTCCTCCAATTGCCCCTTGCTCAGATTGACTACCAGAGGGCGGAATTCCGGCGGCGTATCCCTGTAATAGCATACCCCTCTCATAGCACTTGAGTGCCCGACGTTGTGGAGCTTTATTGATCGACAGGATTGGAAGGCTCAGTCGCACTATGAACCGTGCCATTCTATCTCGCAACTGGGTGACTCGTATCGCGGACCTCGGAGAGATCGAATGAACGATTCGTGGACTCTCGAAAGCAGTGGTTAGAGCTCACTCCCCACAATCTCGAAAGCTCGACTCATTCGCCTGATCATTCGAGTCAGAAACTATCTTGGCAAATGGGGAGAAGCTGGAGAAAAGGTTGAAGTACATTATCGAACAAGAAGATTTCTCCTGCGCCCAGAATACCGGCAACTTGACTCAGACTTGGTTCCCCAAACCCAACGAATAAGAGAATTGCCCGTCTCGGTCTATAACAAGTTGCCAAGGTTGCTGTCTACTTGGTATATACTTGGCCTGCCTTAACCTCATCCCCCAACTCCACAACTTGATGATCCCGACAACACGAAAGACCCATCTGGAAACGATATGGGTTGCCGTGGTACCTTGAGTATGTGTTCAGCCGACAAAAAGCGGGGAGAACACAATGTTCATTCCAAAAACCGAGGATGTGGCATCACGGGGGTTATATCAGACCACGTAGCCACGTTTTTCTGCACACATGTGGTTGATCGGTTCTCCTTGAAGAACATCTCCGGAAATATCTAGACTGGCGTGAAAAGCCTAGCTGCCGCCCATTCCCCAAAGGATGGATGAAAAATCACTCCCGGCTGATCATATCGAGAAAAAGGATGAAACATCATCCCTCTCCTCCGGCCAGAAAGATGAAGAAATTCCAGCAGATCCAAACCAGGACTGGTCGAACGCAGAAGAAAGAGCACTTGTGTAAGGTCCTTCATCGAAATTTTCTTCGTGTATCCAAGTGTTAATATGCTTTCGCAGCAAAAAATTGGACTGGCGTGTCTTCCCCATGCTCTGCATAGTCTTCGGCTTGTCTTTACTCGACAGAACGAATATATCAGCGGCATATATCGCTGGAATGGCTGAAGACCTCGAACTTGCGGTTGGGGCCAGATACTCCATCACCTTGTTGGTCTTCTTCATTGGTGAGTATCGTGTACCCGACAGGAGACTGCCGGTCACTGACCACGTCTGAAAAGGGTATGCCATATTCGAGATCCCATCCAACATGGTGATTCGGAGGCTTGGTGCGCAAATCTGGCTCAGCTTTTTGATCATATCATGGGGCCTCTGCGTTTTAGGAATGGGTTTTGTACATAGCTGGACCGCGCTCACCGTTTGTCGATCTTTGCTAGGTATCTTTGAAGCAGGCTGTGAGTATTGGTCCCCCTATTCTGCTCCCATTAACCGGCCTTTCCCCCTTTTACTGACAATCATCATTGATGGATAGTATTTCCGGGCGCCGTCTTCATCATTGGGTCCTGGTACAGGCAATTTGAAACAGCGCAGCGGGTGTCTCTGTTCTACATGGCGTCGCTTCTGTCTTCCGGATTCGGACCAATATTCGCCTATGTTCTCTCACTGATCCGTGTTGGGGATGGAACATACCGTCAGGGATGGCGTTGGATATTTATAATTGAAGGGATCGTCACCGTCGTGGCTGGGATGGTGTCGCCCTGGTTTCTCGTGGAATGTGAGCGCTGTTCATCTCTCCGACCCCTTGGACTCCTATGACTGACGTTTCGAAACAGTCCCAGAAAAAGCCAAATGGTTGACTCCACGTCAAAGGCACATCGCTCAAGCTCGGTTACAAGCCGACAAAGCAGCCAAAGAATACGTGCACCCTACATTCAAAGAATCGATGAAGATGCTTTGGGACTGGAAACTCATCATCTAGTACATACGCCATTCCATTTTCCATTTCTGTCCCGCATCAAAACCTTTTGTCTCATTCTCAGTACTGACTCTATGTTTTCGAAATAGCTCAGTCCAATATTTCGTTGCGGCCTCGAGCGTGTATTCGCTTGCGTACTTCAAACCTATCATCCTTCGGCAAGGTATGGGCTTTAGCTACGCACTGTCGCAGATCCTAGCATCACCACCGTACGTCTTCGCCATCATCATGAGCATCAGCATGGCATGGGTGTCCGACAAGTACCGTACGCGCTGGCCCATCTTGGTCGCGCAGAGTGTTACCGCCATCGTCGGCCTATTCATCATCCTCTACGCCAAACCCCCTGGCGTCCGCTACTTTGGCTTGTACCTTGCCATCTTTGGCACTCAGGCCAATGTTCCTGGGACCCTCGCGTACGGTCAGAGCCAAACCGCCGAGGTCAGGAAGAAAGGCGTCGTTGCTGCTGCCATGATCTCTGTTGGTGCCGCGGGTGGAATTACGGGAAGTACCATCTTTAGAAGTCAAGATGCGCCGGTGTGTTGCTCCTTTCTCCGTTGACGTCTTTTCTCCTTGCGACTCCCTGCCTCGGGGTTTCGCATCTGGGTCAATGAGGCTGATTCCTGTTGTCCTCCAGCAATACCTGCCTGGCATGTGGGCCACGATATCCCTGCAGATCCTCTACTCGATCGTCACCCTGGGTTTGAGCATGTACCTGAAGCACCAGAACAGATTGGCGGACGAGGGCAAGAGACCTGCGTTAGAAAATGTCGAAGGGTTCAGATATGCGCCGTAGAAAGTGAACTTCCAAACAAAGAATCAATGACAATGAATGTATTGGCGGGTGTCAGATAGGTGCCTCGATTGGGGTTCAGTGGAGGAGAATTGGGGATGGTAGAAATATCGACGACCGAAAGCACAAGAGCAGGATTTATCAATCGATACATTGACATTTATTTGGCATTTCGGTAGAAGTTTAGCAAAGGAGGAGCGGGACAGAAGACGAATCTTCTTTCCACGCCCCTTTCCCCTAATATGTTGTTGCAAACCCCGGAGACACCCAGTGCTATGCCCAAAAAGATTACAAAGACAAAGACAAGGCAAGATAGTTTGGAATATGTGCCTCTCATCCCATCCCCCCCCTTCTTTCGCTTTCCATCTCACTCGCATGGCGCCGGGGTCGGGAAGATAGAAGACCACAATCCCCCAACAGCACAGCAAGCACGAATATTTCTTTCTTCCCATCCACTCACCCATACAGAAACCAAGCAAACTTCGGAAGTTCTCCCTAGACATACACCAAGGGGCTGAAACGTGACAAACGCAGATTTCTAGTGACATTCTTGCCTCCAAGTTTTGTGCTCGTATGTCATTGAACTTTGGTTTTTGGTGGTCTTGGTCTTTATGTTTTTTTTAAATTTTTGGGTTGCTTGTCGTGCACGTTGAAACCCCCCTTTTTTTCCTTTCTGGAAAAAAAGAAGAGTGGGAGAGTGACTGGGAGTGGGGTGATGTGAGGAGGCAGACGAGTTTCATTAAGCGGCTTCAATGTCACTAATAACACCGTCGGGAAGGTCTCCTCGTTCTTGCTGAGCCATGGCTTGAGCGGAGACGATCTCCGCAAGTCGTTTCAAGCGAGGTGTTTGAAGCCCTAGTAGTAACAGAGTCAGTACACTCAGCGTTACAATCACAATCACAAGTGGCGTGTTTCATGACACGTATGCAGGGAATATGGAGGAAGGAACAGCCGGAAACTCACATGACGGGGTATATGTCTCAAGTGCGGTGATGACTCTGGGCTCAGCAATTTCATAGGGACCGCTATCTTCCATGTCGACGGCGGCCAGGAGGAGAACATCACTCTTCTCAGTGACACGAGAGGCGACGGCTTTCATGATCTCTCCATTGATGGGTTGCTCGTAGTCGGCGACGAGGTATTGGTTCAGAAGTTTCTGGATCTGGTTGGGTGAGAGCATCCAGCAGATGTCTTGGATGATTTCAATGTCGTTCAATGTTGCTTTCTTGAGCTGTAGGAGTTTGGTCGCTTGCATGAGATGTTCAAGTTGCAAAGTTCCTTCAGGCATGTCGTGGCTCTTGCACCATTCTTCGATTCTGGTGATGTTATAGTTGATTTGTAGACCTCGCTTCCACGACAAGAAGTTGCGGCGCATGAGGAGATCGTTGAATGCTGTGACACCAACGAGTCGGAGAAGTTCAGTCACAGTTTGTGTGATGATGGAGTCTTCGAGGTAGTAGGCCTTCATAGCTTTGAAAACGTTGTTCAATAGGCTCAAAAGGTTGTCCATGCTATACGCTGGAGTGTTGTTTGAAGGGAGCAATTTCCCAAGGAACCGATTGCTCTCATTCGTGACGAAACCCGGAAGGGATTGAGATTCAATGATCGCAGGAACAATCATCTTGTGCAATTTCTTCTTCAACACCTTCATCCAAGTATGATAGATGTTAAACTCAAGGCTTTCCAGATCGTGTTTGACAATCTCGAGCAATCTGTCGTACTCGTAGTTGTCCGTCTTTTGAGCCTCGTACCAGTCTTCAGCGAGAAAGACAAAGGATAGCATTTCGTGAACATTAGACAGCCAGAATGCTCCAGGATTAATGGCCTCGTCTCCTTCGTGTTGCATGACTTCTTGCTGGATTGATTGCATGACATTGGCGAGGAATCGTTCTGACTCCTTGACGAATCCATTGTTCCACATCTCGGATGTGACCAGATTAATGAGATAGGATGGGAACAAGACTTCTTTGTCTGTTGGTGCCGGATTCGCTCCTGGCTGAGGAATCTTGATGCCTCTGATGAGACCCATGGTGACTTCATCATTGAGCTCGTCTTCCTGAGCGAGGAGGTTCTCCAGTTCCATCTCAACGCTATCCAGACCGGGATTAAATGTCGAGCCGGACAATGTCTTAGCTTGAGTGTCAATTGCCATCGACACAGGTCGTGCACTGTAAGCAGCACTATACCTATCGGTTTCACTTCGTTCGGCAGCTCCAGCACTACGTCTCTTAAGGGGTTTCTTGGAAGAAACCAGATTGATGAGACCGTTCGCAGGTGGAACGTTGCCATTGGCATATTCCCCATTGACACCATTTGTTGACGGTGGAGGTGGTGCCCTTCTTGCAATTTCCAGTTGATCTTGTAATTCGTTAATCTGCTGTCGCAGCGTGCCTCTCTCGCTTTCATGCGTAGCGGCTGATTGTCGCAATCTTTCCAATTCCGAGTTCGAGGTTTGCAGTGACTCCCGAAGTTTTCGCTCTTCCTCTTGCAATCTCTTTGCATTGCCCATGTGTTCATCATGACTAGCTTGTAGCTTAGCGTGCTCTTCCTCCAGGGCGCTCAAGCGCGCTGCTACAATGCCGGCTTGATTTGCTTCCGTTTGCAATTCTCGTGATCGTGTCTCCAAGGCATTATGTCTGGACCTCCAAGATTTCAGTTGACCCTCGTAGCTCTCCAATTGTGTGAGCAACGATTTGTTTTCTCGCTTCAGCGCTCCAAGTGATTGTGTGAGCTCCACGACCTTGTTCTCAAGCTTGTAGGAAATTTGTTTGAGATCTCGGGCCTCCTCGCGCATTTTCTTATAGTCTCTTCGGGCGACCTTGCCACGCCACAAGTTTTGTATGATGACGACCTTCCTGCGATGCTGTCTCCAGGCCCGAATTGATCGCCACGATCGGAATGCTCTCTGAATAGTAATGGCGGCATTTCCAATACGTGTCTCGAGGATGTTTTTCCTGCAAAGATAACCTTTGGCAATAGATTCGAAAAGAATAAGGTCCTTTCTGATCTGATTGTAGTTCTTTCGTGCCTTTTGTCCCCTCCAGACTCGTTGAATGTCGGTGGCTGCTTTGATTTGCCTCGTCTCCTCGGCCCGACGCCTGGCAAGGAACGCACGAGTGGCAGTCTGAAAATTCAGGATAGACTGACGGGCATCGAGATATTTGTGGCGATAATATTTGGCCCGCAGATTTTTCTGGATCATGATGGCGCACTGCTTTAGGCGCGCTGAACGGAGATTTTCCAGAAATGCAAGCATGCCTGCGCGGAAGAAAATCTTCGTCAGACCAAGTTGATACTTGTCAGTCTTTTCGTGAGCTCTTTCCCCCAAGGCTTTGACCAAAATATTCTGAGCCATTTTGCGGATTTCCGTTGTCCATTCTGAAGACCGGCACAACATGTAGTACCTCAAAGCGAATTCTTCATATGTCCATCGTGTTGGGTAGCCAGCAGTACTAATTCGAACGGTTTCAAGGACACCACATGCCCTGAGCTGACTCAAAACCATGGGGCCCTCGAATTTCCAGGACTCCTTGGCCTCGTTGGGCTTGATGCATCGAATGTAATGCGCATCGGTAGAATTGATGGTTTGCATGAGTTCGATGAGAGAGCTCTTGAAAATACCCCCGAGAGTGGGTTTGCGGTTCACAGCGACACCAACTCGGCGACCACCCCCAGGAGCAACAGTCTTTGAGCTTGTTTGAGCAGTGTCTTTTTCTCGGACCGCAGCAGCAACATCCAAGACTCCGACCAGGAACGCATTGGTAGACTTCTTAAGCACTTCCATTTGCTCATCCGGGACCGTATCTCGGTTTTTGTCGATAAAGCCATCGGATTCATAGGTCACATCAAGGGCATAATGGCATACTGTAAACGCAGATTTGCCGAATCGAGGCTTCTTGTAGAACTTTTGTTTATCGGCGGCGAAGTGGTGATGCAATTTCGTCACAAACTGTTCGTCTGAGCCCATAGGAAGCCTAGATTCCTCGTCCAGGAGGGATAAGATACCAAGTTTTCCCTCAATAAGATCAATGCAAGGTTGGTTGTCGGAAAAGTCGATAAAAGTCCAGTCAATCTGTTCCCTCATGTATTCTTCCTGTTCAAGCTTGAATACGTGCTGGTTGAATTCTTGCTGGAGCTTTTCGTTGGCGTAATTGATGCAAAACTGTTCAAAAGAATTTTTCGCAAAATGTTCGAAGCCGTAAATATCGAGCACACCAATGAAGGTGTTTAATCGTTGCAATACATCCTCAGTCGCTAAGCCGTGATTAATGGTCTCGACCAGCCAGTCGAAGAGACTCGAATAGATAAACTTAGCCACCGAATCTCGCACCACTGTAGCTTGTTGTTGGGTGAGATTGGAGGTGATCTTTTCTCCTCGAGTGATCAACTGTTTCTTCACGGTCCATTTGGCAAAATCAGTGGGGTCAATGCCCAAGATGCCACAAGCCTGGACCAGGGAAGGTTCACTTGAAGAAAGAGTGGAGTCTGTTCGTGTGGCTGTGATTTTGATATTACCGATGTGTAGAAGGGCGGCGAGGACTCGGAAGATCTCTTTCTGCGTAGCTTCGGGGACATTGATTGTGGTCAAAGATTTCCTCGTGGCTGCAAATTCGGCGGCATCATCCACTCCATCAATCAGGGGCTCATTCCCTTGATTGAGGTAGTCAAACTCCTCCACTGACAGTAATCCAAGCTCTTGCCTCTCTTCATCAGTGGCTCCAGCCACGAGTTGGTAGAATATGTGATAATTCCTTTCCTTCAATGGTTGAAAAACGAGACGTGATCGTTCAAGCAGATATGTCCTTATTCGCGCGCCAATGATGTCCGTGTTCTTGTCAAACATAATTTCAATGTATTTTCCAAATCGAGATGAATTGTCATTTCTTGTCGTTTTGGCATTACCGAAGGCTTCCATGACCGGATTGGTAGCGAGGATTTGTTCTTCGGTCTCACTAATCGCATCCGCCCTCGTTTTGGTGCTCTTGGTCGCCTGCCCAGGCGCTCCTCGAGTGGCAAAGTACCGCATGATATATTTGGCACTGACAGTTTTACCGGCACCCGATTCACCAGACACGACGACGGTCTGATTCCGTGAGTCTCGTAACATGTCTGTGTATGCCTCTTCCGCGATGGCAAAGAGATGGGGTGCTTGTGATGCTCTTTGCTTTCCCGCATATACCTGGACCATTTGGGGCACATAGAGAGAATCCACCCGAGCGAAAGGGTTTGTTGCTATCAACACGATACCACTGTAGGTGTAGATTTCTTTCTGCGCATATCGGAGCTTGATGGCCTGAAGGATGGCCGGCTCATTTAAATGGGACAGACTCGTCAGATCTTCGGCGGCCTCGAACATGGGAGGATTCATGAGAGGTGGTAAGGAGGCATTCTGAGTATCGAGGAGGGCATCCTCGGTGGTTTCGACTGTCTGCTTGGATTCATCGGAAAGGTTGAAGACAAAGGCCACTTTTCCATCTCCTAGTGTCTTCCTCTCCGCGAGCTCACCAGGAATGAAACCCTCGGCCTGGTTTGGAAACCAGGCCCGAGTACCGATCTCCCAGCTCGCCATGTTGGGCAGTCTTGCTGGATGTCTGGATGCGGATTTCAACTATTGGCAATGAGGATAGCCATGTATTCAGAGGGCGAGAAAGATGCCTAGAGGACGTGTCAACGTATAACGGAGCGACAGGAGCAGAAGTGACTAACAAGGAAAAGGATGCGTGTAGTCTTTTGTTTAGAGGTCAGATTGGAGTGATGGAAATGTTGACGGAATGTTCTATCTGGCGTTGGGTGCGGCTGGCCGTGAATCTTTTGGCGAACCTGTCAGAAATTCTCAGGGACTCGGATTGGGAGAGACGCGCGCTGCGGCGAAGCGGTCGACCTGCAGACTGCGCCCTGGCAGCCCCACTGGGTGGGTGACTCCGTATGCTGTGACTGACCGTGGCTCGTCGCCTTCGCGCTTTTCCTGTTCCAACCAAGTCGTGAGCTCGTCTACCCCTGGTCTTGATGCTGGTAGATTATTCTTGTCCACAAAAAGAGCCACCGACGCCGGGTTTTGCGGGAGCCCCTTTTACCAAAAATTTCTTGCCGTGGTCAAGGGTTTAACCTTCCAAACCACCCGCGGTGACAGCCTTTCCTTGCCTTTCCAGAAGTTCACCCGACGGAGCACTTGGTCCCAGAGGGCTTGAACAAGAAAATTAAAAAAAAAAAAAAAAAAAAAAAAAGGTCCTAAAGCTAAAGATCCGACAAGAAATCGCTTTTACAATTACTGATCTTGGTCTTATGAATTATCTCTCTACATCCCGCTGGAAAATTCGACCGGCACTTGCAATGAACATTTGCTGCTTGTTTGATACTGCTCGAACGCCCATCTGAACTCGGATTGGGGAACTAATAGAGGAGGACCGCCTCACCCACCTGCCATTCCATGGATGGATCGATCACTCCGGCGTCTCGAACGCCCATTATGCTCGAAGCGGGACAGGACGGAGCCTGGTCACAAGAATGAGACCGTATCCTGCCGATCAGTTGCTTCCACGCATATAAAATTAGTACTCAGTACAGGACTGCCACTTGCTTTCTCTAAGACTCTCCAATTCATTCTTCGTCAATAACGGCGGGCTCCGAGGTTCCTTCTACTGGTTCTTGCACTCGGAGGCTTGTTGAGACCGAGGCTTGCCACCCTCTTCCTCATCATCTTCGTCAGACTCGGCTTCTTCTTCATCCTCGTCATCCTCATCTTCGTCGTCATCGAACTCGGCATCCTCTGCATCTTCGAGTTCCTCGAATGCGAGAGCTTCGCCAGTAAACCAATCAATGGCCCGAGGAATGAGTTTTTCTTTGATATCTTCGCCCAGCTGGTAATCCAGTTCGAGTCTTTCCTCGATGTCAGAGGCAACTTCGTCTTCATCCGTAGGTGCGACAGGAGGTGCGAAGAAATTGAAGAATGACTCTGTAGGAACGGTCTTCTTGATGACTCGGGTTTGCTTGGTGTCTGGTCTCCCGTTAGTGGTTTTCTGTTTGGTAGATGGTGAGGAGTGCTTACTCTTGTTTCTCTGCTTCTTGCTCTCAATTCGGACAGTAAGGTCCTTGCCGGCCTTCCAATCAATCTTGTCGCCCTCAGCATGATCGTAGATGAAGTCGCCGCCGTATCCGCTCTCCTCCCGATAGAAGTACGTCTTTGAGATTGTCTTGTTTGTGAAGAAGTCATTGGGTGCAAATTCGAAGATGAGGCGGAAACCTGGTCGATCAAGGTATTCCATACGAATGTCGGTCAAGGATCGAAGAGCGTCCTCATCTCGGTCGGTGATGAGTTCGGCAAGGGAAATTTGGCTCTTCATGGCCGAGAGCCAGAACTCTGGAATACCCTTTATATCCTCACTAGATTCCTTCTCCTCTTTGTCTGCCGCATCTTCCTCAGGCTCTTCGTCGTCCTCTGGTTTGCCAGCCTCAACCTCACCGTCGGTGGGTTCGGCCTCGCCATTGACAATCGCGGCACGCTTTTCGTACAGGGGGGTGAATTTTGCAAAGTACTTCTTTTCGAGCTGAAGAACTTCTTCCTGGAATTCTGCTTCGAGCTTCGCGTGGTCTTTCTGAATCCCTTTCAGACCGGTGACACGGCGGCGTACAGGAGCAGGTAAGGACTCGATATATCCAGAAGATCTGCCGACGAGGGAACCCAGTTTTCGCTGCATCATTGACACCAGAGCGGGATTCTTGGCAAATATTGAAGCGGCCGCGGCGCGGTCAAGATCTTCTGCGGGCAGTCAGCGTGCTGCCGTCGGCGGCAGGTTCGGATTGGCTTACCTTCTTGAATGTCACCAATGGTAGGGGCCTGTGCGTGGGAAGAGATGGGCGCGTTCGATGCGGGGGCTAGAGGACTGTGAGTTGCATACAGTTTGAAGGTGGGCTACAAAAGCAAGGGCATACTGTTCTGAGGAGTTCTGGTGGGAGAAGCCATGTTAGCGACGTGATCCAAGGAAACAGACGGGTTGGGACAAGGAAGAGGGATATACATACGGGGCGGTCAGGTTTGAACGGCCCTTCGGAATCTCAGAGGCCATGGTGTTGAAATTTTTTTTATTTTTTGGGGGGGGGGGGGTTCGTTGAGGAGAGGCAATTGACGTGACAGATTTAATGGTTGGGAGATTTGTTGAATCTTCGAGCGCCCTAAAGATCGGGATACAACAAAGCGAGAATGCAAAAGGCCAGCCTGAAGTCGTCAGCGTTTGACTCCAAGTGAGAGAGGTAAAAGGAAAAGACAGTCACAGATGGATGTGGTGGGTGAAATCAGAATATTGGAGAATGGTAACTTAGTTCGCGGGCAAGTAACAAGAGTAACGTAGCCCACGCCGCCGCCCACGTTGTTCCGGTTCTCGATAAGACGCCCATACCCTTGGGGATTTGCTTCCGTCCATTCATAGGCTGCCTTTTGATCTGGCATCATTGGCTGAGCTGCCCTGCCATAGATAGCAAAGTTTATTCCTTGGGTCGGTATCTCAGCGTCTGTACCACCATTATTTTCTATTCTCTATCCCGTTTACTACAAAAGCCACATATGATGTCTTGACCTTCTGATTGATGGTGCCCAAGAGGCACACTCCTTTCCTCAATGGACATCCTTGAAAGACCTCGAGCGGGCGGCCCGCGGCGCAGCAGCTCTTCACGCCGCACAATGCATCGCCGCGACTCGAACATGAGCAAGTCAGTCTCCAATTCCGAGATCTTGTGGAGTATGTGGCCTGATTGTTGGTTGTCTATAGTGCAAGCTTTGTTTCGGAGGTTGAGATGGCCACCGATGAGGTTTGTTCCCGAGTGTCCGAAAACCATGGCAGCAATCTACTGATATCGCACAGCCATTCTCGGGCCCAGTTTCGGAGAGCGTGCCTTCCAGCGTCACCGGTTTTGCATATCAACGGCCGAGGCAAAGGCAGGGTTCAATATCCAGCTTCACATACTTTCAAGAGCAAGAAGAAACGCCGGAATACTCTGACGAGGAGGCGGTGGTGGATGTCAGCGACGAAGAAGATGGGCATATACTCGGAGAAGACCGAGATCTGGAGGCCGGAGACGATTCGTCCCTTCGACGAAAGTCTTCTAGCAGATACAGAACTTCGTCAGATCGACCACTGCTTCGAAGGCATGAGTCGGCACGGAGCGACACCCAGGAGCACGACCACGGAGGCAATTTCAGTCAAAAACTGTATATCGAGACCGAGGACCTAACCATGGTGATCGCCGGATTTTTTACAAGCCCTGTTGGCTATTTGATCTATGTTGCAATTTGTGTGTTGACGGCTGGTATTGGATATCTTGTCTTCCGTTGGATTCCCCGATGGCGCATATCTCTTGTTGGCACTCCTGCAGCCCTCCAAAAATGTTCTTGGGTCGTTGTCGAGGTGAGCTATGGGCCCGAACGGAAACGCCCCAAGAAAAAGGCTAAGAAATTTCAGAATCAATGGGGCGAATTCACGGTTCACCATGTGTCTGTGGAAGAGTATGGTCATCCAATGTCAACTGTCTTCACCCGCTCTGGGAAGGAAAAGCTCAATGGATATCGATATGACGAAGACCAAGAACTACCCTTTCTCCGTTATTTAGACTACAGGTATATGAGGCTCCTGTACCATCCAATCGAGGATAAATTTGTTCTCAACAATGATTGGTGGGACCCACAATGGACCGAGGTGAAAGCCCTCAGACGGGGGCTTGATTCTGAAGAGAGGGATCCAAGGGATCAAGTCTTTGGCAAGAACATGATTGAGATCCAGCAAAAGACAATTCCGGAGCTTCTTCTCGACGAGGTGTGACCACCAGCCTATTTCATATTTTCAGGAAAGCTAACTTTTCACAAGGCATTTCATCCCTTCTACATCTTTCAAATTGCGAGTCTCATTCTGTGGTCCATGGACGAGTACTACTACTACGCTGCGGCCATCTTTTTGATATCGGTGTTTTCCATCACCACAACCGTTATCGAAACTCGATCAGTACGAAGCATTCCCCATCTGCAATGATATCTAAGTCTGATGACAGAACAGACAATGCGGCGTTTAAGAGAAATCTCCCGTTTTGAGTGCGATGTTCGCGTTCTTCGCAACGGCTTTTGTGAGTGTGTATCTACTATGGGGTGAGGTCTCTGCTGACAGGACCCAAAGGGCGTTCTGCGCTTTCTGGTGATCTAGTCCCCGGCGATGTCTATGAAGTCTCCGACCCTTCTCTATCACAACTCCCCTGTGACAGCCTTCTCTTGGCGGGTGACTGTATCATCAATGAGAGCATGCTCACCGGTATGTTGTAGGAAATCGTGTATTTCATTACTAACAATCGCAGGCGAGTCCATTCCGGTCTCCAAAGTCCCGATAACGGATGAGGCGTTGCGCTATGTTGACCTTGGGGCGACTTCGATCCATCCAAGCGTTGCCCGCCATTTCCTTTTTTGCGGCACGAAGATTATTAGGGCCCGACGACCGCAAGACGTTGATGATGACGAGGCTGTTGCTCTCGCAATGGTCGTCCGAACTGGGTTCAATACAACAAAAGGTGCTCTCGTTCGATCTATGCTTTTCCCCAAACCCTCGGGCTTCAAATTCTACCGAGACTCTTTCAGATATATCTCTGTCATGGGAGTCATTGCTGCAGTGGGGTTTATTGCTTCGTTCATCAATTTTGTCAAGCTGGGATTGGCCTGGCATCTGATCATTGTGAGGGCTCTGGATCTGATCACGATCGTGGTTCCTCCCGCATTACCAGCGACTCTTACCATTGGAACAAACTTTGCCTTGTCTCGATTGAGAAAACAGCAAATTTTCTGCATCAGCCCGCAGAGAGTAAACGTCGCCGGCAAGCTCGACGTCATATGCTTCGACAAAACGGGGACATTGACCGAGGACGGTCTCGATGTTCTTGGAGTCAGACTTGTTCAACATCCTGAAATTCGATTTGGGGATATTCTTGAGGAAGCTCATGAATTGCTCCCTCCGTCGCCTTACGATCGCGATCCGACTGTTGATTATCGTGTCAATAAAACCATGCTCTACACAATGGCAACCTGTCACTCACTTCGGTCCGTCGACGACGAGCTCATTGGCGATCCCCTTGATCTGAAGATGTTTCAGTATACAGACTGGTCCTTTGAGGAAGGGTCTCGTCACACAAGCCATTTTATCGAGCACGGCACGAATCAAACAGCACCGAGTGTGGCTCGGCCCCCTCCAGGGTTGGAGTACGATCTGGAAGATTCTCAAGGAAATTCCAATCCAATCCGTGTCGAAATGGGTGTGCTACGTTCTTTCGAATTCGTTTCACATTTGCGACGTGCCAGCGTCATTGTTCGTCAACAAGGGGATCCTGGAGCCAGCATCTATGTCAAGGGTGCTCCTGAAGTCATGAAAGACATCTGCATTTCCTCAAGCATACCCGATGATTTTGAAGACCTGCTCAGCTACTACACTCACAAAGGATTTCGCGTCATTGCTTGCGCATCGAAGTATATTTCAAGATTAAGCTGGGACGAAATCGAGAACATGGATCGATCTGAAGCCGAGTCGAGGCTTCAACTGATCGGTTTCATCATTTTCGAGAACAAACTCAAAGCCATCACCACTGAAATTATTGAAGAGCTGAATGGGGCGAGAATCCGAAACGTCATGTGCACAGGTGACAATATTCTGACCGCTATCAGCGTGGCAAGAGAATGTGGCATTATTGATCGCAACGAGCATTGCTTCGTACCTCATTTCGCGGAAGGGGATAAGATGAATGCAAAAGCACGCCTCACCTGGGAAAGTGTTGACAATCCGATTTACCAGCTTGACGAGAATACATTACTTCCCTTGCCATTACTGCCCGAGGACGATACTGCAGCGCCGTATGATGCGATAGCAATGGGAGATTACACGTTGGCAGTTACTGGCGATGCCTTCCGATGGATCATCGATTTCGGGTCTACCGAAGTTCTGCAAAGGATGCTGGTCAAAGGCACCGTATTTGCACGAATGTCCCCGGACGAAAAACACGAACTTGTTGAAAAAATGCAAAGCATCGACTATTGCTGCGGGTTCTGTGGCGATGGCGCAAACGACTGTGGTGCGCTGAAGGCAGCGGATGTTGGTGTTTCATTATCGGAAGCCGAAGCATCTGTGGCGGCGCCTTTTACCAGCCATGTCTTCGACATTTCCTGCGTCCCCACCCTCATCAAGGAAGGCCGCGCGGCTCTGGTGACGAGTTTTTGCTGTTTCAAGTACATGAGTTTATATTCGGCGATCCAGTTCACCTCGGTCAGCTTTCTCTACGCCTCAGCCTCAAACTTGGGAGATTTCCAATTCTTGTTTATCGACCTGGCTCTGATCTTGCCGATTGCAATATTCATGGGTTGGACCGGTGCATATCCGGTGTTGAGCAAGAAACACCCAACTGCCAATCTTGTTTCGAGGAAGGTATTGACTCCGCTCCTCGGTCAGATTGTGCTATCTATTTTGGTGCAACTGATCGCCTTCGAAACGGTGCAAGATCAGCCTTGGTATCAGCCTCCTCAGCTAGACAAGGACAAGTCAAATGTGGACAACTCGCAAAACACCGCTCTATTTTTGGTATCTTGCTACCAATACACGCTTTCTGGAGTCGTCTTGAGTAGTGGCCCACCTTTCCGACAGTCAATGACAACAAATGCACCATTTTGTGTTACGATTGTGGTGGCCCTTCTTATTTCATTGTACATGCTTCTCGATCCTGCGAAGTGGCTAGCTGATTTCATGGATCTGACCGAGATGTCGTTGGACTATGAACTGTTCTTGCTGGCGTTAGCAGCTACAGGATTTGCTGTCGCTTATCTGTCTGAGCAGTATGCATTTCCTTCTCTGGCCAAATTTATTGGACGACTCAAATTGCGGTTGCGACCAGATCGCCCAAAGAAGAGAAAACGGTACAAAATTATTGCGGAGGATATACAAAAAATTAAACAGAGCCTATAGATTCGGCAGTGAATTTTTTTTTTTTTCATGTTACAGAAAGAACAAGGTGTAATTCTCTACCTTTCCTGGTTGCGATTTCAGTCTGGTGGAGAAGCGGTACGTAACGTAACGAAACAACCCATGTTTCACAAATTGTTTGAACGTGTAGAAGGCATACTAACCTCCCTATAAACACATCGTCCATTGAGCAACTGCAGAGGTCTACAGTTGGGGCGTTCTTCCTACCATATCATATACTTGACTTGGGCCAAGCTGGAACATCCTCCTATGGATCCTACGGGTAGACCCATGTTCACCTATACCTCGATGCACAGGACTAATCTGAAGTCACAGAATACCTCATAGACAACGGCTGGCTGCCATCATCGGTGATCCGCATAGGGATCCGACGACAGCTAGCTCAGCGCGTGCGCCTGATTAAATCCGAGTCCTTGACAAAGGCATACGAGCGCAAAATGTCATACATTTCCGCTTTACGTGGCCGGCCCATCGCCATCGACACTGACAAGGCCAACGAGCAGCACTACGAAGTCGGCACCTCCGTGCTGCGGGCCTACCTGGGTCCGCGCATGAAGTACTCGTCCTGCCTATATCCGACGGGGCGGGAGACCCTCGCGCAAGCCGAGGTCGCCATGCTCGAGTCCTATGTCCGCAAAGCAGATCTGCGCGATGGCCAGTATATTCTCGACCTCGGTTGCGGTTGGGGTAGTGCGTGTCTGTATCTTGCCGAGCTGTTCCCTGGCTCAAAGGTGACGGCGTTCTCGAACTCGAGGACCCAGCGCGCGTATATTGAGGGCCAAGCGAAGTTGAAAGGCCTTACGAATCTCACGGTCATCACAGGTGATGTAGTCACGTACGAGTTTGCGGGAGATAGCTTCGACCGCGTCGTCTCGATCGAGCTGTTCGAGCATATGAAGAACTACAAGTCGTTAATGGCCAAGATTGCCCGGGCGTTGCGACCAGGAGGGAAACTGTTTGTGCACATTTTTGCGCATAAGGAGTCGCCTTATGATTTTGAGGAGGGGTGGATGAGTACGCATTTCTTCACGGGCGGGACGATGCTGAGTGCGGACCTGCTGCATTTCTTCCAGGACGATTTGACGCTGAGGGAACAGTGGTGGGTTAGCGGGAAACATTACGCGAAGACCTGTGAGGATTGGTTGACGATGATAAATGGGAATAAGAAGGAGATTTGGCCGGGTTTGGAGGAGACATACGGGAAGGATAAAGCTGCTATGTGGTATTATCGGTGGCAGGTTTTCTATATGGCGTGCGCGGAGCTGTTTGCTTTTGAGGGCGGAGATACTTGGGGAGTGTGCCATTATCTTTTTGAGAAGGATCAAAGCAGCAAATAGACGGGGCCACTGAAGACATTGAGATTCAAAATTTGTTTCTTAGGTAATTTTTGTCTTCGCCGTTTCAAAGAGTTCGGTGTTGGGCCAGTCACCGTAGGCGTTGACGAAGCATGTTGTCTTTCCTTTCTTTCTGGGTAGCTTCGACTATCACACAAAGGAATTCTAATTTGAACCCCACAACGCCGCCTCGATGATTCGTACATGTATGCGTATGTGCAATTATTTCCGCATCGTGCTTGTCCCACGATACATTGTTCAGTGGTCCCAGGGGTGTTTTAATCCGATGAGCGCGGGGCCATCTTTCTTCGCTCTGTACATCAACTATTGCCGGATGAGTAAGACAGAGCCGAGAGATTTGAGGGCGCAGAGCTTACGAAGAACCACATAGCTGCCCCCAGGCCAGTTGCGGCGAATCGGTAGAGGGGTCGTTGAGGGTTGATTTGCTGGACGGGATGGTTTCCCTTCCACACCGGTTTGGCCATGGTGACAGATCTGTGGGCTGTCAGTTTGGAAATTCTAGTAGTCTTCTTGAGGGATGAAAGCTGTTCCGTACCCTTTTACGAGGTATCTTGTCGATGTGTCGAGAGTGGAAAGCTCGTCAAAGGCATGGATGGAGGGAGGTCCGTAATCGACCAAGGTGCATGTCGAGGCCAGCCATATTAGTACTAGTCAATTAGAGTTAGACACTAGTATATTTACGGCTAGTACATCCGACGGAGTAGAAAGCGGCACAATGTCACCTCTTCGTCAAAAGGCTGAAGCTCGATTTCAGTTCATCCGACGTTCGTCAGGTCTGCAGGTCAGAGGCAAAGACAATGCAGAAGCAATTCCAAGGTGAAGATTGAGGTCAGATGCAGAAGCGAGCCCATGAAGGCTTAGCCTGATCCTCAATGACCTTGGCTGGAGACATCGGCCAAATCCACGTGAGGACATTCGAACGTGTCGAAACAATTACCTCTTATGTATAACTATTAAGCAAAAGATCTCAATACCGCTTATGGTTGCCGCTAGTAACCGTCGATTCTGTCGTCACATCATTTGACCCCTGCGGAACCATTTTCCGCTGGTGATCCATTTTGATATCGATAACCCCCGGGAATTTATTACCCTCCATGAGTGCATTCTGGATTTCAAGGCCATCGATATGCCTGTGGAGCTAGTGACAACTGCAAGCCCTCTTTGAACTCCGTGGATGTTCTGTTATTTAGGCTGGAAGGATCTTGTCCGCTTCAAAGACGCAGAAGGCACAATCCATGTGTGGCAAACTCGCAACCCATTCCTCTTGACGACTTTCTGCTCTGAATTTGGAAACCCCCAATCAAGCTTAAACGATGATGTTCTTCGTCATAGCTAACGAAGTGCAGGGTACATGGGACTTTGATTGCCGCTTTTCCACCAAGAAAGTCGAGGTAGAATTTGTCCATCCCGTCGAATCGATTGGTTCGGAGCACGATATGGGATAGCTTACTTGGAGATAGGGCTTTGCCTTTGCTTTCCATAGTACCGTTGGGAGGATGAGATAACTTGGGAAGTGCTGGAGCGGTAACATGCGGCTTTTTGGGGTATCTATGATTGACGACCGTTGAGCGGGAAGCGGGATCATACTCAGATTTGAGACGGTAGTTCGAATAAATAGCATAACACATGAATACATGCAATACTGGATTCCATTGATACTCTATGTAAGACATATCCCGTAAAACTTACAACTGAAGAGTTTAAGTTCATCCCCTTATTCTCCACAGAAGTCGAGGTGTACTTCGCCCAATGCTCTGCTGTCGTTCCCAGCGCCCTCGCACACCGCACTTCAACACTCTCATCCTTCGAATCCGGCCTCGCAGCATGCCCATGCGCCATCCTCGGATAAATCTCCAACGTAAACGGTACATGTTCCTTCAACCCCGTGATCGGCCACGTCTGCAAACCCCTCGCGAGCGACGCGGGAACCCACAACGTCATTTTCCGCGAGCCCGACATACAGCGGCGCTGGGGTTCGTCCATGTCGTCTGCCTCGACGAAGTCGGGGTAAAATACAGCGGCGGCTTTTAAGGATGGATCTTTGGCGAGACGTAGCACGTGTTTGCCGCCGAAACGGTAACCTACGCCCACAATTGTAGCCTCACCGTGGGTCTCGAAGGGGTGTGCGAGTGAGTCTTTCAGAAGCAAGGAAACGCATGGGCGATTGTGTCGTTGAAGCCAGGCGGGGAAATCGAGATTGCGAAGTTTTTGTTTATCTGATTCTGGCCAGGATTGGTCGTTGATGGAGAGGTCACGGCCGCTTTGGAGCATTTGAACTAGAAGTATTTCAATCCATCAATATCAGTAATTGCTGGCCACGCCGAGCGGCACCAAGACAGTCGAGGAGAAAAGTATTTAGGATGTGATTTTGTTCTACCTGTAATTATCTGTCCAATGAGGTTGGCTCACTTTCAAAGTAGTCAGGTATAATCACATGCCATCTTGAGCAAAGCTACCTGCGAGGATGAAATTGTGCGTAGTAAGACCAAAGCCGTCAGGCAGCAGTAACAAAATCCCTCTACCTTGCCCAGGATTTGAATCACCTGTTGCGTGCACTGTATTTTTTCCGATCTTTGAACTCTTTCCGGGAGATCCATAGGAATCTAGAGAAAAGGTCATCGACTTTTGAGTCACACGTGAGATATGTGGCGGTTGGGGAATAAAGGGAGGCCAACTTGGTTCCGGTCTCTGGATTTTGGCTGCACCAAAGGGTCCGGGTTCCTCCCCTGGATGAACATTGAGAGCATAAGCACCTCAGCGAGGAGCACACATTCAAGATGGAATGGTGAGTTAAGAAAAGGTTGAGAAAACAGCAGAAGTCAGGATGCAGGAAAGGTCACATGACTGCGCCTGCAAGCACTGCAATCTGCACCAGTCAGACCCGCCGCCAGTCTTCGGTTTACGGCATTAATTGGTGATATTTTTATCTACCTGCCTCACAAAGACTGTGTGGCCCTTCTACTCTTTGGACGATCAAGCTGGATGCCCTCGAATTCCTTCATCGACCTCAAACGAGCTTTTCTCGCTGAATTCTTCTGGCGCAATTACCACCTTTTCAAACCACCTCTGTCGACCCGCATTCTCTCCCTCCTGTGAGGCATATCACCGCTCCTACGAATAGACGATGAGAAAACCTTTGTCAATTCGGCCTCGGCCTTGTCGATAGCCCTCGCTCATCCAAGATTGACTTGTGCGCCGTCATACCCAATCAAACAGCCTTGGTCGCAAGATCTCACAGCGTCTTCACTTATGCGCACGCCTGCCGGATATTTACCACTATAGTGGACTTCCGACAAACCTCCCCGCAACGACTCTGGTCGCCATGTCTACAGAGGCGCTCCGGCCTAAGAAAGGCCTTGAACGACTGGAAGATGGAAGACCTCGATTTCGTGGCTGCTCCAGAATTACTGACTACGAGTATCTTGGCAAACTCGGTGAAGGGACGTTCGGAGAAGTGTCAAAGGCACGATCCAAAAAGACGGGACAAATTGTGGCGCTGAAAAAGGTCTTGATGCATAACGAGAAAGATGGATTTCCCATAACGGCTCTCCGAGAAATCAAATTGTTGAAGCAACTCGATCACGTCAACATATTGAAGTTGGAAGAAATGGCCGTCGAACGGCCCAAGAACGAGCGCAAGAAGCCGAGCATGTATATGGTTACGCCATACATGGATCATGATTTGTCAGGCCTCTTGGAAAACCCAGACGTTCATTTCACCGAGTCACAGATCAAATGCTATATGAAACAACTTCTCGAGGGTTGCGCATATCTGCATGAGAACAAAATCCTCCATCGAGACATGAAAGCGGCCAACTTGCTGATCAACAACCGGGGAGTCCTTCAAATTGCGGATTTTGGTCTAGCACGACCTTACGATGACGAACCTCCCAAGCCTGGACATGGAGGAGGCGAAGCCACCAGAGAATACACCACCTTGGTCGTCACCCGATGGTATCGTCCACCCGAACTTCTCCTTCAGTTGCGCAAATACACTACGGCGATCGACATGTGGGGAGTTGGTTGTGTTTTCGGCGAGATGTTCAAAAGAAAACCCATTTTGACGGGAAACAGTGACTTGAACCAAGCACAACTTATTTTCGAACTCGTTGGTTCTCCTACCGAAGAAACCATGCCCGGTTGGCGTGACCTCCCCGGCTGCGAGAATATTACAGAATTTGGACAACACCCATCCACCCTCTCGCGTGTCTTCCGTGAGCTCAGTCCCCTTGCGCTCTCACTGTTGAGCGAACTCCTGAAATTGGATTGGCGAAAACGAATAAATGCTATAGATGCACTACAACACCCTTACTTCCACTCCGAACCATACCCCGCCAGACCAGGTGATCTTCCTTCATTCGAAGACTCTCATGAACTCGATCGAAAGAAATTTAGAGACCAAAAATCAAAACCACCCCCTGCACCCGCTGGCGGATCAGTGGGAATTGGACCACAAGGAGAATGGGGTATCAGCGGTCGCCCGATTCCTCCGTATGAAGGAAGGGGAGGTGGCGGCCCTGGCTCTCGGGTTCCTGGTGGTCGACCGTACGCAAATGGGCATAACAATCAAGGATACCATCGTCGGCCACACGGTCCTCCTGCTCAGAATGGTGCTTATGGCGGCGATTATCGGGGACCGATCCAGCAACCACCCCATCGAGATGGACCTCCTTATGACCAAGGCCACCGACCACCTTACGATCAATCAAGAATAGCCCCTCCTTCACAGCCATATGAGGATAATTTCTCACGTCGCCCTCCGGCAGAACATACCTTGCCACCGCGACCTCCGAATCCCGACATCGACCACTATCGCTACGGGCTCTCAGAAGCGCCTCCTTATCGTGACGATGGTCGTGGTCCTCCACCAATGCGATCTCGTGTGCCTCCGGGAGCAGGCGGCGCAAATCCGGACAGCCGAAGACCGAATCATGATCGTGATACATATATTCCGCCCTACTCCAATGCCGATCCCAATGCGCGGGTCCCGAACGCAAAGAACCGACGAAGAGATGATCGCCCGCCTTACCGAGACGGCCAGCATTCTCATCCACATGGCCCTCCTGATCACGGCGAGCCGATGCGGTATGACGATGCTGGACCAGATCGAGATCGTGATCGAGACCGAGACAGACGGCCGAGAAGTCGAAGTCCAATGCGTGATTGGGAGAGGGATAGAGATAGAGATTGGGAGCGAGACAGAGACAGAGACGTGCACCGGGAAAGAGATCGAGCGAGAGACTGGGACAGAGACAGGGATCGGGACCGGGAGCGCGATCACAGAGACAGAGACAGAGATCGAGATCGCAACAGGGGATATGGGATGCAAGATCCGTATCGAAGATGAAGATGATGTCTCCAACTCAACTTTTCTGAGAGCACAACAAATTCGATTTGGTCACTTGATTTGAGTCAAGATGACATGTATTTTTGGCACCACGCTACACCATGCAATGACTTGACTCGAAAAGAAATGAATTGGACCGGAATTTTTAATTGGGGCACGGTGCTTTTTGCATAGCGATCGGCGTCGGCGCAAGCACTGGGCAAAGGACGGAGGACAAGGGATCAATTGATACGTACTTTATCGAACAGGGAAGGACAGGACAGGAGCATGGTTCGAATTCGAATTCGGATTCAGCAACGGAAAATGGAACCGTGGCTCTGTCCCTTATGTGGCAATGTACGGTCTATGGTCCTATTGTCTTTGGCGATGATGAAAGGTATATTGCAATTCTTATTGCTTCAGCTTGACTTTTTGTGCCTTGAATTCGGAAAAACTAGCGGCAGACGGACAGGCAGGATTTATGCAAAACAAGAACAATCGAGAATGAGGATGATATACTAGTATGTAGCCAGTGGCCCCCCAAAAATTTCGAAACTGAAATGAAGTGGACAATTGAAGCTATGTTGTATTCTTCATTGCCTTTTCGCTATATTGTGAGAACGACTAGGTATCAATAGCTGCCAGTGCCAATGATGCCACGATCAATCACAAAAAGCCGGCGAAAACATCATCTATCGCGTTCTTCTTCTTGCTCTTGCTCATACTCTTGATCCGTTCCTTTTCATGTTTCGTGTCCGACTCTTTCTCTTTCCCTTTGGTCCCCCTGTTCTTGCCTCGGCGTCCTTGGGGCTTGTCGGTGTCTTTATTGCTCCGCCGGGGCGCGGTTGGATGTGAAGGTAGATGTGGCATGGAAGTTGGAGTTGTGAGTGAATTCGATTGAGCCGTGAGAGCGAGAGATGGTGCAGTCGAGTTTGAGCCTGAGAATGCGCGCGCATTTGTCAGTGGCGTCAACTGGGCTCTGGCATTTACGGAGCCTGATTGAGCTCGAGTGGCTTTGGACGTTGTCTCCGGGTGCTGTCGATTGTCGCCGTGGACCGGAGGGTGGCTCTGATGCTGGACGGGTTTGGGGTCGTGCGTGAGCATGGGGCCATCCCCGTCGACGTTTCGATCTTGAGCATCGATATCGATATGTGTATCTTCAACCTCAGAGGCAGATGCTGATGCGGGCGCAGCGGGCGCAGCCGCATCCTCTTCACGACTTGCATCGTTTCCCTGCTCTGAGTTCTTGTCCTTCCTCCTCTCAACAACTTCGCCGAAATCATCTCCGTCATACATTCTCCCCACGATTTCACCGCTCTGCAGCCCCGTGACTCTCAAACTCGACGTTGTTGGGCTCCTGGCCTTAGTCTTGCCATACTCCTCGTCTGCCATTGTTCGACTCATTTTCTCACCCTCTCGAGTGACCACGCCCGACCTCGACTCCTCTTCCTCATCCAAAATTGTCGGTGGACCTACTGCACTCATGACATCGCCAAGGATGCCGACGAGTACAACGCCCAAATTTGCAAATTGGCTATCACCCACCAAGCCCGTGAAGCCGACGTATGCACGCGGCACAAGCATCTCCCGAATCCAGTCGGTCCACACTCCCTTTTCTCTCCTCACCTGAGTTTCTTGCTCGAATCGTTTCCTGATTTCCTTTGCGTCCATACCTCCAATAGCACCTCCACCATTAATCTGGCCCCGGAGGAGGCGTTCTTCCTCCTCCAAATCAACGACCTTGGTGACTGCCTTCCTCAACAATATCAGTGATTTCGACCAAGATTGCGTGCGGTGTTGGTTCTTATTGCGTATCCATATTTGGTCTAGGATTGATTTTGTGGCAAATAGCTTGGTTCCGGAGTCTGGGGTTGGCGTTGGTATTGGGGAATTGGACTTTGAACTTGCGAGCTTGACTGCTGTAGACATTTGCAACGATTGATTCTTGGAACTTGGCGGTCTATGAGAATTTTGTGCCAGCATTTCTCGGGGAGGTTCAGGATGCAATCGCCTGCTAATCCGCCTCCTCCTCGACGCAGAGGCCTTTATTAGGAGCTGCAGTCGATCTGGAGATTTCTGCTGTGGATGTGTTAATTTTCGCCTTTTTGAACCTCTCATTCGATCGACTTCGGATGCACGCCCCCGATCATGCGATTGATCAGAATCCATTTTTAACGGTGCTTCAGGAATGATTCTCAATTTCCTGAACCAATGCAGCGTTTTGTTCCAGCAACAATCCTGGTTCACCAATAGTCATAGGTTACAAATCCAATTGCACAGCTGAAAACCACATTAAACTTGCTGAGTTTCTCAAATTCCATGATGGACATTGAAGTCACCTCGTCGATTCCCGTGGTCGTAAGCGAGAATCTGAGGTCTTGGCGCGCTAATCCGAGATATAAAAGGCAACCTCGTAATCTTCTATTCGTAGTTAGAGGCGTAGAACAATTTTTACGTATTTCACGGTGGAATTTATGCTAAGCACCTTCGAGCCAACTTGAGCACGCGGACTTGAACATATTTTGGACCCTGGAGTGAATTCCGCCGCGATGCGAGGACTGATACGGTGTCAGGAAGAGGGCCACAGTCCCTTGGGAACCGCATAAGAATCCTGTCATTTTATGACAGAAACTTGGACCTCTTAGCTTATATACTTGCCAGAACCCGGTTCGTGATATATGGATATGTTGTAGTAATTTGTGCCTTTACTACGATGAAGAAACTGGAAGATTTTGTCTCAGGGTCAATTTTCTAACAAGGAAATGACAACTAGGATCACACATGAGTGATTGACTGGTAGAAGTACAAGCTCTGATCTGAGACACTTCTCTTGTCTTTTGCAAGAGGAATCAATAATGACCTTCCATAAGCTCAAGCCCCATTTGCGTCATTGAAATGCCTTCGTGCATTCATTTTGTTCCATCTGGTTGTGGTATATTGACCTCCATGAAAGAGATCTAGCTCACATTGCATGAAAACAAAGAAAAACTTGCAGATATTGGGACAGTTGTGCAACAGCACATGGTAGTGAATGACGAAGTGATTGAGGGAAACGCCATTTTGTCCAGCACACGTTTCCCAAAGATGATGGTTTGCTATGGTTGAGACCAACGTGATCTGAAAAGACCCAGTGCCACAACCCAATTCATTAGTCAAGGAAGAAACAATCCAAGCCCAAAGGCAAGAAATGACTCTCTCCAGACTTCTGGTTTGACAATGACCAACAACCACTAGTGGCCAACAAGTTGTGACCTGAACCTCGTAAGATGGCCAGCGTCACGATCATGCTGAGCTAGTAGCGTGGAAGATGAAAATTCTTTTTAGTAGGAGCTTGAGCAGGGTTCTGAAATCTGTAACGTTGAATGACACCCATTTCGTTTTCGGCAGTTGGGATTCCACGATCATATTGAGAACGACGACGGCGTTGTTCCTCACGATATGCTTGACCTTGTCTTGGTGCGAACAGGCCTGTAATGGAAAATGGTCAGCATGATGTTTCATCTTCATCATCTTCTTCTTCTTTTCCAGAGGTAAGATGAGAGATACTTTTGCTCATGATCACGATCAAGGGCGAGGAATGCCAGAAAAAGGATCATATAGGCTGTTGATATCAACCAAAAACGGAAGAGCGGCTCGACTGGGAGATGGAGAATCATCAGGATTCTCAATAGTCTTGGGAGTAGTACGAGCCGGAGGAAGATAAAAGGCTTGACGACGCTTATCATCCACAATGAACTTTCCAGTCCGTCGAAGACCTCGGCGATTTGTTAAATTTCCAGAATCACGGGGGATGTACAGACCGACGTGCTCAGCGTTCTCAATAGAACGGCGCATCTTGGAATGATTGTCAGGTCCTGGAAATCGTTCTTCCTGACCAGCGTTGGGAACGTGACCAGCGATGTAGAGCTAGAAAGAAGTTAATAGCAGGTCGAGTCGAAGAAGAAAAGATCTTGCCTTAGGACGGAATGCGGGGTGCTCAAGCATAACGGACGAGTTGCGAAACTTCTGAATCAAGCAGTCTCGGCCTTGAATGGCTGTTGAAGATAATCGGTTAGAAGCATGATACAAGAGCGAATTTGGGTGGGGGGGAGTTACCAGCATAGGACACTTCGGCAATCTTGTCAGAGGAGAAACAATTCCAGCGCTTTCCGGAGCGGGCAAGTGCGAACTAAAACACATAAGCAATAATATCAAATGACCTGAGTGGATCGCTGACTGGAATGATAGACTGGGCCTGGTAAGAGTCAGTAATGTCTAGCAAAGATCGGAGAGAGGAACTTACATCAATGAAGTTGATAAATGCGTATCCAACGTTGCAGTTGTTCGCGAAGTCTGTTTCTTCCAGGTTAGTAATTGAGTGATGGGTTGAGGAAAGACAAGGGTCAACGAACCAATGCGAAGGTACATGAAGTCGTAGCATCCAAAGCTGGTGATATCAAGAATGGCCTTCAACATCTGCTGATTGACACGATTTGGGAGGTTGCGAAGCATGACCTAAAGATGGTCAGTGGTAAAAAAATGATTCAAGGAAACGGTGTGGAAGAAGACCTCACTGTAGTTCGAACATCAATGCCGAGTCGGATGCGAACAATGTCAATAGCATTATGGTTGCCATTCTGATTGAAACGACGACCTTGCTGAAGAGCATCACGCTGAATCACAAAGGCGAGACGGTCATAGTCTGGATCAAATGGAACCGTGGAACGTCCAGTGATTGAGAGGTACTCTTGAGGATTCTCAGCAAGCTGAGAGGCATCACGAACATCTGGTTGGAAAGGTTCAAGGCCCAAGACGGCACCCTGGTAAAGTGAGTCTGAATGTTTTCGCAAAGTCCAAGACGTAATGACTCACACGAATCACTGTTCCGGTGATGACATCTTTGGCAATGTCCACATGATTGGCATTGTAGAATTCAATACGAAACTCTCGAACATGATTCTGAGCTGTGGGCATGGTATGGAAAGCCTTGATGTCACCACATTGCGTCAGGAGTCGCTTGATCTCGGCAACAATTGGTGCAGCTTCCATGGGCCGAGCAGTGGAATACGAGCTGAAATAGACATTGACGATGGCCTGACCTTCGAAGTCGCTAACTTGGTATGGATCCTTGCCCTCATCAGCAGCAAGTGCTTTTGGAGACAATGGAATGACACGTGCCAAGGGAAGAACGGTGCTGGAGACATCATAAGCCTTCTTTGCATCACGAACGTCCGCAAATGAGACGGTGAAGAGTCCCTTGTGAATCATCTGGGAAGCACTGATGGTTTTGACGGAAGGGAATGTTGTAGGCTCGGGATGTTAGTCCAAGGACTCGAAATGGTGGACGATGAGAAACTGACCTTGAATGCAGTAGCGATCTTGCTGGAACGGAAGCTGTCCGGATTTCCGATGACGGCGAAGGCACGGGTGACATTCTCATCGGTGCTGAAGGATCCTTCTGAATAGCGAACGTCGTGAAGGTAGATACCGCCAAAAGCATTGACTTGCAAGTCACCAATGTCGAGAGCACCGAGTTCCGCTCGAAGAATATTGGGATCATCGGCAACGAGACCAGGAAGACGAGGAGGGCCACCAATGATTCCAACAGGCTGGGGCTGCTCCTGAGTTAGACCGTAAGCGTTGCGCTCTGAAGTTCTTCCTTTCAATAGGGGTCTTACACCAAGGTTCCCATTAGCAGAGATGTCTCGAGGAACTTGATAGACAGGAACAGGATCAACGGGGCGAGTAGTGAGAGTCAAGCCGGCGAGGCGAGCAGCTGGAGGAGTTGCAGTGGCACGGTTGAAGTCATCGTGTAATCCTGGGGTGAAGACTTCGATAGGAGGAGAAAGATGCGGGTCATTGGTAGGATTGGGTGCATCCAAGAAGACATCGCCAACAGCACTATGTCAAATCAGCTTCTAGACAGCTTATATGAGGTGGCGAGACTGGGGGATGTGGGGGTCTTTTAGACGCGTCCAATGAACAAACGCACCTTACGGATGTGCCAACATTGAGTTGACGAGGAGTTGTGTTTGGAGCACGATGCTTGGTGGAAGTGTCAGCTTCTGGGGTAAAGGAGGTAGGATTGGTAGATGGTGTTCCGCGAAATGTCGTTTCATCAACCGAATGAGGGCTGGAAGCCGTGGCTCCACAGCGAGAGGGAGGCATGACCAGGTCTGATGGAGAGGATCAGTTAGCCGTGTGAATGATTCGATCAGGCTTGTAATGAATGGGATGTTGAGGTGGTGTCCTGCTGGCAGGATTGGCTTTTGCTGCTACAGTGACACATTCCCAATGGGTGATGAAGAGGGTGCAAAACTCGTCCAAGACGATGATGCAGTCTCTTGAGGGAGGAACTGGAGATTTTGGGGGAAAGAATGAGGCTGATGGAGGTTGGCAGCTCGCTTCTCTTTGGCAGAGAGTTGGGTTCCACAGGGAATTGGACTGACCAGGAGCAACGAGGTTGGTTTTGAGAAGGGCTAATGATCGGCAGTGAACGATGGCGTGCTTTGCAGTAATGAATGTGATTGAGAAGGAATAAAGAGAGCTGGTGAAAAGAGTGTGGGTGGCGAAGGAGTGGAATGGTTTGTGAGAGGAACCCGGTTGAGAGAAGAGAAGAGAGCGGGACATTTATAGTAGAGAGAGCAGAGGTAGTGGTGTTGTGTTCAATCCTCCTCGGTGATCTGGAAGTGGTATGGACAGAGATCAATGATGTCGTTGAAGGCAGTGAATCGGCTCTGGAGGTGTTGTCGGCGCTGTAGGTCATATCAAGTGAGAGATGATGAGGACGTAGAGTGGAGGGAGGAAGCTAGCCTACGCATCCTCTCCGCCGCCGTTCTCTACCCACCTTGTCCACTTCCCTATCAACTTGTATGCGGAAGTACATCAGACCACATCCTTTGCGGCGGTGAGTATGCCGTGGACTCCCGCTGCACCAAGAGATTGGCCCCATCATGCCTCAGTGCGGCCCTCACTTCAACCCTCACCTCATTTCTGTGCGCCGACGGCAGCATGGAAAGCCACGGAATCACGGAACACAGACACCAGCCCAGACGTCACGAAGCAGCCGCATCAATATTGAAATCCCAGATGTTGCCAGTCGACGTGATTGGATGCTGCAAGGATATCATAGCTTGGTGGGAAGCAGGAGGGCACAACAGAGCATATCATGGCATAGCACAGCAGAACAACAGTATAAGGCGGAAGAACCTCCCTCGCCTTGGAGTCAGTTCCTTTGATCGGCTCCGCCCACCTTGGTCCTCCTCGTGAACAGCTCTGCACTGATCTGAGAAATGATTGAAGTGATAAACCTGCAAGGAACGTGTATTATCTGAAGAGTTCTTCACAAATCTTTCCTCGACCCGCTCTGGTCTTCCTTCAACTCGGGACCGACCAAACATTAATAGACGTCTTTCTGGTCAGCATGGCAAGTTCGCAGAGAGAATTTCGCGCTGAATCATTACTCGGTCTTTATCGACAGCCTACCTCAGCTCTTGGACACCCCTCGAGCAAAGAAGACGAGAGTCATTGTGATGACAAGTTGCAGAGGAAGACGGATCGGCGTGTCCGCTTGGCAATCAGTAGCCACTAACCTGAAAGCGTTAGTGTTGTTTGACACATCACGCGGATGGAGTCCTGGTCACTGAACCTCTCAATATCCCTTTCGTTATCTCATGTGCACATAAGAGACTGGTCTCTTCCTTTTTTGCCCTCGCAACCAGCTTGCTTTTTGATGAATCCATTGCTACGCGCTGTTGGCCCCTATCTCGAATCAGAGTGATGAGAGCGTACGCGGTAGCACCGCGTTCTCCTTGAGAAACTCTCGCTTCCGTCACGATGCCGTCGATGCCTCTGTATAGGAATGACACGAACAGTGTACTTCAACAGGTACATGGCTTCCGAATTCCTCTCAATGCGAAGCTAACCTCCGGAACTCAAGATCGTTACATCCTCATCGGAAGCAGATACCTTGGATCAACTCATCCCCTACATCAAGGACTATAGCTATGGCAACAAGACCTCCCATTTACTGGGACAGCTCTCCGATCTAGCGGCAGCGCGCGAAGCGGAGATTGAAAGACAATGCAACACCAATCACCAAGAATTCGTAAAATCCGTCAATCAACTGCTGCGAATCCGTGAAGGCACCGTCACCCTCACCAATGAGATTCTGGAGTTGAATCAATCCATCCAAGCCAGCACGGAAAAACTTGTAGAACAGAAGAAAGCCTTGGTGGAATCTCGAGGCGTGAGACAGAACATAGACGACGCCAGTCATGCTCTACAAGATTGTCTCGAGGTGCTACGCCTCGCAAATCAAGTACAAGAACTCCGTGATCAGAAGAAACACTATGCGGCCCTACGAGCCCTGGACGAACTCCAAAGCGTCCACTTGCAAAACGTGACCCAATACCAATTGAGCGAGCTCATCCAAAAGTCTGTACCGGCCACCCAGAAATCCATCGCCGAAGCGGTCATGGCGGATCTCAACACTTGGCTCTTTCGAGTCCGCGAGATGTCCCAGTACCTAGGTGAACTGTCCTTCTATCACACCGACCTGCGCCAGCGGCGACAAAAAGAACGATCCGAAAGGAATCCTTATCTAGCCAATTTCAAACTCAACTCCGCCATCGAATTGGTCGCCGATGAGCATGAAGAATACGATCTGCTCAAGAGTGAGGACCTAGAAGTCGATTTCACTCCCCTATTCGAAGCATTGCATATCCATCGGTCGCTGGGCCAAATGGATAAATTCAAAGCCGATTATGCCGCCAGTCGCCGGGCGCAGCGGGATCTATTGTTGCAAAACTCCATCTCGCTTGTCGACGAGGAGATGGGCGACCTGCACACATTACTAGAAGACATAGCCGGTTTCGCCATCATGGAGCGCGCCACGATGAAGAAGGTGCCAGATCTCCGGTCCAACACCGACGTCGAAGAACTATGGGACTCACTGTGTCAAACCGCCATCTCACTCATGTCCAAAGCCCTGTCGCCCGTGGACAACGCCGAGCACCTGCTGAAAATCAAGAATTTGATCTCCCTCTTCATCCAGACGATGAATGGTTTCAATTTCAACACGTCCGCCGTGTCCAACTTCGTGCTAGTCCTGTTTGACAAGTACGCCGAACTGCTCAAACAACGCTTCAGCGAAGACTTCATCGAAATTGTCTCGACTGACGACTACATGCCCATGCCAATCCAGAACGCAGAAGAATTCGAAAAAGTCGTTAATGTATCCTGGTACACACCCGACCGACCCGTCAACGAAATGACGTTCCCGACCGTCTTCCCTTTCTCTCAAATGTACCCGCTCTGCTGCATCGACATCCGCAACTTCCTGAACCAATTCTACTTCTTCTCCGCGCAGGACGATGCGCCATCTCCTCTCTCCTCGAAGATTGACTCACAACTCCTGACCTCGCTCGACGACCTGCTCACGACAAAAGTTTGTGCCAGCCTCGTCTCCAAACTATCCTCACAATACCTGGGGCAAATCGTGCAGATCCTGATTAACCTGTCGCACTTCACAACAGCGTGCCACGAGCTGGAAACGCTCCTAGCGACAGCGCGGGCGTCGTCACTCAATCCCGGCCCTGCCATCTCTCTGCACGCGACTGCGCAGTTTTCTACGCACCAGAAAACCGCAGAGAACCGGATTTTCGAGCTGGTGAACAGTAAAGTCTCCGACCTGATCGAGACAGCCGAATATGACTGGCTCAGTCGCCGGCCACCCGTAGAGCCGTCCAACTACATCCTGACACTGACACGGTACTTGTCGAACATCATCAACTCGGTCCTGCTCTCTCTCCCATCGAGCCTGAAGGACCTCATGCTGTTCAATGCGATCTCGCACACCGCAAGCTCGATCCTTGCACTCCCACTCTCAGATACGGTGGGGCGGATCACCACGACAGCAATCGCGCAGCTGACAATGGATATCACGCACTTCCAGCACTACGTGCAGACGCTACCGAACAACTCGATCCTGCTTGAGAGTCTGGATGAGCTGGTGCAGACAGTCGCACTCATGGCGACGGACCAGCCTGACGAATTCTACGACATCTCCTTGCGCAACAAGAAGTACCGCAACGTCGATCCCCTCAAGGGACCTCAACTGCTCGAGAAGGTCGTCCATGTCGACGCCCGGTCCCCGACGACGGCGCATGACCGTGCCGCCAGCGGTAGTGGAAATGGTGGAAGTGGGCTGCAGAGTCCCGGTCTCGGCCATCACGGTAGCACGGGGAGTAGGGCTCCTAACACATTTGCCGCGCTGCAGAATCGGTTCATTCACGGTGGGAGATAAGACATTACTCTCTGGAAGAGGGCATTATGAGGTAAGATGAATTGAGTTATTTGGTACAATTGGCGCCCGGGCACGATAGACCAAAAATGATCAGATGAAGAATTTCCATCCAAATGTATAGGGATGATCATGCGTAATCCTGAACCGCCGGTTTTCCCTTTCTTTCGATACCTGACGTGCTCCGTCTGCGACCCCAATGGCCGTCTATCCTTTGTCACTTTGTACTTGATTCGCGTCCTATCAATAATCCGTGGGCTGTGTTTGTCCGCAGCCGGCCACCAGAGAACGGAAAAGGAAATAGAAGACAAGCACAGGAAAGTCAGGAGGATTTTCAAAACATACATGCGTGATCTGAATTCAATATGTTTCCTTTGTTGGGAATTCCGAAACTCTGGGAATTAGCCAAACCTCCCGTTCCTGCTGTCTGCTGTGTGGGAAAGTCCAATGGAAGATTGGCATCTCGTTTATGTTTGTTTTCTCTGCTGCTGTAAAGTAAACGTTGCCCCTAGATATCAATTGCAAGGCAAGGTCAAGCAAGTGACCTTCCTCTTCGACACATGGTATCAATTCAGTACCGGCATGAGTATCAATCCTTCCGTACGCAATTCGAAGTTTTCTTTCCACATTGCATAAACCAATATAGAGTATATTGTTTTTTGTAATTTTTGTTTCTGTGCCTTTCCCCGCCTTTCTCCATGCAAAACCACCCCTAACCGGGTCCATAACCTTGCTCATTGACTTGTTCGTTTCTTCCTGCCGTTCCAGGTCTCGGACCACCATACCCTTGACTTTGTGGTCGCTGTCCGGGGAGGTTCGAGTACATCTGTAGGAAGGGTGTCAGTCAGGATAATGTTCTATTCCAGCTCTCCAGGGCCGGCCGGGAGAACATGCCCCCACATTGAAGAAAAGTTTTGCTGCTTGAGCAATGTCAAGAAAACACGTCCTCCTTTTTCTCTCATCGTCCCTAGAATCCATCACTGTGAGGGTCCACCTACCTGTTGAGCGCTCGCTCCGCCAAATTGTCCCTGTGTATAGGGATTGTACATGTCACCTCCAGCGAACATTTGTGGAGGTTGTCCATATCCTTGGTTCGGGTCTTGCTGACTATCGCCGCCCATATGCCCAGGATACATCTGAGGTCTTCCATATTGGTTGTCAGGAGGGCCCATCGTACCATGTTGCATGCTATAGTCCGGAGGGGGCATCTGTTGCTGGGGTTGCTGCTGAGGAACTTGAGCGGCGGCGGCTTGCCCACTGGTATTGGGACGTTTCGAGGTGCTGCCATGCCCAGTGCTGTCTTCTCGTGGGACGATGTCGATGAGGAAGTCAAACATATCGCTCTTGGCTAGCGCGGCCGCAATATCACTTCGTTGCAGGGTTCTCCTCTTGTTGTCTTCGGCATGAATCCAGGCGCGCATCGTCAATTCCGTGATGAAGATATCGCACCCTTTGGCAAAGAGAATTGGTGCCTCGGCGGATATCATTTTGACTTCTGGATCGGCTTTCATCACCTTTTTGATTCGAGCTAGAGGGAGTTGATGGATTTTGAAGTCATGGGTGTCTGTCTCAAGATGATTGATGGTTTGTTGCCAATAAGTCGCAAGGATTTCGCGAGATGGGCCAGTAAGGCCTTGGTTGATCTGATAACGCAGTGAGCAGGATTCATCCCTGAGATGCCTCTCCTTCGGCCAGCACATACATTTGACCATAATCCTGAGTACAACTCGGTGTGAGGGACATAACCCTGGGCAGATAACTGAACAGTTGAATTAGTAACCTGCTTTGCAAAGATCCGACCCGCGCAAGATGTCGTATGTCCATGTTTCTCTCAGTTGTGGTAATCCTAATCCGGGAGCGCAAAGCTCGGATTTGCTCTTACAAACCAGTATCGATATATCGCCTGAAGGGAGAAGTAGACCGGATCACTCACAGCAGCGCTTGCCCCATAATGACCACCATTGGTTAGGTCATAGATGGGGGGACGTTTGGATGGTGAATCCATTGTGGGAACCTGGGTCGCGAGTAGAGGTTGTCCGCGAGACGAAGGAGAGGGCGGCGAAGTTATCGCGAAGCTGCCTGGAGACGTTGACTGCAATTGAAAGAGGGAATATATAGGGAGAATGATGTGGCAGCGATGGGTTTGTGCTTGATCTGATGGTAATGCGCAGAAGCGAGAAGAGGATTTTCGCGGGTTGCGCTCTCAATGCTGTTTTGTATTCGACTCTTCGCCGGCCGAACTGAGGCGGATTATAATGCTAACGAAGCGGTCAAGGCGGCGACTATAAGGAGAGAGGCGTAATGAAGAAAGAAAATAAGGTCCAGGTTGTTGATGGATGGCGGACTGACATTCGGTGAGTGGCTGGAGCTGCATTCACTTGCGACAGCCAGTGGTACTAATAGCGGCGAGAGAACCTGAGGGCTAATGGAGGCGGGGTACAGACAAAGTGCGCAGTACAGTTTAACGCAGGATACTGCTAATGAATGATGATACTCTTCCGTGGTACTACATCCTCCTCGAACAACGGCGCAAACGTCAGTTTATCTCATTTTCGCAGGTTTGGTTTCCCTCCTGCAATCTCGATCGTTCTCTGCGCCAGCTCCAATACCAAAGCATATACGTAGTAAACAAAAGAGTTCTGCAGACCAATCGGACAGCAGTGAAAGTCCACAATTAGCTTCGTTACAGGGCCACCAGTTGTAGGCCACTCTTGACTGGAGGCGAGCCTGGCCTATGACCATCTTCCATTGCCCGGTGCAGCCTCATTTCCAAATGACAAAACCAGGCCGCATCGGAGTACATATAGCTGCGGACTTTGCTGCCTGTTGGCCAAAGCGCCTCCTACAATGGTCAACCCTCTTCGAAGGAGAGGACTTAGAAAAACTTGGGACGTCTATCGTTGCTTGCAAGGCTGGGATTGCGTGCATCTGCAATCAACTTTCTTCATTGTGTCTACTGTACTTGGTACCTGGTGATCACCGTCCTATCCTGACGTCAATCGCTTGATGTTGAAGCCTGCAGGTCGTGGAAAGGTCGGTGTCGCTTCATTCTGCCAGGGCTGAAAACACCCAAAACGGGAAGTTGGAAGGGATGGGAGTATGGCCTCGCTTTGGGCATCCATGCATGAGTCGTGAGGGACGAGTTCTCGGTGCTGGCAGTGAGCAGAGCGATGACCGAGGAAGGTTTAGTGGCCTGCCAGTCAGCAGAAGAAATAGGGCTCGGTAAACTTGCCGTTCAGGTCATCGTCAACCAGTCCGCAGGCAGTCCGAATTCCAGGACCAAATTCGCGGCTTGCCTCGAAATACCATACTTGTGTTGTTCCCATGTATGAAGTTCGCCATGGGCGAGATTCTCACAGATGAACAGATAGACCAACTCCTGGACGAAGCCGAAGCTCGTCTGCGCGAGAAAGCGTCTCTAGCACCGACAGATGCCATCATAGATGAAATCAGTCTACGGACTGGTGAGACAAAAACAAGGCAACCGTATGTATTGCCTTGATTCACTACCCCTTTCTCAACTGACTATTTTACATTGCAGTCTTCCGAAACTGCGTCATGGCCTCAATCGACGGACTTACATCCAGGACAATCAGGGAGTTGCGGAGACAAATCCCCCCGCCACGATCACCGACCAGCACCAAAAAATGGGAGATGGTCTCAGATCTGTCGGGCTGTCTGAGAAATCCAAGAAAATTGTATGCCAAACATCCCAGAAATCAATATTCCATCACATGAGGAAATTCATTCCCATTTTTCTCCTTGACGTAGACCAGCAGTCCATTTTGGCCTGCCCTGCAATTCATGAGAGTATCATATTCATAGTTACTCTGATCACCATCCGACAACCCTCCATCCGTTTACATGGCCCATCTGCAGAGCACCGCTGACAAAAGCAGAATGACCAGATCTCTGCCGGCTCAGACTGGTTTGACATGCCGAAAACCAACCTGACTCCTCAACTCAGGCGCGATTTGCAACTCATCGAAATGCGATCAGTTCTCGATCCTCACAGACATTACAAGAAAAATAATCGGAGAGGCAAGATTCCAACCTTTTCCCAGACCGGGACGGTCATCGAGGGGCCAACAGAGTTTTACAGCGCAAGAATCGATAAAAAGGATCGATCTAAGAACTTTGTCGAGGAGGCGATGACCACCGAGAGAGAGACAGGACGATTCAAACGAAAGTACAGCGAATTACAAGAGGCAAAGACAAGTGGCAAGAAGGCACACTACAAGAAACTCGTGGCTAAAAGAAGGAGGAGGCCTTGAGCCAGAGGGGCGCCCTGCCTTTCTTTAGTCAAGGCAACCAGTTGCAGCGTCCATCTACTGGCCCCCCATTGAGGCTGAGAAAACCTACAGCATGCAAATACGGAGTATTGTCAGAGCGTCGTTCGGCTCCGACTGTGAGATGCAGCATAGACGTGGTTTTCTCGAAACCCCCCCCCTCCCAAAAAACCCTGGAACAGGATCCTTATCGAAAGGGGCCAAATTACCTTGAAGAGCCGGAATCACATCCGACTGGAAATCTTCGAGTCTTCTGGCTGCAATCGAAGCTTCCATGATACGTCAGTCAGCGGAAGCTCTCAAGATTCAAAATCCGATAATTGGGAAGGATAGATTGGAAGGGGGGATTATTTGCAGGCCCTACATCTCAAGTTGGCGAAATTCAATCTATGAAGAATGAAACAATGGTCAAGCGGGGGATACTATTTCGATCCGGAGAATCATGATGTTCCGCAATCTCCAGCATAGATAGAATAATGAGTGAGATTTTGGCAGCACAGGGAGATTTCGGACAAAGGATCGAAAACAAGACACTGTGCGGCGTCAGCCATTAAAATTGTTCTCGCGGAAATGGGTGGTATTTCTCATGCTTCAATAATCTCACTTAATTTTGCAATCTTCTCAAGCTTTACAGAAGGAGATGGTGCTGACTTGGACTGGGTCATTCCCTTTTCCTTCTCTAATATCACTGCAGATGTGGAAATCTGGCTGTCGACCCCAGCGGAACTTCCAGCTCTTTCAGTTGTCTGTGGCGCCATATTGCATCCACAAACACAGTGGCTAGTGTACGATTTACCAGCAATCATCCCTGAAGTAGGAGGCACGAAGTATCCTCAACCCACTACGAAATCGGCCTTGGACACGTGGATACCATGAAATTTCAAGAGTCGGGAGTTTATGCCGGGGAGGACGCCTGTGTGGCCTGTGCTGGCTGGGTCAAAAAGGTCAGCCTCCCAAGGGAAGGTCGGCTGAATCGCTGCGAATCAATTGATCGCCTTTTATGGTGAATCAATATCGGCTCTCCAGTCTCCGGGCTTGGGGAAAACAAATAAGAAACAAGCAGGTGAGACACGCCATCTGAGCACGACCTCCTCCAGCAGAGACAAGACATTCTCGGATATACTCACACAGCTTTTGTCTTTTTTGCAACTTTGCGTCCCCCCTACAACTACCGGCCGAAAAGGTGCAAGAGACCTCGCTTCTCTAGTTAAAAGAACTGAGCAAGTCGGCTTGACGGGCATACGCCAGCTTCGGTCGTCCTATTTCCCCGCCGTTGTTTCGGCAGGCCAATCGGGCCACCATTACTAGCAGCCGGATTGGCCAGTCCCAGGCCTGCGCCTTGACTTCGCCCCCATTGGCATGATATCTTTAGCTCGTGCCATACAGCACGCCACGGACCTGGTGCTAAGCTCCTTTCAGTTCCAGGCTGGACACAAACCGGGCGAAAGTTTGACTATAATCCCAGGTCTTCCTCGATGACGGGCCCCAACCACCGACAAAAAAGACAGCGACGACGACTTTTGCCACAGCTTTTATCCATATCTCCTGGCACAGACAATCTTCAACTTGTATTCAACCCTGATCGCAGCCTCGTACTCAGTAACACCCATGCGCAATGCGCTGGCGGGTTGAGACCTCGCTGCAAACCCTCAATACTCCCTAGAAAGGTTCTGATTGGCGAGGGGTATCCGAGCTCGACAAATCGAAACAATCCAACGACAGCATGACTTCTATCCTTCGTTTGGGGAGCAAGGATCGCTCTTCTCTTCTATTCAAACGGCAGAGTCCCGACAATGTGTCGGACAGTCCTTCCGATGCTCTTGCTCTCCGCCTTCCCGATATTTCCCATCTCGACACGCGATCTTTCACTGGACTTTTTGACCAATTCGTGAACTACGAGAACCCCGACCAGTCGCCTGAGGCGCAAGATCGGGACCTGGTAGCACGAACTCCCAATCCGACCAGTGCCGACAATCTGGCCAGCTCGTCGGAGGTTGCAAAGGTTTCGGTTAACAACGTCGACCAAGCCAAATTTAACATCAATAGAAATGATTCGACGTCGACTTGTTATTCTCAGGCCACTCAGAGAGAGAGCGACTACTCGCCTTTGGTCACCAGGCATTCATCAAGCTCCAGTTATACCCAAGAGCCTTCGTCTGCCTTGTCCAGGACTGCCTCGACGAAGAACAAGCCGCTGACAGTAACGACCAGACCTTCAAAACGGCTTTCAACCCACATTTCTGGATCTCGACCGACTGCCCAAATCTCCGTGTCGAGAACCAACTCTTCGTCTATTATGGTCGTATCATTACCGCCAAATCTTGACAAACCGCTGCCTCCTGGTCCAAGTGACGGCAACATGGCTTCGTCATCGGTACCTGATTTGTTACTCCGACAGCAAACTGCCGAGCTGGCCGGTGAGCCGTTGTCCTCATCAGATCCTTCGTCTTCTATCCTACCCATTCAACGTGCTTCAACTTTCCCGGAGAGAATGGTTTCCACGAAACGGGCTTCCGGGGGCGAGGCTGTGTCAGAATTGCCTGCTTGGTCACCCAGAGATATCCGAGCAGCACGGTTGGGAAAGGCCGTCGCGCACAGCCATCATAGGAACCGTTCAGTCTCGGAAACCGCTGCTCCTCAACAGCAAGCCGCACTTGGGATTGAGAGATCCAGGCGCCATACTGCTGATTTCCAGAGGCTCTCTTCAAATGGAGCATCATCCGCACGGCCAACAAAGCCGCGCCAGAGAAGAACGTACGCGCCGATCACAGCGGCAACGGCCGAACGAGTCATTTACAAAATCATGTGTAATCTACATAGCGTTCAAGACTTGCAATCGACGGCGATGGTTAGCAAAGGCTTCCTGCGAACTTTTCAACGCAACGAATCGAAATTAGTCAGTCATCTCATATTCAAGACTTCACGGCCCGCTTGGGAACTTCGCCGCAGCATCCTGGCTCTAAAAGGATCCAATGAATTTGTCTTGAAAGATTTCCGCCGAGATAGCAGAACTCTTACCGCTCTCAAATCATTTATCGTTGCCCACTGCAGCTCAAATTGCAAACAGAGTACACTGATTGGCCTTCTTGGTCAAGATGATGCACGAAAAGCGCAAATCGATGATGCTTTGTGGCGAATTTGGACGTACTGCGCACTCTTCGGTAACACGGTGGCGCAATCAGGCCCCTCGCAAACCGAGATCGATTGGCTCAATGGCAGCAAAGCCGCAAATAACAAACAGTTGGGAGCTGGTTTCGCCATTGGCAATGGCAAAGGACTTACGACACAAGAACTCGAAGACATGAACGAAATGTGGCATTGTCTACAGGGTCTCATTTCGGGGTTCCAAGGTCGAGAGCAAGAGGCAAAGCAAGCTGGTGTATTCGATAATTGGCATCTTCGAGAAACCTCTTCCGAAACTCAACATCTCGCGGAATGGACCTCTTATCTCCTTACACTTGGCCCGCAGGTTGTTTTGTCGTTGTCATCTTCTTCGTTTGACCAGGCGAGGGTGCTGGGTCTGACAAAATGGCCTGCCCCTCCGGCAGGGCACAGTCGTTCCACCTTCTTAATATCCGCTATAGCACAAGTCTACCAAGAAAGAGTCCTGGAGGAGGCTACATTGAAGGCAGCTCAGTTTTCAATGCCTCGAGGACCAGTTCACCGGCCAACCAGATCCTTTGATGAGCGACAATTGGCATCTATCCTTCCGCCCCGCACAATACCCAATCAGACACAATCCCTTCGAATCGACACGTCTAGCCCTCAAAGGCGACCGGTCTCGACAAATGCACTTGCCGATGGAAAATTAGAGATCCGCCCGGACTGTGACCCTGCCAGCGATTTAAGCCGTTCTTCCAACATGTTTCCAGCCTCACCCACGGCTGATCCAACAGCATTTTATGCTCTGGGCATGACTCCAACAGCAAGCGTCAAACTTGGGGCAACACTCTTTCCAATGGACTATGCTAGCCCAGCACCCCGAGTTCCATTCCGAGCTCCTGAGCGACCAGCAGCAGCGTCATCCGGAGCCCAGGTCGTAGATCCTGTGGACAAAGCCATGGCACTTTTGGTACACGAACTTGGATTTGGTGAGATGAGAGCGAGAAAAGCCCTGGCCATGTGTGATACAGGCTCTGGCATTGATCTACACAAAGCAATCGAGCTGCTGGCTGTTGATTCGAAGGATTCTAAACACGACGTGGCCTCGCCGGTGGAACTACCTACGCCTCAAGAGATTTCTAGTGTCAGCAAGTTGAAGAAGCAGCCCAAGGCATATTGTGACGGCCACTGCAAGCGAACACTGACAACCATGCATTCGCGAAATAAATCCACAGGCACGTCGACCGATGTGTCCATCAGCCCTGTTTCCGCAATCGATGAAGCAGAATGGCAAGACACCATCTCTCCGCTCGTCGCGTCACCAGTGCCGACACCGCGGCCAGTGGCATCATTAGGCCGTGGACCAAGCAAAAGTGCGAAAGCATGGAAGGTCCTGGGGATTGGCAATCCGCCGAAGCGGAAGAACTCTGTGCTCAGAATCGACGAATATCAGGCCAAGGTCGAACGGAGGAAGAGCATGCGTGCCACAAATGGAGGCACAAGTCCTGGGGTCAAAGACGGCCTAAGCAAGAATATTCTGGGACTTGGAATAGGGAGCACCGCCGGGGCCAAATCTGCGGAAGAGCAACTTGAGCGTGCTCGTGAACAGGAGAGACGCAAGAAGGAGAAGAATCCCTCCAGCCGCAACATGCCCAGATATGCATGAATTCACGATATTTTATGGACGAAGAGTATGAAACAGGGAGGAAAATACGACGGGATACGACTTTTTTTTTTTTTTTTTTTTTTTTGGTTTTCCCCTCCCCTCTTTGCAATGTCACGTTTGCCGGGAGGACGATTCCTTGCTCGTTGTTCCATCAATTCGAATTTGGATTGACGTCGAATGAATGAATTGCGCCTTCCCCTTCGGGGTCGAGGCGAGGTGGTTGGCTTTGGGTTTATTCATTTTCCGTTGGTTGGATATATACGCACGCCGGAATGACATGAACATTTTGATTGATGGGTTTCAAATGACCCTACAGATACGATCATATATGGGGAACACATCGATACATACATAAGATGGATGGATGGCAAATTGCAAATATACGGGACGAAAACATACACGATATACCCACGACATACATGACCATATGGGGCGGTTTGCAGCCAACTTTTGCATTGAAACGGAGACCCAGACGCTTCTCTGAACTTCCAGAGCCATTTTATATGTGCGTGAGAGTGAGAGAGTGTGAGAGACCGTTTCTTTTCCATGCATTTATGGGATAGGGCATTATGAACTTTGGGACAATGAATGCGAACATGAATTATATATCTACTCTTTCTTTCGAGAACAGGTTTATTTTGGCTACAGGAGTTTTGGAACACATTGGGCCTCTCGTAAATGTCTTGTTTCTAAGTCTTTGTCGCGACGTTATTTTATTTTGCTCATGATTTCTTCCCCAGAGCTGATGAAGGGAAGATGGATGAATGATCTCGGCTCTCCCCCTGATCTTGGTGCGTCGATTCCAGCAGGATGGCTTGTCCATGCCCGTTTCAAACCTTTGGTATACGATAAAGAAACCGTTTCGACATCCTCGGTAGAGGGGGGAGAAGTTGAAACGTACCTCTCGTCACAGCTCTTTGAGTGAAGTCGAGCCCGAGAGCCTGCGGATGCGCTGAAAGGACGACACGAGCCGGTTACCTTGCTGCGTTGTTTGCTGAGAAAGGAAGCAGGTCCGCATTTTCGGGAAGAACCTTCTCTCCTCTCCTCTTCCCTCACGATCGGCCTGCGTCGATACCTTCCCTGCCCTCAGGAACGATATTGATTGCTGCGAGTGTAACAGGCCACCCCAACTTCTGTCAATGCCCCTTCCTGTTTCCGTCTGTCCCATGCTCGCTTTGGAGGTCGAGAAATCATTCAGTCCAATGCTGCAAATAAACTAAGATAAATGCCCCAGAAGAGCCCGACGATACTGCCGACAATGACTCTCCGATTAACGGGGACAATGGTAAAGTTCATAAACGCAACGAGCGGCCATATTTTCCACCCGTTGATCATCAAAGGCACAACATCCTACACGACCATCATATTAGCGTCGCCTCCCCATTTAGAATTTGACCGTCACGCTGAGTTTCGGTACAAGATGGAGACATAGAATGGACTTCGACATACCCGCTCGACTTCCTTCTGCACCGCTCTGGCGCCTTTCCCTTTAAACGCAGCCATAGCAGCAACAAATGCCACGGTATTCACGAATGCACCCAACGTCTGATCGAACAAGAACTTCCGCGCCGTGTTGGCTTTGTGTAGCGACTTCTCCCCACTTGCGGGATGGTACGTATATCCTGGGAATTTCTCCTCGAGATAATCTTGCCATAGGATATTCGGCGGACAGGAGAGGAATGTGAAGATAACAAATTGAAGAAGTGGGCGAATGCTGATCGTAAACGGTCTCTGCGAAGCACTGTCAGTGTCTAGAGTTCGCGCGGTCAGGTCTCACTTTGGGTCCATACGTTTTCCCTGTGTGCTCTTATGAATTGCGCGAGAAGATTGGAGATCGCGGATAAGCCAGCGGATTGCAGAGTGGTGTTGACGAGATGTGAAGGCATGGTAAGACGAAGTGGTTCAGCTTCGGCTTCGTCAGCGACTGTGAGCTGGGAAAGGAGTTCGAAGATGGTGCTGCTGACATGGACAAGAGAGGAGAGCAGGAAAATATGAGGTATAAGGTGTAGATAGTTTACATGTTACTCTAGACAGATATAAATGGACTCTAGCCTTCTTGACCTGTAAGGAGCGGGAGGAGCTCAATCAAACGCTTGAGAGATCACTCCCACATGTAGCCGTGGAGGAGTTTTTGTGAGGATAGAAGCAATCCATGCACGCAGCATTGGGGATGGGAAAGCCAATTCGGCGGAGCGGTCAGCGATCCCGAGGGAAGATTTCCTTCCTCCACGGCCATCCAGCCACGCTTTTGTCCAGCAACTCTTTCTTGACGAATGCATCCTCCTTTTTAGGATCTCCTTCGCGTCCTAGTTGACAACGACATATTACTGTGCTCGGCAGTCTATGCCATGCCATGGGTAACCGTGGTCTCGGTAGGGTGCAGCGAGTCTCTGTGCCTTGTCTGATCGGCATCTCTCCTCATGTTCAACAGGCATGTTGAGGCTCCGTTTCAAGTCCTCTGCAGGGGGCCAAAGTCATGGAATGCCACTGGAACCTCCGCTTCCTCGTCATGAAGGGCACAGGAGCTATACCTGACCCTCTTGACATCCACCCATCGCATCCAGTTCGACCAGTTGAGCAAGAATAGGTGCAGAGCTGTTCCAGTCCCCTGTCGCTGTTGATGTCCAGTCTCTCTCATGCAAGTCCAGATGCCAGAATCGCTCATCCTGAGTATGTGAGCCGTCCAGGATTCTTTCGATGCCCCAGAACCATATATGATTAGCCTATCTTGGCCTCCGGTCTCCGATTCGACAACACTGATTCCGTTCAACTGCTTCTTCTGCTTCGTGATATAATGGACGGAGAGGGTGCGCCCTGAGATCATACTTCATGCTTGCATGCGAACTCCAGCCGGCGCCGAGCCCTCTCACAGCCTTGTATGTTCAGCGTCGAAGTTCGAATCCTGCTGGCACCACGAAAAAATATTTTTGTCACAAAACAAAAACTCTAACTCGAAAGTCAACTACCTTTGTTTCGTCGGTTTGGAAGTTGAGATTTGAGTTGAGGTAAAACTCGCAGCCGTTGAAGAGGAATTTTCTCGCCCGGTGCTCTCCCAACGGTGCAACCCCGATGGGTGCAACATCTATGAACCGGCATCCCTAGTATGGGGTAGGAGACGTTGCCATAGATGCATCATGTCCTCAATTCAATCACTAGTTTGGGGGATACCTGCGCGAGGCAACAGGAGCTACCGAAATGATGACTACATATCAAACGAGAAAATGCTCATTGCTGATACACTTCGTCACAGCTGGTTCTATTGATAATCGTATCCATGATTCATATAAATCATACCAGTCTATAGACGACAATATGACGAAAACGCCGCCAGCCGAGGACGAGGTTGGATTCATTTTGATACGACAAATTCCTTCCGTTTAAAAAGTGTTAAAAAAACCCCCCCAAAATCTCAGACCCATTCCCCAAACTTGGAGGGGACCAGCTTCTAATTTTCATTATACAAGCAATTCAATTCTTGGCCTTGGTGGCATCCTCACCCTCACCTTCCAGCGTGATGATTTTCTTACTGAGAAGCAGGCGGAGCTCTGGAGTAATGACTTGAACTTCGGGCTCTTTGCCCTTCTGTGGCGACTTGGCCCGTTTTGGATCAGGTTGTGGCTGACAAGGTCTGTTGGAAGACGACCCTGTGGCTGTCGGCGCCGTCATCTGATCTTGCGAGTCCGTGCCAGCACTAGCTTCGCTGCCGGCTTTCCTCTGCCTCAACTCGGCCCCAGCATTGGGGGCTGGGAAGCTATTCCTCCGATCGACAGCCTCGACTGTCTTCTCGAACCGTCTAAATAGCCCTTCTGCCCGGAACAGGATCTCCTGCAGCTCAATCGTACCCGACAATTCGTTAATGTACTTGAGAATCTCGTCGAAATGTTTCAGGTGGTCCATGATCACGTCACGGTGTTTTTCGAGTATCGCCATCGCGATGAACAGGTGGAATTGCGAACTGTAGTAATCTGTCCACAGGGACTCCCAGAGTCGGAGCGTGTCGCTCCATTCAAACTCACGCTTGTACCAGACAAGCAGCATGCGGAAAAAGAAGAAGAAATTCGTCGAGTCGGCGGATTGTAAATGTAGGTAGAGTTTCGGGTCAAGGATTTGCACCAGTTGGTCCAATGTGTTGAGTTGGGCACGCATTCCAGATTGCGAGCGGACGAAGTTCCGCGACATGCGCCGCATGAAGGCGACGAAGGCCCAGAAGGCGACGGCGTCGTCTTGAAAAACCGCGTACAAGGGCGAGAGGAGGTCGGACATCCCTTGGACATAGCCGAGATTTTGGGGGTGAAGATTGCGGGTTTGATAGCGAGGCGTAGAAGAGGGAGGTGTGTCGTATTCTAGATAGGTGAGCAGCATGTCCTTAAGCTGTTCCATGTGGACGTTTGTTCCAGGTCCGTTCGGACTATAAAAGGGCGAGGCCGGGTCCGGGTTGGGGATGTCTTCGCCAGCAAACAAGGGGATATGTCGATCGGTGCGATGAACATCCTTCTCTACATGTCGAGTTGCGAGGTCAGTGGGATTTGGTGAGTTTGGGAATAGACGTGAGGAGGGCTCGAACACTTACCGATTCGAACTTTTTGCTCTTTCCACCATTCCTCTTGTTCTGGAGAAGCCTCTCCCTCTATCATCTTATCCCACCAGGCGCCCTTCAGCTGAATGTACTCGTCTCTCTTACTGTTCATGAAGGAATGACGTTCTTCTTCCGTGCTGTCCCACTCATAGACTCCGAGAAGAAACGGCCAGGCTTCTTTTCTCACGCCGTCTTCCGGATCTAGACCGCCATGGAAAATCCGTTCCTTGACCTCATCCACTGTAACCTGAAGCTTACCTATTGAGTCAAAATAGGACTTCCACTCCTTCATGTCGACTGGTCTTCGCTTGCTATCACTCATGGTCATCCGACCAGCTTCCATGTCAAGGATTTCAAAGTCACCGACACTGGTTTCCTCGGATTCTAGGACATCTTTGGCGGTCCAGATTCTTTGTCTCCTTTCGCGTTCTCCCTGCTCTGCGATGCTCATCGCCCACCGAGCGAGGTACAATTTGGCACTGTCGAACTCATCCTGGAGGGTTTGTACTTCTGGATTTTGTATCAGTCGTCGGACTTGAGGAGGAATACTCTTGTTGTTAGCAAGATCTTCGGCGGTACGCCGAGTAAACGTGGTGACCTTGGACAACTGTTCTAAAATCCTCCATCTGGTCTCTTTCAGCGCCTTCGTAAGTGGATCCATCCCGGGTCCAGGTGGTTTCTTTTGGCCTGGCTTTTTGGCATCTGAAGCTATGCTCTTGCGTCTCTCTCGGCCTTCCATTGATTTCCGGCCTTGCCCGAAGCCAAGGCGATCCTCTTCGGAAGGATTTATGAGATAAATGGATGGTTCGGCTGTACTCCGTTCCACCGTGACATATCTCTTCAGCCACCGAAGAACCTCGTCTCCGCCCCAGAACAAATCACCAGTTTCATCAAACGGATCAAAGGATTCTCGGGCCCTCTTCTTCTTTTGTAAGATGGTACTCTCGCATTCGGAATCGTGGAAGAACAAGGCAGGTAAACTGGCACCGGTCCGAGTATTGACGACGATGCTGCCATACCACCAGCCTAAACTTGGTGGTCTCACGTGAATAGAATAGATGCTGGAGAGAGGAAAGGAGAAGGCGTATGGTCCGACGGTCGATTCATCAAATGTGGTGGCGAGGGGTAGAGGGGGAACCAGATAGGTTTGCTTGGGAGGAGACTCGCTGTCCTTCATGTCCACCTTGACGTAGGTGCTCAGGTCATCCTGGGTAAGAGACGACTCTGGCACCCAGGCAAGGAGATAAGAAGACGCATTTGCCTTCGTGTTGGTCGAGTCAGAGGACGTGGGCCGTTCATCGGACGAGAGAGGAGAGGGTTTCTGTTGGACAAGGGCAATGAAGCCAGGGATATTGTCTTTGGCTGAGGGTGTAGGATGAACGTAAACCTTGCTCTTGGAGAAGAGCAGTTTGACTCCTTTGGTGGTGGATGCATGTGTTATGGTATTGTATCCTCCTTCTTCATCGTCAGAGAGGTCGTAGAACGAGGCCGAAGGAGAGGGAGGGTCTGGTTTGGAGGAAGGTCCCGAACTCATTGTGGTTTTATGGTCTACAATGAGTTGAAGCCGGTCAGCATGCTCGTTGACTAGAGAAGCAAGAAGGGGGCCCGTGCTATAGCTGCAGGCTCAATAAATAAATGTCACTTGAAGAGACAGATAACGGGCGTAGGAAGCCGAAAGTTGTTGAATTCCTGATGCCTGGTGAGAATGAGGGGGGTGACGTCGTCCAGCTGCGCAATTTAGACTTCGTATTGAGGGGCGGCGCCGCCGCAGCCTCAGCCTCGCATGTACAAAGTAACTTCGTGGTAAATTCAATTTTTGCTATACAAATTACTGAACACCTTTTCAGCCCTTTGAGGAGCGTACTTTTCCCGTTGCCAACCCTTTTGTCCGTATCTTTACCCCCGACACCATGCTATCCGCCTTTTCTCATCGAAACCGTGTTGTTCCCATCATCCGCCCCCTGTTGAGGCCCACGCACCCTTAAAGAGTCCACGAACTGAAATCCAGTTGCGAAGCCAGAGTGCCATCCTTTTGAAGTCTGCCAAGTTCTTCCCGAGGGACTGGTGTCTTTCTACCACCCGACGTGCTCGACCCAGAGCTGCTGCTCGAGCCAAAGGGTGCCGCCGGTGCATGTTTGTCGCCTGATTTGCTCATCACGCGATCCTTCAATCGCTTGATCTGTTGTAGTCTTGCTCGCCATGCACTCGGAAACTCGGAATCACTGTCTTTGGTGTTCCACGTTTGACAAAACATATTGGCGTTCAATGCCAAAACTCGAACGAATGGGCCTAGCTGAGCTGCCGAAATGATTTTCGTATCTGCTGCCGGTGATATGTTGGGCAAATCATCTCGCGTGACCACCTGAACCGAGTAAAACCCGGGCATGAAATTTGCATCTGGAGTCTCTCTCTCGCGGCAAGCTGGCCTGATAATAATGTTGACATAATTCAATTGAGACTTGAAACTGTCGAAACTCCACGGCTGTCCTGATCGGTTGAAAATAATATTGACGTGGCAGTTGCCGACGTGGGATTTTTTGGTGATGCATTGAGGGTCATCTTCCAGATCAGTTGGCATCATGGTTGGGACATGATAAACGATCTCCTCGACTCGATCTCGCCACGCTATTGTGCGCTGGCCATCTCGAGGATACTCTAATCCTTGAGGATTGAAACGAAGGGGCGGTTCCAGAGAAACGATATAACCAAGACTCCTGAGCAGCCGCTCAAAGTCGGGAGAGCCACTCGTATTGGCAAGGTATTCAGACTCGGCAGTCTGACCTTTACCGATGTAGAGTACGCCTATCTTGTGGCTGGTGACGGTGGGAATTCGATCGAATATCTCCAGCGCACGAGTGACAAAGTCTTCCTCCGGTAGACGGATTGGCTGATCGGCCACACTCGTTGCGGCAGCGCTGGCCATCATTTGGAGGAGAATGTGTGGTGGTAAAATTTCCGTTGTCGCTTCATGATGGCGAATCTCCGTGTGACTTGGCGCGTGGTGGGAGGGCAATCGAGTCGTCGTCTGCTGGTATCTGGCATAAGTGGTACCCGAAGCCTGACGCTTGATGATTTGAGTTTTTCCGGTATGACCGGCCGTCTGAGCAGTCACAACACTGAGGCCTACCATCCACGAGGCAGAGGAGACTGGGCCATCTTCCGGACTGGCAAAGTTCGGATCTGGTGATGGCTCTCCAAGATCAGAAAAGGCCGTCCTTTGCATCATGTCGATCATAACCTGACTCTGTTCATCGATTGTCTCTTCTCCACGCCCATTTTTCCAGACAAGTCTTGGAACAATCCAGGGCACATATTTGGACCTGATTTCCAGTCGAAGGGATAAGAACCAGAAAATCATATTGTGATACGCCAGGGCAGCGGCATACTGAGGTAGTCCAATATCCGTCAACATGGATGCTCGGTAAGGCGGTCGGCGGAAGTTCATCCCGCTGTGTCTGGAGGATGGGTTCATTCTGCCCGGAGGGGACGCGACGGAGTGCTGTTCCCGAGTTTTCTCAAGAAATTGAATGCAGATGCCGAATATCATTTTGATTTCGTCCGGATTGAACTTTGAGTGCATTTCGGGTAACAAGGCAACCTCAATCAAAAACTCCAGTATGTGTGTGGTCAGATGTGCCTGAGTCATATTCTTGGACATCTTGTCGACGATGGTCGGGTAGAGTGTCGCCACCGACGATGGTATCTCCAGACTGCAGATCGATAATGCGTGGATACAGCCACGAGGCGTCCCTTCCCAGGCTCCGCCGATTCCTGACAGAAATGTCCGAACGAGGTCATCCCCAAACCCTTTTTGGATGGCCTCGGATTTCCTGGTGGCATATGGGATTAGAGGGACCAGGATGTTGAACAGGCATAGGGCGACATCCGACTTTTTGAGCCCGGTTGAAGAGGGAGCTTCTCGAAATGAATTTGTGACGATTTGATCGCAAAGGACTTGCCGAAACTTGACGACAGCTTGCATCGAGTTGACAAACAGAGTGATGTTACTCAACTGTGCAGCAACATGTACAACAGTGTAGCTGTAGGTCTCCCAATCTGCATCATTTTGTAGGCACATTATGATACTCATGAGCCATGTGTTCATGTCAAGTTCGGCGTGGACTTGGGGACTCATGGAGAGGTCAACGTTGAGTATTCCAGACTGGCGGCCGGCGAACGGAAAAGTCACGTTTTCAGTATGTGGATACATCCAAAGTGGATCACCGCCGTCAGATTTCGTCGATAAACTGGTGCTGCTTGCTGAGTGTCGTTGTGAGGTGGGCATTTCATAATTGAAAAGGTCGGCAGACTCCTGGGTTCGTAGGAGCGCACTTGCTATGTGTTGGCTTTCGCTGGCCTCATTGACATAAATGAAACCTGCATCATCTGCTCGCATGCGAAAAAGGAGACGTTTGGCGACAAGTCGGGCCGGCCGAGACTTGCATCGTGGACTAGCAGCTTCGAGTAATACTTGAAATGCTCTGACGGCAGCCTTTGCGTCGGTGTGAATACTGTAACAGAAAATGGTCACCAGGACCTTGGTCGCTAAGTTGGCAAGCTCCTCATTGAAGGGGCCTCCGGCCGGGCCTGTAATAATTAGATCGTTGAGCCTCTCGACGCTGCGCATCGTCAACTCCTGCTCTTTTGCTGCCTCTTGATAGTTGGAGGCCATGTATTCTAAAGATTTTAGAAGCGTCTCGAACATTTGGGAGTCGCGCTCCACATCGAATTGATCCAACAGCTTGTTGAGAATCCATACGTAGGCTCCATCCGTATGCTCAGATGATGTTCCTTCTGAGGGATTTCCCGATTTCACAAGGACCTCGATACCTTTGAGTCGACACGGCGAGGGCAAGGACTGATTTTGTACGATCTGCCGGTAGACGTCATCGGAATACTTCCTTCTAGTGTCATGCTCTTCTGATGTCAAATACTTGTCCTTTACGTACTCCAGGGTCTGTGTTAGTTGTGATGGAGTGGCATATTGAGGGTACACGAGGAAAAGCTCGGAGATAGCATTGCGAGTCTCGGGAGAGAGGTTTTCCCAGACCCAGTCAAAATCACGAGCAAGTCTTTTAGCCATGGCCTCTCGATCTCGGAAGTGTCTTTCAAACTGTCGATCCCTTTCATCGTCCTGGGTTGATGAAGTTGTCTTCCCTCCATGAGGTCCCCCAGGGTTCATTTTCAAACAGAGGTGAATGATGTCCAAGAATTTGCTGAAATCAATCCCGGGGATGTCTGGCTTTCGCTGTTCGCTCGAGAGGATAGTGTGGAGGGAGCTGATGATGTCATTGCAGAAGCGAAAAATGCCTTGATTGGCTGTGAAATGAAGGCTGTCGATGAATTTCTCCAGATTGAGGACGAAGCCGCCTTCCTTATATCGTTCATCGGTAAGATTTCGGAGGAGCCGTGTTGCGCCTCTGGCATGCGATAAATTCTTGCTGTTGTTCTCTAGCGTAGGGGTGCGAATGAAAGAGTATAGGATCCTCATGAACTCTTCATTCAGACACCCAGACGCCAATATCCGTGAACAGTCGAATAAATGATCTGGTGGGTCTGGTAGATTGGCGGCAGAAGCACATAACACCACCAATGTTTGTTCAAGGCCATTTTTGGGGTATTCGAAATGAGACAATATCGTGTAGAGGATGCTGATGCCGCCATTGATGTCGCTTTGCCTGCTGGCGTTCAGACAGAGTGTTGTGATGCAATCCACGGTCCGCGACAATTCGGACGAATCAAAGCCGGTGTGACCGAAGTCCAGATACTGACGAATATACTGAAGAAGCCATTCCAAGTTCTTTTGGTCCTTGAGCGATGCTGATTTTGAAGTTTTGGTCTCCTTTCTTGATTTGTCCGCTCTACTTGACCACACGGAAACCCACTGTATCAAGAGCGACAGAAGTGAGATGGTAGATCCGTGATTTTCTGCGCGCAAGTCGGTCAATCTGAGAGAAACGTCTGTTCCCGGTTCGAGGTCCCCAAAGCCAATGAGCCAGGAACGTGCTTCCTCGGGCGAATCACTCATAGAAAGGCCTTCTTTAATCACCTCCTTCAAGTTGAGAACCGTTTCATCGCGAACAGATTTTTCATGACTTCGCTCTATCTGAGCAGTGTTGTCTGGACTGTGGGTAGTCTGCGTAAACACGGGCCGATGCCACAGAGACAGTCTTCTTGCCTCCGGTTCAGTATTGGCGCTTGCCGATCCTGGTTGAGACGATTCATTTTCATTCGACATACGACACGGTGTCGTTTCTGGATACAATAGCGTCAGTAGCCGTAACAATGCGCAGGATCAACATTGCAATTCCATAGCAGTGTTGGACACTTAGTATTCAGGACTCGTAGAAGACGCAACCCAGACAAAGAGGAAGCCAATAAAAATGTAAGATCTGATGATGAATATCAGATGCAATAGGGAATACGTGACAAAATTGTGCGTCGAAGGAAAAAAAAAAAAAAAAACGCATGTTCCGGAGAGAATGTTCGTCGGAGCCTTGGTCCCGTATAAGGCTCAAGGCAGACATGCTGCAGTACGAACCTGGTACAAGGAGCGGAGTGTATCTTACCCTGACAGATGTCGCACCAAGAAAGTTTTCAACGAAGTATGAGCGTCAAAATGATGTACATTGGATGGCTGAATTTAGAATTTTCGATTCTCTCGCGGGAATGTACAAGGGGGGGGGCGAGTCTTTGTGAGATTATGGCTGTCACACTCGAGGATATATTCGCCCGCAAATCCTTTCTCTTCACGCAACCTTCCACTGCTTGGACCGGCGGTGGGCCGTGGGTGATGAACAGGTGATTATTGAAGGTAATCGAAGGAAAGAATGTAAATAGCGCATTCAAGAGGGAAAAAGAAATGCGAAAAAAATGGACCTTTGGTTGGACTTATCTCTGATCATGGGCAGGCTAAAGATGAGGTCCAGTCAGAGGAGGGGTCGGGGAAATGGTCACTTGGTCTGGATCTGGATCCGCCACACTGAGACTGACGAGACTCGTGCCAGCGCTGGCGTGCTCGCCCTCGTGGCCATCGTCCTCCGCGCCTAAGCGAAGAATATCGTCTCGATGGAGGAGAGAATCGCCGTAGAGAAGAAGAAGCCAACCCAAGGCGGTGAGAAACAATTCTGCCGCTTCCATGACCACCAAAACTGGCAACGCAAGGCACTGGGCTCACATAAACAAATTCTTCATCACTTCTCTGCGACCTTGTTTGTCCTGCAAAAACCTTGATTGATTGTCAAGCAATTTTGCACCGCAGGCAATCATCCCCCGTCTTGTTTTTCACTGAGTCTTCTCCTACCAACTGCAGCTACCAGAAAACTCCCTGCAATATAATCGCAAATATGCGCTAGAGATCCACGATACGAGTCCAACGACATAGACATAAGGAGAGCTGTCACAATGGCGGCTTTAGCGCCTCTTGCTCAGATCCTTGACGCGAGCCTTGATCCCAGGCAGAACAAGGAAGGTGAGTAACAAGAATGTCTGCTGTTCCCCCCTCCGGTCTAACATACCTCAGCCGAGCTCAAGATTCATGCGGAAGAGAAGAAACCTGGATTTGCCCTGTCCCTCCTCCAGATCGCCGCCTCGAGCGAATTCCAGTACAATACCAGGCTCGCCAGCGCCCTCGCCTTCAAGAACTTCATTAAACGCAATTGGACTGATGTGGAGGGCAACTACAGGCTTCCCCAGCAAGATGTGACTGCCATCAAGTCCGAGATTGTGGGGCTGATGATCTCTGTCCCTCGTGGTATCCAGACACAACTAGGTGAAGCGATCAGTGTGATAGCGGACAGTGACTTCTGGGAGCGATGGGACACGCTGGTGGTTGACCTCATCACCCGCCTGAAACCAGATGACCCAGTGGTCAATATTGGCGTACTGCAAGTTGCCCATTCCATCTTTGCCAGATGGCGACCGTTGATTCGATCTGATGACCTCTTCACCGAGATCAATCATGTCCTTACCAGATTTGCTGAACCGTTTCTCTCTTTGTGGCAAAGCCTTGATGTCTACATTGACTCTCATAGCAATGATAAGGCTGCCCTTCAGAATGCTTTTGCCGAGCTCGACCTGATTCTTCAGCTCTTCTATGATCTGTCCTGTCAGGACTTGTCCCCTGTCTTTGAAGACAATCTGCAGGGTATCTCGGGCCTTCTCCTGAAGTATCTGATGTACACTAACACTCTCCTGCACACCGACGATGAATCAGACGCTGGGCCCTTAGAGAATACCAAAGCCAATATCTTCGAAGCCTTGACCTTGTATATTGGCAAATACTATGACGATTTTGCCAAACATGTGAAAGATTTCGTGGAGAGTTCGTGGAATCTTTTGATCACGACGGGGCCAGAACCCAAGAATGATATTCTCGTTAGCAAAGCGCTACACTTTTTGACCTCCGTTGGAGGAATCAATGAACAAGCACAAGCATTCAATAACCCTCCTATTCAAAACCAGATTATCGAGAAGGTCATTCTCCCAAACGTGGCATTACGTGACTCGGATGTTGAGATGTTTGAGGATGAGCCTATTGAGTTCATTCGCAGAGATCTGGAAGGATCGGATAGCGAAACTCGTCGAAGAGCAGCTGGAGATTTCCTGCGACAGTTGAGCGACCAATTCGAACAGTCGGTGACGGGAATTGCCATGACATATGTTCAACGATGCTTGCAAGATTTCTCCAGCAATCCTTCGGAGAATTGGAGATCCAAAGACACCGCAGTGAGTTTGTTTCATGCTACAGCAGCCAAAGGAGCGACCACGTCGACCCATGGAGTGACCAAGACCAACAATCTGGTTGACATCGGAGATTTCTTCTCCAAGAATCTGGCAAGCGATCTGCAAGATGAAAATGCCCAACCTTTGATCAAGGTTGATGCCATCAAATATCTCTATGTTTTCCGCAGTATCATCACCAAAGATCAATGGCGACAGGTTATGCCGCTACTTGTGAATCATCTCGGAAACTCCAATTACTGTGTCTACACATACGCCGCTATTGCAGTGGAACGAGTGTTGGCCATGACCGATGAAGTCGGTCGACCGGTCATTGACCCGTCCAATATCACACCACTTGCGGGCAGTCTCCTTGAACATTTGTTTGGCTTGGTGGAGAAAGACCAAGCTCCGGAAAAGGTTCAGGAAAACGAGTTCGTGATGCGTTGCATCATGAGGGTTTTGATTGTTCTCCGAGAAGCTATCTCTGCTGTGGCAGAGTCGGTCCTACAACACCTGACTACCATCACAAACATCATATCAGCCAATCCGAGCAATCCAAGATTCTATTACTACCATTTCGAAAGTCTGGGTGCCCTCATCCGATTCACTTCAGCAGCACAATCAGAAGCATTGGCAACGCACCTTTTCACACCATTCGCTGCAATCCTCGCCAACAATGTTGAAGAATTCATCCCGTACGTTTTGCAATTAATGGCAGCCTTGTTGGAAGCCGACCCCAGCAAGCCTTTGCCAACACAGTACCAACCACTCATCGCACCGATCCTGGGCCCTACCCTGTGGGAACAGCGCGGAAACATCCCTGCTTTGGTCCGTTTCCTGTCTGCTATCATCCCCAAAGCTGCCGAAGCATTGGTCAGTGGCAACAAAATCGAAAATGTTCTGGGAATATTTCAGAAACTAGTGTCGACCAAGGTGTACGAAAGTTATGGCTTCGATCTGCTGGAAACGGTCATTTCCACATTCCCACCAGCGACGTTGGAACAGTACTGGATCCACATCCTAAACATCACGCTTACCCGGTTGCAGAGCAAACAGTCGCAAGCTTTCCAGACCCGATTTGTCAGATTCTATCACTTCGTCTCCTCTCGAGATGACAAAGGCCTTGGAGCCGATTTCTTCGTTGCTGCTACTGATTGTGTTCAGCATGATGTTTTCCGTGGCCTCTACCTAACCATCATTCTACCAAAGACACAGGAATTGGTTCGTCCACCCGACCGGAAAATTGCGGTTATTTCGTTGACCAAAACACTGGCTGACTCCCGGGCTTTTGTTGAGCGATATCCGAAAGGTTGGCCATTGACGTGCAACACACTGCTGAAACTGCTTGAGGATCCCCCTCTGCCGCCTAAGAAGGACGATCTGATAGCTGAACTTGACGTTGAAGATAGTAGCTTCGGGGTTGGGTTCACGCAATTGAATACTGTTCGACAACCGATTCATGATCCATTTGCTGATGTGACTGATCTGAGGAAGTGGGTGGGCCAATATCTCAAGACAGCTGATCAAAGACATGGAGGCAGAATAGGGAAAGTGGTCAATGAGAGCTTGAGTCCGGATGCAAAGAAGATTTTGAGCGCGTACATGACGTTGTGAAGTTAGATGAACAAAGCGGCCGGAGAAGCATGCACTGAAAATCGAAAAGACTCAAAGCGATGTGAATGGAAAACATCCGATGGTGGAAGAATACAACATCATCCTGATCCAAACTCGTAACCAGCTAAGCTGCCCCTGTCAAGTCATCTCCAAAAATGATCCCCAGTTTCAAAAGTCCCATTGAGCTTTTTTTTTTCCCCTGGCTTCACGAGCCTCAAGGCTTCATCTCTCTTCAGCCCCTCGTAGACGCTTGTGGTCAAACCTCAGGCTGTCGACCTTTTCCTTTCCCTTTTCTGTCTCTGTTTTGTCATGTATCTACCTACCTTCTCCCTCCGGCCACCGTAGCAGTATCCCTTCGAATTATATTCTCGGTGTCGATGCCTTCTTAACCAGGGCCGTCATGGCATTACTATTACTATTCCTTGTATGCCAACGTCAATCAGGGCGCTTTTGGCTCCAGGTTCAGCGACGACCGTTCACTCAGATTTCGCGTGCCTTGAAAAATCCTAATCCTAACCACCTCCCTCCACGCCCTACGCTCCCAGATTCCGAACTCCAACACAACTACGTTAAAGGCTCTGGCCCCGGTGGGCAAAAAATAAACAAAACAAATTCTGCCGTGCAACTCACGCACATTCCCACAGGCATCGTCGTCAAGTGTCAGGCAACGCGGAGTCGGAGCCAGAATCATACGATTGCCAAACGGATTTTGGCGGAGAAAGTTGAATTCCTATTGAAAGGAGACGAAAGTCGTGTGAGTAAGGTGGCGGAGAGGAAGAGGAAGAAAAAGAAGAACGCAGGGAAAAAGAGGAGGAGGAAGTATAGGCGATTAGCAGCCGAGAAGGAGGGGGCGGTGATTGAAGAAGAGGACGGGGAGGAATGGGAGGAAGATGAAGATGACGAAGGCGAAGAGGAGGAAGAACAGAGATCGGTGACGGGGAAGGATACTAGTGATGAGAAAATACCGAAAGGCTGAAAGGCTGAAAAAAAGGACCAAGTGAAAAAGGACATTATATTTACTGTGGTTCTCACGGTCAATCGGGGAGATGCCTTTAAGAAGACATTCCTGGTATATCATCTTTTGTCTCGAACGACATCCAAGCAAAACGAGACAAGATACAACAGAAAACAGCGCTCTGCTCAAGATTATTGCGTCTGCAAAACGCAGCAGAAAGCCCGAAAACGGCTACCCTGAGCGGACTTCTTACCGTCAATGCGTGCTGATGGATAAGAGAAGGCAGGGAAGCTCACCCCGGCATCATCTGCTTGGATGTTACTAGTACTAGTATGAGCGGCAACCTGCTTGCAAAGGTCTCGGTATCTGGGACTAGAACTTGATTTTGAACAAAAGCAAAATATAGGAATCCAGCGAGACAATATGGACTTTCCTCATAGGCCTGCCTACTGTAAGAGGCCGGAGAAGAAGTCCAATGGAAGGAAAGAAAAGGCATGGAACAGAAGAAAACGAATATCGACGTCAGTGGTCGAGGACTGCTTCGGCTCCGCAACGACGCTGGGATGTTTCAGTTCAAGTTGGGCGCGGAGAGTCCCAGTCTCAAACAGTTTCCGATCTTCGCTAGAACAATGATGAGATGCAACGATGCAGAATAAACATCCATCGTGGTCCAAACGGATCGATTATCCACGTCCGGATCCCAGTTCCATTCATCCTATTCACAAGACCGTCTTCTCCGTTAAGAAAATGCCATATATCTCCTTCAACTCCGTCAAAAGCGGCTCGGCCAACCCCGGCACCGATATACCATGACAAGTCGGATTCCTTACTGCTGGTAGCTCTAATGATTTTTGGGTGTTGCTTCGGCCCACTTCAAAGGTTTGTCGGAAGGCTTCAAGTATGGCTGTTCCTCTTCGAATGGGATGTCAATGTCAACTAGGAACTTGACGAATTCGGGAAAACCTTGGTATCGTAGCGCGCCTCGGGATGACGGTCTGTGCTTCCGGGATGTTATATCGTACTTGGTATGGGGTTGAGTCTCGATTTTGGTATGTGACAAAGGCGAATCTAGGATAGATGAAGTAAGGCTTCACACTGGACATGAGTTCAGGGTCAGCAATCTCCTTGATAGAGCCATCTTGGTAGGATTTCGCGGCGGTGCGAAAGGCGAGGAGCACATCTCGACTAGACCTTGAGCACTTGTAGCCGAGTGGATTGTCGCTGGTTTCGGGGGGAGGGAGATGACCACTATATGAGAGGAAGGATTTGATCTTGCCACCTGCATTGGAGACTTCCTCAATTATCTTGACAATGCAGGGATGATCAATGCTTGATCCTAACCAATCTCATTCATGACCATGATGCCAGCCCTTTTGACTTGATCTTCCAGCTCCGTCATAGCCCGGGATACGTAGCTGGTTCCTACGACATTCTTCTTCTTCCGGATTGCCGACTTGATGACTGTGGCATGAAAGGTATGTGGGATTAGACTGATTGCCGAATCGACTTTGGCCATTTCTGCGTTGCGGGACACGTCATTGGTCAAGTCAGAAGAGATGGGTCGAAATTTTTATTTTTTGGTTGCCTTCACATAATTTCTTTGTGCTTTTGACTGTGCGGCAGGCTAAAATATGTCAGCACACAAAGTTGCATCGGACAACGATTGAATAACTGACCGACAATGACTTCGACACCAGCATCCACGAGGATTTAGGCAGTGAGTTTGGTGAAGAAGCCTGCCCCCAGAAGTAGTGCTTTCTGAGAGTAGCTGAGCTTGGAACTGAATTGTGGTAATGAAAGATGTCATTTTGCGATTTTCAAGTGTGTATATTCTCAATCGGATTGTATTTTGTGTTTTAGTGAAGAGTCAAGCGACATCAAATATATACGCGGTGTCGTTCCGTTGGGCGCGAAATATTGTTGCGGAATTGAACGAGACTCGAAGCCTCGGGCCTTGTTTGTGCCTTTTGCATAACCCTCACTGCCAAGGCTTGCACACATAGTCACGTGAGATATACCTTTGATTAGTCATTTCCTCAGTTGCTTCTTTTCTCACTTTGCGTCGATAGATACTATGAACAACACTGTCAGGTCCAAATTATTCTCCTCTAAAGTGTGGATGGCATTTTCCATACCCTCCCAATCAAGGGACCTCACCCATCATTTTCTCTCATCGTACCATTCACCGAAATGGGCGTGCGTTTACTCGTCCGCCTGCAATCCTATATAGAACCCTTATGGCTTCTCAGCATCTCCATCGCTTATCTTCCTATCACAGTCTTATTCCACCCGTTTCTATTCATCATCTCTCCTTCCTCCTTCCGGTCAAAGTGGTTCGAGAACTTCTGGCGGGTAATTGGGCCCAAGATGGCCGCTTCAGAAGTCCAAGTCGACCACATCGAGGAACTCCTATCACGAGCACGTGGAACAGTCCTTGAGCTCGGTCCCGGAGGCGGCGATCAAATGTACCATTACAAGTCGGCGCAGATCGAAAAGTTGTACGGCGCCGAGCCAAATGCATTTCTGCATCCCAGATTAGTTGAAGCAGCACAGAAACACGGGCTAGGAGGGAACCTCGAACTTCTAGAAGCGGGCGCGCAACCAGGAAGTCTTCTCCCGGCATTGCAGGTAGCAGGTCTCATTCCCAGCACGGCATCAAGTTTACCGGAAGGAGGCATTTTCGACAGCATCATCGCCATCAAGTCTTTGTGCTCGACACCGCAAAACCAAATCGCTGCAACAGTTGCTGTTGTGCAGGCTTTGCTCAAACCAGGAGGCGAGTTCTTGTTCTTCGAACATGTGGAGAACAACACGGATAGCATGACTATGATGTATGCTTGGGTTGTAGACTGGATCTGGCCGCTTTTCATGGGAGGATGTCGATTGAATGGGAGGGTTGATAAAGTGGTCCTTGGCATGGGTGGTTGGGATGAGAGGAGTATTGCTACTATTGGAGATTTCAAGGGTCATGAGGTGAGTCGATATCGTTTCTCGCTCGGTCGTGCCTCTTCGTCTCTGAAAAAGGGCTTTGGGCTAACATTGTGGGTCACCAAGGTGTTCAGATACGTCAAGGGCATTTGCCGGAAGGCCTGAGCTATTTTCAAGGGGCATATATGGCCTTATTACACCTCTCCAAAAGCAGAACTTGTTTCCACGAGTCATAACTAGAGACGAAAACCTGTCGCGGGCGAAATGGTCGAGCCGTGCACGGGAAGCGAGAGGCCGAATTTCAAAGCCAATAAAGGAAATATCCTCTTAGAGCTGGATGTGCCAGACCTGTACATCAATCCACAAATTGTAATATCATTTTCAGCACAATTGCTAGCATATTTTTCATACCCTCCGGGCGAAGGCCCAGCTCGATTCCGTCCTTTTCAATGCCCGCAAAGTCATCAACATAGCCAAGCCCAGATTCGTCACATTGTCGACGGTCAAGCAAGTAAGACTTCTTTCTGCGGCAACTCCGTCTCATACTCAATCTCCACCCGGCCTTGTTTCTTGCGAGGCTTCGTCGGTGGTTTTGCTGCACGCTTTCTCTTCTTTCCTGGAGCGGCATCTTCTTCATCGTCCTCTGTGCTCTTCTCGCTCCCATCAGAGCCATCGTCGCTCTCATCCTCTTCAGACTCTTCACCTTCATCGTCTTCACCATCTTCTTCATCTGCGCTCTCCCCACCAAACCAACCGTCCAAATCCTCCAATTCTCCCACATCTTCTCCTTCACTCTCCTCCATATCACTCACATACTCCACTTCCGCTTCAGCCTCTTGGTCTTCTTCCTCCTCTTGCTCCTCCAGATCCTCCCCCTTCTCCTCCCGTTCCAATCCCCTAAGCACCTTCTTCCACACACCCTCCTCCACATTCACGGGTCTATCCCCATATGCGCCGCTCCTCAGCCGCTCAATCAACTCCCTCTCAATCGCCCTCTCCACCTTCGCCGCACTCTCCGCCTTTCTCTCTCGCGTCTCCTCCCTCCTCCTCACTTTCGCCGCCAGTTTGGGCACCAATTTTTCCCCCAGTCTTTCTTCCTCCTTCGCAATCCTCCGCTGGCGAATCGCCACCTGCGTCAACCGCGTAAGTCTTTGCTTACTCTTATGTACGTAGAATTTCGGCCAATAGACCAGTTTCTCATCGATCGCCGCCAGGGCTTTTTCGTAATTATTCGGCAGCCGTATTTTTTCCCACCATTTACTTGGTAGATGGGCACGTTCGGGGGTTTTGATGAAGAGGCACAATGCCCCGGTCTCGGGATCAGGGCGGACGGTCGCATAGCGGGAATTAGCGAGCGGGCAGGATTGACGGGTGCAAAAGCCAGTGAGGTTGTATTCGTTGCGGCAGAAGGTTTGGTCTTTGGTGCTAAGTCTGTGTGAAGCGGTTTCATTAGAAATGGATTGAAAAGTTCCAACCTTGGTGAGTACAGATTGGAAACTTGAAGGTTTGGTTGTCGTCGTGTGAAAGGCAGAGAGAGATACACGTACTTGAGTTTGAACGAGCAAAATTGCTGGTTGATTACCTGCCAGACGATTTCGTCGGAGGACATTTTGAGAGGGGTAATGTAATACCTACGGTAGGTAGGTAGAGAGGTAGAGAGGTGGTTTATACCCAATGGAGGTAGTTGTATGAGCTGTGGTGCCGGACTTGAAGACGAAAATGTTTCGTTGCCCTCGAAAAAAAGGAAACCAAATCCGCCAAGACCTTTTCTTATCGCTTATCGTGGTTTGGCGTGTTTGTCACAGCCTCGTCCATGGACCCTCCGTTGAAAAGGCTACTTTTGTTGATGCGTTTTTGACTATCGATGAGTGATAAAGAGGTTTGGGCAAGCAATTGCGTGGGGTAATATAATTTGTCTGTATTTATTTACTTGGAACGATTCGGATTGTTTTGACAGCGAGTAATCACAGCATATAACCTGACTTCAATCCCCACATCCGGACACGTACACTGCTGCATACTCTCCCCATTCCCACTAATATTCCCTCATAGTTGACTGTAGTCAGGGAAGAAGGATTCCCTTCCTGGGCCGCATCTACCACACATACCAATTGCGTGCTTGTCTTCATGTCAGACCGAGCCACGTTGGCACATGTCCATGTCTGAGATGGCCTCTGGTTCCGAGATGCTTTCTAGTTTTCACCTGTAGCAGGTATTTGAGGGACGTCGACCCAGGCCGTTGCAGACATTTCGTGCGCCTACGAGCATCCTTCCTCATTCAGGTGCGAGAAGGATTGTATCGTTTCCATCTCTTGAAGCTCAAGGCGACCATAGTTCGACTCCCGTCGGAAAATTTGTTCGTCTTCTCAGACTGTCTTGATTGTCATTTTCAGCCGACCTTCAGCTACCTCGCGCAGCGGACTCCAAAGGTCTCTCAATCTCCCACTCTATCAGTTCACCCTGTCCCTTCAAGAAAGGCGAAAGTGCGTCCCAGAGCTCCCTGAGAACATCCCCTCCGATATCCATCAAATTCTCCCAGAGCTCAACATCTGCTCGCTGAATCCAAGCCAGGAAGGCTACAATGATGAAGTCCGCGTAGACTGACGCAGTTCCCTTCGCAAATGGGCCTTGCAACATATGTGATTTCTCGTTCCCCTTGATCGCCTCCACCATCTCACCAATGCCTACGTCGATGTTTCCCCATACTTCAAGCGCCTCATTTGGGGTCTTAGGTCTCAATTCGTCTAAGTTCTGCACACCGAACCACCTCCGCCTTGTGTCGATAAAGTACCTTTGTCCCCGGTCGTCAAGGATTAATGGAATGGAGGGGATCACAAGCCGCCGCACAGATGGGACAAGTTTTTTGACCACTTCCTGGACGTTGTGTGCTGTCTTGATGCTATGATCCGAGTGAAATAGTGCAGGATACTGCGGTGGTGGGAAAAGCATGTCGAGTGTCTTTGCTATGTCGAAGGTCTGTGATATGGCCGTCACGGCGCCAAAATGGGGGACTGTAATGGTCCTATGTTTCATGTCGTAGGGGAATCGAGCCTCGGTCGACGTCCCAGTCTGGGTTGGCCCGTTAGCATTTGACTTCTCAGGAGCTTTCACCAGGATGACAGGCAATGTGTAGGCTGGAACAACAGTGCTCTTTTCCTGGGGGGGATTCAAGCCCAGCGATTTCCATAATGGTTCAATATCTGGATACGAGATAAAGGACTCGGTGTAGGGAATGGCCTTGTAATTCAGCGACAACCGTGTGCGGAGCGTGTTAGGAGAGAAGGACTGCTTTGGTCCGGGGAGGGCCGATTTGATGTCGAAGAAATGGATACGAGTTGATGTTGGAATCGGGGGCATGGCTTGCGCCCTGGCATGGAGCCGTAGGAGCGTTCAGTTTCAGGGACAAGTGCCTGGTGTCAGACAGCTCTAAGAGGTTAGACGTCCCAATGGCTCGAGAGTTCTAGACTTCTCAGATGGCCGACTTCACATTCTCGATGTAATAGCGCTCCAAAATTGTCCGAATGTCAATTTCGTTTAGCAATATGGCGCGTCCGGGTCCAAGGTCGGAGATGTCGAAAAAAGCAATAACCTGGTGTAAGAAAGCTGAAGTAAACAAGTTAAGATGAGCCCAAAACGGAAAGGCCAGCCGGGTACAAGACTATGATAATGCATGTACTTGATTAAACCACTCTAACTTCAACTTTGCTGGAGGTTGTAAAGACTGTCTCAACCTGCCATTTCTTTCCTGAATCTTGACAATCTCTGCTTCTTCAAAGCTTCCCAAAAACTTCCACTGCTGCCTCTGCCGTGGACTCTGCGCTTTGTGAATTCATACCTGTCACAATTCTTCCATCGGTAACATGGAAATTGTCCCACACACCATCAGCTCGAGTATCTACTCATGCCAAAAAGCCCGTGAGCACATGTATCTCTAAAACCAAAGAAACAAATGGAGGGGCAGACGTACATTGAGCGCCCGGTTTATCCGCCCATTCATCAATCATTGGCTTGTTCCATTTGCGAATAATCTCCATAACGTGCATGTCATATTCTGCTTGTGTCGTGAAGCCCGTGATGGTCTTGCCAGCAATGACAGATTTGCCGGTAGCAGGGTCGATGACGCCCGGGAATATGGCTTCACCACGGCAGCTATGTTGAGCGTGTCAGATTGCCGAGCTCGTGATCAAGCGGTAAAGAAATAAAGGACATACACAGCAGTAAGAACACCTCCCTGCACCCAAATGTCTGTGGCAATCATCTGCAAGCCTTTGGCATGGGGGTAGTCAATCAGGGCAGCATGTCCAGCGCTGGCGTAAAAGATGCCGTACTACATCATCAACATCCGCTCCATGACTTCAACTAGGTCTGCCTGGCACTTGACTTACGTCCTTACCATCAACACTTCCGACAGGGGCCATGTTGTCCTGCTTCCTTCTGAAATCCGAATTCTCATCCTCCCACACCTTCTTGTCGTCACCATGGAGGAAGCTTGGCTGCAGACTCAACCAGTCCGGTACGTAGGTACCTTTCTCAGAGACAAGGTCGACTTCGAATCCAGCCGCCGTAAATACGTTGAAAGGATGAAGGGCTTCGGAGATGAAGAGACCTGTAGGGTTGCCTTCGTGAAGAGGGGCGGTGGCAGAGGTGATTGCAATAACGGCACGACGTGGGAGAGGCATCGCGAGCGTATTGATTCAACACCTTGTCAATCTTATCTAATGATATGTACTGATCGGGTTACGGAGCAAGGGAGATTGGGTATGGTAACCCAGCTGCAGCGTGATGTTCAAAAACTTACCAGTAGGAAACATGAAGGACGTGGTACTTATACCTCGACCTTCTATCCCCCATCTTCCATAGATGTCCTCGCAATCGAGACCCATTGCATGTTATGCGATGACGAAAGCGTCGTCGTGTTGAACGCCGTCACCAACGTCGTCGTAGAAGAACGTGGCTGCTTACACAGCACATGGCCTAGACGAGCACGGAGAGGTCCCTGAAGCGAGGATAGCAAGCAAATCTTTGATGCTCAAAAGAGAGTATAGAGGGATATATCCCGGTCATCCACCAATGTCCGGCCGCCAAACCATGAGCATTTGCAGTATAGCAAGCCAAGGCTTGCACGCTATGTTGTATCTCGGCCAAACCGCTGGTCCAGAGAAGCTGTTTGTATTCTTTTTGTTCATAGTGGAACGGTATTCATTAACTGCTCATGAGTAATCTACCGTTCTCCGAAGGTATTCTAGCTTGGCGAGGGATAGGTAGCTCTCGTATCCTAGCGTGACGCGTGCGTTGCGTGACTTGGCGGTTTGTCAATTCGGACCGCAAAGTTGGGAGACTATCGCGCATGACGATCGGTCTCTGCTTGTAAAGAGGAAGAATGAGAACGATGTAGAGGAAATTCTCAACAGAAGTCACAGGAGAGGTCGAAGAGGTGAACAGAAACAGCCGTCCAAAAAAGATCTTGCTGCCCAAGGAGATAGAGACCCGAGCACGCGTCCCCAGATTTTGGAAGTTTCCTTTTTGAATAGCTGAGTAAATTGCTATTCAAAGAGTGATTTCATGGTGACCGAATCTGTGGAGTATTCCAAGACTTTAAAACAGGCATGGATAGGTGGAAAGTTGAGGGGCAACGGGACAAGACCATATCGGACCATATGTAATCACGTGACCATTCTAAAGCTTTTCCTGGCTACGCACCTGGATTCTGCAGAGCGACCACCCACAGCGACACGCGTACGATCCTGTTACACACCAATTGAGCCTGGTTATGCGAGCGTTGTCCGCATGACTGGCCTCTCCAGGAACGAGAATCTGACGTCAGGAGACAGGAAAAGCATTGGTGAGACCCTCAAGAGGCACACGAAAGTGTGGAAGGCACCTTAAAATCGCTCGCCAGATGTCGCCGGCAAAGAAAGTGGCCATTAAGGCAGCAGCAACAAGAGAAGGTCAAAAGGGTCAAGCAGGACTCTATCATATCAGGAAATTCTATACAAATCGCGAATCGAGCGACAATGAAGTAAAGAGCTCACAAATGCTAGAGGTATGTGAGCCTCAACTTTGATGCTTTGGTACCTCAATTTGTGCGATTGCGGACAACGCCCGCACAGCTATGTCAACTGGTGTTTAGTAGTTCGCTGTTGCACGAGGTGATGGCTCTCCCGAGACATTCCTGATGAACCATCTGCGCTTTCCGAAACGAAATTTCAAGCTGTTGACTGGAAGTACATCTACGCTCCGATGCATTGTGCTGGCATTCTACAACCAACTATCAGAAGAGATCCAAGTATTGCTTGATGACTTGGACATTACTGCGTCCAAAGTCTTGCTCCTACATCAACTTGGCCATGAAGACATATGTTCCTGGATTGAGACTTCCATGGCATTATATCCGGGAGTCTAAACACCATGACGACTTACTTTCTTTACCATTGCAACTGGGTTGAGGAGTTACGTGAGGGATAAGCTTTCTAGGCCCATCCAAAGAAATCAGAGGAGCCTTTGCAATGAGGATATCCTGTTCGTACCATCGGGGGTGTTGACGAACATTGGGTCATCCATCACTTGTAACTATGCTGCTTGAACATGGAGCCGACCCAATGAATTCTATGGCACAACCACTGGTGACCGACACCCCTAAATACGGATTGGGGCACGTTAGGCCGAAGTATGGGGATGATGTCAGTACAGTTTGAGATCATTTACGCAAAAGTTTACGGAGATGAGTCAAAGAATCAAGAATACCGGTTGGGGAATAGGGATTATGAAATTCTCATCCAGGCTGGGGCAGACTCAGGAACTCCAGCGTTCTGCCTGGCCCATTTTCTGTTCTTCGGACCGTTTGGCGCTCCATGCAACGGTATCCGGAGGATAGGGATGGATTTGTGCAAATGCTGATCGATCGAGGTGCTGTCGAAGATCCTCCGCGAAGGAAGCAGAACTCTTCCCGGCTGTAGCCCGAGCTAGGGGCCCATGCGCATTCAACCCTAGGAAACCCCAAGTCATCACCCAGCGAGTCCCGATGGAGAGCACCGGCGAACGACAACGGCGACCTCGTTCAAGGGTGCGAAAGATCTGGGACAGAACTTCGGGAGGTGGAAAACGCTTTGAAAAGGAGAATTAGCTGCAGCAAGATCGTGAAGTTCAAAGGAGGGGGGAGATGGGGAATCCTGTCCTCGGCATATAAAACACCGATGCTTACAAGGAATGAGAGTAGCTCCAGCTCTTACGACGCCGAGATATCATGGCAACAAAGAGAACTATATCCTGGTGGCAGGAATCGAAGACAATTTGACAAGATGGGGGAAACGAGCAAACGAGATGGAACAGAGAAGGAAAGGAAAACACAACCCAGTAGGGCGGCAGAGGAAAGGAAATGGGCCAACAGCAGAAGCGGAGTTTGGAGATAAGCTCAAGGTCAAGCCAAAAGTGTGATCGGAATCCAAAGTGGAAGCCGTGAGGCTAAGGCTGAGGTTCACCAGAACGAGGATACAACTAAATCATGTTGACGAGACGTCAAGCGTTGCTAGGAAGAGACAAGCTGAAGAACTGAGACAAACATAGAGCTCTTTTCACGGCAATGGTAATGAATGCAGAGCAGATATCGACTTGATTACAAGAAGCTGTTACACGGATAAGAGGAATTATTTTGTGACATTCCTCCGGAAGAGAGTTGAGCAAGGCTTCCAAGGAGGCAGGGGACAATATCGAATATTGATACTCCATCTTCACACATACTAATAGGAAACACACTGGAGAAAAGTACATCCAATGCATATCAAATTCCTCCATCCTCAAGACCCTGATTCATACTTAAAACCCATCAAGGAGATCATCCTTCCCCTCTCCTATTTTCCACACCGTACCGCTCCCTATGCTCGAACCTCAACCTAAATAGGGCGTACCGCGGGCAAAGACCTAAACCAGGCTTCGGCCCCGAACTAAGCATCAACCAGCCATTTCTTCAAGAACGCGGCTTGAGTGCCTGCATTTCTCTCGAAAAAGGGGCCTGAATACGCATCGAAATGTCCACCGGGCAACAACGACAACTGCTTCGGTTCTTTCGCGCGGGCATACGCTCCGAGAGCAAGGTCTGTCGGTGTCAAGACGTCGCCGCTCGCGACGGTCATGAGCAGAGGCGTCGGGGAGATCTTTTCGATCAGGTGTTGTGGTTCGTAGGCGCGGAAAAGTTCGATTCTAGATATTTACGGTTAGATTTGAATCCAAGGCCAGGGAAAGGGAGACATAGCAACAGCATGGTAGACATCTTACGTCTTGACTGTGACGGTATTCTTCCATTGTGATTTCTTCTCCCACGATGAGAAGAATTCATAGCTGTCAGGTGTCGGTAGCGCAGATGGTTTCAACGGATCGGCATCCACGACAGGAACCATTCCCGGTTCCCCGCCCTGAGCTCTGGTAATTCTATCTGAATCATCACTGTCAGTCCTGAAACAATGCGTTGAGGGAAGCTCTTCATACCTGCTGCAAAGGTTGCGTTAAATCCAACAGCAAAATCCGGACGGACCAGTCGATTGAAATTATCCCATCCACTCACGCACGGAACTTGGCTGAGGACAACTTTGACTCTTCGGTCCACCGCACCGACATACAGCACGTGTCCACCACTATAGGATGAGCCCCAAATTCCGATCTTGTCTGGATTGACTTCTTCCCTCGAGGCGGCATAGGTGATGGCATCAGAAATATCGCTGCACTGAGTCATGGGAACGATTTCACTTCTTGGTTCTCCTTCCGCCGCATCACTATCACCGAAGCCACGGTTGTCGTAGACCAGACAGCTGATAGGTAACGTGGAAACGAAATATTCGGCGAACGTGTTGAGGTCCATTTCCTTGAGAGCCGAGAAGCCATGAGACATGACCAGACAAGGTGATTTGCCCGAGGACAAGTCACTGGTGTAGAACCATCCTCTCAGGGTGACTCGGTCGGAGGTCTTGAATTCGACGTCTTGTCGTCCCATGATGAAAATCGGTGAGGTGTGAGTAATTCTAAACAAACAAAATGGGCGTGCAAGAATCAAGCGACGATAATAAAAATGGATAAGCGATGCAAACCGGATAGATCCTCTGTTTAAGCTTGATCTTCCGGACAGAGGGTACGGAGGAATAATAAATTGGAACGGACAAGAACTTCAGGAGCAGGGACATGGTGGCCGGCATTTTATCCAAGTGAGAGGCAAGTCATGTTCGCAAGTGAGTGAGGGACAGTTCCGACCCGCTTAGACATGGTCAAGGGAGGCGAAGTGGTGGTTGTGAACGAATAGTCTGATCAACCCCGCATGCGGTACTTTATTGGCCTTCTAATCAGATAAATTGTTGTTTTGGATGAATAAAGACAGAATATGGGTCAGGTTTCGCGAACCATTGTGGATTGATGCGCTGGCCAGATCAGGGGCGGAACCGCTGAACCATATAAGAAGGGATTGGTTAGGAAAAGACGTCCCAGAGGGAGAGGGAACGTGGAGACTGGAATCGGGTCCGCTACGACGTCTAGGCCGGGTATGCGGTTTCGTATTGAATTGTTCAGGTGCGCCGAGGTACCAAGATTAGACGTGATTGGAAGGATGCATGTATACAACTCTCTTCAGCAAATTGATCAGGTTAACTTGCATGAAGCCAATGCATGTAGGAGTGATGGTAGGATCCAGGTCACACTTTATTCATTGGAGCGTGTTTTGATGGTGTAGAAGACGGTTTCAATGCACGTACAGACAAGACGTCGCATATCGGGGAGATGGAAACACGAAAGGGCATTGTGCAATTGCCTTGCAGCCGAATAACTTACGACTGCATCTGACCGGCTTTATGCTTGACGGCAATAGAGCAGCTACGGGGAAGCAAAGACGTGATCTATCCACACATCTGACGGCTGCTTTCAACGTCCGTCGCTTATTCATTTGAATCAGTGCATGTAACCGTAGAGCGTATCAATTTCGCTTCCCTTAAACCTCCCTTCCCGCTTTTTCGGTGTGTTGGTTGTGGTTGACTCCAACCGGACGACTCGTCCTCAGCCGGCTGTCAGGCCCGGAATATCGAGCCATGCCATAGGCCAAGAAGCGAATCCTATGTGCATGATTGCGAGGATCTGTGAAATCTCCACGAATGCTCAACTCGGTTGACTTGGACCCTTGTCGGCACATTGCTTATACAGCTCAAGTACTGGGGAGCCGCTGACATAAAGGCCTGTGCCTGTGCCTTATTGATCTCTACATCAGACACAACATCCGTCGAGAAAGTATCTACGGTGGACAGCTGGGAAACCATCACTTCCCTCCATGATGGAGCAAACCCTCTCATCCAAGCTGGGAGTACTGCTGCCTGTCGCTTTTATCCCCTATCAACCTCATCAATGCCTTAGCAAACCACCTCTCCTGGAATGTAGTCGGCATTTTGCTCCTTTCCTACCTGACCGTTGTGCGACTTCTGCGCTATCGAAACCTCTGCCACCTCCAATCTCGCTATGCCCACTTTGCCGAATTCCCCGAGAAGCTTGGCTACTAGACGGCCCATGAGATCATAAAACTCAGTGTGCTCTTCGAATTTCCCTTTATGTGGGGCTTCGGCACCCAATGGGCACTCGTCAAGTCCTATGGCATCCCGGGCGGTACGAAGCTGTTGGTGCAGACCCGTCAATTGACCGATGAAGCCACGGTCGGCAAACAGGCAGAAGACACTGGCGTCTTCATGGGCGAGATTCTCGTCTCAGGCATCGACTCGGACAGAGGAATGCAGGCTCTTGCAAAGATGAATTGGCTTCATCGCCGATATGGTACCAAGATCACAAACGGCGACATGATACATACTCTGGCGTTGTTTGTTCTGGAGCCTCAGAGATGGATCGATGCGTATGAATGGCGACGATTGACCCAATTGGAGAAGGATGCTGCGTTCGCGTACTGGAGGGAGATAGGGAATCGAATGGGTATGAAGGACATTCCAGATACTCTCGAGGATCTGAAGGTATGGACCGCCGCCTATGAAAAATGGCACATGTACTACAGCCACGACAATCGCCTCTGTGCAGAAACCACGATAAACCTCTTTCTGCGAGATACACCTCGACCGCTGCGTGGCGTTATGAGGAAAGTTTTTGTCGCATTTGTCGAACCGCACGTCCGAGAGACACTCGGCGTCGAGAACCCTCCCACCTGGGCGGAGTATTTGATTCTCGGGATCTTCAAGTCCCGCGCGTTCCCGATTCGGCATTTTTATCTGCCGCGGTATCAATGTCCGTTTGACGTGGAGCGAAGTGCGAATGGTCGATTGCACCGCAAGAAATATCTCTTCGAACCATGGTATGTTGCTGAAACATGGTGGACGCGAGTACTCTCTCTCTTCAAAACCTTTGCCTGGTCCAGCTTTCAAGAGCAATGGATTTCTGCCGGAGAAAGGTGGCGCAGTCGGAACGGGTTGTCCATTTGCTTTCTCTGGTTGATCAGGTCGGCAGGAGATCGACGCTTTGAAGGCGGCGCATGCGATAATCGCCACACTGAGAGGATCCTGGTCTTATTTCAGGCATCAGTCGACTCCTACATATGCCACCTCAATAGGGACTTGGAGGATATGGCCACATCTCAGTATGTGTCGCGTTCAGCCTCGTAGAAGAACACACATCAAAGGAAGTCTGCCGTTGATATGCACCGCTAGTCCTTGAAGAAATCCCAGCCAATTCATGAATCGCGGGCTCCTGACTTAGGCTCGTCGTGTCTTCCGCGTCCTCATTGTTCCACACGAATCCTTGCTCTCCGCATAGCTGCAGCTGAAAGGGGTCAAGACTTAATCCGGGAGCCGGCGCCTGCAATAACGGCGGCAACGGAGAATGCCTAAAGAACTCCGGATGTAGCGTCCAGCTTCCCAAATCATTGAAAGCTTTATCAAACATCTCGGAATAAGAATAGAGACCCGTCTCTTTATGTCGTCGACACAGATCCCGAACTTCATAAGGCCAATGGAATTGCAAATTTGTCGCAAACGCAGCGGCATCTCGTTCCGTCACGGCCGCCATGCCGCTAGTCGTCAGATAGTCTCGGAAATGAGGCCAGACGAAGAAGTCAGTTAGGACCGGATGTGTGATGGATTTCTGTGTCGTGGTCGGTGTCATGTATGCTGGAAGCGGCCTGTTCGAACAATGTCCAGCTCCAGAGAGCCAATGGATGATTGAGCCGCGGACGGAGCGTAAATTCGCGATGCGCACCACCGGGTGGCTGCAGTAGTAAAGACCTTGGTCGAGGGCTTTGAGCAGTTACCAGGCCGGGTCGAGGATATATCGGCCCCCGACGGCGGGCCAGCCGTGAAGGACGGCGCGGATCACGATGTCGTCGTCCGCAGCCTCGTCCGCGTCCAGGATAGCGGAGGCTGATGATTGAGCTCGGACTTGAAGGGATTCGAGGGCAGTGTTCAGGACGGCGAAATAGATTCGTTCGCTGTCACCGCATTTCAGGGAGGTAAAGAAGGGGCATACGGCTGAGGCTGAGGTCCCATTCGGATTGGTTTCCATTGTTAACTGGATATTTGTTGATGTTCGAGGGCCCGGGGTGCTTTCTTCAAGGGGTGCTTCGGGGCATGGTGAATCTATCTTGGAAGTATTTGCATCTGTAATATTGTAGTTCGAGTCTCATTATCGCGTTCAAGCTTGACATCGAAACGTATCACTGAAAGAATGACTTACCGGGGTTAACTTTACCATGACCACCATCCAGAATCTGACTTTGTCCAAAACGGCGTTGAGTCGATCGATCTCCTCCTGCTTTCGCTGGACCTGACGGAGCAGAGAATAGGTGTTCTCATGACCTGAATGCTGCTCCATCGAGGCGATGGTGTTTTCCAATTGAGTCACGTATGCCTTGTTCCTGGCTCTAATGGCCCGCTATGACTCTCGATCCTCTGCCGCTTTGACAGGCGTTTGGCAGCAGCTTCATCCGAGGACGGCTTCGAATCGTTTGGGCGAGAATGGTCATCCATGGTATATTTCTGGCTGCAAATTGGTCTCTTTCAATATTGAATCTGCAGATCTGTTTTAAAGCAAAGACATGGGATGCAATCAATTGGTACCTGATCATCCGAGGGTCTGGCGGCAGAGGTTTACTAGCCGAGGCTTCAACCCGCTGGCGTGTATTGCTCCCCACATACTTTGATTCTTCTACCAGCAACATTGACTTAGTCATTTATGGTTGGAAACAGCCAATCACGGCTTTTACTGGGGAACTACGATCTAAGTGGCATAAATGCTGTTCCCGTGTGGCCGTTCTCTGCTGATGGTGGCCACTTCACGAAAATGAAAGGCACGATTGGAGTTGGCCTAAGGAACAGGTCAAAACTACGCTTGACATTTGAGTACCGACAGGCGTACTATCCACAAAGCTCTAATCGCCCAAATCAGCCCTATTCATATCTTCGTACAGCAACTGACTTGACCAGCTTCTCCTCTGACCACCATTCTGCCATTTTCACACACCCTGGCCACCGACCTTCCCCGTCTCCCCGGCAGCATTATCTCGAAGAGCTCTCGAACAGTTAGCCCAAGACATTTACCCTTAACAAATAGCCTCGCTTGTCTTGCCACTGCAAGAGATCGATGGTTGTACCACACGATGACGTGATTGAGGCATACGTTGATGACTTCAAATGTGACACCGATGGCGACGATGGCAACTAGCATTGCAAGCATAGCGAAGTTTAGTCGTCTCCCCGCAGCGAAGCCTTTGCGCCATTTTCTTAGGAAGGCCGTCTTGATTCGCTGCAAGGGGAAGAACCTTGAGAGTGTCCAACGATGAAGACGACGATCAGGCCCTTTCGATGCCTCCTTTATCCTCCTTGGCACTCATCTGCATCGTCACGGATGTGCTCATGCCCATGGCAAGATACAGGTGCAGAGCTCAACAGATTGTGCCAATGATTCAGATGTTGCAGTCCCCAGTTGGCTTTGAGAATTGCTACATATTGGGTGATAGGTGCACTAATGACACATAGTTCCATGGGAGTTGCGATCTTAACAGAATCCAGGGTAAGCCATGGGCTCCACCAACGTCAAATGCATGGTGGGATCCATGTACCCAGATGTTCCTGGTGTGTACCTATGACATGATCCCTGAAGTATCTAACTCCAGATCTCGGTTAGTTGGCTCTCCTCCACAATTGGATCCAGCCCGATCTTCGTCCGACCAGCATTTCAGCTTGCCACTGTCCTTTGATGACGTTGGCCTAAGGCGAGCGAACAAATCCTGCTAGGGGTGTCGGCTGGGTGCAGTGCACAGGTACATTCTCGTCTTTTCCGAGCCAAGCAGGTTGCAGTCTTCAAATCATTGTTTGGGATAAGTGCACAAGCACAACGTTGATTGACAGGGTCAACTTAAAAGAAAGCTTGTTCAGACGCTCTCGGTGAAACATCAGACTTGGTTCCTTCGTCTCTGTAACGCCAATTTCTACTCTTTGAAAAGGGGTTGTCGCTCGTGTTGCGAGGTTGCCTTAGAACGGCTGTTGTTCTTCGAGGCTGATGTCAGCCGTCTCTCGTCCCTATTAACAATCACACAGGGGAACCATGGTCGACAGTCAGAGCTCCTGGTTTTGTCGGAATTGCAACAAGTTTCACAGAAGCTCTTTTGAATATCGAAAATTGCAGGTTGCGGAAGATGCCCTGCATCTGCTTATGGCCCCTGTTCACAAATCAGGAAGCGACACCTCCCATTCTGTGGTAGTATTCCTGACCATGGTTGAAAACCTGAACCTGTTGAACAATTGGCTCTTCTCGTAACATCCTCAGTAACTTAGCCCCTTTATCAAGTTATTAGAGGCTGGAGGAGCATTCTCAGCTTTGTTATTTCCTTGCATTTGTCAAGGACTAAGTACTCAAGTGGAATTCCGAGGGAGATGTCGCACATCGGTTTGTCTGAATGTTGGAAGATTCGATTCTCTCTTATCCAGGGGGAATTGTTTAACTGAATCAATCTGCAATTGTCCTAAGATGTAGACAGGGAATGCGTATCCAAGGCCCCTAAATTCCTGATACTTGTTCCCCTTGCCAGCGCCTTGAAAAGCCTGAGGGGAAAAAAAAGATAGATGCGTTTTCAAGATTGAGAGAAGTTCTGGCAAATAACGAAATCTTCAAAAGAGGTTTCCTTTTGTGAGGACAACCATGACCATCCTATCCTGATGAACTGCCCGTTGTTGCACCCCCATTATTTACAACAATCTTGTTACTCAGAGTGTTGAATTCAGGTTGTGTCTACCTCATTCCACCAATTAGTGTCAGTTCGGAATGAATCGAGATCACTCTATCCCCCACGTGGAATCGCATTGCCTCCATTGTTCATGCCTTCTTCGCATAAGTCGACCAATCCTGTCTACCGTCGGGCACTCCAAACATCTGATCTCCAGCCTTTCTCATCGGTCTTCTTGCTGTTAAGAGTCATCCTGCCGTATCCCTCGATATCAACGACGCTTTCGGGATCTGGATCTTCCATCCATTCCTTTTCTTCCTTTGTTGTTTGAAAGTGTCAGAAGGTGGAGAAATGGCATTGTACGGAGAATTCCTGCTTTTACGGGTAAGAGAAGGGAGTAGACTTTGGCTTACTGCATTCGGCTTCCGCGGTGACTTGATGTAAAGCCGTTGGTTGAATAGCTGTGTCATAGAGAAATAAGAGGTTAGATCAGATCAGATCAACTGACGGGACGGAGGTAAAAGAGGGGACAAGATGATTGTTATCATCACTGTTCAGCCCGTCGGTAGTCAATATTATTGAATGAAAGAAGTACGTACCACGTATTTGGCTTTCCCAGGTCCAAACAGTTGGGTGAGCCAGTATTCCAGCTTCTCAGGACGAATATAGCCTCTATGCTCGTACGTGTACATGACGCCTTCGGTAGGCCATTTTATGTTTCGTACGGCGCTGGGCCAGGCGTTGTGAACATCCATCCTGGATGTTCAAGACGAAGAAAAATTTTCCGGTAAGGAAATTTCCTGCTATTGCTATTGCTCAAGATGGAAGGCCCGCCAAATATCGATAGAGAGTAGGTCCAAGACACAATCTCTTATACAATCAATCGGTGGTCTTGAGATTATTGAAAGGCAGGGAGAGGTATAAAAAAAGTAAACGATGAAGTGGACAAGATATGCAAATGTGTCGATGTTCGAGTGGCTGAGGCTGTGCTAACAGTACGCAGACATGCAGGCAAAGGTCACTTGTTTCCTCTTGATTGGACGGTTGTGCAGACGTTAGTGAGTAGGCGCTGCTCCAGGAATGCTCAGCCTCGTCCCCTTTGGGAACTAGTACCCGTCTGTATTCTGCAAGGGTTGCCACAATATTTCAAACCTGGACTAGAAAACTGAGTCCTCGAGAATTGAGGAAGCAGATTGGAGTTCATGGTAGACTGCAGTCTTCGACTTATGAAGAAGCAACTATTCTCGCTAGCTAAGTTAAGTTCAATGTATTGATTAAGTGTATTTTTGTCCTGACCCTCATTAGTGTTCGTTTCCTCGCCAATATATTGTGTCTCGTCAATGACCTATACGAACTCCGATGCTATTATCCAGAGTAATCAACGTCAAGTTTGATATCCAAAGAGAATGGCTAATTCCAGTCCCAAGAGGTACGCATGAAATTCCACATCTTGCCAGCTGCGGAGCTCCCTGAGTCATGGCATTCCACCTAGGGCAAATGAACAGTGTAAGCAAAATGGTTTCGGTTGATGTTGATATAATGTATTGAAATCAGAGATTCTCCTTGGGTCAACCCTCTCCGGATGACTCCCGCTGGGCCTCTTCAGCAGGTACAGCTTCGTCGTTAGAAGACGCCAGAGAGATCCTATCAGCGTAATGGACTCGAACGGTCGGAGTCGTTGCGGTCCCATCCACTTCCGTCTGATAGTTCGAATCAGGGTAGTTTGCAGGGCCACCAGCGATGTCTAGTCGAGCGAGACTACTGTTTGGAGCAGAGTGCCTGCGATTCCTCCGGAGCTCTGGCAATGATAAATGGCGAGTATGAGTTGACGACCACTCATGTGGAATTTTGTCGTCGATTGTGAGAGAAGAACCATGACTCCCAGCATCTGTTGTTGGCCGGGATGCATAGGGCTGAGCCAGGCTCCCAGGGATGGCGTAGAAGTCCTCATTTGTCTTTAAATTGTGTGTGACTTGCACATAAATCTTTCTCATTCGAGCTGACACCTTTTCAGCCGATGGTCTCTTGCTAGCATGAATGGAAAGCATATCTTCTGCAAGCTGTACTAACGCATCAAATTGGTCGTAATCTTTTGTTCGTCGGTGAAGCGTGGCAAGTCGTTCTTTGACCGGCTTTCGGAGGTCAAACTGTCCATCGTCTCTTTGGTACCAGAAGAGTCCGGCAACGGCAACACCATCGACACTGTCGGCCCTGTCACAGTAGAATTTATCTAGTCTATGGGGTTCTGGACTCTTCGAAGGGAATTCATCGAGCTGATCAGCAGTACCTTCTTCGAAAATGGTCAGAAGAATCTCGAGGAGAATACAACCAAAACACCATACATCGTATGGCCTCGCCGTGCGATTTTTCATGGCGTGGTCAGGCGGACTGTAAATAGGATCGCCGGATTGGATTTCAGTCACATCAAAAATGCTCCCGCCGGAGATCGCCTGGATAACACCAGCAGTGCCAAAGTCCGATATCTTCCATGTCCCATCGTCGAAAACAAGGATGTTCTCTGGCTTCAGATCGTGATGATAGGCGGCTTTTCGGGGCTTCTTCTCTGCCGCGGACGGATGAAGCGACGAGCTGGCAGACTCATTGGGGACTCCTGAGAAGTCAGATTGCTTCGGCTCCTCTTCCATCAGGCCTGACCGCTTTCTCAGCAGATGAATTGATTCCAGGGCATCCGCTAAGTTCCGAAGCTGCAGCACCAGATGCTCAACAAACTTTTTTTCCAGCCTCGGTAGTTTTCTGTCTTTCCTCAGATGTTCCTTAAGATTGCATTGCGCCTTAGGATAGAGCATATAAAACCTGTCATCTGATCCCGCATCTTGCTGTCTCCACATGGCCAGTGGCAAGAGAATATTGTTATGTTGAACTCCCATCAAATTGGAGAATACGTGATGTTCTTTGACAAATGCTCTTGAGACCGCCGGTACGGCATTCAGCTGTTTAAGTGCGAAAACGTTCTATCAGCATTAGCATCAGCAACAGTTGCAGAGTTATCGTACGGCTCACTTCCTTAAAATTGTGATGGTCGGAATGGATGTTCACCTCTTTCACGAAACCATACCCACCCTTTCCCAACTCTCCTTTAGCAGTGATCGGCACTACTTGCCAATAAGGGATCACCTCATACTCCCCTCTTTGCATCTTCTCTTGTAGTTTGGCTTCGTTGAAATTGTAGACAAGGAAAGTCTTTTGCGTCGATTTCAGAAAATGCAGATCTCGATCAGAGAAACCTTCAGGAGCCGTCTTTAAGGGTAGTTCAGTGTCGCGCATCTTGGAGCCAATGATCAAATGGTAAAGGCATGAGAGTGGCCTTTCCGCATATATGCATATAGCTAGGAGAAGAGAGGCATTGAGGAACACCTCTTGCGTAAGCTGTTTCCTGTAATCAGCACTCTTCGCATTCTTCGACCATGGGCCGTCCTGAGACAAGCTCTCGTCTTTGTTAATCAGCTCGCGGATTATCTCCTCGGAAAAGATGGCGTCAAGGTCCGTCTTTGGGAGAAATGGCTCCTCTCTCCAATTGTATACCAATTTGGAGTGGACAGCCTTCCAAATTTTATGAGCAAGGGTTTTGCCATCTTGTCCATGGATGTCGATCATGTCGAAGCGCCAAATCACCTCCAGATGTAATGTAGCAAACGGGTTTTCCGAGCCATGTTTTGCTACCAGAATAGGAACTCGCTCAGCCCAATGGTCTGGATGCTGCACCGTATCTGACCCCAATTGGAAAAGATCTTTGGTAGTCCTTTTGAAAAGTTTCACTTCGGCAGATGTGCGATAGATATTGGGTCGTTTGGTGTATCCTTTCTTCTCAACATGTTTTTGGAGAAGGCGACGAACGGTTTTCTTTACGTACTCGTACTGGCCCTCTCTGAGCCAGGAGATACGAAGGTTTTCTGGATGTTCCAAGAGTTCTTCACATAGATAGACAGCTACTCTGCAGTCTATTTCGGGAACAATCGAGAGTGCAGGAGCCTTCGTCCTACCAGCAACGGCTGGCACGTCATGGTCTAAGACGCTTTTTACCTCGGCGGTCTCTGACCAAACTTCGGACGAATGACTCACCATCGAACTTCGAATCGAGCTTGTGGGGGTCGACCTTGCCTGTTCTTCGTCTTTCAAAGCTGAGGCTAGGGTTCGCTTGGTGCCTGAGGGAGCCTGCCGCAACCTTTGGGAGTACAGTCTCCGGGGTAACCGTCCGCTGTTGTCATTGTCGGTCGGCGGCCTGTCTTGTCTCTCCGATTCCTGGTTGTTGTCCGCTGGCGTCTGAAGAGGCTCGATGACTTCTTCATGATCGTCGTTCGGACAGTCTGTAGGTATTATACCTGGGGCTTTTTCTTCTTTTTTGCGAGGCATTTTCGGGTCTACCTTGAAAAGGTACTTCTTGAGCCCCTTGAAGCGGGAAAATAAGCCCATGAACGAGCAAAATCGACAGAAGCGAGAGTGGATAACGGAGCAAACTTTGATGCAACATCAAGAATTGTAAGGCTGTCATGGTCGCCTTTCATATTATTTGGACCATATGCGGCTCTCGTTTCGGAAAATGGCAAGAGCCTCACAGAAACCCATTCGGTAGGGATACCGACCCACCTTCCCACGCGGTCTGGGCTGTGCCCCTGTTCGATGGCGCCACCCTAGCCCGTTTTCGCAAAGCCAGTGGTCAAGGAACTAACTCGAGGGTGGGAGAGTTAGCGAACCAACTTTTCTTCTGCAGCCGATGGATCAACTGTTCAGCTGGAAGGTTTCGTGCGCCGAACATCTAATTCCCCCTGTCCTTTCCCCTTTTTTCTTCTCGAATTGTGGAAATTGGCTTGATGTTTCGCTTGCGACGAGAAGCTCCTGCACCACCGCCAAGTTTGGTGGTCAAGAGGGTTGCTTAGGCCCGCGGCCCCCTCCTTCTATCGTGAGCCATCGGCACGAGTCCACAGCTCGTTGCAGTAGGATCGCGGATGGACGATACTATACATTTGTTTAGTTTGGCAATTTATCTACCTCAATGAAGGAAGGAAGTGTAGATAATGGAAGACATGTTGCTATGTAGTCGATATCTAGCCGGCTAACACTAAGTCTACTCTCTACACGGTATCTGGGCCACGAGGAAATCCCGCTCGAAATACCAAAATGCGGGTGAAGCAGGGGCACGGGAGGGGAAAGTTGCTTCGGCCGCTCCGTGCTTGGAGGTGATGGCATAATTTGTTTGGCATGTTCTTGCCGTGAACATGTGTAGACAGCTTCCATCTGGATCAGACTTTCCCTACACCCTCTTAACTAATACCAATCGGCGCTGGGCTGATGAAGCATGACTGGCATGTCATTCTCAAGTCTGCCTTCTTGTTTGCGTCCTTTGGCAGATCTCCGATAGAAACAAACATACTTCCACCAGGAGGGGTAGATCGAATAAGCCTTAACTCTCATCCAAATCCACCAAGCGTACAGGGTGAGTATGGTCAAAGGCGCCGCCACCACCAGGAGAATCCACCAGTCATTTGTGATGATGATGGTGTTTGAAGTGGTCGACATTCCAATAAACGATGTGGAGAAAATGTTGGTAACCACAGTGAGAGGCAAATATCTGCAGGGGTCAGCATCAGGCTCTAAAAAGCAGAGGGACAGCACAAGTGAATACATCAAGCCAACAATCGTGAGTCCGGTCATCGCACTGGCATCTTGAGAGTTCTTCTCTGCCAGCACATGCATCCTTTCACTCAAAATCCGCATGTAATCATTCTCCCGCCGCGATTCCTTTCCCAACTGCTGCAACGCGAACCCGTTGTTTAGGTCCAAAAAATTGGTCACGAGGTTCGCCACTCCCGCGAGCCGTGCTCTCAATGCCTCCAGTTTGAGAGATAGATTCTCGAGTTCTTTGAGTTTTTCAGCGATAGCAAGAGCTGCGCTATCACTGCCACCTCTGTGAAGTCCAGCTTGCAGGCTCCGCTCCATGAGAGAGCGTAGGTCATTCTCGGTAGCTTTGATTGCCACCAACGAGTTGGCCATTCGATCGTCGAGCAGCATCATTTGTTGTCGTTGCGATGCATCGGCCTGTCCCATTGGACCTTGATTATCCGGAGAGGCCCCCAAAAATTGGGTAGCGTGACTTTCAGTCTCGGAAAACAGTGCAACCAAATACGGTCTCCAGTGTCCCATTACCGTGTCGACAATCAATACGACGACCTCAAGTACATTCCGGTCGCTGCCGAGGACACTATCTGCAAAATATCTGTCGATGCGTCTTTTGGCAGACCCCGGGACCGTAACGAAAATCCACGTTTGTCCTTTGTGGGAATCTGTGCGGCGATAATAGATGGCGCACTGTCTCAGGGACCATTTGGAGCTGAGAGGAACATCGGTGAGGGTGTTTTTTTCCACAAAGCGTATCCCATACATACATTCGCAACTTCGGACCGCTGACACATTCGTGGAAACTCGCAGCCTCATGGCCGGCGGGGTGATCTCGACCTCGTTGTCTCGAGATCCGAAGTAGATTATGTAGTCGTTGAATTGGGGGGAGACACCACGCCCGCGACGAAGTGTAGAATAGAGTTCATAGCTGGTCTGCAGCAATGAATACGAGTTTCGTTGTGAAATGAAGTAGACTTGGAGATCTGTCGCAGTGCTCATGTAGTTTTCGAGATCCTCAGCATGGACTATTAGCTGTGTGGCGAGGAGCCGACGCGGGCTCTCAAGCGAGAATGCCTTCTCCGAGGGTTTGAGCAGGGTTTCCACAGCGCTGGCATCTTGCCGATCCTTTCGCTGCCTCTTCAACTCGGTGATGCAGTCAGCAGTATAGACTTCGAGACGCGAATTTCCCCTTTTGCTTGACGTGAACAATCCCGGGCCATTTACAACATCGTCAAACGCTTGTGCAAGTCCCGGGGTCTGCTCCTGGAATAAGGCTGTCTCAAACGCTGCCTCTACCATGGTCGAGGTAGGTGGGTGGAGGAACGGTAGAAAGGACGGGAGAAGCTGAGTGGCATCGGCGCCAAATGCTTGTCCGGATTCCAAATCTGGACTAACCCCATGCAAAGGTTTCCTGAGGCATTCATCTCGATCCACCACCCCTATCCAATCGGACGAACACTTGTCACATGCGCAATTTGGAGCGCTGAGACCCTGCAGCATGAGCAACCGCCCAGCTGATCAGGCAAATCAAGCAAAGCCAGCCTCTCCATCCTGCCAAAATCACCTCACACACCTCGCGTATCGAAAACGCCATCCGCTGACAGTTATTGGATTGTTTCGGCTTAATGATGAGGCAAGTTTGCAGCAGAGTTCGTCCGGCTGCCCTTGAATCCTCGTTTTTCTGGGGCGATGTGGCCGAATGCACGCTGGCCGCGTGCGCCTATGTATCATGATCGGACACTGCCTCCCTACTCGTTTATAAAGTTCTCATTTTTCGCTCGGTCTCACTCCCCATCAAGTTGAGTTACAGACCACCTAGGCCCAAGCCTTCTCGATACTCATACTCTCAATCCAACCACTGACCAAGTGAACAATGGCGCAGATGGCCTTCCAACATGAGCCCCACGACACAGCTTTACAAGGTCGTTCAGCGTCTCCTACACCAGAACGCATTCCTGACCTCTTCGTCAACGAGCGCAAGCTTCAAGCCAGACTGAATAGCATATATGGTCAACCTGTACAGTGCTATTGGCGCCGGGGAGAGTGGCACATTGACGATGCACCCAGACACCTCAATGATGTATGTCCTTCGCCATCTCTTCTCTTTCCCTTTGACCCCGCAAATTACAGCCTAACCATAAACATAGAAAGAAAGGGCCAGCCTACGACTATAACAGACAGTGCCAGCATTCCCATCCATCTCAACAACACAAAGGGTTGACAAGTCCCAAGTTTGACAGTCTCAAACACTATTCTTTTGGCTTTGCTAGAGACAATCCGCAGTGCTGCATCTGACGCTCTGCTATGTGATTTTTTTTTGGTTTTTTTTTTAATCAGGGGTTTGGCACCCGCCACCGGCAGGAGGCTGCGAACACAATATTATTATCCTTCTGATCTTAATTCAGTGAGCTTTCAGAGGCATTGTTGTCGGGAAAGGGAATAAGCGGGCAGAACTTCCAAACTACTCGGCAGGATGTAGTTAAGGCTTACAAGCAGGGCGTCAACTACGTTTCCTCAATGGATCGTCCGACACAATTAATTACGTTGCCCCTTTCGCAGGTTCAATCCGAATTCCAGGGCATCAAGACACTGTCCGAAAAGCCAACTACAGCATCCCTACATGAAATCACCCCCCAATAGACTTGAACGCTTGCTGACATGGCCACGTCAAGCGCAGAGATCATCTGCAGACACCTTGTCATCTGCCTTGACCCATCTGCATGCCACTTCACTCGCCAGCTAATTCAACCTCAGTTCCCTACCAATTTCAGCGACATAAACACTCGTGGTGTGGTTCGGATCCTTGATCCAATTTTCCTCGTCCTTTGGAGTCGTCCGTCAGCCTCAATGTTCGATGAAGGAAGCCTTCGAAAATGACAGTCAACATCACCTACACTCGTCCATTCCCTCGGAGCCGTAATGCTGTAGACGCCATTTCTTCGCTGCAAACACCAGAACATGAGTTATCTACTCGTACTTGGCACGACGATCAGAAATGAAATGATATGGGCGGGCAAACCGACCGAGTAAGAAGTAGCAGCCCCTGAACCAGCAAAACAGGCAAGCCATGCTTCAAGCTTTCTATGGTTAACGTACCGTGCGCGGCTAATGAATGTGACCATTTTTTGATCCGGAGACTGAGATCCGCTAACCGTTACCATAACCGTTGGTCAACTGTAAAGAGGATCGAATCGCTTAATAGACTTCGAAGAAGAACAGAACGAAACAAACCTCAAAAAAAAAAAAGGAAAGAATTAATTCAGGCTTTCTTTTGAGCTGTGCCCGGTACTACCGAGATCCATGGCAATTTCGCATTCGGTGGTCACGGTCATTGATGAGGCTGAGGCTGTGCCACCCTGGATAGCCACCGGTGCACCCAGAGAAAGGGCGCCGGAAGAAGCATTAGGACAGCACAGGACAGCACATCCAGCAGAACAGAACTAGCACCCAAGGCGTTGCATTGCCTGGGCACAGGACGAGAGCAGAGAACCTGTCTGCGGCAGAGTCTGTGCCAGATCCGATCGCATTTGTATGAAGGCCCTACTTGTAAACTTGCAGTCACCTGCATATATATGCATAAGGCCCAATCTGCATCCGCGGATGTGGAGACTCGGGCGTGGAACCGGTGAGCAACAAACATTGTCCACATGGTAAACATCAATGGTACAATCCTTCAAGTTCTATACTTCTATTTCTAGCAAATAAAACAAAACAAATTGCAGCACCTTGCCTTGTCCGCCGCTGAAACTTCGATCTCTTTGCAACCTCGGTCCCAGGATCAGTGCAAGCACCGGGATCAGGGCGTCCAGCCTTCTTGATGGGGTCGCCCGATCACTTCGAGTCATGCCACTCGCCTGGGAAGGGGGCCAGCGATGCAACGCAATGGAATGTCGGGCTGAACTCAGGCAGACGCATTCGAATCGATTCAGTGCCTAAGCCTCCTATGCCACCAGCGACTCTCTCAAGTACAGTATGATACTGCCCCCAAGGCTGCCTGCGTAGCCTAAAAATACCAAGCACCTGCCATCAAGTTTCAACATGCACATGCACTAGTAGCATTGGAATTTTTCTCATTTGCCCACTGCCTTACTCTTGCCCACCTGTTCTGCAGTGCCCCAGACTGCACTTGTGTCCAAAGCCACCAAATTCCCAACGTTCCCGCCGTCAAGGGAACCGAAATAACAAGCACGATGGTCCAATCATGGTCGACCGAGGTGATGGCCGAGCCGTCCGGCAATCGCGTCTTCGTGATGAATTCTGTAGAGAAGAAATTCTGGAGGGCCCGGTCAGAACGGACATGAGGTTCGGCATTGCATTTTGAACAGCTGCGGCACCAGTAACTCAACTTACCAGGACAATAGTCGCCGGGAGATACACAAGCATAATGATGGTCAACAACTTAACCGCAGCTTCATCTTGCATGCTTCGCGTGGCAATCTCCTCCATTTTTATGTTTTCTTCTTGGGCTTCTCTTGATAAGTTTTGGAGCGTGTAGCCACTCTCCAGGTCGAGGAAGCTGGAAAGCTGCGTAGAAGATCACGGTTAGCCTGGCTCCCGTTGACGCTCAGTCTCCTATCCCTTTTCGATAGAACTCACTAGTTGAATGGAACTCCTCAATTTCTTATGAAGATTGTCGGCTTGTTCGACAAGGAGCGTTAGCTCCTTTGAAATGTCTAATGCCATGTTGATATTCCAATGGGGATGTGGATGTTTGCCATTCTCCCCGTGACCATGTGTATTATGGCAACTGATCTTCGTGATGATTGCCGACATGTCCTCTGCGTTCGAGCGGCTTGCTTTTAGGGCTAGTATTGTATCAAGAATATCGTCCTCCAACTGTTTCAGTTGCTGGCGGACGCCAAAGTCAGCCAGTCCCGCTGCTCCACCTTGACCATGATCCGCAAGGAGGAGTCGCGATGCCTGCACTCGGTCAGTATTGCCCAGTATTCGCCATAATTTTGCTAACGTGATCATCCAGAGCTTCCGCGAGGTAAGCAAGGTATGGTCTCCATTGGGTCGTGGCCCAATGGAGAAGTGCCTGATGAATCTGAAGTGTACTACAGGCGTTGAAGGTACCGCTTTTTGCGTGGAATTTGCTAAATATTCGCTGGGCAGCCGTAGGCAGTGATACAAAGACCCAGGAAGTCGAGGATGTGCCGAAATCAATTCCTTGATAAACAAGATATTGGCGTAAGGACCAGGGGCTCGGAGCCTCCTCTCTGCCATTCAGCTGGACATATCTAACGCAATAGGCAAGTTCTGGACACAGTGAGCGCTATCCCATCCAAGTGAAAGTACGGGACATTACCAAACCCAGAACCTGGGAAGCCCTCCACAGACCGTGGATGTAAGTTGAATTGCACCCTCGGCGGTGCGATTTCCACTTCGACCCTGCGTTGGCCCTGGTACAGGAGTACGTCTTTTAGACGGGGAAATACTCCAAGCCGTTCCAGAACTTCCTCGAAAACGTCCTCGGTCACCAACAACGGACCATGGGAGTAGCTTTGTCGAATATGACTACAAAATGTAAACATCAGCGCCCTCCACACAAGCTCCAATGATGATGATGCTTACAGAATTAAGGGATTTCGACGCTGCTACATGACAAGTTAGTGTCTCTTATGCCCACAATTAACGGATAAGACTGACCATGAAAAACTCCCGGACATCCTCCACACACCCCAGTCTCTTCATTCTCTTGCTGCCATCACTTGATCCCCGGTCGAAGTCGAACTCGTGGTGACTGAAATCCCCAGAATCAAGAGAATTCTTCCCGCTAGCGTTTTCCGTCCGCGCCTGGCCTCTTTGTCTTTCACTTCCGCCTTGCGGTTCCTGGACGTTGACGTGATCACAAGAGAGAGTGGATTCTGAGCTAGACTCCTGTGATGCTAGCAAAATAGCATAAAGCTGAGATGTCCTGTCCCTTGGCAGAAAGATGTTCTTGACATTATCACGATACTGATGATCATACGTTTGGTCTGAGGATCTGAGAACACTAAGGACATCTTGACAAGCCATTCTTTGCCTTCGCGCTGTGATACCCTCTAAAAAAAGACGGAGAAGGATCTCTTTGAAGATGAACAGGTATGTGTGATACTAGTATCTTCAATTTGATGTGGGCATCGTCAAGGTGACATGAGGCTGAAAGAGCGCATTTTCTTCTTGTGTTCACGAAATCATTTGATTGGATATACATATCTGGGTCGGCAATTGTTGCGGTAGGAGTACATTGTGATGATGACCCCGGCTTGGTTGTTAGCCGTACATACTGCGGAGCCCCGGCCTCGTCTCAGCCTCAAAAAGGGCATCCAAGTACAACTTCAGGCAACCTTCCGTTTCTCAAGCGTGCGGATGTGCGGATGCGGAAATGGGAAAACTCTTGCCCGTGGTTCCCTGCAGCCATAGTCTGATCGAGAGCCTACTTGTACACTCACTTTTTGCCATGATGATACGATCAGAAACTCAAGGTCGGCGCTGAAAGCTCTTCAGCCTGCTGGTGCCTTCTCGTGCCTGCGTGTGCCTATTTTGACGACCCATTGGACGAAGTATATAGAGAACCTAGATAGCAGGACCTCTTGCAGGAAGACAGAGCCCTCGATACCAGACATTGTAAAACACTAGGGTATTCCAGCCCGGCCTAATCCTTTGAATGATGTACAGGCACTTCGTAAACCTTCCTCCTCACCGATCCTTCGATAGACTAATAGAAACATTCAACTACTGTGATCTTAATAGCTCCTGAGACGGCCTGTCCGGCCCCCAAACTGGCACGCGCTTTCAAAGTCAAGACGAGATGAATAGAAGATCTGTGATGGGTGATATCGTAGGTCGTCCTTCCTATACTCACCACCCTCATGTTGGTTCGGTGAGCGATTATCCGGGTCTCACATCTCATTAGTTGTGATGTGATCTCTCGAATGGCGGACGGTAATGTACATGCCATTATAGATGCTCTCTGCTCCGTTGGCTCTTGAATGATAGCTCCGGCGAGATGGAGGAAAATTACTGATGGTAACTAGAACATTGGCATAGTACTACCAACTTTCAAAGGTGATACTTGCCATCCCCTCTTCGATCCCATTTCCAAACGATCTGAACGCCAAAACGCCCTCTTCTGACCGAAAATCAACCTCAACCTGATAAGAAAATTGGTAAATAGTCTTCCCAGACTGGGAGCTCACTTTCTTCCTGGATGCCCTTTCTAGGCTCAGCCGGGTCTTAATGGTCCCTTCTAATCGCACGTCGGAAGTCTTGAGATGCTCTGGGGCGTTGTCCAATCGACAAGAGAAAAGCGACACTTCGCTTGCTATCTCTTTTGCATTCGAACCAAGAGTCTGAGACACGCCTCTGTTGAGCTTAAAGTTCCGGTCCAGCTCTTGTCCCTATAAATTTCAGTCTTGCAACGCATATGGGAAGCGACATATCCCATACCTTGCTGACTGTCCAATGCATCCTGTCCGCGCAATACTTGCGCTGGTCGAATTCATCAATGTAGGCATCGTTTTCGTCGTCAATTCCCTCTCTGAATGGTTCTCCCCAACACCAACCGTAATGTCTCTTCGCAATGATGCTAATAGGTCGCACTCCTTCCAGTCCTCGCAAAACAGCTCCTTTGACAATGGCCGCTTGACTGAAAAGGAAATCTCAGCTACAACGAACAGGTCTCAAAAAGAAGAGATTCTGTCGAACATACCAGTCCTCTGGCGATGTGAAGTGGGCAATTCCACTCCGGTTACACCATTCTTCCAATTTCGTATTCAGGTAAGGTGAGGCACCGAAACCACCTACCAGAATGACTCTCTGCAGCTCGCGCGTTTAGTCCCGGGGCGAATAAGATCCAATTCGATTTACCCGATCAACTCACATCAATTTGGGTGTTCGTCTTTTTCTTCAACTGCGAAGCTTGATCCTCCACCAATTTGATACATGTGTCGACGCCGGGATCGAAGAATTCCTTCATAGTATCCCTGTTTTGCAATATAACTCCATAAATCAGCGGCTCAAAGAACCTGGGGTCTAAGTCGGCTCACCGGGGAATTTTCACAGTTTGGTCTTCTTTGTCATACAGTTCCTCGTTGTCAACGTTCATGATGATAGGTTCGACATAGTATTGCTCTTTTTCGTCACCTTTACGTCCGAAATCTTTCTTAGCTGTGTCGAAAGATCTCATGAAAGTGCTGCCAGGTCCACGTTTCTTGCTATCGACCGAGAAATACGCATCTCCAAAGGTCTTGCCCATCCACACCAGAAAACGGCGATCAATGAAGGTAGAGCCACATTTTCCACCTAAAGGGGAGAAGTTAGCGAAGCCTCCCAGCTCTTTTCTCCCCCCCCCCAAAACAAAGATAGTACTCACCTGATCCGCGGCATATTTCCTTGTGAACCAGCGGCTCAGTCCGAACGATTTCGTAAGTGATTAGATCCTAGGAGAGAGAATCAGTACGGTGCGTGGCAAAAGCTATTTTTCGGGAGATGTACTATCGTCCCTCCACCGCAATCACAGACCAAGACATGCTGCCCTACCTAAACAAATTGGTTAATAAACGTTATTGCAAGAGGGTCTATGGTCACGAAGAACCTTACTTTCAATGGGAACGTTGCAGCAGAAGTGAGAAAAGGTTTCAATGCGTACAAGGCTGCTGCCTCGGGTTCGGAGATCATCTTGACCTTGTCCCTCGGCCGTGATCCGAAACCGGCCCCCAGAGCAGCTTCACGAGTGAGTTGCTGAGCGCGGTCCGACCAAATCGCAGGCATTGTGATCCAGCACTCTATCGGGAAGATATCGACGACTGGAGCGCCTAGTCGCAGTTTGAGATATTGCATACTATAATGGTAGATTTCGGTGAGGTAGTCTTGCACAACATCCTTTGCCGATTTATTCGGTGGGAGATTAGGAGACTCGGAGAAGGTGGTTCCATACAAGTGTTCCAGGAGCGGATCATCATGCTCTGTGCGATCAATGCTGCCTTCAAGTTGTAGCTTTGTCCAGGCATATTGTTTGTGGGCCTGGGTCACTTGGTAGCCGTACTGGTTGCGGGGGAATTTGAACTTTTCATTCTCGGATGCGTATGCGATGATAGAGGGTGTCTTCCAGGCCGTGTCTGGGTTTCCCGGCCACTTGGACACCAGAACTATGTCTTGCCAACTAAGCGTATTTGTCGTCGCGAAAGCAACTCCTGAGTAGGTGGTGCCATAGTCAACGCCAACAATGATTTTATGGTGAACAGAAATCTCACGGTTGGTCGTCCTTTGGGATGACATACTCAGCGATTGTGATGGTCTCGAAACAAAGAGTCGATGGACGAGGCTTGATCGATAGCGGAAATAGAGGTTTATCTGTACCGTTTGCGCGACCAGGACCCCGGTCTATCGTTGAGGCGGAGATTGTGGCAGAGGCTGCAGAAAAGGGAGGGGGCTTCAGTGCCTGCCTGCGCCTCCCTGAGTGCGCCCCGCTTTGCATGAGTCGTAGCAACTTACAGGAGCGCAAGGGAATACGCGTCGGTGCGTGCCTAAGCGGTGAATTTATACCTGGAGCCTCGCGCAAGAGAACGAACCTCCTTGTAGTTGACCTGCTTTGAAGAGCCGAAACAATAAGTTTGAAGACTTGTCTCTCACTCTTGTTTCTGCCGTCCCAAAGTCTCGACGACAAGTCCGGATGCCTTTCGAGGATTCTGGGGGACCACAACATCGTCCTCTCCGCGGCCATGACACACCGGATCCAATGGACATCGACGGCTCAGCCAGTGATCTCCAGCATGTAAGCGCACAAGCGACTGAACGCTACGTCGACGCAGGCTCATGCATTCAGAATCAAGAACCGTCATCGAGCTCAAATCTAGAAGATACGAATGCTGGAAAAGAACAACGATCTCTCTCCGCTCCTTGGGAAGGGTATCACGAGGTCAACGTATCACCGGCAAGCGGAGAATACCGGCCTCATGAGAAGGACGTCTCGTACGATCTGACAAGTTCCAAACGCGACGAAGGCGCAATACACGGCAGTGGAAAGGATACCGACATAAGCAATAAACCGAAGACTGGAACCCGCCAATCGATCTTCAGTTTTTTTTCGGGCTCGGATAAACGAGAACCAAAAGCATCTGAAGATGCCTACAGGACAGAAACGAGAGTGGCTATATCACGGGCCAAGTTGCAGAACTTCGAAGAAGCATACGCAAGGTTGGAGAGAGCCAATGGCGACCTCAAGCGAAAGCTTCAAGGGGCTCGCGCAAAAAATGATCAACTGTTCGAGCAATGGACGGAGGGAAAAGTGGGTGGCCGCTGGAATCCTCTGCCGGATGATGAAGTCCGCCAGCTACTCAAGAACCTCGACAACGACATCACAGACTGGGCCGCGAAATGGGCTGTGAAAGGTCTGGATCTGGGAAGGGGGCCAGATGAATTCGTCATTGAGTTCGCAGCGTATCTTTCGCCATTCGTGAGATTGACACAAAATGGCTCCCTTCCCACCGTCATATGCGGACCTCCTGCAAGAATGCGGGAGAAAATTCCTGTGCTGCTCTTGAATGGTGGTCTGTGGGATACAATTCATACCAAGTTTTTCAAGACCCCTTTTTGGTGTTTCCCAAACCATTCGGAGGCTTTGCACGACATTTTTAGCCAACTGGCCAAAGGTATGGAATATGGAAAGCCCTTTGTCTGTCTGTTTTGAAAGAGCTATGTACTGAACAATCAAACTTTCAGGGGATCCTCGAGAAGCACAAGCATGGCGGTGCTCGCTGTGGCGGCTTTTGTCTCCAGCTCGGACATCCGATATGACGAGGTCTCAGCAAGAGGTTTATGAAGACACGAAAAACAAAATCAGTGATTTCTGTGACACGGTAGCCTCGCATTTCGAAAGTGGACCTGCGTGCTTCCTCTTGAAGGCCGAATCTGAAGATCACCAACGAGACCACCGAGCAAAACAACTCCGCGAGATTTTGAGGGACGCAGCGGCAATTGCGGAGAGGCTTTGGACTCAGAACTCTTCTCTTGAAACTGTCGACCTGAAATACATCCAGGAAAGAAATTTGACGTTTGATGTATCATCACCACTCTTGCAAGGACATAGACAAAGCAGACTCGCCGGGATTGACGATGATGACGAGGTCAACAACGGCCGGAAGATTCTTATTGTGACCCGACCGGGGCTCGTGAGGGTTGAACAGAATGAAGGCAATGGCAGTGGTCGAACTCTGGCCAAAGCCATTGTCTGGTTGGACGATCTCCCGCAAGGACAAGGAGCGAGACGGTAATTTTGATAAGTTGCAAATACCACATGGGGCTGCCGAGGTCGGGGGCCCAATCTAGAATCAAGTGGCCTAAGCAGGGATAGCTGCATTTGGTGTATCATCTCATGCGAGCCTACAGGCAAGTTCGACAGGTTTTGACAAGAGTCTTTGAAACTCTACCAGTTGCAGACAAATTTTCAACCAATTGCTTGATGTGCTGGACCTCTAGACGTCCTCAGCCTTACCACCTTCGCATGTAGTGAATGAATTTGAAACGAATTCTTCGTAGCAGAATCACTGTCCGCGGCCCTCAGAAGTTTTGGCATGTGAGATTGTTGGCCAGGTACGAGCCAGGCTTTTTATCTCACTAGCATGTACATATACAAGGCCAAGTTCTGCATGAGTTCAAGACCAGGCATGCGACACACAAGCCGAAGGTCCTCGGATGAGATAGATGGGTTCGTGGGGCTTAGGACTGGCTACAGGACCCGCTGAAAGACCTGAAGAGACCTGACCACATCGCGTCACATAAATCCATCCCACCTCATCCGGCGCTGCTCGCACTCACGCTCTTAAAATTCTCTGGTATGTGCTCAACATCGAGGGCAGATACGGATAGGCGGACTATCTAACCATCGATGAAGAGCAGATAATCAACCCCTTGTAGGAACTCGGTCCTCGATGACGAAAAGGATGGCTTAACTAAGGATTCAGGTAAAGGACGAGGCTGGCAATGCCTAGCAAGTCTATAGGGTATTAGTATCCCAACATTCCTAATTCCTGGCCAAAATCACCAGACATCGCATAGTTATGTATGCACTAAGGGCCAACAAATACGACACCGGACAGAGATGGTCCAGAATGGTTTATTATTCACCTGGAACCTGCAACTCGGAATCAGGATAAAGAGGTGAAAAATCCCAACAACACTGGGAAGGAAAGAAATAAGTTCCGAAGCTATGAATCATGATTCCCCATCCCCCTCTTGCCAGGGGACGTGCGAGTCCGTCGGCGACTCTGAAACGTGTTGTGCCCTTGTTTCCTTCTGCCCTGAGTTTCCTGCTCTTTGACTCTTCCCATACCGTGACTCTGTCCTCTTCTACTGCTCTTCTCTATATCTTCCGTGACTATACTATTCCTTTTTGACCTTTCCTCTTCCTTTGGCTATTCCTTCCTGTCGTTTACTCCCCAGTGCCAAGTCCCTCCAATGGTCCCGATCTCATACTCCTCACAAGTGGCGTTGATGAATTGGTAGTGACGGCCTCGGAGGCACTTTGAGCAGAGATGGTAAATGTCTATTAGCGCATCTTCCGCTACCCACTTGACAAACTCGCTCTTGGCCTAGTTCTTGATTTCTGGAATCCCAACCAGCTCTGCGGGCAATATTGGGGAACCCTTCTTAGCTTTTTCTTCGGTTTTGAGCCATTCCGAGACAAGAGTGCAAAAAAAGGGAACACGATCTTCTGGTGCTCTTTTAAATGTGTGGGATGCACTCTCCCAGAACACCAACTGTGAAGAGACGACTGAATCAACATCATTATCCGAGGGAAAACTTGGTGGAACTTGAACTTGTTTGAATTGCATGGCTGACTCATACGATTCGTTGCTAGTAGGGATACCTTGGTGAACAAGTCGTGTTGAACTCCATGGTCTCTCGTTCAATGTCCAAAGGAGGTCAGGTTGTGTTTTGATTGGCCAATCGATCTTGATACCCTTGGCTTCCGCATCTGCGCTTCTATTATGGTCAATCAGACCCCAAGAGGTTGTTCTCTCCTTTGGTCTATAGCAGAGACACACCCATATCGAATCTTCCTCTCCATGAAGACCTGCGGCGCGGTAAATCTCTTGGGTCGAAGATGGTCGGCTTCTTTGGTGTAGATGTTGTTGCACTAAGGGAGAAGAGGGCGGATGGAGAAGAAGGTGGAGGGAGAGTTGTAATACGATGTGGCCTTCGATGTTGGCCTGCCTCAGGTGCCTATTTCGACCGATATCGACTGATAATCTTGACAGGAGCGTGAACAGCTTTCGAGGTCTTCATTTTTTGCGAAGGTCTGAAGCAGATGTCGTGAAGAAAGGTAAAAAGTGCGAAGGGGAGCGAAATGACGAGCGGGGTGTGAGTGTGGAGGCGGTTTCTCAGCGTGAGAGAAAGAGAATTCAATGGTTCATGGCGATGCTTTCTTTTGAAGAACAGGCGAAGCGGTCTGACCGAATGCGTTGAGGGTTATCGAGTCGAGAATCTGCAGTGGTGGGACGAAGGCAGAGAAGAATGTTAGAATGGTTGGGGTCTTAAGGAAGGAAGTGTACTGGAACAGTACGCAGGAAGTATTAAAATTCCTAATTAGGATATCAGTAAAGGACACTCACCGCTCGATGCGGACGGCAGAATCAACATCGTGATACCGCTTCTGATATTGGGTGACAATCGCAACCGTGGATGGTGACCCAACCACTGCCTTCTTAGTCGCATTGAATGACAGGACAAGGCTGCGAGACAAGGCTGGAGTACCACAGCTCGACTATACTTCAACGAGACGCCGGCCCAATGAATGAGCAGGACAGATTTTGGGGATATAGCAGCATCTTCCTGCTATATGCGCTCGCACGCGCCGTAAGACGAAGGGCCCAAGGATCGAATGCATACCGATTGTCATGACAGACAAAGAGATTCAGGGTTGAAGATAGTTATGCATTTTCCTCGCTGGAACCTTACTGGACTCTGCGCTGATAAAGTGTGGTCAGATCGTACCGTCAAATGACGTTAACGAGCAGAGCCCTTTCTGCCCCATTTTACATTCAGAGCTTTTGCGCGGCCTCGTCGTCCCGTAGCCTCATCCCAACGGCCAGCAGTCGGGCTAAGCGTCGAGAAGGACAAGCAGCAGATCCCATGAGAGTTTTCTTTTTTTTTGGGAGGGGGGGACTGCCGATTTCTTACCGTTCTTCATGCTACATCTTTAAGTGGCGGAATGCTCACCTCACCTTGGAATGCAGTATCCCGCGAGACCGGCGGCGAGGACTTACAGAACTGAGGCCCCTTCAAGGAGTCACAAGCCATTTGGGATAGTATCCCTCCGATATATAGATGTTCTCCTCAGTCCTTGAAATTGGTGCGTCAGGAGAACCTGTTTTTCTCAACGGAAAGACAGCAGCCTCATCCATGCGAGGGCCGTGTCCATGTGGGGCCCATACAACGCAACAAAAAGCCATTCTCGAGCACCTCCTTACCTAGTTTCCAACCATGATGCTGCATCTACAAGTCACGCCGTGCGTTTCCACGTTCAGAAAAGAGTGACGTTGAAAATAGGAGCGGAGAAGGGCGCCACTGACTCCACGCAAACCCCAATTTCTGCAAAGACCAGCCGAGTATCAGAGATTTATATATAATACAACACCAGAAAATACGTCGGTACCTTGCTCTGGAAATTTCCAGCGAGACAGCCTTGGTGTCGAAGAATCGAAAATGTCGCAATCCACATTCGACGTCGTGATCGTCGGCGCAGGCCTCTCAGGCTTGCAATCCGCACTGACGCTGCATCGCGCCGGGCTTCGGTATTTGGTTCTGGAAGCCCGTGACCGTGTAGGCGGAAAGACACTGACGCTGCGGTCGTCGAGCACGGGGGCGGTGAAGTCAGACTTGGGTGCCGCCTGGATCAATGACAGCAACCAAAGCCGGATGTGGGCATTGGCGCAGGAACTGGGATTGCATACGTATGTGCAGAACACATTTGGAGACGTTGTTGTGCAGGACTTTAACGGGAGTCTGGTCAAGTTCCCATACGGCGGTGTACCCAAGGTATGCCACCTGCTCCGCCCAGTTTGGGTTGTTTGTGAATTGGATATCCTTTGTCTAGTGGAGATTGACAAAGTCTCGGCGTGCTTAGTATCCATCAGCCAAAGACACAGAGTCATGCATCTCAATCCGCGACCTGGTCGAAGAGGTCTCAACCACCAAATCCCCCTCGATATTCTCGGCAGGTCCGCATCGCCAGAGACTTGACTCCATCTCTTTCGAAACATACCTGCGCGAAGCAAATGTGACGCCCAAGGCCTTCGCGACTGCTCAAGTCTGGACGCACGCCATGCTCGGTGTCGACCCGGCTGAAGTTTCTGCGCTGTACTTCCTGGAATACTGTGCCGCTGGGGGGGGCCTGATGACGATGCGGTCCGACTGTAAAGATGGAGGCCAATATCTGCGCATCCGAGAAGGTACCTCTGCTTTCGCAGAGCGGATGGCTCAGAGGTTGACGCCTGGATCCCTCAAGTTGAACAGTCCTGTGTGGGGAGTAACTCAGAACGCAGACGGGACTGTTTCGGTGTCAGCCAAAGGCCCAAGCCCCATGGCCTATAATGCTCGAAAGGTCATCATCTCGGTCCCCACACCGGTCTACAAGACAATCACATTCTCACCACCTCTTCCGCCCTCCAAGACTTCCGTGGTCAACCGCACTCGCTATGGCTTCTACACCAAGTACATAGTGAATTTCAGCAAGCCATTTTGGGCAGAGAGGAAGCTGTGCGGGCTCGGGCAGTCGTTCGTCGGTCCAGTCTCAGTGTTTCGTGACACTAGCCTGGGAGATGACAAGTACTGCATGACATGCTTCATCGGCGGACAGTTTGGGCGGCGGTGGGCGGCTCAAGACGCCGAAGGGAAAAAGGCATCGGTCTTGAAGCAGATCGGCGACATCTTCGCAGACGGCAAGGATATTACTCCGCTTTTCATCGAAGCATACGAGTCGCCTTGGATGGAGGAAGAGTATTCAGGCTGGGGTTGTCCATGTCCGGCCCTGCCACCGGGCGTGTTGGCTGATGGATGGGACGCGTTGTGTGCTCCAGTAGGAAATGTGCACTTTATTGGAACTGAGCTGAGTACAGTTTGGCGTGGTTATATGGAGGGGGCAGTTGCAACAGGTGAGAGAGGAGCGATGGAAGTTCTGACCGAGTTGAAGGGTGGAAAACTGAGCGCGAAGCTGTAGTTGTTGATAGCACGCAAGAATGATCAGGTGGCGGTACAGCAGCCTTGTGGTATGTTTGCTGAAGCGTGTAGATCAAGAAGCTTGACAAGATGGTCTCCCTTGGTCTGAATGGACACCCTGCCAGAGAAGATTCTTTGATTCAACTGATCAATTCAAACAGAGTGAAGTGTGTTGATGTTCGAGCAGAAGAAAAGCAAAGGGGTAGCGAATATTAACCGAGTTTTGCTGATGTCTTGTATTACCTGATTCAGTTAGTGAATTTTGCAAATAGATACGTTCGTTTTGGTTAGCTCATCCGGTACAGCGGAGGAAGTACAACACGTGACAAAGCAAGGAAGAAAAGGAAAAAGTCAAGTTTGTTTGTCAACATTAACTCATTGTAGAGCTAAAACTACTCCCAACGGTCCATCGACTCAGTTCAGAAAGCCATCTCAAGGTCTCAAATTCAAACGAATGGCTTCTGTCCAGCCGGGTTCTAGGGTATGACATGTCTCGTAACAGGAATGACGTCCAGATTCCGGGATTCGGTTCACGCGGAGACTCCGGAAAATTCGGCGGCTCATTTCTTCTCACCAGAGATGGAGCGAGCTAGATCTAAGCAGTCATCAGTATGAAGGATGCATTCGGATTGGAAAGGTGCTCGTGTGTACCTGATGCAGCCTTACTTGCACTACTCAAAGCATTTGCAGCCATCTCTTGTGCCTGTTCCAGATATCCCTTGCTTGATTCTTGTGCAGCATCGGCATTGGAACTAGCCTTTGGAGCATAGTGGGAGGCAGTGTCCTGGACATTCTGGGCCGCGGAGGAGAGTTTGTCGGTAGTGGCGTTGAAGTTGGATTGAGTCTCGTCGGAGAGTTTCTGAGTAGTGGACTTGCTATCTCCTAGGAGAGAGTTAGACCTTTGTTGTAGAGACAGAGGGGCCTGAGAACTGACCTGGCTGAACCATGCCTGCAACGCTGTCTGCGGTATCGGCGACAGACTCTTTGGCCGTGTCGAGGGTGGACTTTTGCGGGTCTGGGGTCATGGTCTCCGAGATTTCTATGAACAGGTTAGATCACAGGTCAGCTTACGGGGCGATGAGGTGGACGTACGGTCAGTCAGAGGATTGGAATACTGATCTGGTTCTTGTGGACATAGAAAAATAGTGACACAAGTTGAGTGAGTGTGCAGCTCGACAACAATGAAGAATAGTGGGATGGCTGTGGAAGAAACCAGGAGAGAGGAGAGGTTGAGGAAGCACGAGGATTTGACTTTTGCTGAACCCTATCAGAGACTATACAGGCGCTGTCGCGTTGAAGCTCCAGTTGCAAGGAAGCAGTTAACACTGCCAAGTTGGTGGGGGTATAAATTTTGACGTCATGGCAAAGAGCAGTACAGAAAGCAGAGAGCAATCATGTGACAAAAGAGAGGAACAGGAAGTGGGAAGCGACAGGCGACAAGGCAGGGTACATGTTCAATGTACCATCCTCGTCCTTCTAGTTTCTACAAGGGTACTTTGGTGCTCAGGTCGACAATGTGCGCCATACCTGTGTCTTTTCTGCTCGAGGGGCCCAACTGAACTTAACTGAATGGAGGGGTATCGGCTTGCTTGCCCGCTGTGAATAACATCATCTTCGAACTTGGATCTTGAACGTAAACGCAGTCAAACCACCTCTTGCATGTACTTCATCCCCTCATCCTCATTACGGTACCATGCCACTGTTACTGTGATCGGCAATCACTAGTTCGTCGGTTCGGACTGTCGAACTTACTGGTTAGCATTACCCCTTCTGCGTCACCGATTCAGGCTCCTGGAGATCAGGCTGCTTTCCAACGTTCTCGAGCTCAGCTCCCTTTCCACCATACGCCACGGGCAACGAATCTTGTAAACCCTTGACATTGCTGTTCGCTGCGATTTCCTTGGCGAGATTGGCACCATCGCTCATTGGGTGGAATTTTTTGATGGTCTTTGGAGCCACGAACAATTTCATGAACGCATAGATGAAACCCATGATGGCCGGCACATTGACGAAGAACTTCTCCTTCAGAAGCTCAGGATAGTTCTGAGCAAAGATCTTTATTGTTTCGGTACTGGCTGCTTTGACGACGGGAGATTGACGCAAGAAGCTGATCGATTTGTAGTCATGAACCTGAACTATCTTGTACGGATCATAGTCGGCAGTGATAGTCTTGGATGCTTGTTGGATGCCGAGAGAGGCCAAGGCAGCCTCCATGAGAACCACGCGCCATTCGAGGAACCTTTGGAACAACAAGTCAGTCCGAGAATCGCATGTCAAGTACAGGTCAGCTTACTCTTGCAAGTCTCCAAATGTTTCCTCCACATTCTTGACGCTACCATAAATGTTCCAGGTGATGACTTCTTTGAGCTCGGGGTCAACTGTATCGTGTGCCCCGAAGGTACTAACATAGCCCAGTCCGTTGAATTTGTGCCGGTTGAACTTCTTTTGCGTCAACTCCAGAGGCTTTATCTTGGCTCGCCAGTCCAATGTCTTGGTGAGTTGATCCTTAGACTTGGCCAGGTCTCCATCGTTGGCATTGAGAAATTTCTGGAGGATGATCTGGGTGGGGATATCGTTTGCAGGATCTTTCAGATAGACGCCCCAGATTTCTGGATGGCCATGGGATTTGGCAGCCGCCCAAAGGTCTTCGATAGGAGGAGTCGGCTTCGTCACAGTTATCTCAGTCCTGTCGGCCTCCTTGGCTGCCTCTTGCTCAGGGATTGCAGTGATAGTTATGCCAGTCTCCTGTGCATAATTAGCCGGGTGTTCAGGAACAATTCAAAGACGCTGGATAATATCGTACTGTGGGTGGAGTGGATTCATTGACGACTTTCAGCTCGGTTGGGGTCACGTCTGGGACGACACCAGAGACCTCACTAAGGAGAGTAGTGCTGGTGGGCGCCGCGGTGGTTTCGTTTGCAGTCATTTTGTTGCGCGAGGGCGATGGCGATTTGGCGCGTCGCAAGAGAATGCTAGTCGATGTCAAAGAGGGCCTCTGGAGGAGGATTTACACCGTCCAGGATCCCACTTCGGGTCTGCAGGCCCTGAATTCAAATATGTTTACAATGAACTGCCGCGCTTCTGATATTGAGTCAGCGCAGTGAATAATGTTTGCACAGCAAAGCCACGGCCAAAGGAATCTAATGAACAGATGAATAAGAAGGTCCGCTGACGACCAGCAAAACAGATCCAGTGTATTCTTGGGATGATTGAACGAGAGTGAAAGTGATGAAAGTCAATGATGTCGTTGAAATAGCGGTTATATCGATGCCTAATCTTATCTGATGTAATATCCGAAGCCCAATGCCGATTATCTCCGAACTTAGCCACCCCCGCAACACGACCGTTCCGAAAGTCAGTTGACAATATTCACATCACGCTCCCGTTACTCTATGCAATTATCAGTAAATAGCTGGCTCTAGAGAGGAAATCTATCCTGCAGCGCTTCAATTAACAATGCATGCCGCAGCATGGTGTTCCACTTGTCTGGTATACCTCTATACTTCATTCCATCACCAAGACTTGATATACTATCACACCCTCTTCGACCTCGCACAAGATTGATTCATTCAAATATTTGTCCATTTCCTTCTATTCATTCCTTCGCACCCGTTCTGGCATCCAAAGTCAGTCTCCCTAAAAATCAAAGTGCGCACTTCTGCTCGAAGCTCTGTATGCCCAAGCTCTCGAGTCAGACGCGGTGATATCATAGAGTAAAAATCACAAATTCTCAAGTGAAATAGGCCCCATCATTATATATTTGCTCATCAAACCAAAAACCTCGACCGAACCCAAAACCAACTAGACCCTGTCGTATAGGACCCAGCCCCCCGGATCGACCAAGAGAGCTGAGATGGAAGATTGGAGATTCGTGTATCGCGTGGTCGTCAAGTCGTATAACTGGTGTGGGAGATAGAAGAGAAACAAAGTCGGTATAGTCTATGTGCAACACAGGAAAAACGAATGGAATTCTCTGAGGTCACTTCGACTGCGTCAATATCCCAGTATGTCGGCCCCGGGCCATGTGCTTCATCCAGAGCACATAACGCGCGGAGCGATCACAAACTCATGGTCAACCATTCCCATTCTTGACTGTTGCCGTGCGAGTTCCCGTTCAGGTTTTGTACGCCTGAGTTGAGCAGACCTCCTTGCATCACTGATGCCATTGTCGTGGCTTCAGCCGGAGACGACATACTGGCCGCCTTAGCCCGAGTGACAGGAGTCTGGGTGGTCTTGGGTGTTGACTGGCTCACGTCCTGCATCTCTGCTTCATTCGTAGACCCCGAATTGCTGCTGATGATGGGTAAAGTATTGGTCGATGCCCGAGATTGACGCCGCTGACGTTTCGGCGTGACTTGAACGGGGCGAGCCATGTTCGGACCGGGGGGAACAGGAGGCTTCGGTGGTGCTGCAGCAATCGGTACAACCCCAGGTTTACCTCCAGTTGTCCCAGGAGGATAGCTTGTCGGTGTTGTTACAGCAGATCCCGAATGAGCGGAGCCTTGAACCGAGGCTGGCGATGCCGAATTCTGTTCACTCGCAGCATTGCCAGAAGTAGGTGTGGTTGCTGGGGTCTGCTGAACCGAATTCTTTCGAGAGGCTTTCTTGGATGCTCTCGTGGCGGCAGTCCCCATGGGCATCGTATTTCCACTGCCACGATTGCGTTTCTTGATGACATCAGTTTTAAGGGACAACGGACGAACAACGCCATGAAGCTTCAGGAACAACCCGCATGCATTACAAAGAGGGTGGCCTTCCGGGTTACGTCGCCATAATGGTGTTGTCTGAGTGAAACAATTGGTGCAGGTGGTTGGGACGCCATTCTGGTCGGTATTTTTGGGACCTGGGCTACTGGGTCTCGACGGCTGTCGACTGCTGAATCCGGATTCGTCCGGTGAACTGTGGGTGGAGTGCAGGTGATTGTTGGAGAGGGCCGGCGTTGAAGTCGTTCTGGGTATCTTTTGTCTTCTTGGGTCCTGATCACGATTCCGGATCTCGCTGATCGATACTGTTGAACCGTGGTTTCGACTCAACATTGAGGAACCCCAATCCGGAGGCGAATTGACCATTTCAGTACCTCCGATCCTGACCTGTTTTCCAGCATTCCCATATCGTTGCACGTTGCCAAAGTCGGTCACATTGGGGTCCCACTGCAAACCCGAATTGAGGTCCAATGTAGGGTCACTGATCTGGCCATAGTCGGATTGCATCATGAGGCCGCGTTCTCCGAAATTTCCCTCGTCATCTTCGGGGTCTGAGTCGGCTCCAAATTGGAACAAGTTGTCATTTCCGGTCATAGAAACCCCAGGAGACACTCGGCGCCCAAATTCTGGGACCAGGACTCTCGAAGGATCGACATGTTGCTGTAAAGAAAATCCATTCATGTTCGGCGCGGACCCAACGCCATTCATGGCAGAATATACTTGCTCGTGGTTGGCGCCGTAGGCATATTGCGAGGCCATGGGGGCCGTCAAATGATTTCCCCGTTGCGCCTGGTAGAACGGCATCGCTCGCGGATGCCCGGTTTGATCAAAGTAATATTGCTGGACGTCATTTTCATGACCAGGTTGGGGCGTTGACACGGCGGAGGGGTAGCCAGACTGGGGCGGGGAATAGATATCTGCCGAGTTCAAGGAAGAAGCCATGGAAGGCTGGGTATAGATATTGGAGAAAGGGCCATTGCTCACCATGGGTGACGCTGCGGGAGAGAAGGTGAAATTCTGCTGAAATGGACCGGCGGAGGTGAGGATCGGGTCATCGTTAAGGTGGAAAGAGTCAAGATGCAGTGACATTTGGCCTTGAAAATTCGGCTGCCCAGAGAAATGTGACGCTGAAGATTGATCAAGAGTGTAATCTGGTAAACCGTTGTCGATTTCAGAGCCGCCTCCACCACTAGGAACCGTCAACGGAGGCACTTGGGGGGAGAAATCAGCAGGACGTTTTCGATTCTGATACACTACATTAGCGAAAAGGAAAAGGTCCAATCAAAACTGAGCACAATGGAAAACTCACTCCTCTCCTCTCGTCAATGCTAGTCTTCCGGACTCTCTTCTGCACATAATCAAACTCCGATGACCGGCGCAAAGGAATGGAAGACTGGGGCATGGACGAGGGCGGTAGTCCTTTGGGAATCTGTACCTGAGGCTTTGTCCGTGCCGCAATCGGGATCCCAGGAGCCTGAGTAGGTTTTGACTGCCCATTAACGGGTTCGGAGGTTGCTGGAGAAGTCATCCCGGCGGGTGACGCAACCGAACTTGGAACTATGAAGTCGTCCAAATTCATGGGATCTGAAGGCTGCTCGGACTCAGCAGAGGTGTCTACTGACTTGCGGAGTTGCTGAGCAATCCCGCTGGGTGCGGAGGGCTCAGTCGGGCTCTTGACTTGGGCTTGCTTTGCACTAAATGAATTGTCAGTACCGGCTGTGCGAGAATCGCTGCCGGAATGAATGCTGTTTCCATACGCTGCTTGCTTCTGCTCTCGCCGGCGAAGGTTCATGGCCATCATGCGCCAGGTTAAGTTCTCCATGCGCTCCTGGTTAGGTAAGCGGGATTTCGTACGGCTATAGAGTTTCCATATTTGAGTGCCTAAAGGATCCTTCTTCTGTAATTCTTCGGGGCTCTCGAGTTCGTCGGAACGAGGATCGTCCTTCCAGCCAGGAAAGACGGCCTCCCGTAACAGCTGCTCATTTCGAGCAATGGTTTCGGAGGTGGAGAGATCCAGATTGGGACTTTGTGATTTAGCGAGTTGAGAGGAGTGGATATTGGAGGTAGCAGTGGAAGACAGGTTGGTCGAGGAAGTATTCGTAGTTGGAGGTCCCAAGCTGGACCAGGTCGAGGAATCAGTGTCGTCTAGACTGGAGGAGGGCTGCGGTGCTGGCGCAGGTAAATGAGAGTGGTCGGCCGGGGAGTGGACAGCGGAGGTTGGTCGTGAAGCTGCAGTTCCCCCACGTTCACCATAATCCGCATTCGACATTACCGGGGGCGATTGGAGGAGTCGCGTGCAGCAGGCTGTGAGGTAGAAAGAAACAATCGTATTGGTATGGATATCATCAGCAACGGCAGCAGGGTCGAAGCCACCGAAATGATGTAGGTGTGAGTCGTTGACAAGCAAGCAAGCAGAAATTAATTGGCAACAGAAAGTTGAGCAAGCAGCAGTGTCATCACTGGCACGAGTACAAAAAGGGTCGGCAGAGAAAGGGTCGGAGTGATGGTTCGGCGTCGCAAGGTGGGAGGGTATAGGTAAGAGGCACGCAACCTATGAGGAGAGGAGGGAGGCGTTTGGGGATGGTCAAGGTGTCGGCGGGTGGACAGGGTGGATGCGTAAAGTGTGGCCAGGGTCGAAAGGATGGCACGCAGGCCTAGTCAAGGGCTCCAGTTTCCTTGAGACTCTTTTCGAGAAGACAAAGTGGAAAGACGGAGAGGACGAGGAATTGGGGGGGAATCGGGATGTCGTGGGAGAAAAGGTTGCTGAGTGGAGAGACAGAAGAGTTTGAAAGACCAGCCGAGAAAGGACCAAACCTGGTAATTGACTAGTCGTAGTACAATGTGATGAAGGCAAGTTTACTTACTCTGTTGTCGCGGACAATGCGAGGGAGGCGATCCCGAAACACTCGGATTCAAATGATCGTTCACTAGGTGGCGGTATGTACCATGTCCTCTTTGCTGTGATGACTTGCACAATGCTGCCGAGTGTACCTAATTGGTATTGCGATCTTCTTCCTTCTCCTGAAGCTCTTGCCTTCATCTCTCTCCTTGCCATCTTTGCCCACTGTTATCGGAGGGGACTTGGGTAATTCTGCAGGGAACAAAGCATCGGGATGGCGCCGATCGGTAATAGAACCAGTTACCAAATTTTGGAGACCAACAGTGGTACTGGCCGTGTGGGTGGATGGGTGGGAGGAAGAGTGGGCGGGAGACCGAAATAGAGATCAATCAATGGAATCAATTCTCTTCCGTTCGAGTCGAGTTCAAATCGACTGGGATTGGTCTGATCTGGTCTAATGGAAGGTTTTTGCTTTCGGCGGTACCCAAAAGAGCGAGCGAACGAACGGCGAAGGCAATCCTCCAAAGGGACGGGGGAACTGGGGAGCAGGGGCCAGGACAGGGACCCCAGCAAAGCACCAAACTGGAGGGAACATGGCTATTGTGGCACTGCCAATGTCGCACTGTCTGGAGATGAGAGGGACGAGCAGGGAACGACGAGGCACTGAGATGGAGATGGAGGGGAACTACGGGAACCTAGAGTTTCGGCGGGGCCTGTTTTAGTGAGGTTTCGCTGATTTCTGCCGGATGCACTGGAGCACTGAGGCGTGTCCTGCGGTAGCCCAGTGTCAGCCCCAAAAGCTTGGAAGCTGTTCAGATTTAGGCCCTCATGCCCATGCCCATCCTCATGCTCGTGCTGGTGCATCATGCTTTGAAGGATGCTGTGCTTCGGGCTTTTTGGAGGAATGCATTATGCTGCATGCAGTGCAGCGTGCAGCATGCCGGTGCGAAGGCCTAGCGTCATGGTGCCAGGGCTCTGCAGAGGCTGCACAACCACTTTTAAGCGGGCACGCCAGGATTGGCAGACCCATAAATGCCCGATCAACGGGCTTTCTCGTGCTTCTGGTAGCGTGGGTGGCCATTGTCGTCTTGCTTTCGGTTCGTCAACGCGGCGTGGGAGGCAACGTGCCACCAATGCTCCCTCGCAGGTATCCTGTACGTACAGTGTACACCAATGGCTTGGGTGTTCCGTATACCTCTGGCACCGGTATACTAGAAACCAGCCTGGCATGAAGGAGTCGGAAGGACGTATCCAGTACCTCACCATCAGCTGCAATTAAAATGGCCATTACGAATGATAATGAAAACTATAATGAATAGTCACTCGAGATTGTACTCCCCCATTGCCGGTCGCAACATGCGCAGTGTCTCCCAATAGCCGAGGCCCATGTCCACGAGACAAAGGGAGGAGAATTGGCAGGTGTACAGTCATAAAGGTTGCGTGAGGCAAAATAAGGGGGAGATTTCCCTCATAACCTGATCATGAATCAATTCCTGACTATTTTACCGGCCGAGCTAAGAGACCAGCAAGGCTCTGGTCGAGAGACAAGTGCACTATAGCGACAACAGACTTCTCGGTACGTACCTACTCCAAGTATCCTGGCAATAGATAGGTACCTTATCACCCACATACTTAGAAGATGTCCAGAAAGGCCGCCACTGCTACTGCAATGCTCCTCCACGCGCTCCACGTCCCATTCTCTACCATCCCATCAATCCTCTCGTCTCATTTCTCAATCCATCAAGTAACACCACCACGCTTCCCTATTAGGCTCTTCATTCCCAACTGCCATCCTCCGCTAGGCCGTGGAATGACTGGTACCAGACCACTAGATACTTACGGCAGATACGGTCATATCTTCCGTGGGAATTTCCCGCCAGCCCTACAGTGACAGATTCACGCCCGCCTTGTTCATGTATCTCGAAGCAAGTACGCCGTGAAGTTAGAACTCCAACAAGATTGGACTGTGCCATGCACGGGCACCTGAGCGCCCATACATTCAGCTGTGTCACATGCTGTACCCATTAACTTCCTCAGGCCCCTCCTCCATATCATCTGCTTCAATAACTCCAAATGCGGAGTACTATATTGCAATCGAACGACTGTCCATGAACTTAGACTGATTTTGCAGCTTCAAAGCATCCACCAATTCCCTCTCCCGGCCGCCTCTTTGCTTGCTGCTCCAGCCCGTCCACAACAATCAGGAGCCAAGTGATGCTCGCCATTCCAGTGCCGCCAACGGCTCTATCCTTCACGAAGCGTCCCCTGGGTTCTGCTTAGCGAGCCACGGGCATCAGATGGCCTTCAAGAGCTCATACAGAATTCGAGACACATGATGAATGACCTCCAGAGAGATGCCACGCAGCCACTAACATCCACTCACGGGTGTCGACCCGGACTACTCTGTACCCTGTAAAACCCGCTGTGGGCCCAAAGATTGACGTGCATGCAACTCATAACCGACCTGTCTATGGCTCTGCGAGCTGCGTGCCAGCGAGAAAAGACTCATGTTCAGCCCGACCTCTTCGCTCCTCTCCCTTCAGTTTGAGTAAAAATTGACTCTGGGGGACATTGGAAGTTAGAAGGCCCGTTGACATGATCGTGGGCAACGTGTTTGCATGTAGGCTCACACCAAAGACCATGTGCTTCATCCCCCCAGTTTTCGCCTCATCTCACTGCCGGCTTTTTCCCTTCGGTACCTCTCCGTTGTGCTCTCAAAACCCACTCGCAAAGCACATGGCGAACTTGGATCCCCACCATTGAATGAAGCGATTCAATTTATTGCAGCGCTCATTCCTCCGAGCCATACCCGTCCATCATCTCGTACCAGCCACCATTGACGAACCACCACCGGCCACCCATCATCCTCCCATTTCCCGAGGAACGAATTTAACTCCTTAGCGCGGGGTGCTCTGGAAACGCCCCGCGAAGACATGCCCCCAAATTCAGACTTGGCCACACAAATGCTTTCACTTTCCCTTTACTCCCCCCCCGGCAGACTGGTGAGGCCGAAGATCACTGCGCTGACCAGACTCTGTGGCGCTGGATACTATTCTTTCAAGCAAGGAGCATTTAATTTGTCTGCTTCGGTTCGAGCTCTCCCTGGAGGGATGGGAATAATCTCAACGAGCCTGATTCGTAGGCTATTCCTGCGACAAGGCGCTGGTTCCGAGAGCCTAAGATCAAAGGCTCGTCCGGTGGGCCAATCCTCATCAACCCCACCGAATTTGACTCCTCACCAGCTTGTTGATCACCAGCAAGCAATAGGCCACTTTCGTCAATCGGCTTCGACAGCACGAAGTCAGGATCAGGGCCAATATCGGGTGCCCGATCTTGCTTTGCCACAAGCTTCGTGTGTATGGATACGATGGCATTATTCTCGAACTCTTCAAAGGTCGATGGCTCACGAAGGCATCGGATCACACCTTTAGATTTCTTGATCGAAGTTTGTTTCTAGCAAATGATGGAGCATCCTACGCCTATGAGTTCTTCCAGCCGTCTGTCTCGGGATTTCTTTTGTTCTCCAACAGAATGCAAAACCAAGTGACAGCAGCTAATCCTTCTACGTATTGTGTTGCCACACAATTTTATCCAGGCTTCATGAAGCGAGATTTCATCAAAACACTAAAATTCCTGGATTGAACCTTGACGCACATAATGCCTGAAGAAGGACACATGCTTGCGTCATGGTTTGCGTACTGCCATAACGCAGGGCTTGAGAAACCGATCAACGAACAACTCTATGCATGATACCGTTCTACACGGCAGGAGAATACCTACTGGACGTTTTCGAATTTCCTCGACGTTCGACATCTTGATCTAGACAAATTGAGCATTGATTGTTTGTCGACATCCTCTTTCGACAATTGTAGAATTAGAACTAGCGGCATGTTCCTATTGGCTTACAACTCGAAGACCAAATAATTATGAGCAATCGATACAATTCTCAAAAATCAGCACCATGCTTTTTCCTATATTATCACATAAAAATGTCTCAACAATAGATCCCACCACCAAAATTGTTACTGAATGGGTTTCATGGCCAGAACGTGATCAAAATATTGCCGAGACAGAGCTGAGCCTGAGCCTGAGGGTAACAACCCGGGACGAAGCCAAAACTGCTGCTCAACGTCGGTATCCGTCTCGCAGTCCAAAAGTCTCCAATTCCCTGGTGAAGCCAAACCGGCCAAAAGGGTCGATTGACTTCCATCTGTGCTGTGTTTCGGAGGAAGCCACAAGAAAAGCAACGACCCTTAACCTAAAGACCGGAAAACACAGATCGTCCGCTGGAGGGTCTCTTGTGCCCAAATTCCACATCAACCCGCTCAGGCACGCGACCACCTTTGCGTTGCAATTTTGCGGGTGATGACAATTCCAAATGGTAAGAGAAAGAATAAGCAATAACAGCTTAAAAAAGGGGGTCGCCCGGCGCCGTGATGGGATCCCAATGCGGAAAAGGGAAGTGAGTTGTTTGCATTTCCGGATGGGGACAATTGTGGGAGAGGGGCGCAAGCGAAAATCGTTCAGCGTCGGTCCTAGGTAAGGCAAGGGAGACCATGATCATAGGCCAAGGGGCATATCTCTCGCAACGGATGCCATCAAATTGTCTGTGGCCCGCCGAAATAAAGACCTCAGGGAGGTCGGTGGATGGTTGAAAGGATAAAAGTCAAAGTTTGTCGGGGTGAACTTGGCAGCATTTAGCTGCATCGTTAGCTTCGTTCTCTCGGGGGCGCTTCAACTGTCGTTTTAGGTGCATGCCGCTCCCGACCATCCTTGCACCAATGGCCCTTTCCAACATTCCATCTCTCCAGTCCATCTGAGTTTACCATCGATAGCATTGGCCATTCTTTCTCAGCAACAAGCCTAGACTTTCGGAAACTCAAAATGGGAGTTCTCAGCCTGGTACCCCACCACGAGAGGCGAATGCATCGAAGCCCTTCTCGAATTCGCATGCCTGTGTCAGCTGCAGAAAAAGGAGGCGTCAAACAACCAAAAAAAAAAAATTTTCTTTGCCTTTTTTTTTTTTTTTTTTTGGGTCCCATGCAAAAAAGATCTCTTTCTCCGTTGCTGGCATCAAGAGATTGAGAGACTTGCCACAAACCTCAGGCGACGGCCGAACGCCCTCGAAAAGCGTCGGCATGGGAGAATGCAACACCCCCACGCTAGTGCAAGGTTCTGCAGGCTCGAACGTACTTGTTGCTTACCCCCCCCTGGCACAGGACAATCCGGGCTAAATTTCATCGCGTGGTTTGCTGTTTCGAAGTGCCGGTCTCGTTTGAATAATGAAGTTTCGTCAAAATAAACCATCACGACAACTTTCCTTTACTCCGCGATTCGGAGAGGGATCAAATGATGTTGTGAGACAAGATATTCCTGGGTATACTTTGACGTTGGTAGCATGAGTGATCAGAAGGTATCATCTTGATCCAAGCCATGTAGGATCCAGTCCCGCATCTTCCTTATTCCTTTCTGGGCGTCATTGAAGTCGAATCCAAAGAATGTAACAGCTGGCTGATTTCGTTAGGAACTTTGCGCCTGGTGTACCCGGCTCCGTCGAGTCCAGCATCATATACTAGCGGTAGTGTGAGTATGTGTGTCATGTCGTGGCCATGGCGGTAGGCACCAAGGATCTGGCTTGCCCTGAGTTGGAACACAATGTGTGCGCTGAGTGTTTTGGTGTTCTGTGTTACACCTACTACTCCGTGGCGAGGCTCCCAGAGAGACTAAGGCCTAGAATATACAGATCTATACAGCGGCCCAAGCGGTCTTTAAGTACAAGAGCACTCTTGGGCTTCGGTCACCGTTCCAGCAATGATAAGGTAGATAGTAAAGGAGATCAGCGATGGCCCCAAAATTCTTTGTAACATTCAGATATCAAATCGGGCAGGCAAAGGCAATCAGACGATAGCAACCAGTCGTGTATCTCTGTCTCTCGGCTCGATGGGCTGTGATAGGGGGAAGCCACTGTCAAGGCTCTGATAACCGTGTCACACCCCCGCGATAACAGGGTGGTTTTCTTTTTGGCGGCGCTGCGATAAAGAAATCTGGGGCAAGGTGATCCATCAATGAATGAAGCAGGCGTTTGTGAACTTTATCAGAGTTGCTTCTTGTCGTCCACTCAAGTTTTTCTGACCAGTGAAACTGGAGTATCTTCGTTTGACTTCGGTGTTGCATTCGGATTGTTCAATGTCGACAGTATCCATTATCTTATCGTGAAGGTTCAGCTGGCGACGAATGCCAGAAGTTGCACATGAGGTTTGGCCTTTCCCGCCTGAGCATTGACATCTTCCTCGGCTGCTCCATTTGGATTAAGACGACAAAGTCCAGAAAGATCGTATCATCGTCTGTCAGGAATGTTTCCAGCCTTGCCCACTCTTTGAACTACACAGCATATGTAATTCGGGTCCGGAAAGATAATGATTTCTTGGTGTCTGGTTCGGAGCCGAAGTAACTGTATTTCGTCCTCACCAACCTTTTGGTCCGATTCTTCTTCAGCATTCGGCTCTTGTTTCGAGAATGTCGTTGGGTCTCCGTAGGATGACGACCCGTCTGGTCCTGACGCGCTGCGAGATGTGGACCCAAGAGTGAACCCGAGCATGCTAGCATTGGTGACGAATTGAAAGATGGAGGAAGCAAGCAGTTCGACAGCTTTCAGCTGGGTGACACCGCCATCTTGGTCTTGTCCTTCAAGAACAGCATCTCCCTCCTGGTTTCCATCTGGTTTTTGACCCTCTCCCTGCGCTCGCGGCCACGGGTATGATGTTCCAGCTCCTGTGGTACCTGGCCTTCCCGAGACAACAATGCCTGTGGCTCTGACGATGGAACCGTCTTTTCTGGAGAGGATTAGGGTAGATTGTACATTTGGTCGATCAGTCAGGCCTCGTAGCATTGCATCGATAGAAGGGCTATTCAAACCCTCCTATCCCAATTCAAGTCAGAATATGGTCGAAGTATATAGGCAGGAAGGTACGGACCCTTTCTGGCTGCGCCATGTTGCTGCTGTTCCACCCACGCAAAGAAAGATGTGTATTCTCAGGTGAGCATCACAGCATGCTGTCAATGGGTTTTTGGGAAGGAAGATAAAAATGCTACCTCTGTTCGGTTGAGGTCTATTTGAACTGAGGCATGTGTCGAGGCGCAGAACGCGTCCGACGAAGATGTCTTAGGAGCAGATCTGAGGGTCAATGTAAGCTCTGAAGGGGTCTAGACGAGCAAGATCAGATCTCCAGTTAGGTGCGTAAGCATGGGGGGGCGGCAAGGCTGGATATATCTAGAGTTTTCATTACCAACATAAACTGTTCCTCCGCACTTTCTTCTGGAGAGACTTTTTGAAGGATGGAAATAAAATTATTTGTCCTTTGCAAGTGCTGGGCCCGTGGCTCGGCCCACCGTCCAATCAGAAGCTTAATTTCTGAGCCTCGCGAAAATTTATACCGGCTTTCTCTAAATATTCCTTGCACATCCGTCGCCTTTTGGTTGCACTGTCGACATGGGGTCGAGCGCGAAGAAGAAGAAAGAAAAGAAGAAAGACTTCCAGAAACAGAAGCTGAAAGTGGGCAAGGCGAAGCCCAAGGCTGACAACCATACCGACACCAGCTTTCGATCCAAAGGTAAATGAATATATCTCTACGTAGAAGGTAGAAAGGAACTTTACTGACTCCTACATAAGCTATCGTGCTAAACCAGCAGCTAGAGATCGACGCCCCCTCTCAGTCGACCATATTTCTGCATCAAGTCTCTCTCCTCAATTCCCGGTCCGATTCTCAAAAACGAGACTCGCTCTCATATCTGACTACTTACCTTGGATCTACCACGCCAGGGAGCGCTCTCCCAACAACCATCGACTCCCTTCTGAGTAACCTATGTCCTCTGATACTCGATGGCTCTGCTGGAGTTCGAAATCAGCTCCTGAAACTGTTCCAAGTGTTACCCAAAGAAGTCATTCGCGACCATGTCGCCAAAATTCTACCCTATATGCGTGCGGGAATGACACATCTATCCCGAGATATCCGAGTCTCAGCGATTGATTTCCTATCCTTCCTCGTCAAAATTGCTGGTAGTGAATTGGTCTCATGCCCTGGTGGCTGGCGCCAGACTTTGGAGTGCTTTACTACAGTTTTGGGTTGGAGATCAGCCGATGCCAGCACATGGTCCTCCAGCAGGGCTTCCTTTGGTGGTGACATCAAATCTACAGCCCGAATCATGCAAGTGCTCTCCGAGTTCTTGCAAGTAGGCCTGTCCAACGATCAAGCCTCGCTGTTTGGAAAAGATACCCTGGCCATGGATTTTCCACTGTGGCAGACAGACGCACTTCTCATGCCCACCAAATCAAATGCCTACGCTTACTTGAACTTTTTTGGATCTCAAATCGACGATGAAAATCAGATTCTCGATGATCGAGAAGAGAGATTCCGTGTTTTTGAAAAAAGCTTTCAACCCGTTGTCATGGCTGGCATTAATGCCGCCAGGAAAGAAGGCGGCGAACTTGGACGTGCATCGAGTTTCCTGATCAAAACACTTAAGCGAGAACGAAATATTTGATAAATTAACACTATGACACTGTTCCCATCGGAATTCCGGGTTGAGCAAAGACAACCGTTCGGCTCTCGTCGAGAACGCTGGTCATAGGCGAAGTCGAAGGTTTTACCTTGGACCTGCGAGCTGGGAGACCCCATGACGAAAGCAAATGCCAACTAGTCTTGTCACCCTGGGTCCCTTTACGAAGACGCACACATGCCTCGCCGGAGCATGGCTTCTTAGAAACGCTGAACAATCAATGACCCACTCGTCAAGAATCAATGCTGTCATGCACTTGATTCAGATTCGACCCCTAAATGCACTGCTGCTTCGAGCCTGAATTGTTGCTCGTTGCTGGGAATGACATATCTGACACCCAGTGGATTGGCTTTCATGACGAGTCATATTTACTCTTATGAATGCTGAAGACTTCTTGGTACAAGGAGGAAGGGAGAATTATTAATGTACCAGTTTTCGGTCTTGCACAAAGTTAATCCATCAATTATAATGTCCAGCAGCTCACAAATCCAGCGCCACATTGAACGCCTTGTCCCTATGATCAATTGAGACCAAATCCAAGATTTGAACAACGTCTCGATTCACAATCCAAGGCCCGTCACTTCTCCCCGGGCAACCTAACCTCCATCCACTCCTCCTCCTTCACATTCTCCCACTCCTCTCTATCGAACCATCCAATGAAATTCCGATCTCCGAAGCCTCCAATCCAATAAACTTCCCTTACCACCAGCCTCATCCACAACCCCTCGTGCGCCGCCCACTTCTTTCCCGGCAACCAAAGCACGCTATCTCCATGGACCTTCGTAAAACAGCCAGGAATATCCTTATTCTTGATGTCGTCCTCACTCATCTCCTCCAAGTATCCAATCATGCTGAGCCGGGGCAAATTAGCGGCCGACCAAGGCTGCTTGTGCGTCAGGTGCACATATTCGTCCCACCAAGAGAGGGCAAGCGAGACGTTAGAGCCTGCGAAAGCGTTCTTCGTCGACGTCGAGATTGTCAAGGCAAGGAGCGTGGGGTTCCCGCTTGGTTCTTCGCATGAGGCGACGTAGTCAGGTAGACCGATCGGTGTGTCTGCCACGTCTGAAGGGATACGTGGCGAGGTGATGTTCGACGGGAACACGGTGGTGAGGACACCGGTTTTGGACAAAGCAAGCAGGCGGCGGCCTAGGACGGTGGATTCGTAGCGGGATGGGATTAATAGGGACGACATGGCGTCGTCTTCGGCTTCGGGGAAGAATTCCGATTCCGGTTCCGGTTCCGGTTCTGCTGGAGCAAGAGCTGTCCCAAAGCCAGGCTTTATCTGTGTCTCTGTCTGTGTCTGCGTCTGAGTGTGTAGTTGGATAGGCGCTTCGACATGGTGGTTCTGGTTCTCAACAGGTACGCAGCCAGCCTGTGTGCCGAAGAGCAGCGGCAGCAGCATCGCAACGAGCGTGCCGGAGAGATACATCTTTCTTGCCCACAACAGCTCGAACCTTGATGAGTTCAATCCAATCCTTGCCCCGCCCTCTTTCAACTGTATTTGCCAAAGGCAATCTGATCTATTCCACTCTCTTTCAAAATGGCTATCCGTCTCTGCCTGGGCTTGCGCCTTTGCAACAGAGCAGGATAAATGTAATGCAGACCTGTAATCGAAGCTTCGTCTGATCTTGATATGAGACTTTTGCCTTCTCAAATGAATTCAATCGGTCCCAACGGTTCGCAGCGGAACTCAACCCAGCAACGCGAGGAACGGTGTGGAGTAGACTAATGTAGAAGTATGGTGTGGCAAACACTCCGCTGACGGATCGTTTGACGATTTCCTCGTCTCCCTCCTTCCTCTTCTCCGGATTCGTATTCCGAGTGGTCAAGCGTCTTCGTGGAACAGACAGTTGAGAAAAAGCTCTTGGACAATCACTCAATCGCTCAATCACACCACGTAGCCTGTCTAGCTAGCCCAGCAGTTAACACTCAAAGTATGCCGTCGGTGGTAGGTAGATGGTAGAATGCTGGCAGGGGATACTTGGCCTGCAGTAGCCGTAGCACGAACAAGTTGCAATGACAAATGCTCCGATACTGGACTTGGATCCGTTGTTCAGTCCGGTCGGGCAAACGAGAGAGTTCAACGATACAAAATGAAACGGTACGCAGTCAGGAGCTCAAAACTCGATGCGGTGTATCAGTGTCAGTATACTGCATATAGTATCGTGTGATAGAGGTCGTGCCGAGGCGCGGAGCAATTGCGTGACAACATCATTGACTGATCTTATCTGATAATCAAAATTCAGCGATATCGGGCCTTGGCTGCATCGACGAATCGAGTGTAGTCGACGCATAGGCAAATTGAGTCGCTTCCTCGTAAGGCAGACGACCTTGTTGTCTGCCTGATGGTTCCATGAGCGATGCAGTCAATAGATAAAGAATAAGTGAGAGGCAGAAAAGGAAAAAATGGAAATGAGGGCTAAAAACGGTCGTTGAAAACGTAGTTTAATTCGTGAAGCTATACAAGGACCCCTGCCGTAAATTCCTCTCCTTTCCATAACGCTTGAGGTCATGCCGTTCCAGAGGCTTTGAACTCGTAATGTTATTAATTTGGGACTTGATTACTTTTGTCCAGGTTGAAACATGATCAATGTTTGACTCGATCCACGTAATTTGACAGATTATCCTCCCTCCAGATGCAGTGCAGTTGGGGGTATCAATGATTGTCAAACCGGTTTGTCTTTGGCGAGGATATTGTAATAGACGAGGCTGATGGTATCGTTAATTTTCGTTGTAGGGTATACGCAGACACGGTGATTGAGTCTGAACAATCTTCCCCGCTATCTCGTCAATCATTCTTGGACGCGGCGCGGCGTTGAGTCTCCATCCGAGGAGGAGACCACAAAGGCAGCCTCCGACCAGGCTGATGACAAGATCGAGAGCTTGATGTACCAAACACAACAATATTGACGGCATCACCCAAACCTGAAAAGCAAGATGATTTGATTCCTGAAGGGTTTGAAGCAGCATCAGGAGGCTGTAATCATTGCATCCTTGAGATATTGAGAAGCTAGATCAGGTGCGGAAGCAAACTGCTGAATTGAGCAATATGTGGCCACACGTTTGTTATCCAACGTGTTGGGCAATGCCCGTCTCGGAGCAGCCCAAGTTTTGGTGGGCCACTGCCATTGTTTGGGGGTATTGTCATAGAAGGGGCGAAGGCGATCTTCCACGATGTCGAAAGAGTTCTGGTCTTGCAAAAGAGAATTTCTCACTTGCGATTGCAGATTGTGATCTGTCTTTGACAATGTCCGCTTGTGACCCCTTGGAGAGTCATGGTTGATATGTGACGTGGCGTCATTACCATGCCCGGCAAGTCGTTGCGGTGTGGGGGTAACGCTTTGGCTTGAAGTTTCCGATTGCGTCGACAGCGACATCAGGACATGGACGGCGTCCACCTCAGGACTAGTTGTGAAGTAATGCTTAGGCTGCTTCATCCGCAGTTCCTCGCCGCTTCCATAACCTTCATCGTGGAATTTGTTGGTTGACACGTCTACTTGCTGGCCATCTGCTGAAGTTGATTTGCAATATCTATCGGACAAGGAGCAAACACGCGCCAGAGGAGAACTGAACTGGCCTCCACATCTTAGTCGAAATTGCGGCATGGAGCAGGAGCTCGATGACCACGATGAATAGGAAGAAATAGACGAAGATCGAGATCGTGTGGTGCAAGATGTCGAATCTGATGCAACAGACGATGGCGAAGAAAGGAATGGCGTTGCGGACCTGCCGGTAAGTTCCCGAATTGTCTCTGCAGGACGTATTGGGGACTTCACAGGTGGTAAGCGTTGCGGCGGCGGTGGTGGACAACGCTCCAAATTTGCATTCATGATGCACTGCTTGCGCATGCTTCGCAGAGCATCCATGGATGCAAAGCAACGAAGAGATCTGTTGTAATTGCTGGACCATTGACACTTATCCGCAATACGCGGAGTGGTTTGTGGGGTAGGAAGATTTCGTAGGTAAGGTTGCATAGGCAGATTGCCTGCTGAGTAGCGTGCAGGGCTCATTTGTACGGGAGTTTGAGGAGTTTGAACCTTGCACTGCTCAACATTGCGTGACTTCAATGTGTCGCTGAACTTGATGTCATAACCATGAGACGCCGGCTCTGAGCCTGTCGTAAGACTATCCCAAGGCTTGTTGGGTTGCCTGTTGAAGTTCAATACTGGGAGTTGATCAAACTTGTCAACGGGCAAACTCGTTCTGAGGAACTCATCCGCCCGCGTCGAGTCTTTGACGATGCTGGGGTCCAATTTCTGAATTATATCGGTCCACCATTCATCAGAAAATGTGTTTTGCCCAGTTGTTTCACAAAGGTCTACCTGGGACACCATGTCGGCTAACACGTTGCTTGATCCACTCCCTGGGAAAATGTCCACGTTGGGGGAATGGGGTCGGCATGGTGGTCGCTCTTTGGATAATTTACTAAGAGCTAGGACAATCTTGCTCCAGTTATCAAAAGATTCCTTGGGCACGTGAAGATCGTAGTCGATCTGAAGGAGATATTCCCTTTCATTCTCGTTGATCTCGTTGCTGCGAAGACCAGAAATCTTACTCCAAGCTCGGGCAGAGTAATTGCGATCTTGGAGGTACTTGGAGGCGAGCATAAGAGCCGATAAGAACATTCGACGTCCGCATTGCATTGCGCGACATTGAGACCTTTCACAGGATTCGCCATTGGCTTGGACCCTCTGTTCTTCTCTAGCATGGTCTCCAGAAGGTAACCTAGCCTTGAGAAGGATCAAATAATAAAGTGCCACCTGCAAGGTCGAGTAACTTGTCTTCGAGCGACGTAAAGTTTCTTGGATGAAGACACGCAAAGGTAGCACTCCGGCACCGTTAAAGCAGGTTGACATCATCGGAGGACAAGCTGAAAGCGGCCAGATTGCCGTGACCAGTCTTGTTGCAAAGATGATAAGGAGAGAGACAAATTGTTCGGTGATATCGGTATCTCTCTTAAGTTTGGGAGGCGATAACTGTGTTTTGCCTGAGCAGCTCGACCTTCGAGCGTTGCACTTCTGAGCGCGAACTTCGGAGGTGCCGGTGGCACGAGGCTGGATACAGGTTTGACTAAGCTTTTGTGTCGGACCCAAGACCTCGGGCTGAAGGTGAGTCGATCCATGCGCCTTGAGGCGATGTTGTGAAGGTTTAGAAGAGGAGCGATCGACGCAGGAAGCTGGATCCTTAGTCTGGAGCCCCTTGAGCAAATGCTCCTGGAGCTCTACTGATGTGCGCGACGCCTGGGAGCATTTCAGCTGCTCTCTTTCATCCTCGTCCAGAAAAATATCCGTCGGATCCGTAGCAGTCGTCCATGATGTTTGAGTTGATGCCTCCGACGAATATGATTCGTGCGCGGAATCGCTTACGCTTACAGCATCGTCGACAGAGACAATACTGCTCTGATCAACATCCTTCTTGTACTTGTACTGGGTAGGAAGCCAGGAGTGTTCTGGAATCTTTCCCAAACTGTAAAACTCATGACCGGCACCGGAATGGAGCCAGCCGGAGACCGTATCTTGAAGGTTTTGTGTGCGATAGGAATTGGAGAGTTCCGCAACCTCCCTGACGCCCATCTTTTGGAGAAGAGGAGATTAATCTCCAGATATGAAGAACCGGATCTCCTTCAAAAGATCGCCACTTCACGGCTTGTGAATGGGGCTACAAATGCAGAGAATGCCAGTTAGAATAACCTGGTATACATGTTAGGAACATTGCTCTTTCAAGCCATGAGAATCTTGGACAATACCGAAGAATTCCAAGAGGTTTGCGCCGCAAACCCACCGCAAATCAGAGCACGGAGACTGTTTCCTTGACCAAGGTGACTTTGATCAAGACCAGCACGAGATCGATTCACCTGTAAGAATTATGCCGAAACAAACTCTTGCTTGGAGATATCGAAAGACAAATGCTCGTCAATCTCAAAACAATCTTGGTGAGACTTTTCCAAAATAGCTTGTGACTCTGGCGGTGGGCTTTGACGGACAAGTGGTTCTTGTGGTTTGTATGACACTGGCCAACGACTCATGGTTGACTTTGGACTGTTTTATGACTGTGATAGAGTGGAGATGTAGAAGTAAAGCCCGGGTGGCAACTGCCAATTCCTAGGCGCTCAATCGGAATGGTTTGGAGGAATTTTATCGTGGGATTCGGTAAAAGTGAACAGAGGTGAGAGATCGAGAGATGTCTGTATGATTGAAGATGAAGACAAGGGAGAAAGAGGCAGGAGCACCCGTGTGGAAAGAGATACGGCCGATCGAATTCGCGATTTCTAAGGGGTATCGTGCAAGTAGATGTCGTTGCTTCCTGATATAGTGGCGAGGATGATATAAGACTAGAAAAATACTCTCTGTAGGCAGACATTTCAGCCTGAGTCAGTTTGTTTGTTTGATTCACATGAGTCTGATTTTGTATTCCGTGGCGAAAGGCGCGGTCGGGGGTGCTAGGTGCTGGGGTGCTGAGGGCTTACAGATGGTTGAAGAGGTAGCAGGATTTGATCCCGATACAGAGACCTTAAACAATGGTATATCCAAATGTCGAGCAGCCTGTGCTGCAATCCATGGGTGGCTTCATCTCGGTCGTCTTGGTAGAGGGAGGGCTCTCTCGACGCTGCGGCTGCAGGTGTTGTACTATATGGGCTGGGGCGACTTGCCACTGCGCCGCTCAGATCAGCGGATGACTCAAAGAGGAACCCAGCACTACAACAGACTCGGACTCCAAGCGCACCCAGAATCAAAACCTAGCACCAGCATCCACCACTCGCCCAGGCACACAATACTCGACCTTCCTCACAGCCCGAAAGATTGCACAGAGTGCACAGCTACCCAATTATCACACTTACACCTCTAATGGTCCACGACATTCTCAGTGAAAGTGTTGATTCAGAAGCATCCCCATCTGCAGAACTGCTTGCCTCTTTCTGCTCGCTGAATCCTGTGCAAAAAGTCTTCTCGTCGCAGCTCCCCGTCCAGCTCTACTAAGGTCGCAATATAGCGTTCAAGCTCCTGCAAGCAATACAAGATCTGTGTGACACTATCAAGACAGCCCATACCATCTCCCATCTCGGGCAATGCTGAAATGAAAGATTATATCAGATCGGTGTTAGTCATCTACTACTGGATTGCACGACAGTTCTCGAACGAAGGTCCGACACCGCTTCAGCTTTCCTCTCACATTGGTTTGGTATACCTGAAGCAGTCTCTGCCCCTGCTCCTGACCTACCTTTTGCTTTTGTCGCCTTGAAAAGCGCATGTGTAACGGGTAACAAGTTGAACTGGAACAAATGCAACACGAAGAAGCAAAGCCAAACTAGCGAAGCAACAACTAATCGCAGAATCTGACAACGCAAGGGCGAACTCCAATCGGGCCAGTCAACGCCCCGCGTGGTGGTGAATCATCGCCAGCCTGATTCGCCCCTTGAGAAGGCAAAATGTTGGCGTGATGGGTGGTCTTTGCGTTCGACCAGGTGAGAGGGACTGGCAGGGCGGCAGGCAAGTTCGGAGGACAGGGAAAATTTCTGAAGAAGGGGGGACCATGAGTCCATGACTCAAACCTGATTCAGATGAGCGGCAAATGGAAGGGCGGCAAAAGCCGCTTTGCCCCCTTTGGGCCAGGACTCCGACCGTCTTGTCCGACTTGTCCGCGACTGGAATATCGAATCGAATTGGGGTCCCCCCCGGCAAACGGCCTGAATATGAGTCTGCAACAGCTGTTATTCCGCGAAGTTTGACCCCACTGAAATTTTTCTGTTGGTGCTGCTCTGCGCCCAAAATGTATTTTGTCTTCCAAGAGATCGATTTTGAAGGGGGGGCGGGTTTGGGGGGTTTGGGGCGCTTGAAGGCTGCCTTGTCCGTACGAGTGGCTGATGGTGGGGATGCGAGCTTATGGGGGCCCATTTTCATTATCATCTTGCGTTGGTACGGCTGGACAGTTTTCTTGGCTGGCATCCAGATCGTGATCAGACCCCCCTACAGATTCCGTGACTCTGGAGAGTAGCTGTTGTACACGGTTTTCGGAAGTTTTTGTGGCTACCAACAGGCAGCAGGTAGCAGTTATGAACATTCCCAAGTTTTTGCTCGGCACAACACTCGATCGGAATCGGCCTCGGGCTGTCCCCTGAGTTTGATCACATCAGTCTCAGATACCATTTTCGATCGTTACTGACTTCAAGTTGTGCAGGAGTGCACAAATCCCAACCCGACCTATAGCAGCGAACTTAAGGCGGGACATTTGTCCATGTTTGTCATCACTGTCACTCTCGAAGCATCAGAGGTCGTCGTCAACAACCATGGAGAGCGACATCACAGGCGAACCGTGAATGTGCCTATCTTGGCCCGGCCTTCCCGGGGGGGTATGTGAGCATTCCGTTTTCGCAAAAAGGCCAACCAAGCCCCCCCTCGAAGAGCCCGTCTCTGAGACGGACGGGTCGACGGCAGAGGCAGCCAGTCTGGCTAGCCAAAGAGCTTATGACATGATTGTCATCATTTGCGACAACACGGCGGTCTAAAAATGATCTCGACTATCGCGAGATCCTCCAGCATTCCTTCAAGCTCATCCGAATACGGTTCTCCAATCGAAGAGGTAACAGTCCATTCCCTGGGATTTCTAGAAGCTGACTCCCCCTTGGCGGTGATGCTCCACAGATTGGCCCCCAGGCAGGATGAGTCCCAGATGTCGTTCACATTGTCGTTGACCGTCACTGATTTCTCGCGAGTTAAAAGGAAGTGAGGCCTGATCGACTATGGACCCTGAACAGGGAATCTATGATGAACCATCAATATCATCATCATTTCAAATGCAAAGAGTTCATGCGAAATCTGCCTTGTGTCGCGAGGAAGTAATGGAGGGTCCATCCGCCCAGAATCTTGCGCTATTGGAGGGATCACAAATCTTACCCTCCGTTGCGAATTCGGAATTTTGAAAAGAGCGCCCTCTCTTTTGATCTACGAACCGCCTCGAAGCTGATGAGTGCTGCCTAATCTGGGTGAACCACGTGATACTCGGTCCGACCACTCAGAATGCTTTCGAGACATCCCTTTCGAAATTGGCGGCCTGGATGGGTCGGCTGAGTCTTCCAGGACTGACCTCCTGGGTACAAAAGCAAGTTTCCAATGGTGCTACTACCGCCTTTGACTGATGAAATCCGGGGCCGATTCATCCCCGTTATACCTTGGAATTAAGGCGAGAGAACTCGAGAATCAGGTAAGGCGCAAAAGGGCAAACTACAAGCACGGCCCGAATGCCTTGCAGATGCAAATTCAGGCACAGACAAGCGAGCATGACATGTAGTCGCACTGTTGAAAGAAGAAAGAAAGCAAGGTATCATGGCTATGATGAGCATGAGACTTCTCGTGATACCGTGAGAACCAAAAATCCCCCTTGGGTGTTGCAATCATCCATCGCCCGGGAATGCTGAGTGCCTTTTGCCTTCGACTCTGCGATGTCTCTCTGGAATGGAAAACCCTTCTTTGCTATATCTCGCTCTTGTAGATGAATGTGAACTCGGCACCAGGAGGGAGAAACGTGGACTAATCATATGGGTGAGGCTTCTCCTATTTCCATTTTTGAGCTCCACGCAATCATTCTTGATTGTCATTGCCGACGGAATGCCGCCCCGTGATGAGGTATAGGAATTGAATACAGTTTCCCTGGTTTCACATGGGAACGGAAATGTATATATCAAAAACACGCCGCGATCGTTTTTCAATGTTATTCTGTGATACATCATACGTGTCCCTCGTCTCTTCCTTTTCCGCTTCGCCATTGCAACGAATATACTGCTCTTCTTGCTTTTGTCTATTCCCGTATCTGGGTCCTGTTCGCGGGCTCCTGTTCCATTGAGCTCGCTCTTCACATCCCCGGCCCTGACTTCTGTATCTGTTACATCCATTCTATTCGTATCTCCATGAGCGCCTTCCACAAAAGGGACTCATTTTATCGCGTGCCTGTCCCTTCTTGAAACCGACCAAACACTCTTTGATTCCAATTCTATCCCCACCTCTCAGCCTCGCTACAACCATATCTGCTCAAACCCATTCTTCACGATCTCTCATAACTCGTTTTGGGGCCCTTCTCATAATAATGCGCCATCTCCAACCCGGCCCGCTTGAACCCACACTTGACATAGAACCCCTCATTCGCCTCGCTACAGTCGAGTATACTCTTGTAACAGCCAACTTTCTCCGCCACGGCATCCAAGGCCTGGATAATGCGCAACCCGAGCTTTTTGCCCTGCTGGTTCTTCGCGACGGCAATATCTTCAATATGTCCGACCAAACCCATATTGTGGATGAATTTGCGCTCAACGATGACGGCACCGGTGCCCACAATCGTCCCGCTCTCATCGCATATCACCAGGATGTAGTATGTGTCATTGCGTGAGGAGATGAAGTCGTACCGGGAGTTGAATTCGGCTTGTGTCGGTTCGCCCACTGTCGTTAGTACGCGGAGGGTGGGGAGGAAGCCTACAGACCAAGGCCCAAAATGTTAGTTGGATCATATCGTTTGCAAATACTCAAACACTTGAGAGACAGAACGGGGATTGTGAGTGCTGTGGGAATTGTAAAGAGTTGCAGATTGTGTACACACCGCCGTGGTAGTCACTCCGCCGAAGTGGGCGGATCGAGTATCCCTCCGGCAGACTGGACGAGACTTCGTCACTGATCAGGGATGGGGAGAACAGAGGCAGATCATCGTCAGCAACACTGTTGTTGGTCGTGGTCGTTTCTTCCTTCGTGACTTCTGGCACAGATGTCGTGGTGGGTGATGCGACGGCAGGTTCAGCTCTTGATGGTGTGGTTGGTGTGGGCGCGACACCGTTGCCGTTGACAAGGCTCGTGTCACTAATGCCGTTCACGAGCGTCGCTGCGGGTGTGGGTTTGATGTTTGTGATCGTATCGACGAGCGACACTTGTGTGCCTACTTCTTTCGAGACCGGGGCGATGTATTCGGTCGCTGGGTTTGAGGTGGAGAGCGCGATTGCTTCGGTGGGAGTTTGGAGGTCTGCCATGGTATGCTTTTGCGGGTGTTTCACTGGAATTCGACCTTTGCTTTGGCTTCGATTGGATTAGGTCGTATGTGAGGCAGATCCTCCAGTTGAGGGAGAGAACTTAGGTCAATGGAGTCGGTCGTGGGAGAGTAGATCGTACTCGAAGGTAAGGGTTAAAGGGGACTAAGGAGCAGGATCGAATGTGAAAAGATGCGAACGAGGGAATCGGAGTTGGTCAATAAATGTCCGTGTCAGCCCCCGGACACAGGATGCTCTTGCTTATGTCGTCGTCGTTCCGGCTGGAGTGTGCTGGTGATAAAACTAGATATCCACAGCAACAAATCCGTAAACAAGTGAAAGGTTTGAGAGTGCGGTGAGATCTGGAAGCTGAAAAATGAATGAATGTTATGTTGAGAGCTCAGCTCCGATTCAATGGTAATGTCATAGATGTCAAGAATAGTACACGGAGAGTACGAAGTGTCGGCCCCCTTTTTGCGGCGCGCGTAGAACCCTGGAAATTCTGAAACATTTGTTTTGATTCAGCCTCGGCCAAATTGCGACGGGGCATTCCATCAAACTGAGTGCATTCACATTAACTACTCTCGTACCACTATCCATTTATTTCCCTTTCGTATCTTTCATGCAATTGATTCTATGCGCGTTTCCCATATCTATTGATGCAAAAACCTAATTCCATCCGCGGCGTCGTCAGGTAGAGAACAAACCGTTCGGAAATCGCCAAAATGCTCCCTTTGCGAGGCTAAGAAGTCTTGAAAGTCTGCCAGCCGGAGTGCATGCTTTATCTTTGTGACTGAACGTTGGCGTGGCACCTCCACCAGCCCGTCATTGATGAAGAGTCGCACGAAATGCTCTGTGGCAGCCGACTTGAAAGTTTTTCCGCAAGTAATCCGTTCGAATATCAATCGACCACCCATTGGCACTACGTCACTCGTCCTCCAACGTCGATCCATCTTCATGTGGTTGGCCGGCAGTTTCTGCGGAACTAGCTCTTCGTTGAAGATCTCCAAAGTCGCCAACACCGGCACGATGTCGCCGTCGTGGACGAAACTGAAGTAGACATCTTTCGAAGAGCCATTCGACATGAGGTTTTGGGTAGCATTCAACCACAGCAATCCCATTGCTCCTGCATATGAATTTCCTGGACCAGCTCGGTAGAAATGTAAGAGGTCTCGAGCATATTCAAACTCCAGCCACTCCTTATGTGTGAACACGTTGCACCAGGGACTAACACCCCTGGCCAATGTCTCAAAGCCACACATTTCCATCATGCTGTAGATGTCCAAAGGTCCGAATCGCATTCCTGTGGCATATTTTGCAAGTCTTTTGGCAATTGGCTCAGTAAACACGTTTTGCCACTCGGCGAGTTTGCTGTAACCGTAATCATGGCCATATTTTTCATCGCCGAGATACTGGGAACAGGTGTCACCCGGAGTCAGTGTGTTAGCTCCCCTATCCTCATCTTCAGGGATGACCTCGAGCTCTGCCGAACCATCTGAAGTCCACTGAGTACCAAAAAATCCATCCGCGAACATTTTGGCGGTCTCGACGTCTCTTTCGGAACTACAGGACCATAGCTTGGTCCGTCCTGTCCTGGGTACTAGGTGATCGTAACGCTGTCGGAGAATTTTCCCAGTATTGAAGGACTGAATCGTTCCTGCATATGGTCCAGACGTAGTCAAGTTGTCGAAAGCTGGATCCGAGGGATCTGTGAAATAGGTCCAAGTAGTGAGAAACGACAATGGGCCCGTCACATTTACAGCGGGACTTTGAAGTCGTTCTAGGAGATCGAAATGACCTAATACAAGGTGTTAACGTTGTCCAGGGCGAGGACGCACTAAACTTACGAGCACCTGCATTCTTCGTTGGATATCTTTCGGCATGACGGGACAACTGCATTGGTGAGCGCAAAGTCCGAACGACATTCCCATTAGACTGCCTTACCATATGCGCCTGATCCACAGAACAATCATCCGGGAGTAATGCGTCAGAGTAGTCCACCCCGTTAATTTTTGGGATCCAAGGCCCGTTCCCGCCCAAATGATAGAATAAATCCCAATGGACATTGGAGAGCACCGGGCAGAAACCGGCGGCAGCGAGAAACGTAGATCTTCCACAGACTTCATTCCTTATCCGGTGCAGCAAAAGGAGCGTCAGAAAGGCCGCGACGGTGATGAACAGAGCCAAAGACAATCTTCGCCGCAGCAGTCGTGGAGGGGCCCGTTGAGGCTGTGGCTCGGAGGTCGGCGAAGGCATGAGAACGAAGCGATCGGGATCAGGCAGAGACATTTGCATCAAAAGCGTAAGAGGAGTGAGTGACCAGACGGCATCTCTAAGAAGTCCAGCCTCTCAGGTCATATAGGCGCATTAAGGACGGAGCGATAGAGCGATAGGTAGCAGGTGGATTGAGCGTGACAGCAGTGGATGTGAAATGCCCCCGTTTCGATGGCAAACGGGCCCATCTACAACGACGATCGAGAGGTCGAGCCGTCTTCGCTCGTCAGTCTCTAGCTCACCAGCGGTAAGCAGGTCAAGGGAGAGAACAAAACCTCGCGAGCGAATCTTAGGGAGTGAACGACTGAATATTGAGCTGACATGAAACTTTGACTTCACGTGAATAAAAATGCTTGGCCGGAATTTCTATTCTCGCACGGCTGCGAGCTCCCCACATTTTGACCACATCTCATAATTAGGAGACGATACCTGTATGGGCAATTTCACTGGCTTTATCTTCCTCCACTACTCAGCTGTGAGCGCCTTTGTATCTCCCAAACTAGCTCTCCAGCCGGTGTATCTGGCACCGAGGTTTCCAAAGAAAAATGCTGCTCTCCGCACCAAAAAAGAGATGCGGAGAAAGGCGGGCGTGGTCGGCGTCAATGGCGATGAAGCAACGGCGTCATCTGCTTGTAAAGGCGCAGTTTTGCCAATCTGCGAAGAAAGAGAGTAAAATCTGTTTCAATCGTTTTCTCGTCTTCTATTGACAGCTAATCCTGGACAATGAGCACCATGGGTTCCATTCCTGCCGCAGGCTCGTCATCACACCCTCATCCAGTACCCTCCCCGGGCGTCTATTGCCCAGCAGTCACCTTCTTCGATCCCTCCACAGACACGCTGTGTCCCACCGAACAAGGCCAATACTATTCATATCTGGCGAGTTCAGGCTTAACAGGCTTGGTGATCCTGGGCACAAATGCAGAGACCTTCCTCCTTACACGAGACGAACGCGCGACCCTCCTACGAATCGCACGCAAGTCCGTTCCCGAGAACTATCCGATCATCGCTGGGGTGGGTGGCCATTCTACAGCTCAGGTTCTCGAGTACATTGCAGATGCTCATGCTGCTGGTGCAAACTACGTTCTCGTCCTCCCGTGTGCATACTTTGGCAAACAAACCACACCGACGGTCGTCCACAACTTCTACTCGGCGGTGAGCAAGGCTTCGCCTTTACCTATCCTCATCTACAATTTCCCCGCTGTTTGCAATGGCCTTGACCTCGATTCCGATACCATCGCTGCACTGGCCCAAGAGTACCCCAACATCGTGGGAGTGAAGCTCACTTGTGGCTCGGTGGGCAAAATCACTCGGCTGGCTGCCACATTTCAGCCGGAGCGATTCGCCGTGTTTGGCGGCCAGTCAGACTTCTTGGTGGGTGGGCTGGCTGCTGGCAGTGCGGGCTGTATTGCTGCATTTGCCAATATATTCCCCAAGACAGTGGTCAAGATCTTTGATCTGTGGAAGATGGGCAAACACGACCAGGCATTGGCATTGCAGAGGATATCTGCCCACGCGGAAAATCCGACCAAGGCTGGCATTGCCACGACGAAATATGCGGTCAGTCAGTACAGTGCTAAGAAAGCCAGTATTCAAGGCAACCTGGAGGCTTTGTTACAGCCACGACGGCCTTATGAAGAGCCGAGCGAAGCGGTTAAGCAGAAGATCAGGGAAGTGATGGTGCCGTTAGATGAGGTTGAGAAGACACTTTGAGTTGATCCTTCGATAGATTCAACGTAGAGCCGTAAACAAACGATTGGTCCGACGGTGCATCCGTCGGCGAAGCACTGCGTGTGAGCAAATGGCAAGCCGAACCGGGCCAAATCTCCAAGGCTCTCTCCTTTCTCTTGATACAGTCGCTAAGAAAGCCCCCACAAGCCTTGCAGGCAAACCCCGTCCTACCCAGAACTCGACATTATGAACTGCAAGCTAACCGATGGGGAAAAAAGGTCAGTCATCTCGCATGCAATGCATCTTTAGCACTGATGCCGTGCATGATGGCTTTCGCAGCGATAGAGATCACAGATTCTAGATCGATGCCATGGGCATACTGTTAAATTACCTTAGCTGACGATCAAAACAGTTTTCGGTCCTCCCCCCGGCCATGACCTCCAGCTTTGCTAGACAAAAGCTCACTCGCCACAGTCTCCCATCGATGCTAGAGGAAACGGTACAGAATCGGCAGAGCAGCAAAGTCGAGTGACACTAAGAAGCCAAGCGTTTTCCGCGGCGATTCGGAGGCGGTAAGACAATCAACCAAATCTGTGGCTGGCCCATGGTTTCACGAGCACGAGCGTGATGATGAAACACTACATGCCAAATACGAAGCTTGATTTTTTCTTTTTCTCCGATCCGGATTCCAAAAAGGCGCTGTGGAAACAACATTAAGGGGTTGGAGTGGTGTGGCCCCGAACGGAAAGTCAGGCAATATGAGAAATGAAATCGACCAGAAATCAGAACGTTACTTTCAGAGCCGCCCATTCCGTGTACGGCCTGTGCAAGGATTCCGTTCCTAAAATGTTACAATACCAAGCGAGGTCCCCAGTCTATGCACCGATTTCCCGATTGATGAAAGTACAAGATGCTCTGGTTAAGAGGGTCGACTTGGACATCCAAAAGAGGAGTCGGATAGTGATACTCTCATCGAGACCCGAGCGTTGGATACCACTTCTCCATCGTGGCTGGCCACCAATAAAAGATTCTGGGCATGCAGATGGCCCAAGCCCGACAGGAGGACAATGCGTCATGAAGTCAAAATTGCGGGAGGGTCTTTTCATATCTATCTCGAGATTGTCACTGGTGGGTTGCCTGCTAGTCTCATATTCTATTAATGATGATGACTGCTGATACTCGGTTCTTCGTGCAAGTCACCGGAAGATAGTGACATCTATGACGTACGGGAGAATTGAACCGTGAAGCTTTGGAGAAAATCCTGAAAACTTGTGAGCTCTCGTTAGATTCGATCTAGTTCGTGAACTACTGATTAGCTCTGCATCTACCAGCTGCATGATGCTGTGAACTCATCATGCGCCGATGCAATCCCATACAGTAGCACCACTGACAGTCCAACTCCTACTTCCTACACCACTCTTTCCTACATTGGTTCTTCTTTTCTCACTTTGGAAGTCCTCGGAATCAGTGGAATATCTTCGCCACCAACCTCCTCGTCACGCTGTGCAGTGAACGACCCATAAATTTCCACTGGACGGCCTCTGTGACATTGCATGCACTTCCCGAGCACGCCGCCGTTACCGAATATTCCAAGCCAATGCTTCCACCGCAACCCAACCGGAAACGCAACTCTGCCCTCTTTCCCACCTCGAGAGCTTCATAAGATGAGTCTAGAGATAGAATAAGAAAGAAGAAGCTTTGCAGCTGTTTCACACAATCTTCGGAATAGGTCGAGAGGCTGGTACTCGGACCGCGCAAAAGAGCCGTTCACTTAGACTGGACCAAAGTATATCCATCCACCCAGCTTCGTACCTGCTCTGTCCTACACCTACGCAATTTACGTACTACCTCTCTACCCCGGTCGTCTCTGCGAGCCCGGGGACAGCCTCTGGCACCATGACGTCGGCGCTGCCACAAGCCATGCGTTCGTGGCTGGCCGCCTGGTCGATTTTGATCACACTTCTTTGCTTCAATGTCCAACCAGCGGTAGCAGAGACCAGATGGATAAAATACACTGGCAACGATGGCACAGTGTGGCTCGACGACGATCGAAGACCATCTCTATACACCCAGGATTTCGGCGATTGCCAGGGCGATTCCCTCATCAACGTCACTCGTTTCGATGCAGCATATTATAAAGACAACATGACCGTTCTCTTCCATTTGGAGGGAAACTCTGCACTAGCAAATGAGAGCTTGATGCGTAAGTTCTTCCTCCCAGATTGAGTGCTGACATCTGCTGATCAACAGGAACAGTTTATATTGCTGTCTTCGCGTACGGAGAATCTCGTTTTAATCTGACGTTCAACCCCTGCAATGCCAACATTGACAGCCTTTGTCCCCTGAATTCGTCAGTACCGGTCACTGCCAACGGCATCATTCCGGTCTCACAAGCTGACGTGGCTAATATCCCGTCCATAGCCCTCACCATCCCTGATTTCGAGGGTCAGGCCATCCTTCGAATCTTTGCCAATTCCACCGAGTCTCAGATTGCTTGCTTCTCGGCAGTAGTTACCAACGGAGCCACATTTTCACAACCATCAGCAGTGGCTTCCGTTTTGGGAGCGTTCACTTTTGTCGCTTTGATATCGTCAATTGCAACCACGATCTATGGACAGAACATTCCAGAATCCCGCAAGCACTATGCTCATTCTGTCTCAATGTTTGTGGTTTTCTCGGTCTACCAACACATTTTCTTCACTGGAGGATTGTCGATGAATTGGCCCAGTGTCCTGGTTTCATTCTGGAGCAATTATGCGTGGTCGGCCGGTATGATATACACTCAGAAAATGCAAAACTCCATCAATCAGTTCATTGATGGTAACCGTGGAAATATCAGCATGGTCGGCGCTGCTCCAAGTGGCGAAAACGCAGTTGGATTGGGTGGTGGTTACCAAATTTCACAGATCTACAGGCGAGCAGCATTGACCCCCTTTAGGCCCTACGAAGGCCTTGGAGTGACGTCCCGGCCTTCAGAACTGGAACATGTGCTTAAGAGAAGGCAATTGGCAAGTTCCCCCTCAGGATTCTCCTGGTATGGGTCTCCGGTACATCCAGGGCTGCCTTTACCAGGGAACTATTCTGGATTTGCTGGAACACTGGCTGAACTGAACATTCCGGCCTCGAATGCGTTCTTGACCGGCCTCCTGTGGTTTCTGATTTTCGTCGCCGGCCTTCTCGCGGCCCTTTTCCTGCTAAAATGGGCGATTGAGGGGCTTGCCGCGATCCGGTGGATCAAGGCAGATCGCCTGGGCTATTTCCGAAAGCACTGGTTGTGGTTCACAGGAGTTGCGGTCTTGAGAACCTGCTACGTTGCGTTCTTCATGATGATGTTCCTGACTATGTTCCAATTCACCCTAGGCGGAGCAAAGGCCGTGAAAGCCGTCGCCGTAGTGGTCTTCGTGATCTTTTTAGCTGGGATGCTAAGCATTTCTGGGTTTGCTCTGTGGTACAGAACCAAATCTGAAACATTACCTGAACTGTCCGAACAGGCCAGCCAGAAATCCGAGGGCACCGAGAAGCCAGCAGAAGCTGTGTCGTGCAACGTTGACGCAAAAGCACCACAGGAAAGTCAGAGTGGTGATGAAGAGAATGCCAACCCTAAATCAAAAACCTGGCTGCAACAACATCTGCCCGATTTGGATTCAGGCAGAGTTCACGTCCATGACGATGAAAATTACACAGTCAAATTTGGTTGGCTTGTCTCAAGATTCCGCCGGAGTAAGTGGTGGTTTTTCTCAGTCTGGCTAATATACGAACTGGTGAGGGCAGCTTTTTATGGAGGTGCCGCGGGCCACGCTTTAACTCAGGTGTTTGGTCTGTTGGCTTGGGAAATTCTGGCCCTGGTGGCCATTGTGTTCGTGAGACCCTTTGAGAGCAACCGGCTCAATCTCCTCATGGTGTATCTGCTAGGGTTCAGCAAAGTCGTCACAGTTGCGCTCTCTGCGGCATTCGATGCTCGATTCGCTCTGGATCGAATCATGACGACGGTGATTGGGATCGTCATCATTGTGATCCAAGGAATCCTCACTGTTTGTCTGATGATTGCCATTGTTCTAGGCGCCATATCCAGTTACATGTCAATTACGCGGTACCGAGAGACTATTAAGCCACGGTCATGGTTGAAACCTCGAACGATGTATTTTGCACATGTCGACCACAAAGCCACCGACAAGCGAAAACCTCCACCACCGCCACCACCGCCAGAACCTGAAATCCCCAAGGAGCCCTATTTTGCGGTGTCAGCCGTTCGAAGGCTCCCCAAGATTGAGGATGAGGATCCGGACAATGGAATTGTGGAAGAATACCTTTCTCCAGGTGCATCTATGGATCCGGACCGAGAGGGAAGCCATCAAGTTTACATCTCTCGTTCACAATCAGTACGATCTCGGACTAGCGTATCGAACTTGCCCTATGGTGCAAGGGTTCATCGTACAAGTTGGAGCACTAGGGACTTCCAGGAGTTGAACTCAGAACAGGGTATCAGTCCCGTGCACTCACGAATGAGCATCGAGAGTATCCGGGATGTGCCCCATAGACACCGGGCGTCGAGCTTGAGAGCACCGTCAAGACATGGGACTCCCACGGGAGGATTGGCAACACCGCCACACATGGGATCAGATGTGCAACCTCCTCGAAACAGGCACCGCCGCAGTGTATCTACCCCGTTAAGGCCGAAACGGAACAGTTCAATTGTGAATGAAGAGAAGGAGAATGAGCCCGAGAGCAGCCGCGGCTAAACGGATGAAGTAATGATCGCTTATGATTTTATGGACGAATTTCTAATCAGCAAGCTCTTCCCAGCAGACAGACAGCCAGTGGCAACAGCTTCGACGCATGACAATGACCTCCTTTTTTTTTTGGGGGGGGAACTCAAGAGCGAGCATGCATTTGCATTATTTTGGGCGCATGGGAATATCGGAGCCTTGTTATGACGACCCCTGCAGGACTGGGATGGCATTGTCGTCTCACCGGCGGCCGCATCATCATCATCATCATCATCATCATCATCACCACCACCATAATTACGTTTATCTAACAGAGGGAGCGCTTGCATTGGTTAGCAGAGGCATCCATGCGAATAGAGGGCCATATACGGATTTGAATCCCCAAGTGGGAGATAGAAGGGATTGTCCTAGATTTGCTCAAACACGAGTACCCAACACCCCCCAACTAATATAATTTGGTAGTCTGGCTGTATCCGTCCCTTTTCTTATCTTTTCCTTGGTCCTGTATTTGTGCCTTTGGCCCGTGTCGATGCAAGATTCCCCGCACCTATGATGGTTTCCTATGGAAGTAGAATATGGGAAATCAAGGGGGCATTCTACGGTTCCGCGAGATGGCATGACATTCTCAGGTTGAATGATAGGGAGGGACTGTCCCGGAATATCCAGATTGGGACTTTGAACATGGAAGATGGAAGATCAAGACCAGTTCATCTTAGCCCCATGTTGCACGTGCTGTTCACCAGCCTTCTTCTCGGCTCTCCATTTAACTGAAAATTAGGGGCAGTTTAGGTACGCCGATGGCAGGCTTAGGCATTTCTGGGATTACCCGCTAACTATTCTAAGACAATTCTCCCCCGGAAGGCCTCCATGTCGATGCCCAACTCTCCATCTGGGTTGCTGACTATTCTGCTTCCTCCTCCATCAGCCCAGTGTGGCACTGTCTCGAACCCAAGCTACTTGTCATATTTCCATCAACCTTCCCGTCTTTCAACGGATACAAGCTAATCTTCACAAACCAACCTTTCCACGCAGACACCCTTTAGTGGTATCTAGGAACACGAAGATCACAAAAATTCCCTTGCGCCGATCTGATAGTTACACTAGTTCTGCCTCAGGCACAGTTTCTGAGCCTTGAACCCGAAGCCAACACGTCTCAGCTGCTTACCGCATCTTTCTGAGCCACTAGAACACCACGGTCACCGCGACAAGAATCTGAAACCCAACCTCACCACCTTCAAACCCGCTTTCAATATTTCGAGACGACCCGGAACAGACCAGAATTCGTCATCAATATTCCCATCCGCAATCCATCGACGGCCCTACGAGTTATCACAGTGTCCGGTCGCGTTCTCTCAACGTCAATCTCTTTTGACCACCTAACCCGATTCATTGTCCTTCTCCGTCTCCTTGAATTGGCGGACCTTACGACCAAGGGCGACCATGTATCGTACGAAAGGCCCTTGATCAGACATTTAACCGCTGCGAATACCTCGAGGTAACCTTCCACCATCATTTCACCCTCTTGTACTATTGTAATTCAATGGTACCATCTCATATTCACGTTTACAGCATACCGAATATTTTCACCAATCGACAATGAATCAAACGCAAGTCCAATACACTCAATCAACGGGACTTCCTCTCTTTACTACTGTCCCCCCACTGGTTCGGTTAGGAACTCAATCTTCGGGTGTGGCAACGAAGACGACCATGCCCAACGTGGGCAGAGAGAGGACGCCTGCTGCCAACGGGGTGGCCGTGAACAATGACCAGGAAGGCATCCCATCTGACCAGAAACACCAGCCAACACAAGCACCGCCCAAGAGGCCGAAACGAAAACTCAAACTTACTGCCTCTCAGCGTGAGAGGAAACGAGCAATCGACCGCGAGGCACAACGAAGTATCCGGGTCAAAACCAAAAATTACATTGCCCATCTGGAAAACCTCGTCCGTATTATGGAAAAGGGTGGCACCGATTCGCGGGAGGGAGGAGCAGATAAAAATGGCCAAGGACACGCTCCAAATGGGCAATCAGAGGAGAGAGCCAGGGAATTATTGTCTCAGTTGAGACAAAGCCAGGAAGAAGTCGGACGATTTAGAGAGATGGTTTCTGGGGTGCAGAGGCTGATTGGTGGTGCCCTAGATTCGGCTCCCGAAGCCGAGCCAAAGCGGCTGACGTTTTCCGGCCTGGCGACGAATGGGCCCTCGGTACAGCCTGCCTTTCAACGAGGGTTGCAGGAGACATCAAGCCAGATCGAAAATTGTGCGTCGGTCTACTCTCACAGCTCGGGTTCATCTTCTGCCCTGGTTGAATATGGATATTGCCCACCACAGTCTAAGCAACCGAAAGCTGCCGCGGATGCGGCACAAGGTCACCCATCGATGTCGGTTGGCTCGCAAGTCCAGCCACTGAGCCAGCACGATCGATTCGATGCTTGCGAGAGATTGTTTTCAGCCCAAGGCGTAACGGAGCGGCAACCTTCAACAGAGCGACCTGATGTGCCCCAGGGCCGGGTGGAAGGCGAGTTATTCTTCTTTTCCGAGCGGGAAATCAACCGGGTATTGGCTGAAAGTCATGGGTATTTTGCCAACCAACCATTTGACGAGGATATCATTGTCCGGGCGGTTTTGCATGGCTGGCGAGATGTTCAAGACCAATATGTGCTCGACAGTGGATGGCACGCATTGAAAAGGATTGACCAGGTGGTTTTCGGCGAATGTGGGATCGTGGAGAGAATGGCCATCCTGCGCACCATGAGACTGAAGCTCCTGCACCAAGGTCACCGGGGCCCGCGGTCTCTTACCTCGTTACCGTCATTCCACTGCAGAGGCCCCACGGAAGATGTCGAGGCGTTGGAGAAAATTCCCATAATCGAACACTTTGTTTGGCCCGGGTTCCGCATCAACCTATGCAATAATGCCAGGAAATACATCAACAATAAGTTCTCCGACGCATTCCGGCACTCATTCAAATTCCTCTGGCCTTATGACATCTCAGACCTTTATGTTCGAGATCCTGTCGCTCAACTATATTCGACCGCTCCTGAGTTCATCCAAAGACAGTCGGATCTCCGTTCATGGACCATGCGAAAGGAGTTTTTTGAGGGGCTACCTGAATTGTTTGCGGCGATTCCTGTCTACGACACCCCTCTTGACCGAGCCTTGGTACCCACGGGATCGATGTCGACGCAAATGGGCATGAACACGGACTTGGACCATGGCCGAAATCACCAACAAGTTCCTACGGGAAGAGTGGAGGAACAAGAAGTGGAGGATTCGCAGCTGGAGTCGCTCCCTCCGCCTCAATCTGCAGTGCCTGTGGATGGTACCGTGGGTGACGTTCCGGTCAGTGTTATGCCGCAATCGTCGGAGATTGAAGCATGGCTTGGAGATCCTGATATGAGACCTAATCTGCGTCAATGCTGGAATATGGCATCGGGCATGAATGTTGGGTACAGTAGTCTGTGGGCTGGATTGTCAAGAGGATTTGTGGACTGATGACGCCGATGACGACGGCATATGTTTGTATACAATGTATAGGTGATAAAAAATGTGATTTACCCTTTCGACCAGGTACATCCAAAAGACTGGCACATGACATCACATGTCAATATGCCTCATCACGTGCACTTATGCATCCGGCTGACATCAACAATCCCACCATTTACCATTCCCGTAGTTTTTTTTCTTGACTGTATCAAAACTAACAGGGTAACTCACCTATCAGTGCACCTACTGTACCTTCATGCCTACCACTAACATCTCGCCTCGCCTCGCCTCAGCACAGTCCTTTTACTTACATGAGCATTCCCTCAGCCGGCACCGCCCATACATTATCAGTTGGTATCATGAGACAAATTACCCTTCTTCGACACTTCAAGCGGAGTTTCTCCCTCTGCAGCTGAACGATTCACATTTGTCTGGCTGCTAAATCTTTCACCCTGCAGGCTCCAACACCCGCCAGAGACATATCCGATCTCCCTCTTTAATTTTTTTTTCTTCGGTTATCGGGTTGGTCTTGGCTCGGAAAGCCGGAAGCTGCATCGACCAGCTTCCCTACCTTTCTAATCAACATGAATCTTCTTACCCGGCGGACTTCGAATAAATCGACTGGCAAGGAGAGTAGAGGAAGAGTCCTGGGCCGTAGTGTTTCTGCAGATAGGGCTCTTCAAGATGAGGTCAAAGGCTCGTTATTTCGGCGGTCAAGGACGAGGAGTAGCAGATCCAGTGAGAGACCCGATTCCAAAGAGAATGACATGCCGCATGAGCTACAAGGAGAGGTGAGTTTCCAAATCGCCCAATTATGCTTCGCTTCTAAATTGAATCGAATCACCATTCATCTGTCGGTCCTAACAAGACTGAGTTAAAGCTGCAGGCCCATGCAGGCCAGAAACCCCTGGCGGAAGACACGGGGGGCAAACTCCCGCAACAAAAGGTCGCTGAAGTATCTCCAGAAGCCAACAGTCAAAATGTCAAGAAAGAACAAACCAATGCCGATGCACTCTCTCCGGTGGTCACAGGATCTCGTGACCAGCTTCCAACAAGTGGAACTACTCCAGAACCTCCCGAAACCACTCCCGGTCCGGTACAAGGGCACGACCAAAAACACCATGCCAACGGGTTGACCAAAGATGATGTCCAGCATCTTTTCTCCGGTGCTCCACATTTTGTCCTTGAAAGGGGTCGACGTGGTCGTTTCTTCCCTCAAGCTTTCTTCCCCTGGAACAACAGCCTCGACATATCCGACTTGCAAGACCGGAAGCATCTCCGCCATGAGAGCTTTGCCCTGTCCACCCTCCACGCCCATCTTCCTATCCCTGACGAAGTTAGTTGGAAACCGGGGATGGAGCCACCCGTGAAGAAGGAAGGATTGGATACAGGAAAGAGACCCATGTTCGAATTAGGCATCTTCGAGAGACCAAACATGCTTGCTGTCGAGGGAAGGGAGCCTGGTACCGTCGGGATGAGATACTTCCTCGAAAGGCCCGTCGCAGATGGGCTCCAGGACGAGAAAATCAAAGAGCACGGCAAAGATGTGGAGATCGACCTGGCCATCGCCAACGCTCCTGCCATGGAAGCATTCAAAATGCTCGCGATCAGCAAAGAAAATGAGGCTTTGAACGCCAAAATCGGGAAACATGCACCTCGCCAAGACCGAGCAACACTCATCCGCGGAGGGCCTCAGGCCTGGAAGTGTGTCGGGGTCAGAAACATCAGCATGAAGACCCTGGCGGAAAGGATGGAAAAGATTTGCTTGTGGCGTGACGATGTCATCCATGCAGGCTACAAAGTCACGATCTTGAACAGGATGAATTCAATGGAGCTTCACGCCCATCTTTTCGGCGAATTGCTCTATCCGCCTCGTAAGCTCAACACAGAGACGAAACACGAAAAGGCGGCGCTGAAAATCCAAATCGAGGCTTTGGTTAAAGTCCTCACGACACCCGGTGCCTGGCTCGATCTCAGCATGCCTGAAGCTCGTCTCCGTTTCGGCAAAATTCTGCACAGTCGAACAACGCGGTACGACCATGCGGCCGGAAGCCTCGATATCGACCCGGAACGGAAGTGGCTCTTGATTCAACTCCTCCTTGCGGTCGAACTTGTCATACGACTCGATGCGGCCCTCAGGTTGGGAATAGCGATGCACTCGGACTCATTCGAGCTCGGCAGCGACGAAATCCACCACTTCAACAAACTCCGCAATCTGAAAGTTGATTGGGACCTTGTGGCGGCCAGGCGATTCCTTTTCCTCAGTTACGTCAAGAAAATCGAGCCCAAAGATCCTTCTCCCGGCCACCTGAGTCCGCCTCCACGTCGGGTACAGCTACAACAGAAGTCCCCTGCGGAGCGCCATGGCTTCATGGGCGGCCTACTCCACACGCTCGGCCTAGATGAAGCCAAAGAACTCCAATCGATACCTGATGTTTGCGACCTCGCCATCCTCCCGCGTCAACCAAAAGTCATGATCGAAGGACTCGTGCGTTTCGCCAATAACATTGGCTGGCCACGCTCTCTGGAGATCCAACATTCGTTACACGATAAACTCTGTAGCACGACGGCCGAGGTGCGAGAGAAATTCCTGATGGACGCAATAACCTGCTCTGACGACGAGGTCACCGGTCCAAGTGCGACGAAAGCCCTCGTTAGTATCACGCCCCCCCTTCCGACATTATGTGTCGACCTACACCCCGCAACTCCCAAGTCCGTCGGCGGCTGGCTCTCGCACAGTTGGATGTCTGGTCTGATAATGCCGGGCTTTTCGATTTGCGACATTTTAATGTCCACATTGTTGGAGAACGATACTGATCCGAATACGCTCAAGCAACTGGGAACGACAGCTAAACCTCTTCGCTCTGCGGGCTTCGTCCTCAATGGTTCATCATGGTGGTCAAAATCTTCGGTGTTTGCGCGTGTGATGGCCCCGATGCATGGCTCGAAGGAGAGCATGGGATGGGTCTACCTTCCCAATTTTGTCCCGCTATACGAATCGACGGGTAAACCTCTTTCGACTCGCTGGGTCAAGATAAAAACGTTCCCTGTTCCTTCAGGCCGTGAACGGCCTCGGATTTTCGACGGTGACCGACTCGCCATAGAATCGACACCACTCGGTATGGGCAAAGGCGGCATCATGGGCTCCGAATTCAGCATGGTAACAGATCACATTCTGGACTTGCAACCGGGGCCGGACGTTTGGGTCAAGGATATCAAAGTCAATCTGTCGTTCACGGACGTGACAGAATCGAACCCAGACCGCCCTCTCTCGGCATGGGCACAGTTCGAATTAACCACGACAGAGTCCTCTGCGTCGGAGCCGACGACGAAACAAACTCAGGTCCGCTACGGCCTCGATCGTGCCGTCTACTTTGTCAGCGCGTATCCATGCCGCTTACCACACGGACACGCAACGTTCAAACCCGGCTCCACAGATGCCGAGTACGAGCAACAACACCCCCGACACAAGCCGGCCGAGCACATCCCCGCCCATCCATTGCACAAGACGTACAAATTCGTCACAAAGACCCTCTCCGACCTCCTGAACGATCCTCACGACGTTGAACCCTCGACCGGCACCACAAGAGGCGAAGTCTGGGTCGTCGACGCCCGTCAGGCTGTTACGCATACTCCATCCCAGTCCGACGCCTCGTCGGTCCTAAGCAATACTACGTCCACTGGTACGGTGACGAGTACCGGTACCAGTACGGAAGAATGCAACTCGCAACTATGGGAGAAAGACATCCTCGTACGTGCGTGGTGTGCGCAGAACGGACGGAATGCCATTATCGCCCGCGTCGGTCGGACGTGTCTAAGTTGTGCCATTCGAGAGGCGAAGGCGCTGGAGATCGGAGTTGTTGTTCGTGTTGGTGTTAAGGAGTAGCATACAAATATTAGTCAAGCTTTACTGTGCATGTGGAAATATGCATGAGAATGAGATGGCAGGGGCAAGGCCTCATCTTCATCGCGATGAGGGGATAGTCCTCAAGGGTGAGAATGGAAAGCAGGAACCTCACTGGTTGTGAGGGATAAAATATAAATACTGCCATGCAGGATAAAGGGGAAAGGGAAGTAATGAACAACACGGATTTGGAAAAGTTTGACGAACTACTAGGAGGAAGGAGTACCTGGAATGAAAGACAACACTCCAGCCGAGCCCACTTGATAAGCACCCGAAGCGGATTCGGACACGGAAGCAAAGAGGGCAAGGATAAAGGTAAAGGCGCCGGGAATACATAGTCTAGCATCCTAATTGCTATAATTTGCGATTTTACTTTCTACAGAACCTACAGAGTCCCTACCTATCAAAATATCTTCCAATCATCTCTTTCCAATATGTCTGTCCGGCGACCTAGACTTAGTAATGCGGTGGAAGAGAATGATCAATTTCACTGCTTAGGCACTCCCAGCCTCGGATTTCCCATGTTCAACAAGGAATGTAAGGAGAAGGGAGAGATGGAGAGGTCCTGAGCTTCATGTTGAATCAACGATCCGTGGAATCAAGTTGAAAGTGGTCTTTTCTGTCTCTAAACTTCGTAGGTCCCGATCCAGGCGGAAGGCGAAATCAGTCAGAGTAAGGACAACATCCCCGTCCCCGACTTTGCTCCTTGTTGGAGAAGACAAGATTTTCATGTATAGGTACACGCATCGTGCGCCATTCTTGCCCGAATGAGAGGAGGAATCATTAAATGCCGAAAAGTTTCAGGATGGTGCTCGAATCAGTGCCAAGGGATCATGAGCTTTGAGGTAGTCAAATTTCGAATTGAATGGGTTTTGTCTACTACTAACAGCACCAAGCGACACGAACCACTACGTTTCCTTAGAGCGATGTTTGAATGATGATGTGACCGATGTAGCTGAGGCGGGAGTGACGCTTTCCGGAGTGGAATCAGCTCGACAACCGAAAGAGAAGGCGGGAGGATATCTCCTTCGAGGAGAGAAGCAGGTGGGTTACCGTTGAGAAAGTGTCATCGTTGAGCAAAGGAAACCCATGTGCTGGTTCCTTCCTGAGACGATATTGACGCTTGCACTCCTGTCTGCTTCTGGTCAAAGGATGAACACAAAGACTCAGGAATTCATTTTCCGCCCGCTCTACGGATATAATGTAAATATTAAACCGCGAGAAACCGTTGCGTCAAAGCCAGGAGGGCAAAACAGGGACTGATAGCCCTGCTATGTGTTAGACCGCTGTCCAATTTCGTTCGCTTCAAAACATACTTTGCTCTTGCACCACCGGAGAATAATTGCAGACCTGATGGAAGGGGTTCGATCGATATTTTGGCAAACGTTGATGCGGCATCCTACCAAGCTGAACTGTGGACAATGTCTTCGTCGGAAGGAGCAGGTTATGGCAGAGTTCTCCGACGTTTCAGCTATTGAATTCCGTAGCCAAAGGATAATCAATTAGGTTTCCTCGACAAAAAAAATATTTCTGTCACCAGAGATTATTCCGATGGCTCGGTTACCTTTCGAGGAAAATCTGCGTTTTAGCATTCAAAGCACCCAAAGTCGTGAAACTTTGGAGGAAAGTTTCGCACAAAGCTGTTTTGGTTGGGCCTTCCATGAAATGTCAGATAGAATTGCCGAAGACGATTTATCTTCAGAAGAATCTGGTCTGGTCTGTACATCTGGTAATACATCTGGTAAAAAGGGGACACATAGGAGCTTGCATGGCGGTTCTAGACTCAGGCGTTTCCTGCTGATTGCTGTTGTGTTAAGTTGCCTAGATCAAGTGGTGAGTATTCCAGCCGGGGGGAAAGCAGCTGACAAGATCAACTGATAAAATTTTGATGATGCTCAGAAGTTGAACATCGATATTATTTACGTCAAAGTTGTCGCTACATCGTCTGAATTGGTGGGTGACTTGCTCCAGCTGAAAAAGCGGGGGGAAGGAAGAGGGCGGGCTAATTCCAACTTTTATCGTTCGTAGGCCATGTTCCACTGTGCAGCCTGGAAGCTCTGCGCATTGAGGCTGTGTTCTTGTTCGCAGTTTTGTCAAACGCCTGCATCAGCTCAGTCGAAGCGGTGCAAACCCTTCAGCGTTAGAAGAATCATCTTAGCAAGCCTCGGGCAATGTTCTCTAGCTATCGCTGAATTGAAACGGCCGTAACGGAAGTAGTGGATGGTGGAAAATTGGAGTTTTTACGGAAAAGTTAGGGACAAACTCGGGGAGGGCTCCCCAGCCAAATGGCTTTCAGGATCTTCATGCCATGAGCTGCTCAAGCTGCTCTTTTATGATGAAGAAACTCGGTGCTTTCCGAGTCTTCAAAGTCCAAGACAATTAATGGCTTGAGTTTGCGGACAACATTCTCGTGCCAACTGCTTGATTCAGAGACGTGAACTCGGAACTAAATCCTTGCGGTTTCCGACCGGTCAAGAAAGAGTAGATGATCGACCTTTCCGTGATAACCGACAAGAATACTTGGGTCCAATCAGAACCAGTGCCATGCAAGCGACATGGGAGCCATTCTTGGGGATCCATTTATTGCGAAGCTGTTCGATCGGAGCCTCATCAACACGGAGATCAACAGAAATCTTGTTGAGGCTGATCGTACGATCAGGATGATTGCACATCTGTGTTCCAAATACTGAGAAGGAGGTCAACACTTTGCTTCGCCCTTACTAGAGCAAAATGGTATGCGACGAGGTCCAGGCGATCCGATCTTCAGAGTTTCCTCCAAAGTCGAGAGATCAATGCAGTCAGGTGTCCAGGGGAGACGCCGTATTTGTTTGAGACTTTTTGACCACCTCCTTCCTGGGGCATCATGCTTGAGAGAGATAGACGACAGGTATCTTGGTTGATCGTACATCAGCTCATCGGATTTGGTACGTGAATGACTGTGATTCCCCGGCTAAAATGGAGCCGCTCCGCACAGGCGAAAGATTTGTCAATCTGGTGATCGAGTGAGAAAAGAACTGTAAGTCTTCAGAGCGCCGTCTATCTCCTCTGTCGAAACAACCGTTCAGCTGTGGCTGGTTGGTGATACCATGCTGCAGTCCCTGATAGATAGATGTATGGAAGGCTTGATATCTCCAATGCTTCATGATCGGAAGTAGCGGCCTCATTGTGGTAAGGTAACCGCCGAAAGCACGATTTTGCAAATTTAACCGTGCGATGTAATGATCTTTTACATCATAGGATTTGTTGGCAATCGGGAAAGACTACCATGAAGGCTAATTGGATGAGAGACAGCCGCAGTATCATCCAAGTTTTTTGTTTATCAAGTTGGACGGGGCGGCTTCGGTGAGCCTCAGGGCAGCCCCAAACAAAAATGTATTGGTGCAGCCATTACCATCAAGCTCCGCTTTTCACTTCCAGAGACCTCAAACCTCTGACTCTCAAGGTCTTGAAATCCGGCCCATCTTTTCCACAGAGATTCGACGTCATCACTCTTTGATAATAGGTAGCAAGTGGATTATCGACTCTGAATTGAAAAACTCCAGGTCGGGAAAAATTGCTCGCCTTCATGAGTCTTGTAGGCCTCAATTCTCCAAATCCTGGGCCCGTTGCAGGGACAGTAGTGCTGATTCGAAAGAAATGTTGGGGTTATTATTAGGATGAGCCGCCCATGGACAGGGGTACCTCTTTTGCTTTTTCCTTTTTGTCGGAAAATAGTTGTCCCGCGGGCGTCTCAGCTCTCTAGCAAGACCGAATTCGGCTTCAAAGACGTATGTTTCCTTCTCCTGTGTTTCCTTTGATAGGGTCACCCATTCCTCGGGCATGATTCCGACGGAAGAAACAACGCCCTCACCCAGAACAGTATATTCTATGACCCTCAACCCTGGTGCTGGGATGGGCTACGTCCACGTGGAGTCGATGCCACATGGCGAGTTGGAAGGTGGTATGATTTAGTGCTGCAGCCTGGGCTTTGACTTTGGGCATCACGAAGAGCGAGCTGGACCTCCAGGTTCCTTGGCTTGCAGATAACTCCGTACTAACTTTGGGATTGTAGCGTGAAATCTCCTGACACCCCAGAACCCAGAGTGATTTTCCGCCTAGAAGTCTAAGGTCTAGACAACCAGTTGGAGGGTCCTTGTCGAAAGCTCCAGCAAACACCTGCCACATTTGCGGCGTCTCTTTTTTTTTTTTTTTTTTGAGTTTCTTTGATCCCTTGTACCTGTCATGAGGCATCTTCATAGGATCGTCCAAGTCGTCTGTATGAATACGACCAGAAGCGATGTCAGGACTCGTACTCCGCACCAGATCGTTTCTAGTGGACTTCCATTATACCGCGGCGGGTAATGATAGTCCTCATAAGCGACCAGTTCCGTGCTTAGAATTACCACTTCTCATCGAACCCCGTAACCACTGACCAGGCGTTCTTAGACGCTGAACTCGTCTCTCACTAAATTTTTGGGTCTAATGAGCCCCAGTAAGCTGATAGTTAAGTGGTTAGTATCCTTGTTGGGTCGTGCCCAAGAGGTTCACCCGACCACGCGTCCGCACAGGCCAGTTCTCGGTAGGCAGACGCTGACAAAAGCCCCGATTTACTGGGGACTTGAGTGACGACAGCATTTACTGGTACCTCCCGTCTTCTTTGCGTCTGGTTCGTGCAAATCGGCCGTCTCTCGCAATCAATCATGCATCTTTAACGCCGGCCCCCAAGGGGTGCACTTAGTTCACGTACCAGCACTCTGAAAAGTTGTGGAAAGAGTTCCTGCCCCCAAAAAATTTATCTCGCGCATCCAAAAGGCTGTCGACGAGACCATTACCAGTAATGGGAAAGGTACCTTTCGAGCATTGGACTTGATGATAGGCAGGACCCACTGTCCACGCGCTGAATGGCGCGCTTTTTGCTTCACTTCGGGGCCACCAGACAAAGTCCTTTCAACTTGCATACCCTCCCCCCAATTCAGATTAGACTTCTGACTTCGATAGCCGCTTTAAGGTCATCAATGCGAGTGGTAGTGTGCAGTGGTCCCTCGACCTTCTGAAAGTCTCACTCAAAGGCCAGTAGACGGTTGAGGATCGGCGTGGTTGTCGACATCCCCGTGAGAGTGGAGAAGTTCCCAAGGCACCTTCGCACAAGTCTGTTCACAGGCGCTGGAGATCGTTGCATGGAATCCATCCGACGCTCCGTCACAACCGGTGTTCTGCTCTAGGAAATGGGTTATACCTGGTCCTAGCCGTCAAGATCCTCAACGAACGCTCGTGGCTTCAAACAATTCAGATAGCTTTAGTACCGAGTAGATCGACCTCCCCAGCACTGGTTCTGGGACGATCAATACCCGGCTCCTTTCAGTGGTAATTGACGAAGTTGAGCTTCATAATTTTTGGGACTATTTAATGTGCTTCTCAGGGACTTTTGTTCTAATTGGCGGAGCATCGTAAACGCAGATCTGACTTGGGTAAATCCGGCCATCCTTGCAGGCTGTTGGGTCCCCAACTGTAGGGTTCCAAACGATAATCACCCTTTTTTGGGTTTCTCCCTCAGGCCCGGGAGTAGCAGAAGTCAGAGGGTCATTCAACAGTTGATGGCCTTGACATGGAGAGTCGAGGGAGACTTGGAGCCCAGTGGTCATCTGCAACTCAAAGACCTGGTCTCTGAATCTATTCTGGACTTTTGACAATCGTGATCGAGATTTGGCTTTCCATGTTCAACCGCTTGGCCCGTACCTGACCATCTATACGAAGCCACTTGAGTCAAGAAGCCCAGCGTAGTGTGGATATCTGGTTGTCGTCACCGGGGGGGAAGGGGGGTGGTGAAGTAGTCTTCGCTGTGGCCCAGCCCTGAGGGTCTTGACTCTTCCGGGCAGCTGGCCTTGATCATCCACCACCTCTTTCACCGGCTCCCAGTAGGGCCCGGAACAGCCCAATGGTACGAATAACTGGTCCCTGTATCTCAGGTGCTAAATGAACTAAGTTGGCTTTCGTAGTAATTGATTTCCAGGTTCAATCCAGTGCGAAAAAATTGGGGCCAGAGGTCCAACGGGCAATGCGAGATCCATTCACCATACCACTTCCGCATACCATCCGAAAGCCCTACGCCTTCTTTGACAGTCCAGGCGCTTGTCTTTTGTGCTGATTTGATATGGAAACCTTTGCTCTCTAGTTGTTGCACTGATCCTGTTCTTCAGGTGGACAATTCGGGCAAAAGTTGAACCCTGTTCTTTGTGAACTTTGTCTCCAATCCCTCCCACCAGTCGCTTTGCTTTCGGTTAGTAAGAAGAGCGAAACCTGACACTCCAATGTGAGTGTCCATATCAGCTTGATTCTGACTGCTCTTCTCATTTCTCTTTCACATTCTGTACGACATTCCGGCTCCAATTTCCACCTCAGATTGCGTAATACCATTTGCCGTTGCCGACATCGCGAGCTGATACGTTCGCTTGCGGTGCACCCCGACAACATCAGCCCCAACATCGCAGTCGAATCAACCTTTCGGCGCATTCTTTCGGCCTTCACTGATATTCTCCTCGAGAGAACTTCCATTCTGTGCTGCCAATGCATGTGCGCCGTGCATAGGAGTGCCATCAAATACCCGTCGCGACGAAAGTGTATCTTGACAAGGCTGAGGTTCCGGCAGCACGGGAGAGTGAGGCAGTGACAGACCTGTGAGCAAGGCTGATCAACCAAACGCCCAAATTCAGTACCTATTCTCAGACTTGTTGAATCGCGGCTTATGGGGCCTGTTTCGATTGTGGCCGGTATTGTCGAACGGCAGTGATGTGGTTGAGCTCGTCAGCTTGACGGCGCAAGTTGTATTGGGTATCGAGCAACCTGAGTCAAAGTGACTCCCGGTACTTTTACTGGGCCGCATTAAGCCTTTTGGTCAACTGACGGAGATGCAAGAGGAAGGAAATAACTTTGAGAGTTCTGCAGTGGAATTTCGCTCTGCACAAGACCAAGTTAATCGAGAGGAGGGTTCTCTAAATATGCCGGGTTTGGTCAGACGGGTTAATTCATCGCTCAGTGTTCGCGACATGGCAGCTGAAGGACTACCTCTGTCGCCAGCAGACAAGAAGAGAAACAAATTGGGTTATCATCGCACTGCGGTGGCATGCGGTGAGCTTTGAACGTCTTTTCCTTCTTTGTCGGCGTTTGATTGACCAAACACAGGACACTGTCGACGTCGTAAAATCCGTTGTATACCGGCTTTCGACAACCCGGGTGGTCGATGTCAGAATTGTATCCGTTTGAAAAAAGATTGCCACTTCTATCCTGTCGACCAACAGAGTCCAGGCCAAGGGAAAAGGACACGATCAGCAACGAAAACGACTGAAGGTTACAGCAACGACGCTGAGACGTCCGTCTCTTCGTCCTCACCCGGTGGGATCCTCAGGAGCAGCTCCTTTGAGCAAATTGATCAGGGAGATCGCTTGTTGGGCACCCCTCCATTATCAGACGATAGTCCGGGCTTTCAGACTGGCTCCAGATCCCTTTCTGGTCCCGGTAGGGGTGGGAGCACATCTTTCATCGTTCTTTGCTAACTCTGCTCAGGTTTTGATTATCCATCCACCTATGACCAAGGACAACACCACCCTCATCAACAAGCAATGATCCCTTCACCATACGTGGGCCACTCACCTCGAAATTTTGCTGCCGATCCAGTCAATTCTCAATACTATCAGCAGTATGGACACAACGTACCTGGGTCCTATTCGTCCACATTTACAACAGGTTCAGTGCCGTCAAATACGAACACATTTTCGCCAGACAGCTCGCATGAATATCAGGCAGCGGCCGAAAATGGGCCATTCAACTGGCCGCAGCCGCCCACCAGGTCAATGTCAACAGCAGAAACTGAGGAACTCCAACATGGCTTCCATCCAGCTTACAGGACACACACATACCCGTCGTTTGAGAGGAGAATAACGGGTGGAATGCCGCACCTACCGTCGACGACCGCCGGCTTAATGGTTATGGGTATAGAAAATCAGCAAACCCCGCTGAATCCCAACTTTTGTGAACCTACCTCATATCAGCCCCTGCAAGTTGACATGCAGCATGACTGGTCTGGAGGCGGTCCCGATCAAGGAACATCAATGTCCGCTCTTGCAGGAGGCACATATTCCCAAAGATGGTATTCCCATTCACCAGGGTTTTCAGGAGCAAGAGGAGAGGGTGATCAACATCATGCATTTTCCTCTCAAAGCCACCATGTTAGACGAGCTCCACATGAACCAGGCTGATTTTCGTCAGGTATACGAAGATATTTTTGATTGACCAGCTCTGCTAGCTTTTAGCAGGTGACCATTGCTGATGGCGGCAGGTGACGAAAGTCTTATTAGCTGACATTGTGATGAACTTGATCTTTCCACCTCATGGGTCACCAGAATCTTGGCTTGTCCGAGAAAGGGTGAATCACCGTGTTGTTGAGAATCAAAATCATCGAGGGTCATGATTGTGTTCGGATACGAGGATCTCGGCCGAATGATCCATGCGGAGGGGGCCGTTGTACTCGACCTTTTTGGAGGCCGTGTCATCGTCTTTGGAAGTTACCACTGACTGACACTTTCCAAAGGATATCTCTCTTTGGAAGAAACTTTGCCAGAAACTTTGCCATTCGCGACCAGCGTTCTCACAACCAGCCGACAAAATTTGGCCATGGGCCACTTGATACCCGAGTTCAACACTGCGACAATCGGGAGAAATAAAAGTCTTGATGCAGATGTGTTGGGGTGTGAAGCTGTATGCGCGGCCATCGATGCTCGCTGCAGTCCAGGTGGTCTGTTCCTACGCACTTTTGTTTTCCGGTACTCTGTTCGAATCTGGTTCCAGCTCAACGGCTCTGTGTGCGCTGCATGTGTTAAGAATTTGAAACTAGTTTCTCGTTTCCGCTGGATCTTTCTTGAATTCTCGGAGACTGTACACCCACATCATCGAATTGATGTTTCCAGGCCTAAAGAATAAGGGCCAAGATTGACACATCGGTGGACTCCTACCACGTGTTCTCGGTTACTTGAGAGGCAAAACGAAGACCTCATTTGAATGGTTCGGAATGAATTTTCCAAGGCACGGACGAAGCATGCTGACAGCGGGAATATCAGCGGCTCAAACCGGAAAGTATGCGACAAGGCTATTGGAGGATGTGGCCTCTCCCCAAAAAGATCCCTCGTCCTCAGAATTCTGATCACACATCAGTGCCCGCCACTCCACAAGAGATTCATTATCTCTGGCCGACATTAGTAGGTTGGTGTTACGGCCCCGAATGTCGAACCGGCAGAGTCATCGAACACGGGGCTGGAGTGTTGAGGAGCTTGAAGTCGGTGTGTCGGTAGGAAATTTCGAGGCCGGCGACAGGAATCGTCAAAACGCTCGAGGACTTGCGCACTGAAGCAGAGACGAGAAAAAATTTAGTGACAAGGATATTCCAGAATCTAACTCGATCAGTTCAAATCGCGTTAGATGATCTTTTCATGTGAAGGTGTGTTGCATGAGTCTAACATGAAGGATCAACATAGTATGTCCAAACTGATGAAACGTCGCAGTCTCTAGGACCTTGGCAGAATCAGCTAGTTCGGGGCCGAGAATTTGGATCCTGTTGAGTGCAGGTCTTCAATTACCAGCAAGATTTACTCGTGGCATGAATTTTTCTCAGAAATGATTGCGAGTTGTGCTGGCCGCCCTCAAATGACTCGTTATGTTTCGAGTCACGTGATTTTCTGACTCGTGTTTCAGCCTCGCCTCCTGCCGGCCCCCTGCCTCGACATTCAAACTCTTCTTCCACTTATGCAGACAGCCTTTCCCAATTTTATCCGGGGTTAGTGCCCATAGTAATGGCAGGCGGATGACATCTCTCATCCAGTATCTTCCATGTCCACAGGCGACAGACCTAGAGTGACTGCCAGCAACAACAAGAAGGAAGTTTCGTTGACACAAGCGGGGGGCTTTCCGTGAAGTTTCCAGTCCCGGTGATGGGTTCCAGGTTCGTGCTGTCATCAAGATGATGCCTTTCGCATCGTTAAGGGTGCAGCTCGCCTTTATTAACCGTGCCGGCCTGTGGCCTGTGGCCTGCGGCCGGCGCAGCATCTTGCATGCAAACATCAATTCTATTCTTCATCTTCCATCACAGTCTTTTTGCCTTTGCGCAGCCGACCGACCCCAACTAGGGCTGAACCTGAATTTCGAGAGTCAATGTGCCTTGAAGGCCATCCTCTCGAACTCCAAAAGAAGACCGCAGATAATCTCGACTACGCGGATCTCTACAACGATCGTACAACATGTCATTCATTATGCAGCCTCTTCACCGATCCTTTCCCTCGCATCACCAATGAAATAGCGAGAGCATAGTTCGAAATTGACGGCAAATCCGACAATCTCCCTCACTACGCTAGTTTCGTAGAATCAGATGGGCTGATTGTCCAACAACAAGTAGTCCACGATCATGTTTTGGCATGCGTGTTCTCGGAACCCATTTTCGAGTGGCTTGTACGTCCAGAGAGGACTCTTTTACCATGTTCAAGATGCTATCGAATGAAACCATCGAAAAATTTCCGGGTTGAGGATACGTACCATGAATTTTCGTCCCTTCGAAAACTGTTAGTGAGTGGAGGACGTCTTGTCGAATAAAACCTTGAAAATTACAGAGAGTACCTCCAAACTCTCAAGGGGTGGAAAATGTCACTTGGAAGATCTCCCTCACAGATATATCACACTTGGAGGCCCATTGATGTTGTCTGCAACAATATATCTGATTAAGTGCCAGAAATGCCGCGAATACATGCACTACTTCACAAGACCGGGCCTCCAGATTTTGAGATCAACGTACTGTGAAGAATGATTTAGAAGAGGAACACCATGATCGGTGTGCATACAAGGAGTGGTTGCAAACGTGTTTCACTACGATGGAAGAGTACCAACGGCGAAATTCTGCACCAGTCAAACCAGACATTGGACTACCTCCTGTTCCAGAGCTTGCACCTTGGAGCGGACTGCCTTCTTGCCCGCTACCGGTATCGTTCATGAGAGTCCTGTCCAGGAGCGATTACTTCCCTTTCCCCTGCATCAGACTCGGAATCCGCAAGGTGTCTCAGTGGAAATGCCGAGTATGGAGGAAAGAAGGATTGCAACTTGGAGGAACAGAGAGTATACTTGGAGAGACAATCAGCTGCTTGGAAAGCAAGAGAGCATAGGCTATGTTGGAAAGGATGGGCAAAAGCAATCAGCCAATATGGGGGGGGGGGGGGGGGGAAGGGAAAGGAGAGCACGGAGACTGTCTAAGCTGGAATATCGAACTACCAGAGCCAGAAAAGCTCCAACATCAGGTATCAGTCTCTTTCTTGAGAGCTTCGAGTAATCAGCAAAATAGGAAAAGTGATTTGAAACGTGATTCACTCCTCTTTTTCGATCCTGTTCCTTGATATTCTGGCAAGGCAATCAGCACATTCGCACGCTGAACACAGCGCCTCTCTGCCTCATCTGCCTTTCATTCCTCCTCTCATCCCGCTCTCTCCCCAACATCTTCTGGTCCCTTCTGAGAGCATACTTCACAAATTATACTTTGTCTTCTCTCCTGTGCACGTCTTCCTCGAGATTCACCTCGTACAACTCTGAGCTTTATGCTAGCGCAGCCTACAGGCATTCAAAATATGCAGAAACATGGTTTCAGAATCCCATTCTGAAGATGAGAGCTTCGACATCCATTGCCGACACTGTTGTGGAGCTCTCATTTTAGGTCTCCAACCAGCGCTCAGTTTTACCCCTAGAAATTCAGCCGCGAGCCATCGACTACCTCGACTTCAACGATCTGAGCAACCTTCGCCAAAGATGTCGCCGATTACGAGACCTCCCGACGAGAAACAAACGTCGTACCATGCTGATCAATTCCAAGAAAGAGATGGGCGAATTGTTTCAAACTTTTTGAGTGGTGGTTCCTGAAACCTGAAGACTTCGATGAGCCCGCCTATGACAATGAATTTGATGGACTTTGGTATGGCTCAATCCCGAAGGATTGGACGCCAAAAGGAGCTGATTCGTCGCGCAAGTTCGCACTCGTATCTGCCAAACGACTGTTCCATCATCTCGATTGCTTGCGTTTGAAATAACGCTTTCAATTTGGCAAAACTCAGATCATGCCATCAAGAATATGATGCTGGAAGGAGACTGAGCTAAAAATCTGGTGGGAGCACTCCGCTGAGGCGTCGTTCCTCGAATTGGCGGTCCAGCTCGGGATGTTCGTACCACAATTGGACCGTTCTTGTATCAACTGTCGACCAAATTCCCCGCAAGTACGGGTTGAGGGATCAGGGCGGCTTGGGTATTCAGCAATACTGGATGACTTTTCGGTGCTCGCGATGTCATCGGGGGAATAATGCCAGAAGTTGGTGATCCATTCCGTTCAATCTGATGTCGTCAACGTCATCAGGAAACCGCAGGATGTTATTCATCCGACCTTTATCGTTACCACGGTGGCACTGCTGATGGTCTTGATGTCGATGACGATAGAGAAATTTTAATTCCGGCAGCCGATTGTTTCGCGGCAAACTCTGCTGCAAGTGTTTCCAAAAAAAAAAATAAAAAGGACATCTGAGAGTTGAGTTCGACCAAACACTCATTCAAACACTCACTCCTTGACTTTGAAACCTTCATGGTCAACCAGAGCTTCACATTTCCCGCAGAGATTCAATCCCATCAACCCATCCGCGGCTCTCTCTGTGTGATTAATCGCCCAGCACCGTAAACATCGATTTGCACGGGTGCTCGGGGTCGCATCCTCAAGAATCCCTGCGCCGTTAACTACACCGGACATGACGGCAGCGGTCGCAGCTCGAATCTCAAGCCGCTTAGAACCATGCGGTTCTGCACTACCGCCGTTCTTCTGCAGACTGCAGGAACCGTTCATGGTCGTCATCCTCACTTTTTCCAGACAGGCTGCCGAGCACACTCCGTCGCTTTTCAACGCCGGATCCGGATCACACTTTCTCATCTTGTCGCATCCCCTACAAATAATCCACGTACACCTGGCGTCCTTGACTGTGCTCCCCTTCTCCCAAATCCCTTTGCTTACACCACAAGACCGACAAAACCTTCTCCGTCCATCCTTGTGCCCTAGGCTCCGACTGCCCATGGCTTGCGTCTCCGTGAAGCATTCACGGGGTAATTTTCTTAGACACGCGTAACAATTCAGGTGTGTTGCCTTCGTAATGAAGTTCGCGTGGATGTTGCTGATGGCGTCGCCGGAGTCCCAGGTGCGATATTCATGGGGGAACGCACGGGCCCAGCGCTCGAAGTTGTGGAACTTCATCTGCTTCTGCTCATAATCCGCTCGCTCGTCGGCGAGAAGGGCGGTCTTTAGGCGTAGACGGAGGAGCTTTAGCTCGCTGAATGGTACGAGAGCGCTAGCGAAATGGCATGTTAGTCGGAAGGGAAGGAGGTCATTGTATGTGAGGTGAGAGAGGATTTGGTCCGAGAGTTCTTTGGGGAGGCTGAAGAAGTGTGGAACTGGAGTTGGAGTGAGAATTGGATTTGGATTTGGAGGTGCTTGGCTAGTAGTAGGGTCTGCCATTTCTGCTCTCGAGATGCGTTGCTATTTTTGAGCCCAGGTAGCTGGAATTGAGAAATGATTCGATTCAGCTCATTCAGTCCATTTGTTTGGTAGTCAAATAGCAAGTGACATCTTCATCGTCATTCTATCATCCCGGTCACAGGCTGAGGGAGCGAACCCCTCCGTGGGTGGTCGTGTGATGACAAACCCCCAATCACGTGAAAAGTTACTTGGCATTATCACGTGAGGATGTTGGCTTGGCAATGTTGCAACCTGCACTCTTGCTTTCTAGTTAGATAGAACAACAACGCATTCCCCCATCTTTTCTCTAGACTCTACTGTCTATCTTGTTCGCTACGATAGGTTGCACATAAACCCTGGGCAAACGGGCCTTTGGAAATTCTATCGGGTTGATTCTGCACCCGGGACATTAGGATGGCCGCATCGCGTTCTTCGTTGAAGCATATGAGGCTCTGCCATTCCATTATGTGTCGTGACCCCGAAATCTGGACCTGTATCCAGTTGCATCATGCAATGAAGAATTGGTATTAGAGTGTATGATCCGGCGAAGACATTCTAGAGGAAGTTGTGTAAGAACTTGGCATAGCCTGTGTTGTAACTCATGAAAGGCATATCTTTCCAGGATATAGAACCCATCATCCACCACAACATCCCTTTTGGGGGAGAGGGAGGGAGAAGGAGGGAGGGTTTGGTCCGACCCTTCCAAAATGATGCCGAGTCTAACCTTTCGCAAGCGAGGCATTGTCTGCAGTATCAACGGATTGTTATGATATCACCTGACCTCCTCTAGAGGTCGGAGGAAGAATTCGTCGTCCCGGCTGAAGAACACAACAGCCTGTGCTTCTTGGTGGTCCCGCATCCTCTTCAGCCACTCCTTTGCAATTTCCAGTTTGGTGAGTTCAAGGATCTGGGCTCGCAACACCCAGAATCACTTGCGCTGGCGGATCCATCTCAGTCACTATACCCATTAAGCTTTCCGCCGCTGAACAACAAGCCTTCGCTTAGGCTAGGATGAGCATAACGGAGTTTTCAGGCCGGAGGAGATGCTCCAAGACCAATGTATTCACGTGCTTCTGCTCTTAGACCTTCATAGACTGATACGTCCTCAGTGGTTTGGGGGGTTCTATATTGCAGCGGCCCGCCAACGGAGCAAACACCCAACTGTAAGGAGGCCAAAAGGCTCCAATTATTGGGGAACCCATATCAAGCCGTCCTCGCACCTAGCCTACGCCTATCATTGCCCTCACACACTTTATCCATTAATGAACGCGTGAAAGGAGCTTCCCGTCTTGGGACGCGACTTCCTACACGAAATTCAACACTACGCGGCTGTGCGTTTGCCACGGATTGTGGCCGATAACGACGAGAATCGATGACACGCCAGAATGATGCACGTTTCCCCTTCGTCTTAGTTCTTCTTTTCACTTCTGCTGGACTTCAAATCTCATCCCTCTGATTACTATCCTCAGGTTTGAGCTGTGTATAATCGATAAAGCTTCTCTTCAGCGAGCTGATCATCGCCTATTTAAGAAATTCACACTCCAGCCTGCGGTATGCTCAGCCAATGATCCGCCCGTTGAAACACTACCGCTCTTGAAAGACAGATCTCTATACACACGCAGAGAGAGGCATTGCTGGAAGCGAAACAAGGACTGGCGAGATGCCGTTAATAGCTGAAGCTGCACCTATGGATATCGTGCGGCCAGCAAAAAGGCGGTAGTATCGGTGAGACGAATACGCCGTTGACCACCCGTTTCGTGGCAGTGTTAGGTGTCGCTACTGTGCTTGCTGAGCCTGGAACTGTGAGAAGGGGCAACTGAGGCGGAACCAGACTGGCGAGGCCGTGGTTGGATATAGCTGAGCCGGGATACGTTGAGGTCCCTCTAGCACTTGTCATAGTTGCGTTGATGCCATTGGTATGACCATTGTTATTCATGTTCCCATTCAGTTGCTGGCTCACAAGTCTACCAAACACCGAGGGCGGTGGTACCGCCATAGCCGCACTATCGGCCAGATCCCGCTAGGGGCTTGTCTCTATCAAGCACCATGCTTCTCGAGTCGCCTTTTGGACAGGTCGCAACATTATGAAGACTACCCGAGGCAGTAGTCTCAACGACTTGGCCATCCGTATCTCAGTCACGAGCTCGATGAAGCTCATCAGAAAGTTCTTGAAGAGGAGCCACAAGGAAGGGTCATTCCGACCGCTGCCTGCCGCAACTATGTGCGCACTGGAGTCCTTGAGGCGCATGTTGACGAGTCGAAGTTGAAGAGCTCCACTGACGTCTATACATAGTTTGCATCGGTAGACAAGAGTCAACCATAGTTCATGGACACCTTTAGGTTGGCGGTTCTCAGCGGCTTCGAAGTATCGGAAGAATGGCGTCTTCGCGATCGGTATCGTGTGCGAAGCCATATCGTAAGCTTGTGCAAGTGCAAGGGAGATCTGCTCGAAGATGGCCTCTTCTTCAGCATCATTGAGGCCAGAAGAAAGGATAACTCGCGCAGCAAAAGTATTAGCCGGTAGAAGGCTAAAACCTTTTGTCCGACCGCGGTGTGCTAGCCATAGACGAAAAGATTGAGCCGTTTATGGTGTGAGAGCATGATCTTGATCTCCGTCCGGCGCCCGAGTTCGAGGTGAGATTGTCGCTATTTGAGAATGTGGAAGATGCGCCCGTCAAAGTCCCATCATTCACGATCGTCCCAGTTAGGTGGATCAGGGTGGCCAGTATTCATAGGTGGTACAGGGTTTGGTCAATATGCGGGAGATGTTATCGGCAACTGAATGCTGAATGGCCCTGTCACTGCGCAATCTCCCACCCTGTCCTGAAGATAGCTCCCTGGCTCCGCGAGGTGTACACGAGCTCGCGAGGCTTCGAATCAGGAACATTCGACCCTTCAAATTTGGCGATGACTACGAAGGCGCAATCAACGACTGCGCACACGGTGATGTAATCAGACTTCAAGATCTGGTCCAAAGCCATCCGATGAGCAACACTGAACGTGTCGTCCAGGATCTCCACGGCATTCTTCATTCATACCACCAGGTAGCCCGGAAACGGTTCGTGGCCAGCGTCTGTATGCAGGCTGCCGACCATCTCCTCGGCAACGGACCCAAGACGCGGTTGATTCTGTTTTCTCCTACGTTTGCGAGCAGTCTCAATCGAAAGCTCCAAATGATGTTTCGTCTCGGTCCGACCACTATGTAATTTGCACTACATATTTCTGCACCTGCCTATTTGGCATTCCCCGCAGCCCTAGTCGCAGCACGATTAACGACCCAATTCTCCGTGTCCGCAATCTCATTCAACCCCCAAGCCGTACTGCTCGTATCATGTACGGTAGTCCTGCGCAGATCTCTCCTGTACTTGCCTTCAAAAGCACCTCCATTTGCTCGGTGCAACGTGCATCGATTGTCCCAGATAATCATGTCGGTGGGCTGTTTCCACTCGACGGAGATGGTATATTTCTTTTGCGTGACGTGGTCGAGAAGCGTCTTAATGAGCTCGGCGGATTTTTCCTCGGATACGCCTTCGATGTGGTGCGAGTGTGCAGCGATATAAATGTTTCGCCGGCCACTGGGTTCGTGGATTTGGATGAGACGGTGGCGTGCCATGTGGCCTTCATTGGTCGGGTCTAGGTCCTTGAAGAATTCAGGTGAACCGAGTTTGCGCGAGTGTGCAATGGAGTGATGGACGATGTAGTCGTTCTCGAGGAGTTCCTTTTGCAGTGTGGGAGAGAGCTCGTCCCATGCTGTGCGCGAGTCGGCAAAGTCGGTATTGCCGCCGTTTCCGGGGGGAGGAATCTCGACGGCGCGGAGAATAGAGAAGCTCGCGCGTCGAGGGTTGAATGAGGAGTCAACGTGGAAGAGTGTATTGCCCTTGAATAGATTTTGTTAGCCTATATTGATCTGATCTAGATCATGATGATGGTTGGCAGAGCCGGACCTTTCCATAATGCGCTCTGGGACTGTTGGGATCAAGAACACCACCTTGATCATCGATATTACCGGCATCAAACAGTTCGTAGTAACCGTATCTTGGTTTGCGGCCGTCTGTCATATATCGTCTCATCGTGTCGAGGTCACCAATCCGTCTTGAGAATTCAATTTGACGGGCATCATCGAGGCCGGTGTTGCGGAAGACGCAGACACCATACTATTACACCCAAGGCTCAGATTAGTAAGGTCCTCGACCCAGGTATCTTCCAACCCTTCTCAAGGTCTAAATTTCAAAGAAGATTGTGACGCCGTGAGGGAACTGATCAAGAGATCGCACTTGCCTTGGCCATAGCAGCGAATATCTCGTTGAATTGCTCATCGGAGAGATTATTCCAGTCGACGCCCTCGACCTCGGCTGCAAAAGTCGGGTGAAGCTCTTTGATCGTGAGGGTTTTGAACACTGGTTCCTCCAAGTAGCTGCCCATCTTTTCAGATGTCGGAAGTTATATCTTGCTCAACTGGGCGTTTCTTAAGCAGTTGGACGACGTGAACGTTAATTTTTCTCCTTCGTTAACACAGGCTACAATGAACGTACACAGCGCCAGGGTTCTTGATATCCTTACCGGTGCAAATACTCACTCCTTCACAAGAATCATCCCCCAACACATCTGCCTCCCGTTACCACGGTTTTCCATCCGATCTGTCGGTGGCAGGAATAGATGGGGCGTGGGGCGCTCATGTGGAGGAACAGTTAGGAGCGTTGATGAAGTCGCGCCCGGCAAGTGAGTAGAGACATAGCGGCGGGTAGAATGTCTTCAGCGATTAGAGAATGGCTGCATCTGAGAGCGTCGGCCATGCAGAGCTTGGCCGTGGGTCACATTGGTTAGCCCAGTGGTGCTCGTCTCCGGTTAAGACAATGTCGCGGGGCCATCAAGCCAGCTGGGATTGGTACTGTGCATATTGGGGATACGAGACGTGGAGCAGAAAGAATCTGGGGATACATGAAAAGAGCAGAGAGGAAGTTGGAGAAAACAGAGTTTAATCACGTGGATTCTCACGTGTTGCCATCGCATCAACCCTGCCGCTTTTACCTTGGTGTCACCTCCAACACCGAAACCAAGAGAACCAAGAGCACAAACCGTGGAGTCACGCCAGTGAGCATCTTTGCCAATGCCGGTGGCCTCATATATATATACACACTACTGCGCGATATACCCCTCAAAATGCCACTTCGTTTCAATTTCAAATTGTAGATGAGCATACATATTCCGCAAGGTTACTGTACACAACTTCGGAAACGAAAGCAGCCAAAGGAAATAGGGCGAATGAAGCGAAAGAGGCTGACGCGTCGAACGTAACGACGGATGGACTGGGAATTGATGAAAGTGGTTTCGTCATCGTCTTGATAGCATCCTGATGTTGCATCCACCCACTCCCTGGGGCGCATGCCGATTTCTAATTTAGACCTTCCAAAAAAGCTCATTAGCACCATTCGACCCAAAGCTTGATTGATATTGGCATCCGCCCAATCCTCGGCAGAGTCGGCGCCAAACACGCCGCAGATTCACAAAGGTCCTTGGTTACAAAGGCCACGTCTAGATAAATGCACAGGCGAAGGGTACATTGGCATACCAATCTTCGACTAGAATCCTTCTTGACATCGACTTAGGCCTGAGAGATAAGCTTCTCGTGAAGGAGGAGCTGCGAGGGATGCCGAGGAGCTCATAATGGTCATCATGACCCGTGTATGCTACTCTGGTATCTGCGGAGTGGGTATCGCAGTGGCGTAAGTCATGGACTGTTACATCGGCATACTTGATCGTCGATCAGCAGGGTATCGATACGCCGTTCAATATGTATAATAATTTAGGATCGTGATTTGTCTCCTTCCGACTCTTCTCAGTTCCCTTCCGCACGATTGGCGTCCTCCTCCAGAAGCTCGGGAAATGGCTGGAATAATCTCTGCTGCTAACATTGGTGGCATCGTTGACCTCAGGTCTGGTGACGAGGCCGACGCCATCGGTACCAACAATGAGCATCATGCGTCGGTTTCCCACCTGGTTGGTCCCCCTGACCTCCACGGTCACAGAACTATCTACCTCGATACCAGCATTCAATTTGAAGACTACCATTACTGGGCTAATCGATCCCGAGAAGTCGAGAAGCACATCAAAGTCGGCAATCTCGGCTTTGCTGGCATCTTCAACCTCCTCATTGGCAGGAAAGCAGAGACTCAAATCGTTCAAACACCTGCCCAAGGCAACAACCCTCCTGATGCTGCATCTAGCAACGACGAGAAACACCCAGTGGATGAAAAGGGCATCAGTAGCCCCCAAACCGACAGATGGGGTATCGCCGAGACGGAATGGGAGCAAGCTCAACGAGCGACCCGTACCGCCACATGGGGCTCGATATTCTACCTCATCACCACAGATATCCTAGGGCCTACCAACGTCCCATGGGCTATCAGCCAGATGGGCTATGGCCCCGGTGCCGCTTTATACACGTCCTTTGGACTCATGGCTGCCTACTCTGGTATGCAACTTTGGAAGATCTTTATTGGCCTCGACTCGACCCGTTATCCCATGCGAAACTATGGCGACGTCGCTTTCCGCATCTTCGGCAGCTGGGCCCGTATTGGTGTCAATGTCTTACAAAGTTTTCAATTCTTCCTCAACATCTGCTTGTTAATTGAGAGCAACGGTCAAGGTTTGGCCCAGATGGCAGCGGGCAAAGACGGCAACGGCTTCCTTTGCTTCGTCGTCGCCGAGCTTGTCTTCATGCTTTTGGGTTTCGTCTTTGGTCAAATTCGAACCCTTCAACGGCTATCATTCCTCGCCAACATTGCCATCTGGCTGAACGTCATTGTCATCATTACGACGTGGGTATCCAACTACTGGCTCTGAAGCAGACTAACACGGGGATATAGAATGGCTGTCGTTTACGAGTATCCTCCTAACTACGATGCAGCTCTCAATACGTACGGCACGCCACGAGGACCAATCCGAACCAGCAGCTACTGGCCAGAGGGGACAGATCTCAAGGATCGTATCAACGGTCTCATGAATTGCGTTTTTGCATACGGTGGAGCGACTCTGTTCAACGAATTGATGGCCGAAATGCGGCGACCGTAAGGGTTCTCTGCCATTGTTACTGTGGAACTGCTGATAACAGTAATCGCAGGTATGACTTCTGGAAGGGATTTATTCTCGCTGAGATTTTTATCTTCTGCTGCTATATTATCAGCGGCATGGTCGTTTACAGCGCGCAAGGACAATTTACTTACAACCCTGCCTACCAAGGCTAGTCCGACTCTTCCTCAATTTTCATATTGGCTGCTCGCTGACATGGTCACCAGGAATTCCAAACAGCGCCTATAGCTACCAGACTCTAGGTAATGCCATTTCTTTCATAACCGGCTTGATTGCCGCATTGCTGTACGGCAACATTGGTGTTAAGGTCTTCTACTCGGCTGTGCTGCGTGATGTGTTCAAGTTCCCACCGCTTGATCATAAGACCGGCAAATGGATCTGGGTTGTTATCGGTAAGTTCTTCTTCGACATGCTGTTGGTTTGGCACATCGTCAGGCATGGTGTTGACGAGAAGACTTCCACAGTTCCCATCTACTGGGGTCTTGCATTCATCATCGCTGCCGCTATTCCACAAATCAGCAACTTGACTTCGTTCGTCGGCGCCCTGTGCATCTTGCAATTTTCCTACACCTTCCCACCTCTTCTCATTGTCGGCTTCAATGTTCAAAAGGATGCCATGCTCCCAGAGGAAGAGTTCAATCCGATAACTGGCCAAGTCAAGCGTGTAGACAGCGGCATCAAACGATGGATCAGAGGCTACAAGAAGAAACTCGCCATCAATACCTTCGATCTTCTCTACAGTCTTGCGGCGCTTGGGACGGCTGGCTTGGGTCTTTATGCTTCGATTACTGGCATGCATGACGCTTTCGAGAGCACTTCAATTACTCCGTTCTCTTGCAAAAATCCAGCCGGCTAAATGTCTGACTGAGACATGTAAGAAGAAATCCCCGATGGCTGATGGAAACATGGACGGACAAACAAGTGGCATCCGAAGCACGAATTTTGTCGTGATAGCTAAGTCAGTCGAGGTCAAAAAACAGCCAACAAACCTACATAACTCAATGTAACCAGACCAGGCCAGCTCACCGACAAGAGCGTAACCCACATTAAAATTTAGGATCTCCCAACTTGAACTCGAGTTCATGGTTTCTCGATCTAAAGAATCTTCTGCCGGCTAGTACTCGTCCTCAATCAAAAGAACGTCTGATGCCAAACAATGTACGAATGCGGGCCGCACCCGTTGGAAAATTCAATGTGCTGTACAGTGTAATGAAGCGGCAACTACGTCCGTGAAAATGGTTGGCACAGCGTTTGTGAACAAGCCTAAGTTTGGTGCATGATGGGCGTGAATCGCCATTTACACCATACTCCAGACCATAAATCCATATATCTGTTATATTGTTGTCAAATGCATCACACTGAGTGCTCAGAAGGCCGCTGGAGCCAGTATCTCGTTGTACATTTATTATAGAGTATCTATAGCATCCTCTTGCTTTGCTACCACCTTTCTAAGTTCTCGGGCGCTGAGACATTATCTTACTATGAGCACGTTGAATTCCAGTCTTAGCCAATATACGGAGACCCTTGACGATGCCAGAGGCCTTGTTATCGTAGGGTTATCGAGATGTTAAGTACGGTGTTGCCGTCGTAAAAGAGGTCGAGGCATCTAGGAGCAAGCTATTTGCGGAGTCACGCGGTCTTGGACTGGTGTATGAAGAAATGCCAGCGGTATTGGAATAACAAAACGACCCTCAAGTGGACTGCAGGCGGGCAAAATACCATGTCCGTGTAGAGGATGATAGATTTGTTGAAGTCCATGAAACCGATATATGGCCTTTTTACGGCGGAATTGCAGTTGGAGAAAGCTGGCAGTTCTTTTCTATCACAAGTGAAGACTAATAGGGGTTACCGGATTCCCATATGGAGAATCCATATCAAAACTTGCATGAATTGAAAGCTCCGCTGTTGAGCAGACCAAGGATGATATCTGGAGGCTCAACATTCAGGCCAAAGTTTGGACAAAATCCGGGATAGAAGAAAGTCATGAGCAGGTGATGGGCTTCTGGCACCATAAGCACATTGTGGAGTTACCTCCTAGAGCGATTTGGTAAGCAGCCAGGGCAGAGACACCAGGGAATGTCTCACACTTTACTATAAAAGCGTTCCATATTTCATGGCAAAGACAAAGCATCCTTCAATACCGCCAGTGCACCAAACAATTCATTGTCATGATACTTCCTGGCATTCACCTGAAGGTCAATAGGAGCCCCTTCGAAGTTCGATTCTCCCCAGAGCTGCTTGACATGTTGACATGCTTCACTTAGCGGAACATAATCTGAAGCATACTCCTCCCCGGCCTTAGCCTTGATCGGGGTAGGAATGACAACGCCTGGATAGTCGACGAAGTTGTACAGCGAGGTGTACGTCCAGTAGTAGGCCGTGTCGTGAGCCGAAGCCGGGCCGACAAACGCGGGACCAATGACCACATCCACGTCCTGGGCCTCCCAACTCGCGGCAAAGGCGCAGCGGTATTCATCTCTTTCAGCGCGCATATTGCTCACGGCGGTCGCGGTCTGCATCCCAAGGGGTTCTGCATCTTTCCAGATCCACTCGCTCAAAGGATGAAGTGGCTCTCCGGTGGCGGTGATGGCGTCTTTGGTGCCCTTGCCTCCATCTGGCCAGTACATTCTCCGGATCTTGGACCAGGCTTCGGCGGCAGCGTAAGGTTTGAATTCTTTAACTTCCACCATCTCCGCATACTTGGGATCGGAGAGCTGTTCTCTTGCCCAGGAAATTGCCCGTTTGACCGGTGGCTGAGGGTCGATAAAACCATCGTTACTAATCACGCCGACTTTGAGACGCTTGTTGACGGACGTCTTCAGGCCCGTCCAGGGAATTGGGATGATCCTGGGATCCACGAGGTAGGGCTTGGCTGAAAGGATGCCGCTTGTGAACAGATCCATGTCCCTCAAGCTCCGACACATCGGTCCAGTTGAGCACAAGACGTTGAGTTCTGCCGGAAACGCGCTTGCAAGGAAACCTTTCATGGGCAAGGTGTACGAGGTTGGCTTGAAGCCGTAGATGCCACAGAATGCCGACGGCCCCCGAACGCTTCCACCGATGTCAGTGCCAACTCCCATGACCGACCCTTTCATGGCGATCAGGGCTGCTTCGCCTCCTGTTGAGCCGCCCGCGGAAAGATGGATGTTGAAAGGATTCAACACTCGTCCCCAGTGTGAGTCGCTCTCCAGGTGCATCAGAGTTTGTGGCTGGTTAGTCTTGCAGTAGAACACGGCCCCAAGGCTGCGCAGGATCTCGACCATCTGGCTGTCCTTGTCATTCTTGACAATACTGCCGAAGCAACCCATGGATGAGAAAGTCCCGGCAACGGGCACGTGTTCTTTGATGCTGACGGGGACGCCATGCAGGGGGCCGACGGTCTTGCCGTTCTTTTCCAGATACTCGTCGAGCTGCTTAGCTTGCTCGATGGCTTCGTCCATGAACCACTGAGTCAAGCAGCAGGTGAGTTGATGGCAGATGATGGCGCGTTTAGAGAACGCCGTAGCCACAGCCACCGCCGTATACTTGCGAGTGGCAATCGATTCAGCGAGACCTGTAGCGTCATAGCTCTCTGTGATTTCGATCTCTTCGGGAGTCAGGATACCACAGGTGCTAGGGATGCCTGAGACATCTGTGGGCGGATTGTCCACCACTTCTTGAGGGATGTAGTACGCGAGGGGAATCTTTTCGTTGAAGGCTCGAATCAGAGCCGTTCGCTTTGCTTCGAAATCGGATGTTCCCTCAGGCACGGCCTTGGGCTGAATGAGGGGGAATGGCCTGCCAACCATCTTGTGATATTATGAATAAACCCTGTGTGACAGTGATTAAGGATCGTTCAAAGGTCTGCTTTGTGTAGAATGAATTGAGGGTCTAAAACTCTTTAAGACAAAATAGATGATGAGTTCGCCCCCCTTTCGATCAATCGCGCCGGCGAGCGCTATCAGTCGCAACCCATGTGCTTGATGATCGTGCTCCTCGTTGACACGACATATCTCACACGTCTTCGGCATCCTTCTTCTTCCCCGCTGCGCAAACGCACCTTACTGGTCTTCCAAAGGAGTCCGCATCTCGACTGGCGGAATAGGTCCGGTCTCGATGCGCCGTTCGTGTACCTAGGGAAAGCTGGGGATAGCTTATTCTGTCGCCTATCGCTTCGAATGGCAGGAAGAGTAGTTCCCCGGGATATCATGGTGGAGACTGGTTGTTGGTTGTGAAGCAAATCGCTAGAAAGCAGCCAGCCAGTCAGCTTCATTTGCGCATTTGTGGCTAAATGCCATGATCGTTGATAGCGCTTGACTATATACAGACAAACAGCTGCTATTAGAAGGTAGATAAAGAAAGCTTGGAACAACCCAGCGTGCTTGGCCCAAACAGTACTGGCATTCTCGTTATCATGGCGTTTCGCAGCCAATAGCGTGCGTTTGCGCACCTCGAAGCCTATACCACTTTGTCGCACTTTCGCGTCCTGTGTAATCCTATTTTTCTTTTCTGTTCATCGCATAGCATCATAGTCAAACTTCTCACGGAAGATGTGAATCCGCGTCGCGTGGCAGCCACAGGACAAACAATTTCCCTCGACTCTTATCAGTCATCCCAAGCCATGGACTTCCCCACCGGTCCAGAAGATTCCCAACGCAAAGTCGCTTTGTGTGGCACTGACGGGGACAACGTACCGTGCTTCCGTGACCGAGAGTCTGGTTCTGATATGGTTCGATGCCGAGCAAGACTAGGATTTTGTGTTGTCGAGTCAAAAGGATAAGTACCTTCATCGTTCTCCCCTGGACTGAGGTCTCCTTCCTCACCTCCAAAAGTGGAAAAGCAAATTTCGGGGCATACTCGACCACTCGCCGAAGCCATGGCCATCAATACGGAGATTGAGCAGCCAGGCTCTGTGCCTGGCACCATCCACCTTGTCGACCTGGACCACACCATGCATACTCGCCATGCCGGTGGTGGTGATATCGTCTTGGTTCCTACCCCTTCCAGTGACCCCGATGACCCACTCAACTGGTCTCCTCGTAGAAAGATTCTCTCGACCATTTGTTCGAACCTGTGAGTCACTTCCTCGTGTGAAACCAAATTGAAAAAAATAAAATAAAAAACAAAAAACACAGCTGACGTCTATGGAATCAGATATACTTGGTTCACCGGATTTGCGGTGTCTACCGTATACTCTGTCCTCGTTCCACTGTCCGAAGCATCCGGCGTCTCGGTCAGCACACTGAATGAAGGGACTGGCTACATGTTTCTCTTTCTGGGTTGGAGTTTGCTCTTCTGGCAACCTTTCGCCCTGAGATACGGCAAACGTTTGTCCTATCTCATTTCTGTTCTCGGTGGTATTGTAAGTCATTCCTACCTCGATAGCAGCGGCCGAGGCTAATCGAGATTCCAGGGCATCAGTATATGGAGGTGAGCGTGCCTGCGTCATCCAAGAAGACCCATGTCAGTCAACTAACTCGACATGCTCAGCGCCTATGTGAAAAGCAATGGGGAATGGATAGCCAGATGTATTCTGATGGGCTTTTTCATTGCACCTATCGAAGCCCTCCCGGAAATATCCGTTACCGATATTGTATGTGTCTACTCCTCTCTCTTTTACAAGGCTCCCGGCTGATGGATGCACAGTACTTCACCCACCAGCGTGGCACATGGATGGGTGTCTATGCTTTTACATTGGCCGGTAGCAACTACTTTGCCCCGGTTATCTGCGGTTTCATCGCGGAATATCAAGGGTGGAGATGGGTCTTCTACTGGCCGGCCATATTCCTCGCGGCAACATTTATCTTTTTGTTCCTGTTCATGGAAGAGACGAACTACACTCGAAAGACCACTGGAATTGTTGCAGACATAGAATCGCCACCACCAGAGTCCGTGACGGATACGGAGCAAGAGAAAAACCCTACTGTGCGGCAATCGAATAATGTTGAACCCGGCGAGATCAGCAAGGCCCCAAAAACGCTTGCCCAAAAGCTATCAGTCTGGCAGCCACACCCAGGTCAAAGTATGATAAAGCGTGCAATCCGAAGTCTAAAGTACCTGGGATGGCCAGTCATCTTTTACGCCGGCTTCTCCTATGGTTCCTACTTGATCTGGTTCAATGTCCTCAACGCCACGGCTTCTATCATTCTCGGAGGCGAACCTTACAATTTCTCTGCGTCGATGGTCGGACTCAGCTACTTATCTTGCTGCATCGGAGTCATTATCGGATGCGCAGTCTCGGGCAACATGAGTGATTGGCTGACCATCAAGCTGGCCCGACGAAACAACGGCATCATGGAGGCTGAACATCGATTGTGGCCTTTTATCATGTGTGTCGTTTTCGTGCCAGCCTCTTTGATCTTGTGGGGTGTAGGTGCTGCGCATGGAGTCCATTGGTTTGGCCTCATCTTTGCAATGGGATCTCTCGCTCTCGCGACAACGTTCGGCGTCACACTGAGTGTCAACTATCTGATCGACAGCTATCACGACATTAGTGGTGACGCTATTGTGACTGTGATCCTTGTTCGAAACACAATGTCGTTTGCAATCAGTTACGGGTAAGTCGAATGACCCCTATCTCAGGGAAGAATATCGCTGACAAAGACATGTATGTAGAATCACTCCATGGCTGACAAACCTTGGTTATCAAGACTGTTTCATTTCCGCTGCTTTTATCGGCATGGCCGCCTCATCTGTCTTCTTGATCATGATCTTTTATGGCAAGAAATTCCGCACTCAGAGTGCAACCAAGTACTGGAAGTTGGTCGGTGCTGATAAAGCCAAGTATGAAGGGAAATAATCAGGCAGAAGACAAGCCCTTGGGCGCGCATTGTCTCGTGAGAATTTTCAATATGGTGGCCTGAGGGGAGATGCATGGACGGATTCTCTAATTGTAGTCTCAAAGCCTTATAGTCGGGCGGTACAACTATTTTAGCAGTGCCTGAGATGATGTCGTAGGCTGCAGGATACCATATCCCCCGCACAAAAGCTTCCACATATCCACCCCTGAACCGGAGCCTACCAGCTCTATTGGCATCCAATACGCAAGGGCTACAGCCGGGGAGTCTCAATAAGCTTTCCCTCTAGGGTGTGTTGACTTGCAAACCCCAAGGTCCCCACTTTCATGCTTGACGCTTAGTGTTAGAAGATCTTCACTGCCTCGTGCAGTTCCCGCTCGTTGACTTCTACCGAGACTGTTTGCATATACTGCAAGGCTAGGACTTTAGACGACCGAAGCCCCTTCAAACGGCTCAGAGCTGGTTTCTTAATTCCTTGAGCATTTAATATCCAAAGACCTCAAATCTGCTGGAGGGAGATATCTGTCCTATTCATCGGACATTTGTAATTTCGTCCTGTTCGAAATTAATTTCATACAGGTCCTCTTGCTACCTTCATACATGAGGGCTGTTGAAGTGAAGCTTGACCACTTCACGCTTAGCAACCTCGCCTCCTTGACGGTTGATGCGCGCGCTCAAGGTCTCGCTGGCCGGATCGAAAAATGGTTTTTCTCCAAAAATAGCCGTTCGTTTACCCTCTCTTGTAGCGGGGTCATAGCCTCCTGGGATGGCTCTGTGCGCAATGACACGATTATCCCAGAATGCAACACTGCCGGGCTCCCATTTCCATCGCACAGTCAAATCGTCAGCAGCATGAAGATGCTCGCGCAGGAAGCTGAGAGTATGAATGCTTTCCTGTCCCTTCAGCTCTGCTATATGGATCACGAAAGCTGGGTTATAAAATAGAGATTTCAAGTTGGTCACAGGATGCGTGCGGACCTGAAAAATATATATTTCAGTCAACTGCTATTGCAAGGCCTCCAATCTTCTTTGGGGGGGGGACTTGAGCTTACCAGTGGATGTTCACGTCGGAGAGGTGGGCGGAAGGGCTTGTTACCTCCATTAATCGAGTTCACAAATCCGTGCTGAGAAATCCTTGTCAGCCTTGCGATCGGTCCGTACTGGTTTCCGAACACACCTCCGAGCTGTGCACACCATGGAGACCCTCGAACAACTTTTGGAAAGTTGGGCTCAATTTATCAAAAAGGGCCGTTTGACTGACAAACGTCGTATCTCCACCCGCGTCAGGCGTTCGAATCATGCGCAACATCGTGTAAGCCGGTGGATTCGCTTCATATGAATGGTCGGAGTGATAATCTCCTCCATAGTCGGCATATGCTCGAATATCACTATGCAAATCAGTCATGATAATTCGTTCTGCATCGAGTGTTCAGCCACCACTTACTTGTTCCGTCCGAGGATGGTTACATGTCGAGGATCCACTTGATTAGGATCACGATCTTGCTGCAATTTCCCACATTAACACGTATCGGCCAAATGGACGGATAGATCGGGGGGCCGCTCACTATACCATAATGCTTAGTGAGCTCATACTGTTGCTCAAGGGTGAGATCCTGGTCCCTGAAAAATACTACACCTCTCTTCACCTCCGTCAGTGGGTCTTTCTCTTTTAATTTTCAACATAGCTAGGTTCATACCTCTGCGACCAATAATGCCAGCTCATCTTTCTGGGCGTCCGTGAGCTGACTCAATTGAATCCCAACAAGCTCAGTCCCGACATATGGAGTCAGGTTTCGAACCTGCTTCACAGCGGCCAACAACGACTTTTTCTCAGGATCGGCAAAGAAAGCACGATCCTTGGGGGGTTCAAACTCCTTGACGAGTGGATGAGGTGCTTTGTAGGAGAGCACCGCCTCTGTGAGACCTGTGTGACCGAAGCTCATTCTGTTGATGCTATACCGTGATGCTCACGTTCGAGAAAATCATAAGAGGTTACCGAGGTGCTGGTACACTGCCGTTCCCTTAAATACACCTCTCTGACTCGTCAGTCTACGATTTTTGGAGTCACCAAGGGCGTATATTACAATTGGTAATAGCCTCCAATCCTTCTTCTCCACCTTGGGGTGTTTCGTGGGATCGCGGTCGAAGATGATCCTTTCCCACACCTGACCCAACCTCGGAAGGTGTTATTCTCCTTATCTGGGATTGGCGCTCGCGTAGAGGTAGGCTGAGAGGTAAATGCTTCGCAATCGTTATCAAGTCTGACGTGCTATCTTGGGTGAAGGCATGTGAGTGGATATTGCGGCCGTCTCTCTCTCTCCCATTTGATAATTGGCTCTTTTGCCCCATATTTTTTGTTTGGCGCGCCTTACCCGTTGCCGTCGAAATATCCCATCCTTGCTACCCGTTGTTATACACTACTGATAAAGAAACGCCCGGAGTATCACAGGCACATGCTCTGCTGCAGTAGGGCGATCGAACTTGGCTCAAAAGATCCAATGAGAACCAGCTTTATTCATCATAACTCGACCCATCTCGGCTCCTGGGTACGATGAACAAGAAACTAGAACAATGACCCTCCGCAGGAGACGCAATTTTCCGCTATCAAGGCGTGACAGCTGGTCTCACCCTCTCCCGAGGACTATGGAGGCATTTGTGGCTACATCGATAAGTGGTTGCATCTGTATTGTATATAATGACCCAGCCGCGCAATTCTTATCCAACTCTACATAGGGGACGACGAAGCCGACGTCACCGATTTCTGATGAAACACACCCAGCATGTCGTCACTACCTCCACCGCCTCCTTTGCCAGCGGAGGGTTCTCTTGTTAAGGAGTCCAAGACTGTAAGCATTGGGGAAAATGACCGCTCTTCGTCTGAGCGGGAGGAAGACAGCATCGACCTGGGGAAAGAGATATACGATAGCAGCGCGGTTGACCCTGTGCTTGCAAAGAAAATGGCACTGACAAACAACGCCATTGATGAGATTGGCATGACCGGCTTCCAGTGGAAGCTCTTTTTCCTCAATGGTTTTGGCTATGCGGTAGATTCGGTGAGTTTTTCGCTCCTTCTGCTGTAAGATCTCCGCCACGACTGACGGATATGGATGTGGTCTACAGCTTCTGATCGTCTGTCAATCAATTGCCCAGCCAGCTGTGTCGCAAGAGTTCGGTAACCCAAGCAAACATATTGCTGGTGTTGCTCTTGCTTCTCAGGTGGGATTGTTGGTTGGCGCCGCCTTTTGGGGATTCAGTGCGGACATTATTGGTCGTCGACTGGCTTTCAACAGCAGTCTTTTCATCTGTGCGGCATTTGTCCTTATTGCTGGCGGAATGCCCAGCTACATATCGTTCTCCGCCATGTCAGTTGACCGACCTATCCATCAAGTTGCTCAGCATTCCTCACCGTGTTAACAGGGTAGCTATTTATTCCGCCGGAGCCGGGGGCAACTACATCCTCGATGCCACGAATTTGATCGAGTTCCTTCCAGCAAGCCATTATTGGCTCGTCACGTTCATGGCAGTGTGGTGGGCCGTAGGATACATGATCACGGGCTTCCTGGCCTGGGGATTCATGAGCAACTACTCATGCGCTCCTGATGCCACCGTGGCGGAGTGTACGTGGGATGATAATTGGGGTTGGCGATACCTCCATTTCACTTGCGGGGCCCTCGTCCTTGTTGCCGCCACGCTCCGCCTTCTGGTCCTTCGTATGCCTCAAACGCCAAAATGGCTGATCTCCCAAAATCGTGATCATGAAGTCATCTCGTATCTTTCTGAGATTGCGCAGAAGTACGACCGATCCTTCTCCCTAACCGCGGAAAGGCTTCAAAGTGTGGGACGAGTCTTGCACACCGAAAAGAGTGTGATTTCAGCCTTGCGATTGAGACAGCATTTCTCCCAGCTATTCAGCACCAAACGGCTTGCATATTCGACAATCATGATCATTGCAAACTGGACGGTGATCGGAACCGTCAGTCCCCTGTTCAGCGTCTTTCTGCCATATTATCTGGAATCTCGCGGCGCGGATGTCGGCTCTAATTCCAATTGTAAGTGGCACACATTTCGTATTTTTTGATCGCTTTATTTGTCTGCCCTGCTGCGTCATAACGAAAACTCGTCGGCTGATAGTCTTTTTTTTTTTCCCGCCCCCCAGACGCTGTGTGGCGTAATTACGCACTCAATCAGGTTGCTGGCCTGTTCGGCCCAATAATTGCCGCGGTCCTGGTCGAAACTCGCTTCGTCGGACGCCGTGGCACTCTGGCAACGGGGGCAGCTATCACGACCGCCTTGCAATTTGGGTATACGCAGATCAAGACACCAGCACAAAACGTGGGAGTTTCCTGCGCCATTTCAGCTGCTAGCAACATCTATTACGGCACTATATATGCATATACGCCGGAAATTCTCCCCGCTGCGCACAGGGCAACCGGATATGCGATCTGTGTGGTTTTAAATCGTGTCGGAGGAATCGTCGGTGTGTTAGTGGGGAGCTATGCCAATGTCGAGACAACAGCACCGTTATTTATCTGTGGTGGCTTGTTTGGCGGCTTGGTTGTCCTCAGTCTTTTGCTACCATTCGAGACTCGTGGAAGAAGAACAGTGTGAATGGGGGTTGAACATCGATCACTCAACAACTCAGGGTGAATGAGATGATCTGATACGTTATATCTCGAAAATTCCGAGAACCTGGGTACTCGTACATCAGACAGTAATTCCATAATTAGCCTCAGAAGCCTCCAATATCTCCTTTGCAGAGTTCGGACATGAAAGTCTTGGCCAGCGGCCCTCCCCAGCCACGAGAAGAGTGTAGCATTCAGCACTCGATTCTGTGATTGGTGCTTTAGAATCTAGGAAGCGTGCAACCCCTTGGCAACTAGAACAACTTGCAACACTTTGACGAGGCTGTCAGTATCGGACTTTTCATGCCTCGTTTGAGAATCAAGTCGTCCCTCAGTCGCTCGCTTAGCTATTAGGGATCTGATGTTGCGTCGCGCATATCGTGGTCAGATCCATCTTCATGGGAAATTATCGTTTCCATTCATCGACACTGCTTGGGGCCATTTCATTTTCCATGTGATGGACACACTGGCAATGAAGAGGGAAAGGAGCCTCCAAGGTAAGGTATGAATCCATGAATTGCTTCCTTCAAATACGAGCTGTCCCCAAAGGGAGACTTCTCTACCTGCATCCTGTTCACAGCGTCTTTCCGTCTCTACATCGTTTGAAGTCAATTCCGATCATTCTTGTCTTGAGGACGTTTGCATTCCTTCGACCTACCAACTGCCGGAACAGTCGGACAGATCTTACAGGAAGGTGCCAACAACACTCTTTCAAAGTCATGCCATTGCGCTTTATTATCGAATCGTGAACACTAAGCCTTACCGTTCTTGCCGATTGACTAGCTAACTTCTTCTTTGCCTAGCAGTCGCTCAATTCGCATTCGGCCAAGGCACACAATTCATCACAGGCCTGTAAATCCGATGCAGGCTGCGCTTCCGGCTTCTGCGGCTTTAACTCCGGTAAATGTGCTGGACCGGTTGTTGCTCAGGAACGTGATGGCGGATGCGGCTTCGGCGACCCGACACCAAATGCCAACGCAGCCAATGCATTGATCGGTGGGGCGCCAATGGCAACTTCACCTGCTTGCTGCTGCACCTGCAATGGTAGTGCTGCAAACGGTTCTTCTGCAGCCATCAACAACAACCTCCCAGGAGTCGCCAACGGAGACAATGGAGTCGGAAAGCAATTCATCACTGGTCAGTGTTTGAACGATGTCGACTGCGCCTCTGGCTGCTGCGGCTTGAACAGCGGACTTTGTGCTGGCGCGATCATTGCGTGGTGGTGGATGTGGATTCGTGACGCCTCTCCCAACGACAACGCTGCTCAAGCTCTCACAGGAAGTGGTGCATCAGCTCCTGCTGCCACTGCTGCAGCAGGCGCAGGATCAGACAACGGTTGCCGCTCCTGAGGTTCCTTCTCCAACCCAGACTGCGTCAGCAGCAATTGACAGCAGCAAACCAGGGGCCGCTAACGTCGGAAATGGTGCTGGCAAGCAATTCATTACTGGGGAGTACTTGAGTGATGCAGACTGGACACCTGAGCGCTATGGTTTCAATCGCGGTCTGTGTGTGCAGGTACAACTATTGCTCAAACCAGAGATGGAGTTGTGGTTTCGGCGACGCCACGCGAAATGATAGTGCTGCACAAGCACTCACAGGAGGAGCGAAAGAGAGGTCGGTCCGGGAATTTATGGCGTAATTGAGAAATGACTGCCACGCTGGGAGTGGGTATGATATGTACGAGTTATGAGCCATGGAGATCTTTGGATACGATCCTCGAGCTCTTGGGTGAGCACTGTATTATCGGAATGCGTGCACTTGTATTCAACGGTGCATGTTAGGAGTAGTTGGAAGAAGATCCGGGTCCTTCGAGGTCCCAGCGACGACAAGAGCTTTCAGAGCGAGGCGTCGATATTGGTACACGCCATTGTGAGGACTCGCGTCTTGATCGTCCCAAGTTATGGTCCCTAGCATAGTTTCGAGCCTCCGAGCCGGAACGTGCTCATACGCGGAGAGCTTAAACTAGCGATACCCTCCTCTCCGGCTCGTCTTCAAAGAAAGCCTGGTCCATGACGACGAATTTACCCAATCTGTGACACTTTCCATCTTGATCTAGATGTAGCATAAGTCCACGGTCTCTGATCAGGCGCAAGCACCATAACGAATCTGTCTGCTCTTGCTCCACATCAAACAAGCCCATTCCCACAAAGTTGTCTGGCATTTCACGATCCTCGGTGGCCGCACAATCTTGGTGATAGGCACCGCATTCCGCGAGGCGTTTTCGGATCCATGATATAGCGCGAGCGAAGTCCTCCGGTAATGTGAAATATCTTCCTCGAATGTAATTCCCCGCATGTGCCCCTGTCTCTGCACACGGAAGAAGATTTGCAGCATTGCTTCATTTCTGCTTACCTGGATCTGCAAACACGCTTAGTCCAGTCTCGAGCTTCAATCTCAACATGTAATTTTCAGGGCTAGCGGCAATCGGGCCTGTGCTGATAGCAAGTCGACAGTTGGAGAACGTCCGAGCATCGCAAACTTTCCTGTCGTCGTCATATTCCAGTTCATCGAATCGCATGCTGACATAGATTTTCACGTCACTGTTCCGCATGTGTTCGTCGTGTAGATGCATCTCAATCATCTCCTAGTCACACTCCTGCTAGAATGCGGCCCAACACATCTGACAAAACCGACAGCCATCCTCCACCACGTCCATGAGCTCACCGAGGTCTTCTTTGAGCACAATTTCGCCATACCTGAGACCATCAATGCCAAACAACATGCCGCACTCGAAACACAAGATCATGGTGTCCACGTATTGTGGCGCAAGAGGTTAGACAGGTCGAATCAGATGGGACCCAGCCGCGAAGTAAACACATCGAAGTCTCTCAGCCTCACGATGTCGAGCAACATTGGGCATCTGCTGCGGCACCCAACGCCTCGATTTGGGCATTAGACAATGGCTAGCACTTTTCGCACTGAAAGATCCCTTGAGCTTCGCAGGACCACTCGTACGCATGACCATAAATGAGGCAGTTTGATATATCCATCTGAAGTAACTATCGGTCTTGGTATAGCGAGGCTGCAACCTGTTCTAGCGGAGAACCAACCGGTTTGAACAAGGATTAGACCTGGTTGGGTCTGCTGTCGATAAAGTAGATTAGTTGGGTCTGAATGAATGCGGTCGTGGGCGGGCTGGCCTGTTGAGACGGTTCTCTAACCTTCCTACTGTAACTCGGGGGCTCTGGGGGGTAATTTTCACGGATATCCAACATACCTAGGCAAATAGGCGAGGCCTTATCTACTGAACCAAGAGACCCAATCACACCCATTCGAACATGGTCCTAGTTAGCCGAGATTTCATATCTCCAACTTCAAGAACTACTCTCTTCTCTTCCAACCGAGCCAGGAGGACTGACATTCGTTCATGCCACAATGTAAGATGTCCAGCCGACATGAGCAGTAGGGCTTCACGGCACCCGAGGCTCCGGGCAAAGACTGGGTGCCTCACATGTCCGTGTTTCCGACTCCCCCGCTGGAGAGATGTCTCTCTGCTAACAGCGCCATCCCCAGGTAAAAAGCGACGAAAGAAATGCGATGAAAAATATCCAGCCTGCTCGAGATGTACCATTTCGGGACGCCCTTGCCAATGGCCGACGGCCGAAGAACTGACCGATCGTCGCTGGGCATCTCATCGCGCTCGAGAGTCGGCCTCTCCCCGACTGCCAGACACGTACATCCGGACACGTCCCTATGATGATGATAATGCTCCAGTTCGTGCCCGACCTCTTTCAACGAAGAACAAAGAACTACCATTCTCCACCGACACAAACGCCTGGCTTCTCTCCGAATCTGCAGCTCATCAGGTCCTTTGCCATGATCTGGAATCCGTGCTTTCCCGTCACTTTGTCGAGAAGTACTACGATCTCATCTTGTTACCGAACTGTCATCCCGAGTTCTACCACGGATGGATTACCGAGATTCAGCATCTGATGATCCGGCACAAGAGCCTTCAATATTCGGTGCTCGCGTGTGCGGCATCTCATCTGCACTTCATCGACGCATCGTCGCAAATGCAGGAGCTCGCACTCACTTATTATTCACACGCTATCAGAGGGCTCTCGGAGATACTTGCGTCTGCGTCTCAAATCGAGAACCATAACGGCTTGCTCATGTCAGTGATACTCCTTTATCTCCATGGGGTAGGTTTAGGGTTTGGTTTTCTCAATCCCGGTTCTTATCCCCCTCATGACCAGTGATGCGATGCGGTGCACGTACTGATCGCTTTTTGTTTCCTCTAGTGCATGGGCAGAGGTACTTACGCCGACATCCCACGCCACGTCAATGCCGCCATACGCATTCTTCGACTCCGCCTTCTCGATCATGATCGGCCTCTCAGCATCAGCCGGCCATTTGACCGATTAGCAGTCGAAAGTGTCCTGTATCAGATTTTCCTGGTGACGATGGGCTCTTGGTCTGATCCCATCGAACTTGACTATCACTTCGACGCCGAATTCTGGCTGCAGGCCGAGAACCTCCTCGCCAGATCTACACTGTTTCCAGGGCGGTCGATCGTTTCCAACAGCCCTGTGCTCGGTATCCCTCTGGCATTGTTCAAACTTGTCCTCTCAATCAAGCAGCTGTATCAGAGCCCGGTATTCCGACGCGATCGAGAAACGCTGGACCATCTCAAAACCGAACTGGAAGAATGGGAAGGACTCGTGCTATGCAACCAGGACTTGGACAGCCTTTGGGAACATGAACAGGAACGGCTGGATAATGCCGATTACTCACTCTACAAAGATGCTGCGTACTTGTATGTTCTTATTGCCTCGATGCTGGTCGAACAATTATCTGAAGACGACGAAACGTCGTATACGGGTCCTCCGCAGGCGGTACCGAGAGATAAATGGCAAATCCGCAAAGCGACCCGGATTCTTCGAGGACATCAACACGACGATGAATGGGCGAGATGTTTCATTGGAAACTGGCCGGTGTACACGCTGGGTTTTCTCGTGGGCTCTGCCGAGGATGTAAAGCTCGTGAGAGACGATGTTTGGCGACGATGGGAGTTTACGAAGTTTGCGCAGCTTGCACGCTTTGGAAGGGATTTGGAAAATACCTGGATTAGGCGCGGATATCGGAGATCGGATGGATGATTCATGACCATCTGATGAGGAGCCAAGCCCAGCCCAGCCCAGTCCAGCTCTGTAACGTGGATTCGGATTCTCTGCGGTGTTTGATATGCGCTCTTGATCGACTCATCTTGGTATGTACCTTGGCAATATGTTGCTGAAGTAATGTCGAAGGATACCGTCGTTGCATTACATCTGACACCAAATACCGCGAATTGTTCTCGGAGATCTTGCAATGGCAGTAGACACCCTGTCTTGGAGTGCTCCCCAACATAAGCATAAGGCGACATCATCCTCTTCCGAATTTGGGGTATCTCGGGGAGATGATTTCTGGGGGGGGTTGAACCCGAATAAACTAGCCCCATCTCCGCCGCCATGACAAGTACTTTCTCTCCCACCTCTCCCACTCTCTTAGTCGTTTATAAACCATCTCAGGAGCGCTGTCCGATCGGTCTTCTCTGCTTCTGGTCATACCTCTTACTAGTTCTCCTTTCTAGTGGCGTACCTGGGAGTTGATCATATTAGCGTTCCCCTCATCAATACCACATTGCTTGCTTGACTAGACTGTTTACGTTCACACTTACCGTATTGTGCCGCCAACGTGGCTTGCGATCTTGGAAGCACTACGTCTCAGGCTGTGTCCCACGCACTCACTGCTGGGATGATTGACTGGTGACAGTAATGCTCCCACTTCACCACCGCCACTGACCAAGACACGGCAAGGCAGTTTGAAGTTGGTTGAGGGAATTGAGTGTTTTCGGTGCGACATGATCAAAGAATATCGCCATTCTCCAATATTACGGCCATTGTTTAAAGACCGAGAACGGAACCATCGTATAAGTTGTGCTACCCTTTCAGTGGCCAATGTCATGAAAATGGGCTAATGGAGGCGATCTTGATGATCCACTCGCAAGGCTGTGGACAAGATAATTTCCTATGGCTAAGAGTCGTGTCACCGTTTCCAACATCTGATTTGATGAATGACCTGACCTTGGATTTGCTTTGAATAACAATGAGTAGCCCCAGGCAGACGATTATCGACTAAAAACCCCGGCATATTCATAACGCGATGTGGACATTGCGAAGTGGGAGCCTATGAGAGAAGTTGAGTCATGTTGAAATCGTTCCCAAATTACTGATCAATTATGGACCATCGGGTTCTCGCTTCAATAAGTCCTTCCCATGTGCTCATTCATTATTCAATCAGTCGCGTTGTGATCCTCCAAACACTTAGAGCATAACTTCAGCTTGCAACCTCGGCTGAATTCTCTTCATATCTGCGCCTCTTTCATTCCTGTTCGACGAAATTCAAAGACTCCTTCTCAAATCTTCGAGTGTTTCTTCACAGCCCTTGATGTATTTCACACCTTGATCTCCTCAGAATGCTCAGCAATTGCCGTCTTCTCCGTAGATGTTTCATTGGCATGGACTTCCTTGACGGCGATCTCCCTAGCCCTGCTTGAAGAGATACACTCGTACTTGGGGAAATTGCGAACGGAGACGCGATTCTGGAACAATTCGTCGATTTCTTCAAGAGTTCGCCCTTTCATCTCGGGAAGGAAGAACAGGAAGAAAACTAAGTTTGTTACGCGGTCAGATGATGACTGCGTACTCGTCATGATGTTTACTTACAGAAAGTAAGGAAATTTGAACCAGCCCAGATATAAGCATACTTGGGCCCCCAACCGAGTTCTTTGGAATTGAGAAAGTATGGCGCAGTGTAAGACACGAGCCCTTGAGACCCAGAAGAGTGAGTGGAATGAAGGTGCTCGTTCAAGGAGGGCGGAAAACTCACAGGAGAAGAAGTAATTGATGGCCGTGCCGACCCCGATAGAAAGAACTCTCAGCCTAGAGCTGACGAGCTCGTTGGCAAGTGGCCAGCTGAGGGATCCCGAGAAGCCATTGTAGAAGAAACCCCATAGCAATGTGCACGCGACGATGGCTTTTCCGGTCGGCTTTTCATCCGGTGCCACGGTATACGCGACGGCGATTCCGAGCATGAATAAGGCCGCAGCGCCGTGGCCAATGAGCATCATGGAGCGTCTTCCGAGAAGTTTCAGAGTGGCGTAAAGTCCGACCAGGACTCCTGCAAAACTGCCGCAGGTGGAGATGATGGAGGCTTGGAAAGGTTCGTCGACACCAGCCATCTGGAAGAAGAATGTCTAAGTAGTGACTGGGTCAGCAAGTGTCCCAAATGAGCGTAGGGAGGTGATTTTACTCCGTAGGCAATCACAAGCCAGACGCCGGAAGAAGAATGAGACAGAATAACAGCGAAGCACAGAAGAGATCTTCGCAGATCGGTTCCTTTAAACATGTCGACGAATGCTCCTGAAGACGCGAGTTCTTTCTCCTCGTCGATTCCTCGCTTCATCTCGATGAATTCTTCCTCTAGATACTCTGGCTTGAGGGATTGACCCCTAAGTCTCACCAGAGACTGTCTCGCCTGCTCGGGTTTGTTTTGGACAAGAAGCCATCGAGGTGATTCCGGAACGAAAACGATGAGAACACTTAAGCAAAAAGGAATCGCGTACAGTGTAGCCAGAGGGATCTGGTAGCAGAGTTTGTTTAGGTGTTCCTTGGAATAGTTGTCCACGATCGTCCCGAGAATACTGCCAATGTTGACCCAGACGCCAAAGAATGAGACGATTAAACCTCTCAAGTGGGCCGGGCTGGCTTCGGCCGTGTAGACGTTGGCAAATGTAATGAAGAAGCCATTGGATGCTCCGATAAGGACCCGGCCAGCGTAGAGGCCACTCAGTGAGGTGGTTCCCAGTTGGACTCCAGAGGCAATGAATGATACGAGGGAGGCGGCCCAAATGCCAGGTTTGCGGCCAAAGTGTCGCGCAAAGGGGCCTGTCAGTAAGACTCCAACAATGGTACCCACATTCAATAGCGAGCTGATCAGTTGTTGGGGCTTTGTCTTGATATTCCAGCCAAGTTCTCGCGTCGGGTCTCTGTATCCGAATATTTCCAGGAAGCCAACCATGGCTTGGAAGCCTGCAATGGTCGCCGTGTCGAATCCTAGAATACTCATGTCAGCAGAGCGCACTCCGTGGACGGTCCACACACACCATATTGGCAATTCGCCATAGCAATAGCGAGGCATATAAGAACGCATTTCCAGTTGTCTTTGAGGTGAGTTACTCGCTCCTTGCTGATACCCATGTTGGTGGATGTCTGTCGATGTTGATATTGGGAAAAAGGACACAGGTTCCGGTATACGAGCGCGATGGATATGAGTATAGATATGAGTGATCAGTCGAGTTCACCACCAGACACGTTTAAAATAAAAGCGGCAACAGATATGGGAGACCCCTGTTTAGCCAGCCCCCTTGTCGGTTGCCTATTTTGCACGCTTCTCCACAAAATAGTCTGTGGAGGAATGTGGAGGAGGGCCATGGGGAGCCTAAACCAGAGCCAATCGTTTTTACTCCACTGATCTTGATGTGCTTCGGGCTGAATAGTGGGAAGTGTCAGTTGTACGCACGCATTCTGGTGTACAATTGGAGACAGGAGCATCATGTTGCGCAAGGCCAAGATCTGGCAATATTTCTGCGTCCGATGTCGACGAGCAGAGCCAATGAGATTGACCCGAGAGCTCGAGCTTGGAAAAATCGTCTAGACATATAATAGACGCATTGCAGGATCAAACTGATTTGGAAAAGCCTCGCTAACTTCAAGTGGGGACCATGACATCCTGAAGGATGGACCATCTTGACCTGATGGTATGAATAGTTGAAAGAACGGGCAGCTTTTGCTAGGCAGAGTTTTGACGACGTGAATGCCGAGACTTTCCAGCCATCATCGGACTCGGCAATTGGAGTATTAATGAAGGGATTCATATGTCCATCCCAAGCTTGTAGGTGAACACGAGGTTGCAGCTCAGTGAGGTCGGTATTTCGAATCAAACAGGCCAACAGGGCTTTGGTCATCCGAAGCCTAATTGTGGACTAGGAAGCATCCAGTTCCTGATCATAAGTCGCTTCCCATGCTCCCCTTTCGAAGGAACATTGAGAGCGCATTTGGATGCGAAATTCTTGCCTTCCACCGTCATGAGAAGTTTTCAAGCTGTCTCACAGCCAAAGAGGCATGTTCAATGATACCACAGGATGGAAAGATTCCGATATCGAACTGGGTTATGCCAAGACCAGTCTCCTATCACACGTGATCACAAATGTCGCCCGTTCTGATTGGTGGATCGCTGGCAAAGCCTCTAAATCACCGCCTTGAGCGTCTATACTCTCTACAGTCAGTGCGATGTTCAAGCATAGGAAGGTCTCATGTCGAGCCATCCCTTGTATTGAATTCTTGACAAATGATGTTCCGGCCCCCATCGGATAGGCTCTGGTAATAGCACAACACGAGGACGCCCGACTTTTGGTGCTGCGGCTGATTGCACAGCCTCGAGGAATTTCGGCCTCCTTGCATCTGGACGAGAGCCTTTAAGAGAGTTCTCCCGTGTCTTCCTTAGGGCCTGGCGCTGGTATCATCTCCTAGTTCATTTGTTGAGCTGGAAATACTTTCCAAAGCGACCATAGGATAGCGGGATGCATGATTTTTACTCCGCCAGGCTGTTAGGTGATCCCTCCAAGTTTGAACCTCGGGCGGGCAACCGATGCGTCGAATTGTGTGAGTCAAATGTCTGTGACAATGCTCTCATGACTTGGGGACATGCACTGATCCCCGCTAGGACGGAGGTGGATCAATATTAGTTGAACGCGAAATCACCGAATCTCAGATTAATGACTGGATCCAAGACGATGCTCAAATTTGGTTAGGCGATTGTCTCAATGATAATTCCCCTAGATCAGAACGTCATCGATTTCGACTTTTGATTGGTAGCCCAGAACAGCATCATAATGATGCAAAGATTCTTCCACTACCCATTTCGCGAGATATCTTTGAGGCAGTCAGAGCTACCTGGAGCCTACCCACCGAGATTTTGCGCATGATGTTGAGCACATTACCAATAGCCATAGACTGCTCGACGAAAGACTCCTTCGGAAGACCTATCACGGGCTTGATGATGAGAAGCGCGAGGTCGAGAGATTGGAATTTTTGCTTGGGACTGGTCTACCATGAGCATACAGGAATTCTCCGTGGTATATTAAATGGAATGCAGGCTGACGAGATTGAACTGCTGCTTGAATGTCTTCGAAAGTCCTCCCAACACCTGGGCAATCCTATGCTGCTCCCTCTGTTCCTCATTGAACTCAAGGTTCACTATTTCGCGGTGCTTCTCGAAAAGCGAGCCGAGGGAATTGAGAATATCGAATACATGACTGGCATGAGGCATGGATTTTCTTCCAACCCGAGACGGAACACAGTGAGCGATGAGGACAGGGAAAAGCTGCGGAAGGAGCTCGATTTCGATCCCATTACCCAGAAGCTAACCGGCGTCACGGGAACTTTATCGTTTTGCGACATGACATTTGCATCCAGCCTTAGGGCATTGGAGCTTATCAGCGCACTTAGAAGAAGGATCTCTGCGAATGTTGATCAACATCGAGAGGATATCGACGCCGAGACCCAACGTGCTCTTGACAGAAGAACTGCATACGTCCGAGAATTGATTGTTGGCGCTCAAGCACATGGCGCGGTACTATCAGCGCGAACAAGAGCTCAAGTTCAAACTGTATGTAACAATCACACGTGTGTGTCCGTCCACTGACGTGTGCTTCTAGGTCTACAGCATGATCGGTCAAAAAGACAACAAGTTGAACATTGAGACTGCGGCGGCCTCTCAGAAGATTGCGGAAATCAGTCTGCGTCACAATAGCGCCATGAAAGACATGGCAGAAGACTCGAAGAATGTTGCAATTCTCACCCGTAAAGATAGTACTGATATGCGGATAATTGCGGTTGTCACGTTGATGTTTCTTCCTGGCACATTCATGGCGACGCTATTTAGCTCCGGATTCTTCAACTTTCTACCGGACCGTTCTAGCCAGGTTGTTTCAAAGTGGATATGGCTCTATTTCACTTTGACAGGCACCACCACCTTGATCGTGTTTCTTGCTTGGTATCAATTTTCAAAACACCAAAACAAGGCCATGCTGACGATGATCCGCGGCAATAAAGAGACGTCTCCCTTCGAAAGCGAGCAAATTCAGTATGACAAGGACATCCATTATACCTTGTCTGCTACTTCATGAATCATCCTGCCATGTGGACGGTGCTCCCGAAGTCGATTAGACGGTATGAGACATTGATTGGCTACCTCAATTGGTAAGTTGCCAGATAGATTTTGAATATCCTGGGTCGAACCATGTATAAAATTCTTACTCAGATTCAAAGCTGGAGAATTGTGTGAAGGACGAGGCTCGACACAGCTTCCTAAAAAAAATGGCCCCCTCCAAAAGTTCTCCGCAAGGCAAAAGCCCTGGACTGAAATCCGCCTCCGATTGAGACAGCCCTGCCCTTCCAAGTACGGTCGCAGGCTTGGCGCGCGGCCGCTTTTGATGTCTATAAGAATCCTCTTCCCATCCCAATCCTCTCTTCCTCTCCTCCAACCTGTTTTCTTTCTCCTGAATCCTCCCCTGTCGCGTCTCAACGCTACGCTTTAATAAGGAAGAGAAGCCTACCTTCTCCCTGAAATGCACAATGTCTAGCCGTGTCGTTAGCCGTGTCTCCTCTCGGTAGGTCCCATAGAAGAGATGCCCTTACCTTGTCCATTTCATCATACTCCCCAAATATTTCTTTCGTCGAGTCCGCATGTCATTTCTCTACGGTACCTTCTCAACAAGTCGTTGCCGGCGTCGTCGATAATGTATTGGGCCGCTGGCCTCCGGTTTGGATATTTCACGGCCATTAACACCTCCACAAAAGGCCGCCTCTTCTTGAAACTTCTTCCCCCTTCTAGTGGTAGTAGGTGATGCGAAGCAATCGCTTACACGTAGGATAGCAAAGTCAGAGAAGGTATATCTCATGAAATGGAGGAAGAAAAGGCTTTCGGCGGCTGGATTGAACGCAAATTTAGGTAGAGCTGGTCGAATGCATGAAAGGAGACGGGAGATGCGACACAATTCGACAGTGATATTAGAGGGCAGAGAAGGGCTTCTTTCTCTGTGGCAGCCTGAGAAAATTTGGAAGGACCCTCCCTGCATATCCTCGAGGCACCATGTTTGGGGCGGTGCGGTCGAAGGTACCCATTCTTTCAAGGAGTTGACGGTTCCCTGGCTATTTCTGAAGGCGACTATTTCTGGTCCCAGTGATGTTATGTGAGTGGGGAAAGATCGAGGTTAGCGTTCTTGGCATCGAGGGGAAAACGCCTCCAAAAGCGGCGGCACCAACCGCCCAAATTCGGCGGGAAATTTCCCTGCAGCCTGGTATTGTCGGTTCTCATAAAACCTATTCTTCTCCGTCGACATGGAGACTCTGAGTAACGAGATCTGGGATGTCGTCATAGCTGGTACCAGCATCCCTCAGTCGCTACTGGCACTGTAAGCACCTGTTCCTTTCGTCGGCCTTAGGCTCGAGCTGACTGACCAAAGGCTGTCAAATTAGGTCTCTCTCACGATCGGGAAAGAAAGTGCTCCATGTCGACCGTCATCCCTACTATGGCGGCAATGACACTGGTCTGAGTCTCCAAGAAGCGGAAGAATGGGTACAGGACGTGAATAAATGTGAACATTCGCGAGTGATTGATGCAAGGGTCACACTGACTATTCGCAGTCCCCAGCGCAGTCTTCAAAGATGCGTCAATTTCGAGACCACCTCTCAAGGAGTCAAATGAGCAGGCTGGCAACCTCCAACCTTCAAGGACATATACCTTGAGCCTGAAGCCTCAAATCGTTTACGCAAAATCCGAGTTCCTTCCGACGATCGTCTCATCACGAATACACACGCAACTAGAATTCCTTGCGGTTGGCTCGTGGTGGGTTCATCGTGATGGAGCATTGCACAAGATTCCAAGTACTCGTGAAGATGTTTTCAATGATGAATCACTGTCTATGAAGGACAAGCGTGGCTTGATGAAGTTCTTACGTTATGTTATGCAAGAGGGAGATGAATCAACAACGGACGTTGAAGAAGAACATCAAATGTCTCTTCGAGCCGCTCTCACGAGCAAGTTCAAAATTCCTGGATCTCTGCAACCACCGCTGTTGGCACTCGCACTGTCTCCGGTTGCTGCAGATGCAATTCATTTTGACACGGCACTCGCTAGAATCCGGAGACATATGCGATCAATGGGCTATTTCGGGCCGGGGTTTCCTGCCGTCATCGCGAAATATGGCGGCAACTCAGAGATTTCTCAAGTTGCCTGCAGAGCTGGTGCTGTTGGTGGAGGTGTATATCTCTTGGGACATGAGTTGACAAGATTGGAGTCTCCCGAAACCAGCGGCACAAGGCCTAATGGTGACGGTGTTTCGTTAATCAGAGGAACTCTCTCAGACGGGACCCGAATTCAGTCTCGGTATGTTGTTGGAAGTCTCGACGACATTCCGACATTGAGAGAAATAATGCCCGAGATGGACTTGTCCAATCCTACTTGGAGGTCAATCAGTATTGTTGCTGATCCGTTGCGGGCCTTGTTCCCTCAGACATCAGACAACGGCCCAGTACCCGCTGTGGCAATCGTCTTGATAGACGCAGGCGCAGAAGACACTGATAAGAGTCCAGTCTATCTACAGATTCACTCTGAAGATACGGGGGAATGTCCAACCGGCCAATGTAAGTTTCCGGCTTTCCTTGTTTTGTTTCGCTTTTGTTTTTCCCTATTGCCATGATGATCCAACAATTGAATACTTATCTACATTGCCTGAGCATTTCATGCTTTGCTGATACTTATCCTCTGACAACCTGACCTGGATACCAATTTCCTTTCTGTTTGCTCAGATTCATTGACACCGGGGGAGTGCTGACTTATCTCCGCCCAGGTGTAATTTATGCTTCAGTGGTTGCTGACGATGCGTCTTCAAAAAGTCGACTCGAAGCAGCTGTAAACGATTTCCTTGATACCTGTGGGACAACGCCCTCCCTTTTATGGTCCTTGTCCTATCAGGTCTCAGGGCCCGCAATCGATCCTGCCTCACCCTCATCTTTTTTGCGGAAAAACTCGTCACAAGTTTTGGTGTTTGCTCCAGAGCCTCATGATCAGTCGTTCCACGACGGCGTCCTTGGTGCGGTCAAGGAGGCTTGGAAGGTTGTCATGGGAGCCGATGCTGCTGACAGCACATTCTTACGGTTTGAAGACCGTGAGTCTGAAGTCGAGGACTAGATGGAGAACTTATGTCGTCAATGATGATTTTCAAGAACCTTGCTATGGTGATCTGGCCTCACATGAGGATTGTGCTGCCGATTGATATTGTTTCAGCACTGAAGATATGTCTCCATTCTCCCCGTCTTATGCTGTCATTCCGCAGGGGTCTGCTTCATATCATTCTTGAATCGGGAAGCTGTTCCTGCCAAGGTTTATCGAGCTCTAAATCTATTAGTGTCGTGCTAAATCTGATCCGATACGTGATCATCAGGCAACCTGGGGCCTCTGGATTTTTCCTCCCAACCAGAGTTCATGCGCTGGTCGATGATTCAGGTGAGTGAAGACTCCCGCCAGCCGGAAATTTTTCTACAGATTCATCATATGGACCCCTTTTCATCTCAATCGAACAATCGCATGTGTGGCAAAGGTCTATATGCCCCGTCCCACTTACTTATTTCGACTTTTCACAATCGGAACATTCGGTTGGCCTAGTCTGGTCTCTACCTTCTGATGGCCCAAAACAAGCGGCACACTGGAGAGTGCAATAGCCCGACTTGACTGCGACCGAGTACGCTTATTGTTGGATTTTTACTAACGCTTATCCAATCGTCCGCATCCCTACCATTCGGCCTACTCAATGCCTAACCAGCATGGCTGTCGAATATCTAACTTTTTCTCTTTGACTCGCAGTTAGCATTTCTCCTTCACCCGTTGCCGATCGCAAGCTCTGTCAAGCTCCATATCAGCTGTTAATGGGATTTCCTCACGTTGCAATCTAGCGAATGCATCCCCGCCATGGCATTTTGAACCTACCAAGTGGTATGCCACATACCTGCTATGCTCTGCTACACGCTGATATCCACTTCTGTTCAAACCTTTTGGAAGGGACTGGATAGCTCGGCACGATGAATAACTGTGTTGTCTTGCATGGTCTTCCCCCCTCTTTGCCTTCTACTCGAGCTGTGTGCATTTGAGCAAAGAGGAAGTCATGCTCGTTGTGGATCCCTCGTTTTCACATTGAGCTCTTCGTTCGCTCAGAAAATCATTTCCTTCTTTACGTTTCCCAACTGAGTCGGAGAAATTACAGCATCCCAGAGGGAGCGCACACGCACAAAAGTCTCCAGTTTGTCCCCGTTGATTGGCTGGAGAGCTCCAACTGGGCCTGAACTTCATTCTAACACAGCAAGAATCATTCAGTATGAAGCATACAACATTAACAACAACATTATTACCATCCGCAAGCATCGCTGCAGTCCGCCTATTAACGTAGCGATCAATACGAAGATGAAATTATGATACCATATTACATCGGTCTCCAACCATATGGCTTCTCTGAGTGGGGCATCTATACAGTTCCCCAGAGCAAATTAGACGGTGTGAGTCGTCATATTCCTATAGGCAAGTGTTGGCGGTGGTTCACCCATTAACGATATGGTGTGAAATCGAGGAAATCAACGAAGTTTTAACGCTTAGAATACGGGCTAGGGCTAGAATGCTCTTCTATCATACTTCGAAAAGGTGAACAGCTATCTTTCACAATACACGGTACTTTGAAAAGCTCACTAGGTTATCCAGTCCGAAGTATACACACCCAAGACCTATGCTGGTGCTACCGTACAGCCTGAACTTGAAAATCCCGCCGTTCATGGTAAGAGTGGTCCGTTCAAATCTCTTACCTGAACTATTACTGGCCACAGACCGACAACTGGTTCGACGCACTCCATGAGCTCGGAATTCCAACTTCGGCTGAACCCGATGAAGGACTCACTGCTGGAGGTTATTTCTTGCCATTGGATATCGGTCCGGTTAACCAAGCTCGCTCGGATGCTCGTCGTTCATACTACAATCCGAACATTGCACGTGGAAACTTCAATGTTCAACCCAATTCCCAAGTTACCAGAATCCTGTTCGACCAAGGAGACCAGCTGACTGCTACTGGCGTTGAATTTGCAACCGGTCCTTCCTCGCCACGCCAAAAAGCCCACGCAAATCGAGAAGTGATTCTGGCAGCCGGGGCAATCCATAGCCCACAACTTCTTGAGCTTTCGGGCATCGGACAAGCCTCTGTTCTCGAGCCACTTGACATCAACGCGCTTGAGAATCTTCCCGGGGTGGGCAACAACCTCCAAGACCACGGCATGATCCATCTGAATTATCCGTACACAACCCCTCTGTCATGGACACCAACGACTTTGCTAGCAATGCGACTTTCAATGACGAATCTACCGCATAATACTATGGCAGCAAAACCGGTCCTTGGACGGCGAAGCCCAGCTACGCTGTCGCATTCCCCTCACTGCGACAAGTTACCGACGATACAGAATCCAGACTTGCGGCCGCCAGTTCTGCCTCTTACAATCTCCTATCAACGTATGCCGACGAACCGACGCTCCAAGCTGGTTACGAACGCCAAATTGCTAGTGTACTAGCTGAATTGGCCGACGAAAACATACTTGCGTTTCGAAAACCTCAACAACAACGCAAGGGGACTCGATTTGGCGCTGATGCGCCTCCTTTCTCCGGGGACCACGCACAACACGCCCATGGACCCCTTTGCGCTTCCGAACGCCGACCCCCGCTGGCTCGTCCACAAATTCGACTACGACTTCATGATTTTCGCCATGCAAGTGAACCGGATGATCCCGAGCACCGATGCCATCCTGGAACTCATGCCCTCGTACGCCGATATTCCCCGAGATGCACCTGTGGATCAACTTGGGGGGATCCTCCGAGGAGGTATTGGCACCGAATACCATTACTCGTGTACAACGGCGATGTTGCCCAGGGATCTGGATGGTCTGGTCAATGGCGAGTTACGGGTTAGTGGCACGAGTAATCTTCGAGTCGTCGATACGAGAATCTACCCTGTGGTGCCGGGCGCGCATTTGCAGGCCGTGGCGTACGGGGTCGCGGAGAAGGCTGCTGACTTGATCAAAGCGAATCAATGAGTCAGTCAATAGGTCAGTGTCGGGAAGTTGAACGACACAGCGAGGAGCTTTCTTTCCTCCTGCCCTTTTCTTTTTTGGTGAATGGAATTATGGTGAGTTCTTAATCCGCGGCGAAGAAAGGGCGATCAGTTAACGAATCGATTAATCGATGATTTCGACGGCAAACGTCTATCTTGATCTGCGCTTTGGCACATGAGAAGAAGTACACCTAATATCTTGTCTATGATGATGAGAGGGATGACGTTATTATGATACAACAGGGAATGTGGAATTCGATAGGCGAATGTTGGATCTTGTATGAAGAAACGAAGACTATACAAACAGACAGACACTACATGGTCAAACCATCTAACACTTTTTTGTTCGTTGCCTATCTAGATTCAGCTATAGTTAAAGCCCAGGAGGGAGAGATCGTTTGATAGGAGTGGAATGGTAGCAAGTTACCGGATTCACTCGAGAGCGTTCTCTTTGATCATACCTTTGGTCATGAAGACATGATAGGATGAATAACTCCCCAGCCCTGACCTTCGTGCTGCGCTTTGAGATAGATGGTTCTGATCGTCGCATATGGTCGAGTTTCTGTCCAATCGCTTGTAATGAGGCTAAGGCCCATGACTCATGGAAGCACCTCTTGATAATTCAAACACATAACATCGCCAAAGCCAGTCTCTTGTTCTAATATAACTAACAGAGACTTATTTTAGGCCTCGATCTATCCTATCCGCAATGCGAAAGGATCTGAATTGCAATTTCCTGCCTTTCATTCCCTGACACTTTCCTCGATCTTAACATTCTTGAGCAAAATGGCCCAAAATATTTACGACACGCCCGCCTTCTTCAGCTCATACACCCAACTCCCACGCTCTGTGAACGGCCTATCTGGCGCTCCTGAATGGCCTACTCTGCGCAAACTCGTAGGAGACATCCATAATACCCGCGCGTTGGATCTCGGCTGTGGCCTAGGGTGGTTCTGTCGTTGGGCAGTCAAAGACGCTCACGCCCGCTTTGTCCACGGCATCGATCTCTCTGAGAACATGCTTTCTCGAGCACGCGAAATGACCAGCGTGGAAAACTTCGGGTTGGACGGTATTACCTACCAGCGCGCTAATCTCGAGGAACTTGTGCTGGATGATGGCCAAGTGTATGATTTCGCATATAGTTCGTTGACCCTACACTATTTGCCAACGGAGGCGTTGAGGAATTTGCTCGGGGAAGTGTTCAAGTGTCTTGGCCCAGGGGGAAGGTTCGTGTTCAGTGTTGAACATCCTGTTATGACTGCGCGGGAGGATGCGATGTGGAAAGCCGACAATGAGGGGAACGTATATTGGCCGTTAAATAGCTATTGGGACGAAGGACTCAGAGTGACAAATTGGTTGGTGCAGGGGTTCCGGAAGTATCATCGGACAGTGGAGACGTATGTGTCGATGGTGTTGGAAGTCGGATTTGTGGTTACAGCACTTAAGGAATCATGGGAAGGGTTGGAGTTGAGGCCGAGACTGCAAGAAAAGGCGGATGGGCATCGGCCTTTTTTCTTGATCATTGCGGTGCAGAAGCCGAAGGTTCAGTCCTCGTAATGGGAATAGGTGGAGGGAATGATGATGTAGGAAGACGGTCGCACTTATCTGGTGTAGACTAGGCCTTCATTGCGATCGAGAGTAACATGCTGATGACGAGGAGATGATGCTTCCATACCTTCCATGTTAAAGGTACTGTGCCTCAGAGGCTGACTGTTGATGAGGGAATAAGATGCTTTGTCTCCATGAGGAGTCTGACCGAAGGATATGCTCCAGGTTCGTGTAATCAGGACTTTTGATAGTTGAAGATGGGAAGAGTATCTGACAGACTCAGAAAATGCTGCGTCGGACCACTGCCATCATCTCACCGGCTTCAATGCCACACTGAAAGTTGCGAAAGGTCAACAGGCGTATGAAAAAGGCGAAGAATATCATACGTACCGGAAAATCATTGATGCGGTCCCGAGGCTGCGTTTGACTTCGTATCTATTCAAGAGTTATTGACCTATCATCACCATCCACATCAGTTTCAGCCTGATATTGTTCCATTTCTTGGGATCCGTTCGGGTCTGGAAGCACGCGAGACGCGGAGCCGAGCGTCAGAGGCTGCTATGAGTTCGATGGAGGATCATTATTTCGTGGTCACCATTATTGACAGTGAGTTCCTAACTTTAATAATTAAAGGTAATCTAACACGATCCATCTTGTCTCTTCGTCTCTCCTACAGTCAGTAGACTCGTTCTTCGTCTGTCATCATGACTTCCCCCTCTGGGCGACTCCAAGGACGTATAGCAATTGTCACGGGCAGTTCGTCTGGACTGGGCGCGGCGATCTGTCTCGCCTTTGCCGCCGAAGGGGCCTCTGTATTCTGCATCGACATGTACCCTACACCACGCAACGGGATCAACCCCTCGACACTTCGCGCCGACGACTTCCACCACCGCGTGACGGGCCAACCCGGCACCCACGAACGAATCCGCCAATTCGGCGGCGAAGCGACATACCACAAAGCTGACGTGACGAAGGCACGAGACATGGAGCTCGCGGTCCGGGCCTGCGTCCAACGCTACAAGAGGGTGGACATAATGGTGAACAACGCTGGAGTCAGTGTAGAAAGCACACATATACGGCCCCTTCGATGCCACGAGACGTCCGAAGAGGACTACGATCGCACCATGGCCGTCAATGCCAAAGGCATGTTCCTCGGCTGCAAATACGTGCTGAAACAAATGCTGGACGGACAGCCGCAAATATATACATCGCGCGGCTGGATCATTAACACCGCTAGTGTCCAGGGACTCGTTCCTTATGTGGGAACTCCAAGCTACTGCGCAAGCAAAGGCGCGGCAGTCATGTTGACAAAGCAAATCGCCCTGGATTACGCCAAGGACTTGATCCATTGTAACGCGTTGTGTCCGGGCTTTTTGGAGACGAGTATGACGCAGAACCTGCAAGCGCAAAAGGACGTTCTCGAGGAGATTCGAAGCAGACATCCCTTCGGCGATCGATTGGGGAAGGTCGAGGATGTTGCGAGGGCAGCGATTTTTCTGGCGGGTGATGATGCTGCGTGGATCACAGGCGTACCGTTGCCTGTGGATGGAGCTTATTTATTGAGATAGCAAGGAAACCCTCTCATGATCTACACCAGTTGGCATGGCGTTCTTCTGCGCTTTTTGTCTAGGTACGTTGAAACTTCCCTCATTTAGTGCCAGTTCGCCGAAGCTTCGTCGTCCGCAACCCTCAAAATTTCCTTACACATATGAATCATTACGAATTCTTTCTCCTTGTGCCATTCTCCCTTGGGGATGAGCCACCTCGGTCCGACTTGCACGAACCCCTTTTTCCTCCAGTAGTCCGCCACACGATTCTCGATGAGCCTTACCCAAAACCTGACGAATTTTTTCTCTCCAGAGCGGCTCCGCGCTGCGTCGTATAAAGCAATAAGGCATCGGTCAGCCAAACCCTTCTTTCGATACTGGGAGTCGTTTCGGGAAGCAACGGGACCAATCTCCCAATCATTTGTCTCTCCGACCGGGTGTTCCTCTTCAGCGTGACTTTTCCACCGTTTGGCGCACGCCATTGCGACCGGTAGGCCTCCTCTTTCCGGAATTTGAATGACGGCACACTGCCCATCCTCACCAAGTTCTCGCCAGATTTCGTCCGAGGTTGCAAACCGACTTATGATGCCTTCTTCGTGATGGGATCTGTATGTCTTGTTGACCATATCCAGGAGCGCAACGAGTAATTCCTCCTCATTTCGAAGGTCGTCTGCTGTAAACACCCGCAACAATAAGTTGGACGCCATTGAAGCCTGTCAAGAGCCGACTACGTGTCGGACTTGGAACAAAAGATGCAGTTGCAGCCTCTCAGCTAAGTCTACTAATAGCTCGAACTCGTATTGAATACGAGGAACAAATAGCAGCTAATTTACAACGCGCCTTGGCCTTATAAAGTCCGAATGCAACAGACAACTGATAGCGCAAGATAGTGAGATTTGTTCAGAGCTTTTGGCGGTGGGCCGCTTCTCTTTACGTGCTCACAACCTAGTATGAGAATTAATTAGATCGTGATTCCTCTCCCCCCCCCCTCTTCCTCCCTCCCTCCCCCCCAAACAAACAAAAACAGATTTGGATGAAGCGGGCGGAAGGGTGCTGTACATGAGACATTACCAAAGGTCCTGTGATTTTCGCGGAGGGTTTGTCTGCTTTGAAGAGTCCTAGGAGGATGTCTGACTATATACCACCGAGGGATTCCCGTTACGTTTCCAAGCGGTGTACATCTTTTTTCGATCCTGACCAATTACAACTCGGCGAACGGCAGTTATCTAATGAAGGTAGAGATTCTATTTCGCGGAGGAACAACATGGGTCTGATCTATTTCATTGGACCTATCTAAGCGTGAACCTGCTTTGTGGTATGTACATAGTCCCCCTTGGGGCCGTATTGGTCTCAAATTTTGCCGGGGAAATATGAAGTCTGCAGTCTCGTTCAGATCCTTCAGAATAGTCAAGGCGTCACCATACACGAACCTTTTTCCGGCTGGAAGGTATCCTTGTCGAACGTCACCTTCCGACCAGTTTTTAAACTTTCTTGGAGAGCCTGTGCGATGATGAGAGACGTCAAGCAGTCCCTCAGTGGCACCGGCATCGGCTCCTCATCCAGGATAGCATTGACCCAGGATATCGCCTCAGCGACAAACGCAGCCGAATATCGATCATACCATCCTGGTGTTGGCTCAACCTTGACAAGCCCATCACCATCGCATAGCTCAACACGATTCCGTCTGGGGGTCATATTGACGGAGATTTTGCCGGCCGTACCAAAAATCTCGGTCGCATTATCGTAACCATGTGCGGCGGTTCTTGAATTGTAGAAGTACGCGATCTTGCCATCCCAGAACTCACAAATCCCAACTGCGTTATCTGCATCGCCATCTTCCGCCAGTTCAGTGTGAATCGCAGATACGCCGGCGGCGGACACTGATTTCGGCTTGCAGTTCCCTCCCAACAACAAAATGGACAAATCGATGTCGTGAATAATACTGTCGAGGAATATCCCACCACTGCCCTTCAGATACTGTTTATAGGCGGAGCTCGTATCGAGCTTCTCACAGCCCTGGGATCTAATGACGATGGGGGTTCCAATCTTGCCTTCTTTGATCTTATGGTAGGCATCCTGATAATTCTCGTCGAATCTGCGAACAAACCCGACCATCAATTTTGTTTTGGGATTGGCCTCGACTTTGTCGATGAGAGTGTACAGCTACAAAGTCCTTTTAGCTCTCGTAGCACGACGTTGGGTCTTGGAAGTGTATACGTACCTCAGAGATTGATGTGCATATGGGCTTCTCGCACAGGACGTGAATACCCCGATCAAGTGCAGCTGTCGTATGTTTCAGATGCAACTCTGTCGCTGAGGCTATGATCACAGCTTCTAGACCGGGTGTCTCGATCATTTCTTCGAAGGTGGGATATACCTGAACCCTGTAGGGGACGAGATGCTCATCGGCCCAAACAAGATCGGCCTCGGCCGGGGAACAAGCGCACAACAGGTTTGCCCGCGGGACCAGACGAAGGATATTCATAGCATGTCGCCGGCCCATACGGCCAATTCCTACCACGCCGACATTCAACCTCCTGGCTGGGGACCGAGTAACATTCTGGATGGGTTTCACAATAACGCCGTTTACCAGGTCTCCCGTCATAATACCAATGCCGATCCTAGGACTGCGTGCACAGAGGCAGAGGAGTTCGTGGTCGTGGACGTGGTCGTCATCAAGAGGTATGGGCGGCAAAAAGTCCTAAGCAAACACAAGACCAGAGAGGATGGAATACATTCTCCTTTCGCGGCCTCTAGAAGTTTCTGTGGCTTATCTTTCTGGGTGTATCACGGGGAACATCGCGAACGATGGAAAACCGTCTAGGGCCCCCGGAAATCGGCCGGTCGAGCCACAGGAGAGCCACAGACGTCGCAACAAAGCCGACCACGCCGAGACGGTTTTGGATACTTTTGCACTATCAATGAGGACCAACGGGGAAGCCAAGTACGGCTCTCCGTTGGAATCGGCAAAAACCGAAGCTGCAGCCTAGAGGCGCAAAGCGGTCTATTCCGTTCTCGCTAGTGTGGTCCAGACTCCACCGCGGGCCTCTGTCGCGACCCTCCACCAATCAGGTGCGTCTGTGCGACCGCATAGTCATGTTCGGCACACGTGACTCTATCTTGGCACGGAGGGCTTGCACAACCTCGCCTCATGCCCTCGAACACTTTCGTTTAATCTTCCTTCATGCAGCAATTTAGGCTCGTGGCGTGATACAGGCGTGTGAACTCCTCCAATATCGAAGGCATGATGAAACTTGCCGGGTCACGAATTATCCAGGAGCTCTCCAAACCTAAATTTCATTCGCCATGACTCACTCCTGCGATGCTTCCATCCTCCACCACAAATCCACCCATTTCCACTCCTCGTCCAACATCACTTCACCGGGTCGTCTGTATGCCATATCCAAAACCCTGCTAAGATGTTCCCTCATCACCTTCAGCGCCATCAGCTGTCTCCAATGACGCACTGACAGCCTGACTTTGCCCGAATCCAAGACTAACACGCCGGCAAAGAACTCGAATTCAGCCTCTCCCAGCAGCAGTGCTAGCGCGGATTCGGGGATTGCAGATGTTTCGAAGACGTTGAGATGACCGCTGCGGTTTTGCATCGCTTCATAGAAGGATAACCAGCGCGGTGGTTTAGCATTGTGGGTGTCGTGGTTGATTGAGCGTGGTGTTGGTGAGACGACTTGGTTCGTGTACACGTTCCGCCAGCCTTTGCCTTGGCGCATGAGGATGCGAGGATATAGAGCCATGGCGATGATGGAGTTGAGTGCTCGGTCGCTGACGGTTTGGTTGTAGCGGTGGGGGATGGGGTAGAAAACCCCTCCGTCTCCTCTACTGCCAGTTCGAGCGCGGTTTAGAGCCGCTCTCTCCTCTGCCTCGAGTATCACTAGACCTGCGTCGACGAGGTAGACGAGCAGTTGGATCTTCTGCTCTTCGACTTGGCTCATTGTTTGGTCGCTGATGTGGTTTTTCCAGCAGAATTCCTGGCCTGAACGGTTACCTTTGGCTTTCTTCCATCCTGTATAGGCGTTGAAGGAGGATAGTAAGTCCGAGTCGCTGCGGCTGAATGTTTGGCGGGCGTCGGCTTGCGGTCCGGAGGCGGGGATGGGGAGGAAAGGGGATTTCGACGTCAGTAGCGATATGACAGCCAGAATGGGATCCTAGAACCAAACCATTAGCATTGCATCGGGAGCAGCCTAGCCAGCGTTGTAGATTCTTACTAGGCAGCGGAATATAACTCCAAAGATGGCCAACTTGGCCAACGACACTTCCAATGGTAGATGCGAAATCTGTTGTCCGAGCGGAGTCAATGCCTCGGACTTCGTCAAGGCACCTGCGTCCTTCAACTTCTCAATCGCTCTCAGTACATTCTTTCTCGAGGGTGGATCAATAGCCGCATTGAGCGTCTCCTCTATCGAACCCAGATCCCACACCTTGATTCGTAACACAGGGTCTTGCAGACTCAACCTCAGCATTTCTGGGACCTGCTGCTCCAGCATCAGATTGTCGTGCCGATGCTTGGTGACAAGATGGAAGCAGAGGCCTCCTTGGACACGCGCGGCGCGGCCTCGTCGCTGTCGCGCCGAGGAACGTGAGATGAAGCCCTCGGTCAATCTCGACAGTTGACGTCGTTCGTCAAAGCGCATCAATTTCTCTTTACATGTGTCAATCACGGCCGTCACGTCGGGGATTGTGATACCTGTCTCTGCGATGTTGGTGGCGATCACGATCTTCCTGGACCCCAAGGGCGGGCGGTCGAAGGCTCTCTCCAGCTCCTCAGTCGTAAATGTCGAGTGTAGGAGATGCACGACCCAGTTGCAGCGGAAGGTGTCGACGGAGAGCAACAGGTTGTGGAGATAGCGCATCTCACCTATACCCGGCATAAAGATGAGGACTGCGCGGCTGTATTTCGCGTACTTGGGTTTGCTGGCAATCGCTGCCGCGAGCTTAACGATCAAGTGATAGTTGATGCGGTATTCGTCCATGCTAGAGATAGCACGTAATGTCTGCTCGCTGTACGACTCCGGGTTGGCGACTATGGGGCGACTTTTCTCATTGGCATAGGAATCATCATAGTCCTGCCCCTCGTCTTGAACGAGCAAAGTTTGATCTTTGAGACCCGCGAGGTCTTTCGTCGCTTCGACGGCATCTTCAAGAAAGCCGACCTGAACTGGGAACGTCCTTCCCGGGAGGTCAAGCACGGGTGCTCCTCCAAAGTACGCAGAAAACTTGCTCGCATCGACCGTGGCGGACATGAGTACGATCTTCAAGGTCTTTCTCCGCACCGGTAATTTCTGCAACGCAATAAATAGTAGATCCAGATCCATCGTTCGTTCATGCACTTCGTCAAGGATCAGGTAGTCGAGCTCATCAAGGTCCGGCGACTCCTCCAGCATCCGCAAAAGAACACCAGTTGTAGCGTATGTAATTCGGGTGTTGCTGCTTGTCTTGCTCTCGAGGCGAATTGCATATCCCACCAGCGACCGTGCTGTGCCAATATCATTTCGGCTTTCCCCTAGTTCCTGCGAAACTCGTCTCGCGAGTGTGACGGCTGATATCCTCCGTGGCTGGATGACTAGGATGCGACAGTCTCGTCCGGCGCTGAATTCCCGTTCCAGGAGCAATACGGGTATACCAGACGACTTGCCCGCGCCAGTCTCGGCGCAAATTACAGTGACGGGATTGTCAGCGACGCAGTCCAGGATTCTGTCTTTGAACTGGTGTACAGGCAGCTGTTGGCGAATGCCGAGCATTTCCTGGAACGAGGTTCGGGAGGTTCGCAATGTCCATTCCCGAGAGACTCGATCAGAATTTAGCTTGCTTGGGGCCGTACGTTGTATCCGGTGACGGCCTTCAGGTCGGGTACGATCTTTGCTGACGACCCATGTTTGCTCCTGCTTCACTTTCTCTCGTGTAGTCTGGATAAGCGCTCGAATCCGTCGAAAACTCGATTTATGCTCTTCATCGACAAGTCTTCGTTTTTCATCCGTCAAGTCTTTGACAGTGTCTCTCCATACAGTGGGGAGGCGGGTCATCGCCTTCTGCTCCTTCACACCAAGCGAGGAAACAAGGAACAAGGCCAATGTACAGATATACGCTTCTGACTGGATGCTCGATGCCGCGGAAATATTCGTCATTTCCACACTCCACTGCCGTGGTGTTGTTTTCGCGGAGATCTCTGGTGGGAGAGCAGCGGTCATTTGGTCTTCAATCATTGTATCAATGGTCCAGAAGACGTCCACACTGTGTCTGGCCGAATATGAAGTACTCTGTAATATCCGCAGTTGAATCCGGGATTTCGGATCATGGCCCTTGCAGATATCATCTAGAAGTTTTCGAGGAGAAACACCGGTCCATTTTCCAAAATCGACCAGCTTCACTTGACCCGTGTTTCCTAGATCTTCACTGGCGGTGTCAGGTTCGTCAGATCCCCCGAAGATACCACCCAAAAGTCCGTTTCCATCTTCACCATCGGATTCTGTGTTATCCAATAGGGGCCTTCCATCTTCTGAATCAAGATCTTCTGTCTTTTTGGTTGCTCCGAGGGTTTGTTCGCGGCGTCTTGCGGCATATTCCCGGATAAGCTTTTGATGTGTGGCCTGCAATTCCATGAGACTCGTATACCATGCAGACTCCGCTTCGAATTCATCGAATAGAGGATCTCGACGTAAATTTTGCACTTTCCGACTCAATTTGGGCATTCGCTTCTGCCTCTTGGCGGTCGTGACTGAGTCTTGACTCGGATGTGGATTTTGGACCTCCCAGATTAACCGCTGAACTCGGACGTACTCCTCCGTCAATTTTGAAGGGTCGTCGTCATCGTCGCTCTCTGAGGAGGACATGCTTGGTAAGGAGTCATCTTCCGGTTCTGACGTCTTTGCTGGAGTACTTGTAGGACTTGGTCGGCTTTGAGTGGCAGATATGGGCTCTGTAGCGGAGTTAGCATGAACATTTCGTTCATGGGGCTTCTGAAAACGGCTGGAAATGATCGATCTATTTGCACGTCGATTGAAGAGGCCTGATAGATTTAAGTAAGGTCCTGGAAAATACACGCAACTTTGCCTGCCTTGTCCTTTGAAACGTGGAAGCTGTCTCGAACACGTCTCTGCGATGCTAGATTGTGGACAAAGGAAAACACAGGAGAATCCCGGATTGCACAGGCCCAAAGTTCCTGGCTTAGTTACTACTCACCAGAACTTTCTTGAAGAGGTGTACTCTCACCACTTTGCCCAGATTTCGAGGTAGTTCCTTGTTCATAATTCGAAAGCTCGGCCGATTGAGATCCGGAAGAATACCATTGGAGAGCCCCGTACAGACCTGGCAGAGAGTCGCCGACTGTATACGGCCGCCCCGACATCGCCAATTCTGCGATATAAGCAATGGCATCGGCGACCCTCGGGAACCTCAAAGCTTCTAGGACTTTTTCCAATGTCCAAAGATCGACCATAAGTCTCTCTTCATCATTCGAAGGAGAATTTGCGTTAAGAACTGGCCATGCAGATATTGAATCCATGTCATTCATGCGGAATATCTCGTCGACCAATTCATCAAAAAGCCAATTGTAGGTTGACAACCGGTAAGCCTGTGAACGCAGTTGTCTCCGCTCCGTCTCAAGCTTGGTAACTTGACGGCGTGCCTCAGCCATGGACCGCATTGCGTATTTCTCGACCAGCGCCTCTAGCTCAGAATTTTCTAGGTGGGCTTCCAGATCCTCGGGACTCATATTTTTTATGTCGGAGGTCTGTTCAGATGACTCGTCGCCTTTCCGGCCGGTAATTTGGCCACCGGCAGATTCAGCAGGCGCGGCAGAGACATGTTGTCCCTTTTCCCCAGTCTCAATGTTGACCAATTCCTTGTTAGGCTTATCAGGAGGCCTTGCCTTGGAGGGTAGCGAAGTAGTAGCGAAACCACGTGCAGGATTTGCCGCTGACTTCTTCTTTTTCTTGTTCGGAGCCATGACGCAGACAAGATTTCACTATCCGTTGAGGTCTCCAGGAGGTGAAAATAAAGCCTAGCAATAAGCATTGAAAAAAAGCCGAACGGTGGCTTCGAATGTAGCCTCCTGGCAGATAGCGGATCGCGCGGAGGTCTGAAGATGAATTCTTCCAATCCATGTGTCACTCCAAGGCCATCTACTGGATACGTGTGGTAGAATACCTGCCAAAGGATGAACAGCCCATTGTACAATTCTCACGGCCAGATGTTCGAGTTTGAAGAATCGCCAAGAGTAATCGTCGAAGACGGCCTAGCCTTGTCGGGCTTCGAGTGTGGCCGCTTTTACATAAGGGCTCTTCAGCCTCGTTCCGGGTGAGCCCACGATGCCGGCATCATGCTGTATAAAGTGATCTACGATCAAGAATATGTAACTCCGAACCAGCTTGAAGACCCTGTGTAGGCACCACGGCCGTGATGAAAGGCGCTGTGATCTTGATCACTGGATATGTTGGTGAACATAAATTCTCCTTACCGTTGGTATGTCCCCTGGTATATCAACCACGTAGATGCACTCAGGATGAGAGAGGTTTCCTCCGACTCGAATATATCCTCTAACGACTCTGGGCTGAGAACTGTCATTCCGACTCCCGCCAACAGAATCATAAGCTTAGGAAACCAAGATTCCTGGTTGCGTAAAGTCGTTGCTAGGAAATCCGCATCAGTTTAGGTGGTCCAGTCGCTTCGGCAATAGTCGCGGGCTTGGCGCACCGCCGCTTATGAGAGCTATAAGTACCTCTTCCAACTTGTTTTTCTCACTCAACTCCATTCGCCCTGTCGCACCGGTTTGTGCTTCACTTCGACACCGTCCGATTATCCTCTCCCCTGCAGCATTAGACTACCTGTCCTCGAATATCTCCCCCCGGCTCCCTCAAAATCTGTCTCGTCTCTCCGAGTACGCCTGATCCGTCTATGGCGTATTTGACTTCTCAGGCCGTTCAACCTGCAGGCTCCGCTGACGCCGCCCGTAATCCACGTCTCCACCAGGGTCTTAAGGGCATATGTGTCGGCGTGGGCAAGTCTCCTAGCGCCGCCTTCCGAGGGTGAATCCGCGTCATGGGCTCCCCTCGGTCATTTTTCCGGATTCGCAAAGACCCCGCGAGATCATTGTCACCAACACTCAACTCTCCATGGGCGAACCATCGGCACCAAGACTTTTATCTCGACCTAGTGGAGCAAGACATGGAAAGTGAGCGGCGGATCTTTTGGCGCAAGCCGGCGCAGAAAAGCTGAGTGCCGGACCTCGTACAACCAAACACGAAAATGCCGCACATAGTTATCGGCAGCGTGCAGGCGCATTACTGCCTGCGTTCCGCTTCGAAAATGCAAAGGGGCCTTGTCTTCCATTTCGGCACTCGGCGATTCCAAAGAAAAGAAGTCACCATCCGGCGAAGGGGACATGTCAGCATATTCGAGTAGATTCTCAATATCTGTCTCCTCGTTTAAGTTGAGCGAAGGATGGCAGTTTCGCAAGAGGGCCTTGTGAACTGCACTGTTAAAGAAAAGCGCGATTCGCAAGACGAGATTTCGCTCGGACAGACGTAGATGTTGATTCTGCTACAGCTGATCCCAATAGCGGGCAGGTGTGTTTCTCGTAAGATTGGCCACCAATTTCGAAGAGGACTGCCGAATCATCGAAGAAACAACCGATGGCAGGTGTCTCGGTCTAGAAGGCATTAAAGTTTTTGGCAGATCTACACTATTGATGGTACGTCGGTATTGCGGCATCTTGCTAGTGCCTTGGTCAAATATTGAGAGGAATTGCCATTTCAATCAACTGCGAGATTCATCCCTCGCCGACCTTGTCAACATTGTCTGGTTGCACGAGGAGGGAGTCGATGCAAGTTGGAATCCTTTGCCTTTGAAGCTTGAGCCGGTCCCCTCGGCCGTGCCGTTAACAGCACCGATTGAATTCTCTCTCTCCAGATATGTGTCATCCAGCCTGGTAGTTTGACCAAAAATGCCCCCCATCATGCGCAGAGACTGCTGGATTGTGTCATTACTCATATAACCACCCACCTGTCCCGTCTTCGCACCTAACCCTTGATTTTTACCATGAATGGTCTTCTCCCCAGTTGAAGCCATAATTTGGATGGCGTCGCCTTTGGCGTAATTCTCGATAGTGCTCACTTTGTCCCTTAGATGGCTCTGTGCTGTGGACCAAATATTCAGGTGATGCCGAGTCGTAAGCCATTCGTCTCGTAGCCGCGCGATATCTGTACGATCATCCTCCGAGAAAAGTGCTGTCTTGGATTTCTCAATCAACCGATCAAAAAGCTGCCTCTCATGCTCTTCCAACTTTGAGGTCGCGCGAGAAAGGCTATCGACGCAACCCTGGAAGCCTTCGTCCGCCACTTTCTGAGGTAGAGAACTCGAACCCAGTGGCCCATTTGGGCCGGTGCTGCGCTTTGCCGTGAGCTGGATCTGGCTAATGTGGTCGGATAACTGGGTACAGATTTGAAGACATTTCTCAGTACTCAACCGCTCTTCCTCAATCAATTTGACCTCATGTGCATCTTTTTCGGAGCCTCCTTTTTTTTGAACTATTATCCTGTCCATTTTCTCGTCAATTCTCTCAAGACGGTCTTGAAGATTGGCTTTTGTAGTGTTCAGAAGATCAGTATAAATCTCGATCCTTTCGACCGTAGCAGAGGACTCGCGACTAAGAGAGTATTTTAGCATTGCAGCTAGCTTTATGCACAAGATTAGAGACACTTACAGATGCGCGTCTGCGAGGGCAATTTGAATGGTCATTTTATGCTCAGCCAGCAGCCTTCGGATACCATCGATATCTTCCCCCATGTACTTTAGCCTAAGCCAGTCTCGGAAGCTCGTATGGGTATCGTTCGATCTCGATAAGCATTTCAGAAGTTCCTCGTGCAACGCTTTGCACGTGTGGTCACACTGTTGTAGAGGAATTTCGAGCATAGAGAAGTCCACATCGCGGACAGCCTTGATCGTTTCATCGAGCTTGCTTAGAACTTGGGTCAAAGCAACAAGCCCATCCAAGAAGTCGAGTACACGTGTTTGATGACCTTTGTAGCTCTTGATTGTGTTCAGAAGTATTATACTTCCTTGCAAGGTGGCCGTGACAAGTGCTGATACTCCGGAGACCGCGCCGATAGCCTCTGCCATTGTGGGGTTCTTGTAGTCGAGATGGAAAGAAACGCGAAAAGTTCACGCTGGCCAGGCAGACTAGCAAAGTCAAGGGACTTCTTATAGTCTGCTTCTCGCAGCTCGTACTTGCTGGCAAGTTGCATTCTGTTTGCATCTATTGGCTGGTAGACGGTAACTTTGTGATAGGATTCAGGGTGCTTCGAATTTGGATGAAACCAAATTGGCGGCTAATTGACCGGTCACTGTAGGTCTGTCTCCCTTCGCTCAAATCTCTGCCTATGGGCAAGCGCCGCGGTAGAAACCATAGCGAATGGTCCCAGCTAGGATCACACCTAGCAGTATCAATCGACAGCGTTAACTTCTCTGCAATGATGTTTCCTGAGGTCTAGGTGACTTAGAGCTTACTTGGATGTTGCCAATTAAATCGTAATGTCCACAAATCGTTTTCTCTATTTAGGCGCGCGACTACAAGAGCGTTTCGGCGAGCGAGTGGAAGTACGTTGAACTCATCCTGTGGTCCAAAAAGCAACGAAACGATCGACAAACTTGAACCAAGCGAAGAACGCCTTCAAAAGCGGCGACAAACCCGCTAAATTCGGCGGGAAATTTCCCTGCAACCTACGTTGTGTTGAACAGTGCTACTGAACGATGAACATGCGACCTTCTTCGCTCAATCAAATCGAACAACGAGCACTGAAGCTTCATCATTACTTCTGTCAAAATTAAAACCAAAATGTTGGCATTGGCTCTGACAGCTGAGCTGGAGGGGTATATGATGTCAAACGCTGTCTCTCTTCCATCACTGATGCATGTCCAGCGTGACCGACCTTGCTCCCTCCGATACAGCTGAGTCGCCATACTACTATACATTCAAAGTGCAATGCACATCATGTCGCGAGACACACGCCAATTGGGTTGGTGTCAGCCGCCATGTAGGTCTTTACGCGATCCTAACGAGGTCTTCTTGTCCAAGCAACCATCCCAAAATGCGGCGTATCTTCCCTTGTCCATTTTCCTGCGATTTACTGTTGGGTGTATTTGCAAACGCTGAGATGAACAACGAAGATTCCACGCCGTCTGACGAATCAATCATGCTAGGAAATGAACGAACAGTCAGGAAGTCGAGGGGAAGCAAATTTCGTCTGGAAATGTAAAAACTGCAAGGTTTGAATCCGTAAATTGGCAATGTTGTAGCTCTTGACTGACCACGGATGACTGCGAAATCTAGAGAGAATCCAGTGCAACGATCAAAGCGGCTCCTACGGCGTACGAGCCAAACTCACCGGCAAAGGCAAAGAACATCATTGAAATTGATTGTCGGGGACTCGAGTTTATTGATTTCAAACCAGATGTACCTTCTCATACCCAATGTGTCAGATCTTCACATGACTGACCTTACTGCAGGGGGAGTGGGAGGCCACAGGTATTGGATCGGGAACGAAATTTACAGGGATTGATTTATCAGAAGGAGAATGGTTCGACTACGACGAGAAAGCAGGAGAAGAAGTCAGCATCAAGGATATAAAGTGGGAAATTCGGCGGGCTTGAATGTTAGATTTATGTTCAAAGCAAAACCATTGGGTGGAATGTTAGCCTTGTGTTGGGAAGGCTAAGCACGTGACTGTGACGTATCCGCCTGCCAAGCTCTGCAGTCTGCACATTTTCTGGTTGAAAGTCTCTCGAAGTTCAGGGCGGGCAATGAACAAGAAGCATATCTTCGTTCTGCAAGGCGAAGCAGCTGTATTCTCCTGCCATATCCCTCGACAAGTCTTTCAGATATCTGATTCCGCCCAACCTGACTTCAAACATGAACGTAAGTCTATTTTTCCGTGATTTGCAAACTTCCAATTAACTTTTTGCAGTTCACTCCGCTCAATCCTCGTCCTTTGCTGCAGAACCTGTATGTCCTCCTTCCTCGACGTTTTGAAGCAGGCATCGCTAGCTTGTCACCCGAAAATTTTGATTCCCGTGCATTGAAAGACTCACAAATAACCATCTTCGCAGGATCAATGACGAGGTTATCATCCGCCTGAAATGGGGACAGACTGAATACAAGGGCCGGCTCATCAGCGTGGACTCATATATGAATATTCAACTCTCAAATACGGAGGAATACATCGATAGGAAACACACTGGGACACTGGGACAGGTTCTGATCAGGTATGATTCGCAAATTCTCTTTTTCCAGCGCACCTGTTTGGACCGAATTTGATCGCGTGGATAGGTGCAACAATGTCCTATGGATCTCAGCCGCCAAAGGCGTAGAAATGAACGGCGAGGGACCTGACGATACCAAGATGGAGGGTTGACCTTTTCGAATTCCCTAACTGCGGGCGCAGACCGTTTCACGAAACCTGCTCCTTTCTCTTTACGAACTATGAATATCTCTTGTGAATTTTGTGCAGACCACTGGCTTAAACCGACATCACACTGCAAGACTGAATTTTACTGCTCCGTGATGTGAAAGCGCGAGCGATGACAAAGCGCAACAGTCGCACAGATCCACAAGCTGACAAGACAGCCTTGGATGAGGCGGGATAGACTATGCAGATCTGCAGGCACAGTGTCCGACAGCTTTCTACCGAGGTGATAGGCAAAGCCATATGTTTAAGTTGGCGCCTGGCAATGGCAGGGATCGTTCCAGGACATGTGAATGCACCGCCACCGCAATAAGAACGTCGAGACGGTGAGCCTATATATGGTATGGACACGTTTGCGAAGAATGCATGAGATCATTGGCGAACGCTAGGCGAAACTGAAGGCACATAGTGCTCACCGGAAGTGGAAAGCCGTTGCGATATCTCGCAACAGACTACCGTTGTCGAGTCCTCATCATTGCATGCAGTGTCATGACGAGAACATGGGGCCACCGTCCGAGGCCATGAGCATGTTCCTCTACACAAAGTACTATGTCACTATGGCCACCACATGAATGATGGACGAGTTTGCCATCGCAAACTATTTTTAAACTTCGACGCGAGTGTTTTGAGAACTGCAAATTTTCCCTACTCCTGCGCTTCCGTGCTGGCGTGAACCACATCTGTCATCAGCCCAGACGTGAATGGAAGGGCGGAGGCTCTCGGAATGACAGGAGAGAGTTTGAGCAAGTGACAAGCAGCGACTCGAGTCGTTTCAGCAGTGGAGGCGAAATTTGACCACATTGCGAGCCCAGATTCTTCAGTGCCACATAGCCAGAGCCAATAAGGTCGGTAAACTGCGCAAAATGTGGCTCGAATACCTCGGCATACTGTACCATGAACGTCTGGATGGCGACCCCGTAGGAGACCTCGGTGATCGCAACAGTAGTTCTTCACTCTGTCTTACGTGGCTTTTGCACAGCGTATTTCGTACCCATTTGCGCGCGGAGCCTCGAGTATTGCCGCACACCACGTTTTCTCTTCCCAGAATGCTTTCTCTGTCATGTGCCCCAGGTTTGTGTGGGCTGGGGCCTAACTATCTTCGCAACCAGGACTTGAGCCACAACCAGACGCCTGTTCTCAGTGCCACAGCCAGACTCTAAACTTGGTCCTTGAGCCCACAGTCTTGGGATTGGCATGCACTGACGGCTGGGAACCAGTCGGAGTCTAGCCTCTGAGACCCAAAATCCCACCCGGGGAAAGCCAAAGGCGAGGCATGACCAGGTGGCGTGGAAGCTCATTGGGTCCCGAACTGCGTGCAAAGGGGGGGTGGTTTGTTGAAGCGGGAAGTTACTGAACACTTGAACACGCAGAACTGGTCGTGTGGCCATGGGACGAAGAAAGGACAGTGGCCATAATAATGGGAGCCTTCCCTCAAACTGGGAGTCTTTTCTCCCTATGATGCTTCGTATGCACATTCAACCAGATTGACCCTCTTTCGTCAACGTTCATTTCCCAAACTACTTAGACAACAACATTTCACTACCGCAACTAAACATCTCACGGTCGCTACAATGTCTTCCAAGTTTACCGAAATACTTGATCCCGGGTTCCAAACAACGTTCCCTCAAACCGATGTTCGACTCGAAGACATCATTGGAGACGCAGACCTGACCAGCCGAGGTCGGACATCGTTTGGGACCAGCTCGCGAAGTGCAAGTTCCATAAGTGGCGGCGAAAGAGACGAAAAAAAGACCCGAAAGAGATTGCCAAAGATATTGTCCGGTGGCAAGAGACGAGAGGACTACAACATTTCTTCACGGGGTTAACGGCGCCTTCTGAAAGGGACAACGAGGACAACGCCATTATCCAAATACCCTCTCAACCATACGAAAGTCATTCCTTGAAATTGCATTTGGGAAACACGTGAAATCATTCCCTACCATCAACAGGGCGCATATTGGTCCTTTGTCTCTTGAATTTCCTGCGGCATTTCACTCCAACAGATCAAGTTCGCAAACCAAAATGGAATTTTCACCATTCCGTCCTCAACTATTCGATTGAGAGACTTCGTCAATTGAGCCTATCGTTCGAAGACACACTTGTTGTATTTCTGAGCAGGCCAGACGCTCTGGAATCTTCAACACCTCGAGCTAGTGCGACCCCAATAAGAAAGATTGGCCTCCCGCAGTACCAGCTTGGACCATGGTCGAAGCGTCTTTGATGGTCTCCCTTCTGGTTATTGGAGCGGAGAATCTTTGCGAGACAAACTGATCCCGAGAACAAAATTTGAGGCAGACGTTGATAATTTTCCTAGCTTCTAGCGACTGCTGGTGATTCAGTGAGCCTCTCAACAGCTTGAACGTCTGGTATAGCTACGCCAGTCGATCAGCTCCCATCACAATCGCAACATCAAGAACCAATTCCCAATGAGAAGTGAGAAGACGCTTATGTTTTCCCCCTGCATCCCCGGAGGATACCCTAGATTTCATTCAAAGCATGGCTTCCATATTCTCATATAGAGAACACAAAGAGGAGGAATATGTACGAATAGAATGACATGAATTCGACCTTTCTGCTTTAGACCCGACATCAAAGAAAGATCTCTGAGACAGCGTGAACCTCCAACCGGTACTGCCCGAACTCCGTACTTTGATCCCCAACCCAAGAGCCCAATCGCCGTACAATGCAAAAGGTATCGTCTTGAGAATAGCATGAACATTCGGCCTACCACCTTGGTGGAAATTCCGTTCAGAGGATACCCGACTCACCTATGTCTATCGCTTATGGCGAGGAAATCGCCGTTACTATTAGCGCCAGCTCTCGGGCCTGGTGAGCCCGAGACGCCCCCCAACTCCGCACCCGGAAATCTACTCTTCGAGCCTAAGAATGTGATATTTCCGGCCATAATTATACGAAAATGATATATTACATCACCTGAATTTTAGGTAAAATTCATCAGGGAGGATGGCCGAGGTAAATAAATATCGATCCTTTCTCTTTATTCGCTCGGCCTGGCTGACCTTTGATGTACTTTCAGTGGTTAAGGCGCTGTGTTTAGGTCCTTTGGTATCTTCAAAACTTGAACCGCAGTGGGAAACCTCGTGGGTTCGAATCCCACTCCTCTCAATTTGGCGCCTTTTCTTTTTGTGGTTATTGGATTTTTGTTGTTCGGGAACGAAAGAGTGATTCTGCAATGGCTGCAGGATGAAAGGAGCGGAGAGAGATAAGCCTCCCACGTGACTGTCGAGGATAATGACATGCCCTCCAGTTCTACAGGTACTTTGCACGGCACACAAAACTTTCTTTTCACAGAAGAAGCAAAAGACAAAAGGCGGGCGTAAACTCTGTATGGTGACTTTTGATCGGTAGCTCTTCTTTTCTTTGGCGTCCCCTCCGTTTCCCCTTCATCCACATCATCGTTGATTAATGTAACTGCGTCTTTCGCGTCTTGGGGTTTGAAGCAGACCGGTGACCTGGCACGGACGTGAACCATCACACCTGGGTATCCTCCCTTCCAAAGACCCTTATCTATCTGCGTAGTCCAAAGGGAGAGGTGACGTGAAATGTGTCGACTATGAATCGGCAAGCTCAATCTGTTGTTTCCAGTCGAGTTTTTCTTGCAACCACACACAGGCTTCCTCTATGAGTTATCGATGCCATGTGTTGTTATAGAGACTATAGAGTGGATCGGAGCTGTTGAAAACTCGTGCAATTGTTGTCAATGTAGAAGGCCTGTGGGGATGCTGCTACGTATTTGTCCCGTCGACGCCGCAGGATAGGTAGGCGCACGTGATCACCGTTTCTGTATACAGCCGAGCCCGCGTGACACTGAGATTTCCAGTTGCTATTGAATAGATTCAGAATCAGATCTCATAAGCAAACGCGAAGGAGCAAACACTTCGCATCTCACTTCGTGGACTCTTCCACGTATCTTTGATGCGGATGTAACGCTCGAACGCCTCCACGCTTTCGAAAGAAAAATAAAGGAAAAGAATGGCGACGTCAAATAATGCTTCCGACGCATCATATGCCGCTCAGCCAACTGAATTTGAACTGCGACGCGCTGCCCTTGTCAGAGAGATTGGAGAGGTATGATCTCCCCTCCTGTATGCCTGATCAATTATTGAATTCGGGGACCCAAGCACACCAAATGAGGTGAAAAACGCGAATGGATGCCGGCGCTGATGCTGATGCTGATGAATACGTCGCTGCTAGTCGCTAGAACAAGTCCTCACACGTATCAACGCGTTGAATCGGAGTTTAGAGGGGATCATTGAAGTAAGTCACCGCCATCCCCCTCCTCTTCATGAGAGTTTTTGTTTTTGTTACCTCGTTCAAGATAATGGGCATGAATACTGAAATGAACGTTGATGATAAAGATCGGCAATGAGTTCTCCTCTGTTGAGGCACTGTGGAGTCAATTCGAGACTGTGATAGGGAGGGGAACTGAGAATGCGCCGGGCGAGATGACGAATCGTGAGGGAGAACGTGGTGAGAATGTGATGCAGTCAGCAGCGGAAGGGAGATGAAATGCTGAGATGAGAATGGTTCAATCAAAGTCTTTGAACACGACGTGATGTATGAAAAGTTATCCTTGACAATAGTCAGGATGCCACGACTGGGAAGAAATAGCAATGGGTTGACTCGAGGATTGGGAAAACACGACAAAGATGGCCATTGGGAAATGCGGAACACTGACAGGAAAATACCTTCGAAATCGTGTTTCGAAAATTTTTTTTCTTTTTGGGGAGGGCAGACTACCATATAATTCTGTTCATATTCATTCAAAGCTGTCATCAAGTCCATGGCAAAGACCCTGCAAATACAGCCTCCGAAGCAACGCCAGTCACGCAGTCATGCAGCAACGCCCGTCTAGTATGCGTGTACATAGGCTTCCTTTTTTTAGCCAAACGAGAAGAAACATTTTGTACCCGAGAATGGAAGGTGTCATGTTGGAGATTCCCATCCCACAAGATATGAGACGAAGTCAAGTCATAGAAAGACACAACCTCGCTTCTTCGCTTTTTTGACTTTGACTCCCTTGGGATTTGGCTTTGTCTCGTAACTCTCCTCTTCAACTTGAATGGCAGTGTGTATGGCCAAATCAAACACCTCTTGAATGCCTCTAGATTCTTTTGCGCTGCACTCGATGTACGCAGCTCCCATTTGTTTCGCGACTGATGCACCTTGCTCTGGTGTGACTGGGGTAAGGCCTTGGGTACGAAGTAGTTCGATACATGTTCGCTTGGTGCGCAAGTCGGACTTCAAACCCACGAGAATGAGAGGAGTCGTAGGACAGAAATGGAGGACCTCAGGATACCACTAGATTGGTTAGCATACGATCACAGAGGACAAATGGGTGTGCTCGCCTTGTCCATGACATTTTCCAAGGAATTAGGACAGTCGATTGCAAAGCAGACAAATAGAAGATCAGTCTCTGGGTACGACAATGGTCTGAGGCGATCATATTCTTCCTGTCCAGCTGTATCCCACAGTGCGAGCTCAACGGTCTTTCCTGATTGCTTGTGTGTAGTCTGAGTAATGTAGTTTTCAAAAACCGTTGGTACATATTTCTGCGATCATTAGTCTTTATACCTCTTCTGTCTCTTGATTGCATACCTCAGGAAAATATCCTTGCGCATAGCTTATCAAGAGACAAGTCTTGCCGCATCCTCCATCTCCGACTACCACGAATTTCTTGGAATATGAGGGTGGTTGTGTGATATTGGTGGTTTCAGACAATCTTCCCATGCTGCTACTGTAACTCATGTTTGTACTAACTGTGCCGTTGCTTGTTCTGGTGCTCTGTGCTCGAACTGGCCTTCGTTTCGGTGAAGGAGGAGTAATGTAAGAACTAGAGGATAGATGTTTTTCAGACATGATTGTGGAAGTTCGTGAAGGGTGATGGTCGGTGTCTGTAGCCATGATTAAGGCGTCTTCCAGTTTGGCAGGACTGTTAGGAGGGGTGTTGGCACGGGCGTTGTTGTGATGGGGATAGCAACACTATATGCACGTTAGGAAGGGGGGTTAATTTTTGCTGGGATGCAGTAAATCCGTGTTTCAATACCTTAACGCAAGAAAAGCGATGGGGTTTCCTTTGTTGTCGCATACTGTTGCCGAGCAACCATCTCTTTTTACCGCAGGATAGTGAACGATGATGTACAGCCGTCTGCACAGTAGTCGACCCCTATCGGCTGCCACAATTGCGCCATTATTGCTTGTCAACATCGTTTTCCTGCATGGCAGGTTCGTGTTGACAAGCGCCATCTAGATTATCCTTGTTACAGTCCCACGTTTGGCCGTCTTCGAAGAAATGGCTCGGCGGAGATAGACCGATCCCTGCACCGCCACAAAACTGGCAATCATCTCAATCCTAATTACAGACCAACGTCCTCACTGTCAAATTCAATCTGCACATACCCTTCGATGAGAGTCGCATGTTGAAGCGGCTGGTGTTTCACCGCAAAGCACCAGAAGTCAATCAGACTCGATGGATGAAAGCTTCAGATTGCCCACACAAAAATGGACAAGGAGAAAGGTAAACCGGATGCTGGGTTGAAATCTCTCGACCATTGTACGTGGCTTACAATCTTATGAGTTACTATACCTCTAACGGTTCCACAGACAAGATCAGACTCCCGCGATGGCGGTATCTTCTCAGAGAACAGCTTCTTCCTATCGTTCGGTGGGAGACCCCTTATGTCGCATGGCTACAAGACACGCTGCGAACACCGGCACTTGATACATACTTTGCGACTTCTGCAAATTTGGGTACACATACATTTTTCATGATCATGCTACCGGTTCTATTCTGGTGTGGAAATACAAGTTTGGGAAGAGGGTATATCTTTTTTTTTTTTTTTTTTTTTTCATTTCTATGCAGATTCGTCGCGGGTATCTGACGGACTACAGAATGGTACATATCCTGGCCTCTGGTGTATTCTTCAGCGGGTTCGTCAAAGATCTTTTATGCCTTCCGCGACCGCTGTCCCCGCCACTGCAACGAATCACCATGTCGGGTTCAGCTGCACTTGAATACGGATTCCCCTCAACACACTCGACCAATGCAGTGTCCGTCGCTCTCTATTCGCTATTCCTCCTGAAGCACGGAAGTGACCCAATGAATCCTAACATGAATTTGGGTCTGCAAATACTCTGCTATTTTTACGCCTTTTCGATTGTCCTAGGCCGTCTTTATTGTGGTATGCATGGGTTTTTTGACGTTGTCTGGGGAAGCATTCTCGGAGCGATATTGGCGCTCGTGCAATGCTTTTATGGTGAAATGTTTGATGAATGGCTCATGGCCGGTGATCTGAAGCGAGTGGCGCTTGTGGTCTTGATCATCTTGGTTCTCGTTCGAGTTCATCCTGAACCAGCAGACGATTGTCCTTGTTTTGACGATAGCGTGTCTTTCGCTGGAGTCATCATAGGCTGCGAGTATGGCGTATGGCATTTTGCACAAACATCATATGCATGGTCATACCCAGCAAAAGGCACGGTTCCGTTTAACTTGGCAAAGATGGGCTATGTTGTGGCCGTGGTGCGCATTCTGTTGGGCGTACTTGTTATATTTGCCTGGCGTGGAACAATGAAACCGACCTTGCTCAAAGTTCTCCCACCTATCTTCCGTATTATTGAACACCTTGGGCTTACACTTCCTCGACGGTTCTTCAAGCCAGCATCACAGTACGAGACAATTCCACGACAAGAAAATGACGACAATATCATTCCTCCCGCCAAGGACATCCCTTATCTATTGTCGTCCTTTCGACGGAGAAGGGCAATTTCGATTGGCCCTCAATCGGAAGCAGATGCTTACGAAACACTGGCCTATCGCAACAAGAAAAGGCGGGACAGCATGAACGCGTCAGGATCGACCAGTCCGGCGAAAGAAACCTCTAATGAAGGCGGTTATTTCCAGGCGAAAGATACCGTCTTGAGAGATGTGAGGACCCATAACAGAAAAAGATCAAGCAGCCTTGAGATGTTCCGGGCACAGATGGGTACCGGAGTGGAAGCACTCTCCCCAGTCCCACAGGGTGGCCCGAAAGTTGGAAAGGCACCTGGTCCAAAAGACACTCAGGCCATGGACGAATTATCAGAGAGACAATTATTCTCGAGTATTCAGAAGCCCAGAGTACGGTATGATGTTGAGGTGGTGACCAAGTTGATTGTTTACTCCGGGATTGCCTGGCTGGCAGTGGAAGGCAATCCTGTTCTGTTCAAGCACCTGGGACTCGGAGTGGATTGAGGCTGAGGATCAGAAGACGTGGATAGGCAAACGTTTCTCGGAGACCGCAGGAGGGGGAGGAGAGAGGGTCGATACCGAATAGATTCTTTGTTAAGGAACGGGCGCAGCATCCGGATCTAGATGTTTACCATTAATGAGTCAATCCGGAAGTGAAAATTGATAACCTGAGTGACCGTCCTTCTCCGCCCGCGTTGAGCTGAATCAGTAGTCGTGAATAGGAATCATTGTAGACATCAACAGAGACCTATATGTGCTGTTGGCATTGTGGTATTGTACCCTGCGATCTGGTACCTGCAAAGGCGCTGTCGTATCGCAAATCCCATTGTTCGCCGTGGTTGGGGGGTGGCTGAATTTCAATGATCCGCATGCGCATGTTCGCAGCTCGCATTTTGATGCTTGATCCTGGCGCGTCTTCAACTGCGGCATCTTGAAATATTTCTCCAACTCACCAACTCTCATACCTTGACACTGCAATCCGATACCACGACACCATACCTCTTTGCAAACATTTCTCCTCTTCGATGCAGTCTGCGGTGGCACTCGTGCTCCCGCATCTATTCAAACTGTCTCATCGCAAACCTTGTCGAAACTGGAAACCTCATTGTCACCATCGACCAAGCCCAACCTGGCTCCTCACCTCGATCATCATCACCTCCTTCCACAGCCATGGCTGACAACTCGTCTTTCATGGACTGGAGTCCTGCAACTCCTCCACCTGTTCACAGTCCCTATCAAGGCGACTACATGCCTGGCGGCTGGCCTGTCGACTCTCCCACTCCTCCACCTACAGTCGGTGTTTTTGCCATCAGAACAACACCTTATGGCTCCATCCTACCAGCTGCCAAAAGAATCTGTCAAGGTATCGGCGCTGCAGTCACATGCGGTATTCACGCAGCTGCAACAGTTTCCAAATACACTGTTGACACTACCACGACGGTGGTCACCGTTCCAACCCACTACGTCGCCCGCCAAGTCGCGCAACGACAACAAGAACCAAGAAGACTTTGTCGAACTCGACGCCACGCGCAATTACGTTCTCTACCAGAGTCACCATGGAACAGAGCCATCGCCAGAGCTGACCACAGAGTTAGGGAGCCTGCGCCTCCTGCTCAAGAAGGTCCATCGCCGAGTCCGTCGCAAGTCACACCGAGTCTCCTTCCGCCCACGCTTCATCCCTCAGCACGCAACGCTATATATCATATCCCAAACTTTTTGCCGCTAGCCTACAAGAACCCGGCCCAGCAGCGCAAGGAGAGAATTGCGCAGAAACAAGGAGAACGGATTCCGGCTTCGGCATTTCCTGGAATACCTCGATTGACACCTCCTCCAGAACAACCAATCCAACGAATCCAGACACCAGTCGACAGACCATATGCGCCTCTGCCACAGCCCAAGAGATTGCAAACCCCATACCCGGTGTTGACCCCTCTACCTGTCACACCTCCGTCACCACCGACCTCAGCAACAACCCCATTATCGGTCCCGTCTTCGCGCTCTTCTCCCTCGCCCGGCGCGCAGCTACAACGAGAGCTAGAGGCTGCTCATGACAGTGATTCTGACACGTCCTCAACTTATTCAACAACCTGGAATCCAAAAAAAAGAAAGTTGCGCAAACAAGGTTCAAGAGCATCAGAAGAGACCGAGAAACCTGCAACAACCAAGAGAGTTCATACAACTGGTCCAAAATTGCACTCTCCCAAAACATCGACACCGACACCGACTCCTGCCATTGTTATCCAAGAAACAGCATCATCACCGACTGGTATCGAAGCTCCCGCATCCGCGAACACCACGTTGCTGTCACCACCGCGTGTTAAGAGACGGCGTGTCAGCACTCCCACAACTGTCGAAACAAAGAACAGCCTCAAGACTCCCAAGACTCCAGAGTCTGATATTTCTTCCACATGCGAATATTCCCCAGGAATATCCATGCCGGGTAATATTCAAGCAAAGTCGCCCAATGAGAGTGATATATCATCTGCATACTTCGGTACCCCACCAGACCCCGTCGAGGACGCCCGTTTGTTCGGAATGATCATGGCAGGAAGCGGATCACCCACCCCCGGCCCAAAAGCATCGACCACAAGTGAGGAACTCCAAGCTACCCAGAAGAATACAGCGACATCCGAGTCTAAAGAGAATGAGACTCATGATCACAAAGAAACGAAGACAGCAGAGGCTATACCAGAAATTCCCCAAGCTGTGTCTACATTCGTTCGAGGAAACATCCAACCGGAATCGGCAGATAGGAGAATTGTCGCAACAAAGGATGTGCAAGAAGGCTCAGCACAACAATCGCCGAATGCACCTGCTGCAGAACCAGCCACACCAGAAAAAGAAGAGAGCTCAACGGCACAAACAGCTCCTTATACGAAATCGACTGGAGTAGCCGGCCAGAATGACGATATCAAGCTTGACAAAGCCGACGTCAACACACCAGAGCAGAAACTTGCAAAGCTCACTCTTGAAGATCAAACGACCCCAGATCAACCAACTCCCAAAGCAACCCCTCATTCTTCCGAGAAAACCCAGAGACTTACCAGGGCAGTGGCAAAGCGGTTGCGACAAATTGAAGAAGTTCAAGATTACGACATTGCACCCCTCTCAGAGGAGTGGGAGAAGAAAGTTCAAACGGCACTCCGACAAGGTCACGGCGACTATAAAGCATCAGACCTGATTCGTGTTGTACCTCTTACACAGGGATACGGAACGTCCAACTGGTTGAATGACGAAGTTATTAATGGCTATTTGAAGCTCATTGTCGCACACGGAAAACGAAGCGATCGTCCCACCCAGGTACCCACACATCATGCATTTGTCTCATTCTTCTACGACAATCTTGCAACTCGTGGCTATGGGAGTGTCAAGAGATGGGCCACTCGAGCCAAGATAGGAGGCAAAAATCTACTCGAAACTGAAAACGTCTTCATCCCGATCAACAGCGGAGCGCATTGGACATTGTGTGTTGTCTCCGGAAAGAATAGAATTATTGCATATTACGATAGCATGGGGGGAAATGGAAAGAATTATGTCGATACGGTCAAGAAGTGGGTTAAAGAGGAATTGGGAAGTGCATACAAGGAGGAAGAATGGAAGTTGGAATACAAGGGAAGGACTCCACTCCAACAAAACATGGATGACTGTGGGGTGTTCGCCGTCACCAGCGCACGACAGATAATGCTCGGGCTTACGCCCATGAGCTACGAGGCAAGCAAGATCCCGTTGCAAAGAAGGAGGATCATTGCAGAACTTATTAATGGTGCTCTTATCAAGAGCAACGAGTGAATGAGTGAATGAATGTGTCAACGAGCAATGATGTATGATTATCAACGAATGCCGCCAGGATAGAAAGGTCCTTGTTTTGGCGTTTGGGAAGCTCATGGGGGCCATGGGGCCCGTCGAGCCCCATAGAACAATAGGGGGTGTACAGAACCCCAATGTAACAACATTGCACAAAATCCTTTACATCTCCTCGTGCAAAAGCGTGACGATGAAGTTGTGATACGTCTAGAAATGTAGTCTTGTCTACGTCCGCATTAGGCATAACATACTCCCGTGTACCCATTAGCCACCTTTCGACGTTATGTAGACTCCCCGCCTCGTTATCCTCAAGGACTGCTTGACCATTGCAAAACCACCATCCATATTCATGCAGCTTCCTATGCTGCTAAGTAGTGCCCGTGATTGCTTTTATGCGGCAAAATTTCTCAGATTTCCTTTGGCGGGTGCATATGAGGAATCATGGCGCGACAAAGAATCTATTCCCGGCGCCCTTACGTCGTTTCAATTGCTGTTGTGCCAACGTCCCCCTCCTGAATGAATGGCCCTATGCATCGCTATTTGACTTCCAGGGTACTGCCCGAAGAGGGTGCGTACGATGTTGGAGAGATGTGCCGCCGCCAGAGGTTAGAGTCGGGATACCGGGAGATTTCGCTGGAGGAAATCAACGTGCGATTTTTGGGTGAGGCGGCTGAAGACTCCAAAGAGTGAGTCTAGTGGACCTGTCGAGCAATAGGTGAAACTCGAGTTGGAGATGTATTTTCATGAAGGTATGGACGACTATTATCACTTGCGATCTGGCTCTCAGGTGTTATGTGCTCTTCCCCAATACGCAATCTAGAGCAAAGGTGTCTGTCGAATCTAACTCAGTCACTTGCTTTGGCATCACCAACCATTGGGTCCAAGAATGTTCACTGAAACAGTCTGTATGACGTTGAGGAGCAACATCCATTTCTTCCCCTTCGCCTTATTGACGTCAGTCCTGAAAACTGCGACAGTGGCGTATGATCCATTCTCAGCACAAAGCTTGCAGACAAGACGGTCAAACTACGCAGTGTTGAACCATTTCTCAGGTCTCAAGGAACAACGTGTCAAGGCCAATACCGAAGACTAAGAAGGAATCGATCCTGAACCGGCTGAAGCGAACACCATGGAAAGAACTGACCAGGACACCCCAAGATACAATCGCCTTGACGCGCCGTTTGGGCCTACTATGTATCATTCAAGATGATGACACAACTTTGCCCAGCAAGCAGGCCAGATGGCAGATGTCTACGGCAGATCATACCTAGTTATCTCGGCCATGCGAGCCGCAACAGGCGATGTTGGCCTCTTCCACGATCGACCAGGAGCTCACATGGCGTCCCATAGAGATGGCCAATGTCACATACCGACAGTCTTCGTGAAACAGCGCCTCGTGCACGACAACTTCGTGGCCGGCGAACCTCGAGATTTCGAAAGTCGCCTTTGTTTGCAAGAGTGTGGTGTTTTCAAGAACGCCTCCTGGCCAGAAAGGTCGTCCACGTCTCTGAAGACGAGATCGTATGGAAATGCAATCAGGAACTGCTCTGTGAATGTGATGCAATCGGACTAGACTCTGCGACGACCGAGACAGCGGCCAATGTCAAGAGGAAACAAACACTGGCATGACGGGATCCGAGAGTAGAAATCTGGCATCGGACCTGGTATGACGTTCTACGAGCGCACATTGCTCGCTCGCTCACCGTAGACTCCGATCGACTGCCAGCGCTTTCGGGGTTTGGCGCACAGGATCGCAGTTCCAGAAATAGGGAGGTATTATACTGGCTTCTGGGAGGCGCAATTACCTGTGGCGTTGCTTTGGCGGCCTCTGCGTGCGTTGCCTGAGAGTCACGACCGGATCGAACGACCAGAGAAATACCGAGCTTCGTCGTGGTGTCGCCGTCTATGAAAGCTGTGATTGAGAGATATATAAGGTACATCAAGGATAATTCCGAGGTGGTCGCACAAGTTCGGGATGTCGATCGCCAGACTGACAACCCAGAATGTTCAGACCCCTTCGGTCAGGTGTCCAAAGGCTATATTGTTCTTGACGCTCGAACTTTCTCGGCGGCGCTTCGGCGAGAAGATACTCAAGAATCCAAAGTTGGCTGCTACCGACAACGAAGAGGACAGACGCTCGTTTCAAGCGAACGTCAGTCTCGAAGGATATCCGGACCACGTCCCTCTGGGGTCCCATGTGCTCTGCGTCGTGATGGAGCGGTTTCACAATCATGCCAACGGGAACCGTGGTGCGGACCTTGTGCTACAGTCGGAAAGGAGAGACGAACTGTCAGTGGATCACTGGTACAGAATCGGTACGTTCAATTGTCCTGGACAGGAGGTGGACAATGCTCATCGTGAACAAGTCAAGAATCTATAGTTTAGTATAGTCTTGAAATTGACGTGTTAGGATGCGCCTTTCCTTTCCACAGATTCGGAGCTTCATGTAGACTTGAAGTTGTGGCCGTGAGCTCCTAGTAAGATCCCAAGGTAGGATTTGATTTCGACGCTACAATACGTGGTGGTCTGACGGCTGAAAAGCCTGAGCCCCTTGCCTCTGCCAGCCTTGCCCCGGCTAAAGCTCCCTCAGACCTGAAGATGTTGACGCAATACTCAGTCCTGGCGGGCTCCACGGAATGCCTATAGCAGTTAGCCACACCAGCATGAATATCGGCACCGGGTTTGCCCGGAAACACTCGAGAGGAGATACTAAGGTAAACTTGAATATATTTTAATTACCCCAAAAGTTGACTTTGAAATGCTTGGTATAGGTCGCTTTCTGGAGCGTGAATAGTTTAAGGGTAGAATTCGAGCTTCCCATGCTCGAGGCCCGCGTTCGAGTCGCGGTTCACGCAAATTGGCGGATTTTCGGTGCAACCCAGCACCGTTTCTTTTTCTTTTTCTTTTTTTTTTTTTTCCCTCGGTCGCGAATCGCTCCATGCCTCATATTTTCTGTGTGGGCTGGGCATTGACTCCTTTGGTGGGACTTTTTGCCTACAATCCACGTGACACGGTTACTGGCACTAGAATCTTCGCTGCGTAGCCTGTAGCCTGACATCTACATCACCCTTACCTTTCACGACGACATCCCTCATTTTTGGACGAGGACTGAACCATCATCGAAAAACCTCACAATGGCATCCTCTACCAAATACCAACCTGCCCCTCAACGCGATTCACTCGATGAACAAAACTACCCTCAACCTCCGCCCAATTACCAGGCTGCGGGGCCCAGTGTCACCGAAGGAGGCTATGGAACCCCTCGGGAGGAAGGTGACAATCTACCCGATGATTTCAAGGTACGTTTTACTTTCATTCAAAGAGATAATTGCTAACAACGTCCTCTTCCAGTTCGGTGGCTCCGTGGCCGAAGCCACCATCGACATCCGTATGTCCTTCGTCCGCAAAGTCTACAGCATCCTGACCGTCCAATTGCTGTTGACCGCCGCCTTGTCTTCCCTGTCCTTCTTCTCCACCGGCTATAAGAGTTGGATCCAGTCGAACTCCTGGATGCTGTGGGTGTCACTGTTCGGCGCCATCGGCTTTATGCTCCTTACGTTCTGGAAGCGCAAATCCTACCCGACCAACATGGTCTTCCTCGCCAGCTTTACCGCGCTAGAAGCATACAGCGTCAGTGTCATCACCTCGTTCTTCGACAGCAAGATCGTCATTGAAGCCCTGATCTTGACGTTGGGGATCTTCGTCGGCCTAACGCTCTTCGCATGCCAGACCAAATACGACTTTACCAGCTGGATCCCATACCTGTTCGGAGCGTTGTGGGTGTTGATCATCTTCGGATTTATGGCCATGTTCTTCCCCGCGAGTTCGACGGTGGAATTGGTCTACGGCGTGATTGCGGCGCTGATTTTCAGTGGCTACATCCTCGTGGACACTCAGCTGGTCATGCGCCGTTATCACGTGGAGGAGGAGATTGCTGCCTCCATCAGTCTGTACCTGGACGTTTTGAACCTCTTCCTTGCTATTCTCAGGATCTTGAACAGCCAAAACAATAACTAACTGGCTCGACACCTAATCGATGTCCGGACGTGAGGCTGCATGAGATTCCAATTTCCGCTCTTGGGTGCGCATGAAGAAATTACGGACCTGCTTTTCTATCAATCAGACGACTTTGTCCAAGGAGGGTATGATATAATTGGAGTTACCGCGTTTCGTTCATTCTATTCCTACGTCTCCCCAGGTTCTAGATGGCCGAGTTGGACACCGCAGTCCGTGGTTTGCAAGGTATTGTTCTACAGCCGAGGGACAATATATCCGACCTTAGACCGCGAGCGTCAATTCGGAGGAGATGAACCAGGACGGATGCTTAAATTCAAATGGAGAGGGCGATGGGTAATGAAAAGATGGCCAGGGTTGGTAACGGTAGGGAAAGTTTGTAAAGCAAAGTCAGTTCCTCAACACAATGCATGATGATTTTCCAGTCTGTATTCCTTTTTTTTTTTTAAAAAAAAACCTTTGGCATAGGGAGATTCATAATCAGAACTCAATTTCCATATCCCATTTCTCATTTCAGTCTCTTGTTAAGAGGTAGTCAAACGATGACGCTGTCTGATTCACTCGCTCACTGTTCGGGTATCAATCAATTGCTGTCTGGAGATTTGTCCAAAGATACATTGTCATTTTCATTCTCATTTCATGTCAATCTTGAACTTGAAAGGCTATAACTCTAACTAGTAATAGTAGTACTCTCTGGAGCTGGTATCATTTACCATTCCAGGCGCCGAAACACCAATGCCAAACAGAAACCAAACCAAGGCGAACGAACAAATACTTGATTCTGCACAGAAACCTAGTCCTGGCTAGTCCTAGCGCCAGCAAGTCTAATCATCCAAGCGAGAAGAAGTTAATGAGCAACGATGAAGAAAGTATTCGTAACCAAGCACACAATCATGACGAGGACACCGTAAATAGCCAGCGCAAGGGCGAGGCGTCGGAGCATTTTCCGTCGGAAATTCCGCGTGCGCTTGAGCAGGCTGACGGCACTTATACTCAAGATGCCTGAATTTGCTAGCAAGTTTTGGCCCTCGGCCTGGCCGTGGTCGTCGGCTTCGTTATTGTTGTCGTCGGATTTGTAGCCTTCTTCGTCGTAGTCGGCGTCGTAGTCGTCTTCTTCCTTCAGCAGGCGTTGGTGGAGCGGTGAGTCTGGGCTGGAGATTTTGTAGTAGAATAGGCCTGGCAGGATGAAGGAGATGGATGTACTTCCGGTGGAGCCGACGTAGGCGAGGACAGCCTCGAGGCTGGATACGGCCATGGCGACAATGTAGCTGAGGATGATTATTACGGTGGTAATTGCGGCAAAACGAGTCTCGCTCATCTCGGTATTGTTTTTTTTTCCCGGTTGTAGAAGAGGCACATCTCCTGGAGGACTCGAGTCAAGCGAACTGGGAGTGGCGGAGGTGGAACGGAGCTTCGCTTTCAGTTTGTCACTCGGTCGCCATTTCAAAACTGCGTCGACACTGGCGCGGCATGGGTGAACTTGAAGAGGGTAGGAGAACATGACCAGTACGACGATCATGGCCTGACCGATTGTGGTAGAGACAGATGGCGCGTATTGTGCCACGATGTTGCCGCCAATTTCATTACCAAAGGACAGATAGCCCGTGATTGCCACGAGGATGTATATCGATGCAGCTGTTCCATTGGAAGCAAAGACCACGGAGGTAGTACGGAAGTGGGAATTCTCTTTAATTTCGTTGAGGATGCTGAACATGTTTTGGTGACATGTGTACGCGAAGACGATGACAGGGAAGGAAGCAAGCGATGGGATCGCGCCGGCCCACTCGAAGATATGTAAGGGAGTCTTGTAGTGTCCGTCTGGAAGGGTGTCGTGCGCTCCAAAGTGGTAGACGACCAAGATGACCAGATATCCGATTGAAATCAACGCGATGACGGATGTATATTTTAACGAGTCGAGACGACGCAGAAAAGAAAAGGGAATCACAACCAACATGAATGCCGTGACCCAGAAATGTCGATCAAACATGAACGGAGCAAGACTGTTCTCATCGGCAAATCCTCGAACCACTTCAGGCATGAGATCCCCAATGATGATCAGATAACTGACTCCCACTCCAAAACATTTGATGGCGATGGCTGCGTCGAATATCACCGCGGCATTGGGGTATGTGATCTGAGACAAGGCGAAGAAACTCGCGGATCCTCGTTCAAGATATGCAGCGCATCTTGTTTGAAGGTATAGCCCAAATCCCGCCGTGAGACCGGCCCAAAGTATGACGAGTGTCCCCAGCAATATCCCCATGTGCGACATGGCCAGAGGCATGGCAAGAACTCCAGCTCCGACAATTGTGTTCAAAAGGTTGATAACGCTGCTGATCCATGTTGCTTGACCGGCGATACCCGTAAGGTCGCGTTTGTTTCGGGTTGGGGTGTGTGGACGGCTGGGAATTGAATTAGTGGACGTATCACAGGAAGAAGAGAGGTCATGGATTGATACCGCCGAGCTCGCGAGTGTGGTCTGCTAGATGGCGAAGAGCCAGGAGCCATGATGAGGGAAGCAAGGGCGCAATGACGGTGGAGGATATCGCGTTATCATATCTCTTTGTCAGTGAATGCGCGAAGCAATCGTGAGGATGTCGAAGCTAATGGAGTGATCGAAGACAGGGTGAAGGGAGGGAGCAGCACGAAGCCGTGGAGCGGCAACGTGGACGAGGATGAGTCGATAGTAATGTGAGTGTGATGGTGCCATGCCATTCGTCCCGAATTTGGGCCCACGTGCTGACTAACTCACGTGCGGCCACGCTGTTTTTACAAGAATAAATGTCGCTAATATTCCGAGCTAGAATACAAAGAGATACGTCTCTAGAAGCTTGGATACGAGTGGAACTGTCCCACGTCCTCTCCAAGTTCCGCATTGACAACGTGCAAGACTTGTCATCAAACCCCAGTCCATGCTCTAATCTATACCTTTCCCCAGCCAGGCTTCAAGACTCCCATCACTTCATCTACCAATTTATCTACACTACTGACAGTCGCTCCTGGCTTGCCCGACGCATACGGTCCAACATTGTTGAATAAAGGTACATCTCTCACGGCTCCTGCCAGGATTTCCAGACAGGAGCCTCCGCGTATTGGAATCCTCTCCCCTGTTGGGTCGTTTCCTCTTAAGTTGCTGTCGATCTCTTGGTCTTTGACACACGCAAGCATGACCTGAGCACATTCTTCAGGTGTCACCCATTCATCCTGGCCTTCTCCTTCAAGTTTGACGAATTGGAGTTTCTCCGGGTGATCCGTCCACAGCGGCGTTTTCACCACCCCAGGTTCCACCGCAGTGACTCGGATGCCATGGGTCTGCTCAAGGCTTGCTAGAGATCGGACCAAGGCCTGTACTCCATGCTTGGAAACGTGGTAAAGAGGAAAATAAAGAGACGCACTTTGCCCTGCAATGCTGGCAATATGGACGATCGACTTGGGATTGGAAGCACTGCATGGAGTATCGGCAGCCAAGAAGTGAGAAATCGCCATCTGAGTCACACGAATTGGATGCGTCAAGTTAATGTCAAGCAACTTGTATCGCCCACCCAAAGGATCATCTTGAGACTTCTCCGTACCAGGAGGATACCAGAAATTACTCCAATGGGGTTCAAAGACACCGGCCCCTGGACAGACAATATCAATGGATCCAAAGTGCAGAACTGCTGCTCTAAACATGTCATCGAGATCCGGCCAAGAGGTCACATCTGTCTGCTGAAATACTGCTTTGTTGGACGTCGACTGATACGTCTGTACAAGTTCTTGAGCCTCTGGACGTAAAACCAAATCGGCGAAGAGAACATTAGCACCATGTTGGAGAAGGAGACGGGCAAATTCGAGATTGATGCCTGTTATTGTCACCTGTATGAGTCTCATGCGTGTGGATTCCTATGCAGGTCATACACACCTGAACCAGCGCCCGTGACAATGGCTGTCTTCCCTTGGACCTGTTGAGCCATTTGGGGATTTGGTAGAATAGGAGCCGAGAAAGAGGGAGGGGGAGGGAGGAACAATGGAAAGACGTTGACTTGGGATGATGGAGACTCTCATTGCCTGACCCCCAATGCTGTTATCCCCCACTCGATTGGAGCAGCTCCGGAGTACCTAGCCCGAGGTTAACCGGGTGATGGAGGAAGTCCCTTCTTGAACCTGATTTGGCCTTTTCCCTCGTTTCGCCTCCACAGATGACCCAATGCCGCACTAACCCAAGGATGGAAGACTACCCGGGGGTACTGCCGGAAGGGTAGAGGATAAATCGAAGATCTCAAACTGGGGAAAAATGATACCGTATTTGAATATAGACGTTTGGGAAACAAACGATCGGCTTTTGATCTCAGCAAAATGAAGACCAACCTACTCTCAGCCTGGCGTCGGACCGCATCCAGCTTGACCAAAGAGGCCGGCGACATCAGTTCTGTCTTCCCCTCACTCTCAGGCAAGAAGCCTGATCCTCTACCGCCACGATTCAGTGATTTGAAAAAATCACTGATCAAGGGGAATGAGGACGCCGTCACTGCATCGTGGCATAGGCTCCTCTCGAGCTTGAAGAAGGAAATTGGCGAGATCAGGTCCGAGGGTAGCAATGTACGCACTATCCGACGTTTTCTGTCACCGACCAATGTTGACTCCGAAACAGATCATACCGAGTATTGAATATCGAGATGTTGTCGCAGGAACAGTCCCCCGGCCGAAGCTTGATGCGGTCCGACATCGTGGCACAGCGGTCATTCGCAACGTCCTCCCCAAGGAGGAGGCCTTGGATCTCAAACAACGGGTTGAAGAGTACATTGCTGCCAACAAATCAAAGGTCAGGGCATTTCCGCCCGACGATCCAGCAGTGTACGAATTATATTGGACACCATCTCAGGTCCATGCGCGAGCTCATCCAAATATGCTCACGGCGCAATCATTTCTCGCGTCCTTCTGGCATTCCTCAGACCCATCGTCTGAGATCTCAACCACTTACCCTTTGTCGTATGCTGATCGATTCCGCATTCGACAACCAGGTGATTCCAAATTCGCCCTAGGTCCACATACGGATGGAGGAAGTCTCGAGCGATGGGAGGACCCCGAATATTCTCGGGTGTATCAGTCCATTCTCAAAGGGAAATGGGAAGACTATGATCCATTCGACGCCCGTCACCGTATCACGGCCAGAATGGACTTGTATAATGGTGCAGGAGCTTGCAGTATGTTTCGACTTTTTCAAGGGTGGCTGTCCATGTCGTCGACGAGCCCTGGCGAAGGGACGTTGAAAGTGTGTCCATTGATCCGACATGCAACATCGTATTTGATGTTGCGGCCTTTTTTCAATACAGACACTGGAAAGCTCCACCTCGATGCCGCATTTCCTAACTCTGTGCCGGGGGCGTGCCAGGAATATAACTCTCTGACACACCCAGACCTCGAGCTGGAAACCACAATGGTAAGCATACCCCATGTTGAGCCAGGTGATTATGTGGCCTGGCATTGCGACACCATCCACGCCGTGGATAAGAAGCACCATGGAAATGGTGACAGCAGTGTCTTGTACATTCCTGCTTGCGCCATGACCCGATCAAACGTGGAATATTTAAATAGGCAACGCATGAGTGCCCTAAAATATAGTCCACCACCCGACTTTCCAGGTGCTGGAGGCGATGGTGAGGCTGGGTTTAACGGCGCGGTTGATTGGGGCAAGATCAACGACGAGGGAAAACGAGCTATGGGATTGGGAATTCGTTGGTGGGATCTCAACCAGGACATGAGCGAAGGAGAACGAAAAGCTATCCAAGAAGGGAACAGGGCATTGTTTGGATGAGCAAGATTGGTTGGGGCATCAGCGGAAGCAGTCGCATACTGGTCTTGAAGCATATGAGGATCAAGTCCAGCAAGTGGAAATTTTCATGACGTTCCAAAAAGGAGAACGGAGCGCGTGGCGGTCCGGACACTTCATCGTCCGCAATTTCGTTTTGTCGGGGCTGATGGAGTTGCAAATCCGGGATTATCGACAAGGGCATGAAAATTTTTTCCAACCATGAAGGCATGATCAACCGTGAGTTGCTGGGGTTGTGGAAAAAATGAACGCGAGAATATCGTTTGTCAGGTATTAACGATCAGCAAAATATGACGCAAAGATCCATCCAACTCCCGCTCCACAGAAAAAAGATGTCTGAGAGCGTTCGGGGACGGTAAAGAGCCGGGCCGTATCTGCAGAGCTGGAAGGTTGATTTGAGTAATGTTTCGTCCGGGTAGCTAATGGAAATTATGTAGAGTTGCGAAGTACAACGTGGACACGAGGCTCCAGGTCCTCCCGTGTATCTTTTTCATGCTGAGCATTTCTTGTGGATATTCCCTGGGAAGGCGACAGCAGGGCTCGCATCGAGAACGATGGCTCCGAGACAAAGCAGAGACGGCAGAAAGCATTCATGGTGGAGAGGAAAGGACAGATTTCCAGAAACGAGGAAGCACGCAACTTGGGCATGGAAGGGAGTTGCTCTACATGGAGGAATTTTCGTGGGATGCCGGGCTCAAGGAATTCTCAGAAAGAATTTTCGTGCTTTCGCTAACAGTAGGGCTGGCATGTGTGATATGGAGAATATCGAAAAAGATCTTCTTCTCTCCAGCAGCCTCAAGGAGTCTGGTCAATTGGTGAAACTCGTAGGCGAGGACCGGAGGGGGGACAAAGCTGCAGGTTGTAAGAAACCATTCTTGGTAGGGAGTAGATAGAACGCAGAAAAGTGAGGACTCACGGTGCTGAATGCCACGGAAATCAGCGTAGCGAACTCAATTCATTGAAGAACACTGCAGTACCAGATTGCGTCGCGCAAGGATAACGCGTGCCCTTGCGAGTGCTTTGGGCCGAAGGAGAGAGAAAAGAGTTTGGGACCTGCAGCAGCAGTAAGCGGGCATGTTTGGATCCAGGAGCACATTTTCCAAACATCCGATTTGCTCGGATTATGTGCGCGGAAAGAGTGGGAATGGCCCAAAAAGAAAAAAAAAAGAAGACAAAAGAGAAAAAGGCGGTCGACACGTGGGGCTGGGTGCCTGAACCATTGTCAAGGCAAGCTATTGATTTTCAGGGACAAGGGAAGGAGAATGGTTGAGACATGCAGCAACAAAGTTTCAGTATCCAGGATGAAGATCACACGACGGGGTTGAAGTGCATGGTAAAATATAACACAGGTGGAGAATATGGAGGACCGGGTCCTACATAAACCAGCACAAAAATCTATCATTTATTCCATCAATCAATTAGCCAATCAACCCCATTCAAAAATGCCCATTCCAGACAGGGCCTTATCATTCCCGGCCATAACTCACCCCTGAGTACTACTGAATCAGGAGACGCCGAAGATTTCAACGAGAGCTCGACATTGAAGGTTTGAGGCTTCTTGTTCTCTAGTAATGTACGGAGTATCCAGATCGAGGTGCCCGGGTTGGTTGACGTAAATGAAGAGGACTTTGTGGCATGTTCGACTTCTCCGTAATATCCTGCCGCTTGAGAGAAGAATTTGCTGGCTCGCTTCTCTTGTGCTGCCAATACGGTTGAAATTTGTCTCCTAAACGTTGGACGCCCTCCTTTTTTGAGGAATACTAAGCAAAGTTCCCAGGTGAGTGCCAGGTCCATCGAGTACTTATTGTAAGCACTTCGCTTTCAATCGAACGGGGTCCATTAGTAGATCCCACGGTTCCGGTCTCATAATGTCGTAGACTGGTCCGGGTTCCAAAGTCAGCCTCTTCAAGGGGAGGGCGGGGAATGGTTTTAGCTCGAATCTCTTGTTGCTGGTTGTACAAAATCTACCGGCACAACTGTCATTCCACCACTGAATCCGACGTCGCTCTGGAGGGCAAGACCAGCTTCTCGTCTTTTAACGTAAAGGCGCCTTCATCTTCAGCAGGGGGGAATACCTGGAGACTGTTGGGACTGTACAGCGTTTTGGTGCTTGTCCCGCGCCAGGAGCAGCCAACTGAGTCCCTTGCATGGGAGCACCCATGGCTGCATATTCAAACCCTGGGACTTTCATCTCAAAGCATTGCTGCATAATGTTCAGCCACAACAGGGCGAGAGCGGTTATTTTTCTCTTCTCCATCCTCTTTCCAGGACAACCATATCAATGCTTTGTTCTTGATGCAGTTTATCTCTATCCTTCCATACCGAAAATGAAACGAAGATAAGCGAGTAACGAAAGGAAGGGGAACGAACTTCACCTGCATGGCCCTACAGGGGGATCCGAGCACGGAATATTTACCGGTCGGCTAGCGGTAGCCACTGGCCTCTATCAATGGTTGCGATAATGCGACGACCAGCAGAGACCGAGTTGACATTCGTATACTCACACAAGGTTTGTATAATGTGTTCAGACGGCGTTGGTTGAGATGTGACAGCTTTTCCAACCATGTCCGTGGCTTCAAGCGGTGCATCTGCAAGAAGGGGTCCTTGTGCAAATCGGACCGAAATCATCGACCTATAACCTTGATCTGATAGGACTCAGGGAGCAGTGGCATCAAGCCAAGAACTCCGGACTTATCAGATATCGCGGTTTCGAAAGGGGCTTCCAAGTTCGTCGCCATCATTAACTCATTATTACTGTCTCATTTTCAGCTGTTGATTATCCAGCCTTGGATCAAGGTAGTGTTGGTCATATCAACTGCAAATCAAACAGGGATCGTCCAGAACGTGGGATCTGCTAGGGCGGAAGATGATCTGAAACTCGAAGAGTCGAGAACCGAACTTCACATTGACGTGCTTACGTCTTTGTGGTTGGCGATTTGGAATGGCGATGGCGCCTCGCTGTCTGATTTGAGATATGCCACTGATCGATGTTAGTCACTGTGATCATCTCATCACAACCAGCCACCCGATCTGGCGATTTGAATATCAGAGACTACTGTTTGCGACTGGAATGGGACAACCATACTGACATCAACGGAGCCAGTATGGAAAGTGCCAGGGGGTTTGGATCACTGTCTTGGGTGTATGATCCATCTCTTTAGGAAGTCGACGAGACACTGATCATCCTTTGATATACTGTCTTTGGATTTCGACGGCGCTTTGGTTCCCAAGATGGTGGATCACTGGTGAGGTCTCCCTATTCACCCCGACACGAACCCGTTGATCTACAAAGGTTTGTACGTGAGAACCCTTTGCTGAGAGGACAACGAAACTGTTTCCTGATTGCTAAAGGTTGGAGAAGGGCTATTCCGCATACCTGATTTATACTTGTTCACCTCCATATCTGGTCACAGAAAGAATGTGCCTATTCATTTCCCCCACCTGCTCCAATTTCTTACTGTCCTCCGTCCTCTGTCCGGTCAACTATCGAGTCTTGAAAGGGCGAGTAGTGGGTAGCGTTTGCGGACTAAGTTTGGCAAAGTTGTGATTGGGAGCAGAGAACGACGGATGTGCAACGGTAGGGATTATAATTCGCCATGAGAAAAGTTGGGAAGCGATCCTCTTCAGACCTCGGCATCGATGCAGGGAAGACTGGAGAAAGGCAGAAGGAGTGGACCAACAACGGAAGAGCAATTGTGGATTGACTGGGTCGATATTGTTTGTGAGGTGCAGGAGACTTTCAGGGGAAGAGTTGGATTGGAGACGGGGATACCAATCAAGCTAGAACGCAGCCGAGCCCGTTTCCACTAAACTTGAATTGGAATAAACCTGGCAGATCTCTGTTGCTGCCCCGCCTGCGTCTGCGCCTGCGCTGCATCCACGAACCAGGCCTAGTGCCGCGCTCCGTCGCTTTTTTTCGCCTTACGGCTTCTTCTGTCGTTTCATCGTCTTCCTTCATCGGCAAAACTTTGCTTTGGCCCAGCGAGACCACTCCTTTCTTGCTCCTCATCCCTCTTCCTCCCCCGGTCGTCAGTCTTGCTCTAGTATCGTTCTATCCTCCACTGGGTTACAAGCACGCTACGGATCTAGCTCAACTGTACCGCGCGTCATCCAGCCCCTGAACCTTGTCCTCAATTCTCTCTCCGAGTCCCCCTTCTGAGAACGGAGCATCTTGCGCAAACGTCTCCCCATCGCTAGCCATTCACAGAATCACCAGCCGAGTCCCGGGTGAGGCTTCTTGTCCAAGCACATACCATCTAGTCTGTGAAATACTCCAGAAACTGACTCGCTCCTCGATGTCGATCTATACCTGACCACTCTGGTTTCGTTCTCAGCCCAGATAGCTCATCTGACTAGCATCCGTTCCTCAAACTTTCTCAGGATCTCCCGACCGCAGCAACTCCTTGGCCCATCTCAGGTCGATCCCTTTTGCGAGGACTTGCCAATGACAGCAGAAATCTTGTCACCTGTCATACACATTTCAAGTACAAGATCTCGGATATGCCTCTCTGAATTATGCATGCCCCGCCCCGACTTCCTTGCCCGGGGAGGTGGCCCTCGGAAAAAAAAGTCTTGCAGGACTGATGATGATGTGATGTCCCTGGCCTGAGCTAGGTTAGCCTCGCCTGACCTGTCTTGTCGCCCATCATCAAGCAAATCACAATGGAATGGGCTAATCCACCTCGGTGTCGGAGTATGACGCCGGTATTGCCAACTGCTTGCGACCGCCAAAACCTGGTTCGTTTAACCCTGGTTTCCGAGCGTACGGTCCCGGATTATGGCTTCCGCCCATGCAAACGCAGTCTACCCACTTGGTCCATTGAGATTCTCTTTCACTTGCTGCAGAAATCCACCCGTTCCTGACGAGAGGCCGGCCCCATCAAATCTCCTCGTCAGGTCCACTTCTCCCAAAACTTGCCCTAAACTCCCCTGCCTTGTGCATCGCGAATATGGAGATATCTTTCAAGCCGTCCGTCTCAGACGCGTCTGTTGAAAAAGCATAACGCTATCACTATCTCAGTTTGGGATTAGAGTATGCTTTCGACACCGTCACCCACCATGAAAGCCTTGCCGGCAGTTTGGAGCCACTATTCTACCCCCTGTTGTCGGGTTGCTCGAAAAACGCATTCCCTGCCGCTTCAAACGACGAGGATGTGGACTCACTCCACCTATCTGGCTTTTGTCTGCCGACGGTGGGACCAATGGTAGTACTGCTCCCAAATATCTGTCTTCTCGTCCATGTTCTGTTACTCCAGTCCTCCTTTAACTTCTCATCTTGTATACTACCTTTTTGTGCTACCACGAATTCCATAAACACATATATATCCTTGCGTCTCGAATTACTCTCATTTCGCCTGTTTGGACCCTGGCTCTTTGGGGACGGCGTTGCTCCTGTGCTCCTACTTCTTTCGCGTCTTCGGACCGGGTCTCAATTTTTGTCGGAGTCGATTACTCGAACATCAACCTGCTGGAATCACGAAAGCACGATTGAGGCGTCTTCATCCAGGAGACCCTCACCTCCGACATTTTGGGTCCAAGATCCATGACCTTGAAATTGGCCTCACTGGAAGATCACACTGATTGGACGCGGGTGCTCTTGAAACTCGTCCGCCTTCGAACGCCTTTGGTTGGTAAGGTCGATATCTGAAGATGTTTGTGTTTGATATCCACGTGATAGCAATAATATTATTAACTCGCATTTCCAGTGTGAAACCACTCTTGTGCCAAATCTCCCCCCAATCGATCGAGTTCCCCTCTCCCAATCAACTATATCAGCTCTTCTCCGTCCTCGGTTCAATCGGCAGGACTGCATTCACTTGCAAGGACTCACGGAGTACATTGTTGTGGCACCAAACCCACCAACTGTCAAGCCTTGAATGTCATAACTTCAATCCAGTGCCTTGGGTTCCCTGACAGCTGTCAATTTCAGACTACCACAGAATCTAAATGGGTCGCTTTCCATGGAGTCAGGGACACTCGAAGCAAGCCAGCGATAAACTGCATGCTGTCGCTCATGACTGGTTTTCAAAAGACACCGCCGAATCATCGAGACAGGCCTTGACTGAGTTAGTCAAAGAACATAACTACTTGGAGTCTGGATCAGGTGACGTGTCGCCAAAAGATCGGGGAAGGTCACGAACAAACACTGTTGGGTCGTCGTTCTCCTTTTATGCTCGGTCATTATCAGACACCTCAAACGACCTTACTTCCAGACCGACATCTCGGCAAAGTTTTGCTGATGCAGGGCTTCCTCCGACCGAGCGTTACGATAATACCGCCAAAAACTTGTTGGCAAAAGGAACGCGCATGTTGAAGCGGCAAGGAAGTAAACTCAATCTCCTTCCTTCGCAGATCCAGGATAAGGATAGATCCGTCGATGGCTCTGATGAAAGAGCTGGGGAGATGACACCAATCAAAGGGCTTCAGCGACAGCTCACTATGAGCTCGAAACGTGAGTTGAACTTTGATATTGTCGTTGTTCTTGGCTAATCAATTGCAGGTACCGATTTGAAAAAGAGTATATCAGGACCATTCGAGTTTAAACATTTGACCCATGGAGATCAAGCTCATTTCCGCAGCCTCGACACGGTCGCCACCACGGAATTGAGTTCGGAATTCGATGCCTTCCAGGCTGATCAACACCCCGTTGACCAGATTCGTGGAATTCCAGTCACAGACTTGCCTACCCAGAAGCCCGAACCTGAAGTCAATGTCGAATCTGACGAGCCTACCTCACCAACTACCAATGCCATTCCCTACCTTCCAGTAACGCCTCCACGTCCGAGTCCCCCGCCAAAGGACAGCTTGATGTCGCCATATAGCCCCACCAATTTTCGAATGTCCCGTTCGATGGAGAATTTCTCGCGCCCAACCAGGATGTCTATCACGGCCAACGACATTTCTCTGCCTTCTGATGCCCCGAAGAGGCTATCAGCAATGAGCCCCATCAGCCGAAATAGTGTCCTGGGCAAACCGCTTCCCGTACTTCCCGATGTCGTCCATGCTGTGTCCACCAGGGATGATAGTGCTCTTCCTCTTCGTACGGCCCCACTACCTACACCACCAAAGACGGTCATGGAGCCTGTGGTGGAGGAAGGAAAGGTCGTGGAGCAGGTTTCACCAACCACCGACGGCAATACCACGCGACAGGCTCATGGAAGTTTGCTGGCCTCTCCGACTCCCAGACAGCACAAGCGACGAAGCCAGTCATCGGGTGAGATTCACTTGGACGCTGCATACTATAATATCATGTCGACGGCCTCGACTCCTGAGGCATCTGCAGCCAAGACCGATCATCGAGCAAGCAGCAAATCTAAGAATCGTATTTCGATCGGGTTGAAACCTATTGATATTGCGGATTGGGAAGATGCCATCGACTATTCCTGGGACCACGCCACGGACCTCGAAGATGGAGAAGACAAGAGCGATTCAGACGCCACCCTTGATCAATCAAGAGCCCCTAGCATTCCACGCGAAAATTACTTGCTTGTCGAGCAATCATCCATCGACGAGGCCTCTTCGTCAGCTTCAACTCCGTTGATGATGCAAGTGCCAAATAAACCGGTCCAGTCAGGGCCAGCACAGCCAGGACCGACACCCTTGCCCTCATGCCATGAGGAGCCTGCTTCTCCGCTTCTTGGGTTGGGAATTGACTCCCTTCAACCGGTCCCAACTGTTTCTTTGTCTGTGTCTACTCAAGCTGGTCAGGCAGAAAACCATTTCAGTTCTACAGACATCTTCCGCCCCCGGACCATGAAGAGTCCAAAGTCGACCATGAGCAAGTCCAGTTCGCAGGAAAGTATCATTCTCTCCATCGCCTCTTCCATCATTGGGACGCATAGATCCTCGAATTCAAGCACGAGTCTGTCTGATTTCACCCATCTCGCAAGTTTTGGAGAATCTGGAGAGAACCTGAAGCTGGAGCTTCAAGACCTGCCAGCACCTGTTGAGAATCCTCTCCGAGAGAGCAGTCAAGAAACCATCCGTGAAGAGCCCAAGGATACACCAACGTCAACTGACATCGAATCCAAAATGATTTTTAGTCCCTCCCCAACGATACGACACGACCGTGGAAAGTCGGCGTCTCAAATTTCCATTCCGGAAAGAACGTCATCAATGCCTGGTGTTGACATATCCAAAACTCAGGCTGGTCGTAAACGGGCAGGAACGGCAAGCTCTCGCCCTCGACGAAATACCCGGGTCTCCTATTCATTATTTCCGACAACACCATCCACTGGCAATTAACAAATGTGACAAGCAAAACATCACCACTGTATTACTCTTCTGGAACACCGTTGATCAGTTTGACAGCGGATTTTTTTGGCTCCCAATGTTTTTTTTTTTTTTTTTTTTTTTGAAATGTTTACTTGTTACGAATTAATGATGGGTTATGTACACACCATGAACGATTATGATTTGATTCAAAACGATTTTTCCAAAGACGAATTCATCTTGGGGACATTAGACTTCGTACAGGGTTTGGATTGGTTTGGGGAAAATGATAGAGGAAAAGGGACAAAAATTTGAAGATTTGCAAAAATCTGGTGGGTTCGGATGCGGTCTGGATATTACGAGGGGAGGCCTTGGAAGTCCTCAGGATTGATTCAAAATTGAAAGGAAGAATCGATTGAAATTGGAAGGAATTTGTTTGCTTTGCATGTCGAAGCTGAACTTTGTCACAAAACCCCAAATTTCAGAAAATGAAAAGCTTTCGAGCTCACGGATATGGACCTCGAATAGCGGTGAATGAAAAGTACCCTTGCTTGGCTGGCCTGATTCTCCTATCCCTGCTGCATTGCGTTATGCAACGGGACGAAGATGACGGGTCACTCACTATCTTACAGTCTCGTGTAGGCAAAAGATAGGGGGCCAGCTGAGCCGGGGATCCAAGTAGAGCTTGTAAAATACGAGCACCAGGAACCTCCTTACCCTAGTCAGAGGTGACAAACTTAAACACGTGCAAGATACGAAAGCTCTGGTGATTCTGCTCGCTGTAACTCGGCCCCGATACGCGAGGGCCCCGCCAGGCAGTACTGCGACAACACCTAGTTTAGCTTCGGAGGGATCATCCAGGACCGTGGGGATGTATTTTGTTATGGTGTTTTAGATAGCGAGCGCCGAGAGATGAGTAGCAAGGGAGGGAGGGGTCACTGCTTTGCTCTTGCGATGAATCGATACGACATATGAGGATCATCCTTCTCTATTTCTCTCTTGTACGATAATTTGTAGTTATGTAGATGGGCCATGACCAAAGACAGCCTTCTTTCTTTTCTCTTTGTCTTTATGGGCAAGGGGCGAGTGTTCTGGCCATGTTTCATGGATCATCTGCAAGAGGAGACTCCCCTTGTTGATTAATACTGGCCTGTGGCTTGCTGATTGTCGTGAGCTGGAACTGGGGTTGGGGCGCACCTATACAGGGAGATAGGCAGACAGGTTGCTAAGTAACATCATAGGTAGTATACGATTCTCATTTGGATCAGTTGTTTTCCGCTTCTTCGCCGTGGGTTGCAGCCCCGACTCACCATTGACGTTGAAACATACCAGGGAGTGATCAGAAACTAAGGGGCTCGACGGGCCTTGATTGCATTACGCTTTACCTGGAATCATGTGGAATTTTTTTTCGAGGGCATGTCCAGGTCCTTTGATAGACGACAGTGACTTGGACAGGATGTGTCCTTCCGTCATGACGCCGAGCTTTTCGCAAAATATCTTGTTATGGGTATGGGGCGGGAGAGCTGAGTTTAGCTGTGAGGACTGAGAAGGAGGTTCTTCCCTGAGAGGGTAGATCTTGAGGTGCTGGTATAGGAGGCGTGTGTTCTTGCAGCCCCTGATTCGCTAGTTATACAACTCCTTGCCAGGAAGATCTCGGAGTTAGCAACCAGACTTCCCCAGCTTTATTTGGCAGCGACGAGCCTTGGCCAGGGAAAAAAAGTGGTGGTATGGGAGTTCCAAGCTCGCCCGAGCAGCTAAACTTCTTAGTACCTTGCCACGTCTCCGGCCCTCTCATTGCTGATGGAGTTATTTCAAGCAAACCACGAGCCAAACCAACACCCGTACGGTCTAGCGTTTATAGCTGATTGATGGACAATCCATATCTCACCGCGGCATATTTGCGCACAACTATCCATGGATCAATGTCCGGCAACGCCGAATGAAAGTATCCAGACTCACATCGTGCGAGATGATCCTTTGGGCTGATTGAATCCTCGGGCAAATACCTTTTCCGGCTGAACGAGAAGAACGCACAAGGTTGCTGGTTCACTGTGTTTGGCTGTTCCCGAATCTAGCAAATGGAAACCATCTCATGCATTGTTTGGGACCTATCAGAACACATTGACTAGAACACTAGCTTTGCATGTCGAAATCCCATCTCACGTTCCTTGCCGTATTATTAGCGGTCACTATCAGTTAATCTCATATGAGTGGTTTATTCTTAGCCCCCAAGTATATTCGTTTCTCGACTGTCTCATGAGACGTTTGAGGTCGTTGGGCTGTCAGCTCCTCGTCGATTATTTAACTCGGCACTTCTTCCAGGTTGAATTTTGGGTAGTTTGGCTTTATTCGTCTTTTCCGTGAGAGACTATTCTTGTCTGGAATTCTTTTGTTGAATTGACCCTGACCCCACCCCCAAAAAAGGGGCAAATATGGCGTATAACCCCGGGCAGTACAATCCACAGCAGCAACAGCAGCAGCAATATGGTTCAAATGGTAAGGGAAAATACACCTTCCAAAGAAGATGGCTTCGAGACCTTGGGGTGCTGAAAGAGTGACTCAGTTCCTTACGGCGGCAAAGGTCAACATCAACCCCACGGGCCTCTAGCCGCTTCGTCATGGGATAACAATAGCTGGACTCCGACTGTGGATGGGATCTCGTACTCGATCACCAATCGCGACACCAATACCCTGCTTAACGTCCGAATTCCGCAAGGCAGTGTGATCAAATCCAAGCCCGGCGCTATGATCCAGATGTCCCCTTCCATCACACTGCAGGGGAAAGTGAAGTTCAGCATGAAGAAGATGTTCACTGGCGGCGAAATGGCTGAGTCCATCTACACAGGACCTGGAGAGGTGTCGCTTGCCCCAACTCTCTTTGGCGATATTACTACCATACCTATCAACAGTAGCGAAGGGTGGACTATGGGAAAGGATGCCTTTCTCGCTTGCACCAATGGCGTGGTCAAAGAGACCAAAAGCCAGGGATTGGGCAAGGCGTTGTTCAGCGGTGAGGATCTGTTTGTCTATCATGTCTCAGGACACGGGATACTTTGGGTTACTTCTTTCGGCGCCATCGTCGTGCGTGAGGTATGCCGGAGCACCACTCCAATTGGGCCTAAAAGGGCATTCGCTGACAGATGGATTGTACAGCTTCAACACAACGAACAGCATATCGTGGACAATGGTCATCTCGTTGCGTGGAACTGTCGCTATGCAATTGAGAAGGCGGGCAAATCGGGCATGCATAGCATAACTACGGGCGAAGGTGCTGTTTGTCGATTCACTGGGCCCGGAAGGATTTATATCCAAACCAGGAATCTTGATGAGTTTGGTGAGTGGTGCGCTGCGCAGGCACCGCGTGGGGCTTGAGGAGGGTCGTCGGATTGGATCGAATAGTGTAGGGAGTTTTTCCTTCGATTGAAAGAGCCAGATCCGACAAATATGTCATTCAAATGCTTGAGAATATTGAGGGAGCGAAACTGGGTTTCTTGCTATTCGATCTGGCCTTGTCGGTCTGCTGCTTTTGTTATATCAACTGCCGGATTTTGGCCTGACGAGGGAATGTACATGCATACGAGATGATCCAGCAGGATCAATCTCACGAGTTTGCATGCATGGATCTTTCAAGAGAAGTCCACTTACCAATTCCAAGGGCTGAGATGACTAAAGGGGCACTCGTAGCCTGCAGCCTCGGTACTAGTGTTTGACAGTGCTTTTATCGATGACTTTTGAGACGAGGCTCTGGAGATTGCTCTCGATGGCCTTGATCGTCGCCTATCGAGCAGCTTTGTTGATGGTAGTGAAATGAATCTCAGGACGAATCCAATGAAGGTTGTGTACAGTAATAGGCTTGAGGGGAGAAGAGTCCTAGAGGGCAGAGAAACAACGTTCGCATCCTATACACGGAGCCTGCGGCGTGCGCCAAAACGAATTCATGTACAGTCCAAGGATGGAGATGAAGATGAGTTGTTCGAATTGCCACGGCTAGCTTACAGATAACTAGCAGCGACAAACACGTCCGAAAATTTGACGAGCTAGCGAGGAGCATTCAGGAGGATTGATGGGACTCAAAACGGGAACCAGAGCCGTCACAAGTCGTCCGAGGCACGAATGTGATTATTGAAAATGTATGAGCAGGTTTGTGGAATTTGTTCGCACGACAGCTAGACAAACCAGCGTCATTCAGCTAGTTAAGGGGTGTTGTACCACAATTCTGCAAAGAAGAAAGGATCTCTGATTTGAGACCCCGGTATTGAGAGTTAATATGAGTTGTACCTGAGTCACAAATTACAGTTTGGGAAGGGAAATGGCAAACGGCCCATGAATGGCGATGCTGACAACCAGAGCGGCATTTGAACGCTTTGATGGAGAATATGTGTAGACGGCGAAGGGCTTCCGCCTCGGGCCTCTGCCCGAGAAAGTTTGCCCATGATGTGTTGAAGAGCAATCCGGAAGGGTGCGAATACGAGAGGCCTGTAGGTCCTGTTTGGTACACAGCCTCCTTCGTGATATCGTAAACTTGTCCCTATTGAGCGTTGCGAGATTCGCTGGAGTTCTCGGATCTGAATCAAACTGGTGAAGAATTGAGCATTGAGTGGCGTCGCCGCGCCCCCGAATTGGTTGCCACAGATGAGGCTGCAGCCCACCGTCTGTCATTCACATGCGTTATTCCAACCCTTGCCACCCGCTTGGGATCATCCGGGACGCTTTTTGTCTGTTAGTGACCAGCATGCCACAGATGTCATCCGGGTTCCTTACATCATTGGTTCGCGGGCTATTTTTTGAAACATCTCTCCCATCCTGCTCGAGGTGTCTGAAACGCATAAATCCCGTATTCTACCCCCATTTCGAGATGGGGCCCTCACACACCTGGCCAGGCCACGTAACGACCTCAAAGCTAGAGCACCGCCTACTTCACCCCCACTAGCCGCTTAAACTCCTTGCAGACTAGACAAGGGCCAGTTCGATGTGGAACGGACCAGATCGAAAATGCTGTGAAACGAGTAAGGGATCAGAACGAGTCGGGAGGTGATGCCGAAGCAGAGGACAGTACAAAGTAAGCGGGATATCCCATATTTCTTGATCCTGCTCCCGCCTTCACCGTACCACCATCGAGAACACATTTCCTAGTATACTACAACATCCTTATCTCGTATCTGCGAAAGCACGCATTGTCTAATTGAACAGCTTCAAATCCTCGAATCCTGGATCACCTAACAGATATGGTGGCCAGGCTTGGCAACATCTCTGCCCTCAAAGACTTCCTGGCCGTAAGTCCACGTTCTCCTTCAAAGTGGAAATCCATTCTCACAGTTTGATAAAAATAGTTCCTGGCCACGGTCCGTGGGGATATCTCGCACATTACCGCTCCACCATTTATTCTTGCTCCACAATCACTCACGGAATTCCCGAGTTATTGGGCCGAACGACCATCTTTATTTACCGCCGCCGCTCATGAATCTTCGGCAGAGAAACGAATTCTTGTCGTGTTGAAATTGTATCTTGCCTCTCTCCAGCGGCAGTATTATGTTGGTCGGAGTGTGAAGGAGGGGCTGAAGAAGCCCCTCAATCCATTCTTGGGAGAGTTGTTTTTCTGCGAATACACCGATCACGTCGTGACAGCCGAAAAAGCATCGGCCTCCACGGTGAGGGTGATTAGCGAACAGGTCTCTCATCATCCACCTACCACGGCATGTTACCTGTCCGCCGACGAGCATGGGGTTCACGCAGAAGCGTATTCCACCCAACACACCACCTTATCGGGAACGTCGGTCATGATCCGGCAATCGGGCCACGCATTATTGACCGTGGACAAATACAATGAGACTTATCTCCTCCCTCTTCCTGATGTCTGGGCTCGCAGTGTTCTTTCAGGCGTTCCATGGCCCGAATTAGACGGCAAGTATAAAATTCTCAGCTCCAATGGATATACGGCGGAGATGCGATTTACGGCCAAGAAGCTATGGGGTGGGGTACGAAATATGTTTGAAGCTTCAATTTACCGAACTGCCGACACTGACAAGAATTCCCTCTATTTCCTTTCTGGCAGTTGGAGTTCTAGTTTTTCCATCTTTAATTCCAAAGGTGACGAAACTGAAACGTTCGACCTTTCAGAACCCAAGAACCAACCTGTTCTCATGTCGATCAAGCCGTTGGAGGAACAGAGTCCTTGGGAGTCTCGACGCGCGTGGGGGGCCACGTTTGAGGCGATAAGGAAAGCCGATAATGGAGCTGTAGTACACGAAAAGTCGAAGCTCGAAAATGCCCAGCGGCAAATGAGGAGGCATGAGCAGAAAGAGGGGAAGAAATGGGAGACCATGTTCTTTACCCGACGCGACGGCGTCGAGAGGGATGATGAGGATGTGGTTGAGAGAATTTTTGATCAACTTGATACCACAGAGGTTGAACGGCTGCGTGGTACCCACGGCTGTTGGAGGTTTGATAAGGAGAAGGAAGAGAGGTGGAAGAATGGCCAAGGGGCTTGGAGACCGGAGTCGCCTTTTGGTTGAGAAGATGTCACATTCAGGACCACCCGTTAAGGATCCCTTTGTCTGGAAAGGTCCATCAGATCAGGCCTAGGATTTTCCACCTGCAAACGGTCCACGAGGACCTCGCGCCCTGCAGCAGTCGAGGTTCTCGGTCAGATTATGCAGGGCATACCGTTGTCTCTTTTTTTGGTGTTAACCAAATCCGACAACCCGAGACATTGGCCTGCTGAATCCGGCAGTTTGGACGGCTCAAGGCGCCCCGATATTGACGGGAACCGCAGCCGGGGGGTGGAATGTTTGTGAAGGCCATCGACGGTCGATACAAGCCCGAGCTGATCAAGTCCGCTGTACCCTTTCAGTGACATAGACCTGATCACCTGTCCGAAGGATGGCGCCAGATGGCCCTGCGAACGCATACTGGCCAAAAACCGGCTTGTCTATTACCCTCGTCAGCCAACAATACAAGACACGTACACACCACCGGAAGTGAACCGACAGACAAACTTACGGGGAAATTTGTCGTTCACTCTTCTATCGCTCGCAAGCAATCCGTAAAGCTGTCGATCTCGCCGAATCATTTCACCCGTTTCGGGGTCCGCATTTAGGCTGAGACAACGCACCGTCCTGAAGATGCATTTGATAGTGACCTCCTGAGCCTCGTCCGATTGAGATCGAACGAGCAGTGATGACCAATTGTCTTCGTCGTAGGGTGGGAGCTGACCCTTGACATCCACGTGGATATTTGGCCGGAAACGGAGAATGATGTCTTCATCTTGATAGTCCTTTGGAAGACGTGATCTTGCATTTTCCTCGGAAGCAGTGGAGGTGATTAATAAAGGGGCCGCATCAGCAAACCGAATTCGCTGAGGTTGAAGGCCTTCTCGGACGGCCAAGGAGAGAGCACTCCGCTGACTGGGAATGTATGCTGCTCCGGGAATCTCTCGCCGACCAGTGCCTCCGATGGTCAAGAGTCGGACATCTTGCTGCAGATGTCTGGAGAAGAACGCCGCGGGCTCATCACCCAGATCAATGCCAATAGCGGTCGTTCCGAAGATGCTGACCTCGAAAGTTCGATTCAGCAGCAAGGACAGCGGAGAGGGGGTCAGAGGTATGGTAATTGAAGATGGCGGATCAGCGTGAATGTGATGAATGGTCAATTTGGTCCACGAGTCGTCGATGACCGGCTTGAACAGGGTGAGCTTGAAATGCTTCTTGATCGTGAGGAATTTGGCTAGACGGGTGTCATCCTTGGGAGGATTGACTAGGACGAAGGAGCGGTCGAAGCGAATGCCTTCGTTTGTAAGTTCGACCGAGGATACTTGAACTGGTGGGAGAGACTTGACGGGATAGATAAACAGCTGTAGAATGAGCATAGAGAATACCGAAAAGGATGAATCCGACCTACTCTTTGGATGGTGAGCGCCGCCGACATGGCATCGCAGACACTAACCCTTTGGGGGAGGCATGGGCGAGAAGAAAAAGAAGGAAGGAGAAGGAGGCCAGATGAGGGAGTCGAGGGCGAATCAGTCCACTTTTATGTTTTTTGCGGGTTTTGAGTTGTGAGGGCCAGAAGCTTGTGAGGGGTAGAGCATTGCTCGTGGTTTACTCATCCGCAGCCAAATGGTACCATCTGGTTTTAGTGTTGTAATTTTGGCTATAACCCATCACGTGTTCATCTCGCCCAGAATTACTGCTTGTGGTTAGTTCCCCCCACACATCAGCATCACTCCATTTTCGCTTTTGGCCTTTCGCCTTCTCGCTCTCACACACACTCATCCTCACTTCCTTTCCCTCCGTTCTGGCCCGCCACCCCTCCAGCCTATCCTTGATCTTTGATTTTCAATTCAAATTCAATTCCTTGGGCGAAACTGGTGCTGGCGTCAATTGATAGGCTTCTGGAAGCATCAGTGGGGGTCTTGGGGCTCACTTCCATGTGCATGACTGGCCATCTAATGACATCCTCTTTGCATCTCTCAGCAGCAATCTGACGGCTTCCGACATAACATCAACGGCCCCTTCCTTCTTCGTATGGAAATCGACACCGCTCAAGCTTCCCCTACGGCCGACAGGGCCTGCAATTCTTGCAGACAACGTCGAGTCAAGGTAGACAATCTATCCCGCGTCCACATCTACCCCCATCTACTCACGAGGGCATAGTGTGACAAGAGATTACCCGGGTGTCAACGATGTGAGAAACTAGGGAGACCTTGTACCGGTTATGACTTGGAACGCAAATTCCTAGACGAGGGTATCAAGGTTCGGAGGAAATATGATGGCAACTATCAGTCTCTTCCCGACCTATCAAGAGAGACCGTCCTCGTCACTTCTGCCAAACCTGTAAGTTCTGTCTCTGTCAAATAGAAATCCCTCCTGCTGAGAGATTCCAAGCCTTCAGTTTCGGGGCTGGATAACCAGCATTCCAATGTACCCTCATACGATGGAAGCGTGACACGGTCTAACCCAACCATTCCGCAAATCATTTCGCCGCCATCACCTCCTTCCACCACAAGATCATCGCTCAGTAACGTCCAATATCCTGCCTTTGGGGTTCTTCCTCCGCCAACGTCAAACTTCAATGCATTTGCCGATACTTCTCCCCAACCTCCTGTCAGTCTCCCTGTCTCCAATATTCCAACAAACCTCCAACCGCCACGGCCACCGCCAAACCATGACAATTTTCAACATTCCCAAGATCATCCTACCGCCAAGCTGTTACACGGCAAACCCCAATATGCTCCGTCGGAAATGGACACCTCGGTCAGTGAGGACTATTTCGACCTGGATATCGAGACATATTATGCCAAAGGGAATAATGCATGTGGATTTATTCCTGGCTTGCCGGTGATCCTCACCGATACAAGTGAACCGGAAACCGACGATGATTTCTTGACCAGTGATTACGCATCGCTTAGCGGGAGATCGTCTGTATATGATAGCTCGGAAGGAAATCGACCCCGTCCAGAATACAGCCAAAAATACCTCCATGAACGAACCATTGAATTGACATGTCTGACTCGTCATTTTGTACAATCCATATCTCCATCGTGAGTACTCTTCGACATATCGACGCTTGCCAAACTTGGCTAACCTTAGTTCAGAATGGACCTCTTTGATCTCGATACGTATTTTAGTCGAATTGTACCCCTGAAGGCGGTCCAAAATGGCATGTTGAGATCCGCCATGGCGGCCGTTGCAGCGAATCAAATCGGTCAATTGATGGCCAATCATTCTCCAGTAGAGGACCTTCAACACCTCTTACCTTTCATAGGAGACGATGCCGTTTTGCAGCATACAGACTGGTTTTATAAGGCCGCCAATTACTACGACCGAGGGATATCATACTTGAGAATCTTCTTACAGCGATGGCTCAATGACCCAAGTAATGATGGATTGACTGGACACGCTTCAAGATATAATGCGACAACAAATTTATCCGAGTCCAGCAATACAAGCGCCGCCGTTGGCATCACCTCTCCACACAAACGACGACGGATCGGTAGAAACCAGTCAACAGATGGAGCAGATATGGAAGCGTTGGTGGCGGCAATATCAGTTTTCTCGCTGTATGAATCTCTGGACAATTTCACGGATGACTGGTCACAGTAAGTGGGGTCGTTTTGGTCTGGAACTACCCTCATCTGACATTGAATAGGCATCTTGACGGCTTCAAAGCGCTGCTGGAAGCGAAAATCCTTCCTCAAGCCATTTCTTTACCACGACCCCGAGCAGAACCATTCATTTCGATGAAAGCGGGGCGTGCGGCGTTCTGGAATTTTGCTCGAGCGGATTACTTGGCGGCATATGTCAATCACTCCAAAACTCGTCTGGATCCGGACAATTTGACCATGTGGAAAGCTGCAGGACTCCCTCTGACGGATGACGGGACCTTGGCTTATTGTGATCCATCCCCGCCCAGCAACGCGATCGTCGCCTATCAATCAAGTGATAGGGAAGACCTGGTATCGTGCACATTAATCTGGATCGTGCTGCGGGTTATGAACTTTGTTGCTCCTCACGATGACACGTTGACAGCCAACACAACCGGCACTCCACAAGGTCTGGAAAGTCCGGCTTCAACAGTTATCAGGACTGGATCAGACGGCCCGACGTCGAGTCTGATACAAAGTCGTATCGCGCGGTGGAAAAAACTCCGCCGCCAACTTGAAGACTGGTTCGACAATCTTCCCTTCACCTTCCAACCGTATGCGATGATGGGTGCGGGATCCCAATACCCCTCCGACCAACCACCCGAGGGTAGACCACGATTCACCCGCCTCTTCTTCAGCGTACCCATGTGCGCCGCGGCGCTGCAGCTCTATCACTTTGCACAGATTTTGCTTCTGCTCAATCAACCCGTTGACGAAAGCGACTCGCGCAACCTCGCCAATCGCATCCGCATGTTCCGCACCGTCTCCGAGGAATCCGAGCATCATAGTCGGCAGATCTGTGGCATTGCCCTAGGAAAACCCCCTCCTGCCGTTAGCAGGCAGATGGTGCATTCGCTGTATTTGGCGGGCTTGTGCTTTGAAGAGAAAGATGACAGGCTCGTGGTATTGGAGCTTTTACATAATATCGAGAAGGAAACGGGTTGTTCGACGGCCCATCGCGTCCGAGACCTCAGACAGCAATGGGGATGGAATGAGGATGACAATGTTGTGCGCGGAAATTATGCCTGAGAGCATTCGGTCTTTGTAATGAGACAGGATGAAATGAAACGGGAATGAACTCAAATGAGACAAGGTTGGATGCAATGTCTGAACGTGTGAATGTTTGATGTCTGAATGTATTGCCAAAACAATGGAGCGGAACACCCAGAAATGTGTTGATGATCCTTGGTTCGGGGAAATCGACGGGATTTGGATCTGAATCTGGAGTTCGCGATGGAAGTTATGGATGGGATGTCCGGATGAATAGGTGATGCGGAGGTCTTGTTGTTGATCGATCAAATACCTCTCCTCGATTCAAAGCTTCTGGATACCTACCAAATGACGACAACGAATGTGAATTATAATACCTTACTGTACCAGATCCCCCGCAACACTTAGCTCCCGCAGATAATCGGCCCAAAGCCCGCTCGCGTTTCTCGCTTCTCGCTTCCGCATGGCGCTTACTACATCGCGGCGCCCCATTGAGCGGACAATCCTCCGAGTTATATAGTGGAATGTCTAACCGATTACGGAACATATGGGCGAGCTCATCTCTTACTCTCATATGAGCGATTAAAGAGGCAAGAGTTTCCACTGCACCTATTAGTCCGCCGTGACCTGGATTAGGTTGACAAGCTTGCTGGTCAGTAGATAGTACCGATAGAAAGGAAAGAGGTACAGGGGAGAGGAGGATGAGGCCGACGTTGGGATCGAGCCTGCACCTCACCATATCTCATCCTCGTTCTGTTGTGGTTACTCACTCGTATGGGCATAGATCAGTGATTCATACGATCCTGCATCTCGCAGCCACTGTTGTTCATAAGACGGAGCGGGATCCTTTCATGTGTCGTTACATGATCATTGGAGCCTGCTACTGAGTCATTAGGTCGCTGGAAGTACCGTAGTTGCTGTCGTGCGGATTTTTGCTATACAATACCTTGTACCTCAGGAGGAGTGACGGCTGTGCGTCCTGGTTAACGTGTGATGACCGTTCCCACGTCGTGACCGCTTCTCTCTTCCTCCACGTAACCACTTCGCATGCGAATAGCATGGACCACAATGCTCGAGATAATTTCGTACGCAAATATAGTGATGAAGAAAATCTACAGAATCTAGCCATTATAGAATCGTCTATAGAAACCGTGTCGGCAGTCGCGAATTACGCCCAGAACGTAACGGAAGCGGAATCGGCCTCCCCCAAGCGTTTCGCATGCGATTCGATAGCTGTACGGAATCTACCGTCGTAACTGTGTTGCTTGTAGGTCGTACAACTGTAGTATCTGTTAGGTCTGTTGATTCATTCGAATTCGTAGCGAAACGACTACGAGACCCCTGCGTACGAGACCCCTTTTTGGGCCTTTTCGACTCATCGACCTCGAGTGGCCTTTTCTTCGACTTCGCAACCTTTTGAGTCCCTTCTTTCACTCGTACGCGCTGCACCTTCGCTTCGGCTACGTCTCGCTTGCGTTTCTCAGTCTCTGCAGCTTTTTGTACTCGTTGAGCTTGTTGTATGGCTTGTCTTTCGGCTTTTTCTTGAGCAAGTAATTCACGCGCAGCCTGCTGCGCCAAATTGTGTGCAATTTTCTTTTCCTCTGCTTTACGAGCCTTGCCACGTTTTCGCTTCTTCTTTTCATGTAAGACTGCCTTTCGCAGACCTTGATTTTCATGTCGTACGATTTCAAGCTCTGTCACAAGCTTTTCGCCTGCGTGCAGTAGGACTTTCGCACACTCGTCGACATGACCTTCTTTTTTGGAGTTGCTTAAACGTACGACGTATTGGTCGTGTAGAAGTGGGTGTTTTTGGCTTTGGTGGGCTTAACTGTAATGTTGTTTGAGGGTGCGGAAAAACTGAAAGCACTCGACTCGGATTGAATGGATGAATCCCTGTCGCTTCCCATGCGCTTCGCACGTTTTCTGTAGTAAAGGCCTCATTCCAAGCCTCGCGAAACATGGGCCAGAAGTCACGTTTAGTGAGTCGTACTGTAAAGGTGATGAACGGTTTAGCACTTGAGTGCCTGTCATGCAGGGAGGATGTCGTCGCCAAAGCTGTTGAGCAACCACCCACCAAGCTCTCATTACAAGAAAAGTTCAATGCTCTCACCATCTTTATACTCACCCATGTTTACTTGCCCCCTTACATAATCCATGCACGTAGCGCCCCGCTACAGTACGAGTCCTTGAGTCTCTGCGAGAAGCCTATCGATTTGCTGCGAATAGTACGTAGTAAGGGGTGGGAATAGTCCGACATCAAGAGGTTGTAAACGATGTGTTGAATGCGACGGAAGGATTGCGAGTATTATGCGATTCGCATCCGCGTAGTCGATAAATCGCATATTAACATGACTACTATGGCCATCAACAAGTAGTATGCGTCGATCTCGCTTTGCTTTCTCTTTTGTCGTGCGGTCCAAGACGTTTTCAAGCCAATATTGGCCTAACAAATCGCAACTCCATCCATTTTCCGAGCTTGCGAAGAAGGCTTGATCTCGTACGTGATCGAATCATCAAGCCAAGTATCGTAGAAGTGCTGAAAGTAATAGGAATTATCTGTAATCTTTCGTTTATGATCGATTGTACGTAGATAGACACTTGTGAGTTGATCTTGGTGTCGTTCGCAAAATCGCGCTACCCAGTTCTTCCCAAACGTTACGCGTACGATTTCCTTGCGAGGTTTTGACAATTTGAGGTGTATGAGGTAAACCTCGATCACTTGGCTTATTGATATGCGCAACAAACGTCTTTTCTTGTGTAGCTGTAAGTCGTTGGCGCGTATATGAGTTTGCCTCTTGTTTTGAGCCTGTTTCGCTTCGATAGCGTTTCGCAAGCGTTGTACGTTCGAGATTCCTTTTTTTGCAGTTGCACTATAATTTACACTCTCTTGCGTGCAATCGCCGCTTGAATTCGAGCTTCGTGGTCCATGCTATTCGCATTCGAAGTACGTGCGTAAGGCGGTGTGAAAAGTGGTGTTAAACAATTGACCTATCGTTCGCGACAGACCAAGTTATTTTGCAACACTCGCCCACCAGGCTGTATTACCATTGACAGGAAACAGCGTTAACGTACACTCCTTAGATAGATATATAGAAGGGCTCTATGGCACCCTCTGATCGAACCCAGTCAGAGCGCTCCTTCAATTCAAGTTACACAAGAAGTTTAATAATGTTGTTGTAGCGGCGGGAAGAGAATGTATGAACTGACCAGAACTATCTGCTGGGGGTGGCCGCTTTACTCCGTAAACGAATGTAGTTTAGCGTAAGCCAAAGTCCTTGGCATAAATTCACAACAGGTGGAAATCACGTGGGGAGCTACGTTAATACGTGATAATTACGGAGTACTCTCACTTAAATTCGTGTATAGGTTCGTAAACCTTCCATTTGATCCCCATTTCACAGATCCAGTGTCTTCTAGATCTGTGAAATGGATTATAGCTCGCGCTATTCTCTATCTATATCGCCATACTAGCGATATAGGACTTGAGGCGAATTGTCAAACTTCTCTCATTGAAAGAGTGCCCTGACTGGATTCGGTCAGAGGGTGCATTGAGCCTATCTATATATCTATCTAGGGAGTGTACGTTATTGTTGTTGCCTATTGATGGTGATACGGCCTAGTGAGCGAGTGTTGCAAAATAACTCGGTAAGTCGAGAACGATAGGTCACCACTTGTTCAACAACCACGCATCGTGCTTCAATGGGTTCCATGACATGCGAACATTCTGGGTAACTAGCCCGCGAAGGGTGCATGAATATCGTATCGTATCTTACCTAGATCCTGATGCTGCTGGAATATATTGATTGGATCCTTGACCCTAAATCCTTACAGATCATCTCGATACCGAGGCTCGTCCGTTCATGCCCCATGAGCTATCTCGAATGTGATCAGTAGGGCTTGTCTGGGTGGTCCACAGACTGGATCCGATCCATAGACCATCTCGATATCGAGGATATCGACTTCTATCGAGTAGGGTGCCCCCTGGCCACATGGTCCACAGATTGAATCCGATGGTGGTGGTATATCATGGGGTCGGATTCATGGATCATGTCGATATCGAGGCTCGTTCGTTAACGCTTTGTTACGAACCATCTCGAGTGTGATCAGTAAGAACTTGTCTGAGGTGGTCCACAGACTGAAATACCACAACCCATCGGATCCAATCCATGGACCACGCCGACATCGAGGCTCGTCCGTTAACGCTCCGTCGCGAACCATCTCGAGTGTGATCAGTAGATCTTGTCTAGGGTGATCCACAGACTGGATCCGATCGGTGGATCATGTCGATATCGACTTCTATAGCTCCCCGGCCATATGATCCACGGATTGGATCCGATGACCGGACCGCAAGGGGGAGCGCCCACGTACTCACATGATTGGCCAGCACATCGCTCTTGGCGTCGCCGCACAACGCCAAGCCGCAAACAGGCGATTCCAAAATTTAAAAAAAAATTTCAGGTATATATTTTATTCCGCCAGAAACTGCTTCAAAATTGACACCAAATCGTGGTTGACCTATCAAGGACGAAACTGAGTGGGCACACTAAGTTTTAGTCGAACCGATAGAATTGAGGGACCTTACTAGTGTTCGATCATAGGTAAGGCAAGAGGGTTGTCCGGCCTAGCTCCATTGAGTCTAGGTGCCCTAGATGGGTAAATGTAATGCTCCAGCCAGTGATTGTTGATGTCGAACTGAGTGATACCTGGAGAGGTCGCTGATTCAAACTCTCCTTTAGTTGAACTTGTTGGCTGAAAACTTTCGCTGGTTGTGGCGCCCCATCTATGAGTTCGTCAGAGATGGACTATAGGAGGGGACCTTTCTTTTTTGGTACTTCCACCCTGACTCCTATATCGCCAGTATAGCAGATGGAGGATCACGCAAGCCATGATCTATTTCACAGATCCAGAAGACAAATATTGCCTAATGCTGGCGAGCGCTGATTGGACGGAATTTTTTATCCAAATATCCGAACTATCCAAATTATCCAGATAAGTCTAGGCATCATGATTTGATTTGATTTGGATTTATCTGGATATGATTTTATCTATTTGCAAGCCTGCTCTTACCCGGACTGAAGCCAATGGCTATAAGGAGGTATACAAAGAACAGGACCAGGTCCGCGGCAGAGTCGCGAAGATGATCAAGGATCAACACACCATCTTCATACTGGATGAGATCCCCTCCCCTTCCTCTTTCACCAGCTTTCAAACCGAACCCTGTTGCTGATCTGCTACTCTAGATGGTACCTCCCCGAGTTGCAGCGAGAAGACGCTAAGGAACCAAACCGCGTAGCTAGAAAGCAAATATGCTTGGTCCGTTGCTATGTATATGGTTCATGCTAGTCCTAGACGGTCAAATGCCCTCAGTCTCAGCGTCCCACGGGAAAACTACCACTCGCCCAATATTATAACTCGATGCCGATAGCAGGGAAACCCGCCGTTTGCTAACGAGGAAGTGGTTCGGACAGGTAGATCAGGAGCTGGCCAGAAGCGCATGTCCGCGTCATTGCTTGCACGTCCTATCATGAAGATAATGGTCGAAGCTTTTCCCGACTGCTGGATTCATTTTGCAAGCTGAAAATTGCCCACCCAGTTGCCATTCCTATCCATCTCACGAACAAGTATCTGCCGTGATCCAACAATCACCACTACAAAGGCACGGAAGTTTTTGTCGACAATCTCCTTTTGCACGGTAGGCCCCGCAATATAAGACTGAAGTTGCTTGCAGACACTTCCAGGTTTCGACCCTCTTCCATCAATCCAGTTGCGGATGGTACCTGTCCGGTATTTATCGTCCTTGAATTTTAGTCCAAGGATCTTGGTTAGATTCATGGCCTCAAGCTGTTCCGCTTTATCGATATTTTGTTCCCCATCAAGTTTTAGACAGGGGATTTGGATGTTTTTGAACTCGATAAGAGTGTAGAGGTTTTGGTTGTTTGTAATAAGTAGGTCGACAAACCCAGCGCTAGTGGTTACCTACATAGGTCAGCTTTATGTTTGCTATGCTAACAGTGGTCTTACCTTCTTTACTTGGTATTCACCCATAGCGTCAATGGAACGGTTTTTCAGAATCATGGTCTGGAAAATTCCTCGATGGTGTTCCTCTGTCTTCAAAAATGCGTCTTCGATTTTATCATGATGTCGCATCAGTTGACAATACCCAGCAAGAGCGCTCATTGGGTTCCCGGTTCGGGCAAGAGTATGCACAGCATCACCAATGGTATCGTATAAGCTAAGCCGCTTAAGGATCGCAGATCTAAATCTCTTAGCAGCGATAAGATTAGGTATCTTGAAGAAGCTGGATGGATCATTCGAATCAAAAGTCAAGCCACCCATGTAGACCATTAAGGATCGCCATACAGATATGTCGCCTTCTCCGGTCGCTTGGGTATTCTGAGTAGACAAGAATGTGAGATTTATACTTAGAATCTAAATTTCTCAGATAACAAGATGACTTACCAGTTGGTGCGGTGTAAAGCCATCGAGCACTTCCTTATATGGAATCTTTTGGTAAGAGCCATGTTCGTCCCTTTGAAGTGCACACTGCATATCATTCACGGCAGCAGGGGCCCTTGCACAGATCCATAAATAAGGCTCAGGAACCTCTGAGTTCACAGGATCCATGATTTCGGGTTCTTTTCCATCTTTAAAAGCCTAGATATCCAACAATTAGTTCTGAAGTTAGATGATACCCCTCCTTACCTGAAGATATAAAAGAGCAGTCTGGGTGTTAAACACCAGCTCCACACTCCGTCGTTGGCAGAAGTGATAGCCATTAGCATACTTTTCTAATGTCCTAATGTGCTTTTGCACCTCTTCTTCATTCTTGTCGATGAGTCTCAGTGCTTCTAGCACGTCGGATCGAGTTAATCCACAAAGGGCTGAAATCTCTGCGTTGAAAGAGATGTTTTCTTGGTGGTTGGCACCACTCGTGAGGCCGCTTAGAAGGAGAGGTGTGACTCCAGTGATGTACACATTTCTGATACCATAAAACGACTTCTCGCCCACTTTGACGTTGGTCCAAAATGCCTTCAGAGTACGAACGGGCTCAACATCGGACCAAGACAATGGTTCATGTGGGTCTATATAATCGTTGGCGCAAGCATCGTATTCGTCTGCTAGTAAATAGATCTTTAGGTGTTAGAATGTATTAATGCGTGGTAGTCTCGTAAACACATACTCCTCGTACATCCCAGAGGGGATGATCCTTCTCACCTCTGTCATGAATGTCTTGAAGCGCTAGATCAACAGCATTAATGAGATGTCTGAGATTTCCAGCTGGATCTTTCTCGCTAAAAGTGGAGGTTGCTGACGCAAACGAGTCGCCTAGATATTCGGCGTAATCGTACTTGAAATTCGACAGCCCTAGGTTTATTTCCCAAGCAAGGAACTCTGCACATTCTTCATGTTTGTGAGAATAGGTAGGGCCAGAGAAGTCAAATTCCAAAATAAGATACCGTCCAGGTTGAGTGATACCAGCTTTGACAGCTTTATCCACGTCGAGATCCTGTTTGGCATAAAATTTAAGTACACACAATTCTAGCACTAAGGATTCCACTCACCTTGAAAAGCCAGTCATAGCTTTCGCGGAACTGAAATCCATGGAAATACCGCAGCATCGTAACGGTGAGCGACTTTCCAAATCGCCTAGGACGACAAATGAGCTTAACCGTTGCCCCCTTTTCGAGCTCAGGGATGTACTCCGTCTTGTCAAAGTATACCCCCTCCTGGCGAACTTCACAGAAGTCCGTCTTTCCCAGCGGGAATTCTTTCAGTTCACCGGACACCACGAGCTTCGAGCTTGTTGGAGTAGTGGCGAAACTCGTGCGACATGTCACGAGAGGAATTCGAACATGGCCGTGCGGCAGGAAGGGAGTAAAACGAAGGGTGGAGCTCGTTGGAATGGCAGAGAACCTCCATGTCAGCCTATGCAGGTTACCGACCGTTAGCATAGCGAATGAGTGGATTAACGAGAGCGGCTGCGAGAGACGAATGTGGTGGACAGAGAGAGGGGTGTGATGAAGATGGAATGGTTGAGAATAGTGAAGTGTTCAAGTTGCAAGCCTGGAGGAGCCGGCTGTAGATTTCCTCGCTCTTGGTGGTACCAAATACCACAGATCGTCACATCAGGGTCCCAGGATCCCCTCCATATCGGCATATTTCTACCTCAAAAAGGTAGGGATATCGACAGGGCAATTTCATTGCTCGACAGATGCACCGCTTCATGTATTTGCGTGGCCAGGTTTCGGCCTGGATACTCGTACCACTATTTGTTGCCCATCACAGACCATTCAATTTCTTCGCGGATATCAACTCGTAATGCAGTGGACTCTCACAAACCCAGAGCAGCCACTGGACTCCCGCCTTTTAACCGCAGCCGAGCCTACCCTCCACACGAAGCATCGTGCCCGATGGAGACCGCCGCGTGGCGTTCAAAAAGTCCTGGACGAGATTGAAGTAAACAGGAAGAGACGCGCAGCAGAAGAGAAGCGGCATCATAACCCTCGACCGGCCGAGAGGCTCAGCCAAGTACTCTTGCGTGAACTTGAGGACAATGATCGCATAGCCACCTTCCTTCAGGAAAACCGCAAGAGACGCCCCGGTCGAGTGCAATGTCGGGCCGAATATTGTTTTTACATCCACCACCAAAGCCTGAATGGCCCCCTACATCACAGATGATTATCGTATTTGTGTGGACAATGGCACGTCTTATAACGAATACATTATTGTCACCACCCTATGCTTCGAGCCGATGATTAACTTGAAGGAGCTCACACCCTCCAAGTTCAAGGATGGCCGATGCTCCATGGCAATGGGGTTTCATGATCCGGATATGGTTCGAACATAAAGGCTGCATCAGTCTAGACAAGATTGCGTGGCGTTCGTCGCAGAACGTGGATGCATACAACAAGGAGCTCGGTAGGTTCAAGTGATGTGAGGTAGTTATCTGCACGGAGGATGGTAGGATCAAATGGGAGGGTGTGGCAGTCGTCGAAGTCAAAGCATCTCATGGAACGGAACAATGACGGGCTCGCAGTGGCCGGTTTCGACGCAAGCTTGAGGAGAGCCAGCCGAATGCGTGGGAAGAGATGGCAATTGAGACGTGATTTCATGGAGGTCGAAGGAGTCCCTCGTCCTCCGTGGCGGTATGATGAGGATCGGGATGAATCCTCCATATATGTACCACAGGCGCCATTATTGGAGCCAGTATAGTGGAGAGTATCGTCCGGTCAAAGAATCGAGGATTCCGTTGTTAACTATGAAGAGGGCCATATCTGGCATCCATGGGATATCAAAAGGTGGACGTTCGGGACAAAGGTGGCGGCTTGGCATTGAAGGAAGAACGGCTTCAAAAGCGGCGGCACAACCCTCCTAATTCGGCGGCCGCCTCGCGGTTCTTTGTCAAGTACTTGGTACCTAGTTACCTGCTAGGCTCTCTACCTACACCTTCATAATTCACTCGACGTTTCTCCAAGCCCTGAATCGATGTAAGTTTTCGGTTTTGATAGACAGAACCTCGCGAGATCTATGCCTTTGAACGCTCCGAAGCAGGCCGCCTGACGAAGCACCACGTCAAAACACTGGAATAGGGAGTGAGTTGCTTGTCCCGATACCAGAGCAAAATACGTCCCGGAGCCTTGTCGATACATGCCGCCAGAGTGACAGGGAAACAAGAACTACCAGAATTGCTGCGGGACTCCCGACTCCTCAATCCTCTCGACTCCACGTTTCTATCCGAAGACACATACTACATTCTGCCTACACGCATATCTTATTCCACGATGCTCACAAAGACCTATGGCGCGGTAGTCGTAGGCGGTGGAGGTGCAGGCATCGCGGCTGTTGGCGCCTTACTTCACTTTCATAAGGCTATGCCGATAGCTTGGATAGATCCTGACTTCATTGGAGGAAGGATCTCGAAGAGATATCGAGATGTGTCAAGGTCAGTAGGTTCCACGGAATATTCTTTTCATTCTCGCGGTCCTCAGTCTGAGCCAAATATCTGGTACACAGTAACACCAAAACTTCCTGGTTCCTGGAGTATGCCCGTGCATTCGAGCCGTTCCGTCAGGTCGTATCCTCAACGCCGAAGCCGAATGCAATTAGCGTGCTTGAAGAGCTCAACCAGAACCGTGGCTGCCGTCTTGCATATGCTGCAGATATGCTGGAGATGCTGACAAGGGGCCTGCTACGGTTCCCCAATATCGATGCATGGTCCGGAAGGGTGGCTCAAGCTGACTTCAAGAACACCTCTTCACTCTGGTCACTACATCTTGGTTCCGCCGACACGCCGTTCAAACAGAGAATACGCTCCCGGAGTCTGGTCGTGTGTACAGGTTCTTCGCCTACGACGATATCTTTGCCTACATCATCCATCTGCCTCGACCTCGATGTTGTTCTGGACCGACGGAAACTCCGAAGCAGCCTTCCTGCCACCGACAAAGATGTGGTCGTTGGAGTAATAGGCACGTCACATAGTGCTATCGTTGCCATCATGAACCTCTACGAATTAGCAACAGGGACCCATCCCTGCCTCCGAATCAAATGGTTTGCTCGTGGTGCATTGTCCTACGCGGTCGAGATGGATGGCTGGATCCTTCGAGATAACACTGGTCTGAAAGGTGCCTCTGCAGATTTTGCGCGCGAACATTTGGAAGAGGATAAACTATCACATTCGCCTGTGGGAAGATATGTCACCAAGATCCAATGCCCAGATGCTGCAAACGAATCGATGCGACCTCAACTTTCCACATGCACACGTATCGTCCAAGCCATCGGCTTTACAAGAGACCCTCTCCCACGTCTCACCCTGGACGGCAACGAACTTAAAGGAATCACCCACGATCCTGTGACGGGGTTGCTAAAAGATGATAAAGGCCGCAATATCCCGCATTTATATGGCGCTGGTATTGCCTTTCCAGAGAGAGTCACAGATCCGGCCGGCAACACTGAAATGGCCGTTGGTCTTTGGAAGTTCATCAAGTATTTGAATCGAGTGGCCCCTTCGTGGTGTTAGAACACGAGTGTGAGATGCATCTGCATAAACCACGAAATATTGGAGGACCAGTAGAGCCATGGGTAAGTTGATGTTACCGGTTCAATTGAGCATGGCAATGAACGAAATACCGGTACCCATAGCCGAAAGAACCCTCCTTCTCGGCCTGCTCTAAACGCCCTATTCCCTCCATAGCCATGGCAGATCGATCTAGACTCGAAAGTACAGGGTGCTCCGAAAAATGATGGAAATAAAAGGCTCAATCTCCGGGTGTGGCACAAGGCATGGCCATTCCTTCTTTTCTTTCAACTTGAACCACAAGTCTGAACGGGTCGCCAAAACCACTATCACCAACAATATCACCAAGATACATTTCGGAACAATCTTGCACCAGGCTTGCTCCTAACACTCACCCTGATCATGCGGGCATGAGTCTGTAGTCATAATTTGCCTCGACAGACCGATGTCAATGTCACCGACCCGTACCCGAAATTGGCAGCAATGAACCCTCCCGACTCGGTAACCCTCGGTTACTTCCTCCACCGCGTTTCGATCAAAGTGAAAAACACCAAGAGTGTCGGCTGGTACAACAAAGCGTTCGTATGTAACTTCCTCAGTTGCGAGGTTCGTGGTGTCAGGTTCGTGGGTATACCGGCCATTGCTCTTTGTTCTGGTAAGAAAAGGAGTCGAGATTGGGTATTTTCTAACTGCTTGAAGCTAACAATTCTTAATAAGGTAAAGGAGAAACCTGCAACTTTACATTGGAGTTATACATACCGTTCCACATCTCCCAATACCTGGTTACCCTTTGACAACTTACCCGTACCCATCGGTGGCATTGACATAGACATCGACACCAGATTTGACAAGAGTCAAAGAGATCCAATTCAATATATAGAGCGAAAACGAAGACGGTCTCGTTTCCTCCCGTCTATTCCTCCAGATCAAGCCCCTTGTCCTTCCTAACATTTTCCGTCTCCTTTCTCACCCAAGCACCCAATTTGGGGTTCACACGCTCAAACATGCCGTACGTCCGCTCGCGGACTTCCTTGACAGCCGCGAACAAGTGCACGGAGACATTATGCACGAAATGCTCCTGTTGATCTTTCGTGCGGCCGAGAACTTCCCAGAGTCCATTCGCTTGGACAAAGTCCTCGTCTGTCACGGGTTGGAGCGCGTGGACGGCGCGGCCGACCCAAGTCTCATGTGAGGCTCTTTCGGCAGTGTCGACGGGAAGGTAAGTGTTTGGTCGCAGCGAGGAGGGATGTGAAGGGGCAGAGCCGTAGTTGTTGGCGGCGCCAACGGCCATGAAGCCGTCGCGTTGGAAGCTAATAGACATCCGTTAGTACAGCATATGGGGGGGCCGAATTGGGAAGAGAGTAAGGGAAGGATTGGTGTGTGCGCGTGCATCCTTACGGCGCATAAGCATGCAACGGTGCATTGACGGGGATCTGCTGATAATTGACACCGAGTCGATGACGTTGCGTGTCAGAGTACGAAAACAGCCTCGCCTGAAGCATGGGGTCGGCACTGGGTTCAATGCCCGGAACCAAATGCGCGGGCGAGAAGGCCAGTTGCTCGACCTCCGCAAAGTAGTTCTCCGGATTACGCCGGAGGGTCATCTTGCCGACGGGTCTCAATGGGACGTCTTTGTGCGGCCATACCTTCGTCACATCGAAGATGTTCCGGCGGAAAGTCTCGGTGTCCTTTGGGTCCAACACCTGCACGTACAAGGTCCAACTAGGGTATTCGCCCCGTTGGATCGCCTCGAAGAGGTCTTGGGTCGCGAAGTCCGGGTCTCGTGTAGTGGCGTCCTCGACGCTCATATCGCGGGATGCCTGGTCGGTCTTGAAGTGCAGCTTGATGTATTTGAACGTGCCATCCTCCTTGGTGAATTTGAACGTGTGTCCGGAGTATCCGTTGATATGTCGGTACGAGTACGGCGTACCTCGGTCGCTGAATAATTGCATTACCTGGTGGGCGGACTCTTGGTTACTTGATAGGAAGTCCCAGAACATGGTGGCGTCTTTGAGGTTGGTTTGTGGATTGCGCTTTTGAGTATGGATGAACGTGGGGAACTTGGCGCCATCGCGGATGAAGAAGACAGGTGTATGGTTTCCCACGAAGTCATAGTTTCCTTGTTCCGTGTAGAATTTGACGGCGAAGCCTCGTGGGTCTCGGGCGGCGTCGGCGGAGCCTTTTTCTCCCCCGACTGTGGAAAAGCGGGCAGCGACTTTAGTCGTCTTGCCGATGCCATTGAGGAAGTCGGCGGATGTCTAGAAGAACAAAGACCAGTGTTAGTTCTCTTGTTCATCAATTTGGAGTGGGAGGAGAGAAAAAGGAGAATGGTGGGTTCATACAATGTCGGAAACATCATGGGTCACCACAAATTCTCCAAATGCTCCGGCACCCTTAGCGTGGACCACCCGTTCGGGAATACGTTCTCTATCGAAGTGTGCGAGAAGGTCGAGGAGGTGAAAGTCCTGGAGAAGAAGAGGACCGTTGTTGCCCAGGCGTTGTGAGGCGGTGGCAAAGGTGATCGGGCGGCCGTTGGAGGTCGTGTATATGGGTCCCTTTTTAGCAGCCATTATGTGCGGCGAGTTTGGGCTATGTGGTCAGAGCCCGTTTTATTGTGTTTCAAGGTTCTTTGGTGGTTCTCGTGCGGGATGATGGTGCCTTGAGTCCGTTGATATATGTGGTGGCTCTTCAACATCGCCGCCGGCACCGTCTCCATCGCTATTGCTTAGAAGATGTAAATGTCTCACGAGTGATATCATCATGATGTTTGTACGATGTCGTTTGCAAGGCTGGCGTACGTGTGCAGCCTTGTCAATCACAGCATCGCAGACTGCTTGGTAATAGACGAAAGCCGTGTTGTTCAAAAGCCGGAGGGCGATTCCATATGCGGTAATCTCCAGCGACATACGGCAGCACGAAACTCGGAGGGAACAACTGCAATAAGCGTCTCTCGCTCTCTCGCTATCGAATGCTTGATGTGGCATATTCCATACGTTTACACATGAGGCAGCGTGATTTATTTTGGGGAATTGGACCTTCATCGCCATCTTCCTTTCCACGTCAAGAAACGCCTTGGGACATGTATCCGAATTATTGCCAACAACAATGTCGTGTCATCTTGATTTGGATTGGCGCTGGGTATCAATGACCCTTTTATATAACGCCCTGTTGGCTCTGTGACCCAGTCAGTGGTGAGTTTCAAAATTCAAAATAGCTCACTGAGCCCCTTTTTTTCCGGCTGCATTTCCGCTTTCACATGAAACCAACCTGTTTGGCGTTCCCGTCAAGTATTTTTTGACACTGCCACTTTCCATTTTTGAATTATTATACATCTGCGCATCACTTCCATTGATCTTTCATCTCTCAAAATGTTGACTCCGACATTACAAGTTTGGGGAATCTCGGCGACGGAGGACGTGAGTTTGGGCCCGGACGACAAAGCGACTTCTCAATCCCGGTTAAGGCTGCATAGTCGGATTACCATCTTCGACCAGGACGGTTCTTTCGACATTATTCGAATTCGTCTACAGGGAGCTGTTCGAACTCAAATTGGTTCACAGGTCGCCGTTGAAAAGGTTCGAGAATTCCCCTAGGATCAGTGAATGAGTCGGAGACTGACCCATTGGTTCAGTTTCCGTCCTCGACCCAAACCAAAACAAATCTAGATTTCCAACCTGTCCATTCCGCATCTCGACAACGGTCTGACGAACAACATCTTGACTTCATCTGTTCCGTCCCTGCTACAAACACCAAACGATCTGAACGCAAGTCTTCCTCGGGCGATGTGCTCGATAGCTTCGTACCCACCATGTCCGTCACCGGGAACACCTATGTCACCCGAGTTTCCGCACTGAGGGACAGACACCTTGTGGAAGGGTCATGCAAGGTGGCTTATTGGCTCGAGGTTGAGTTTTGGCGATCGGAATCGAACCATTTGGTTGGGGCTCTGACCTGCCCTGTCGACGTTTCGGCACTACTGATGCCGTTGGATGTGGAAGTCTCCATTCCGAATCAGTCGAACGAGATCGAACAGGTGGTAAAGCCTCCGCTGCGATCATTGGGCAGACTCATTTGGTCACATCCTCAACCAGAATTGTCCGTCACCATTCCCAAAAAGCTCGGCTACCTGCTTTCCGACTCGTCAAGATTGTCACGAGGATCTCGACATTTGTCCATCCCGGTCTCAGTCCACATCAAACGCCCCTCACAGTCTCGTCGACCGGTACAAGCTCTGCCGCCGGGGGACTCATTGAAATGTTCCGTGAAGGCTATGTGGTATACAAGGAGGACATTTACCACGGGATCCTCCGCAGCCGAATCTGTCGTCAACAACACTACTGTGTCGGCCCAGAAACTCTCCCTTACCTTGCCGCCACTTTACCGCTTGGACTCGGAGAGCTCCCCATGCACAACCTCAATGGAGCTGAACCTCATCCTTCCCGGATCCATATCCAGTCCGTCCGTCCACACGGACCTCTTGGCGGTCAGCTACATACTCGATCTATCCATGAGGTTCGAATTCAATGGACATGAAATTCTCAAAGGTTCATATAATGCAAGCCTTCGTCTCCCGCTTACACTTCGTGCTGCTCAACCACATCCCATCATTAGCCGACGGAATTTTGATCCTCTTGTGGGATATGTCGCAGAGGAAGCAATTTACGCCCCACCTCCATATGTTTTTTGAATACTGCATATTTTCTTCCATGCATGACTTTGGTTACCGTTTTCCGAACATTTGCCAGTGCACAGGGCGAGGGGATCTACTCGATTCGGTCCATTAGATCATGGCCATGTCCTCTAGAGAGACGTCTGATATAGATTGTAATGACAGTGTACTGGAAGCATTCCAAAATCATTCCCCAGGGGAAAGCGGTAGAAAACGCAGGGAAAGAGTCGGAGAAAAGCTACTTGTAACTCCGGCCTCCCTGCATCCCGATCGTCTTCCAAACTCTGATTTATTCTTGCCTTGGAATCGGCCGGTAAGGCCGTGAAGAGGAGTGAAGACAAAAATGTTGAGTGGTATTCTCCTCTTTAACCAGAAGGGTGAAAATCTCATCTTTCGTGCCTTTCGTCCAGACTGTCGACCTCGACTTGCAGACATATTTCGAATCCAAGTCATCTCCAATGCGCAAGTCAGATCACCCATTCTCACCCTGGGCTCCACCACTTTCAGCCATGTCAAACACGAAAATATCTACATTGTAGCTGTCACCAAGAGCAATGCCAATGCCGCCGTCGTGTTCGAATTTGTCTACCGGTTGATAGGGCTAGGAAGACAATATTTTGGGAAATTCGATGAAGAGGCAGTTAAGAACAACTTCGTCCTTGTGTATGAGCTACTCGATGGTAGGAGACGCGCGAGAGACTAGATGACGAGACCCCTGGCTGACTGGGATGCAGAAATCCTTGACTTCGGCTACCCTCAGAACACCGACGTCGACGTTCTCAAGATGTACATCACCCCGGACAATATCTCCTCCGCCATAAGATCTGTTTCTGCCCCGCCGAGTGACACGTCCAAAATTACCATGCAAGCGACAGGTGCCCAATCATGGCGGAGAGGAGACATCAAATACCGCAAGAACGAAGCGTTTGTGGACGTGATTGAAGATGTGAACCTGCTCATGAGCGCCACCGGTACTGTTCTTCGAGCAGATGTCACGGGCCAAATTATCATGAGAGCATATCTCAGTGGAACGCCGGAGTGCAAATTTGGTCTTAACGATCAATTGGTTGTGGGCCAAGTTGGTCAAGGTATGGACGGGCCTGTGGGGAATCAAGATGGCAAACGAAAAGCTACACGAGCAGCGGCCGGTTCGGTCACATTGGAAGATTGTCAATTTCATCAGTGCGTGCAGTTGGGCAAGTTCGAGACCGACAGGACGATATCTTTTGTGCCCCCTGACGGAGAATTCGAATTGATGCGGTACCGAGCGGTTGAAAATGTCAACCTGCCCTTCAAAGTTCACGCCATTGTCCGGGAAGTGGGCACCACCAAGGTCGAATATAGCATTGCTGTCAAGGCCAACTACGGCAGCAAGCTGTTCGCGACCAATGTGGTCATTAGAATACCGACTCCGTTAAACACCGCCAATATCACGGAGAGGACCACACAAGGAAAAGCCAAATACGAGCCCGAAAACAACTGCATCGTATGGAAGATTGCCAGATTTGTTGGCGGCAGTGAATTTGTGCTCAGTACCGAAGCACATCTGACCAGCATGACGAATCAAAAAGCCTGGTCGCGACCTCCACTGAGCATGAATTTCTCTTTGCTCATGTTCACCAGCTCTGGACTGTTGGTGCGGTATCTGAAGGTTTTTGAGAAGAACAACTACAGTAGCGTTAAATGGGTTCGCTATATGACCAAAGCTGGAAGCTACGAGATACGATTTTGAAGATAACCCCCGGCACGCACCCATTCGTCCACCCTGGCTTTTCGAACCTGGTTGTCCATCATCGCTGGGACCCCCCTTCGAGACAAGGCCCGTCGCAATTTTGATTGGTTGACAAATCTTTCCCATGAAACAAAGCATGGGTATCTGTGCGCGATCCAGGTCATCACAAAGCTCAAGCATCATTGGACAAATACTTGAAACGGCCGTTGACGGAACACCAAAATGTATGTTCCGGTAGAATTTGGCAAATCGAGGCACCCCAGGTGTGACACCACGCGACAAGTCCAGCCGCCGACCACGTCGATGGCCCAGCGTTGTGTTGCTGAACACCATGTCCGGATTTGGAGCGGGAAACTGAGCGCGCTGCGTCAAGCAGGACGTGCGCACGATGTGGAAAATGTTCACATAGTTCTGATGGAAGAGAAGGGAGCGAAACTTGATGCAGTTTGAAGACTGACATGGAATTTCCCATGGGATATCTAATGGTTTACCAGTTCGCTGGAACTGGAAAAGTATATTCATAACTAAGAATAGGTTGGTATTGGTCCCTGCATGCGAAATGGCATGTTGGTGATCACCAACTTGAAATGTCCAAGTCTGTCCTTGAGATTCTCCCTCCTCTCCTAAGACCAACGTTGCCCTCTCCTACTAATAAACTCCATCTTCTTCCCAGGCTGTCTTTATCTTTCCCTAACTTCCGAGCACAGTCATTCCAATCGTGCTTGGACAACTTCAATTTCTCAAGCACGGTCTCTACCAGCAATCGGTCATCATCAATGGTCCATTCGGGATCTTCTATTGATGGAGATGACCCGTACGCGGAATCTTGGTCTGAATGTGTATTGTGAGGGCTAATGGTTGGTATCTCCAGCTCTTCCTCCTCGGTAGTCGTCTCGAGGGCGCGGAAGTCGTCGGCAGACAGTCCCATTGGCATTGCTAAAGGGATTCTCCGTCGTCTCTTGGGTGTGCGCACCGGTCGAGGGGTTGATTGACAGTCTTCCATAGGAATATCGGATGATTCTGATGGGAGAAGGTCCTCTTCAAATTCACTGCGCCGTCGCTTGTTTGCGCTTCTGTGTGGTTTCGGCGGTGCTTGTCGTATTATAGTTGGCTTTTCTGACAATGCGAATGGATTTCCCAACTCGCGCGGTGGGTTGGAGGTTGGCTGTTGTATTGTGGCCGGGGCGCCTAGGATGGCTTGTAGAGCGCGACAGCTCGAAGATAAGGGACTGGAGCGCGCTGGTGTAGAAGGCAATGGTGGATACGCGGCAAATGATGGTAGCTTTGGCCTCTGAGGCCTGGTCTCGGGTTGCTGCTGTCCGCCATCGCACGAGAAAGCTGATGGGAGTAGCATGGCCAATGCGCCCAAAGTGACGTGTGTTGAAGGGCTGGATTGCGGGTGAAGATAGGATGCGCCGGAAGTCGTAGCGGCGCCCAACGGGACGAAGAGGATGAAATAAGTGGGCGCAGATGGTCGCAGATATATAGTGAAGCTCGAGAAGGAGTGGGAACGCTGGTAAGTAGGCGGTGTGAGACGGAGAGTGAAGACGCAGAGGAAGATGCAGATATGGTCTGAAGCTGGTTGCGGAGGGAGATGCAGGTGCAGGTACAGATGCAGGAAAGAAGCAGTAGTAGAAGAACTAGGAAAGAGAGTTTAACGTGGGCGTGGGAGAAGGCGACAGCAGACTGGGAGGATGATCTGCCGCGCCCGGACACCGACCAGGGGCAGGGGTAGAGTGGTGAGCACTTCTCCCCCCTCCTGCGATCATCTGGTAGTGATTCTATTTTCCCTCTTCTCTCTTCCCGTCATCTGACCCGAGCAATCCAGATTGCCAGATTACCTTCCTCCCCCACCCCGGTTTGCCAGATGGAGAAACAGCCATTCATATCGTCATCTCGTCTGCACGCCCTTCCCTCCAGATCAACTGACTGGCCTGAATCTCCAAACGAGAGTGACTGGCGCCGTTTGCTGGCCTCCCGATGGGCCGCCATTCTCTCGATCCAGGGGGTTCCTGATACGGATCCATGAAAAAGCGGCCTTTAACGGTCATGCAGGAAACCTTGTTGCTGCTTCGATTGGCGTCGGAGAATTTGTTTATCAAATATCAAGAATGCAAGAAGCACTCCGGGGACGGGATGCTAGCAGCTTGCGTCAACTCATTCTGACAATCTGCTGGCCCCAAGGCCCCTGTTTAGCTGCCTTCGTCTCTCGATCTTTGTTGAGCTTGACGCGTCGACGCGTGTCGACGCATCGCGTCTAGACCAAAAACGGTAAAGCCATATATTGGCAAACGCGCATCCAGGCATCACATGACCCGCAACCAGGCGGCAAGCCGAGTTCGACTTCATCTCGCTTGAGTCGTTTTCTTGTCTTGCAGGTTCCAGTGGTTTCTGTTCCTGCTTCTCCTTCTCCCTCGTTCTCACCACCAAGCCCAGTTTCAGCGCTGTTTGTATTCAAACTGCGACTCATGAGGAAACTCCTGGCAAAATCGGTCTCTGGCGAACGTCCGGCAACTTGGACTAGTTCTCTCAGACTCTCTTATCAAGTCCAGACCCCGCTTACTTGAGCCAAAGGCATTCTTCTCACCCTTTTGTCCCCTCTTTTCCGGACACGTACCCAGGCTGCTCGCAAAGCTGCTCTCCCGTTCTCGTGGTTCTTCTTCACACTCGACTCTGTGCTTGCAAACCCCATCTGCCTTCTCATACGGCGCCGTCACGATGCATCATACCAATCCACTAGAATTTCCTTGCCTATTGCGGCAATCATACATCCCAAAGCAGCTAAGTATTCTCTTTGATCATGAATTGCGGGAACAAATCTCGTGCCTTCGAAGTCCGTGACCTTTTGCCTTTCCTTCAGTGTTTTCAAGATTGGCCCTGTTTCATTCCAAGTCCTCTCTACGTCTCACCAAGATGAGGATTTTCCAAGGCGCTTTTCTGGCCATCGTGCTATGCTTGCTTTTCGGCAACGTCGGTGCCCTCTTGGATGTGGCCTGCTCTACCATTCAAGCGGGTGGAATTGATCCCCTTGTTTCTCCCAGTGGGACTTCTGGATCAATTATCATACCATCGCTGGATCAAATAGTGGGGACCAAGAAAATTCCAGAAGTTCTTCCGAACAACTTTCTTAGACATCAACACGATTTCGACATTTACCAGTCCCCAAGCACATTATTGTACTTTTTGCAGAGTTCGAAAGGACAAGAGTGCCTAGTGGACACCTGATCTATACTATAGACATCGCAATGGCTCCTCTGAAGAAATCATTCACGATGGTACTGTGGTTTATTACTTGGATTATGGTATCGATATTCACAATATGATCACTTTCCTACCTGGTTTCTGTATTCTCTCAGGAGATAGTGCAGCCCGCGCTTAATGATCCAAACATCTTAAACCGGGAACAAATCATATGCTGCTGAACCCATTTCCAATCGTGTCAGTTATGCATGCTTGCTTGGATAACAATGGTCCCATGCCAGAGATTCTAGGCTTCAATGCCACAAAGGGCAGTTCTAGACTTCGTGCTCAGATCCACTTCCAAAGTTGTTTGGGCTGGCCTCAGCCCGGATAAGACCGACCAAAGCCACGTTGTTTACTTGTCTGGCAATGGCAATGGAATCTGCCCTCCAACTCATCCCGAATCCTCCCGCATCCATTCGATATCATCTATTCAGTCAACGGTATCGGTTAATCTGATAGTGGTATGTGTGTCTTCACTACTGGATACGGTTTTCTCAGCAACTTCTTGAACGGATGGGGGTCCTGATGTCCCAATGATGCCATTCACGAATGTATGGGAGCTGGGGCAACAATTGGTGGTCAAATTGGTCTTTGCCCATCTCTGGCCCCCTCGGTCAACCCGTTCTTCAACTGCAACTGTCCTGAACAAGCACCTATCGTCAACGAGACAGTTAAGGGTATGTTCAAGGTTCTTCCTGGTTTCAATCCAAATCCCCCCCCCCCCCCCCCAAGGTCCCTTATGCGCTGCACAGAACACCTGCCCTCTACGGCCTTCTCCCAATTACGTACTCTATCAAGTCTACAAAATCGTTCTGTCGCAATTCCGGAAGGGAAAAAATTGGTATATGGCAACATATGGCATGTGCATTTGAAACCGGGCAGCCCTGTCAACTTGCTGGTATAAGCTACACGAACAACACAGGTGTGATAGTCGACTCTTGCATCGCCTTCTGCAGGTAGAATGGTTATTTTCTTGCTGGTATGGAGTATTCAATACAGTGCTCCTGTGCGAGCGCTATGTCCCAACCGCTTCAAGACCCAATCACCTGTGCCACGCAATCATACATGATCTGTGGCGGTGACAACTTCCAGTTCTGTGGTGGTCAGGGCCACCCCTTTTCCAGTAACGGGGTACTGGCTACTGTTCAACACGAGGACTCCCAATGCTTCGAAGAGCTGCTCCCATGTCAAAAAGCCTTCTTAGATAGCGTCCATCGAGAACGATATGTCATGGTCCTTTGGAGAGAATTCCATCTGGTATCTACTACGAGTAGTAGTACGTCTCGTCCGGGGTCCTCCCTCTCATGAAAGTTGGCTCGCTGCCGTGTACATAAATGTCCTCGAACAGTACGCGTGCGGTCGCATCTGGCTCTGGCAATTCCTCCGCCTGTGAAACCTCGCGATCCACATGGGCCTTTGTCTCCTTTTCTATCGTTCTCAGCTCTTCTGTGTTGGCGACATTCCATTCAATCAGCCTATCTCTGAGGCTGTTAATGGGGTCATTAGCTCTGCGCATCTCTTGAATTTCGTCGCGAGCACGATATGTTGTGCCTGGGTCGGACATGGAATGCCCTGCATAGCGATACGTGGTGAACTCGTACACAAGAGGACCATTCCCGGCCAGAACACATCCTTTGCCGTGTTTGATTGCCGCCATCACGGCTAAAACATCCATGCCGTCTATTTTCAAACCAGGGATGTAGTGACCACGTTTGAAATACTCAGTCATGGCCGAAGCCCGTTCTATCGAAGTCCCCATACCGTATTTATTATCTGAGCAGTTAGCAATATAACGCCGACGTCGCTGGCATTTAAAAACAAACTTACTCTCACAGCCAAATATCACGGGAAGGTTCCACAATTTTGCCATATTGAACGCTTCATGAACCTGTCCCTGATTGGCCGCACCGTCGCCATAATTATTGACGGTGATTGCTCGTTCATTGTTATACTGTTGAGCAAACGCAACCCCGGCCCCGACAGGGACAGACGCACCTACAATACCATTGCCACCAAAGTAGTTTCGGGCGAACATGTGCATAGATCCTCCCTTGCCATGTGAAACCCCCTGGTGCCGGCCAAGAAGTTCTCCAATGATAGACTTTACGCTGCCATTGCGCATCAACGTGTTGCCATGGCATCGGTAAGCCGTTATGAACTTGTCATCCCTGGTGATTGCATGCTCTATGCCCACGGCGATAGCTTCTTGACCAAGTGAGAGGTGACAGAAACCCCTGATTTTACGCTCTTTGTACAAGCGGTCCGCAGCCATTTCCATTTGTATGCCCTCGGCGTTAGATTAATGAGGAACGAGGCCATGGGTAGCAAATACCTGATTGTGGACATCTCACGAAGAAGTTGTTTCAATTGTTGCTTTGTTGTCTCCAAAAAGGATGATGGAGGGTCTAGATTATATGTCTCGAAGCAGGACTCGGCGATAGGGACTCGAAACGATGTATCGTTGTCCTGTAGTCCCGGTAAGCATGTACATACTAATACCGACAAGTTTCAATATGCACTAGCACTAACTGCCGGAACATTATCTGGACTTGCGCGTCCATGTGTCCCAAGCAATCGGCAACTCGGAGGTATTCGTTGGCCCATCTTGCGAAGAGATCGATACTTCACAGACCCGGACCGCAAAGCCATCTTTACGACAAATCAAAATGGTTCCTGAGACACTTGTACAGCTACCAGGAGGTAGGCAGATTTCTCCACTAGTGAGTAAACATTTCTGTGTGGTGTAGGTTTTGTTCAGTAGGGTCTCTCTTACTTTGTCTGACCTTCCATTGCTTGTGATGTTATATAGCCCGTACAAGTAGATGGGGCTTCGGACTTTGTTTCCGATAGAAAAATTGTGGGTCCTTTCTCCACCAAAGATGTAGCTACCTCGAGAGACCTTTCCCTTTTTTCTCCCCTGATCCTTGCGCTTAGGCCCTTGTAACAAACAACTTTTCGAAAACCGAGGACGGAGACTCGGCGGTGGTATAGTCTGCACGGAGTGTGCCGATTTTTTGTGATCCCGCTGGTCGATCTTGGTGATATGTGCATAGATGAACAATGATAACTCGACACTGCTTGGAAGCAAGTCTTCATAGGATGATATAGGCTGGCGAGAAAGGAAGTCAGCATGCCTGATTTTTGCTTCTACGAACTGATCTCATGTGCATATCAGCAGTCGCTATACCTCCCACAACCACTAGCTTAGTCATTGCTCCCTCCGGCCTATCGCCTTTTAAAGTCCCCCTCTTGATGTCGCATAGGATATGTCGTGTCCGCCTCAACACCCATGTAGACCAAATCCCAATGTAACTGGTACCAATTTACAGTAAGTTGGTCAGCTACCAAGCGACGTAATGCTTTCACCGGTCACAGGACAGGAGGTCATAAATGCGTCGTGCTCAAGAATACCTCGTGCGGCAGTTATGGATATCGGACGCCGGCCGGGAGTCATATCCGCTATGAGAGGAACATCAACTACGTCACAGATACAACTGTGCTAAGGTACTGACCCACGCGCATAGCAGGGGTTCCACAGTTTCCGGTTTCTATCACCTCCGTCCGTGGACCCAGAGAAGACGAATTGGTGGTCCTCAACCTCAACAAGGCGGCGACTTGGTGTATTTACTGCCAACGGATGTTTTCAGGAGGAAGAGGCCGGCAGCGTACGATAACTTGGAATTGGAACCACTCACGATCGGTAGCAGCCAGCAGGTATGTGCATGTATCCATGATGATCCGGATAACGTTGCCGGATTGATGTCATTGTGCGTTCCCAATACAGCCTGAGTGTTATCAGTTATTAGACAGGGCCGTCTAGGAAAGTTTCGAAACCCCCTGACTTACGAAACACAACAAGTCCATAGACTCTATTAATTAGCCACTACAAATATGCCGCACCATCCAGACGAACAACGAAGCCAGGGCCAGGACTCTGCCCAAATCCCCACAAAACTTCCTGACCCGACTCAGAATCCGAGGCGCTTCAGAGAATTCGATCTACAAGGGAAGGTTTTCATCGTGACGGGAGGAGGACGAGGTCTGGGCCTTTCATTAGCTGAGGCATTAGTGGAGGCTGGAGGTCAGGGTGAGTACTGTCCAACGATATTTTGTGGTATTTTTTCATCGACATTACTCGAACTTGTTACTTCCCAAGTATCAATACGACCGAATGTTTTCCTTCCGTCGGCTTTGACTTTTACATGCAATTGACCAAGTTGGATTTGATTTTTGGATGATACATACCATCCAATTCATGCTCACATGCCCTTCCCCTCTAGTCTACTGTCTCGACCGCCTCAATGAGCCCGACGAAGAGTTTAATGCGGTCGCAGAACGTCTCGCTACTTCTTTCCGAGGCTCGCTCCATTACGGCCACATGGATGTTCGCAACACCAATCACCTTGAAGGCATCGTGGATTCTATTGCAGGCAAGCACTCGCGCCTCGATGGTCTGATTGCTGCGGCCGGAGTCCAATATATCAGTCACGCTCTCGACTATCCTCCCCACGAAATCATGGAAATGATGGATATCAATTTCAAGGGTGTTTTTTGCGCTGCGGCTGCATGTGCCCGCCAGATGATTCGCTTCCGGTGCAAAGGGAGCATCGTCCTTGTGGCCAGTATGAGCGGCTTCGTCGCTAACAAGGGTCTCATCACCAGTGTGTACAATTCTAGCAAGGCTGCGGTGGTCCAGTTGTCCAAAAATCTGGCAATGGAGTGGGGTAAGGCCATCAAGCGTGAGGATGGATCGATTGAGGGAGGGATTAGAGTAAATGCCTTGTGTCCGGGCCATATCATCACGCCAATGGTGGAGAAGAATTTTGAAGAAGTACCAGGGTTGAAGGAAACATGGGAGAAGGAGAATATGTTGGGGAGGCTATCATTCCCGACCGAATACCGAGGTGCGGCTCTATTCCTGCTCAGTGATGCGAGTAGTTTCATGACGGGCGCTTCATTGGTTATTGATGGTGGCCATACCGCTTGGTAAGGCGTAGAGACCCACGATGTCCCATCGACTGCAAGATTAGAGACGATACTTTGACTTCGTCGTTTGTGTTGGCCGCTGTTCCAGTTAGAAAACACTCGATAGACGGTGCCCATAGAGAACACAAGGCTGAAGAACTTTGATGTTGGATCGCCCAGTACTCTTCAATGCTAAACAACGAAAGTTCTGGAGCCATGTCAATAGAGGCGATCTGTCATGAATATACCAAGACCGGAAAGAAACCCAAATAAGACTCGATCGGCCTTGCAGTCTTGTACTACCCGGTGTTGTTGCGCGCTCACCGAGTTGTTACTGTAAAATAGTCGTCTAACATGTCATAAATCTGACGTCGGAGTATACCATTTCGACCTTGCACTCTATGATCATGAAGGTCTGCATGTGCCTGCCCAACGACATTCCCCGTGTCGTGGACTCGATACACGAGGCTACTCTATTTCGCGAGAGTTTTGGCCCTATAGATTGGCAGCAGTGATTGTCCGAATCTTATATGCAAATCCTCTGGACGTCAAGGCATGGGAGAGAGGAATGATCAATATGAATATGATGGACGTTGAAATCAGCCTTGCTTGTGCTCGGGGGGAATGAGCTGCTCTCGCCATGCTGAAGATGCGAACACAGGTGTGGCAGCCTGCCACGTATCAGATCGATTCTTGACTCAAGTTTTACAATATGATTGTTAGGTGGGGCCTTACGCTTCGTGACTGGGGCAAGAGCCGTGAGAGGGGCTCCTTGTTGTCTTTCTGCTTTTTTCTGGAGCGCTGATGGATGCCGCTCATAAGCCTCAATGGGCCATGCTTGCCGGATGTGAATATTCCAGGAGGTGGATCCATATTTCCACAATCAAGTGGATACATGGTGGATGGCTGTAATTTTGTTACATCTCTTCCTGGCTTCAACTGCCTGCCCCATACGACTCAATACAGACCTTGTAAAATGCAAACATTATACATTGTTGCGTAGTAGAGGAAAAGGGGCAACGTAATTCACTAATGGCCAAGCACTCGTCACACCCCAATAATGGCCATGTAGACTTACATAGCAAGCACTTGCTCTTTCGCGCCCTAGTCATGGTTTCCTAAAATATCTCTCAACATAGTTTCGATCTCAGTATCTTCACGGCCTTGGGATTCCCAAATAGACAGAAGCCCCCGGCAGTATATAGTTACATGGGGATGTTGCGGCCTAAGGATCTCGAGAGAGGCTTTAAAGACTTGGACCTGAAGGCTCTCTGCCTCGGGATACTTGCCTTGATGGCTCAGCACAAAGGCGAGGTTGTTCATACTCGTCAGTGTATCAGGATGCTTCTTGCTTAGCACCCTCTCCGTCACTTGCAATGTTTCCCGATGCATCTGCTCTGCCTCGGGATATTTGCCTTGATGGCTCAGCACACCAGCGAGGTTGTTCATACTCGTCAGTGTACCAGGATGCTCCTTGCCTAGCACCCTCTTCCTCACTTGCAATACTTCCCGATGCATCTGCTCTGCCTCGGGATATTTGCCTTGATGGCTCAGCACACC